AACATCCATGCCACTCGAACGTACAAACCATCCATGCCACTCGAACGTACAACATCCCATGCCACTCGAACGTACAAACATCCATGCACTCGAACGTACAAACATCCATGCCACTCGAACGTACAACATCCATGCACCGACGTACAACATCCATGCCACTCGAACGTACAACATCCATGCCACTCGAACATCCATGCCACTCGAACGTACAAACATCCATGCCACTCAAACATCCATGCCACTCGAACGTACAAACATCCATGCCACTCGAAACATCCATGCCACTCGAACGTACAAACATCCATGCCACTCGAACGTACAATATCATAGTATAGATGTAGATAGAATATTACTTAAGAAAAATGAATTTTGAATATATACAAAAGACTAAATAATTAATAATATTAGAGTAATACAAATAAGTTAATGTATCATATAAACTAAACAACATTTGAATAAAACTAACATAAACATTAAACCTCTTTTGAAATATAGCGTTAAAGACGTTGATAAGATAAACCATTATCATAAGCAGCTAACTAATTATGTTTGTTCGTAAGAGAATACCTCAACAATCAACTCCCATTTCAAATTCAACAGTATGTAATATTGTTCTTTTTTTATAAATTGACATTAATAAATTTGCTGAAATAATCATAATACTTGAACCAAATTGATATTAAAAACAAATCATGATTAATTTCAATCCGTTTAATAGGTCCAAGAATTGTACTTCTTAACATGCTGACTAATCTTCAATATTTTCAACAAATGAATCCTGCAAAAATGACATGTATTATCTTTAATTTAAACATATAATATAGTAACAGATTTGATGTTGTCATTTTAATTGAAAGAACTACAAGATAACAAGATTAATTTCTAGTGGTATTATGAATATCTAAACTTTTGCTTTTCGATTATCAATCTTGAGCTTTATCTTAAATTTTAATCCATCAGTGTTTTGAAATCTACTCTCTTCTAGCTAACTCAGTCAAATGATTCAATTAATTCAGGAATAATATAAATTCCTATACATGAGTATAATCTATTCAATAATTAAGAATCTGGATTTAAACAAAAATTCTTGAAAAAGATAAACTAATATAAAATAACATTATCTTCTCTGGTATTATCACAAGGAATAGTTCTTAGTATAACATTCATTAATGAAAGAACGAAAGATTCAATAGACAATTTTAATGCTTTTTAACATTATCTATCAGGTGATTTATGAAGTATAAATTTTAGAATTTGATGAATCAAATGTGTAGGATGACTTAAGATGAATCAATGATGGACTTATTCAAACAAGTTATAACGATAGTGTTTAAAATTTGATGTGATTGATGTGATCTATAGTTGTATAATTATTTGTTGATTAGTTTATCTTAATTTTAATTTGTTTTCATTTTCATAATGGGCCATCACGCACGACTTTTGACTTTGATTTTGGTATAATTGAAACTATATAGTTCAACCACAACAAATAGACAACCCAAAGATACATAAATCTATGCTACAAAACTATATGAACATATTATTCTAACAAAAAATAACTCTACAATATATTTCTCTATCAAATTATATAATATACATTTTTTAATATAGTTTCCATTACAATTCGCAAATTGTATACGTTTATTAATTCTATATATCCGAATATAACCATAAAAACCCATATTTCAACCTCTTATATCTCAACAACCAGCCAATAAAATTCTTCAAGTAACTCGGTTTGATATAATACACTTCCTGCTCTATACACCTATTAAGTTACTGACCTTTACTATTATTTTGAAATTTGCCATCCCGAAATGTCATCCCGATTTATTTCTGCCATCCGGACCATTCTCAATAATTAAGCTTCTAAAAAATATTTTTTTGCCATCCCATTTTCCGCGTTCCAAATCGGTGTATAATCTATTCAATAATTAAGAATCTGGATTTAAACAAAAATTCTTGAAAAAGATAAACTAATATAAAATAACATTATCTTCTCTGGTATTATCACAGGGAATAGTTCTTAGTATAATATTCATTGATGAAGGAAAGATTCAATAGACAATTTTAATGCTTCTTAACATTATCTATCAGATGATTTATGAATTTCAAATAAATTTTAGAATTTGATGAATCAAATGTGTAGGATAACTTACGATGAATCAATGATGGACTTCTTCAATTAATTTATAATGGTTCTGATTAAAAGATAATTTGATGTGATTGATTGATTCTATAGTTGTATGATTATTTGTTGATTTGTTTTGCCTTATTTGTTTTCATTTTCATAATTGGATTTAAACAAAAATTCTTAAACTAATATAAAACAACATCATCTTCTCATCACAGAGGCTAATATAAAATTCTTCCTTTAATAAAGCAAACAAATTATTTAACAGACATATCTAATACTTTCGAACAATATCCAATATCTATCAGATCATTTATGAGTTAAGAATTTGAAGAACTGAGAATCACTAGTAGGGTGACTTTAAATAAATAAATGATTGAAATTGCAGATCAGTTATACTGGCAATACCATTTTGATAACTTGAAGTGATTGATTGGCGATTGATTGAATATATAGTTAATGATTAAGATTGTTTATTAGACTGTATTTTCATTTGTTTTCATTTTCAAAGATCAATAATTGGCCATCATGAATCAAAAGTTGATACTGGTTTGAAACCTAAAAATCAGTCAGAAATGACTCATGTAAATCGATATATCAAATTTTAAAGATATTTAGCCGATATAATTAAGTATGCAATAATTTAAATTGCAATATTAGTTGCGTAACATACTGACCTGTGCTATATTGTGCGATTTTGAGCATGATTTGACATTTATAATGATATCGAATTACACCTATTTGATTTAGTTGCTCAAATTTCAGTATTATTCTAGTAATTCACCACATGGTACTTGGGGTTTGACTAACCGATATTGCGTTTAAATATAACATATGAGACTCATTTATTGATTATGTTAAATTTGGTGAACCTAAAAACCTTAAAAAACACTAATATATTGATTTGTATTCTCTTCATTCAGCTCAAAAGTGGTACAATATAAACCTTGGGGATTAAATATGTACCTAAATGTTCTCGATTCAAGATAACAAATTGCAAATGTACTAAAACAAGCAAATGTCAATTCAAAATAAGCAACTCTGATTAAATTCTAACAGCCAGTTTATTTGTTTTGTATATTTTTTGGTACATAATCTATGATTTTTAACTTAATCTTTTATATATGTCACCTACCAAATAATAAACTAATAGTCTGATATATAAAATGTTTATCTAAGTTGTAAAATACATCAATCTGTATAAAAAAATGTTTCATAAGTGATAACTCCATAATTGAGATGATTTTAACATAATTTCAAATCTATAGTTTTATAGCATTTTAAGAGGAGTTGAATATATAACAAATTTGCCAAAAACTAGATCTTTAAAGAATTCAAAATATCACTAATAAACAATAAAAATTGCATTAAACCACAACTAGATCTAATTAAATAACACAAAAGGGTTACGAGATTTTCCACAAGTCACCTTCATCATATTTACAAAGCTAATGAAATAATCGTGATATTATTGACAATAATGTAAGTACGAATGTAAGCATATTATGACAATATTAGATGTACCAACATTAAATTTAATTGATCACCAAATATAAATTCAGATAAGAAGAAACATAATATGATGTTATCTTTTGTTACTGGGCTGTTTCATATGGTATTCACATTAATCAATCGTTCTCCTCACTTTATTTTCATTAACAAAGCCTTATTAATAACGAACGCTCCCCACATTTAATGTTTATTAACAAGTAGCTAATTGAGCCACTCCTTAGTATAATTGATGTACTTATTATTAACCGACTCTACCTTCTTATCAATTGAATATTTAAGGGGCCTACTTCAAAAATCTGGGGAATGCGCTTTGAACTCAAGAAAAAAAAAATGTTGAAGAACAATTAACAACACAGGAAGGTAGATGTGAGAAAAATAGTGGGATGACTACTATTTTGCTAAACTTAAAATGTAAAACTCTAAATCCGATCAAATATTTCAAGGTTTCAATACCTATTTGAGAGTTGTTTCCAGTGAAGGGCAGCTCCTGGCAAGGGAGATCAAAACAGTCCGGAATAGGAAATGGTCGCAGAATTTACACTTTAACTAATTTGAGGGATGGAACTAACTACCTTACCCCACAATAAAAATGCGCATAAACTATTAAAATTAAAGTTAGATTCGTTACGAGTACAGAAATTTTTTGACGCAAAAATATTATTTTCTAGTTTCAAGATTTTTGTAAGACATAAACTGAAATGTCTGCTCCACGCGGAGGGGATTACAGTTTTCAAAAAGTGGGGTACATATTCGCTGGCATTATACTATGGAAACACTTTCGTATCTGGCTATTGTTTTCCTGTCATATCGGGGCCTAAGCCAAATCTACTGCCTCATTAAATTTGGAGCCAACCTAATTTAAAAAAACCTCTATAAATACAATACAACTTCGTGTTAATGTACTCAATATTTAATTTTTAATTTATCAACAATCACTAGTTAATACTACATCTTACAAGCTTCTATCGCTGGCCGATTTATAAAGTTCATTATAGTAGTGAAAATGTCCGAAAAAATTCAAAACGTTAAGGATCAGACTGATTCCGTCTCATTGGTTGACATTGACGAGCATCATAACATTTTGAATGATTCAAATGTTAATATCAATGATTTATTATTCCAAACCAAAGGCTGGTGGAAATATGGCCATTTCATAAAGTTACATTTTTTTATTTCGTTGATTGCTTTGGCTTCTACAAATAACGGTTACGATGGTTCCATGTTGAACGGTGTCCAAGCTCTTGACTCTTGGCAAAGCACCATGGGTAAACCAACTGGATACAGATTGGGTACGCTTGCTAACGGTACTATGTTTGGTTCGATTCTTGCTGTCAGTGTTGCTGCTATTATTAATGATAGATGGGGTAGAAAGTACGGTGTTCTCTTTGGTTCAATTATTTCTTTTGTTGGTGGTATCTTGCAAGGAGCCTCAACTAACTACGCCTTCTTCTTGGTTTCGAGAATGATTATTGGTTTTGGTGTTGCTATTGCTTTGACTGGTGCTCCAGCTTGGATCGCTGAACTTTCATTCCCAAGTTACAGATCCTCATGTACTGCTGTCTTCAACACCTTGTGGTACTTGGGTGCCATTCTTGCTGCTTGGATTACTTTCGGTACCAGAAATATGTCAGGGGACAATTCTTGGAGAATTCCTTCTTACTTGCAAGCTGTCTTACCTGGTCTTCAAGTTTTGACTTTATGGTTCTGTCCTGAGTCTCCAAGATGGTTGATTGACAATGGTAAAGAAGAGAAAGCAAGAACAATTCTTCAAACTTACCACACTGGTAATGTTGATGACGAAAGAGCACATGCTTTAGTTGAATTTGAAATTAAGGAAATCAAGTCTGCTTTGGAATTGGAAAAGTTGTATGCTAGCTCTACTTATTTCGACTTCATCAATATCAAGACTTACAGAAAGAGATTGTTCTTGATTTGTTTTACTGCTTTCATGATGCAAATGTCTGGTAATGGTTTGATTTCTTACTATCTTGTTTTGGTCTTGGATAGTATTGGATATACAGGTAGTACTGAACAATTGAAGATCAACGGTTATTTACAAGTTTTCAACATTATCATTTCTGTTGGTGCTGCTCTTCTTACTTACAGATTCAAGAGAAGACACCAATTTTTGGTTTGTGTCAGTGGTATGCTTTTCTGTTACATTATTTGGACTATCCTTTCAGCTATTAATCAACAACGTAATTTCGAAGACAAGGGCTTGGGTAGAGGTGTTCTTGCCATGATCTTCTTGTTCTACTTTTCTTATGATATTGGTGCTAACGGTTTACCATTCTTATATGCTACTGAAGTCTTACCATACTCTCATAGAGCAAAGGGTCTTAACATCATGTACTTCACCCAATTATGCACTCTTGTCTACAACGGTTATGTCAATCCAATTGCCATGGCAGCCCTCGATTGGAAATATTATATTGTGTGGTGTTGTGTTTTAGCCTTCGAATTGGTTATTGTCTATTTTTTCTTCGTTGAGACTTTCGGATATACCTTGGAAGAAGTTGCTATTGTCTTCGGTGATGATGGCGGTAATAGATTGGGTAGACTCTCTTCTTCTGATGAAAAACCTGCTTTCGAACACTTGGAGGACGGTAATTCTTCTACAGGGAAGATTGGTGAAAGAGTTTAAGTTGGGTGAGCTAAGTATAGTTCTATAAAACTATTAGTCTACTCTTTAATATTTTGACAACTGTCATTAATTGTTTCTGTTTCCATAAAGGTATATATAGTCTATATTAGTCAATAAATTGTACCTGATAATAATATAAACCGGTAGGTATAAAATTTTCTCCACAATTAAATTCGAGAAGCGCTCCAGTGTATCCATGTTTTTCGCATGCTCAATAGGAATATACTGCTTTATTATAATCCACTATATTTCTACTTTTAAGTGATCTCAAAGACTCCATTATATTGTCGGATAATGTACCCACTTTCCATCATATGACCTACATAACGTGACTTGTATGCACTCCTGTAAATATGCTACTTTACATTAGTTACTTTACTGTATATATCTCTACTTTCCCACTTTATAAATCTGTTAAATCTGTGATTTATAACACTCTTTTATAGAGAACGGAAGAATACATAAGTTAATGATCACATATATTTACACTAACATGTCAAAGTAGGTCTTATATCATAAGTACAACATAAGTTGTATAGTGCACTACTGTATAATAGTGCATTCTACGACAATCCCTCACAAAACTTACTAGATACTGTAACTATTTACTATTTCCTACCGATCTATCTAATTATAATAGATATAAATTACCATCGTTATATTCTTTTTTTAACACACGTTCTAACAACCTACATCTATACCTATTTAAATAAATTTCATTTGAAATTTATACATTGTCACGTACCGTCTACAATAATAATCCTATATTAGATATTAGACAAATTGTCTATTATTAAGCATAAAACCAAGGTTCATATGGCTCAATAGTTAGTCGTAATACAAGTAAACCTACCATGACATTTGGTTACATACGAATATACAATCTTTAATTAAATCGATCACTAAACTGACCTGCTCGAAGTATTTTGATAAACTTTAAAGTTCTCCATATCGTAAAGTCTTATTAACAAAATCTAAAATATAAGGAAGTTTGATCACCGCCACATTTTTACTTTAAGGTACCGTTGTCATAAATATACCTAGAAAGATCGACCTGTTTCATAAAGTCGGTTAAACCAAGTTAAATATTTTTTATTATGTTTATAAAGCCACTTACTATATAAAAGACATATTCGTACGTCAGAGTTATGTCACCCTAATTGTTGTTTGTTGATCGTAGTGACGGTTAAACTTTAATCTATCAGACTAGCTTTTAAGTTAGGTGGGATTAGGTAGAAAAATCAGAGTGATAGCCCTACTTTTGAAGTGCTAATATTTGGTGACAAGACGCAATCTTCCGAACGCGAGGCCATTCACTATGAAATATAATGACGCCATTTCCCATTCTTCATTGGCTTGCAAAACACAATAGAAAATTTGGATTAATTTATTTTTCCGCCAATGGATACTCTAAAAGCAATTGCAAGTCACCTTTTCAATTAATTGTTCTAATACAATACAGACGACATACCTTTTAAGTGGCATATATGATGACAACACAATCTAAAGTTTCTATTATTGTTGATGACAAAATTGAATCAGCGCAATCATCTGCCTTTGCCAAAGATGCTGACATATCATCATATCATTTTAGTTGAATTGGAACAGGAAAGGTTCAATCAATTATCGATGTATAATTTGCATCACAATCAAAATAATCTTATGGGAATCATTATGCACCGATTACTAAAATATATACGGCACTTAAATACAGCCACAATGCAAATTTTGCCAGAGAATATATTCGAAATATAAAAATCTGCTGAATTCTTCTTTGAACGTTATTATTAGGAATCATTGGTTCAAAGATGCTGGTACACGATAAAAAAGACAGTTCTAGGACCGAAAACATTTATAGCAAGGATTTCTCAGAAGCTTTAGAATTAGATGATGATCCTTTGCATTCGGCTCACCTTTCGCGAGACCTCAATGCTAGAGTATTGACTCTTTTAACGTTAGGGAGTGCCATAGGTACTCGTCATATTATTGGAACCGGGACAAGTCTAGTCAGGGGAGGTCCCGCTTCACTTTTCATTGCCTACTGTTTTGTAGGAACTCTCTTGACTATAGTGATTTTTTCACTCGGAGAGATGGCTGCTTTTTTGCCAATGGATAAAGGTTTTTCTGGCTATGTGAACAAGTACTTTGATAGATCATTCGGTTTTGCGGCAGGTTATAACTATTTTTTCAAGTACGCCATTGTTTTGGGAGCTAACATGTCAGCGTTTGGGTTGGTAATTCAGTATTGGAGACCAGACTTAAACGTTGGTATATGGGCAGCGGTTCTCTACGTCTGTTGCATTGCGACAAATTTCTTACCGATTAGATACTACGGAGAACTTGAATTCATTCTAACTCTAGGGAAACTTTTAACATTATTAGGAATTTATATTGTTTGCCTTGTTATTACATGTGGAGGGAGCCCAAGTGGACATACCATTGGGTTTCGTTATTGGAGAGAAGAAGCATTTTTGCCTTATTTAGTGGGAGGTAATACGGGGAAGTTTTTGGGATGGTGGGCAGCTGTGGTCTCATCATTATTTGGTTTCATTGGAGTAGAAACTGCAGGTATATTTTTTGGTGAAGCAGTTGATCCCAAAAAGAACATTCCAAAGGCATCTCGTCAAGTTTTGATCAGGATCGGATTCTTTTACATTTTCGGTGTATTTATGTTGACGTTGGCTGCAAATCCTAAGAGTCCATTATTAGTTAAAGCAGGAGGAACCAGTGCAAATGCTTCACCTTTTGTTATTGCGATTAAAGAGTCGGGTATTAAGATATTGCCTTCTTTCATAAATGGGTGCTTGTTGATCTTCATTGCTAGTTCTGCAAATACAGATATTTACATTTGCTCAAGGCAATTATACGGATTGGCCAAAGATGGTGAGGCCCCAAGGATATTTTTGAAATTGACTAAAAATAGAGTTCCATGGGTGGGTTGCATAGCGGGATCAGTACTTGGATTGTTGGCTTTTATGAATACAAAGGAAGGAGCTGCAGCTGCATTTAGTTATATTTCTAGTACTGTCTCGATTTTTGGTATCATTAATTGGATGTACATACTTGTTGCATACATTGGATACCAGAGAGCTATAATAGCTCAGAAAGTACTGCAAGAAGAAATACCATTCCGAATGTGGTTTCAACCCTACATATCATATGTTGCACTTGTACTAATTATTGTGATAGCTATATTTAATGGTTACAGTGCATTCATTATTTCGTTTAAATATAGGACCTTCATCACAAGTTATATCGGTATCTTGGTAAACGTGAGTATGATTATTGGTCATAAGCTATGGTATAGAACAAAGTTCATTAAACCTCATGAAGTTGATTTAAGAAATAGTTAAGGCTTAATTAAGCACATCATTAAATAATAGCTATTGTTTTATATGTTTAGTTTGTCTATAATGCTAAATATCATGCAACATTTATAACAAGGTTATTGCATCTAAAGAACATAATTAGTTCAAATATTGTTGTGCAATATATCTATACCAGATAAAATATCCCTTAGGGATACAAAATGGAATATAAATTGATGTAATAGCAAGTGGAATAGATAAAGTAGAGATTACGAATGTTTACAACAGGGGGAATCGAGCTGCGGTAAGAATTAGGTAATTTTTATCCTGATTGGACATTTTTAGAAAAATTGAAAGTACCAATACCAATTATCCATAACGTTTTAAACTGAGAGATACCTAACAACCTTAATCATATTTATATGAGTAACTAGATGTGTATGAGATGCTGTAAAGCTGAACTTGGTTTATATAATTCAAACAATTAAAAACTTTAAAACATACAGAAATATGTTCAAATCCAACGAAGATAAATTCCCTTCATCTTGAGAATGAGAAATATAAATAAAGTTTCTCTTGATATATCATTCTTATCTTCTGAATTAAATATTTGGCCGATACTTTGACCATGCAGTAATATACAACTTTTTAAAGCACACATTCCATTTGATAAGTAGTTATAAATGATTAATAATACTATATCGGACATTTCTGATTTGACAAACATTTCGAGTGATAATAAAGCTGATTCAATCAAGTCTCTTAATTTTCATTGAAACTTATTGTAAATGGTGTCAGGTTCACTTGAAGTCGAGTCTCCATATTCTCTTAAAGCTTTAAAACAATTCTTGAACCAGTGGCAATAAATACTTATTTAAGAAGTGTTCATAAAATTAAACGTAAAATCAATACGTATAAGTTGTATCTAATAATCAGGTAATTGGCTATTTGAATTATGGAATGAAGATTTTCAAAATGCCATTTAGTGAAGACAATGGTGCAACTATAACAACATATAAAACACTGTAGCGGTGTCCTTGCAACTGGTTTCCTAAATAGCGGTAATGTAATAGATCCTGTTACTGTTGAAAAGTAAAATACAACCATTCATTTAAGGATCATGAATGTCAATGAGGATAAAGTTAGTGACAAAGTAGGTCCCACTCATGAACGATCCATTGTAAGAGACTTTAAAAGAAAATTCAAATAAATACACTAGAGAGTTGGATTACTATTTAATCATAATGAATAGGCTTTTATTCTACTTTAAGTTTAGCCAAAGCTGGTGTAATGATTATTCACACTCACATTTCCCACAGTACTTGCCCGATTAAAGGCTTAAAGTCTCTTCTAGGGTAAATTCTCTCTCAAGAAAGTTTTTCCAACCTCCTAATAGTTTTTAATTAATCGGGTAAATACCAGATCAAATAAGTAAATTACAGCCTTAAAAGATCTTAAGCATCTCCTGATATATTTTAATTTATTTAGTATATTTAGATTGCGTAAGCTTTATTCAAGCCGCCGGCATGTATAAACCATTTGCCCAACATTAGTAATTATTATTTTAATTAATATTATTTTGCGGCCAAGAATAAACAGCACTATTTTTTTGTGTCATTACCTTATCTATAATTGGAATAGTACTAGTTTAGTTACTATCTATTAGTTATAACATGGCCTGATATAATTTCGAAATGAAATTTCTAATATCACATTTTCAACAATCTGAATAATAACTTATTATAATAACTAGGTTCGTGGAAACAAACTCAACGGGACTAGCTAAATATTTTTAGCTTCAAGCAATTCATTTTAACTTTCTACAGCGTAAAATAATATACAGTTTGAATAAGAAATTTTGAATAAATAAAGATTATGAAGAAATACAAGAACAAGAACAAGAACAAGAACAAGAACAAGAACAAGAACAAGAACAATAAAATCTTTCAGTATTCATTAAGCAAAAATTATACTAACCGAAATTAATGACATCCATAATACGAGGCCTTTGATTATCAAACGAGGTCCTGAGTTTATGTAAGTGTCACCACTTGAAATAAAACTTGCTGGGTTTGCATATAAAGTGGATGTTGAACTCAAAGAAGATCTGGTTGGCTCTAGATCTTCGTCTTCACCAAATGAAACACTGTTTATTGAAGGAACCAAGTTGGATTCTAAGACAGTATAAGAAACATTTGGTTTAGTTGTAGTAAATGTCGAACCCATAAGAGCAGAATTTGTAAGTGATCCATTATGCGAATTACTTATAGCAACAATGGAAGATGCTTCAATAGTTGCATTTGTAATGGAAGGTCTAGCAACGTGAGAAATGACCATTGAAGTTATCGTGTAAGTCCTGCCATCATTATTTGTGCCAACTGCGACAACACCTGTTTCAGTACATAGATCTCCACCGCTATCTGCAGAAACTATCGTAGTACTAAATAAGGAAATGATACTACCATCGTTCAGCGAAGCTTTTGTGTGTAGGCTTGCTTCAGAAATGGTTTCAGGATGAACAACATCAATACCGTTCTCGACGAAGCCATCGGGCTTGCTTGTGACAAATGTGTAATCATTACTGACATTTCCATTACCATCGACGCTTTCTATATTGGAACAATAATGTTTATCACTGTACTGCGCAATGATATCAAATCCTGCTTGTTCGGCAATAACATCCAAGAAAACCCTATAACCAGCAGTTACATTTGAATAACTAATAATGATCTCATTCGTATTACAACTTTCTAAAACAATAGAATTAGAGTCTGCGAATGATTTAGGGAAATACCAATCATTAAGACTACTAGTAATACCAGCACCCCATGAGTTACAATCAATGCTTCCTTGACTAAGAGTTAACGAGATAGTGCCAAAACCATAAGATGAAGAACAATTTCCTCCAAGGACATAATAAGCATTACTGTTGTCCCAATCCATAGATCTGACAGCATAAACTATAGTCTCGGGGTCTTCACGGGATCTGGCTCCCTGTCCAAATTTAACTTCTTTCAGGATAATTCTATCATCGTTAGTAGTAAACGAAATTAATTGCACACCACTAGATAAATCGTTGGCACAATAAATGTCGCTATCTCTTGTAGAACCACCAACATTAAATATAATCTGAAGATCAACAACACCTCTCACAAGGGAGGTTATATCTTGTAGTACATAACAATCCAAAAAAGAATAGCTATTGTACAATGAACCTGGCATAGTCATACATTGTGCGTAATTAACATCATCAACTGCTAAATAAATCAAATCGACACTATCACGCTTGGAATTACCGTAGTTTGAAGAATAAAATCCAAAAACATCAGGTAAAGTCAATGAAAAGTTAAAACCCTGTAAACGACCGGGTTGCATTTCCCAACCCACACTAGTGTTCCAAAGCGGATCTAAAGGTAGGCTACCATTAATACCTTCCCCTTCATGCCATTCTAGAGATTCAATATGAGTGAAAATTATACCTGGTTCATCAACCAAACCAGTTGCTAATGAATTCAAAGAAGTATGCAGCTCTACTACTGAAGAAATAGATACATAGCTAACCACGCTTGTCAAGCCAGACACAGAATCATCAAGACCGATTTGTGTTTCCTCGGATCTATATGAATCCATATTTTCCAGAACAGAAGGGTATACCATCATATCATCAACTATTGAAGTACCTATAAACGTAGATTCTGCGGGGCCCGCAGCGCCCTGGAGTGTCGAAGAATATACATAATAATCAGATATTTTACTTGTGAAGATAGTTCTGTATGTAGATGACACACGCAGGTTCGATGATGTAGAACGTGATTCTGAACTAGAAGTATAATCATTTGAAGGAAAACTCAGTTCACTTGACTCAAGAACTAAGGATATAGTACTATGTGTAGCAGATTCGCCGGTCTTCGATAATGTCGATTCTGCACCTTTAGATTCAAGTACCGATGATCTGGTAGTGTAAGTAGACGGTTTGTGAGCAAGAGATGGTCTAGAGCTAATCAAACTACCCTTTGAATTAATATCTGATTTGTCGGATGAATACGTGGTATTGTACTCAGATGACTCGTAAATGATGGCCGATGTAGAACTTACAACTGTGGATCCTGAAATGTTCAATGTATCTGATTCACCAGTTACGATACTTGAAAGTATACTACTATGACTAGTTATTTCATCCTTAGTAGACACCGTTAAACTTGCGACGGGATTTTCCAAAATGATTAAAATAACATCGGAACTAATGGATTGTTGCTCAGAACCAATAACTGAACATAAGGTACCACTTGTAGATAACTCGTACGTGTCTGACATTGTGACACTTATAGATGAAAATTCTAGTTTAATAGATCCATCCGTTGAACTGACCACAGACCTATCAGACTCATTATTTGATAGAATAGTGCTCTGAGTTGATGAATCGTAAATGTTCACCGATAAGGAACTCATGGGTTCTGTCCTAGCCTCAGATTTCTCCGAATCGGTAATTGAGTCAAAGTTATTATGAGCAGATGACACACTAGTGGAGGATGCAAATGAACTTGCCAATGGAGACTCTGAACCAACAAATACATCTTTCGAACTAATAGCTGATTCATGTGAAACAACGATTGAGGAAAAGGAAATGTATGTTGATGACTCATAAACCATTGATGGTGCAGACCCAACTGGTCTTAATTCGGGGCTGAAAGTAGACTCGTCTGATACATTAACTGGAAATATGCTACTGTATGAAGATGATTCTAACTGCATTGATGGTGTAGACTTATCGTAAGCATACTCCGAACTATACACAGATTCACGAGATTCAATAAGCGAGACTCCATTACTGTATTCGCAAGTGATTGATGATGTAGAACTTAACGTTGGGGCATCTGAACTAACCACAAATCTATCAGATTCGTCATTTGATAAGATGGAGCTATATGAAGAGAACTCATATGGAATAGATGCTGTGGAACTAATCAAGCTACCGTGCGAACTAACCATGAATTCATCGGATTGAATAATTGATGATTTTCTGCTGTAAGCATGTGTATTATGAGGGTTGGATGTTGTGAAACTTATGAATTCAAATTCGGAAGTAACCACAGATTTTTCATGTACATCACTTGATAGAATAGTGTTGTGCATAAATGATTCGTAAATCGTTGTTGAAGTATAGCTAGCAGGAGTATATTCTGAGTTGATCATAGATTCATACGATATATTGACTGAAAACAAGCTGCTGTATGTAGATGGATATTGTGAACTTTCGCAAGCATGATCAGAACCAATGGATGACTCATTTGATTCAATAACGCACAACTCGCCACTATGTGAAGATAATTCGTAACGGTCAGAAGTTGCATAACTCTCAAAAGAATATTCTGATCTTGAATAATCACTATCTGAACTATACACAGGCTCATTCTTTGAATCATTTGATAATATAATGCTGTATGTAGATGATTCGTAAAATGGTGATGGTATAGAGCTGACGGACCAAGACGCCGTAATCTCGGATGCATCTGACTCAATAACTGAAAATATATGGTTGTATGAAGACGATTCGAAAGCGGTGAATGATGAAAAGCTAAACAAACTACTTTCTGAACTAATCGTTGATTCATGAGATTTTACAGTTGAAAATTTGAAGCTGTATGAATCTTCAGGATTGGATGATGTGGATCTTATAAAAGAAGATTCTGAGTTTGAAAACTCGCGATCTGAACTAGATACAATCTCATACTGTGAATCATTTGATGATATACTGTTGTACATAGATGATTCGTAAGCTGTTGATGAAGTAAAGTTGACGAATTGAGACACTGAAATCTCTGAGTCACTGCTTGAGGATTCGCTGCTCGACGATTCGATGCTGAGTGTAGACGATTCATATGAGTTGATTGATGAAGAACTTATGAATGCAGACTCGGAACTAACCAAACTACGTTCTGGACTAGACATCGGCTTATCCCGAGATTCGGTTGACGATATAGTGTTGTACGTAGAGGATTCGTAAGCCGCTGCTAAAGCAGAGCTTGGCAGCGCAGGTTCTAAAATGAATACAGGTACATCAGATACATTAAGGGAAAGAGAGCTAATGTAAGCAGACGATTCGTTATTCACAGATGATGTGGAACTAACAAAACTACCTTCTGAATTAATCATTGATTCATCTGATTCGATACTTGAAAAACCGAAGCTGTGTGAATAAGATTCGTTAGTAATGGATGATGAAGAATTTACTAATAAATAGTCCGAGCTAACAACAGTTTCAGTGGACTCATTACTCGATAATACTGTGATGTATGTAGATGATACGTAATGGTTGTCAGATGAAAAACTAACGAGTGAAGACTTTGTCCTAACCACAGATTCATCGGATTCAATAACCGAGAATATGGAACTATGTGTAGATGACTCGTATGGGATGGATGTGGTAAAACTTATAAATGGAGATTCAGAACTAGCCACAGAGTCGCTAGATCCTACTATGGACAATGTGATGTTCTGCGTAGACGATTTTTCATTTATGGAAACTGTAGTAATCATGAATAGAGTCTCGGAATTAATGGAACTATCTTCCAATTTAATGGACTCAGTAACTATGGATATGACACTAGGCGTATATGACTCGTGAGCTTCAAATGCTGTAGAATTTAATAATGACAATTGTGAGCTAGCTTCAGAACTTGTCTCGTCAGTTTCATTAGATAAAATTATACTGCTGTATGTATATGATTCACGTGGACTAAACGACGTAGATCTCAATGTTGAACTCATATCGGATTCATTAATATCCATAGTTGAGAATATGGCACTGTATGTAGATGTCTCGTAAGGGATATATGGTGTAGAACTTATGAATGGAAATTCTGAACTAGTCAAACTGTCTTCAACTTCATGGGAATTAGTAAATGAAGATACCTCACTATGTGCAGATGACTTGTAGGTGAAAGATTCTCTAGAGCTCTCATGTGGAGATGGTGAAATAAGAAATTCATGTTCCGAAGCAACAACTGGTTTATCAGATTCAGTAATAGAGGATGCAGTGCTGTATTTCGATGATTCGTATGGGATGGTTGATGTCGAATTGATATATCGAAATTTTGAACTACTTGCATATTCATCAGATTCAATAGATGAGAATACAGTACTGAATGAAGATGATTTGTGAAGGAGAAATGACGTTGAGCTTAAGAGCAGAGATTCTGAACCAATAAATACATCATCTGAATTGATCACAGGCTCGTCTGATACATTAGTTGAAAATGTGGTGATATATGCAGGTGAATCTTGGGAGATGGATGGCGTGGACCCTATGAATTGAGATTCTGGACCATTGAAACCATCTTGTGAAGTTAAGCTTGGTTCATGAGACTCTATAAGCAGAAATACACTACTGTCTGTATATGATTCATTATGGTAGGGTGATTTTAATCTCACAAATGAAGATTCTGAACTAAACGCAGATTCATCAAACTCCATAGTGGTTCTGTATGTAGATGACTCCTGAGGGAAGCATGTGGTCGAACTTATAAATGGAGAAACTGAACTAATGATTGACTCACCAGATATGATTGAAAATACGGCACTATGTGTATATGACGGGTAAGCTTTGGATGATGTGGAATTCAGGTACAGATATTTGAGACCAACATCATTAGCTTCCAAAGTAATTACTGATTCATCGGATTCAATGACTGAGAAGATAGTGGTATATGAGGATGACTCGCAAGGGTTGGATGATGTAGAAAATAGAAAATCTGAAGCAACTAGCTGTTCTTCTGAACTAACCATAGATTCATCAGATTCTACAATAGAAGTAGGTGATTCGTATGGGTTTATTGATGAAAGACTTCTAACTGAAAATTCGGAAGCAAAAGTATTGGAATAACTAATTACAGACCCATCAGTTTCAATCGTTGAGAATATTGTACTGTACGTATAAGGATTCGATGATGTTGAATTCACGTATGAATATTTGGGACTAATAAAACCATCCTCTGAACTAAAAGCGGCTTCATCAGATGAAACTATAGAGAACTTACCAATGTATGTAGATGATTCGTAAAGTCTTGTTAAAGTGGAAATTATTAAATGCGATGGTGAACTAGCCACGATTGTATCAGACTCCATGATGAAGATGGTATTATATGAAGATGAGTCGTTGGCAATGGATGATGTGAAACTTGCGAGCGAAGATTCTGAACTGACTATAGAATCGTCAGGTCCAATAGTTGACAGTAAGCTGATGTATGCAGATGATTCATAAGATGTGGAAAATGTAGAACTTGTCACGGATGGCTCCGCATTAATGAAATAATCTTCGGAAGCAACAACTGAATCATCGGACTCAATAACTGAAAATATAGCGCTATTTGTAGATGACCCATAAGCCAAGGATCTTGAAGGAGATCCTGAACTAGCCACTGAATCGACAGACTTCGTGGTTGATAATAGGGTGTTACGTGAAGTTGGTTCATTAGGGATAGATGATACGTAACTTATGAATGTAGGTTCTGAAATAACGAGCGATTGAAAAGATTCAATGATCGAAAATACGGTACTGTATGTGGATAATGTATAATCGCTCAATGATGTAGAATTCAGATATGGATATTTGGGACTGCTGAAACTATATTCTGAACTAATCACAGCCGTATCTGGTGTAACTATTGAGGATTTAGCGCCATATGTAGATGATTCGTAAAATATCGTTGGCGTGGAACCCATGGAACCAGAATGCGAGCTGACCACAGTTTCATCTGATTCAATGATTGAGACTATGGTGTTATATTCAGATGACTCATAAGGTATGGATAGGGATGAAATTAAGAAAGCGGATTCTGAACTGACCGAATACTCGCCAGATTCACTGGTTGAGAATTTGGTAGTGTATTCGGATGACTGGTATGGATTGATGGTTGAGAAACTTATTAGTGTAGATTCAGAACTAAGGAACTCATCTTCTGAATTGATATCTGATTCAATTGACTTATAGGATGATAATACAGAATTGTATGTGGATGACGCATATGGACTCCATGAACTAGAATTTTGGTATGGATATTTGGAACTAACCAAATCATGTTCTGAACTAACCATAGATTCATCAGATTCAATAATTGAAATTAAGCTACTGTATGTAGATGACATGTAAGGGATAGATAACGTCGAACCTATGAATGGAAGATCCGAACTTTTCTCTGTTTCATCGGGTTCAGTATTTGAATAGCTTTCATTGAATGTAGACGATTCATCAGACGTAGAAAACGTACAACTTATGCTTACCGATGCCGAATTAATGAAATCATTTTCGAATGCAATAATTGATTTAACAGACTCGCTAATTGGAGATAAAGAGTTATATGTAGACGACCAGTAAGGAATGCTTGTTGAAGAACTTATGAAAAGAAATCTTGAAATAATTTCAGTTTCGTCTGATTCCATCAGTGATGATACGGTGTTATACACAGATGATTCAACAGGGATATATAGGCTGGAATCTATGTATGAGGATTCTAAAGTAATGACCAGATCATCAGATTCTGCTACAGACGTTAAGGAGCAATGTGTAGATGAAAAGTAGGCGTCCGATGACGAGTGATTTAGGTATGGATATTTGGGACTAACAAATGTATAATCTGAAGTAACTTCAGATTCATGAGATTCCGTGATTGAGGGTATGCTACTATATGTAGATGATTCATACGGTAAGGATGATCTGGTACTTATTGAAGATTCAGAACTAGGCACAGATTCATCAGATTCAATAACTGAAATTTCGGTACTATGTGTGGATGATGTATGTGAATTGATTGATGCGGAACTAGGATATTCAGAAGTCTCCTGAGATCCATCTGATTCAATAATTGAAAAAATCGTATTATGTGAAGATGAGTCGTTGGCAATGGATGATGTGAAACTTGCGAGCGAAGATTCTGAACTGACTATAGAATCGTCAGGTCCAATAGTTGACAGTAAGCTGATGTATGCAGATGATTCATAAGATGTGGAAAATGTAGAACTTGTCACGGATGGCTCCGCATTAATGAAATAATCTTCGGAAGCAACAACTGAATCATCGGGCTCAATAACTGAAAATATAGTGCTATATGTAGACGATTCATAGTCAATTGATGATGTAGAACTTATGAAAATAGATCCTGAATTAGACAGTGGTTCGTCGTACTCCATGTTATATGAAGATGATACATAATGGATAGATGCAGTGGGACTTACTAATGGAGATTCTGAACTAATAATTCGATCATTTGATTTTATGACTGAGAATGAGCTAATAGATGATAAGTAAGGGTCCGATGATGAGTAATTTAGGTATGGATAATTGGAACTAACAAAAGCATAATCTGAAGATTCATGAGATTCCGTAATTGAGAATATGGTACTATATGTGGATGTTGCTAAGGGAACGGATGATCTGGGCTGTGAGCTAGCCACAGAATTATAAGATTCCCTTATTTCTATGCTGTATGTAGATGAGTGGTATGGATTGATGGTTGAGAAACTTATGAATGCAGATTCAGAACTAAGGAACTTATCTTCTGAATTGATATCTGATTCAATTGACTTATAGGATGATAATACAGAATTGTATGTGGATGACGCATATGGACTCCATGAACTAGAATTTTGGTATGGATATTTGGAACTAACGAAATCATGTTCTGAACTAACCATAGATTCATCAGATTCAATAATTGAAATTAAGCTACTGTATGTAGATGACATGTAAGGGATAGATAACGTCGAACCTATGAATGGAAGATCCGAACTTTTCTCTGTTTCATCAGATTCCCTGATTGAGAATTCGGCACTGGATAATGACTGGTAAGGATCGATTGATATGGAAGTTATGAGAGCAGATTCGGGATCAACTAAATCAAATTCTGAACGAGCCACAGATCCAATAGATTCAATATCTGAGGTTTCGCTATTATGTGTAGAAGACTCATAAGGTATGATTGATAAAGAACTTATGAGTGAATATTCGGAACTAATCATGGGTAGGTCAGATCCAATAGTGGCGGTACTTACGGTATCAAGAACTTCATGTATGCTAGATTTATCTTCTATATTAGATTCGACAGCAGTAGGTGTAATGAAGTTATCATCGAGTAAGAAAGATGTACTGGTAGTTATTTCTCGTATAGAATTGGTGGAAATAATTACAATAGCAGATTTAGTGTGAATAACGCCGTCTAGGTAAACACTGGTGAATGTGGTAGTGTAAGTCGTTAATGGATAAGTTGGTGTTGGGAACATTGAAATAGTAGTTATTGGTTCTCTTATAGAATTGGTGGAAATAACTACAATCCCAGAATAAGTTTCAACGAATCCATCTGTCAAAGTAGTTTCAAATGTGCTAGTGTAAGTGGTTGATGGATAAGTTGGTGATGTAAACATTGAAGTTGTGGTAGTTAATTGTTGAACCGAATTGGTGGTAACAACAACAATGCCCGAATGAGTTTCAACGTATCCATCCGTTAAAGTACTGGCAAATGTGGAAGTGAAGGTGGTATATGGTGGTGGTGAGTAGAAGGAAGTCATTGTAGTATAAGACCCTGCTGTATCAGTTGTTACAACAGCAACCCCAGAACGAGTTTTAACACTCCCATCTGTTAAAGTACTGGTATACGTAGTGGTGTAGGTCGTGTAAGGTGGTGGAGGATACAATGAAGTTTTTGTAGTATAGGATCCAACTGTATCTGTTGTTACAATAACAACTCCAGAATTGGTTTCAATTGATCCAAATGATGCAGTACTAGTATAAGTGGTAGTATAGGTTGTCTTTGGATCTAATATTGCATTTACGTTCGGATATTGCAAAGGACCGGGACATGTTTGACACACCAAGGGTCTTGAATTTGGAACTGGAGCATTATAGTAAAAAGCCCATCTATTATTCCAAGTGGTCTGATCATTTCCTGCAAAAGGTGTTCCAGTATATTGAGAATTAGAATTCCAAAGTCTGTTTATGATAGTAGTGTCATAGTCCGGACCAATGTCGAACACATATGTTATCCATTTACCAACGGCATGAACTTGTATATTAAGTAATGTTCCATCGTATACCCAAGTTGGAGGATATCCTGTACCATCAGAATTGAAAAGTATGGTATTATTGTTACCCCAACCTCTAAGTACAATTGGTTTGGGATTTACATAATTTGAGCCTGTAGTGTAGAAATCAAGAACAGATGTATTGGATGCAAGATAAACAGTTTGTTGATTAATACCATCACTATCCCAAGATTGAGCACATTGAAGTGATAAAGTACTTAATTCATCTACCACAATACAACCATTTCCTGCATACGCATTAGCTTGAAATAAAGCATTATTATGCCACAAACAAATTGTACCATTATTAATACTTGTTGGAACACTAGTATCACAATTAGCTCTAGAACCATAATATGTACTTGGTGGATTCTTTGCTAATTGATATTGAGTATATTGAATGATACCTTCATTTATTAAAAATGAACCAGTACCTTTAGGTTGAATTTGCATGGTTGCACCATCTTTTAATTGTGCACCACCCATTATGATGGTACCTTTATTATAAAATTTATTACCAAACCAATAATATGATGGACCACCTGAAGTACAATTATCATTAACTATAAAAGTACCATAATTATAAAAAGTACCGACATTGGTCCCAGACGGAGTGAACCAATAGTTGATATCCATAGTTTGTCCACCGGCACCTTTATAATAATTTGGCCAAGCCATTCCATTCGCTATATAGAAGGTACCATTATTTAAAAAATTACCATTGACATAAAAATTATAACTGGTAAGGAAAAAGTATACATTATTGTTGACAGTTAAATCACCATTTAATTGATAATTTGTATCACCTTTATTTTCCCATAAAGTACTAATATTTGCAACTAGATTTTGGGATACAATTTTATTTGTATTTTGAGGTGAAGTATAAGCGATTACTGTTCGTATTATTAACGAAATTGAGGTAGTTAAAAGGGGATTTAGTTTCATGGTTTAAAATTATTGAAATATTGAAATTGTTTCGTGATATAGGTTGATTTCATTCGCTTTTTGTTTAAAAAGTTATGAAATTAATGATATATATGTATATATATTTGAATAGGTAATATTGATACTAATTGAAAAATTATCTTGCAGTTGATATTTTACTATCATATCGGTACATTATATAATAACAATTAACTTCTATGGAAAGAATTTTGGTCATCAACCTTAAGTTTGGATTGGTTAATATAACCTTGGCAACTTTAAGTTTAACTAATATTGACTATAAGCATTAATTAGTAGATCGTTAAGCTGCAGGTAAATAACGCTACATTTGTACAGAGTTGCGAAATTAAAAAAAAATAGAACCTATGACTGTAATTCGTGTAAATCAAATGATTTTTTTTACTATGGTTAAACTATTAAAGTTAAGGTTGTCAAGTATTTAGAGCCTTATCTTCAATGGTTGATGATAAAAATAGCAACTTGGAGTAGTATTGGAATGGTTATGTAGAACTTTGTTTGGGTGATTTTAAATAAGTTTATAAAAAACAACACCAGAAGAATATTGTGATCATAATAAAGGGAACAATTGTTCTAGTCAAACAATTCAAAAGGGTTCAAGTGATGATGTATGATACCATGCATGAATTTATATCTTGTACTGGATGTTAAGAAGGATATCTACTTGAGTTCAATATATTAATCATTAGAATTAGAATATTCAAATTCTTCATTTTATACCACAAGATTATTTAAAAAAGAAATTAAAAATAGAACCCTTCAGTACTTTGTAGATCTTAGGAGTATTGTCATTCGTTGAAGTGATCAGTATCATGTGAAATAAAGTTTTATACATCGAAGTGATCAGTTCATACGAGTTAAAAGTAGAAGGTATGTTCTAGGTAACCAATTTAAAAAATCTACTGAATAGTATGGTTTTATTATTTGATATAATATGATTAATATAAATGTAGAAGTTTAACTAAGATTGATTAATTCGGAGACAAAAAATTTCAAGCCACAATTAGAGATATTATGATAATATCGTAATTATGAATCAATATGTGTTGGTAAAAATTAACTATTTTCCAAGGTAAAGTTGATAATCTTAATGACTTATCAGGCAACTTTATTTGGTGTGATAGCCAAGCAAAGATGTCAGAGAAAACGACAATCTCACTCTAAAAAGAGAATCAAGAGTAAATCTTTGCAACATTAAATTTTTTTTTCTAGTGATTAAAAAAAATAGGCATTGATGTTTAAGAAAGAATAGATATTGGTAGATATATAATCGAAGGAGTAGATATTAGTAGGGAAAACAGAGTGACTATAAGTGGATAAACATATGATTATTTATTTACAGTCAATTCAATTTGGTAGTCATTGTTTGAGAGGAGGAATTATAGATGAGACAAATTATAAGGAATAACCATCAAAGAATAAATTTTATAAATAAAACTAGTTGTAATGTAATGATCTAGAAGTATTAGTATATGAGTAATAAAATCATGATATGGAAATATTTTAAATTTTATTATATCGTACTATATATAATTAAGGATTTAAAAAGATAAATTAAAGAAAAAAAAAAAAAAAAAAAAAAACATGGGGTGTAAATGAAATAGCGCTTTAAATTTATTTTTAGACCTTTAATTAGATTCTGCCTGTATATAAAAAAAATAGGGGACGAGGGTGAACAATTACGAAAATAGAAAGAGAAAGAGATAAAGGAAAGCTCGTGACTTGCAGAACGTGACTCAATTAAATGTCAAAATTTTAAATGAAACACGGAAAGTGGAATTTTTCGGGTTGACTATCAAAAACTGTGAGCCTTAAAAAAAAAAAAAAACACTAATCTTTGATTACATAATGTCAATATATTCCGTATTGGGCAAATAGAAACATGGGGTGTTTTAGGAACCAAAGATATGGGGTGTAAATAAACCAACATTAAAAAATAGGAAAAGGAAAGAAGCCAGAAAAAATAAAATAAAATGAAGTAAAAAAGAAAAATTTGATGATACCACCCCCCACTACCACCATCATCATCATCATCATCATAATAATAATCATTGGTCATTAGTCATTGGTTATCATTAGTAGTCAATAGATTGGTAGGGTATATTATTACTTGTAGTTACACAACAGATAGATCTTATAAACCCCCTGCCCCCCACCAAAATCGTAAAACCCCTAGCCAGTTAAACATTAATTCTATTTGTAGATAAATTATCAATATCGCTAAAGCGGAACCAGTCACCGTTGAATATTTTTATTTATGAGTTTGGCTTACTTACTACTCATAATTAAAAAAAATGCTTTCATTGTTTTTTTTATTGTTGTCATTTTTCCATTCACTTCCTCCCACCACCAACCGTCCACTACCAAAAGAAAAAAAACGAGCAGAAAAAGTTCTGTGAGACTGAAAGAGAGAGAGAGAGAGAGAGAGGGAAAAAAAAAGAAAAAATATAAACCCAGTTTTCGATTTTCATCAATTTCTCTTTTAACGACAACAATTATTATTACGTTTGCTTGTTCCTGACTGTTGCACACTCAATCAATCAATCAACATCATCCTACTTAATCCAGCGATTGAGTAATCATTGTTTATCGTGGAATCGTATAACTTCAGGAATTTACTCGTTATCATCGGTGCCCGTTAGTTTCATATATATTATTGGATATATTTAAACCAACCCCATTATGTCAGTTTACACTTCCAATTCGGCTGCAGTGGCTCAACAACAGCAGCAACAGCAACAACAACAGCAGCAACAACAACAGCAACAGGTTGCGCAACAACAACAACAACAGGCTGCTCAACAACAAAGACAACAACATCAACAAAGATTGAATGAATTATTGGATGCTGTTAAACAAGAATTTGATTATGCTTTAAATGAAGCATCCAATTTTAAACAAGTGAAAGAAGATTATGACTTGAAATATAGTCAACAAACTGCTGAAATGCAACAAATTAGACAAACTGTTTATGAATTAGAAATGGCTCATAGAAAAATTAAAGAAGCTTATGAAGAAGAAATTTTAAGATTAAAAACAGAATTGGAAAATAGAGATAGACAAGTTCAGATTCAACAACAAGCTGCGGCTGTGGCTCAACAAAAATCAAATGGTTTGAATTATGGAGGTTATCAACAACAACAACAGCAGCAGCAGCAACAGCAACAGCAGCAACAACAACAACAACAACAGCAACAACAGCAGCAACAACAACAACAACAACAAATTCAGCAACAACAACAACAACAACAGCAACAACAACAGCAACAACAAGCTCCTCCACCTCCTCCACAAGCTCAAGTGATCCAACCTCAAACTCCTTCTCAACCTTTACCTCAACCTGTTAAACAATCTCCTCAAAATCAAGAAGTTAAACCAGTTACAAGAAAACAAGAAGATTCAAATGGTATAACTAGTCAAGAAACTTCAACTGCTTTAACTATTATCGATAAATCTCAATATATTGTTAATCCAACTCAAAAAGCTTTACATGTTAAAGAAATCCCTCCATTTTTATCTGATTTAGATGTTTTAAAAGCAAATCCTGACTTTAAAAAACAAAAATTAGATTATTATGTTTTATATAATCCTGCTTTTAATCGTGATTTAGATGTTGATTTAATTCATTCTTTAGATCATTCTTCAGTGGTTTGTTGTGTTCGTTTCTCAAAAGATGGTAAATACATTGCAACTGGTTGTAATAAAACAACTCAGGTCTTTAACGTTGAAACTGGTGAATTGGTTGCTAAATTAATTGATGATAATAATTCTTCAGAATCGACTGGTAATGGTGAAGTCAATAAAAATGGTGAATCAGGTGAAAATACTGATGCTTCAAATGCTGCAACTGCTTCAGGTTCTTCATCAACTGCTGCTAATGGTGATTTATATATAAGATCAGTTTGTTTTTCACCAGATGGTAAATTATTAGCTACTGGTGCTGAAGATAAATTAATTAGAATTTGGGATTTAAATACGAAAAGAATTATTAAAATTTTACGTGGCCATGAACAAGATATTTATTCATTAGATTTTTTCCCTGATGGTGATAGATTAGTTTCAGGTTCTGGTGATAGAACCGTTAGAATTTGGGATTTAAGATCATCTCAATGTTCTTTAACTCTTTCTATAGAAGATGGTGTTACTACTGTGGCTGTATCTCCTGATGGTCAATTAATTGCTGCTGGTTCTTTAGATAGAACGGTAAGAGTTTGGGATTCAACTACTGGATTTTTAGTTGAAAGATTAGATTCAGGTAATGAAAGTGGTAATGGTCATGAAGATTCTGTTTATTCTGTTGCTTTCACCATAAATGGTAAACAAATTGCTTCTGGTTCTTTAGATAGAACTGTTAAATTATGGAATTTAGAAGGTAAACAAGATCCTCAATCAAGTGGTAAAAAATCAAGTTGTGAAGTTACTTATATTGGTCATAAAGATTTTGTATTATCTGTATGTTCAACTCCAAAGAATGAATATATTCTTTCTGGTTCAAAAGATCGTGGTGTTATCTTTTGGGATCAACTTTCTGGTAATCCATTATTAATGCTTCAAGGTCATCGTAATTCTGTTATTTCAGTGGCTGTATCTTTAAATTCTCAAGGTACTGAAGGTATATTTGCTACTGGTAGTGGTGATTGTAAAGCCAGATTATGGAAATGGACTAGAAAACAATAAATAAAACAAATCCTTAAAAATTGCTACAATTAATTAACTTCAAGAGACTCTTTTAGTTTTTCCTTTTTTCGAAAATCTTTTAATATTTATATTCATTCAGTTTATTTTATTGATAATAGATAAACTACCCTCCTCCTCCCCTTCCCCTGCTTTCCTCAACATTTTCTAATTTTTTATTCGAGTTTTTATTATTCTTCCTTATTTGATTTTTCCCTTTTGTCTTTTATATATATTTTTGTATGTATTGTAATAGTATAAAACCAATTATTATTGAAAAAAAAAAAAGTTATACGACAGAATAATTTCTGAACGACGCGAAAAAAAATGAGTGTGTCGTTTTTGAAAATTTAAAAATTTTGGCGGTCAATTATTGTATGTATCTACTAGTAGACATCAAACCCAATCAACCATGACTGTCTATACTGCATCGTGTACTGCTCCGGTCAACATAGCTGTATGTATTATTTATGCCTGAGTGCTTTTAAATTGAAAAAAAATACTAACATTTACTCAATTAGACTCTTAAATATTGGGGTAAGAGAGATAAATCTTTGAATTTACCAACCAATTCATCAATTTCAGTTACATTATCCCAAAAGGATCTTCGAACTTTAACTACTGCTTCTACATCTAGTGAGTTCACTGAAGATAAGCTTTGGCTTAATGGTAAATTAGAATCGTTGGAATCTCCAAGAACAAAAGCATGTTTACAAGATTTAAGAAAATTAAGAGCTCAAGTTGAATCAAGTAATGCTGAATTACCAAAATTATCAACTTATAAATTACATATTGTTTCAGAAAATAATTTCCCTACTGCTGCTGGTTTAGCATCTTCAGCTGCTGGTTTTGCAGCTTTAGTAAGTTCCATTGCAAAATTATATAAATTACCTGAAGATATGTCTGAATTATCTAAAATTGCTAGAAAAGGTTCTGGTTCAGCTTGTAGATCCTTATTTGGAGGATTTGTGGCTTGGGAAATGGGTGAATTAACTAATGGTGAAGATTCAAAAGCAGTTGAAGTTGCTCCATTGTCTCATTGGCCAACTTTAAAAGCTGCCATTTTAGTGGTTAGTGATGATAAAAAAGATACTCCAAGTACTTCAGGAATGCAATTAACAGTTGGAACTTCTGATTTATTTCAACATCGTATAAAGGAAGTTGTTCCAGCTAGATTTGAAGAAATGAAAAAATCAATTATAGCTAAAGATTTTGAAAAATTCGGAGAATTAACTATGAAAGATTCAAATTCATTTCATGCTGTTTGTCTTGATTCTTATCCACCAATCTTTTATTTAAATGATACTTCTAAAAAAATTATAAAATTGATTCATAAATTAAATGAATTAGAAGGTAAAATCATTGCAGCTTATACATTTGATGCTGGTCCAAATGCTGTTATATATTATGATGAAGTTAATGAAAGTAAAGTTTTAGGCTTACTTCATAATTATTTTAGTAAATTAGGAGGATGGGAATCTAAAGATTTAACTAAATTAACCAAAGTTGAAATTGAAGGTACTGATGATGAAATTTATAAAGGAGTTTCTCGTATCATCTTAACTAGCATTGGTGAAGGTCCTCAAGAAACCAATGAAATCTTAACCATCTAGAGTTCTCAAAAAGAAAGAACAAACCGTCTACATTTTTTTTGCTAATTAGATAAAGTAATCAAAAATTCGTTAATATTCATAAAAACATATTTGTAAATATATTCAACAAAGTCTATATAAAGGAAACATAAAATACAAATTTAAAACAAAACCATACATAAAAAGAGAAAGCAAAAGTAATAATACTAATAAGAAGAAGAAACCACAGGAAGAACTAAAACTTGAAAAATAATAACCGGAATAACAATGTGAATAGAAAGCTTTTTAAGTGTATAAAGAAGAGTAAATCAAAGCATATCTTTGATATCTTCGATTTTTTTAATATTGACAAATTTCTTTAATTCAGAAAGTTCAGAACCACCTTTGGCAAAGTAAGCTTTCAAAGCATCATTATACCTTTTAACTAATTTTTCATAAGAATTAATTTTAATTTGTCTTTCAACTAATTGTCTTTCCATTTTACCAACATTATCTTGTAATTGAATATGAGCTTGCTTTTTTCTTTGTCTACATTTAGATGCAGCTATTCTATTTCTTTCAAGTAATCTTTCTTTTTTCCAAGCGGCAGTTCCTGGGATTGGACCGTTGTTAGTGCTGAATATAACTTCATTGTTATATATCAATTGATGATTTGGAGGTGGGACACCAGCAGCATTAGCAAGAGGATCAACTGGAACTGAAGCTTTGATTTCTTCTTGTTTAACTGGGACTATAGGGAGGGTTGAAGCGTCAGTATGAGCCAATAAAGTTTGTTGTGGTTGTTGTTGAGGTTGGAATTGTAAATGTTGTTGAAACTGTTGGTTTAATATATGAGAATCATCTTGAGTTTGATGTTGATTATGATGTTGTTGATTAAAAGTAAATTCATCATCATCAAAGAGAGGATTATTTGGATTTTCATTATCAAAAAAGGCTTCATGACTGATTATTTGACCAATTTGACCATTGGAAATCGATATTCTTCTTCTTCTTGGAACGCCTTCATTAGAATAATATGGTAACACCACAGTTGAATCAAATATTGGAGGATTTGTAACAGGATAAGCATTTATATCAAATGCATTATGGAAGGGAAATAATGAAGCGGTAGTATTTGATGATGGATGAGTAGCAGGTTCGGATTGAGAAGCTAGTTGTTGAATATTGGAGCTAGATACTGAGGTTTGAGCAGTATTTGTGGTTAAAGTATTTGAACTATTATGACTTGACATTTGACCATTTGAATTTGATGGAATCATATTATTATTTGAAGTATCAGTAGGAGATAAAACGTTAGAAGAGTTAACTAATAATAAGTTTTGACCATCAGTTGTATACTGATTTGTCATTTTATTGGAATCAAGTTGATTATCCATACTGGAATGATTAGTGTTATTGATACTACTATTATTATGAGTAGAAGCGATGATTAAATTTTTTAATTCTTCGGAGTTTGAAGATAATGGTATACTTTTAGATCTGACGAATAAGTTATCTTGATGTTGCTGTTGTTGTTGTTGAAGTTGACCTTGTTGAATCTTTTGCTGTAATTGAATCTGAGCGTGATGTTGAGAATCTTGAGATTGTTGAAGATTGCTAGTATTGAGGGATGATATATAATTCATGATATGAAGTTTGCGATTAGAATAGTTTATAGTTAGTGAGATAAGATCCTTTCTTGATTGATAAATGTTTATGTATATATATATATATATATATATTGATAAGTTTGATATAGTGATAGTTTGAAATTGAAGTCTCGAAAAGGTATTGAAATGATTTATAACTGGATATAAAACAATTTAAATATCAAACAGGGTATTACTAACACTTAATGGGAAAGGTATCACTCACACTAGATGGGTAATAACAACATATGATTACCATGAACTTGCCAAGATTTAATCCAGGCTCTGATATTCAAGTACGATGGAGAACTAAAATTAAATGATATATTTTCAATTAATTAATAATTAATTAAATTAATTTTTATTTTTTTATTATGGTGAGTTCTGTGCGTGCGGATACCTGCAGGAATCAAATGTTTTCAGTCAAATTTAATGACGGCTTCAATCATTACACATAGTTATCATCATCATCATTATTATTATTATTATTATTATTCAATATGGTTTTATCACATTTCCGGTTAAACTGAATGGTTTTCTTAGGATAAGGTATGGTTTTCAATTACGGAATGGTTAATTAGTTGTTGGGTTTAAGTAGCTGGTTGGGGTGGGGACAAATAAGAAATTGAAGATCATAGATAAGAAAAGTGCTACACCATATAACCAAGACATAAACGGATCAAGACTCTATCCGAGAAATCTTAATAGATACACAAACTCCATACGTAAGTTTAATCCTTCTATTTTTACTTCTTGATGAGATGTACTTTTATCAACCTTCTCTCTCAAAAAGAAATACCAAATATTGTTTGACATATTATAATTGTATTTTGAATGTGCCACAGGATCTACTATTGACATCTAAAAAGAAATTTGATCCGAAGAAGCTACAACCATAAGAAAACAATGGAAAAACCCTTATTCTTAACAGCTCATCATACCACTTATTTGGTTTTTGCTTCTTAAATGTAGTGCTGCTCCTTCTTTTTCTTTTTTCACATTCCCTTTTCATCTCTGTGCGGCTTGAAATTTCTTATTTAATCGATGACGACAGTCCTGTATATAGGTGTAGATGGGAGCACTGCCTTGTTTTAGATTTATCAACCGATGTTCCAAGCATGAATATACGACGGAAGTTAGAAGGCTCTATTCCGAATGGTAATGTTCATGGTATCTTACCTAGTCTTACTATCTATATGACGTAATATATGGTACGTTCTCGCGAACGATCTTTTCCTACCTTCCTTCACTAACATTGAAATCAGTTATATGTCTCAGTCAGCGAGTGAGTGAGAAGGAAACTAACTAGTAGTATGTAAGGAACTGGTTATTAAATGATTTACAGGAGAAGGTCCTACTAACCTGGGGTTAATTGTAAGAATTACCTAACCACTACTTGAAGCATGGTCTAACAAGCGATCATGACAAGTATCATATCCATAGATAGTTTATGGTTACAGAAATCTAAAATCATATTGAAAGAAGTGATAGCAACAAAAAGAGAAGAAACCTGGTTGTAAAATGTCTCTTTCTGCCATCAGATGTCGTAGCATTCAGATGTCGTCTACATGTAACAGATTTATCACAGGGCTATTTTGGGGTAAACAGATTGATTTGATTGTAGATTATCAACCAGTTACCCCAAAGTTGTTATAGATTACATATAGAAGGTTGATGACCATTATCAAACATCAATCAAATGAGTCACCAACTGCTACAACCATTGATAATACGATAACTCGTTCTGCCAAAGTTTCACAATCGATAAATGAAGAATTATATCATCTTCAATTAATTGATCAATTAAGATATGAAGTAACTAAGCACTGTCATAACGATAAGAATTTTTCGAATACATTAAATGTATTAAATCATTTTAATTCTAAATTACCCAATAAAAACTATCAATTTGATTTTATTATTGAAAATCAACGTGGTTTAAAATTATTTGGTATACCATTATTTTCAAAAAATTCATTGATTCCAATTATTGATCCATCAAATTTCCAACTTTTAAATGGTAAAACTTTATTATTGACTTATAATCAATTACAATATTATAATCTCCCTGATTTCAATTGGTCTTGGTGTTGGGATAAGTGGTATATCTTGATGTATCATGACGTTGATGATCAAGGTTGGATCTATTCGAATTTCTTTTTTTCAAACTCTATATCTGATAAATCTTGGAAAGGTAAGTATTATCATGGGAATTTTATTAGAAGAAGAATTTGGATTAAGTTGAGAAAGAAAGTTGATAATGGTAGTGATGTTGATGATGATAACGAAGAATGTAATGAAAGTATAATGGTTAATGAAAATGGTAAGAGTAAAAAGTAATATATAATAAAATTTACATAAGATTTAGACAAATTGTTTTGTAGTCCTCTTTTTTTTACAGCCAAATTTTAAATTTTTACAACACATTCATTTGTTTCCATCATAATTGATCCATAACATCAACAATCAATCAAATCAATCATGCTTGACTATTCAATCGCATTACCATTGGCTATAGCTTTGATCAGATACAAAAATAAAGAACATATCACTAAAAACAATCATAAATTAACCTATGAAAGTATGTTCTATAAACTATTTACATATTCACTATTTTAACACCACTTCCTAACTAACCTTCTAACCAGACATAATCAATCAATTGATTCAATCTTTTTCAGACAAGCATCATCAAATAATTCGTTTGAAACCAATTCCAAAGGGTAAATCAATCATTCCAATATTGAAAGAACATTACGGTATTGATTATAACTCCTATCATGATCACCAGAAACTCCTTAACGATCATCGACTCAATATTAAACAACTTTTAACCATTTTTCGATACCTCCTCAAATGGAATAATCTGTCCAAGAATAATCTGTTAATTAAGGTCTTCCTGAAAAAGATTATTCAATACTTGGAAAGATCTCCCAATAATCATAACAACGCTTTAATATCATCAATTAATGAATGTAATTTCTTTATTATTAATCATGAATCAAATTTGGATTTGCAATACATCATTTTTAAATTCAAATATCTCTATTATATCTATAAAAACTTGAATCCAAATACGAATAGGAAAATCAAATCTCTTTGTTATACCAATATGTTTAAAATTATCCTTTTCAATCGATATGATAATGATATTACTGGCTTAAAATATCCAAATCAAACAGTTCAATCAATAATTCAAAACTTTCTATCTTCATCAACGTCAATACCTATATTAGACGCCTCCAAAATCAATACAAAACTGTCTCAACTCCTTGATTATTGTTTATCATTTAATGTTCATATCATTCTAGATTTAAATCAAGGTTCTCGTGATCCATTATTGCTTAGCCTTTTGATTCTTAATAATATACCTAAATGAATTCTTTCCAACCACATAAGTTAATCCACTTAAAATAGTGGTAGCTCCTACAAGAACACTGATCCAATTGAAATATAAATCAAGATTTATCATCAATATCAGTGATTCTATAATGGGCTTGAATACCAATCCCCCAATATAAACCATTTGAATCCCAGTATTTATCTTACCTAAAAGATTAGGATGAACCGTTATAGTAGGAATTTGATTAATACTAATAAATTTATCAAAAGTTATAGGTTTTTCTAAACTTTTGTATCGATAATAAAATGACATAAAACTTAACATGACATCTCTTCCAATGATAATCAATGCAATTGATAATGGTATATGATTAATAGCAGCTAATGAAACTGTACAAACTGTCATAAGGAACTTATCGGCCAAAGGATCTATAATTGATCCCACCACCGATTTCATATTAAACCTTCTAGCAATATATCCATCTACAAAATCGGTAATACATGAATAAGTAAAAACCAGAATGGCTAAGTTGGTTTCACCTTGAACTATAAAATATCCAATGAATGGGGTCGCTATTATTCTTGTATAGGTAAGGATATTAGGTATAGTCCATAATGATGAAGAAGTATTTTCCTTTTTAATAGTTTCTAATAATGAAGTTGATTTGGGCGTTGGAACTGGAGTTGAAGATGAAGATGAAGATGATTTAGATTCAAGCTCTTTACTTAACTTAAAACTAGTTGAGAAATTGTGATTCAAGAGTATCGATGTCGATAACCTTGGAACAACATTGTTTATTCTTGTTACTCTACTAAGCACATTATACCTCGATGCAAATTGAATTGGAAGTCTGGTTCTTATAACAAACATCCTTAATTGCCTCCTGTCCTAACTTGTTCCCATCACTTCCATAATCACCTTAATTTTTTTTACGATCTTTTTGCGATAACTTTTAGAATATAAGTAAAGTGGCAAAATCAAGTAGACTAGATTCCAAGCTCAAATTATTACACTCAAGTCAAACAAATATACAGTTAACTAATAAATCTCGGTTTTCCACCCCAATTCCTAATCATATACCTTAACAATTACATTCTAAATCTTATTCTTTAAATCCCTATTACATATAATCTGAATACTGCATACAACTTCACTATATAAAAAAATTTGTGTGTTAAAAAAAAAGACAAACAAAAATTTTCAGAACGCGATTCCATCCAAAAAGAAAAATACGTTGAAATCAATTAAACACTATAAAGATCATTTATTATCTATTATCATTCAATCAAATACTCAAACATGTCACTTAAACTTCCTCAAGTGCCTAACTCAGGGTTGTTTAAACAAGGCTATCAGTCTATGTCCAATGCTGATGGTGCCATTGTCAGAAACATTGAAGCTGTTCGTGAGATTTCTACTATTCTTTTGTCTTCTATGGGACCAAGTGGAAGAAATAAAATTATTGTTAATAAATTAGGTAAAATCTTTATCACCAATGATGCTGCTACTATGCTTAATGAATTAGAAATTGTCCATCCTGTGGTCAAGATTCTTATCATGGCTTCTAAACAACAAGAGTTTGAAATGGGAGATAACACTAATTTAGTAATCATATTAGCTGGGGAATTCTTAAATATAGCAGAAAAATTATTAAATTTAGGGTTAAATGTTACTGAAATCATTCAAGGTTTTACTTTAGCTAATAAGTTTGTTTTAGAAACTTTAGATAAATTAGTGGTTGAAAAAGTTGAATCATTACTTAATGTTGACGATTTACAAAAAGCCATTAAACCTGTTATTGCTGCTAAACAATATGGTAATGAAAATTTAATCTCCAAATTTGTGGGTGATGCTGTTCAATTAATCTTAAACCCTAAGAATCCAAGATCTTTCAATATCGATAACATAAGAGTAGTTAAAATCATGGGTTCTTCTTTAAGTGAAAGTCAAATTATAAAAGGTATGGTTTTCCCAAGAGAACCAGAAGGTAGTATTAAAAACATTAAATCAAAATCAAAAGTGGTTGTTTTCACTTGTCCAATAGATATATCAACTACTGAAACTAAAGGTACGGTTTTATTACATAATGCCCAAGAAATGTTAGATTTCTCAAAAGGTGAAGAACAACAATTAGATCAAATGTGTAAAGAAATATCTGATTCTGGTATTAAAGTTGTTGTTGCTGGTTCAAGTGTTGGTGATTTAGCCTTACACTTTTTTAATAAATATAATATCTTATTATTAAAAGTTCCATCTAAATTTGATTTAAGAAGAGTTTGTCAAGTTTGTGGTGCTACTCCACTTCCTCGTTTAGGAGCTCCAATGCCAGATGAAATGGGTGATATTGATATCATTGAAACTAAAGAAATCGGTGGTGATAGAGTTACTATTTTTAGACAAGATGAATCAACTTCAAGAACCGCCACCATTATTATTAGAGGTGCTACTCAAAATTCTTTAGATGATGTTGAAAGAGCTATAGATGATGGTGTTAATGCTATCAAAGGTTTATTAAAAGATAATAGATTATTACCAGGTGCAGGTGCTGTTGAAATAGAATTAATCAAATTAATTACCAAATATGGTGAAAATACCCCCGGTTTATTACAATTAGCCATTAAAAACTTTGCTAAAGCTTTTGAAGTTATTCCAAGAGTCTTAGCTGAAACTTCTGGTTTTGATTCTTCAGAATTATTAAGTAAATTATATGCTGCTCATTCAAATGATGATGGATTAAAATTTGGTATTGATATCGATAACGATGATGTCATTGATGTTTCAACCAATGGTATCTATGATATTTTATCATGTAAGAAATCAGCTATAGACTTAGCTGTTGAAGCTACAAATACCATCTTGTCAATAGATCAAATAATTATGGCTAAGAGAGCTGGAGGTCCTCAAATTCCAAAGCAAGGTAGACCAGGGAATTGGGATCTGGAAGATTAAGTACCTATATATAGTTTATAATAGACGTAACCTTATTTTTTTTGTATATTAAACTGTCTTACCTACTTTTATAAAATTCTCTATTTCTTGAAAATCTTTATCCCCATTTTCATCTTCTACTCCTCCACTAACATCATAACCTATAATATTTTTAATTGATGTAGTATCTTTGAGATTGGTTGGATTCAAACCACCTGCCAATATGAAATTGCTAAATCCCAAATGTTCATTTATAAATACCCAATCGATAACTTTTCCTTCACCTCCAGCATCAGAATCTAATAAAGGTAAACCAACTGTCTTTAACTCGATAAATTTTTGAAATTCGATTGGCATTAATTCAGTTTGTTCTGGGATTACATATCGAGGGATGACTCCAAATTGATGTGGAATAGATTTACTATACTCTATTTTGTTTTCACTGCCATGGAGTTGTATGAAGTCCAATTGTAACTTATGAGCTATTTCTAGTACATCTTCAATAGATTGGTTTCTAAATACACCTACTAAGAATGGTCCATTGTCTATTAAAAGTTGGGAAATGATTTGGAAGTATTCCTTTGAATCTTTTACTTCAATTTGAGCTATTTGCTTTTGAATTTCTTCTATAGTTTGATACTTTCTATGTCTTGACTGTCTAGTTTGCTTAACCTTTAATGATATTTGTGCAGCAACTTCATGATCAATGGTTCTCTTTCTTTTCGGCACCAAAATCATTCCAAGTAAATCTGCCCCTGAGTCGATTGCCTTATCAGCGGCCTCTACCGTCTTGATCCCACATATCTTCACTAACTTTGTCATGTTTTGAACTGTATCCATAAGAGTCATATGTTAATTAATTTTGCTTACATTAAATTTTTATATAAAGGAAAAATAAATCTATATATGTGTTTTTCCGGCATATAACCACCACTATCAAAAATCATTATTCATTATTATCTTTCCTAAAGAACTTACCAAAGTTCTTAAAGTTTTCATTTAGTTTACTTACATGATTTTCACTATTGAGAGCCAATTCTCTTAAATTCTTTTCAAAATTATTGATTTTTGTAGGTAATATTTTTGGAGATCTAAGTTCTGGAGTAGGTGAATTCATAGTCGATACAGTTGTAGAAATAATTTGATCTTCTTCATCTTCAAGATTGAATAATAAGGGGGAATGACTTATTAAAGTACCTCCATCATCGATATTGAGTTGTAATTTGAAATTATTAATATAGGTTTGTTGACTTGTTTTATCAATATCTTTTAAATTCAAAACTTTTATAAAATTTCGAATTGATTTATCTCCAATCAATTCAAAATAACTGGCAATCATTCCTTCCATAGGGGAAGTTGGGACAAGTAATAACTTCAATAATGATTCTAAATAATGGAATTGATTGTTGACAAACTTTTGATATAATTTAGATTGATGAATTCTTGTTTCATCCAAGTTTGGATCAGCATAGATGGGGAATTCTAACGCCAAAGACTTTAAACTAGTTACATCAAGTAAGATTTGTTCAACCCCTAATATGCTTATTGGTTTAATATACCTAAGGTTATTTGTGATTGTATTAAGTAACATTTCAACCAATCTATCATTGAAATTCCTTACATAACTTTCTCTTATAACCAAAGGTAATATTATTTTTAGATTCTGCTCCACCAATACTTGTTTTAAATCAACCATATAACCTGAAACATCATTGATTGTTTCCAAGTTAGACCAATCAACATTCAAGAATTGTCTCCAACATAATTTCAGATCATTTGATATTTTAGCTAATAGATTAGTTACTGCTTTTGTAATCAATGTATAATATACATCTTTAACTTTATCTAATGAAGGAAGTTTATTTTTATACTCTTCTTTAATCACAGCTTTAAATTTATCTGATAAATCATCAATATTATTAACCATATAATCCCCTGTATTTAAAAGCATAGTTAAGTATTTTAAAGTATCAGTACCATTACTTCTTGTAAAATCATCAGCATTCTTAGGTACAAGAGGGAATAAGATTTTATTATGGAAATCATATAAATATTTGATAAACAATTTGCATAAATCTATTAAGATTTCTCCATCACTTAATCTTAAAATTTGAGTTAAAATTTTTTGAAATGTTTTAAATAATTCAGTTGATGAATTAGCAATATTTGGTACACTATTAACTTTCAATACGGTAAGCAATTCAGCATTTGTATTGACATTGAATTCAGTAGGTAATTGAGATATGGCCATGAATTCCATCATTTTTGAATTTAATAAGGTTTCTTGTTCATTAACCCATATGATTAAAGATGGTTCAAATACCAGTGAAACAAGTTGAGTGAATTCTTCTGTTTTAAAAGTATCATTTAAAGATTTCTCAAAGTCTAAAGTTGTCATTAAACCATCTAATAAAACTTTTGAATCTATTCTTGCACTTGCTGAAACTAAATTGATTAAATCTTGTTTAGTTAATTTACAAAATAATTTTGTTAATTCTAAATCAATATGCCAATCTGAAGGAAAGATTTTAATATATTTTGATCTTACTAATTTCAAAGTATTATTGAAATAAATATATCTTCGATTAAGATTATCTAATGAACCTGCTTCATCTAGATTATTAAAGATTGATTTATGTTCTTTTAATTGTAAATTATAAAACCAACTTAAAAGTTTATCTTTATATTTAACATCAATCAATTCAAGAATTTGACAACCATAAACCAATTGTTCATCATCTTGATTCGGTACTCCTGAAAACTCTTCAAAATCTATAAAAATATCATCCACTAATTTATTTTGAGTACTTATTACCATTAAATTTAATTGATTAATTTCATCAATTGATTTATAGGGTTTGAAATAGATTAATAATTCCTTTATCACACTTAAAAGCAGTAAAATTTGTTTATAATCTCGACTAGGGATGGTTTCCATTAGAGTATTGTTGGCATTGATTAACATTTGTAACCGTTTTAAGATAGTCATTGATAATACTAAATTCTTCTTATAGCGATCTAAATCTTGAATTGATTTAGTCATGGATTCAATTGATTGTTGAGTTGTGGATGCATTTGATTTGACTCGTTTGATTAATTTGATAAGATAATCTAGATTATCACTCAATTCCTTTGAATTTGATTGTTTGAATTGAACTATATCTTGGTTTATACTATCATTAAGATCATTTTTGTATTGATTTATATAGGTTAACAATTGGGGGATTTCACGTAATGATTCAGGTGAGTTGAATATCTTATATAGATTGTCATTGGGTGTATAGTCATTGACACTCATGACTAACTGACTTGATTCTATACTTGAATTGGCGCTAATGATTCAACCAACACTTACACTGTTTGGTGGTGATTAGTCCTATTTCAGTGGGATCGAAACTGAAAACAAAAATTAAAAATGGTCATGTGATCAGTCACGTTACTGAAATTAATGAATTAAAAATTTCCTTATTTAATATAATATAAAATATTAATGCAATTGAATGCCCCAAATAATAAACTAAATTAGACATATTCATATATGTCGATCAACTGTGACACTTGGATTAGATATGCTTGGAATGTATGTATGTATGTATGTATGATTTCTTTTTTTTTGTTTGCTGTCACAAGACTTCAAATTTTAACTTTCACAGCAGTAAGTTCATTCTAGGATGTAGGGGTACAGACAACCATTTATGAATATATATATCTAGATTGACAACTTAAGTGGGGTCAAAGTTAACAAATTCTTATCGGGGCCTTCAATTGTTGTCCATATTTGATAATATTTGCCAGCTATACCAAAATAATTTGAGTAGTACAAATTAGGAAACCAGAGGTAACTGAGGAGGGTATGACACTTTCATACCATTCCATCTAGGAACCTAAGGGTATTGCCTGTTTAGGCAGTGAGAGGGGTCAACCTAGTTGATATTACTTAGTTTTGATCTAATGTAGATGCAAACCATAATTATATTTCTTATACTCGACAGGGAAGTTGATCGATAATGATAATTTCCTAATTAGGAAATGGTTTTAACTATGACCAAAAAAAATAAAAATGTTAACCTTAAACGAAATAATACAACTAGAAACACATAGTATGTTTAAGTTAAGTTAAGTTCAGCTTAGTTAATGGTCCTATTTCATCAACTATGTCATTTGAAAAATAATAATTTGCCTAAATAGTTTTGTCACTTTAATATCATAATCATATATATATAAAATAAAGTGCCCTTTTGAAAATTAAAATATTTTTTTTTTTTAACGAGTATTTTTTTTTTTCCTGTTCAAATCAAAAAAAAATAGAGAGTTCGTCGTTTAATTCAACCAGATACCAGTTATCATTTAACCAAAACAGTGGGAAAACTTATCAAAAGGATAGTCTGAATTGCAATTGTGAATAGTATCTCAATTCAATTTTAATCGTCATCCAGTCCAGTCCAGTCCCCTCCGATTTTAAAAATACTGGTTCAGTTAAACAATATTTTCATATGGCTAGGTTTAGTTTAAGTAGAAAGAATAAAAACAAGAAAAAAGAAGAACCTTCACCTCCTGAATCTCCAATGACAGTTTCAAGCGTTAATCAAAGAAGGCCCCTGAATGATCTTAATCATAATCAAGTGGTGACCAATCCTGGAAGTCCTCTTATTGGCCATGAATCACCTCTCGTGTCAATTTTAAAATCCCCTCCCCCACAAAAACCAAAAATTTCAGCTACAACCCCTTGGAAAAGATTTAAATTATTTGATTCCCCTTTCCCTCGTTATCGTCATGCTGCTTCATCTATCTCAAGTGATAAAAATGAAATCTTTTTAATGGGTGGTTTAAAAGAAGGTTCCGTATTTGGTGATACTTGGAAAGTGATTCCTCAAGAAAATCATGGTGAAATTGTTTCTTATACAAGTGTTTCTATAGATATCATCAATCATAATAATCCTCCTGCTAGAGTTGGTCATTCTTCAGTATTATGTGGTAATGCATTTATAATATTCGGTGGTGATACCGTCGATACTGATTTTAATGGTTTCCCTGATAATAATTTTTATTTATTTAATATTAATAATAACAAATATACTATTCCAAGTCATATTTTAAATAAACCAAATGGAAGATATGGTCATACTGTCGGTGTTATTTCTTTAAATAACAATTCATCCCGACTTTACTTATTTGGAGGTCAATTGGAAAATGATGTATTTAATGATTTATACTATTTTGAATTAAATACTTTTAAATCTCCAAAGGCTAGATGGGAATTAGTTGAACCATTAAATAATTTCAAACCTCCACCTTTAACCAATCATTCCATGGCCGTTTATAAAACTAATGTCTATGTGTTTGGTGGTGTTTATAATAATGAAAGAGTTTCAAATGATCTTTGGAGTTATGATGCTTTAGCTAATAAATGGACTCAAATCCCAACTACCGGTAATATTCCATTACCAGTTAATGAACATTCCAGTTGTATCGTTGAAGATAAATTATATGTTTATGGTGGTAATGATTTCAAAGGGGTTATTTATAACTCTTTATATGTTTTGGATTTAAATAGTTTTGTTTGGTCCAAATTAACTGATGTTGGTGATGTTGATGGTCCAGGTCCGAGATGTGGTCATTCTATGACTTATTTACAAAAATTTAATAAATTACTTATCATGGGTGGTGATAAAAATGATTATGTCGTTGATGATCCAACTAATTTCGAAACTTATGAAAATTATAATGGTGAAGAAATTGGTACTATGATATATGAACTTGATGTTGGTATTGTGGATCATTTCTTAACTGAAACCGTGGTTGAACCACTTAAACCACCAAAGAAAGTGGCTGCTTCTGCTGCTAAAAATGTCGATAATGAAGGTTTCAAAGGATATGAAAATCATGCCAGAAGTTTTTCAGCTGGTCCAGAAGATTTCAAAACTCCAAGTGGTTCTCCACCTCCTGAAAGAGCTGAATTAAATCATAATGATGATACTGTTACCGATCCAATCGTGCCTCCAAATGATAGATTTGTTGAAGTTGATTTACCAAATACTACTATTGAAGATAGTCCAATTACTCCACAAGCTCAAGATCATCATAATCCTCTTAATGAATCTGAAATTGGTCTTGGTGTTATCGGTGGTCTTGCTGCTTTAGGTGGTGGTGCTGCTGCTTTAAATTCAAATAAACCAGCTGAAAATCCTTATCATAATGGTCATGCTTCACTTCTTGATAATTATGATTATGGAGATTCAAACGAAAATATTCAACCTGTTACTCCTCTGGATTCTCAAACTAAAGAAATTGAAAGTATTCCTGATCCAAATCTTACTCCTATGATAACTCCTCATTTAAATCAAGATGATTCTAGAATAAAACGTTTAGTGGCAGAATTAACTAATGAATTAACGCAATTAAAATCAACTACAAAAATGCAAATGCAAAATGCAACTGAAAAGATTCAAAAACTTGAACAAGAAAATGATAATCTTAGAGGTAATCATTCAAGAGATATAGAAGGATATGAAAAACAATTGAATGAAAAGAGTTTATTGATTGATGAACTTAAATCAACTATTGATCCAACTCATTTGAATGTGGATGAAAAATCTCCTGAAGGTTCTAATGTATCTGAATTAAGTAAATATAAATTAGAAAGATTGGAATTAAACAATAAATTACTTTATTTGGAACAAGAAAATTCAAAATTAAAGTCTAAATTTGAAGATTTTGAACCATTTATGAATAATCAAGTTGGTGAATTAAATAAATTCCAAAAGCTTATTAAAGCTCATGAAGAAAAAATTGCTAAACTTTCAAGTCAAACTAAAGATCAAGAATTATTAACTAAAGAAATTAATGATTGGAAACATAAATATGAGAATTTAAGTTTAGAATATGAAAATTATAAAAATATTCATAGTGAAGAAGAAATTTCTGATGATGAAGAATTTGATTCATCATTACATAATGATTCTCAATTTGATGAACCATCAAATAGATCAATTGTTAGTGCAGCAACTTCTACAGGTAGAAGATCAAAGAAAGATATTTCTAATCAATTGGAAGCTTTAGTTAATTTATGGAATTCTAAAAATCAAGCTAGAACAGTTAGAGAAAGTACCCCAGGTGAAAATCCAATTACACCTGAAAATAATCCTATTGTGGCTAAACTTCAAGAACAAGTTGATGATTTATTAAGAATTAGTAAACAAAATGATCAAGATTCTAATAGTCAAATTGGAGAATTAAAGACTCAATTACAAGATAAGCTTTCTAGTTTAAAGAGTTTTGAAGAGAATTATCGTGATGCTTTACAATCGGTTAATAATACTAGTAAAGCCTTAAAGGCAAGTCATGATGAATTAACGAATCAAAGATCACTTATGGAAAAATTGGTTAAAGAAAATAATGAATTGAAGTTGTTTAAAAAGGCTAATAAGAGAATTAGTACTAGAAATGCATCTCCAATATTTAATAATAGTCAAATTCCAGAAGTGAATGAAGAAGATGATGATGATGATGGTGAAGGTGAAGTATTCAACAGTGCTCATTATAATATGAAGATTAAAGATCTTGAAGCTGATTTGTTTGTGTTAAAACAAGAAAGAGATCTGTTGAAGGAAAATGTCACTAGCTTACAAAAGCAATTATATTTGTCAAAAAGTAGTGATTAAGTAGAAGGAGTTGTGTAGCATGACGTTGAGAGGTCAACAACAACACGAAATTCCAAAATTGTATAAAAAGTTTTAATTCATTGATATATTCTTTTATGTTTATTTTTCTTCTATTATTTTATGCGTTTTGTCTTTTAATATTTGTATTAATTATTTATGATAGACTAATTGTAGTTGATGGGTTGTTACTTGTTATTTTTTTTTTGCAGTAAAAATCGAAAGTTGTTGCAATTGACGATGTCAAAAAATGGCAACCACAAAAAAAAAAAATCTGATCATTTCGTCAAGACAATATTTTTAGACAGACCAGACCTGAAAGATCACTTCCCACTTACTCCACAAACTGGGATCATTCAAAGAGCTAAACTAAAAATAAAAATTTAACCGCCACTCCTTCCCCCTTTGTCTGTGTAGATACTTCCATTGGAGGAGAAGTAATTGATCAATCGATCCTATCATCGACCTCTCATTATCAACGACGTGTGATATCCCTCATTCAATTACATCAATGAATAAACTTAACGAAAAGATTACTAGTTTAAGAGAGATTTCTGAATCCAAAAAGACCACTTATTATGAATTGAAACAAGTTTTTGATACTAAATCCCATGAAATCACGGAAAAGGAATATAAAATCAAAGCTTTAACTACTCAGAATGATTTCTTAACTACAAGATTAGAAACTCAAATGAATAATATGAATCAAGCCATGGAGAATTTATCCATTAATAATACAAAGATTAATGATTTTGATTCAACCATTAAAGAATTAACTTCTACCATTGAATCAATCGAATCAAAATATGATGAATTGATCCTTAGGTATGATGAAGTTCAAGAAGAATTAAGAAATATTAGCCAATTATTAGAAGGTTCATAATACATATATTATCACATCGTCTCTCACTCTGTTGCTTTACAAAAAATGATTTTGCTATATAATAAAAAAAAAGCTAACTATATAGATTTAATACAACATATCATGTCATGACATTTTTTTTCTCTTTTTTTAATATTAGTTGATAACATCTTGAGTTTCATTATTAGTACCCGTACTAACTTGATTGTTATTGGTGTTTTCAACTAAAAGTCTATCATTATTAACTGATTCATAATTTGGTACATAATCAATCGTACTATATTGATCACCATGATCAATATTATTATTCTCATGATTATTATTGTTGCTAAGACCAAGCTCAGCACCAGGATCATGATATAAATCAACACTACCATTATCATCAACTTCATCATTACTTAATTGGGATCTTAATCCTTGAACCCCACCAATGGTTCGATGATTATTTAAAAGACTTTCATCACTAGTACTTAAGCCAGGTGGCATTTGACCACCTTCATATGAAAAAAATTGAAATTGCAGATCTTGAATTACAGGGGGTAATTGATCATTAGTTGGATGTGAGTTCAGTGATTGGGGTATTTGTTCAATATTGTCCTGGTGAGGTTGTGATTGTGATTGTGATTGAGTTGGTAAAGTCTCATCATCCATTGGTGGGGCAGAAGGTAATAAACTTTCTTCATGCGCTCTCATTCGAGCCTTCTCCGATAACTCCGAAGATAATTGTTGTTGATCAAATTCATTTGGTGGTGGTTGAGATTGTAATTCATTATAATCAGGAATAGAGGCGAACGTGGAACCGAAATTAACATCATTTTCAAAATATGGTGGTGATTGGAAAGTATTCATTGCCATGGTTTCCGGAATTGGATTAATATAAGTTGAATTAGCACTAGCAACTGCTCCTTGAGAATTACTTGGTTGAACACCTTGATTGGTTGGACTATTGGTAGTGGTTGCAACTGACGTTAGACCTCCTGATCCTAAGGTAGAATTACTTACTGTGGTTCTAATTGGTGATGCTAATGGTGGTGGTGGTGGCGGTGGATAAGTAGAAGAATGTAATTGAATTGATTGAGGATATAAATTAGATGATTGATTAAGGTTTGGTGATGGAGAACTACCAGGATGATTAAACATACCAGGAGGTGAATTATTTGACATTGATGATGATGATCTTCTTGATATTGAATTTGGTAATTGAAGTTCATTATGAGGAATGTTATTAATATTATTATTATTATTATCAATCACATCTTGAGATAACAGACGATGAGTTCCAATTATAATTTCTGTAGTTAATTGTAAAAACTTTTTCAGTCTCTTAAATTTATCAGTATTTATAAATCCTGATCTTTCATTATGATGTTGAGATGATAAAGTTGCTGAATTATGAAAATTGAAATTAAATTTTGAACTTGAATCTGAATTTCCAAGAATAGTATTTGGATTAGGTATGATTGAACCATTCATACCATTTGAATTCAATATTTGATGATCATTAACATTATTTCCGTTTGAATTATCATTATTGGGTGAATGTCTATCAGTTGAAATTCCTTCACTATCTAAACTAAGAGATTTTCCAGATAAATTAATTAAAACTTCAATAAAATATTGAAATGAAACTAATGGACAACCAACAATACTTGGGAATGAATCAGCCGGGACTCTAACACTTGTATTAATTTCTGATTGGAAAGTAACAGGATCAACATATAACGGTATTATCAGTTGTTGTAAATCTTTTCTAAATGATTCATAAAATGTATCAGGACCATTATCCAATCTACAAACCCTTACAAATGTAATTATTATACCATTCAAATCTTGAATCTTCTTTAAATGACTAATAGAAAGTTTGATGGGGATTAATTCACCTCTTAAATACCCTCGTTGTGGAACTTCTAATGATACTTTAATGGTGACTGGTTTTTGGAAACTTGAATTAAGGGTATTTCCAGTACTATTTATAGTCATGGCTGATGAAGTTAAAGTGGTATTATTATTATTGGTAGTGGTAGTGGTAGTGGTTGATGTCATACTAGGACCATTACTATTATTGGTATTATTACTTCCATTATTATTGATCATGGAACTATTATTGTTAGTATTATTTATAGTTGTTGCATCACCATTTGAATCTGAATTATTAGAAGAAATGGTACTAAATGTATTTATGGTAGAAGTTGAAGATTGAGTTCGTGATAGTTTCTTTGTGGCTGATGATCTTGGATCTTTTAAGATTAAACGTTTTGGTTTGGGAGATGGTAAAGATGTTACATCAATGGGATTTACAATGTTTATAATTTTCTCTGAAGAATATGATGGATTATGAAGTATTTTCAAATTTTTAGTTTTTGAGATTAGATTGTTTGATGAAGTGGTTGAAGTTGTATCAGGAGGAGTATTTGGATTTGAAGAATTTGAATGAATACTAGTTAAACTATTAGTTGGAAGTGAAGGAGAAAGATTTGATTGAAAGATATAATTTGATGAATTTCCAATTGAAGCTCTTAATACATAAGTAATAGATCCTTTTCCAAAATCAATTGATGTAAAGATTCTTTTATTTGGTAATTTGACAATAAAGGGGAAAACATGTTCACCTTTTGATAAACCATTATTAATATCAGTTTGAGAATTATCAGATGGACTGTTATTATTACTATTATTTCCACCAAATATTTTAATAGTATGATCAAATAAAGTATGTTTAATAGGTCTTAATTTTGAATGAGATAAATTTAATTTAACATAACCAATTAATGATAAAGTGATAACAATATTTACTAAATTTTTCTTTGAAATTAAAATAATTTGACCTGGTACTTCATCACCTGGTAGCCAAGTTTTATGAGGTTGATCCAATTGAATATAAAATTCATCAACCGAATTGAAATCTATTTTAAGGTTTGATGATATGGATGCAAATGAATTTTCTATACTATTATTGATAGAATTTTTATTATTATTATTGTTTGAGTTATTTGAGTTATTGTTATTATTGGTATTATTGAATGTAGATGAAGGATTATTTGAGTTACTAGACAGTAGGAATTTCGAACTAGGTATTATTTTAGATACAGCTCGTCTCATTATTTAGATAACATTTATAGATAATTGAAAACTTGAAGTAAAGAAGGTGAAAAAGTCGGAATGGGAAAAATTGCTGATAAATAACTATGAACAGGGTCTATTAAAGGCGGGAAAACACAATAGAAATAAAACTAAAGAATACGGGAACCAGGAACTGAAATGGAAGGGAAGGAAAGGAAAGGGTGGATGGATGGATTTGCTATTGATTGAGATAGATTCAACTCAAACTTAGACTTGTACTACTTGATTATGATTTGATTTAAGTTAAAATAGTACGGGAACTGAGGGAAATGAGTGGTAAAAACTAAAAAGATAGTTTTAAACGCTCAAAAAGGTGGAGGGGAACGGGATAATGAATGATTGAATGGAACTAAATGATAGTTAAATAGATGGATAGGTCGATGATATAAATAACTGTAAATGTAAAAAAAGAATGAAGTAAAAGACGACGAAGACGAACAACGATATGGGATAAGTTTTTAGCTTAGTTTATATTTATAAATATGAATAATATAAATTTTAAGTGTAAGCCAGGTTTTAATAATATGAAGGTTGTGTGCAGGAGTAGCAGAGGATCAAAACTACCGTCTTGGGACGGCAGAGAAGATTCTGCAACCGGAATTCGGAATCTGTACAGTAGGTGCCGCAGTTGCATTTATGTGATACCTTTAAATTGATTGAATGATAATTGATCCAAGATATAATTTTAATTGAGTTTGTGGTGATGTTGTACAGTATAATTATGATGAAAGGAGTAAGTATTTTCATAATTTCTGATACCTAGTAATTGCCTCAAGAAATGAAACAATGAAAGGTTTTATAATATCGACACAGTTTACGACGTGTTAGTTTTTATTCATTTATTTGCATAGATGGCAATGACACTAAAAAAAACTTCCCTAATTGTTCTTCTAATATAGAACAAATCTGCCAGATCTTTAACAATGATATTTATTTCATCTACAATACAATATACTAACTTAGTTAGTACGATTTAAAATCATATTTTTCTTGGTACTATTGAATATACTGACCCTCGATAGGAAAAATATCATGCAGACCGTATTTGGTGCCTGCCCCGGTATGTAGGTAAGAAAAATCTCGGAAGACGAAAAATATAAAAAAAAGAACTCAAAGTGCACACAAAAAAAAACATTAATGAAATTGAAAATTGAAATTGGGGAGAAACTCACTGAACCCACAAAGACGGAAAGGAAATTAATTAAATTCTTTTTGGTTTTTTTTTACTGACACTGAGGCAAATTTAGGGAATCAAACTGTCACTAAATTTTTCTTCATTTTTTATTTTTTAGTGAAGAGAGAGCTAAGAGATAATTAGTGACCAATGATTAAAAATAAAATTTACTTACTAATTTAGAGTTATATGGAAACATTTATGGTTGGAATTTAGATAGGGGCCCACAACAGATTTTCTCTTTGTCTTATCTTCATATTATATCAATCAGTCACTCAGTCAAATTCCTCTCATGTTTCACGTAACATTAATAATCATAATGTTAATAAACTATTACACTGAATTAATTGGTTGTTTGCTGTTCAACAAGTAGGCTTATAATCATAAAACTCAGACATTTTTTTTTTTTTTTTTTTTTTTTTTTGAATTGTCGTTGTCGTTGTCGTTGGCAGTAGTGAGAGCGCTATTTGCATATTCGGTCACTAACTATATTTAGAATCATCTTTTTCTGATCTACGGTCTTTTTTTTTTTCTTTTCTTCTTTTCTTTCCTTTTTCGATAATCGTACAATCGTTTAACCCTGAATTGGTTGATTTGATTTATGGTCATATTATTTATATAATCAACGACAAACATATTGAGATTCCGTTATCTGGTAATCATATGTATATATATATCGCTTACGAAGAATGATAAATAGTATACTACATATAGTTTTTTAGTTTGACACATTATTAAGAAAAACAAAATAGAGCGACCAACCCTAATTACAGGTCGGTCCCGCATTTTCAATCCCATAAATACACCCTAACAATGACACCTTTCCCCCTGTATAAAAAATAGCTTAATTTGATTTATATTGAAGTTACCACTAATGACATTCTAATTTGACATCATCTATTTACCTCGTTGTCAATTTTTATTTTATTTCATTTCATTTTTATTCATCGTCTTACAGTAATGAAAAGGTGTTCTCTCCCCACGATAAAGAAAATGAACTTTAATATGCCGTAATCACACATCCTCTCACCACAGACTTTTTTTTCTATTCCGGTATTTTTTTTTTTTTCTAATTTATTCCCCTAAACTCAAATATTATCTGTTTTAGGACAGACTTACTTACTGTTAGGTACGGCTCATGATCGCCGTAAAATATCAACCTATTTCTGTTACTTTTCAGACCTCAAATATCATCAACTAGTTTTAACAGCTAATCCATATCACATATGTATGTACAATACGGCTATTAAGGATATACACATAGATGTACTTCGTTGAATACTTACATACCCACCCAACCTCAACAATAAATCTATAAATAAATTTTAACCCTCTTTTCATTCAAAGTTGCTATTTTTATTAAAGCTAAGCCTAGTTAATATCCCACTAATCTAATTTGTCATTCATCCCCCTAATTTTCAACTCTATAATCAACTACAGCTACTTTTATTCTATCTAATCATACTCCGGAAATCTGTCTTTCATTATAACATCTTAATATCATGTCCCATTAATTCCGAAGTTGGTATTTTTATTTTCAAAAATCATCGTTAAAATAATTTTATTCTTCCCTTGTCTTCTTTGCTCCACTTTTTTGTTTTTTTCTATGTCTAATCGCTAATTAAAGTTTATTATTCCTAAAGGGTGATAAACCTCCTCTTCTGTTAATAATAAAACCATAAAGCCAAACAATAAGGATCTACTAACGTACAAAGTCATAATATCTGGTAATATTTTCTTACCATGTAAAAATATCTCTTTGCTTCTAGACACTTTTTGTAAATCCATCTCAATCTATCTATCAGATTACCCTTTTCTTACCTTAATTTACCGGTCCATTTACTGATTATCAATCCATTTTACATTCTAGAAATGGAATTTCTCTGCTTTTGTGTGATGGTTATCGTTTCAAACGAAACCATCGCCAGCAATCGAATTAAGTTAAATTGCTATGTCAGTCCAATTAAAATTAAGGTGCTATATGTAGCCTTATTTTCTTGCTTGTTACAGTTTTTTTTATTTGTGAGTGGTTTTTCTTGTAAAAAATCTGTATACTCTAAAACTTTAAATCTTAAATTCGGTCTGTTTTTAATAATAAAATATTTATAATAATGTTTATTCATTTGTGATACTATTGTACAATCTATATAATTATATTTGATATATTAATGGTTTATCATGGTTTGGTAAGGCACGGCACAACACAACAAAAATACAACACGTTTAATATAATATCGTGTTATTCCTTTACCTTCTCCACTATTCCCCAATTCAAATATCGGTTAAAAATTATATGGTCTTTTAAATTTTCTTAATGTTATTTTGTGATTTCTTCTCCCTATCTCTCTTCCCCGGTTATATATAATATGCAAAATGGTTGGTTGAAAAATTTAAATGATTATTTAATCAAAGGTTTTTTTAGTACCTTTAAATTCATTTGATGGTCTTGGTGAAAATGATTCTGGTCTTGGAGAAAATGATCTTTCTCTACCACCGAATCCACCTCTTCCACCTCTATCACCACCAAAACCACCTCTACCACCTCTGTTACCACCGAATCCACCTCTACTGTTATTGTTACTTCCAGTGTTTTCTCTTGGAGTGGAGAAATCTAATCTACATGGTCTACCATCAAGCATTTCACCATTTAAGGCTTCTAAAGCAGCTTTAGCTTCATCAACACTTGAATATTGAACATAACCAAAACCTTTTGGTTGTTGAGTATCTGGATGAGTTGGAATACGACATGAAATAACACTACCATATTGACCAAAAATTTCAAATAAATTATCTCTTTGAGCATTGAATGATAAGTTACCAATGAATAAAGTATCAGATGGTTGAGATGGAGTATCACCATATTGTTTAGCTCTATCATTTGATTTAGTAGCATGTGGTTTACCAGTTGACATATCTAAATTAATTGGTCTTCCATCAATTTCTTTACCTTGATAATCTTGTAAAGCCTTTTCAGCAGCAGATTTACTATCAAAATCAACGTAACCGTAACCTCTGGATTTACCAGTGGATCTTTCCATAATAACTCTGGCACCAATAACACCACCATTAGCTTCAAATTCTCTCTTTAACCAATCATCATCAATATTCCATGATAATCTACCAACGAATAAAGTAGCTGGTTCTTCTTCAACCTTGGATTTTTTGATTGGTTGTTCTTCTTCTTCTTCATCATCTTCTTCAACCTTACGTTTATTAGATTTTTCTTCTTTTTCTTCTTCTTCTTCGTCATCAGAAGATTCATCATCAGAATCAGAATCGGAATCAGAGGAATCAGAGTCAGAATCAGCTTTAGCTTCTTCTTTCTTGGTTTCTTTCTTGGTTTCTTCTTCTTCATCGTCTGAATCGGAATCAGAATCAGAATCAGAATCATCAGAAGATTCTTCATCAGAGGATTCATCTTTCTTTTCAACCTTCTTTTCAACCTTCTTTACTTCTTCTTCTTCGTCAGAAGAATCGGAATCAGAGTCTGAGTCTGAATCTGAATCATCAGAAGATTCTTCATCAGAGGATTCTTCTTTCTTTTCAACCTTCTTTTCAGTCTTCTTTTCAACTTTCTTCACTTCTTCTTCTTCATCTGAAGAATCAGAATCTGAACTTTCTTCTTCAGATGAACTTTCTTCTTCAGAGGATGAGCTTTCTTCTTCAGAAGAAGATTCTACCTTCTTGGCAACAACCTTTTTAGATTCCTTCTTGGATTCCTTCTTAGCAACCTTGGTTGAACTTTTAGATGATGATTTAGCCATTATTGATTAATATCTTCCTTTATTATAATAACTTAAATTGAAAAAAAGAATTAGTATAATTATATAGAAATAATTTTTTTTTTTTTCAGAATTTTTTTGCGATGCTATAACGCTATAATTTTTCATAACAAAAAGGGAGCTACATCCATCGCATCCATACCTCTATTTAATCTATCTCGTGACATTTATCATCATTCCCCCAGAAAATGGAATAAATTGGTTATATCTGCCCTTAAAAGAGATCAAATTCAGGATAAGTGAATCAAAAAGTTTTATAACTGATCTAATCTTATTTAATTTAAGTTACATCCTAAATTTTGTTTAATATAAGAAGCATTCTATGTTTTTCTGTGAATATTTTAGTCAGATTTTAGCATTTGTACTAGTGAAAATATGATTATTTTGTTTAGATTGGATATAATTTGAATTATGAGATTAGAAAGAAATATTAGAGAAGTCTAGACAAGAAGTTCATATTCCTGATTCATTTCAGCACAATGAATATGAAATATTTACAATGCTATGTTTAATAGATATGTATTTCTATAAGAGAATGTGACTGCAAAATTTTGGTTGCAGCACTTGTAAGTTCCTTTCTATGTACTCTGAACATATTTACACCACTAGTATTTTATTGAACTACTTGTCTAATTTATAGTCTGTGTCACGAGTAATAATCTTAGTTAATCTCTTAGATCTTATAGAAAATGGAAGAAACCTTGATTGAAGATTTGTTCCACTTAGATAGAATTCATACACATTTTCTGGGAAATAGAAATCATCTGGAATGCTAGTGACTGGACAGAGAGAAACATCAATTTTAAGAAGATTATTGGTATATATTCTCCCTTCTTCTTTGAAAAGTGAAATATTCAAATCATTAATTTGATTTGCTCGTAAGGTTAGGTAGTTTAAAGTTGGGGGTGGTAACCAATCGATTATTGAGGATTGAGTTATTGAATTATTCGCTAGTGATAAGTATCGTAAATGTGTCAACTGTTGCCAATCTTTATTTAAATTGGGATTGTTATAATCAGTTATACTTTCTATAATATTATTGTCTAAATTCAAGTGAATCAATGAATCTGGTAATACCCAATCACTTAATGATGTCAAATCTATTGACAATTCCAATCTTTTCAATCTTTGAGGAATCTTTTCGCTATTAAATTCTTGAGGAAAAACAACTTTTAATAATGTTAAATCTAGCAAAGATTCTGGAAATATTTCAATATTCAAATTAATGTCATTAAAAGATTTTAACAGGGATATTAGTAAAAATTCCAAACTATTAGGTAAATCACTTATAATACAATCTCTGCCATAATTATTCTCCATTGTTAATGATTTTAATGTATTTGGCCAATTTGAAAAAGTCTGGTTATGCTTATACATAGTATTTGCAATCTTAATAGATTTCAAATTAGGTGAAAATCTAATTTCTTGGACCAGATCTTCGAATCTGCTACTACTGAAAGTAAGATTCTCCAATGAATCAGGTAATTTTAAATATTGAATATCTACATCAATAAATGACAATGATTTCAAATGATTTAAATTATTAAAGAAAGGAAGCTCCTTAGCATTAGTAAGTCTCATAAAAGTAACAGTGTTTGGCAAACATTCATAAATAGTAAACAACAGTCTAGGACGTCCCAACTTATTCGAAAATTTCTTTAACTCTTCTAAATCATCTCTTGTATCAATCTTGAATTTAACTAATACTTCTCTGGCAGATGCCAGATACTTCTTTAATGAAAAACAAATTTGAAATAATGTTAATTTTTCTAATAAAAGCTTCTTAATAGAAATCCTTGCTCTCGGTATGGGACATAAATCGATACGTAATGAGATTTTTATATCATCAATTGAATTTATCCTATTTGAGTTTTCAAATAAATAATTTGTTATCTCCTCAATATTTCCTTGGATATGAAGACTTCTAGGTAGGTTATTCTTTAAAATGTTTGGCCATCTATCTAACATTATTCCATGATCGCAAAATCTAAATAGTTCATATGGTTTGTACGGTTCACCTAATACTACTCCAATACGCATCAATTGATTTGGTTCAGGAGGTTCATCTTTCCGTATAAAAACATCTTTGCATAATTAGTAGCAAACGGCTGGTTCAAATGCATTTACTTGTATCAACAATTTTATTTTGCTATAAGGAATCAATTGAATAATACGATGTATGATATCATATGGTAACGCTGTGAAGTAATTTCTAATGAATTGTCCTTCATAATCCATCTTGATGAGTATAGAACATTAAGAAATCTTGTATTATCTCATAATTGAATTAAAAAGTTCCTTTAAGTATTCTGCTGATGATAGTGAATATTTCTAAATTTAGACCCTCATTTTTGATTTAACTTGGTAGCCCCTTTCAAAAGTGGGGAATGATAATTTTCTTTCTTTGTGTCAATCACGTGTTTTAAATTTTGATAAAGAAAAAAAATATTTTTTCTCCTCTCCTCTCAGGTGAGGTTTAAATTGTATGACGAAAAGAAAAAAAGTGTTATGACGGACCTTCACCGGTCCTGTATAGGTGGGGATTTTTCAATTATTTTATTATGATTCATAACTTGTTCATTAATTTTAAAATATAATCAACAACTTTAACTACTAGTGTTCTTCTTTGATTAGGATTCACTATTATACATCCAAATCGATAATATGTTTAAACCATCATTTAGACTTTTTCAAAAAGTGGCAGCTAATCTGGGGAGAATACCTCCAGTGAAGTTAGCTTATAAGAATATGTTAAAAGATCCATCAAAGAAATATTCTGCTTTTAAAGGTGTTGCTTTACCTAATAGAACTTGGCCCAATAAATCCATAACTAAAGCTCCAAGATGGTTATCTACTGATTTAAGAGATGGTAATCAATCTTTACCTGATCCAATGTCAGTTGAAGAGAAGAAGGAATATTTTCATAAATTAATTGAAATTGGATTTAAAGAAATTGAAGTTTCATTCCCATCTGCATCACAAACTGATTTTGATTTTACTAGATATGCGGTTGAAAATGCTCCCGAAGATATTTCTATTCAAGTTTTAACTCAATCAAGAGAACCATTAATTAGAAGAACAGTTGAATCTGTGAAAGGAGCTAAAAAGGCCACTATTCATACTTATTTAGCTACTTCTGATGTTTTCCGTGATGTGGTATTCAATATGACACAAGAAGATGCTATTGCTAAAGCTATTGAAACCACTAAATTAGTTAGATCCTTAACTAAAGATGATCCAACCATGCAAGAAACGGAATGGACTTTAGAATTTTCACCAGAATGTTTTTCAGATACTCCAACTCAATTTGCAGTTGAAATTTGTGAAGCAGTTAAGAATGTTTGGCAACCAACGGAAAAGACTCCCTTAATTTTTAATTTACCTGCTACAGTTGAAGTATCATCACCTAATGTTTATGCTGATCAAATTGAATATTTCTGTAATCATATAACTGAACGTGAAAAAATCTGTGTTTCAGTTCATTGTCATAATGATCGTGGATGTGGGGTTGCAGCTACTGAATTAGGATTATTAGCTGGGGCTGATAGAGTTGAAGGATGTCTTTTTGGTAATGGTGAAAGAACTGGTAATGTTGATTTAGTTACTGTTGCTCTTAATATGTATACTAATGGAGTTTCACCTGAATTAGATTTTTCAGATATTGAAAGTGTGATAGATGTTAGTGAAAGATGTAATAAAATCCCAGTTCATGCTAGAGCTCCATATGGAGGACCATTAGTGGTTAGTGCATTTAGTGGATCACATCAAGATGCTATTAAAAAGGGGTTCCAAAAGCAAGAAGAAAGACAAGATCCAAAATGGGCTATACCATATTTACCATTAGATCCCAAAGATATTGGAAGATCCTATGAAGCTGTTATTAGAGTTAATTCTCAATCAGGTAAAGGAGGAGCGGCATGGGTTATTTTAAGAACATTAGGATTAGATTTACCCAGACAATTACAAGTTTCATTTTCAAGTATAGTACAAAATAAAGCTGATTCATTAGGTAGAGAATTAAAATCGGAAGAAATTAATCAATTATTTAAAGCCGAATATTTCATTAATAATCCAATTACCTTAAAAGATTTTGAAATTACCAAGAATAAATCGAATAATGATCGTCAAATCTATGCTATTTTAAATAATAAACAAAATCAACAATTAATTAATATTAAAGGTCAAGGTAATGGACCAATTTCGTCATTTATAAATGCTATTTCAAATCAATTTGGAATTTTATTTGAAGTTATAAATTATTCCGAACATAGTTTAGGTAGTGGAACTCAAGCTCAAGCTGCTACCTATATTGAATTAGGATATGTTAATTCTAGTGGTAACAATGTTAAAGCATGGGGATGTGGTATTAATTCTGATGTATCGCAAGCCTCTATTGAAGCTATTCTTTCTGTTGTTAACTCATTGATTGAGAGCAAAGAAATTAAGGTGTAGGTGTAGGTATAGTTGTTGTTGTTGTTGTTAATGTTTTTTATAGTTAGTTGGTTTAATTAGTTAAGTGTGTTTTAAAAAGTAATAATAAAAGTTTAAAGTTTTATCCTATTAGAGTTGTAGTAATTGGTATCTATAGTTATGGTTAGATCTTGCATAGGTTTGATTTGGTCTCTTTTTGCAATCTAACGTTATCTATGAGAAAAACATCACTAGGGCTCCAGCCCCCACCCACCACCAGATCACATGATCGCTTCGTCACTTTATATACAGTCGCCATACATTATAATTTTGACCTTCGCACTCCCACTCACTCACACTTCACTTCACTTCACTGTCAAACAAAATGAATTGTCACTCTCTCACTAATTTCTCACTGTCCCATAGTAAACTTCTATAGTGAGTGAGTGCTTCCCTTTACAGTGTGTGGTTTGTGAAAAAAAAGTTTTCTCTTCTTCAATTTCTTTAATATTAAAAAAATTAAATTATTATTTTCTTTTCTCTTCTTAAGGTAATCAATCCATTCAACCATATAATATACAATGTCTACCTTTGAACCAGTTGTTGTTATTGACGGTAAAGGTCATTTATTAGGTCGTTTAGCTTCTATTGTTGCCAAACAATTATTAAATGGTCAAAAAGTTGTCGTTGTTAGAGCCGAAGAATTAAACATTTCAGGTGAATTTTTCAGAAACAAATTAAAGTTTCATGATTATTTAAGAAAATCTACTAGATTCAACAAAACTCATGGTCCATTCCATTTCAGAGCTCCTTCAAGAATCTTTTACAAAGCTTTAAGAGGTATGATTCCTCATAAAACTGCCAGAGGTAAGGCTGCTTTAGAAAGACTTAAGGTTTTCGAAGGTGTTCCACCTCCATATGATAAAAAGAAGAGAGTTGTTGTTCCTCAAGCTTTAAGAGTTTTAAGATTGAAACCAGGTAGAAAATATACTACTGTTGGTAAATTATCTTCTGCTGTTGGTTGGAAATACGAATCTGTTGTTGATAAATTAGAAGAAAAGAGAAAATTACAAGGTGCTGAATATTACGCTAAGAAGAAGGCTTTAACTAAAAAACTTAATGCTGCTAAAGCTTCTACTGCTGAATCTGAAGCTGCTCAACAATTAGCTGCTTTTGGTTATTAAATGTATCATCATTCAACTCATCTCACCAAACCATAATTAAATTCGAAATTTTATTCATTATTTCATTTCAAATATCTTCAAAATCAAATCAAATTATAATAATATTTCCTAAATTTTTATAAACAACAACAACAAATATCACAATCAATCACATTAAATGGATGGGATTTACTTGACAAAATTCTTACCCATAAATAAATAAAGTCAAGTTCAAATCCTTTTTCACCTCACCCTTCATTCTCCCATCATAAAATGTATTGTTTGCAATTAATTTTAGTCAATCAATATATCCTTCCTTTTTTTTACTTTATATATTAATTACTATAAAACTTATATATATTAAAAAAAGAAAAAAAAAATAAACGAAACGGTTATAAACTATTAAAAGTACTTAATTGTAGTTATTGTAAATGGGAAGAGTTCCATTAGGACAGATAGACATACCGAAATTTTTTTCTTTTCTGTCTTATGTCGCAGAATTCTCAATTATGTCGAAAACGTTATGTCATAAAAAACTTCTTGACAAAGCTTGAATCTACAAACAAAACGAAATATAAACCCGATTCATTATACATTAAAAAATTACCACTACTATAAAAATACAAAATTATATATATATAGATCTATCTATACATACAGGGTCAAATACATCAAGTATTACCACCCAAAAATGCCAGCATTAAGAGAAAAGATAATAGGAAAACCCCCTACTTTTAGGTGAATATTCTTTTTAACGAGAATTTAAACTTTTTCAGTTTTGAAGGTTTAGAAGATTTTGCAGTTGTTGAAATTGATGCCGATGAAGATAATGAAGAATCAACTGATTGAACTGAAGATGTGGTTGTGATATAATCTTTTGAAATAGTAGTTGTAGTACTACTGCTTTCAATCGATGAATGTTTGATTTTCTTAACTAACATATTAACCACTGATTTTGAAAATTTATGTTTATTCTTATTGGAAATATGTAATGATTCACAAAGATAATTATCAATATTAAAATATCGATAAACATTAGTGGCCGAACTTGATTGATTCTGATTCAATACACTTAATAAAAACGTATTAAATTGATTTAATTTTAATTTATTCAAATAAACTAAATTTATATTGGAATGATTGAATTTTAAACATTTCCCAAGATGGAAAAGATTAAATTGATTAATATAAGCAATATTATCAAATGAAAACAAAGTTAATTGATTATAATATAAATAGATGATTAAATGATTGATGGTTAAATCTTTAGTATCGATTTGATATTGTTCACCATGATTATATAAAAAGGTATTAATTAAATTTATGATGGAAGATAATTTAATCACAATTTGATTATTTTCATTATGAATTAATGTAATTTCTTGTTCAGTGGTTGTGGTTGGTTCAATATGATTATTTACAATCACGCTATTGGAAGATAATTTTGATCTTGAATGTAAAAAAGTTTCAATTAATTGTTGATGAAATTGTTTTTCATCAAAATTGGAGTAAAGGATAGATTGAAGATTATTGGATGATGGTTGGGATTGATTATAATAATTAGTTTCTGATATAGTAACACATGAATCACAAGGAGATAATAAATTGGTGGGAGATACGTATAAACTATCTTGTTGTGGTGGTGGTTGTTGTGTAACTGTTGTCATGTTGAAATAGTAGACGCGATCTCAGTTATATAGATTATAAGTAACAGTAAGATATAAGTATTAACTAAATAGTCATAAGATAAGTTGACAAGGAATAAGGTTTATTAGACAGAGAAAGGTGGGGGATTTTTTTACTTTTATATATAATTTACATTTGGTTATATACCTTTTGAATTGAATCGAATTGTAAACCCACCCACACAATACACATTTGTAACATATAATAAAATTTCCTGATTTGCATTTTGGTTTGACTCCTATTTTTAAGAAAGTTAAGCCGTTAATTAAACCAAAAAAAAAAAGCAAACACAATCGAAATTTTTGACTTTTGTGTAGTTGGGGTCAAGGTGGGGCACTTTACTTTAAAAGTAAGACAAAAAAAAAGAAAAGAGGGGCAGAGCCGCAAACAATCGATCCTTTTTACTGTTTTTGTCTGATACAATGGCTTGTATACAGGAATTGTCATAGTTAAACTGACAACTGAACTTTAATAAAAAAGAATGGGGGAAACGGAGGGGAAAAGAAAGAAAATTTTTTGGCTTAAAATTTGATTAATAGAACCACAAAAATTTTAATTTTCTACCGATCATTTGATTTCAGTATTAAGTTAAGTTAAATGAAATCTCACTATTTATGGGGAGACTAAATAGTTAATACTCCGTTCTTTCCTTTCCTTTCCTTTGTCTTATTTAGTTTTAAACATACGACTAGTCATGAGAAAACTTGTGAAAATATCATCTATCTCTATTATTTCTTTGTTAGTTAGTTTAGTCTTTGTCTTACTTGAAATAGATACTATCCCGATAAAATTTATGATCTGTTTTTATCAGCCGGTAATTTTCTTACTCTTTTGTTTTTTTCTTCTTAATTTCTCCCTAGCATTTAGTGGTGGTGGTGCTGCCTTGAGCCTTTCCTTTTTTTTACTTGCGGGAAGATAGGGAAAGAAAAAAGTAACTAAGTAAAGATTCGGCTTGCCAACTTAATTATTTTACGAGATGTCACAAAACATTTTGTTTTTATCGCTAACTACCAAATATCAAAAAAAAGAAATAAAAGGTACAGGTTCAAAATTTGAATCATAAAAAGAAACTGTACTGATTATAGCTAAATTAGGATGATGAGTCGATGGATTTGTTAATAGTCCAATTCTAACAGTCTTCTTAGTAATGAACTCATTCTGGAAACTATAGAATAGAACATTATGAATCAAGTAATTAAAAAGAAATCTAAAGTCTAGAAGTTTTGATTATAACGGTCCGGTTTTGATTTCTTTTTTAGCTTAATTTCTTTTATCATTCGTTACAAGGAGTTATAATAGGGGCTATCCAAACATGAAAAGAAGACATCATATGTATGTAGAATCGGTTAAATCGGCCATATGAAAAGAAACGGACTTGAAAAAGAAACGTAACGTCTATTATCCTTATTAAACGTGTATATTATAGTATTGATCTATTATTGATAATGCAAGATAATACCCATTTTGACTCTGGAAAATAGGAGATACCGATGAATATTACACTCTACCGATATCGCTTAATTTAAATCATACCTTGAACTATTAAGATTATCTTAAACCTTAACTTTATTTGAACCATGAGCTTTACGTTGGAAATATATCATTAAATTTCATTATATTCATCTACTAATAATTTTATAAACTCATTTGATCGATCATCAAATATATATACTATAACTCTATCATTATAACCCGCTTGAATTATGTCAATTATCGATTTATTTATATCATTATAATTCAAAGTATTGATCTGACTATCTATCAACCAATGAAATTCATCCACCATGATCATAACTTGATTATTACCTTCAGCATCCTTATTACTATTGATTACAGTGACTAACTCAGGTAAGGTTGTTACTTTTTCATATTCTATTTTAGTTAATAGTTTTTGATTAATATTTAATTGACGCGTTACTTGTAAGATATTATCAGGTATGGTGTTATTTACATAGATGATTTTGTTAAAGCTTGACAATGATGATGATGATGATGATGACTTTGATGAATCTATTAACGATGATAACACATGTTGCAAAGGAACACTTTTATTCTCCTTTATAGAGTATAGATACTTCACCACCATTAATCGTAGTTATATGACGATAGTTTACAGATCGGACTTGGTGTCCGAAAAAAAAAATTAAAATTGTATTTTTTCAGTTGGGCGTAAATTATTAAATTTTATTTTTTATAAAGGCAAAAAAAGACTAAGAGGATCATTATATAGTGAAATAAAAAAGTACATATATATAAAGAGTTAGTAAAAAGTAAGGTAAGATTATGATAAAAAGAAACAAGATTAGATTAATACAACTTGGGATGATAAGATAAAAAATGAACAAAGTAAAAGTCAAAAAAAGACAGAAAGAACGATTTAATCCTTCTTTTTATCAGCTTCTAATTTCTTAACTAATTGAATAGCTTTTCTTCTTTTAACGATATTTTTGACAGTATCATTTGAAAATAATAAACCATATCTTCTATATTGTTTAATATAATCATTTAATTCCGTACCTTCTTTATCATCAATAAATTTAGTGAAAACTGATCCTAATTGAGCGAAATATTCATAACTTATTGATAATTTAAAATCAGAAAGAACTTCATCACCATCTTCATCAACTTCAGAATTCTTTTCCACATCTTTTAATAAATCATCTAATGTAACTTTAGTATCAATTGGAGTATTATAACCTTCTCCTTCTTCTAATAAACATCCTAAATTCTTTAAATTTTCAAATAATCCAGCTTTATGAGCAGCAATCATACCACCATGTTCTTTAATTTTATATTCACGATAATAATCTTTATATTCATCTGGAGTTGCCTTTCTGGTACCAGTCCAACCTAATTCAACTAATTCTTCTTTGGTGATTTCTAATTTAATATTTCTATTTGAAATTCTAAAGATTTTAATTGGATTAAAAGTACCAGTATATAATAAAGCAAAAATAATTAAAACTTTAAAAATATGAACCACAAAGAAAATAATTTGACCCATTACTGATACTGGTGAATTAATATCTTCAATTAACATATTTGATAATTTAGCTTGATTGAAATAAAGGGCCAACCAACTTAAACCTTTTGTAGCTTGATTTGTTAAACAAATTCCTGGAGTTGGACTTATAAAATCAGGTAAATCAGTATATAACCAAGTTACTAAGAATGAAATTAAACTATAAAAGTTGAAATAATTGAATTTCCAAATTGGTAATATTAATTGACCAGGCCAAACATGATCACTAACTAATGAATTTATACTTGGAATTGATCTTTGAAATTTGGTGGCATTATAATCAAATAAGAAATTTCCATCTTCAGTAAGATAACCTGGTGAAGTACAAACTTTAAAACCAATGGGTTCCGATTCATAAAATACAGATGGTCTTAATGCAATAGGTAAAGTCTTAAAGATTTGATATAAATCTTTAAAAACAGTAGTAGTCTTGATTTGGAAACAATAATCTTTTTCCATATCATCATTAAAACGAATATAAATATCGAAATAACCAACTTGATCAGATAATTGGGTACGATCTTGTTTTTCTTCAGCCATGATGAATGATAAATAGTAGTACTACTTGGAATGAAGTTGTTGATATGATCTAACAAAAAGAAGTGGTAACAAGAAGTAATGAAATATAAGAAAAATTTCAGAAAAGGAAGAAGGAAGGAGTGACCAACAAAGATCTATTTCTTCCGTTGGTTATATTTTATTTTATTTTATTTTAGTTTAGTTTACCCACACCACTCACTCTTTCAGTCACTCACTAACCATTTCCCACTACTTAATTTTGTTTTTCTCACCACCACCTGCCACTAAAATCTCACTACACAAATACCGAGTACTCCCTAAATTTTTAGTGGAGTGAGTGAGGGAGGGAGCAGAAAAGAAAAAGTGTTCAGTTTAAAGAGAGAGAAGAAAAATTTTTAAGCATTACGAACTGTATATAAAAAGTCAACACATTAAGTTTTTATGGTGGGGTAAGTAAGTAAATAATTTGGGGCCTTACTATAATTACTATGGAATAGATTTTTTGCCACTATATATTTTGATTTAGTTGATTTAATTTGATTTGATCATACAGTTTGATTCAATAGTTGATTGATGAATAGTCCTTTGAGTCAATATCGGTAGTTAGTTAGTATAGTCCATATTAAGTAGTACTTCCATCAAACTAACCATTTTTTGTGTATAGTATAAACCTAACAAAAGAAAAAAGTGGGGAACCACCACCACCAGATTTACCCTCCACCCTCCCCTCTATTAAGTATTGAATGGAATCAAATAGAATATTCTCTGGTATAATCGTTAGTTAATTAATTAATTAGTTAAATGATAGGGATAAGGATAATATCTCGCATTTATTCAAAAGTTATGTTATTATCATTAATTATGATATCATATATATATACCATATTATAACCGAAAAATAGGAGCCAAATCTTTTAATGTTGCCTAAAGAACTTACATGATTTGTGGGTAGAGTTTGCTATTATGAAGCAGACACCTGTGAGCTATAGTCAAGGTACAGTGGTATCGGACGGTGGCATGGAAAGACATAATTACAGTTGGGTATAAGGTATCAATGTCGTTTATTACGACCTGCTCGAATTACTCAATTGTTACAGGGTATTCTATTTGATAGAACACTTTTGAACGTATATAGACGACTTCAATTGCATGAAACATGATTCAAAACGTATGTAGGAAGACTTTAAATAGTTTAGAGTAATGTTAATAAACAATACACATCCAACTCATAGTTAAATGTAATGATTAAAATAGTTATAGAATGAATATGAAGATACTAAGAATATCGATAACAAATATATTTCCAAGATTCATAAACGGCATGTTCTGTATATAATAATGTAATGTGTTTCGCACTACTTTTCTCATTTTTGGTCCCATTTCATTGTTATGCGCATTTATGTTTAAAGTTTCCTAATTTGGAACCGCTCAATTACTGCAAAGAAAAATATATAAGAAGAAAATAAATTAGTGTTTACAAATGCAAATTTAGAATTACTTTCTATCAGAGATGACTTCACTTCTGTATTTCATTAATTGTCAGAAATATATAGATTTCTATAAAAAGAATCATGAAAAAAGAATAAATTTATTCGTAATCTTAAACGATCCCGCTATATCGAATCCATACTTCGAAGATTTAACAAAATTAGAACTCATACTAGAGGATGTTAATATTCAAGATAATTCTGAAATTTTAAATGACATTAAGAAGATTATAGTTCCTTGGGAGCAGTATAAATATAAATTCAAAGAATTAATCATAGTTCTCTACAAAGTATTAAACCTGCACTTTATCATCCAAGACTGTACTGAAAGCGACGTGGCGCTAATGAAAGTTTCAAATGATATATATATTCGTATTTTGAATAAAGAACTAGAGAAAGAATTTAAGGATCCGGAAAAAGTCAGTGAGGCATTTAACTTTAAAAGGTATACATTAGATATGAAAACACTAACTGTTAAATGGGAAATTAATAAAAAACTCACCAGTATGAAGTCAAATATTTCCAGTAGATCATCACTATCCACCACAAATAAAAGAGCTAGTTTTAATGATACGGCTCAAAAATATGATGTAAATAACTTATTTTTCAATAAATATGGTTATTTTTACCCTCAGTCGAAGTTTGATTTACGGTATACTAGTTTTATGGAGTCTAATTTAGAATTGATGAATATTCGGCCTTGTACAATTCCTCATACTCCTTATTCCAGTATTGATACTGTTTCTGTTGAAAAAGAAATCCACATTGAGATGGTACTATTGTCTTTATTAAAAGTTGCGGGAAAATTATTTACCAGCCACGGGATTGAATTTAAAAACCAAACAACATTGAAACTATCAACAGATGAAGATTCAATCATGAAAGGAATTCCAAATATAGTCATTTCTTTGAAAGGTGATGTAAATATTCCTTTGGAAATAAAACAACAAGATGTAAAAAAGATATATGAATCTTTTGTTATTTCAAGTCAAAAAAATAATCATGGAAGTCGAGAATTTGTGGAATTATTTTCTCAAGGGTTGTATGAATCTATTTTATGTAGAAGCAATTGCTTCTTGATTACGGATTCGCTCTATTGTATAGGAGTGGTAATAGAATCCTATCCATTACCTTCATTTGATATTTCCAATTTACATGGAATACCATGTAAAATAATAGTTTTTGATTCTAAAAATGAGATTTTGTCCCTCCCTCTCTTTATAATTTTATTCGTATTGAAATACTCTAAGAGGTTGGAAGAATCTAAAAAGGATGATTTTCTAAGTTCTTTAGTTTTAACAGATGATCAAATATCTTATTCACGGCTGAAAAGATATAAGTTATTGAGTACATTCCAGAAATTACTTTTAAATGTACCAGATAATGTTGATTTAAACGTACGGCAAACGGATTTGATGACACTGGCCAGGAGCAGAGATTCTGCTAATCAAATGCTTGATAATAAACAAGAGAATAGTGTTGATGGCGAAGAAACTGGTGTTTCTGACACGGAGATGGATACTATAGATGATTTTATTGACGCATATGCTGGACGAAGTCCTGGTGAAACTAATGATAACGACGATGAGGATATAGAAGATGTGACCTCCCCCAACAGCTCTTCAATTAGATTTCCAGATGATAGTTTGTCAGCAATCCATGCAGTAGAAGAGAGAATATTTTCGAAATTGGACATTGAAGTTTCTCTTAACAATTATTGCATATTAATCAATTCTATGAACTTTGCAGTCATAGATTATAGTGAATTAAACATTCACTCTATAATTAGTGGTGCTTATCCACAAAGGAACTATTCTATTATCGTTAAAGATCAATTTCAAGTAATTAAAATTTTCGACCCGATTAGATGTCGGGTCGATGTGACAGGAAACTTTATTTCTTTTCAAGATCGGTTGAAGTACACATTTAAATGCTTTGTTCGTGAAGCATTGGTTCACAATTATTTGAATGATACTTTCCAATCTAAACCAAGATGTTATGGGGTTGGTTTATTAATAAATGAAAATTCAGATGTGGCCCCTCAAAATATAAATTCAACTGCCGGATTTTTCATAAGGATGGAATATTGTCAAGGTTTGCCGCTTGATAAATTAAATTGGAATAAGCAAATGAAAACTGAGTTGTGGACTATTATCAATCGTCTCCATGAGCTTGGGGCTAGTCATGGAGACATTCATGCTTCAAACTTTCTTTATGATACAGACAACAATTCAATGGTTATATTGGATTTCGGTCGTCTGTATCAAGCTTACCTAAGAGGTAATGCAGGGAATCAAAAGAAAGGGATGGATATTAGTGAACTCAACAAAAGAATTGAATTTGATAATTGTAACACTGAGTTGATGATATGTAAGTTGATTCATTTGACTCGTAGTCATCGATAGGTAATATGAAAAATATGAATATTAATTTAGTTTTAAAAGTACATATTAAATATATTCAATTGTATCAACTAGTAATGTTTATATTAAATGCAACTATTATTGAATCAACCTTAAATCATTCTGAACTAGCCACTCCAAATGAAAAATAACAATCCTTGGTACTAAATGATTTAGTAATAGCTGCTACTGCTTACTTTGACGTTTGACAAGAGCCTCCAGGGTGATAATATTTGACTTTATATTTGGTAGATTTGTGCTACCAATCACCTGATTTATGTCACATGACCAATTTAACCAATTTAAGAAATAGATCTTAAAAAAGAATATATCACAAATTAAAGACAGGATCGGTGCGAAACGTGTACAAAGATCAAAAAAAAAAGAAAATCATTTTTGGTAAAAGAGGCTAAAGTAGTAGTGGTGGTGAAAAATTTCCCACCAATAAGAATTGAATATAGAATAGTATTTGGCTTAGTCGAAGTATTATCATCGTCTGTGATTGATTGTTTAATGAATGAGGTATTTTACAATTGGAAGAAATACGATATCATCAATGAGTACTGACGATGTAGTTTAACTATTAATATTTACGCGTATGATATGATATGATATGATATGGTATAGTCAAGTTAGATCGTTTCATTATTTTTAACAGTGTCATGGTTATTACTATTTTATACAGTCAACATATTATATACAGTACCAAAGTCGTGTACTTTATATTTGTTTACAAAGATGCTAAAAATGGAAATTTCAAAATAAAAATAAAAAAGAAATTTATTTTTTTTTTGAATTTGACGGGAGAAATGGGAATTGATTGAGCGAGTGATAGCCACTAATTAAATTAAGCAGTAAGTAAGTAAGTAAGTACTGGTACATCTGCAGGTAAAGTAAGTAACTCATCAATGTCATACTACCATTAACTAATTAGTACTGCTACTACGATTACCCAATTAGCTCATCGCATGATAACTGTCAAATAATAATAATAAATAATAAATATTAATGCAGTTCATTTAATCAATGTTGTTGATAAATTGTCTGTGTGTGTGTGTGTGTATTATATATTAAGATCCTCTTGTTACAGTTTAATTTATCGACTGCTGTTGTAAAGTATTGTATAGACAAAGTATACTCTATATACACTTTAATGGTCGTCATAGTCAGACAAATAAACACCACAAACATATAATATTATCAGGCCAAGCCCAAGCCCAAGCCTAGCCAAGTCAGATTATTTACTTACTATTTACTTACTATTTTTAACTACTGACCTCACTATATCTAAAGGAAGGCTTATAGCCTTAATATCGTGTTTGAACTCTGTCTGAACTCACTTCACTTCACCAAAATAAATTTTTTCTTTTTTCGTTCAACTCCTTTTTTTTTTTTTGTTTTTTTATTTATTTTTTATTTTTGTTTGTTGATTTTTTAAATCGGGGCCATTTTTTTTTTTTGGTTTAATTTGGGATTATAAAATAAAATAAATCCTCATTTCATTTAATTGTAAAACAAGTTTGATCTCTCTTCCTTTCTCTTTTCATCCTTTATCTATCTACATTCACTTCCATACCACTCCCTCCCTCCCTCCCTTCCATCCCTCCCTCCCTCCCTTCCATCCCTCCTCACAACTTGTGTGTTATTTGTCAATCTCCTTCTCCCAAAAGTCATTGTCATTATCATATATACTTTCATTCGTTAACCTATCCTAACCCACTTGTGTGTTTTTTTTATTATTTTTAGTATTATCATTATTATATTTTTTATAAAGTAGATCAACCATCACTTCACAATGTTATTCAAATCTTTACTTTCAACCGCTACCTTATTAACTTCCCTCGTATCTTCAGTTAAAGCTGATGATCTTCCTCCTATTGAAATCGTTGGTAATAAATTCTTTTATTCAAATAATGGTTCTCAATTTTATATGAAAGGGGTTGCTTATCAACAAAATCCTGTTAATACCACTAATGCTTTCGTTGATCCTTTAGCTGATCCAGAAGGTTGTAAAAGAGATATTCCTTATTTAGAAGAAATCCAAACCAATGTTATCAGAGTTTATGCTTTAAATGCTTCTCAAGATCATTCTGAATGTATGGCTTTATTAAATGAAGCTGGGATTTATGTCATTGCTGATTTATCTGAACCTGATTTATCCATTAATAGAGATACTCCTGCTTGGACTGTTGATTTATTCGAAAGATATACTGGGGTTGTTGATGAATTCCAAAATTATACTAATATCTTAGGTTTCTTTGCTGGTAATGAAGTTACTAATGCTCCAAATAATACTGATGCTTCTGCTTTCGTTAAAGCTGCCGTTAGAGATACTAAAGCTTATATCAAAGCCCAAGGTTATAGAGAAATCCCTGTCGGTTACTCTGCCAATGATGATGCTGATATTAGAGTCCCATTGGCTGCTTATTTCGCTTGTGGTGATGATGATGAAAGAGCTGATTTCTTTGGTATTAATATGTATGAATGGTGTGGTAAATCTTCTTTCACTTTATCCGGTTATTCCAATATTACTGCTCAATATGCTAATTTAAACATTCCATTATTCTTCTCTGAATATGGTTGTAACTTAGTTCAACCAAGACTTTTCCAAGAAGTTGGTACTCTTTATGGTGATCAAATGACTGATATTTGGTCTGGTGGTATTGTTTATATGTATTTCGAAGAAGTTAACAATTATGGTTTAGTTAGTCTCTTATCAGATGGTTCAATCTCAACTTTAGTTGATTTCAATAATTTACAAACTCAATTAGCTTCCGTTACTCCATCAATTGCAACTGCTGCTGCTGAATCTTCTGTTTCTTTATCTCCAACTTCTTGTCCAGCTCTTGGCATTAACTGGCAAGCAAACTCTACTTTACCTCCAACTCCTGATGCTGATGTTTGTTCTTGTATGGTTGATTCTTTAAATTGTATTGTTTCTTCCAATGTTAATGCTGATGATTATGCTGATCTTTTCAATTATGTTTGTTCCGTCATTGATTGTTCGGGTATTAGTGCTAATGGTACCACCGGTCAATATGGTAGTTTCTCTCCATGTTCTGCTGAAGATCAATTAAATTTCGTTCTTAATCTTTATTACTTAGAAAATGGTTCTAATAATGCTGCTTGTTCATTCTCTGGTTCTGCTACCATCAAGAGTGCTGCTACTGCTTCATCTTGTGTCGCTGTCTTAAGTTCAGCTGGTGTTTCTGGTTTAGGTTCAGTTTCAGTCACTTTAGGTGGTTCAACTGCCACTGGTAAATCAAGTTCTGGTTCTGGTTCAGCTTCTGGTTCTCAATCTTCTTCATCTTCAACTAGTAGTGGTAAATCTTCTGATGCTCCAAAACAAGCTGCCATTAGTGCCGTCACTAAAGTTTTACTTGTTGGTGTTTCCATCTTCTTTGGTATGGGTATGATCCTTGCTTAATTGGATTAACCCCCATCCATCCATTCCCCCCCCCTTATCTCTCTTCTTCAAAAAAAAATATTGGACAATTCTCCATTTTTATATATCTTTTTTAAAAATCAAAAAAATAATTTTCCCAAAACATTTATGAATTAGTTTAAATAACTTAATTCACTTAAGTTTTAAATATTATTATCCTTTTTTGTATATCACTTTATTATTATATTATTATTCCTTTTTATTTTTTATTTAAGTTTGGATCAAATCAATCTCCTTATATACTTTTTTTCAATTTTATAAATACATATATATATACAGTTATTCCCTCTAGAAATTAGACAATAAATATCTATGTGATTGATTGATTGTTAAGTCCTAGTTTTGGTTCCAGTTCTTGGCATTTTTTCTTTGTAGAGTTTGGAAGTATTGTTTTGGTGGGTAGTATATGCCAGACATATAGCAATCGAATTCAAATTCATACCATTATGTGACGGATAGACTATAAAAACTCGCTGCAAAAAGTGTTCATACCTTTTTTCTAGTGTGCCTGTTTGAATTTTTACAAATTAGGAACATAACATCAGAATTGTTGCTGCTGTTGTTGTTTTGCGTTTTTTTTTTTTGCATTCTTGATCAATACAATGTATGATATAATAGTACTTCTACAATTAAACTTAATTTCATAACAATCATAAATTTTCCTATATATCGTTCCATATAAAACTTTCATAAATACTCATTCATTTTCAATAACTAATTTTCGAATTTCCCAATAATAATCTCGATTGAATAATTCTCCATTATTATAATTAATAAAATCATAACTTTCTTCATGATTAAACCAATTATGAATCTTTTTTACAATTTTAATTTCTTCCTTTTGAAATTTTTCAAATAACGTATTTGAAATCATAAATTCACTATATTCTCCCTTATGACCTTCATCTTCATTCTCTTCAACACTGCTTGAAACAGTACGTTGAGTGAATTGACTTAAACCACGTCTTGAAATCGGGGATCGTAAATTATTTGAACTAAATGATTTAGGCATTTTTGGAGGTGATGATAATTTATAATCATTATCCCAAAATTGTTGCAGTTGTTGTTGTTGTGATGATGATGATGGTTGTGTTGGTAAAGGCCTCTTATAATCATCTAAATCATCAATATCATTAAATATAGATTCATTATCTTCTTCATCTAAATTTATCCATCTTCGATTCTCTTTATCATAAATCATGTTCGTATGTTTATCATTAGAAGTAGTAGGTATTCGATTGGCTTGATTAAGTTTAACTTCATTCAACGTTATTAATGATGGTTTATGTAAATTTTCAAATCTTAATAAATCAATCTCATTCCCTTCCCATCGATTCTCTCCATAATTATAAATCATATTTGAATTTTGTGAAATGGTATTGTTTGACATGACAGAATTGATACTTTTAATCGTCCCCATCTTTGTTCTACCTGTTTCATGGGTTTTGTACTGTTGTGTGTGTTGCTGTTGTTGCTGTTGTTGCTGTTGTTGTCTCTTTCTGTGAACACCTCTTTCTGCTTCTTTATATTTATTAATTAATAATTGTTTTTGATTCGTACTTTCTTCTGAAACAGGACGTGAATTATAAAATGATGGAATTCGATCTAATTTTCGAATAACTTTATTATTATAATTATAGCCTCTATCTTCTTCATCATCATCATTATTATTATTAATTATACCTCCAAAATCAACGGTAGATTTGAATTTTCGTATTGATTGAATCGAGGATTGGGTATTAGCCTTTTTAAGAATAGATGGCATAGAAACTTTATTCCTAATACTCCCTGATGTAGGTGGTGGGCCAGGTCTATGCTTTATCTTGGTATCAAAATCATTATTATCAAATCCATCTTCAAAATTCTCAAAATCATCTCTTACGAAATCATAATTGATAGTTCGTTCATTTTCCAATTGATCTAACAAAGTTAAATTCCTATCCGTCAATGTATGGTTAATATTGTTATTATTGTTAATATTGATGCTAGTACCGTTGATCTGTTGGAAATCTTTGAGCTTTAAAGTACCGTTTGGATCATGTAATTGAGGTACTTGTTTCTTCTTCAATATTTCAACTTCTTCTAATTCAGATTCTTGCTGTAATTTCAATTGTTTGGCAATCAAAATCTTATTCATTTTATTATATATCCCACTTTCATCAGATCCAAAGATATTATCGATATCTTCAAATTCTTCATCATCTAATTGAGAAGTTATATCAGTATCATCTCCTTCACTATATGAGCTGAGATCATCTCGTGTAACTACTCTCCTGGAACTGTTATTAGCATTAGCATTATCAATCCCACTAACTGCTATACCACTCCTCATAGCAGGTGATAAAACTGAAATTTTGGGTGATGATGTAGATATAGTATCCACTGGTGAAAATCCAAGATTAGTAGATGGTGATAATTTCTTTTTAAAACCCAAATGCATAGTAGCAAACTCTTGAGCCATATCAAAATCAACTCCACCTTGACTATTTCCAAAGATATCTTCTGATTCAAAATCATTATTATGATTTTTATTATTATTATTATGATTCAGTTCTTGATATTTTCGTAGTAGTTCATTTTTCAAATTGTTTTTCCGTTCAGTTCGATGATTGATCCCTGGAGATGGAGTAGACGATATCCTTGTACTCCCCCTCATGTTATTATTAGTACTATTGGGCATCTTCTGAACTTATCTTTAACGTATTTGCTGTTCATTTACTTTATCATACATTCTACTTTGATTTCAAATGTAAACAAAAAAAAGTTGCGATTGTTTTGATATTTTGTTTCGCACGACCTACGCCCTTTTTTAGCATTTGATAAAGTTAAAATTTTGCAACTTTTTTTAACTATTAATAATTATATATATATATATATATATATATCCTATGCAATTGTACTCATGCTAACTGGGATAGGTTTCTCACGAGGTATATACCATGGTGCACTTTCACCTGTATCATTATTATTTTGGTTATTTGGTTGAAAGAGTTCTAATGCTTGGACAGGTAAATTTTCCTTTATATTAGGTATAAAATCCTTAACAAATATTGGTGCTAATATTATCAGGATAAACAATAAGAGTAAAGTATGAAGGAGAATATAATATTTCAAAACTTTTAATGATCTCTTTCTCTTTTGACGTTTTGAAATGATTTTCTTTTGAAATTTATTTGATTTTTTTAACCAAAATAACATTCTCGAATGCCATCTATCAATATATGGTATATAAACAAAGGGTAACAAGGCGAAAAAAAGAACATGACCTATCAAAAAATCCTTAGCAAATTGGTTTAGTTCAACAATCTTTCTAAAATATTCATTAATAGGTTGAATTAAAATATTCCACCCTAAACCAGTCCCAAACCAATTCCCGGACCACCAAGCATAATTAAGTAGTGCTAATGGGGATTCCTTTCCACAGAAAAGGATTATAATACAATCACTAATAAATTCATGAAAGTCAATCATGAAAATAATCCCACATAAAGTTCTATTAAAGTTCCATTCTTCCAAATATAAGAAAATCCAGATATTTGCAATATTGAAAATTAATGATAAACTATGAGCAAATCCAGCAACTATTGTTTGTGATTTATTACAACAACAACCAGTTAACGATACTAAAAGTACAGAAACTGGAGAAAGAATTAATAAGATAATTGCATTGGCAAGAAATGGAAGAATGGTAATTATTGTGATTCTGAGTAGTGGATTTACATTAAACCAATAGAAAACTCCATTTTGTGAATTTATAAACATGAAAGCAGTTAAAAAGAAAAGTGATTCAATGAAAGGAAATACTATCTTTCCAACAAATATATTCATTGTCGAGGTCCTAGTTTTCCCTATTGTTCCATTAAGTCGAGACCTATAAGTTCTATTCATCTCTAACCATGATGTTTTCTCCGCGACAAGATTTCCCCTCGAAAGCCATCTGATAAATATTCTATAATCTAAGAAAAACTCACTCCATTCAAACTGATGAGGATTGAAAATGAAAGGAGCAAAACACATGGAAATAATTGTGACCCAAAACCAAAGGAGTGCTGGTTGCCACATAGTTGTTGTTGCAAATATTATTATCAAACAAACTTTTACACCCCCATATATAGACATGCTTGAATATCTTGAATATAATGTAGCAAACGGCATTCTGGAAGTTGCAAACCCCCTTCCAGTAGCTATATATTTTGCTCCACCTAACATAATATTATCTCTGAGAGAAGATGCATAAATTTGACACACAAAGACTTCAAATAAAGGTGCCATTGAGGTGAAGTGATAACAAATTCTGTATAAAGATTTGAAAACTCCTTTTTCCAATAATTCTTGAATTATTAGAGGAATAAACGATATAAAAAAGCAGATGAAAATTGACAAAACAAATCTACTTATCCAGCTTAACATAGGAGTTAGATTATAACAACCAATTGGAATTTCTAAGTCAGTAATGGGTACCTGCGAGTTATACTCACATATAATTGACTCATTAACTAGAGATCCTAAATTCACAAGTACCAACAAAAAGCATTGAAGGGAAAGCATTATAAATACATTATTTATATGAAACCCAGCATGAGCATAATAAAATGACAAAAATCTATCTATAGGTAACAGACAACCTAGATAGTAATACTCTCTTGAAAGCAATTGTTCTCCCATTCCTGACCCAATCTTTGTAGTGAAATTTAAAATTGTGCCAAATCCTAAATCTCTGCCCTTCCCACATTGATAAAAATCACAGTGCTTTATACGACCGCCGCGACAAGTTGCAGTCATACCAGCATATATATCCTCGTTTAAATGCAAACCCCTTTGAGCTTTTGATATTCCACCTCTTGTAGACATGAATACGGCATTCAAGAAGTCTGGGTGGCCATAATGTAGCTTTCCTCCAATTTCAGCCAACGTTCTGGCAAACAAAGTCCCAAAGGTTTGCTCCTTTCCTGCTGCAATATCTCCCAATACTCCAATATTTTCTGAAAATATGTACTCTCTAGCTCCTAATATAGCGATAGGTGGCTCGATCTTTCTCTTTTGACCATTAATATATTCAAGGCTTCGATCAAGCTCCATTTCTTCAAATTCTGCCAAGACTGACTTGATTTTCAAACATTCTTCAAGGTAATTGTCTTGATTAGCGTCTATCACTTGTATGTATTCTCCTCTGGTAAAAATTAAAGAGTTGTTTTGATTATCTGACTTACCATCACCCAAAATAGGATTTCCCGATAGCCTAATTCTAAACTTTTTAAAAAGTCCATCAGAACTCAGATTTTCACTATCGATTAGAGTAGAATAATAATTGACTGTACCATCTTCCAAATCTTCCTCTTCCAAATAAGAAATCTCTATATGTGGATAGTTTTTAAATAGTGTGAATACATCTTCTTTCTCCTGTGGACTTAGTTGCTGAAATCGCTGCATTGAAACCAATAATCTAAATTTTCTGGAGACAAATTGTTTGAGCTCTGCTTCAAACTCTTCCGATTGGAAGTCAGTATCAAATGATGAATTTTCAATTTTGTATAACAAACGAATAGCTATCTCATAATTCATAAAACCAGATGTAGTTCTATACAAAGTTTGAGATCTTAAAGAGGCCCAAATTCTTGTCCGGAGAATGTATTCTGGCGAAGAATTCTTGAAACCAACACAGTAATATGGCAAATCGTTAACCTTATGTATCAGAGAATCCTCCTGATGGATATCAGGTGTCAATGGGAGCTTAAGATCGTCAGACGAAAGGAAATCTAATACTTTCGTATCCTTTACAAAGTACTCCCATTCTTTTGGATATAATTGCTTCAAGTATTCAAGAAGTGAAACTTTTGAATCACGATCTTCTTTAACTATTTCTCTCAATTGTAGAATTATTCTTTCAGAATAATGAGGCACTAAAACTGTGAAAGAGGGTATCGCCAATAGTGGGTAAGAATTAGGAAGTGGGCATGATAGAGATTGTGCGAAATAAGAGATTCTTCGTTCAGCTTCCTTTCCGGGTGCAAAAAACTCACCCATATTAAAGGAATTATCATCTTGATATATAAAAAAAAGAGGCGACTTGATGCTGGATTCCTTAGGATCCAAGGAAGAAAGGTTCTGGAAGACAAGCTTATTCACTTGTTCGGTGGAAAGTAAATGTTCTCTATACATGGAAATGATGATACTGTTCCATACATGAGCTATAGCAATCAAATTAGCTTTAGCGTTAGAGTTAGAGAATATTATTTTGCTTGATATTCTTTCTGGAAGTCTCAAAAAGATATTTCTCCATGGTGTGAAAATTGATACTCCTAAAGAATAAGATAAACCTATTGAAAACAAGCAATTACAAACGATATACCAAAGGTAAGTATCCAAGAAAAAAAGTATAAGATCTGTAAAGAGCAACAATACGAGTGTTATTCTTGCTTGCTGCAAACAAATAATATTTCCAAAGATGACATCTCCAACACACCTCTTCATTGTCATTATTGAAAGGACTCTGACTGGATCCTTAATTGAAAGAGTCAAAAAAAAGTATGATTCTGAGAACTTTGCGGCAAACACACTTGCCCATAACATGTAAGAGAACACTCTGCTCCTGAAAGGAAGTTTTGGAAATGAAGACATGAAAACTTTTGCCATTGTCTTCTTCTGTAACAGTCTACCTTCGAATTCAAATAACCTGCTTGGAGCTTTGATCGCAAAGTATAAGAAAGTTATTATTGAAAATATGAATTGAATAATTGCAATTAATGTACCATGAACTGAGTACACATTCAAAGGTAAAAATAGATAAATGTAAATAGACGGTGCAATGTTGAATATAATAACAACAAGGGTACATACTAATCTCCAAAACCAGAAAGTCGAAACGGGAAATTGTCTTGGAACGAAAAAGTACTCTGCAAGGATAGCAACAAACGAAATAATTCCAGCAATTGTACCACCCAAAGCTACAGTTGTTATCTGAACTTGTGGAGCTGGTTTATTATCTAATAGCTGACTGTACTCTAAAGTGTATAAAGTCGGGGCATTGTAAGCTGTATAGTACCAAAACATAGTAATATGAATAACCCATACCCTACTAAAATTGGTTAGTGCATGAATCCACGATCTCCTCTCGTAATAGGTCTTGTAGAATAAACTATTCCACTTAATTGACTTTAAGAACTGATATCTTTTTTCTTCTGATAAGTCAAATAACTTTGTTCCATTGTCAATTTTAATCTTTTTCAACGCTGTAGGGGACCAAAAGAATTGATTAGCATCATCATAACCGATGATGCTTTTGTGATCCTTGGTATTCTTAATCCAATTTCCGTTTTTGAAAATCATTTGTTGATCTCTAATAAAACAGTATAAAGGAGTGATCACTTCATCAAGAAAAGTATATTGGGTTTTAACAATAGTCAAACTCTTTGACTTCACGTCATAGAAGTGATCAAAAGCACATTGATAAATAAAGCATAAACATTCGGGCATAAATCTTATATTATTTGCCTCTCCCCAAATGAGCAAGTAAAGACCAATTTGATAAATATAATCAGTGTGAGTATAACTATTCATTTTCCTATTCCATTCAGCCTCATCCATACAATTTTCGTCGGAAGCCAAATCTTCTTCATCTTTTGGGACTTGTTTCAGACTCTCTTTATAATCAGAAGATTTTCCAACATTGGCGAATACATGAACAGAGAAGTACCACTTCTTGAAATTTGATCTCTGACCTCCTATATAATCAGCATGTACGCTTCTTAATGCTTTATCGCAGCTCATTCTGCTTGATCTTGAATCTAACAATATCATAAGATATTCAAACATATTTTTTGCATTATCCACTTGAAAACCAAATGTGTCTCTCAACTCTTGAAACATAAGCTTAATTTCGTCTTCAGATAGACTAGCATTGTTTGCTATACACCAAGATGAAAATCGTGTAGTGGATTCAAGATAATCTTTGTCTGAGCTCTCTGTTCCAGCGGATTCTTCCATTACCAATGGAGCAGTTGCAATTGGTCCATCGTATGATTGATAGACGTAATAATCATCTTTGTAAGCTGCAGACGTGGACTCATGATTGTAAGTTGTCATTAAGTATGATTCGTTGCCAAACTTGACATGTAAGTTAAGCGCTTGTCTCGCTAAAAGATTATTTTGATTCTGATTTAAAACAAGATAAAAATAGAATAAAAATAATTTACTCGCATTAACTAACAATGATATCAAGATTATAATATTTAACTTTAAATCCAGCAATCAACAGGCTATACCCTTAACTACTCTTATACATACCTATTTAAAAATATAGGTTGCAAAAAAATATTCCGATACCGGGAGTCGAACCCGGGTCTGCTCGGTGAAAGCGAACCGTGCTAGCCGTTACACTATATCGGATTACTGATGAAAATGTTGTCACAAGATGTTTGTCACGTGAATTTGAAATGACCCAAAATCACGTGACTAAAAAGTCGTTTAAACATAAATATTGGGTAGTATCGTACTGCAATCACATCTGGATCAACCAGGAACTGTAGGGGGCTTATTTTTTGATCATTGCCTGTTAAGAATCTCGCTTTATACTTATTGAAGAGTTGTATTAATATCCTTTCCCGGTCGGCAAAGTAGCATTTCGAGTAAAGAAATGAAATTAATAATACAAAACGAGTTATATATTTGGACCTTGTTTACAGAACAGTAGAAGTTCCAATATTTATCTCTTCAAGTCAATTTCATTTTTTAAGTTTAAAATTGATTTTAGAATTCCAGTTGATTCTTCTTTTGGCTCTTAGTCAAAACAAATGATGCTGTATATATCCTTTCGCGCTGGCCCTTTTTAATTTAGAGGTATTTATAACTGTAAAGAATAATTGTCAGCCAATTAACTCCTTATACAAGAATAATATTAGAACTTTGACTAGAAATATAGAGTCGTAATGTCAATATTCTAGGGACTATTTCATAGTAAATCAAGTGCCTGAGAAAATTAGTTCTGTGCGGCTAGCAATGATGGTTTTGTGCTCGAGTTTCATGTAATATCATCACTGCAAACAAGCGCAATCCAAATTGGGTTTGAGAATAAAGAGTATAACAATTGTTTTTTTTTGCTTTAATTTGTTTTATATATTTTCTTCTTTTAATTCATCATAGTATCATAAAGAGTTCATCTTTCTTCCAACCCAATTAAAGCTCTATTGTCTACAATTCCAAATTTATAGAGAGTGATTAATCAGAAACTGCGAGATGAGCGACTACGATAAATACTCTCGCCCAAACTATCCTCCTCCTTCACAGAACAATCAGCCAAATTATGGTAACGATGTTTATCAAGTTCCAGCAGATTTAGAAACAGCACAATTCGGAAAACTTCCAGATCCATCTCAGAATTTTGATCAAAGTTTTAAAATAGAAAAACCTAGATATAATGATTGGCCGTTCACTATTATTTTCTTATTGGTGGTTGCTGGTTTTGTTGCTGTGGCAGGTATTACCTTGAACGCTTTAAGACAAACATTCTCATTCCAAGGTGGTTCAATTTATGATTCAAGTAACTCGTTCACAGTCAATACTAATACTATTATTTTATTTTCATTCGTCATAGTGGTTGCTATTGTTCTATCAGCTGCCTTGATAATTTATGCCAGGTTAGCTCCAAAGACATTTATTGTTACAGGATTGATTTTTAATATTATTCTTGGATTGGGTACTAGTATTTTCTACTTTGTGGAACATTATTACTCGGCTGCTATAGTGTTCTTGGTTTTTACCTTGTTAACTGCTTGGTGTTACTGGTCTGCCAGAAGAAGGATTCCTCTTAGTGCAACTATCCTAACAATAGCAATTGATGTAATGAAAGCTTATCCTTCAACATTAGTCGTTTCCTTCGTTGGTATGATCATTAGTGCTGCCTTTAGTGTGCTTTTTAGTGTTGTTCTTGTTGCAACTTATGTCAAATTTGAACCAAATAACAATAATGAAGCTTGCAGCGCTGGAGGTGGTAGTTGTTTCCAAGCAAAAGTTATTGGTGTATTAGTATTTGTTATGTTTGCAGGTTACTATATTTCTGAAGTTTTCAGAAATATAATTCATGTCACAATTTCAGGTGTTTATGGTACATGGTATTATTTGGCAAATTCTGATCAAGGTGCACCAAGATTACCAGCGCTTGGTGCATTGAGAAGAGCTTTGACTTACTGCTTTGGTTCTATTAGTTTTGGATCTTTAATAGTGGCTTTGATTCAATTGGTAAGGCTGCTTTTGCAAATTTTAAGGCAAAGTTTACTTAATAATGGTGAAGGTTGGGCTGCATGTCTAGTATTAATTATTGATTTTTTGGTTTCGTTTGTTGAAAGCTTAGTTCGTTACTTCAATCATTATGCCTACTGTTATATTGCCTTATATGGAAAGAGTTATATCAAATCTGCTAAAGACACGTTTGATCTATTAAGATATAAAGGAATGGATGTATTAGTTAATGATTGTTTTATCAATACTTCCTTGAATCTTTATGCTTTGTTTGTGGGTTATCTTACAGCTTTACTTGCTTATTTATACTTACGATTTACTAGCCCAGCATATAATTCAGATGGTAATTATTATGCCCCAGTTATTGCTTTTGCATTTTTAATTGCAGGACAAATCACTCGTGTTAGTTTAACAGTAATTGAATCAGGTACTTCTAGTTTCTTTGTTGCGTTAGCAAAAGATCCTGAGATTTTCCAAATGACCAATAGAGATAAGTTCGATGCTATCTTTAGAGATTATCCTCAAGTCTTACAAAAGTTAACTTCAAACCATTAGTTTAAAAACACTCTTAATTTTATTTATTTATTTATAGTCAGTAATATTTTTTTTTGTCTCACTAAAGTCTTAAACTTTGCCTGAAAAAAAGTGAATTAACAATTGATATTAAAAAAACGATATCGTAAAACCATAGTAATTAAATAACAAATCAAACCATTATCAAATGTTGACCTTAGCAATTGGGGATCTATATATCCCGGAGAGATCGGTAGATATACCATCCAAATTCCGTAAGTTATTAAGTCCCAATCCAAACTCAATACCATCAAACAATAAAATATCTGAAGTTATATGTTTGGGGAATATAATCAATTCCAATGATATATTGAAATTTTTATATAATTTATCGAATTCATTCCATTTAGTCAAGGGAGAGTTCGATGATTCACAGATATTATCACAACAATTGCTTGCAATCAGTAACAAAGATAAGCCAATACCTTTACACAATGTTATTGTCCATGATAATTTAAGAATTGGATTTACCAATGGTTACCAAATAGTTCCAAAAAATGATCCATTAGCTTTACTGAATGTGGCAAGAGAACTCGATGTGGATATTTTGATTTGGGGCGGGACCCATAAGGTCGAAGCTTATACTCTTGATGGTAGGTTCTTTATAAATCCAGGTAGTGCAACTGGTGCTTATACCTTTGATTGGCCAGAACAAGATGATGCTCAAGATATAGAAGATGAAGTGGAGCCTGAGACTGAGAAAAAGGATGATAAAGAAGGCGAAGTCAATAAAGAAGAAATAAAGAAAGAAGATGAAAATGTTGAAACGGTTGACAAAAAAATAGAGCTGGATCTTTTAACGAATTCAATCGATGTTGAAGTCTTAAATGAAGTCATTGAATCAGATGCAATCATTCCTTCATTCTGTTTATTAGATACACAAGGTTCAACTTGTACCTTATATATTTACACCTACTTAGGGGGAGAAGTCAAAGTTGATAAAGTTACCTACACGAAAGAATAAATTGAAATTAAATATGCTAATTATAATACAAAATAAGATCTAGGTTTGAACTGAAGAGTAATGTAAAACAAACTCCTTTTTAATCTTTTCCCAATTATGAGGATCAAAAAATATATATACACCTTTTTCGACATCAGGACTAAGCAACACTGGTTCAACATTACTATCTTTAGTTAACCATACTTGAATATCTTTATGATATCTCCAATTTCTAGCTACTAATTCTCGAGCAGCAAATTCTTGTAGAGTATCTCTTGGTTTCATATAGAATATATAAAATAAAGTTTCATCTGTGAATGACTGAATCTTATTATCGCATGGGCCTGGTGATGGGATGATATTTTCGCTGACTATTGAAGGTGGCATTGAAATGTAAGGTTCTACTTCGGATCTGGATGTTTCTGACCAAGGTGAAGCTAAATTCTTAAGTATTTTGGATTCTTTTGATAAATCAAGACCACTCATGGTGATATCTTGCCCTATAGCATATGATGTATAATCTGTTTTTTCCATTCTTATTAACGAGTTCAATCCTGACATACCATATTTATTCATATCATTGTCACTTCGTGTTGATTCGTTACTTGCAGTTGGTTTGGCGGATGATAATCCTGGAGGTAGCGTAGCTAAAAAGAGACATGTTAGTAATTTGATTCAATCAAAACTGGTATATTAATTCAAGTAATACTTACGCATTTCGTCTGACTGTTAAATATAATCAATTATTATATGATTGATGTTGTAGTGATCTTAATAGAATTTTGGTGATACTGTCTTTTGATATTAGAGTTCACTCAGTAAGGGAAAATAATTTTCGTTCTAGAGCGACTACACGACTTTGTCTCACTACCAATTTTTTTTTAGAAACTCATCTTTAAAATAGAAGGGTCAATAAAGGTTGCAACTAAATCAGATCTATAATGTCAAGAAGATATATTCCTAATATAATAATAACTGGAACACCAGGTTGTGGTAAGACTTCACATGCTGAAAGTTTATTGGCTCAGTTAAATGAAGAAATAACGAATAAAAAATCAAAATTTCAGCATCTCTCAATTTCAGATATTGCAAAAGAACGTGATTGCATTGATAGTTATGATGAAGTATTAGATACTTCAGTAGTTGATGAAGATAAGTTATTAGATTCTTTAGAAGTAGATTTAGAAAAGGGTGGTATAATAGTCGACTGGCATTGTTGTGAAATTTTCCCAGAAAGATTGATTGATTTAGTTGTTGTATTAAGAACTGATAATCGTTTATTATTTGATAGATTAAAGAAGAGAGGTTATAAAGATAATAAAATTCAAGAAAATCTTGATTGTGAAATCATGGAAGTGATTGCTGATGAAGCAAGAAACTCATATGTTCCAGAAATAGTTATTGAACTTAATTCCAATTCAGTGGAAGAAATGGAAGATAATGTTAGTAGAATATTTGCTTGGACTGCTACTTGGTTGAACGATCATCCACAAGGTGTCACTAATGAGTTAGATCCGGAATTAGCTGCAGCTGCAAGAGAACAAGCTGGAGGTGATGAAGAAGATGATGATGACGTAGAAGAAGAAGATGAAGACTAAGCATTACATACGTTAAATAAAAAGTTTAAAATTAGATTATTTGTATATTAAATTAAGATTTTATAAACTGAAACTTTTCCTACCAGAAGAAGAGTTATAATAAGTGTAAAATTACTCGTCTAAGGAAAAACAATGCAATTAATGAAGCAAAAACTAATAAAACATAATACCCTTTGGTAACAGCAATATAAGTCCATTTGCTATGCAAAACTTGTAAATTATGTTGTTCTAATTCCATTATACATTTCCCATTTTGTTCAAAGATATATTTAGATTCTTCTATGATTTCTAATTTTTGATCTTCTGTTAAAGCATTTCTAGTAGCTAATTCATAATCTCTTTTATATATTATTCTTAATAAATCTTCATCGGTAACATCAAAAGTGAAAAAATTAGTTCCTAACTTAACAATATCTTCATGTCTTAACCCGTTTTTATGAGGAAATAAACCAGTAGCTTTGGCAAATGATGATCTCATTATTCTACCACCAGCAAATAAAGCTAAATACATCACATGTAAATAAGCAAAGAGCAAATATGGTTTTTCTTCAGTAACTTCTAAAATATGATTGAAAAATTTGACTTGTTCTGACATAATAGGAGTAATGAATTTATCCTTTCTATCATCGTAATAAAATAAAAGATCTTGTTCAGCTTTTTCTCTTCTTGCAACTTCTGGTTTCCATACACTCTTTAACATGTCACTCCATTCATCATCTTTAGCAAATTGTTTACTTAAACTAGTTTCAATAGCGGCAAATACATGATAAAAACTTTGTAAACCTTGACGATAAAGTTTAGCATCTCTAAGTGCTAAAGCAAATCTAAAACTCATCATTTTATCTATTTTATCATGGAGACTTCTAGTTTCTAAATTGATTCTATTAGCTAAAGCACCTTCATCATTCTTAGCAGGAAGTATTTCATGTTGACTTAATTTGGTGGTAGCACCGACTGTTTGTGTAGTAGTAGACATTTTAGTTTATTGATTAAGGGTATTATAGTATTAACTAATATGATAAGAGAAAAGAACGTAAAACTAAACCCAAAACAGGGATATATACTTGGATATATATATATATACATATATATGAATTGTGGTACTGCGATATGTCCGTAGATAAAATTTGTATAGCATCTCTGTTTTTTTAGTGACGCGGTTTTGTGTTATTATAGTTCGCAGTTATCGTGGAACAGATTTCAATCCGAGTGCGGTCTATCCAAAAGATCAAACTATCACAACAATAACAACAGCAACATCAACGACAACAACAAGTACGCGTCTGTATTAAGGTTGCAACTCTTTCATCTTATTTCCAAGCTTTTTATGGAGTCGTACAACTTTGTAGTCATGTTACTTGATATACTCTTATATAGAGTTACTCCTTGTGATGAAGATACGTTCGCTTATATATTGCGGTACTGGTGTCAAATTGATTGCTGAAACCGATTTTGCACCTAAATTAATTATTTGTTTATTTAGAATTAATCTATATTTCAATACAATAAGTTAAAACTTAAATCTTATCAAGAGACAATAATTGAACTTAGATAAAGAGATTATTTCAGTAAAAATGATTTAGGTCAACACTTTATGCACTTTAGACTTCTTGAATATTTTAAACTTGGGGGACTTGTTCAGAAGAAGCATCACTAGTGGTTTCAGCATGTTCAACAATTAACTTTTCAACTGGAGATGAAAAGTCGTATGAAGTGGCAGTGGCATCATCATCGAACGCAGTAGCGACTTCTTCTAAAGTGTAACTTTCAGTTTCAATGTAGAATTAGTAAACAAGGGCTAATTCTATAACAAGAGTACAACAGTAGACAATCTAATAATTACATTCAATAGCAGTCACGGCAACAGGGTTAACGAAACCGTTGAAAAGAAGAATAACTTGTAGTGTGAATTGGAAAAATGTGAAGACACTTTTCTATGTAGGATATGGAAATATTTCAGTAATCTATAAATATGGGAACCAAAATCATAAGCAAGAATGCTTTTTCCCAAATTGATAGTAAAGGAAAATCACATCAAGAACACCAATAGCTAACCCTTTATGTTCGAAACGGGTCTTTTGATTGCCATCAGAAAGAGTAATCCAATTTATATAGGTATATAACATACCTAACATATAGATTAAGGATACAGCTCTTCTTCTGAAATTGTGAATGATGGAAGCTGAAGCGTTGAAACGGCCAAGTTATAGACCATTAAAATACTGTTAAAAGCGAATTGCTCTTCGGTACCAGTACTATCAATGGAATCTAAAACCTTATTCAAATAAAGATGAAGGCAGTTAAGAAGCATAAGAATAATCGATTTCTGAGTAAATTAATCTTGTAGAAATCAAAGTATGAGGATCATGAGTAAACGTTTTTGTAATTCTAAAGCGGTTTGGATTTTTTTAATATCAAACTCAACTTCTTTGTAAGTTCTTGGTCTTCATCATTACCAGGGTTTGTGTAAAACTTTTCCAATAGATGACTTCAATCTCACCTTTTGAAACTAAGTATCTTGGAGATTTTAGAATAAAAGAACTTGAACCAATGGTAGAAGAGCTTGTAAGTAGGAAGGAATATTCCAACAATAAAAGGTACTGATATTTCTGGTACCATAAGTAACCCAAGCAGCAATAAGCTTACCTAAATCCCATAGAGTATTATAAATGGCAGTATTTGCAGATCTGTAAAATGGATCAGATAATTCGTCAATCAAAGATGGAAAAGAAATAGTAGATATACCAAAACCAAAACCAAAACCAAAACCTAAAATAATTCTGACACATAAGAAGAAAGTATAGTTGTAAGAAGCACCTTGTAGTGCAACACCAAGAACAGTAATAGAAGAATCAATCATAATAGTGTATTTCAACTGAATTTATGAGAGACTTAGGAAGCAATTGGGAAACATAAGATAACACCGATAGTGTTACCATTTGAAAGAGCACCAAAAATAGTACCTGTAAGGAAAACATTTCTTTATTCCAGATAGCTGAAGATTGTAATCCATTTAAACATAGAACCATCATAACCAATATTAGTGGAAGTTAAAGTTATTAAGAACATGTAAAAACGTGAATGTTTCCATCATAGTTTATCATGATAAAGATAAATGATCATTATTCATAGTATGTTGTAATTCAATCTTATCAGTGCCTTGGCATGAATTCCTTTTATATCAGACATTTCAGATATTAGAAATTCCTCTTCCTATATAATTACTTTTACAGTATATCGACTAGGGAGATACTGACCAATATTAAAAGAGAATATAGTTGTGAAAATAAGACAACAAAAAAGTAAAGATAAAAATGTAAGTAACAAAGGAGTGAAGTATGAGGGATAATCGATTATAACAGTTGTCAAAATCAGTTTATAACAAATCTGCAACCATACTATAATGATATTCTGTTTTTACAATGCTAATTAACCAGAATCTTAAAAAATAAAATTTGCCTTTATTGTCTGAATTTTTTACACCCGTCCGAGAAAAATTTAATTTTTAATAATAGTAGTGCACAAAGCAATCCCTAAACTTCATGTTAAAAAATATTTACGATGATAGAAATAATGAAAATGAAGATAAAAATACTGATGATTTCATGAGGGGCATCCCCTCGTTCAATCTAAGCAGTCGTAAAACATAAGTATAAGTAATTAGAAAGTGTTACTACTACGTATTTTATCAATATTGAAACTTTCAACACATTGAATATCATTTTTGCAGGTTAGGTGGATTATCCTCTTATTCATTCTATAGCCCCACATTTTTGCAGTATTTTTTATAATAAAAAAGAATTTCCTTTGTGCGTAAAAAGAAATCAAAAAAAAAAAATAAAAACCAAATGCAAATCAGACAGACATTTTTTTTTATCACGGATGAATTTCCATGACTGGATTTGTTGTTAAAATCGAAACTGTCACCTTTGTAGCAGATTAAGAGTTCCAAAGTTCAACTTTCTTTTTAATTACTGTAACCTTCGGTAAATTGCGTTACAACAGGTTGCATGATCAAAAGCTTGATTTCTGCACATCTAACGGATTAAATGAATGATGTTCGATATAGACTGAATTGTCTTACTATAGTCAAGGAGCAAACATAAACGCGGCTATAATCGAGTATAAAGAACAACTACTTCCTTTTCCCCATCCAGCATAAAATAATTATCTAAACTTCGAAAGAGCAAAATACACTTAGCGAATGTTAATAATAATTTGTTGTCTAAAAAGAGGGGTGAATATATTGATAAAAATAATTATTGCAAAAGCAACAGATAAAACTAAAAATATTTATTAGCACATAATTATTAATTTACTCAATAATCAATTTGTTAATTTAATTTGTTTGTGTCAATTAATTAACAATTTCAGCTAATTAATTAATTTCAACTAATTATCGTCATTCATTTATGGATCATGAAAATAACAAACGATGAAAAAGATCGGAAATAGAAAAGGATGTGCGCGTAAACATTCTCGTATATTTTAAATACATGGGGTAAGTCTTGGGGTAAAAAATGAAGGTTAATCCTTTTAATTTAGTTCAGCAAACTTATCTTGGTATTTTTCTTCATCTAATTTGCTTCATTGTTATTTTTAATTTTAATTTTATTTTTAATTTTATTTTTAATTTATTTTTATTTGTATTTTATTATCAAATCAAATTAAACATATTTTTCTCCCCTCCTCTCACCTCGTCCCCCCTCTTTTTCTGTAATCAAGATTCATTATAGATGACTTAGAAGGATAACTCTAGTCTAAAACGCTTTACACGTTTTGTTGTTGTTTATAGATGCTACTGGTTTAATTCTTTTAACTGATATTATCCAACAGACGTGATATTTCATAACTTGATCCCGAGGGGCAGGAAATCATAGTGGAAAAAATTCACGACTGCTTAAACATAAACGGCTCATTAATAGATAATAAACATTGTACTCTAAATGCGATCAAATATTTTCAGGTTTCAATTCCTATTTCGGTGTTGTTCCCAGTGCAGGGACATGAGACAAATGAAGGTCAGGGAATTGTTCCGAAATAGGAAATGGACACAGATTTTGCAAAGGACCGTTTGTGTCTGGGGGGGAGGGGGTCGAACTGACCACCTACCCCACAAGAAAACGCGCATTAAAATAGTTACCATAAACTATTAAGTTAAAGTTCAACAATAATTCATGCATTCGATACGTGAATATATTACAGATATTTTTTAACGCAAAAATAATATTTTCTAGTTTCAATTTTTTATTTTTGCAAGCATTAAACCAGACAAAAATAAAAATGTCTGCTCCACATGGATGAGATTACAGTTTACAAAAAGTGGGGTACATATTCTCTAGCATTTTACTATGGAAATGGAAATACCTTCTTATCTGAGTATGGTTCCCCTGTCATATCGAGCTCTAAGTCAAATCACACATCTCTATGGCCTCATTAAATCTGAATTCAACCTTATTTGTATAAATACACTGCATCTCCCTGCTAAGGTATTCAATATTTATTTTTCTATTTATCATCATTCCCTTGTTACTACTACAACTTACTCGCTGGTCGATTTATAAAGTGCATTATAGTAGTTAAAATGTCAGAAAAAATTCAGAACATGAAAGATCAAACTGATTCCCTTTCAATCGGTGATCACATTGAACAACAACAAAACATCTTAAACGATCCAAATGTCGATATCAATGACTTAATATTCCAAACCAAAAGTTGGTGGAAATACGGTCATTTCTTAAAGTTACATTTTTATATTGCGTTGATTGCTTTGGCTTCCACCAATAACGGTTACGATGGTTCCATGTTGAATGGTGTACAAGCTCTTGACTCTTGGCAAAGCACCATGGGTAAACCAACTGGATACAAATTGGGTACGCTTGCTAACGGTACTATGTTTGGTTCTATTCTTGCAGTCAGTGTTGCTTCCATTATTTGTGATAGTTGGGGTAGAAAGTACGGTGTTCTTTTTGGTTCTATTATTTCATTTGTAGGTGGTATCTTACAAGGTGCATCTACTAACTATGCATTCTTCTTAGTTTCTAGAATGATTATTGGTTTTGGTGTCGGTATTGCTTTGACTGGTGCTCCAGCTTGGATCGCTGAACTTTCATTCCCAAGTTACAGATCCTCATGTACTGCTGTCTTCAACACCTTGTGGTACTTGGGTGCCATTCTTGCTGCTTGGATTACTTTCGGTACCAGAAATATGTCAGGGGACAATTCTTGGAGAATTCCTTCTTATTTACAAGCTGTCTTGCCAGGTATTCAAGTTTTGACTTTATGGTTCTGTCCTGAATCTCCAAGATGGTTGATTGACCATAACAAAGAAGAAAAGGCAAGAGCAATTCTTAAGACTTTCCACACTGGTGATGTTGAAGATGAAAGAGCAGATGCTTTAGTTGAATTTGAAATTAAAGAAATCAAGTCTGCTTTGGAATTAGAAAAATTATATGCTAGCTCTTCTTATTTCGATTTCATCAAGATCAAGACTTACAGAAAGAGATTATTCTTGGTTTGTTTTACTGCTTTCTTTATGCAAATGTCTGGTAATGGTTTAATTTCTTACTATCTTGTTTTAGTTTTGGACAGTATTGGTTACACTGGAAGTACTGAACAATTGAAGATCAACGGTTATTTACAAGTTTTCAATATTGTAATCTCTGTTGGTGCAGCTCTTCTTACTTACAGATTCAAGAGAAGACATCAATTCTTGGTTTGTCTTTCCGGTATGCTTTTATGTTACATTATTTGGACTATCCTTTCAGCTATTAATCAACAACGTAATTTCGAAGACAAGGGTTTGGGTAGAGGTGTTCTTGCCATGATCTTCTTGTTCTATTTTTCTTATGATATTGGTGCTAATGGTTTACCATTCTTATATGCCACTGAAGTCTTACCATACTCACACAGAGCTAAGGGTCTTAACCTTATGTACTTCACCCAATTATGTACTCTTGTCTATAACGGTTACGTCAACCCAATTGCCATGGCTGCTCTTGAATGGAAATATTATATTGTCTGGTGTTGTGTCTTGGCTTTTGAATTGGTTGTTGTCTACTTTACGTACGTTGAAACTTTCGGTTACACTTTGGAAGAAGTTGCTGTTGTCTTCGGTGATGATGCTGGTACCACATTGGGAAATCTTTCTTCTTCTGATGAAAAGCCTGCTTTCGAACACTTGGAGGACGGTAACTCGTCTACTGGAAAGATTGGTGAAAGAGCTTAAGATAGCTAAGCTTATTCTAGTACCATAAAATTATGAATCTATTCTTTAATATGCTGACAACTTTGTCTTTAATTGTTTTTCTTACCTTGAAGGTCTATATAGTCTAAAGTTTTAGTCAATAAATTGTACCTAATAATAAAATAATTTTGTAGACATAATAATAACTTCTTTACGATTTAAATCGAGAAACGTAAGATGCAGTGTAATTATTCGCTAAAAGCTACAGTAAAAATATAATTAGTGTATCTATGCTTATGACATGTTCAACACGAATACAATATTTTATCTGTTGGTCTAAGTCTTGAAGAGTAGCTGCTTCTATCAGATTTGAAAGGGTTAAAATTGAATTCTATACCGCAAGAATACTGATTATTAAGTTTTCTTCGGTTTTTAAAATCCGCAAATATTGTTATTAAAATCAGTTAAATTTGAATTATTTGTTATTTCCTATAGTAATTTCTCCAGTACATTGACCCCACTTGAACCCCAGATTTTGAATTACGAAGCTGTTCCAATGATTATTTAAGAAGTATCAGGAATAATTAACAACCTGTTAGAAATGCAGGTTTGCTATGATATTGTATGAGAACTCTAGATATATGAGGGAAGGTCTTTCCCCATCTAAGTTGTACTTGGTTTAGGAAATTAAATTAGTTGTCATTGTTAACAATATGCGGTTGAAGCCAGTCATTCAAATTTCTCAAAGGTGGAATTTTCTCATTCAGACCCACGCGAATATCAGCTAACACTTCCTAATTTAGAATATAACCCCTTTAAATCTTCATTTAGCAGCCTCACAATGGCTGATCTCCTAATTAGGAAGCATAACCTTATGTTCTAAAAATGTGTTACTCTATAACCTTCCAATTCCAAAAGTATGGGGAAATTGATTTTGTATTTTTGATTAATAAAAGCATCACAAAGCAAGGATTTAGTTACATCTGTTGGAATTTTTTTCTTGGAAATAGTCTTAGGGTTATGATAACGTCAATGCTAATATTCTCTGAAGAAGGTACAGTCAGAAATATACTATCCCATGAACTAGGCTATTATTTTACTGAGTGCACTGTAACAATTCCGCCCTCAATCCCCCACGAAAAAATCCAAAAAAATCTCATATAAAGCAATAAAAATAAGCAAAAGTGGTATTTTCAGCATGGACCTTATAATGCATACTAACCATCGGCAAAATTAAATCTTCTACGACTTTCCTTCGTTATGTAAATTGATTTTCGACTCTTTTTCTATTATAATTTGCTTTGTTATTACCAATTTTTCAAAGTTTTATACGCGAACTCAGTTGTAAGTTTCTCGGGAAGTTTTTCAAACTCAATCTATAAAACAACTAATTTCCCCATATTCTCAAACTTTAAGCATATAAACTTGTTTTTATCAATACAATTGATATTTTACATTTATAGAAACATTACAAACAGAATGTCAAGCGGATTTTTAACTACAAAGGGTACTAAAATTGTCGATGCCCACGGCAAACCAGTTGTTTTAAAGGGTACTGCCATTGGTGGTCATTTAAATATGGAAAATTTCATTACTGGTTATCCAGGTCATGAAACTGAACATAAAAAGATTATTAAGTCAAAGATTGGTGAAGAAAAATTTGAATATTTTTTTGATAAATTTTATGAATATTTCTGGACCGAAAAAGATGCTGAATTTTATAAAAATGAGTTAGGTTTCAACTGTTTAAGAATTCCTTTTAATTATCGTCATTTTGTTGATGATGAAGGTGATTTCTTTAAAATCTTACCAAAAGGTTTTGAAAGATTAGATAGAGTTATTGATATTTGTTCAAAATATGGTATTTACACTATTTTAGATTTACACGCTACTCCAGGTGGTCAAAATCAAGACTGGCATGCTGATTCTGGTATTCATAAATCTATTTTCTGGGATTTTAAAGTCTTCCAAGATTGTATTATCAATCTTTGGGTCGAATTAGCCAAACATTACAAAGACAACACTTGGGTTGCTGGTTACAATCCATTAAATGAACCAGCTGTTCCAGATCATTCTAAATTGGTTAACTTTTACCGTAGATTAGATGAACAAGTTAGAGCTGTCGATTCAAATCATATCTTTTTCCTTGATGGTAACACTTACTCTATGGATTTCAGACAATTCCCAGCCCCAGCTGATTTTATTCCAAATTCAGTTTACTCTATTCATGATTATTCAACTTATGGTTTCCCAAATATTGAAGGAACTCTTTACACTGGTTCAGAAGTTGAAGTTTCAAAATTAAAGCAACAATACGAAAGAAAAGTTGAATATCATAAAGAGCATAATGTTCCAGTTTGGAATGGTGAGTTCGGTCCTGTTTATGCTTCAGAAGTTAGAGGTGATAAAAACCCAGAAGTTATCAACAAGGCTCGTTACAAGGTCTTAAAAGATCAATTAAGTGTTTATAAACAAGGTGATCCATCTGGTGATGGTACTCCAATTTCTTGGTCTATTTGGTTATATAAAGATATTGGTTATCAAGGATTAACTTTCGTTTCTCCAAAATCAAAATGGTACCAAGTCTTTGGTGAATTCTTACTTAAAAAGAAGAAGCTTGGTTTAGATAGATGGGGAAATGATATTGATCCAGAATATAATCAATTATATCAAAATTTGATTGATCATATTCATGCTAACACTCCAGAAAAGTATCACAGAGCTATTTACCCTCACGTCTGGACTGCTCAAGATTACCTTTTCCGTGTTGCTAAGGATATGTTATTTTCTCAATATGCTCAACATGAATATGCTGACTTGTTTGTTGGTTTAAGTTTCGAAGAATTAGATGAATTAGCTGCTTCTTTCAAATTCGAAAACGTAGAACAAAGACAAGAGTTAAATGAAATCTTAAAGGACTACTAATCGTCACAAAAGTTCTCGGTTTTGAAAGTCCGTTTATAGCTATTATGTTATAGATAATATATCATTAGTATTAATATCTAGATTTGTATTGAAGTGATTTTACCCCACTTCAGTGTAACCCCAGATTTCGAAATTAGGAAGTAGTTCCCTTGATAAGGGCTTTATTAGTATTTTTTGACCTCTTGATTGTTTATTTTGTTTGTTCTTTTGTTTTTCGTGTGCTGAGAATACAACCTGTAATTTTTGAAACTATTAAAAAAATGACTTGGGATTGAGACCCAGCCAAGTATGAATAAAACGACTAACTCGGATACCGTTTTAGATACCGTGTAAATGAGAAAGATCTATTTCTACTACACAAAAGTCTAATTTGATTTTTTTGCGGTGATTACAAAGATGGAATGATTGCCTATTTAGATCTAACTTGGATTTGACATCATGATCTCTCTCTTGGGTTGGTCCTCAAATCAGTATTTCGTAAGTTACTCCCCACCAAGGAGAGTACTTGAATAGTTATACCCTAACCCTTAAGAAACTCTACTACATATGAACTGACTATTCCTTGTAAGACTGAAAGCTGGTGAAGTAATCAATGAAATTGAATCACTACTTAACATACCCCTCAGCACCTTCTCCACTAAAATTACATCTTGCCAGTTTTATTGTTATACAAAGTTCACTTACATGTAATTGAAGATTGTTGAACAAGGAACTTATTTAGCCTTTCTGATGATTCACAACATGGTCATTATTTTTTTATTTCTTTATCTGTATGTCAAACTTTTGGAGCAATTCCTAAATCTGCAAATGCAAATTAAAATTTTGCAGGTTATGCACGAAATTATTTTTTAAGACACTTTTCTAATTTTGCAGGAAAATCAGACATTTTTTAAAAAACTCTAATGGAAAGGAGGGGGCGTTGTGATGAAGGTGGGGTACATATTCCCTTGCAATATATCTGGGGAAATTGCTTAGTCTCTCCCCATTGGGGATTCATCCCTATACAAGGGATACATAACTACGCGTCGTCAAAAGTGTGTTAAGCCTACGGAAAAAATGGTTACCCCACTTGTCTTCCATAGTTGGGTGGCTTTCCAAAACCAGTACGATTTCCTTTTTAAATCTGACATTTTCAGTAATTCGTAATCTAAATTTTCCATGAAATCCCCATCTTTATGAATCGATTCAATAAGGTTTGACTAACAAAGATAGTATTGTATGGATCATTAAAAGAGATGGTCTTCAAGCAATGATATGATGTTAGTTAACATACTTCCTTGGAGAGTCGGCAAAAGGAAGAATGTTGACCATATATGTTTTACACTTCACTTTTTTAAATAAATCTTCTTGAAACTCTGTATGTAACAAACTCTCCTATTATTTTTTGGTTTGTTAAAAAAAATTGGTTTGTGTTTATAATAGTATATAAAGAACTATTTTTCCGAAATATACCAAAATCATAAAGATTTTGACAATTAGGTTTTTTATTGAGCATATCTAGTTGAACAAGATGAGTCCAATTAAAACTACAAGTTACAAGCAATTAGATGTCGATTATTTAATCGAAGAATTAACTATACCTGAAAAGATTTCCTTGTTAGCTGGGAAAGATTTTTGGCATACAGTTCCAATTCCAAGATTAGGGGTTCCATCAATTAGAGTCTCAGATGGTCCAAATGGTATTAGAGGAACTAAATTTTTCAATGGTGTTCCTTCAAATTGTTTTCCATGTGGTACTGGTTTAGCCGCTACTTTCAACAAGGATTTGTTAGTTGAAGCTGGTGAATTAATGGGTAAAGAAGCCAAAATGAAAGGAGCTTCCGTTATCTTAGGTCCAACCTGTAATATTGTTCGTTCTCCATTAGGAGGAAGATCTTTTGAAAGTTACTCTGAAGATCCACTTTTATCTGGTATTGCTGCTTCTAGTGTTGTCAAAGGTATCCAAAATGAAAAAGTTGTTGCATGTCTTAAGCATTTTGTTTGTAATGATCAAGAAGATGAAAGAAAGAATGTTGATACTTTACTTACTGATAGAGCTTTTAGAGAAGTTTACTTAAAGCCATTCCAAATTGCCATCAGAGATGTTAATCCAAAGGCTTTAATGACCTCTTATAACAAGGTTAATGGTGAACACGTTTCTCAAAGTACTGCTATTTTGCAAGATATCTTAAGAAAGGAATTCAAGTATGATGGTACAATTATGTCAGATTGGTTTGGTACTTATTCAATTAAAGAATCATTAGATGCAGGATTAAATTTAGAAATGCCAGGTCCTACTAGATTTAGACAAGCTATTCAAACTCTTCACGCGGTTCAAGCAAATCAAATTAGTGAATCTGTAATTGATGAAAATGTCCGTTACGTTTTAAATTTAGTTAATGAAGGTTTAAAAGCAGAAATTCCTGATGATGTTGTCGAATCAGCTAATGAAGATCCAGCTGCTGGAGAATTATTAAGAAAAGTTGGAGATGAATCCATTGTTTTATTGAAAAATGAAGGTAATATTTTACCTTTATCAAAATCTGCTGTTAAGGGGCAAGAAAAGATTGCTGTTATTGGTCCAAATGTAAAAGCTGCCCAAGATTCTGGTGGTGGTTCAGCTTCTTTAGCTGCTCGTTACAAGATCACCCCTTGGGAAGGTATTAAAAACAAAATTGCAGAAGGTGGAAATACCGTTACTTTAGACTACGCTTTAGGTGCATTTTTAGATAGAAACTTACCTGATGTTGGAAGTATTTTAATTGCCGAAGATGGAGAAGCTGGAATTGATGCAAGATTTTACAAGCATCCTCCTGGATATAAAGGTGATAGATTCTTACTTGAAACCTATAAATTATCCACTTCTCAAATTTTCCTTTCAGACTTTAAAAGTGAAAGATTAGAACCAAATGACATTTTATTTTATGCTGACTTGACTGGTACCTTTGTTCCAGATGAAACTGCTGAATACGAATTTGGTGCTTCTTGTTTGGGTACTGCTCAAGTTTTTGTTGACGATGTTTTAGTTGCTGATAATAAAACTAAGCAAACCAAAGGTGATGCATTTTTCTTAGGTATGGGTACTAGAGAAGAAAGAGGTTCTATTCAATTAGAAAAAGGAAAATCTTATAATGTTAGAGTAGAATTTGGTTCAGCTCCAACTTATACTTTACCAGATGGACCAGTCGAAGCAGGTGGTGTTTATTTCGGTATCCGGATCAAGTCTCCAGCTGAGGTTGAAATCAATAAAGCTGTTGCATTAGCTAAAACGGTTGATAAAGTTGTTATTGTTGCTGGTCTTTCAAAAGAATGGGAATCTGAAGGTTTTGATAGACCAGATATGGAAATTCCAGGTTACACAAATCAATTAATTGAAGAAATTGTCAAGGTCAATCCTAATGTGATTGTTGTTAATCAATCAGGTTCTCCGGTTACATTCCCTTGGTTAGATAAAGTTCCTGCTTTAGTTCATGCTTGGTTTGGTGGTAACGAATTAGGAAACACAATTGCTGATGTTTTATTCGGTGATCACAATCCTTCAGGTAAATTATCAATGACCTTCCCAAAGAGATTGCAAGATAATCCATCCTACATTAATTTCGGTGCTACTAATGGCCGTGTTTGGTATGGTGAAGATGTATACGTTGGTTACAAATATTATGATAAAGTTGGTTTAGAACCACTCTTCCCATTTGGGTATGGTTTATCTTACACCTCCTTCAAATTTGATGACTTGGTCGTCAAATCAAATGAAGAAAATGTTAATGTCACTGTTAATGTTACTAATACTGGTAAATTAGAAGGTGCTGAAGTAGTTCAAATCTATATTCAAGCTGAAAATCCAATAGTTAATCGTCCTGTAAAAGAATTAAAGGATTTTGCCAAAGTTAATTTATTAGCTGGAGAATCTAAATCTGTGGAATTAGAATTCAGTATTAAAGAAGCAACTTCATACTGGAATGGATCTAAACACAGTTGGCAATCTGACAAAGATACCTACAAAGTCTTAGTTGGTACAAGTTCTGCTGACATTGAGCTTGTAGGTACCTTTACCACTCACTCAACATTCAACTGGACCGGTGTTTGATACATTTGTCCAATTATATAATATAACTAGATTTGTTAATATAATATTTATGACTTGTTTTGACTTACCTTCAACCGTTGCAAAACTTGTAGAATTAGTAGAGTAATCTTGAAACTGCATACAAAGTATCTAATCCTGTATATAAAAGATTCCAAAAATATAAAATATTGAAAAAGATTCAGATACTGAACTATAATATTTATAATGTTATCAATCACCTACCATGGCATCATTTGTTCGTTATCTTTCGTCTACTTTAGTGGTTCGTAGTTCAAAGATTAATAATAGTCAGTTAAAACAGATTTCGATTGCTAAATCTAAAGTGCGGAAGAATATACTACCTTTAGAAGAATTTGTTTTTAGGTCTAGAGTAAAGCAAATTTATAGAGATGTTTTAAGACTCATATACAAGTCTCATGAAAAGAGAGATTTATTGGAGTTTACTAAGGCCGAGTTCAATATAAATGCTAATGAGACTGATCTCAATCATAGAAAATACTTGTTGCATTTGGGTATTAGAAGAATAAATGAAATGGTTACGATGTTAGGTATTAAAACTCCAGAGTTCAAATAGTGAAAAAATGAATTATTGTGCATTATTTGGTCTATGTAACATTTATTTGAGGTTTTGAATGACTTTGATTAATGGGTCTGCAGAAGCTACTATGGAATCGTTAATAACAACCGCAGAACTTCTGACATCAATATCTAATTCTGATATCTCTAGAGAAGAGTTTAACTCGTTCAACTGTTGGATTTGTGTTTCCTTGAACTTGAACTTGAACTTCTTTAATTCGGAAATCACATCATCAAGACAATTCTTGATCTCTTGCCAACTTTTGTGGCCCTTGGATGATTTCAAAAATAATGAAGTAATTTGAATCAATTCTATAAGATTAGTCAAGTTGTGACTCAATTCCCAAGACAATATTGAAGATGCTGGTACTAAGCTTGATTTCATTTTATCAAGTTTAAAATTCTTAACAATGAAATTCAATGCTGAATTTAATTCATTTGCATTCATATGACCCTTGAATAATTTTAAAATATTATGGTTAATCTTAGATAACAAAACATCAAATGCTAACTTTGGTTTATAATTTGAAATAAATTTATTGTATAGTTTTAGATACTTTTGGATAATCTCATCTTTGGTTTCAAACATTATAAGATATTTTAATATATTTAATTTAATGATAGTAGGGTTAATTTGTTGGGAATTAATTGGAACGTTGAGTAGATCCTGATTCAAATGCTTAGAATCAGCATCTAATAAACCAAATTTCCACTCCGAATTAAAGTCTCTATTATCGATCATATCATTTTGAACTATAGCTTCTCCAGTATTCTTTAACAAGTTTGTAAAGTAATTCATATAAGAAGTGTCACCTAAAACTATCGAATGTTTAATAATGTTCAGAATTATAAAATTTCTCGAGACTGAATTACTCAAACGTTTACCAAAGTTTATAAAACTCTGTAATTTATTAAACACTCCCTTTTCAAAACCTTCAAATATGTTAGATTCGATTTCTTTATCTGAAGTTAAATAGAATCGATAAATGTTTACGAGATCTGATAAATGTTGCTTTGAAGGATTGAGTGGAATAATATAATGACTCAAAGTCTCATGCTGAATCATTTTGATATTCATGCTTTGATAAATTTCCAAGGATAAGTCATTAGCATTTAAGTTTGAATACAACTTCATGAGCCATAATTTGAGTTTATGATTATATTTGTCTTCTTGTAACAAATTGTTTATAATGTAAATGTTTTTAACAATGTTTTTAATACTTGAATCGTTTGATAAGTCAACAATAATTGAAATTAATAATAACTCATTTAAAGGATTATTATCAAATTCACCACCTCTAATAGATTCATTAACTTTATATAAATTGTAAATCTTCCAATTCAAAGAATTAAACTCAGTTAATTCTGAGTCTTTTGATAGTAAGAACCAGAATTTTTGATTATTTATGAGCTTAATTAAATCGTTGATCGAATTAGATGATGTTTCTAATATTGAAATAGTTGAATTATCAACTTCTGAAATAAACTCTGTTGTATCAATTTCAGACAAATAACCCTTTAAATCATAGAAACAGCAAAGCTTATGATTGAATTTTGTATAATACGATGCAATAGGTTGAAAAATATCAAGTCCATAAGTTTTTGAGATATGAATCAACGCAATAGAAGAATTTCTCTTAATTTGGTATGAATTGATTTTCGAAATTAAGTCAGTAGAACTCGTATTCAATTGAAAATTTGATTTAATCCATAACTTCCAAGTATCAAAATCATCAAATTTATCTTGAAATAATAAATGTTCTGAAAATTGACTTAATTTTGACCAATTTTCTGTAACATTCAAAGTCTCAAGATACATTAAATTCAAATCTAAATCGAAATTAAACACAGATGATGCCTTGTACTCTTCGAGGGTAGTTAAAATCTCATCATTTTTATCAGATAATGACAATAGCTTAAGATAAACAAATAATTCTTGAGTATTTTTGAATGGTTTTAAATTGTCATCGAGAATTTTAATACTTAATGGTTTAAATAAGCTTAACTCTTTATCACTAACCTTTAAGGCTTCATGATTTTCAATTAATAAATAGTAACTAAAGGCGAGCCAAAAAGAATAAATTCTATTATCTTTATTTGATTTGTGGAGATTGATGAAGATCTTATTAAATAACCTCAAATTGAACTTATTTATTGACATTTGGAACCAATCAAGTATGATTGACTCGCTGTTAATAGGATATTTCTTGATGGAATTTTCAAAGATTACATTAGATTCTTTTTCCATTCCATGTTCATCAAAGAACTTCCATAGTGTTTGAAGTGTTTGTCTATCATTAGGAATCTTTTCAATTAACTTTAAGTTGTTTTGAATGGCTTGATCTGTTTCTCCCTTCTTGGATAATATTTCATTATTCAAAGCATAATAATAACTTCTTTGAGGGAACTTTTTGATCTGTTTAGATAGTTGTGATTGGGCCAATGCATAATTTCCTCTTTCTATTAGTTCGATGATCTCATTATCAGTCTTTGACATGATCAGATGGGGTTGCTCTTGGCTGGATATTTGGTTGTAAACAACATGAAGATTTGGCCGTTAAAAAAATTTTGTGCTTCCCAATCAAACGAAAAAAATTGTTAGCGGTGAAGAGTTTGGCTGCCATTTTAAAATTGACCGTCAGGATTATTCTCTTACCAACATGATTATTTAATATATTGGCTTTGAAATGAATCAGGGGTATAATTGAAGGATGCTGATACTAATATCAAAGAATTAGATTGCATTCCGCTACAAAAGTGGCCGCTTTGCCTTGATTTTCAGATGCCAAATCAGGTACAGCAATTGACGACATTATATATTAATTGACAACTTAACTATGACAAAGGTTATATATATATATATATAGTAATTTCTGTAATCCCAGGCCTTTGGTTGGGAGGAATTAACATAGATCCAGTTCAATCTTAGAAAAGTTAAACAAGATACATTATCAATTCCATTAAAACAATCTAGTGCAATGACATCACTGTCAGCTGTTATCCAACTCCATTATTGGGATTCAATCAATCCATTAAAGAAGCTATTAGTCTTCTGACATGAATTGATTATTGATTATTAAGACAATCGATCAACAACGTAATTGATTGCTTAAGTTGAAACACCAACATATAGAGGTTTAAATGGAACAATGTTCATAAAATTGAAACGAAGAAAAAAAAATGTAACCCCATTGGGTGATCTTTACTGATTTCTACTATAAAATATTACAAAATGATCGATTGATTGATTGATTTGATTGTCTATTCCAGTACTGGGTACTTGATTACACATATCTATGAAACCTGGCCCATACCTCGATTCTACATAACCGGCCCATTGCTGTCATTTCATTAATTTAAAAATATCTTAACCGATTAGATAACGAAATAGAATTAACCGATATATTAATCCTTGAATTTTTTTTTTACGTTGCTATCTTTTCAAGGCTTTATCTTTTGATTAAGGATTCCGAATTACTTGGGTCTGGATTTATCTTGTCTTATGTGGTCTTGTCGTTTCTCGCCTGGTCTTGCCTTACATTTATAAGGTATAGTAAGCCATTATGTCCTTTATTACAGTTAAGAAATTTTAAACTATGATAAGAAAATACAGATTGGCTGAGAAAAAAATAAAGCCAATAATTCCATAATTAGTAATTAGAAGTCAAAAAAAAGTCAAGAATAAAGTATGAAAAGAGACCCATGATTGATTAAGACCCCTCCCTTTCGGGTTATGATATGCATACATTGTTAATAAAATTGTCTTAGATAACAGATTGGTTTATTTTTTTGGTTTATCCTTTGATCTCCATTATAAACTGTGGAAAAATAGAAAAACCCAAAAATAGGTAAGTTGATGGATCAATTCGTATAATGATTAAGTCTTTGTCTTGTCAAGATAGCACGAGTACCATTAGAAGGCTATGTCTATGATGGACCATATATTCAAAGTGACTAAAAATAGTTACGAGAGAAGTACCGTATTCATCTCATCGTTTCAAGATCGTCTCATGAGTATTAATATTATTTATCATTTAAAGCTATCAATCAGATTATACTAATAATATCATATAACGATGCCAAGTAGTAACGTCATATAAACTGCATTTATAGGCAGGAATGTGATCATGTTACCTGTGTTCACGTGAAAATTAATATCAATTTTGGTCATACCCCCAGCCTCCATCCCTGCTCTCATCACTTAATTGTTCCATCAGGTGTTTTGTGTAAAGTTCCACTTAAATGTATTAAGCATTTTATTTTTTTGTTCTTGGCGCTAAAAAATAGTCATTACAAAAAATAAAAAAGAAACTTTTTCTTAGCAGCTTAATTTTGACAATTTCTAGTAATAGGAGATCTTTATATTTTGTAGGGCAGGAATAACAATTTGATAAGATCATGCTACGCACATTACCTTAATTCTATCATCTAAACAGATAATCATGGCATTATTTTTAGGCTTATTCCTATTGATCCAAGAATATAGTTATGAACCAATATAAATAAGCAATCATCCCCCGTCCCCTTTTATTTTATTTATTGATGTTCCTGTTCTGATAAACGATAAGCTTTCAATACTTTACATTATTATAATTATTATTATTATTAACCCATTATTTTTTTTTTAATTATAAATAAATCAATTGTTATTTATAAAAAATTATAATTATTCAAAATAGAAATATTAATTTCAACTCAATTCAAGTTTATTGAAGCATAAAGTAAAAGTATATGGATAATAATACTACACATGTCTATTTCAATGCCTACTTCAAGTATTTCAGAAAAAAAAAATTCTAATATTAATGATGATAGCTCCACTATCTCCACTGCAGGTGTTGACATAGCTTCTTCAAACAACCACAACAATCATAATGAGTTTCAACCTTATAGATTATCCATTGATAAAGTTGCCAAACTTTTAAATACCAATATTCAAGATGGTTTACATGCATCAGAAATTAGCACCAGATTACAAAAATATGGTGAAAATTCGTTAGGTGATGGTGATAAAATTTCTTATACAAAAATCCTTGCTCATCAAGTATTTAATGCTATGATCTTAGTTTTGATCATTTCTATGGTTATTGCATTAGCCATTAAAGATTGGATTTCTGGTGGTGTAATTGGTCTTGTGGTATTTATAAACATATCAGTTGGTTTTGTTCAAGAATTTAAAGCTGAAAAGACAATGGGTTCTTTAAGATCTTTAAGTTCTCCAACTGCTAGAGTCACTAGAAATGGTGATGACGTTAATATCCCAGCTGAAGATGTTGTTCCTGGTGATGTTGTTCTTATTAAAGTTGGTGATACTATTCCAGCTGATTTAAGATTAATTGATTCTATGAATCTTGAAACTGATGAAGCTTTATTAACAGGTGAATCATTACCAGTGGCTAAAGATCATTTAGCAGTTTATGATAATTTTAATCAACCAATCCCAGTAGGTGATAGATTGAATTTAGCATATTCATCATCCGTTGTTTCAAAAGGTAGAGCTACGGGTATTGCTATCTCAACAGGTTTAAATACCGAAATTGGTAAAATCGCTAGCTCGTTAAAATCAGATACTGGTTTAATCAGAAAAGTTGATAAATCAAATGATAGAAAACCAAACAAGAGAGAATATTCAAGAGCTTTCTTTGGTACATTAAAAGACATCGCTGGTAATATTTTAGGTATTACAGTCGGTACTCCATTACAAAGAAAATTATCTTGGTTAGCAATCTTCTTATTCTGGGTGGCTGTTCTTTTTGCTATCATTGTTATGGCATCTCAAAAAATGTATGTTAATAAGGAAGTTGCAATTTATGCTATTTGTGTTGCCTTATCAATGATTCCATCTGCTTTAATTGTTGTCTTAACTATTACAATGGCTGTTGGTGCCCAAGTTATGGTTATGAAAAATGTCATTGTTAGAAAATTAGATTCATTAGAAGCCTTAGGTGGTATTAATGATATTTGTTCTGATAAAACTGGTACTTTAACTCAAGGTAAGATGATTGCTAAAAAGGTATGGTTACCAACTGTTGGAACTTTTGATGTTCAAAATTCTGATGAACCATTTAATCCAACTATGGGTGAAGTTAAATTTTCAAAATACACTCCTCAATTTATAAGAGATGCTGATGAAGAAATTGATTTTAATTTATCTTATCCAGATAATCCAATGCCAAAAAATTTCCATAATTGGTTAATGACTGCCACTTTAGCTAATATTGCAACTGTTAATCAATCCAAAGATGAAGAAACTGATGAATTAGTTTGGAAAGCTCATGGTGATGCTACTGAAATTGCAATCCAAGTCTTTACCACCAGATTAAACTATGGTAGAGACTCTTTAGAACTGAATTATAATCACTTAAATGAATTCCCATTTGATTCTTCAATTAAAAGAATGTCAGCAGTTTATCAACATAAGGAATCTGGTGAAACTCATGTTTATTCAAAAGGTGCTGTTGAAAGATTATTAAGTTGTTGTACTTCATGGTATGGAAATGATGATATTACCGATGACCATTATGATTCTCAAACCTTACTTCCATTAACTGGAGATGATAAGGAAATCATCGAAGAAAACATGCATGCCTTATCAGCCCAAGGTCTTAGAGTTCTTGCATTTGCTACCAAAGATATCACTGGTGATTCTTCCATCGATACCGATAATAGAGATCAAATTGAATCTAACTTAATTTTCCAAGGTTTGATTGGTATTTATGATCCACCAAGAAATGAAACTGCTCCATCCGTTAAACTATGTCATAAAGCTGGTATCAATGTCCGTATGTTAACTGGTGATCATCCAGGAACTGCTAAAGCTATTGCTCAAGAAGTTGGTATTTTACCTCATAATTTATACCATTATAGTAAAGAAGTTGTAAAAGTCATGGTTATGACTGCCATGGAATTTGATGCTTTATCCGATGAAGAAATTGATCAATTGCCTGTCTTACCATTAGTTGTTGCCAGATGTGCTCCTCAAACCAAAGTTAGAATGGTTGAAGCATTACATCGTCGTGAAAAATTCGTTGCTATGACTGGTGATGGTGTTAATGATTCTCCATCATTAAAGAAAGCCGATGTTGGTATTGCTATGGGTCTTAATGGTTCTGATGTTGCTAAAGATGCTTCTGATATTGTCTTAACTGATGATAACTTCGCTTCCATTTTAAACGCTGTTGAAGAAGGAAGAAGAATGTCTGCCAATATTCAAAAATTTGTTTTACAATTATTAGCCGAAAACGTTGCTCAAGCTCTTTATTTAATGGTTGGTTTAGCATTTATTGATGAATCAGGATTTTCAGTATTCCCATTATCTCCGGTTGAAGTCTTATGGATTTTAGTTGTTACCTCATGCTTCCCAGCTATGGGTTTAGGTCGTGAAAAGGCTTCTGAAGACATCTTAGAAAAAACTCCTAATAATACTATTTTTACTTGGGAAGTTATTTATGATATGTTTGCCTATGGTGTTTGGATGGCTGCTTGTTGTTTAGCTTGTTTCTGTATTGTTATCTATGGTAAGGGTGATGGTTACTTAGGTGTCAATTGTAACGCTAACAACTCCAATAGTGATGTATGTGACTTGGTATTCAGAGGTAGATCAGCTTCATTTGCTACTATGACTTGGTGTGCTTTAATTTTAGCCTGGGAATGTATTCATCCAATGAATTCCTTATTCTACATGAGACAAGATACTGACAATCCATGGTGGAAACAAACTGCCATTGACTTATATGGTAATAAATTCTTATTCTATTCAGTTCTTGGTGGTTTCGTTAGTGTTTTCCCAGTTGTCTACATTCCAGTCATTAATACTAAAGTCTTTTTACATAAACCAATTGGTTATGAATGGGGACTTGCATTTGGATTCACAATCTTATTTTTATTAGGTGCTGAAGCCTGGAAATGGGCTAAGAGAATCTTTAGAAGAAATCAAGCATCAAAAGCAAAGAATCCAGAGTATGAATTAGAAAGAGATGATCCATTCGAAAGATATGCATCATTCTCTAGATCCAATACCATGGAAAAGCCATTAAAGATGGTTTAAGCATATTTTCATTTCATTATTATATAATTTATTCTATACATACATCGATTGTTCCCCCCCCCCGCTTCTCGTTTTTTCGCATCTTTCATTTACATTACTCTTTTATAAACTAATTAATAAATTCATAATAATTTTAAATCATTTATATTTCATATGTATAATCTAAATATCTATAACGTCTCTATCTTAATAATTGATCTTTAACTTCAAATTGTCCACCTAAATGATTTGTATTTCCAAATGTTTGAATGATACCTTCACCATTAGTCTTATTAATATCAATAGTTGAAACTGATGTGTTAAAGGGTACTTTTAAATCATGAGGATGTAAATTTACATTCAATTTGTAATTTCTATAAGAATATAAATGATTTACAAATCCAGTGATAACACCACCATGAGTACATATTATCACATTTTTATGATTTTCATTTCTTGAAATGATATTATTCCATTCATTTTCAACTCTGGTAATCAATTCATCTTTAGTTTCTCCCAAGTTTTTAAAATCATGTCCATATTTAGATAAAGCTTCGGAAATGTGCATACCTTGAACTATACCCATATTTCTCTCTCTAAGATTCGGAGTAACTTTTAAAGGTGCAGTAGGATCACGAACTGATTGATATTTGATGATTTTTGAAATAGTATTACGACACCTTATCAAATCTGATGAGACCATTTCATCAATATCAAATTCAGAAAACAACTCTCCAACTTTTTCAGCTTGTTCTTCGCCTGTTTGATTGATATCAATATCTAAATGTCCTTGTAAGATCTTCTTTAAGTTATGATCAGTTTGACCATGTCTAACAATAAATATTCTTAGTACTTGTTCATCGTCATTGGGGAAAACATCCTTAGTCATATTTCTTGACGGTTGTGGTTAATGCTAATCATCTTCTTTCTAAAAGGAAAGTGACATAAATATTTTTTGGTTTCAAATTATGATAAAGGAAACGAAAGAAAAAAAAAAAAAGAAACGTTTATCAGTTGATAAATTCTATGACGTCTGTATACAGGAAATTTTTTTTTTTTATCTATTTACTCTAATTAATTTTTCATTATAAACCCTTTTTTTATAAATACCATTAACTCAGATGAGATCATCATTTGAGTTGTTCAGCACTCTTTTTGAACTCTTCAAACACATCACGTTTGATTTTGTATCCGTGTTCTTCTGCAACTGGGAATTGTGCTTGTTTGACTTCCTTATGATATAAGCTTATAGCTTCAACTCCTTTAGTGAAAAAGTTTTCATAAGATTTAACAAATTTCGCCACATGATTTTCACTTGGATCTTTCATTCCTAACATATCAGATATAACTAAAACTTGACCTGAAGTTGATGGTCCAGCACCTATACCAATAGTAGGGATTGAGATATTGTTAGTGATATATTCAGCTAATTTATTAGGCATACATTCTAATACAATGGCAAATGCACCAGCCTTTTCAATATCTAAACATTCTTGATATATTTGTAAAGCACTTTTCACTGAATTACCTTGTAATCTATAACCTCCTAATGAATTATGTTTTTGAGGAGTTAATCCAACATGTCCCATAACTGGTATTCCAATTGTAACCAATCTTTTAATAGTAGGTAAAGTATATTCATCACCTCCTTCTAGCTTTACACCTTGAATTTTAGCATATTTGATTAACTTAACGGCACTGTCTATAGCTTGTTCAGGTGATTGTTCATATGATCCAAACGGAAGATCTGCAATTAATAATGAAGATTGATTACCTCTTTGAACTGATTTAACATGATATAAGAACTCTTCGAACTCTAATTCATTAGTATCTTGCAATCCTAACGTGGTGTTGGCCAAGGAGTCCCCAATAAGATTGATATCTACCTGAGCTTGATCCACCATACGAGACGTTATAAAATCATGCGCAGTAACCATTGTAATTGGTTGCAGTGACTCATAAAGTTGGCCTATATCAGCCAAAGTTTTTCGGGTGACCGCATGATAAGATGACCGTAAGACTGTATTCAGAGAAAATGATCTCAAAGATATCTTGATTATTGAGGTTATCATCCTAAAAGTCTGATAATCTTGCAGCTTAATTTAGAAATGTAACTGATATCCGCCTAAATGTAATTGAAAAAAATATATCTAGAGAACGAGAGGAGGATATATTTTCGCGGTATGGATGTTTGGAGGAGACAACTAAAGACCTTTACATCCGGTGTATGTCGCGGACCGATGGTTATAGGGACACAAATCGTGAAATTAATATCGACCATTTATAAGCTTTTTCAAAATCCAATGTGGAAAGCTATAAAATCATTCAAATCACCACAATTGATATCAGTTAGAAGCTTTAGTAGATCTATTATCGTTCAGAATAAATTAAACATGCCTGAATTCGATGATTCGTTCCTTATGAACCATACTTGTCTCCGTATCAAGGATCCAAAAGTTACGGTTCCTTTTTACACTGAGAACTTTGGCTTACAATTACTTAGAACTGTTCCATTCCCAGACTTCACCTTATATATGTTAGGGTATGAAAATGCTGAAAATAAGTCAAAGAATTGGTCAGCTAGGGAAGGTGTCTTGGAATTATGCCACAATCATGGGGTTGAAAATGATCCCGACTTTAAGTTGAATCATGGTAATGGACCTTAGTTTAGAGGGTTTGGTCATATTTGCTTTTCAGTTGATAATATTCAAGTCTTAGAAGAAAAATTATTAGCTAAGGATGTCAAATTCCAAAAGAAATTATCTGATGGTCGTCAAAAGGATATTGCTTTTGCATTAGATCCAAATGGTTATTGGATTGAATTGATTGAACATGCTAATGGTAAGGTTGAAGCTAAAACTGATGCATCCACTTATAAATTCAATCATTCTATGATAAGAGTAAAAGATCCAAAGGCTTCGTTAGATTTCTATCGTAATGTATTAGGATTCAAATTGATTTCAAGTCATGAATTTCCAGCTGCAAAATTCACTCTTTATTTCTTAGGATATGATCATAGTCCAGATTTCAAAGAAGATTCTGCAGATAGAACTGTTAAAGCATCCAGAGAAGGACTTATTGAATTAACTCATAATTGGGGGTACTGAAAGTGATCCAGAATTCAAAGGATACCATAATGGTAATAGTACTGAAGGTGGTGCTATCCAAGGTTATGGTCATACTGCTGTTAGTTGTAAAGATCCAGATGCTTTATGTAAGCAAATTGAAGAAGAATACGGTGATAAAGTCAAATGGTCTCTTAAATGGGATCAAGGTAAGATCAAGAGAATTGCCTTCATCCAAGATCCTGATGGATATTCCATTGAAATCGTTGGTTATGATTTATTAACTAAAGATTCTAATTTGTAAGCTTTTATAATCTTATATAATAATAATACATTATATACTTAGATCAAAAAGGTCGTGTAAATGTGTAAGAAAAAATCGGGGTTTATGAACGCAGCGGGAATTTGAAATGTCAAAGAGAGAAATCAAAAGGAGGATTAGTAAGGTTTATAACTATTAATTGCTTTCTAATAGACTAATCGATTTTATGATAACAACTGTCTTCAGACGCTACATATCAATATCAAACATGGCTAAACAGCAAACTATCGAAAGGGTCCAAGGTTTAATTAAATCTAAACCAATCTTCATTGCTTCAAAAGTATGTATTTTTTGTTCGAGAATTTCAGTGTGGCAACAATACTAACTTTTAAATTTTAAGACTTACTGTCCTTACTGTAAGGCTACTAAGAGTACTATCTCTGAAATCACTAAAGATGCCTATATCTTGGAATTAGATGAATTAGATGATGGAGCTGATATCCAAGAAGCTTTATTTGAAATTACTGGTCAAAAAACCGTCCCAAATGTTTTCATTAAGGGTGAACACATTGGTGGTAATTCCGATGTCCAAGCTTTAAAATCTTCTGATAAATTAGAATCTAAAATTAAAGCTGCTTTATAATCGATTTATAGCTATTTATTATTTAATATATGCTAATCTTTGAAATATCGGTATCGAACGATCAATTCCTAAACGATGACATGGGGTAAAAAATGTAAAAATTTGGAATATTTTCTTGACTTCTTTAATTGAAACGTGCCTATATTGATAAGAATGCCACATTACACGCCTGAGGTTGTTTTAGATTATGCTTGAATAAGTATCTCATAAAGGTTATTAATTAACTTGGCTATTAAAAGAAATTCATAAAACTGTCTAGAACCACGGCACTTAAAAAATTGAAAAATCGTATGCATAAGATTAATTACCTAAATAGGACTACAAAGGGAATACTTGACACATTTAGACGAGAGAATTCGTAAATTGGATCTTCTAATAAGTTTTAGGTATATTGATGATGCAAGATAAATTAATGATTATACATATTATTCGCTTGCGATCGTTTTAAAAAGTTGCCTATTTAGGCTGCAAAAGGGAATTTCTGAGACAGAAAAAAAAGTAACTAGTGATACCAATAAACAACTAATAGTGATGAGCTAACATCGGAACAAACTTTAAAATGATGTATTAGAACAAGTTCTTCAACTCATGAAATATAAATATGATGATAAATCCTGGTTTTCAGAAGTGTTTTAGAATGATATAGATACATTATTAGAAGTCATATCAAGTCACTACTATACTACTACTATTACAATGAAATTTTCATCATTCACTCTTTCAACCCTTATCACTATTGCCCTTGCTTTAGGTGCTCCAGTTCCAGCTGATGAAGATGATGCTTCTTTACCAGATGTTGTTATTCCAAATGAAGCTATCAACGCTGCTTCTCCAATCGGCTCCGATCAATATCCAGCTATTGCTGAACTTGACGGTCAAACTTATCTTGTTGTTGTCAATGCTACTGAATTCCCTGAAGTTGCTAAAAGAGATGCTGGATGGCAATTAACCTCAAAAGGTGCTTTTGAACCATTTAAAAGAGATGCTAATGCTGATGCTGATGCCGCTTGGCACTTAGCTTCTAAAGGTGCTTTCGAACCATTTAAGAGAGGTGCTGAAGCTGGTTTTAGATTAACTTCTAAGGGTGTCTTTGAACCATTCAAGAGAGATGCTAATGCTGAAGCTGAAGCTGGATGGCACTTAACCTCAAAAGGTGTCTTTGAGCCATTCAAAAAGAGAGATGCTAATGCTGATGCTGATGCCGAAGCTGGATGGCACTTAACCTCAAAAGGTGTCTTTGAACCATTCAAGAGAGATGCTAATGCTGAAGCTGAAGCTGGATGGCACTTAACTTCCAAAGGTGTCTTTGAACCATTCAAGAGAGATGCTAATGCTGATGCTGATGCTGAAGCCGGATGGCACTTAACCTCAAAAGGTGTCTTTGAACCATTCAAGAGAGATGCTAATGCTGAAGCTGAAGCTGGATGGCACTTAACTTCCAAAGGTGTCTTTGAACCATTCAAGAGAGATGCTAATGCTGAAGCTGAAGCTGGATGGCACTTAACTTCCAAAGGTGTCTTTGAACCTTTCAAGAGAGATGCTAATGCTGAAGCTGAAGCTTAAATCAGTTTCAAATTAAGCCATTTTAACTGATCTTCTCTATCTTATCTTATTTTATTAGACACGAATATTTATTATATTCACTCCTTTGTTTCCTTCTTTACTTCTTCTTATCGTGTCTATTTATCTTTCTGTTTCCTCTTTTATATATTTCCAATAAATAACTTCAAAATCAACAAGTTTACTGTAAATTTTGACCACCACTTTTTTTGAATCTGGCTGAAGTCGCACACACCTTAAATAAATTTTTCATCACTTTTTTTTATCTTGGAGTTCAGATATATGTATACATAAGGTTACAATAAATTGGATAAGTCAACATGTCAAATATAGGTTTACAAGTACGTCAGACTGTTCCTTCTATAGATCATATAGTAGCAGAATATGCTACAGGATACATACAGCATGTATCGAAGGCTACAGAAGATATCGTGTCTGCTCAACATATCAACATAGATGAAGAGATGGGTTTCATCAAAGAACTCTTAATAAATGCAGGAGGTGTGGAAACAAAGGTTTCAGGCTTAATAAAGTCATTAACAGAACAATTATCCACGAAGCTTCAAGATAACATGTCCAAGTTGGAAATTACTGGTGATACTTCCAAGAGATTATTAGATGTCAACTTATTACAATCTAATTCAAAGAGAGATATTAATACCTCATTAGCTTTATTGGGTGCTACTCATGACATTGAACATACCGGTAGAAAGATGGAAAGTAGAGTTGATAAGAAGAAATTAGAAAAACAAGAAAGAAAGATTGCTAAGAAGGTTGCTAAAAGAAATAACAAATTTGTTGAATATGAAGCATCAAAATTATTAAACTCAAAGAAGGAAGACGATTATGATTCCTTCTTTCTTGAAATCAATCCATTGGATTTTGGTTCAAGTGCTGGTAAATCTAAGGATATTAAGTTAGAAAACTTTGATCTTTATGTTGGTGATGGTAAGAGAATCTTAAGTGAATCTACATTAACTTTAGCCTACGGAAGAAGATATGGTTTAGTAGGACAGAATGGTATTGGTAAATCTACATTATTAAGAGCATTGTCTAAGAGAGAATTAAATGTTCCGAAGCATATTACCATTCTTCATGTGGAGCAAGAAATAAGAGGTGATGATACCACAGCAATTCAAAGTGTCTTAGACGCTGATGTATGGAGAAAGAGTTTGTTACAAGAAGAACAAAAACTTGGAGAAAGAATTAGCGAAATCGAAGCATTAAGAGCTCAATTTGATGAAGATTCAAATGAAGTTAAAAAGTTAGACAATGAAAGAGAGGATTTAGATGCTCATTTACAAGAAGTCAGTGATAAATTGTATGATATGGAATCTGATAAAGCAGAAAGTAGAGCTGCCGGTATTTTATATGGTTTAGGTTTTACGAAAGAGTCCCAAGGTTATCCAACTAAACAATTCTCAGGGGGTTGGAGAATGAGATTATCACTTGCCAGAGCTTTGTTTTGTCAACCTGATTTGCTTTTACTAGATGAACCTTCCAATATGTTGGATGTTCCATCTATTACATTCTTAGCTAACTATTTACAAGGTTATAAGTCAACTGTCCTTGTGGTATCGCATGATAGATCATTCTTAAATGATGTTGCGACAGATATTATCCATCAACATTCAGAAAGACTTGATTATTATAGGGGATCTAACTTTGATTCTTTCTATGCTACCAAGGAAGAAAGAATTAAAAATCAAAGAAGAGAATATGATAATCAAATGGCATACAGAAAGCATTTACAAGAATTTATTGATAAATTTAGATACAATGCTGCCAAATCTTCAGAAGCTCAATCTCGTATAAAGAAATTAGAGAAGTTACCTATGTTAGAAGCTCCAGAAGATGAAAAAGCAGTAACATTTAAATTTCCAGATCCAGATAATGTTTCACCTCCTATCTTACAATTACAAAATGTTACGTTTGGTTACGAACCTACTAAGATTCTTATTAATAATGTAGATTTGGATGTTCAAATGAATTCCAGAATTGCATTTTGTGGTGGTAATGGTACTGGTAAGACTACATTATTGAAATTATTAATGGGTCAATTGAGTCCTTTAGATGGTATGGTAAGTAAAAATGGAAGATTGAGAATTGGTTATTTTGCCCAACATCATGTTGATGCCATGGATTTGGAACTTTCAGCAGTAACTTGGATGTCACAAACATTCCCAGGTAAGACTGATGAAGATTACAGACGTCATTTAGGTTCCTTTGGTATTACCGGTAGTTTAGGGTTACAAAAGATGGAATTATTATCAGGGGGTCAAAAATCTAGGGTAGCATTTGCTGCATTATGTTTAAACCAACCACATATCTTAATTCTAGATGAACCTTCTAATCACTTGGATACTCAAGGTCTTGATGCCTTAGCTGAGGCTTTAAATAACTTTGCTGGTGGTATCTTAATGGTTTCGCATGATGTTACCATTATTGATAGGGTTTGTAATGAAATTTGGATTAGTGAAGACAATACAGTCAAGCACTTCCCAGGTAATATCCATGATTATAAGAAGCATATCTTAGCAGCTGCCGATATTGCTGGTGTTGTTAGGAAGCATTAGATATTGTAAATAGAAACTTTGATAGGGCAACAGCGTTTGCGCGTAACGCGCGATGCAAATATTATAAAAATTAAAATTAAAAAGAATCTGATAGCAATGACATGTAGATTGAAATATTCAACAAACTCTCTTAAGCTACAAGATGAGTTTTATCTCACAATTGTCAATAAAGACCAAGATTGGGCTTGGGATATTGCTATCATATACTTCATTTGAAGTTTATATGCAAATTCGTACTCAACAAATTATTAGCGAAAGAAGGGAGGAGTTCAAGAAGTTTACAAACTCCAAGGATTCTGATGTTTCCAAATTTAAGTCAGTGCTGGTAGCTGGGATGTTTGTCAATCCCTTTGAAGAGTATAGGCCGCAAACAGCTTTTGAATTCTTGTTTGTGAGAATTATGGAATTGCTTGAATCATTTTACGGTAATAAAATAGAATTACATGATAAGTTACCACAACCAAAAGATGGAGCGGTTGAAGTTGAAGATTTATTAAAACTCTTTAAACCAGATAAAGAAACTATGAGAAAGAACTCAATTATCTTACAAACATGTATTAAGAATGATGACTTTCTGGCATTGTCTTCACCTGCTGCTAAAAGTTGGCTAGAGAGAACTGAAAGTAATAATTCATCAAGCATTGATCAACAAATGCTTTTTACTTGGTTAGGCCAATCATGTGCACTTGTCCAAATATCAGGAATTAACTTTTTAACCGATCCTACTATTAGTGATCATTTAATAAGTCCAAATTTGGGACCTAAAAGGTTAACCAAATCTCCAATGAATTTGGATGATATTATGTATTCTACAAATGATAAGATCAATTTTATGTTAGTTTCTCATGATCACCCAGATCATTTAGAAATGGATCTTGTAAAGAAAGTTGGTAATAAGACTACATGGATAGTTCCTTTAGGACTTAAAAGAAAGTTAGCTGCTAAGGGAATATATAATATTTTGGAATTGGATTGGTGGGAATCTGCTGATATAACATCTTTAATATCTACCTCGGAAAACTTTAAAGATAAGTATGAAGTTGTATGCGTTCCTGCAATGCATTGGTCCGGAAGATACATCTTAGATTCTAATCAATCACTTTGGTGTTCCTTTATCATCAGACGTAATAATGAATCTATACTATATCATGCAGGAGATACTGGTTATCTGAATGAATTATTCAAAGTTATAGGTAAAAAGTTTGGTCCTGTATTTATGGGAATGTTACCTATTGGTCAATATTGTCCTTCATGGCATCAAAAGCCCAGACATATCTCCCCTGAAGAATCTTTACAAATCTGTAAAGATCTTCAAATTTCAAAGATGAAAGGTATTCATTGGGGGACATTTAAATTGAGTGGTGAGCCAATTCTTGAACCTAAGAATTTATTAATTGAATTAGCAAAACAAGCGGGAAAATCTTTATATTATGGGGTACCAGAATTTGGACTCACATATTTATATAATGTACGTGATAGAAGCGAGATAGAACTTCATATTTAGTATGAATAATAATAATACAATAATTTTTTTAAATACATATTTGATATTTGATAGAGATCCGATTTCAGATAAAAAAAAATCAGACGATTAATTGAAGCTATTTAAACATAAGCACTATATAATTTTTTTTAAATGATATGAAATCACAAAACACTTTAGATTTTAATATATATACAACATTCAGTAGACATTATGAATGGACGTTTCGAAGTATTATGAAGTAGTAGAACTCTTATTGATTCAAATCAAATCAAATCAAATCAAATCAAATCAAATCAATTTTCTTTACCATAGATCAGATGTAATTTTGCTCTTTGAGAAGCAATCATAGCTTGTTCATAAGCTTGATAATTGCTATCAGATCTTATAACTGAACCTATTGACATGAATAACCCAAATGTACCGACTGAACCCAATATATATTGACCCAATGTTCTCATTACTCCATTTGGTCCAGCACCATTTTGTAAGATTGAAAACCCACCGAATAAAACACCAACACATACTCCTACGGTGGATCCCATAATTGCACCCATTTTAAATTTTTCAAAGTTTGACGGTTGATGACCGTATTGATGTTGTTGAACTGGCGGCATCGATGAAACTTTAACCTTATATGCTATGAATTGATCAAAAGTTTTGATTGCAAATTATTAAACTCGTGCTTTCTGATCATAGTCTAAATTAACTTCACGAAAAATTTTAAACTCTATGATTTTGGGACAAAGTGCACGACCCGCGAATTTATTTTAAAACCCAAAAAAATCACTGTCCAATTATCAACTGCAACAGTTTTGGATATTGGAATAAACCCTATAAATATATTAGATAACAGTATAAATGGGTTCGTCAACTTCAAAACCTGAAACAAAGGTATTCACACCTTCAACCCCAATAGATTTTAGTGCATCTTTTTTATCACAATTGGAAAATTCGCCTGAGGTATGTAGATCTAGACTCGTTGATGGAAAAATTGATCAATTATTGAAATACTAACCCATAATATTATTATAGTCGGATTATTCAAGATCACAATTCACAGAAAAATACATTCAAGAAAGAGTAGCAGAAGAATTAACCAAATTGGAAAAGCAAACCATTCAAAGTTTTCAATCAACTACCAAATCTGCTTTAATTCCTGTTGATGATAAACCTGAATTTTCTGTACCTTCATCCAATGAAAAAATTGAAAGATTAACTAATCTCTTGAAGGAAAATGCTCAATTATCCGCCATTAGTATTCCCGAAGATGTTTTAAAAGCAAAGAACGAAGTCATACAATGTATAAAGGAAAATCCAGGAAAATCCTTAAATTGTTGGGAAGAAATTGAATCCTTTAGAAAATTAGCTAAGGACTTATAAACCAAATCATAAACCAACTTGTAACATAATATCATCATATCCTATTGATTAAAGGGAAGGAGTTTCATTTCAGCTCCTACAATTTGAAGTCATGCAACTTATTTAATCAGTCATTTAACTTATTCCAAAAAAAATATGGAGAAAATTTTCGTATATTATAGTTTAGATAATAGTATATAAATCATTTTCAAATATATAAACCCTCATCATAATCCTACAGCTTTATAGATAAGCAAAAGAGCACTATCACTTTCACCACCTCCAGCTAAAGCTTCAATCTTATCTTTACTAACCGATGATACTTTATCGTCATTAAATTTCCACCATCTTTCTCCATCTAAATCACTAGCATCTTTAACAAATGATTGATAATGACCAGAGTCAGCCGATGAACCAGCATGAGTGATAACAGCAGTCAACTCATAGATTGATGATGGATTTTCAGTGGCACCATCTACTTTAAATCCTTCTGGTAAAATTGAAGTAAGAGAATCAGCAAATTTGGTTTTAATAGAAAGAACTTTTAATTCTTCTTCTTCTTTTTGTTCTAGAGGGGTTAAAGAAGTATCTTTCTTTGATTTTTTGAAATCTCTGATTAAATCTAAATTATCTTTCTCTATTTTTCTAATTCCATCTCTAATCTTAACTTTTTCTGCTTTAATGGATTCATCTAACATTTCAGATAAATCTAATTCAAATGGGAATTGAACTCTTCTTAAGATTTTTGATTTCTTTTGAGTATCTCTTCTCCAGAAAAATCTAACAAAATGAACAGTTAAATACTTTGGTAATCTTGTTATGGTTCTACTAATTTCATATTCAGTATTACTTTGTAAAGTATCATTATATTTTTCAATGGTTTCCTTTAATCCACCTAAAATACCATCTCTTAAGAAATTGGTTTTAATATCAATATGACAATTCAATTTAGTTGCATCTTCATAAGTGATCTTTGATGGTTCATCTGGGAGAGCTAAACATTTTTGTTCTGATTTTAAAGAAATTTTGAATAAATCTTGAGTTTTTAATTCATTAGTTAAAGTAGTTAAAATTTGAGAAAATGCTTCTTCAGCATCTTGTTGTTTATAAAATCCTCTATTATCTTGTTCAGCAAATTGAGGATAAACATTTCTAAATAATGACAAGAATAATGATGGAGTTACTTTTTCGTGTTTACTTGACATTTGTTGAAATAATAATCTTAAAGCAGATAATAAAGCTTGAGAAGGATTAGAACTTGAACTTCCAGATACGGTAAAAGTCTTTAACCTTGAAGCAATATCTTCAATTTGAAAAATAGATTGTAATGATGAATTCAAATAACAAGTGTTACCTAAATTAACCAACCCAGATGGATCAGAACTAACTGTAGCTAATTGATTTTTATTAAGATCTTCAATGAATACTTGTTTTTCAACTGGTTTAGATGGTAAATCCTTGTCAGGTGTACCTAAAACCATGATTGGTTGTTTAGTATTTAAACCAAGAGTAGATACCACTTCATCATCACCCAACTTACCACCTTTGATCAAGATCTTTTGTCTGATTGCAGGTATTCTAGTCAATTCATATATTCTTTCTTTCAAAACTTTTCCAGTATCATTTGGATCAAGTTCTATGTCATAAACTTTACCAGCATTTTTTATAGAAACTAAAGTATGGTTAGTAATAATGAACATTATAGTACTCGTGGCATTGAATTTAAAGTATTACATACGTTTGAATGCTGACATTGTTCCGTGTTAGTTTGCAACAATTCTATCTTTAGCAATATGAATTTGTCAGGTTCTTGTGGCAAAATTAAAGGTTGAATGAAAATATATTTTTGTTCTAAAAAATGGGGTCGTGCAAACGCGTCAAGATTTGATTTGATTTGATAGAATGCAAAAAGTAGTAGCACTGTTATGAACTCTATAGATATGATCGAAAATGAATTAGTATGTAAAAGATTCAGTAATCGAATAGTGGGTGAAGATATACAGTATGGTTTAAAAAGAAATTGCCTTTCCAAGCACTTGTAGTTATTAACTTATGTCAAACATAAACTGAATTGGTAGCATTTTTCAATCACTAGAAATAATACACCATAAAACAGTTCATAAGTTTAATTAATTACTAGGTCAAGTCAATCATAAGCAACTATTGTTCGAAATAATAACTTAAATAGAGATCTTATATTAAAAATGCAAAAAAAAATAACAAATCTCCCGGGGGTGAGTCGAACACCCGATCTCAAGATTTCTTCGAGGAGAACTCATTACAGTCTCGCGCCTTAGCCAGCTTGGCCACCGGGAGCAATTTGTTGAATCGAAAATTTATCCACTTGATCATAGAGTGCATGTCTCACGTGATAATTGGCACGTTTTTCGGCATAAAATTGGAAATAACTCTATCATATATCAATTAATGATATTTAAAATCATTATAAGTTAATCCAATATATGTTACTAATATGTTTATAGTCTTAATTCTGAGTTTTTTAACAATTTTTGTGTATTAGTTTCTACCCAAATTTGCAACATTTATAAAAAATTTATAAGATTACAGTTGCAAAAATTATAATGTATAAACTTTTTCAATAATCATAGATGGAGTTTTTACATTATGTTTCTCTATTCCACTCCATTTATATTTCTAAATTTATAGAATATTAAATAAATGTATATTTCGAAAAAAAAAAAAAAAAAAAAACAATTAATAATAGAAATTGAATCATAATTGGTTTGTATTCCCTTATTATGCATCATTAGCTTTGAATATTAAATAATTTTAGAGTAGGTAGATGGCTATACCACTAAAAATGAGATTTACATTATTGCGAATTACTTTCTTTAAAGCCTTTTTATCATAAATAATCGACGTCTATTTTTAAGCAAAATACATTACACGAGGTTAGATATACATTTACATAGCACCATTGATCATACCAGAGCTTCTTCTAATAAGGAGAATTGATTAAGTAAAATACAATCCCCACCTCTTTCAGGATCCAATCCATAAGTATAAAAGAAACCTTCTGATGTCACAACATATATATGCAAGAGATTTAATTCTAAAAGATCTTTAGACGGATGAAGATCTTTAATAGCGACAGCATTTGTTTCGCGATCCTTAGGATTAACTAATAGTGCTTGAGGTATAAAATCATGTTGAAGTTCATTATTCATAACAGCGATAGATTTAACATCTTTTCCAATAGCATTAATCTTTAAAGAAGCAAAGTGTCTAGTTGGTTCTAGAATTGATGAAAATCGTAATGGTAAAAAATCTCCCATTTTTTGAGCTGCTTTTCTACCTAAAGTTTGAGATGATCGCCTTATAAGTCTGGCAACGGAGAGCCTATTTTGATCTATTAATGGTTCACTCTTTAATGTATTAGAAACATTTGCATTAGGATTTTCTTCATTACTTAATCCTGAATTAACACTAACATAGGAATTAGTTGAACCTTGGGATAATTTCCTTTGTTTATTACTTATAACTTCATCTAGTTCATCATCATCAACATCTTCAGCATCAGCATCACTATCATCACCATCATCACGAATATCATTAAAATCTTCATTATTATCTAAATCCTTTTTGGATGTGGTACTACCTTCTTCAATTTCTTCAGCTATTGGATCATATTCCGGTTTTGATTTCTTTTTAATATTAGTCGAATTTAATTTCTTTTGCATATGTTTTGTTGCTAAGGCTTCTTCTTCACCTAGTCTAAAGATATGAACTGTTTCACTTGAACTTGTAGCTACTATATATCTATTATCGGAACTAAAACTAATAGAATATATCTTTGTTGGATATGTACCTCTTCTAAATTGATATAATTTTAATCCTGATTCAACTGAAAATATTCTTACAATAGTTCCTTTATCAGATGCCGTAGCTAATAATCTTCCATCACTTGATAATGCAATAGCAGCTAAAGCTGATTTATGAGCTTCTATAACTGATATTGGTTGTAAAGTAGTTAAATTGAATATAATAACATCTCCTACTCTATTAGGAGTATTACTAACTGATTGAATATTATTTTGAACAGAATTTGAACCTCCATTAGTATTAATACCGGTAACTAATAAAGAATCATGAGTAATAGTTTTTGGAGGTGAAGGATAAGCTAAATAATTATTTCCTTCTTCATCAAGTATGGTTGATATAGTACATATACCATTTGGATTTGGACTTGTTTCAATAGTATGTAATAATTTCATAGTTGTAATATCATAAATATAAATTTGATCTTCTAATAAAACCAACAATTGTTTTTTAGTTAATTTTACTTGCAATATAGTGGTAGGGAATATTAAATCACAAATAGTTGATTGCCTTTTTGTATTTATAATTCTTAATTTTCTTGGTGATGATCCTGGTTCTTCACCTAATGCCACCACAGCGATTAATGAAGTACAATATAACATTTCAATGATTCCAATTGATTCTTCCTTTCTATATTGATAACATTTGCCAAAGGTAGGTTTACAATTGAAGATCTTATACCCGTTGTTTAACCCAACCGCTATACATGAAGCATCTTGATTGAAAGTAATGAAATTAACTGAATCTTCGGAATGTTTAGTATTAGTGATGATTGAATTGGATCCATCGGTAGTGATACTATTAGCATACTGTTGGGACAAGGTCTGCAGTATAGAACTTGTTTGAGCTTTCAGCATGTTTGAAGTGTGATTAGTTTATGGATGAGATGAATGGATGGATGGATGAGTTGATAGTTGTGTTGTGATGTGATGTGATATGGTTTAGTTATATGGATTGATCTTGATGTGGGTTATATGTAATTGATACTCTTTAAACACAGGGAAAAGACGAATAATGGGAGGAATATATACATAACTATGCACCGACGAAGATAGATCACTTAGTCAATGCTTCAATGGGGGGGGGGGGCGATTATCCTATGGATGTTGTAAGTTTGATTTCAAATTGATTTGATTAATTTCTAAATTTGACTATAAAATAAAAAAAGAATAACAAAAGGAGCCGTTTATTTTTTTTTGAGATTGAGATTACATCCATACCTCCAAACTGACATAATTGTTCTCCACATGTTCTTCATTATAGCAAATACCACTCCATCACCTTCATCACAGTTCATCGCTATTAAGTCTAATTTTGGTAAATAATAATAATTATAATAATTATAATGTATTTTATGTATGGTAAATTTCATGTAAATCTATTTTTAAAAAGGCTATAAAATATAATATATATGGGTAATTAGATGTGTTTAACTAACCATGTGGTGAATTTATCAAACATTTCAGGAGTTGCTTCATGACCTGCATCTTCTTGAATAAATACTTGTGAATCATTATTAGTATTCTCATATAATTCAGTCCATACTGTAGTTAATTTAGGTGGTACTAAAGTATCTTTAGCTCCAAAACTTGCAAATAATTTAATTTTATGCATAGCAAAATTTTCAAATATAGCTTGATCTTGTTTACTTAAATAATTATGAAAATATTCAGGGTATTGATGTTTCTTTTGGTCTTCAGTTAAATCTAATTCAGGATAATTAAAATAAAAATATTTTTTATCATAAGCTTCTGATTCAATTCTATTACTCTTTAATCGATTAATTAAAAGTGAACTTAAATCAGAACATCCTACTACTGGATTCAATATTTCTACTAAATCAGGATATTTACTAGCAAATCTAATCACAGTATGACCACCCAATGAATATCCACTAATTGAATTTTTAAATTTAAATTCAGGTTGAACTTCTTGTTTAACTTTATCAGATAAATAATAATCTAAATTTAAATAACCTGGTAAATAATCGATTAATAATTTCAAATCAGCCACATTCCCATCAATTCCTGACACCATATCAATAGCATGAGTTTCATTACCTCTTTTCCAATCTAAATTTTTAAGTTTATCAATTAATTTTTCACCATGATTTCTATTATCAAATGTAACACAAATTAATGGAACTTTAACATCACCTTGTTTCTTTTCATAGAATTGTTTAAGGATATTATAAGCAAACGATTCCGTAGATTTATAAGAACCTTCTCTTTGATGAATTAAATATAACACATTAATAGGAATTTCCTTATGATGTTCAGTATTGAATTTCTTGACATAGTCTTCGAGAACTGAACCATTATAAACATATGTGGTTATACCAGCAATGAAGTATTGAGATTTGGAAAATGTATCCGGGTTGTATTCTAATTTGAATGACATTGTAAGTTTACTTGAAGATAAATTGAAAGAAGATCTTATACAATAGTTTAAGAAAGAAGTTGATGGGTATTGTATATGGGGCAACAACTTTTTTTTTTTTTTTTCCCTGACCGAGATTTTCCCCACAAGAAATTTGTAACGTAAAGAAAGGGTTGCAATAATTCTATCACCTTTATAATCTCTACTTATAATATGTTACTTGGTACATACTAGGGTATCTAATTTGAATTATAATCTTCATTATCATCAGTTTCATCATTGTCTATATCTACATCTGGCCAAATATAGTTTATTCTAAAGTATCGAGCCACAAATAAGATTGGGGGTTCCAAAAAAGGATGAAATACAGCTGCAATAACCTGTTTACTACTATTACCATAGATAGAAATAATCACTGCCAATGATAATATTAGATACAACTGTGAATGTTTGGGTTCTGGTTTGAGCATAATTTCCCATCAAATGGATATCTACTATTAGGAACATAATTTGAAAGTAAGATCTCCATCACCATGGTAATAGGTTATCCACGACAGAAGTTCTTAAACACTAGCGGTATCTACATTCGAAATACTATCACTCTTCATAGCTAAAAATCCATTCTTGATAATAAAAGGAATATATATAAATGCAAAATTTCTGGTTGAGCATTATAAAAATCTCAAATTCCTAATTAGGAAGTCAATGACATTACAACCGTTGTAAGAGTTAAACCAAAAAAAGGTGTATGTGTACACAATTCTAAAAAATACAAACAAATGTCAAATAACATATACTAAAAATAGTATCTTGTCAACCCCTTTATTAGACAACGAGTTTAAATAGTTTAAAAATAAGTATCTGTCATACTTAGTTGGTATAAATTGTTATAGCGAGGATTTTTACCTAACTATTAGTGAGTAGGTCTCGAGGATTAAGATTTATTTTAATCAGGGTCAAATAGGGGATCGCTAATCAACTTTAGCCTAATTTCTAATATTGATTGCTATTACCACCACACCACACTAATATTTAGTGCGGAGTTCATCATCAGTTATAGATAGTTACAGACAGACAGACAGACAGTGGGGGAATAACCATTACTGACTTCTTTTTCGTTAGACCATCCATCGACTAAACTATATATATCATAACAACATAACACAAAGCAATTTCAATTCCAATTTCATTCAGATTCATCTTACCCGTTAGGCTCAGATTAACTTATCCAAGATCCTTTGTCATTTATTTATTATAATTTGCTTGTTTATCCCTGTATGTTATTTCCCCAAATAACTGTTAATTTATCGTGTTTTTGTATCGTATAAACGAACAATCATTACTCCTAATTACATTCTCAATCACAAAATTCCCATTTTGGTCTGTTTCAATAAGGTATTTCCCATCTTTTAATTTCTCACATATATATCCTATTGTTTTGATCCAGTCACCTATGGAATTATCGACGGCCAAACTGACAACCCCAACAACCACTCCCACAGACCCAGATGCCGAATATCTCAACCAACATCCCGTAAATAATCAACCTCAAATCTTAAGTTCTCCTCTTCAAAAATTACAAGAACAAGTAGCTAACGCAAAATCAAATCTTTCATCTCCATCCAGATCAAATCATAATTCTCAAGACGATATAATAGATCATAATCCAATCATATCTGATCCCATACACCACCATCATCATCATCAAGACGAAGAAGAACCATACCATGATAGTTCAATTGAAGAAATCAATAATATGAATAGACCAATCCATAACATCATTAATAATAATCCTATCGCTTATTCTCAAGATCGAGAAAGTATTTACTCTTTTGATTCAGTTAGTACCAATGGAAGATTACTCGATAGATTAGATATCGAAAATGAAGATATTTTAGAAGATGAATATGGTTTAACCAAACGTGAAAGTAGATCATCTCTTCATTCTACCACAAGATTATTTGAAAAGTTAGATCTCGAAAATAATAATAATATTAATAATATTAATGAAAATAAATTAAGAAGAGCAAACACATCTAGCATAAATCCTCATAGAATACCGAATGCCAATAATCTTACATCAATTAGAGAGCTTAAATCTTCAAGATCAATCCATACTTCAAAACCAAGTCAAATTCATTCCAAAAGTAATAGTGTCCATGTCAAACATATTCCTATGAATATTGTGTTTCAAAATACGAATAATTCAGTTGGATCATTTAAATCAGATATTGCATCGATTAAGAAAGTTGGTTCAGCATCAAGTACTTCCTTAGCAGCTATAAATCAAAATCAACCCCCATTACCAACTCAACCCCTTCCTGATCTCTTAAATTCAAAAGCATATTCCAACTCCACATTATTATTAAACTCAAACAAACCAGAAATGTTACATCAATCTTATTGGCAAGGCCTGAGTTCAGGTTCAAACTCAGATTTATCAGATTCCCAACCTATGCAAATGTCAAATTCTCAAGGATCTAATAGAAGTGGGTTAGCAAGAACACCATCTGCTCCTGTTATAAGAAATAGAGAAATGACAAAAGCAGCAACTGATCCTGCCTTACCTACTTTTTCCACCACTCCAGAATCATCACCAAGAAGAATTTTATCTGAAGGTTCATCATCAGCAGGATCAACCCCAACTTCAAAGTCATTATCTCAATTCCAAACTTCCCCATCATCAGATCATTTATCAGCTAGTCAAAGAACAAAACTCGCTTTACAATTAAGATCTTTAGGTAAACATCGTGAAGCATCTTATCAACTTCAAATAGCAGCAAATACCCCATTTAATTTTCCTCAAGCTATGTATCTTTATGCCCTTGCCCTAAGACTGGGGCAAGGAGTGAAACAAAATGATGTTCATGCTATTAAATGGTTATGTAAATGTATAATGAGTCATAGTTCTCATTTGCAAAATGCATCTTCAGCATCCGTATCTTCATTTATGGATAAATTACATCAACTGAACTCCCAAATATTGGTAGGTCTGATTGTAAAGAATCTTGATAATACAGTTGATAAAGATTATTATAAAAATGGATCTGATCCTAATCTTTTATGTGATTTATTTTCAAAATTATCCAAAGCCCAAATTGCTAAAGTTATTACCGTTACTAAAAATCAATCAGATACCCTTGCGTTATGTTATCATGAGTTAGGTAATTGTTTAATGAATGGTTATGGATTAGAAGCTAGAGATGAAATCAGTGGTATTAAATGTTTTGCTAAAGCTGGTTCATTAGGTCATATACCTTCAATGATAAGTTTAGGTGAAGCATGGTCAAATAAGACAAAATATCATAAAAAGGATCTTTTCCAAGCCGCTGCATGGCTAAGATTAGGTGAAATCTTTGGGGTAAAATCAATTGGTAATAGTTGGATATATAAAGAAAAATATGTTTCTCAAAAATCAGTTTAATAATACTCTTAATATTAAATATTAATAATTCTATAGACTCAATAATAATGAATGTTTACGATCTAAAAAAGAAAAGAATAGTTTATTTAATGAGGTTTACCACTCAATAAAACGTAACTAACTCTTGTACTAGGATTATGCTTGTTGTAAATATCCATAAATTCATTCATAATATGAAATAAAAAACCATCGATTTCATTGACATTGGAATAAGCTCCAAATGGTAAATAATACAATTGATAGGCTGGTCTTAAATGTTTGTGGAAATCATATAAGTTAAAATCTCGTTGAACAGCTTCTAAATTCAAGTTTCTCTTAGACCATGTAATGGGAAATTTAGACGCTATATTACTGAAAAGGAAATCAGGTCTTGCATTCATCAAATGCGCTGATATGAGATTGTTATTACCAATGGTGGTTTGTTGTAACTCGATAATTTTATCATTCAACTCCTTTCTATCATCTCTTTTGGTAAGATACAGATCAATCACTTTTATCAATATTGAGTTAACTCTCTTAATAATTAATGCTCGTGTTTGATATAAGATTGATGTTAAGATTCTTAAGAATCCACTGATCATATTATCTTTAATTGATTTACTACAATTATTAATGAATTTAATTAAATCAGAGACCTCTTGATCTAAAACTTTCCAGGACCGTTCACTAGGTAACACATCCATAACTAATTTTGATCGTTCATCGTAATCTGAAGCCATAAGCTTCAAAAGCACGTAATCAACTTGACAAATTACTGCTTTCAAATTATCTTTATTAATAGAGCTTTCAAAGTCTCCTTTAGCTGTTTTCGATAATTGTAATAAAATTGTCTTTTTATTTTGCAAAGTAGCATTAATTTCTTCTCTCATTGCTTTAGGAAGGTGTAACGTCTGCTGTTCTTCCAGATTTGGAAGTTTGATTTCTTCCAACGGCTGTGATGGCTCTTTTATCATAACTTCATTATTTAACTGCTTCAATTGTTCTCTCCTCTTATTGATATCGTCACTACGAGAACTGACAGGAGGTGATTTCTGCTTTTGCTTTTGTTCTCTTTCCTCTATCGCTCTCTCCTTTGATCTTAAAGATCTTTCATATTCCTTAAGTCTAATCTCCTTATCTTGTAGTTCTTTCTCATTGGTTTCCTTTTGCTTCTTTATCTCATCCTTCATATTTTTCTCTATTAATAACAAATCTTGTTCCTGCTTTTCTATTTGATTTTCTTTTTCTTTAATCAACTTCTCTTTATGAGCAAGTTCCTTTAGTCTAGCATCGAGCTTACGATCTTCAAGGACAACTTCTTCCTTAGACGATTTTTTAATAGATCCAAGAGGTATAATACTTGTATCTGATTCCTCTTCGGGCTCTGCTTCTGGTTCTCGTTCGGGATCAGGTTCTCTGATGTATATTCCAAGCCCAGTAGGTCCTCGTACGGTTTTACCTTTGATGACTTCTTGATACTTTTCCTTGTTAGTGAAAGAAATTCGAACCAAGAATCGTGGTTTATTTGGATCATTAGCTTTGTTAATAAACCGGACTAGTAATCGTTTCTTTGAGCTTTTCATTTTATTCGAATCAACTGGAATGACTGTAGCTGAAGTTACAGTAGATTCTGGGGTATTTGTAGCATTACTGTTATGATCAAAAATCGAAGGCAAGGTGGGTGATAGAATTGATAACGGTATATCATCATCTGGTATATTATCCTTCGCTTTGGTAAAGTTTTTCGACAGGGATACAATTCGACTTTGAACGATTTCTTCGTCATTATCATCATCATCTATAATTGAACTCTTCTTTAAGACATGTTTAGGATTGGGCGATACTATCTCTCTTTCACGGTTTCTCTTTTGTTGATCAGATATTGAATCAGGTAATGTGGGAGAAAGTGGTGGTGGTAAGTGACCTGTCTCATTATAACTTGCAAGTAATTCTTCTATATTCCAAGACACAAGTTTAGGTTTAGAATTACTTGAAGTAACCCCAATATCGAGGAGAGGAGTATTTGAACCACTATTGGAGAATTTGGTAGATAATTGTGGTGTGACTGGTGAGCTAATATATGGACTTGATACTTTTGATTTCTTTGTAGTTTTAGTCTTTTTGGACGACAAGAGTGGTGGATCACTACTAAATATTGAAGATCTCATGATATCAAATGGAAGTCAACTCATACGTATTCAGTTTCAGATCCAATTAGATAGTTTAAGCCTATAATTAAGATACTATTCGTTGAAGAAGAGTTTTTGGCAAGCATAACGATAATCGTAACATTTGCGACTTAAGATTTGGGACTAACTAAAAATTCCAAAAAAAATATTTGAGATGTTTCAATAAATTGTTCATAACAGACATCTTCAACTCCACATTACTTACTAAGTTATTAGACACAATATAGCTGCTATGGCGACTCCGTATAATGAAGTGAAGCCTTCACAGATAGGTAGATCCCGAAAAAGAGTTCCATCATCACGTAAACCCACCAACAGTTCTAGGGTAGATGGCAGACCAGCGTCTAAAACTGAAGGGTCTAATAATGGCTATCGATCTCCAGGAAGTAATCTGGATAACACATTGATTACATCTTCTACGAGTACACTGCCTTCTTCCACAGCTTCCGATAATGTATCACAATGGCCAAAATCTTTACAACAATTTGTTAGTGATAGCTTTTTAAGATCAAATTCTTTGTTATCCGAAAATGAAAAGGGAGAATTCAATAAACAACTACAAGAGATTATAGAGAGGGCGTTTGCAAAGGGTCTTTTATGGACGAATGATTGGAAACAACAGAAGATACCCATTCTAGATAAAGTACCATTACAACTATTCTCAGAAGTACCTGAGGTGATCCAGAATGTAAAGGAAGAGAATCATAAATCAGTAATAGAGCCAACATCTTCTACCATTCTACCTTCAAAGAGACTTGATTATCCTGTGTTAAGTGAATCTCCAGTCAGTGATTATGATTCACGTCAAAGAAAGAAGCAGCGTTTAGAAAGATTTGAAACTCCTCCTCCATCTGTAGTACCTTCAAAACCACAAAGTGCTGCAACAAATAAAGTTGTTGGTCAATGTCAAGATTTGGAAAAAAATTATCTTAGACTTACTTCAGAACCAGATCCTGCCAAGGTACGTCCTCAAGCGGTATTAGAGAAGAGTTTAAAATATGTGTTATCTAAATATTCTGAAAATAAGACTTATTCATATATCATTAACCAATTAAAGTCTATAAGACAAGATTTAACTGTTCAACATATTAAGAATGATTTTACCGTTTATGTCTACGAATTTAATGCGAGAACTTCTTTGGAAAATGGAGATTTAGGAGAATTTAATCAATGTCAATCTCAATTAAAATACTTATATTATTTAAAACGTGAAAGAGATGTTAAATTAAAGACTAGATTTTTCAGATGGGAAGCAGAATTACTTGTTTATCGAGTGATATATATGTTAATTACTAACAATCATAGTGAATTATCTAAATTAAAATACTCAATTTTGCATACATACCAAAATTTCATAAAAACAGATAAAGAAAAGGCTATCTTCAAGTTTATTGACATAATTTTCTCCTTTCATAGTGACATTTTATTAGGTAATTATCATCATTTCTTTAAAACTTTGAGAGACTACAAAGAAACTGCAGACTTAGCCCTTGCTACTAAGTTAGTAAAGAACTCATTATATGAAAAAACTAGAATAAAAGCACTACAAACTATGGTGAATAGTTATAAAAAAATAAGTGTTGAATTTCTATCTGAAGAATTGAACTTTGAAACTGTTCAACTGTTTAAAGAATTCTTAACTAAGAATTCATTAGCAACATTCCTTGTTAATAATGAAAAAGAATATGAATGTTTAAGTTCAAAAGCTGCCATACAAGCTATTGTGAACAAACCCAATTTTAATAAAGTTGACATCAAGGGCCAAATATGAGGCCCAATCCTAGTAGCTTAATCAAAGGAAGGACCAATTGCCATAATATTGAACTTGATTCTATTTTCTTCATCAGCATTATTCATATAAAATTGAATTTTTTTTGTTACATTTGGATCATCTATTACACTTTCTAATTCGGTTAAACCCAAATCTATTGGACCTTTTCTTCTTCCATCAAGTTCATATATGTGATTGTTTTTTCCCTTAACAAAGGTTATAAAATGCAAATCTATTTGTGCATCCGGGCTGGGAGCTTCAGTTTGACCCTTTTCACCAAAATTTTCATCTAATTTAATTGAACTTTCCAAATTTTCAACCAAAGTGGCAGTTTCTTGTATAGACAATCGATTATTAACTTTTTTAAGAAAGTTTGAAAGTAACAGATTTTGTATAATTAATTCTTTAGGTAGATTAGATAAAGCATGTAAAAGTGCATATAATCCACATCCATTTCCTATAGTTTGTTTAAACCATTTAATTTCATCAATCAATTCATTTTCATAGTCTTTTTTAGGTTTATCCTCTGATTTTCGAAGTGATTCATAATTTGCCGTCAAGGGGAATAATAACACTAATGCGTATATAGGTTTTGGTAAGAACGCTAATAAATCAGGATCAGTTAATGAATAAACATCATGGAATCCTAACACTGGTGAAAGTCCAACATTATGAGCAAGATCTGAAAATATAGTTGGATTTGATTCCAATGGTATTACTGACCGTGTATCTGACATCTCCTCCAATGATGTAATAGTTTCCATCTAAAGCTCTAGAACTATCTTTTTATTTATATAATGACAAAGTGAATCCTGCACGTAAACACTAAAAAATGTGGGACCAATTAGGTAATGGAAAAAATGCATGACAAAGGGGATATAAACACAGCCAATTATCAGATATAGACAACCTTTAAGACAATTAGTATATCATATTAAAGGAACAGTTTATTGTCCATGACTACAACATTTCGATGGCTGGTGGTACTTTTGCCGTCAATCGTGTGGAATGTGCTCTTGTTTGGAGTTCTATGGAAAGCACTGAGTGTTTTGACGCCACCTGACTCATCTATCCCATCCACTGTGCTTCAAGTACAGTTAGTAAGGTCGATTGCATTAGCAATCTTTTTACCATGTTTGTTATTCCTTGCTAGATTCTCCTATGAAACTTTGACAATGAGTTGGAAGAATGCCAGACGAGATGAATTGGCCCATAAGTTTTATTTACCACTTGTGGAAGAGATGATTAAAGTTGGTACTTTGTTGATCATGAAAGCTATATCGAATATCCAATACATTCAGTTAGGATATGTTCTAATATTTTTCAATACAGTGCAACTTATGGATAGACTGTCGATGTATTTGCCTCATTCGGAAAACTTTTCTAAATTGTATGAATTATTTACTCATCAAAGATCCTTTGAAAGTAAACATGCTAATGACAGTAAAGAGGAAATGCAAGCTTTATTCAGAAGTATTCTTAATAATTCAGATCCTGAAGAAACTCCAGATATCAGAGGTTCTATAAGTTCAGATAACTCTGATGAAACTTTAATTGTCAATAAAAAAGTTTCTATTGCAAGTTTTCCTCCTACATTTAACATGAATATGAAACAACAAACAGAATCATCTACTCCAATTGATATTGCTGATCCTACAAACACTGTAGATACACATAAAATCCTTTCTAATTATAAATCTTGTTATGATTTTGTCGATAAGTTATACTCAGTTTCACCTAAAAATACCTATCATTTAAATACTGCAACTGCAATCGCAGCTTTTGATTCCTCAGTTACTAATAATCAAGAAATAAACTATAATGATTTATTAAGTAGTGTAGAGTCTAATGAAGTGGCTCATAATGAACAAGAAGATAATATAGACTTGACCTTAGATAGAGTCCATACTCAAGATACACATTATGGAGGTGGTGGTGGAGGTAATTTCAAGTATAAGTTTCCTGACGGAAGAAAGATTGAGTTTGGAGGTGGTGCAGGTTTTGATTATTCTCATACTAAGCCAGATAGTGGAAAATCTAATGCACTTGACATATATGAATCCAAAGAATCTGGATTAGTTCGTTTTGTTAATTGGTTTTCTTGGTTATTTCCTCAATTTCTTCCTATTAATGCTGTTCAAGAGACTAAAGTTGCTTCTGAGAATACACATTTGATTAGAAAGAGGTTATCTACATATAAAATCAACAATCGATCTCAATCCCTTGTATCTAATTCTGCTTCAATCGTAACTTATTTTACTGATGAGCAAGCGAATTATTATGATACAAATGTACCAGTTAATAGGTACCAAAACTTTCAATATTTCATAACTATCTTTTTTGATTATTCATTTGATGATTTCAAAAGTGTGATAGATGTTCCTCCTTTATTTAAAAGATTTGGCTTAATGTTAAATGAATTCCCAATTTGCTATGATTTGATGGATTCTATAAACATTTTAAGTTGGAACTTTATCGCTTTTGTTGTATATGGAGGTTTGTTTATTTCAAGTGACAATGTGGTACCAATTACAGCTGCTATAATTATTTTCGTTGTCAAGCTTTTCAAATTGAATTATTTGAATAATTCTGAACAGAGATTAGGATTCAAAATAATTATTTTATGTGAGTCGTTTATTACAGTGATTGGACTATTAGTATGTAGTTTATTGTATTTTAGAAAATTGGTTTAGGTTAGGTGTGTAAAATTATAATTTGGGGTTATATATTTAAATTCTATAAATAAATATATTAATATAATTAATTAATTAAATTATAACACTAGTTGGAATATATGTATTTAGTAATCTTTGGGTACTTCTAAATATTTTGTATTTGTAAATGAGAATCCATTTACGTGAAGTATATCTTTTCCAGCATCATTAGTAGTTTGAGGAGTGAAAGCCATTTCAGTGAATTCTACATCGAAATTTTCAGCAAGAACAGGATCAGTAATGATTGGTAATATAGGTGGAAGAAGATCACTTTGTTCGATTGATTCCAATTCATTCCAATCAATATATCTAAAGAATCTATGATTCTTTAATTTATTAAAATCTTCATCGATATTAAATCTCTTCTCTGGATTCACTTGTAATAACTTCCTAAGAAAATCTTTTGCATCTTGACTTAAATAAAATGGAAATTTTAAAGTTTTCTTACTTGTTAAGATCTTTTCCATGATTCTTTTATTATTATTACCTGTGAATGGAGGTGAACCAGTCAATAAATCAAAGGCTACACATCCCAACGACCACCAATCCACTGAATAATCATATGGATCACCTTTGATTACTTCAGGGGCCATATATTGAGCTGTACCTGTCATAGAATGACTTTTACCTTCATCAGATGATACTTTAGATAATCCAAAATCTGTTAATACCAAATTACCTGATGAATTTAACATACAATTTTCTGGTTTTAAATCACGATAGATAACTTTTAAATTGCAATGTAAATATCTTATAGCAAGGACCATTTGAGCAATATAATAACTGGCATTTTTCTCACTCATATACCTTTCTATAGCCAAATGATGAAATAATTCTCCTCCATCGAGATATTCTAATATTAAGTATACTTTATTATTATCTTGAAAGGCATAAAATAATTTAACTATATTAGGATGATTCACCATTTCTAAGATTGATTTTTCATTAAGTGTTCTTTGATAATTGGTTTGATGTATTTCATTAGTATCTTCATTAATAATCAATGAAGCCTTCTTTAATTGTTTCTGAGCAAATAATCTACCTGTAGATATTTCTCTAACTAACAATACTTTACCATAAGAACCTTTTCCTAAAACTTTAAGGGGTTCAAAATCGGATAATTTGGGTTTATATGATTCCAGCATATTATTATTGACAATAAGACTCGATGAAACATAAGAGTCTTTAATACCAACTTCATAAGATGATGCTATGGAACTCTTTCTTCTCTTCCGGACGGGTATGGGTAATGGTAATTTTGTAACGGTATTTCTGGATTCATCATCTCTGGGATCAAAATCCTCGGGTATATCATCGATGATCTTGTAATTCAAGTCAGGGTTTACCAACGTAACATTAGCAGTGAACGCGTTAACCAAGTCTCCCACATCATCATATTCATCCATATTAAATATATCAGCCATGTTTGCAATAATTTATCTATTTATTTATTTGACGTGAAACTTTTCTGTAAAAGAGTTTTGAATATAAGTGAAACTTTCTATTCTATAAGGAGACAAAAATCTTTGATAAAGTTATACCATGGTCTATAAAGTGTATATCTAAAATAACATGTAAGAAAAGGTTGAATCAAGTTGGTTAGTTAGGATTCAGGCAACGTTGTTTTATCTCTCTGGTTAATTTTTTACAAAAATAATTATTTTTAGCGCTTTCCCAATTAGGAAACATACACGTGATGAATTTTTTTATTGCAAAAATCTATATTATAATCTATATAATATTACAAAGAACCCTGTATAACCTGTTATACAATATAGCAAAAGCAGAGATATAATGATATTATCAATATTGAGCCATTATATAAAGCTTCTTCTTCAACTTTATGTAATCCAAAAGCAAATCATCATTGTTTAAATCGAAAGGTTTTTGATATTCTTTTGATATTGATCTCAGTTCACTCATTGATTGTTTAAGTACTATTGGATTCAACGTTTTATCTTTGAAGAATATCAATAATTTAACGTCGTTAATGTTTAAATCTTGCTTCTTAGCAAGTAACTTATAAATTATGACGTTGATTAATTCATTTAGATTGTTTAATTTATCCTTTCTTAACTTTAAGGCAAAATAATCAAAATCTTCTACCAGTTGAGGTGAGCTATTTCTCAGTTTAAGTTCTTCAAAGAAGATATTTAATTTAAGAGTTTGATCCTTTATGTTGTTGGTTATGAATGAACTTTCAAAAGAATAGTTAACATTGGCATTTGGGATAGGTGAAAGTCTTGTTATTTTATTCAGTTCATATTTGGATTGTTTTGGTGATGTTGTAGTTTGAGGGTTCTCGATTATTATAGGTGATGATATGAAAGTTTTTGGTGAATTAGAATTATATCCATAAAGACTATATCTTTTGTTCTTGGATTCTTTTATTGAATTTGATCTTTTTGGAGATTCTGGTGTCTTTGGGGTATGATGCATTATGTTTAAATTTGAGAAATCTCTTGATAATCTCTTGGTGATAGGAGTAGATTGCACTGAGCTATAATCAGTCGTACCAATACTTGATGAAGTTGAGTCTATAGATTTGGGTGATTCCAAACTCTTTTTACTCCTTATAGATAACTTTGAAGATAATTTTCTTAAAAGTCCAAACTTTGTGGATTTAGGACTTGTTGGTGGGGTAGTGCCAACTGAAGATGGAGGTGTTATGGAAATATCATTTTCTGAAAAAGTATCTGAGACTGGAGAACTTGATTCATTCTCAAAATCATAGTTGATTTCTAATGGAGGTGTCACATAACAACTCATAGGTCTAGCTTTAGTAGTCATGTTTATAGTATATACTTTATCTAATTTTTTCTTATTTTTTAAAATTTTTCCAAAGACCTGAAATTAAGGGTTTCTTTGTTAGATTGAAATGATGTTACTATATTCCTGTGAATGTAGGACGAAGCAAATGTACTCAAGATTATGTATGTTGTCCAGAGTGATATAATAAATGGATATGTCAAACTATTTATCCAAATTATAGTTGATTTCTTATAAGGAAAAGAAGGAAGTAAGATTAAGTCCCTATAAATAAAATTTTAAAGTTTAAAATGAAAATCTCTTTTTATGACAATGTACTAAGGGAATCTAAAGGCATAATTCGACTTAAGATTTCTAAACTGAAATTACAAAATAACATCCTATGAAATATTTTTAGTGACGGAAGAAAATTTAAAAATGAATGAAAAATAATTTAAAATTGGTATAGCTGTTCAAAAAAAGCCAAAAAAATATTAAATAACCTCACCCATTTTCTAATGCCAGTGAACAATACTTGCCAAACTCAAAAATGCTTGGAAAGCCTTTTCAACTTACATTTTTGTTACTACTTTTCTTATCCTATTTTACAACCTGTTTGGTCAGTTTTAGATCTTCGATGGCCAATTTTCTTAGATATCTCTCTTGTTACAAAGAGATTATCATCATAGCTAATAGAGCATACATCTTATTCATAGAAACGAAAGCCCTTCAACATTTTGTAGCTCGTACTTTTCATTTTCTTAAACATTTTCCTTTTATGGTTTCCATTTTATTGTCCCATGTTAAAAATACCAACCATACTTACATACTAAGAGGGAATTATGAATGGAAGCGCCTCGTAACTTTTAGCAAAGCAAATTTCTTTTTTTTTGTATTGTCCACACTATTATGTTCTTAAAAAATAATTTGACAAACGCCTTTTGTACCATTATTGGGAAATTATTTTTTAAGTTCATTTGTTTGTTGGACGCAACTAGATTATGCACAAGCCCAATTAGGAAATGTAACAATCAAATGAGAGTTAAAATTGCACATCGTAAAATAATTTGTAAATATGTACAATACCAAATAATTCCTCTGGATGCATATTTGGTGGTTCTATTTATTAATTATTGAGTTTTTGTATTTATTTTATATTTCTACTTTTCTGTATGGAGTAATATTCAAATTCCTTGGAAAAACGTTTCGGTTTTACACTGCTTACTTCTTGTATATTAACACTTCTCTCTCTTATTTTTCTTCTTTGTGCTTTTGACTTCAATATTAATCAGTTAATAATGACGTATTTTTTTAAGTACCAAATTCGTTTACACCATTACTCTATACTGTTCTTATTTAACACATACATTCATGAACTTATCCTATTAAAAAACTAACTACTATTAAAACCAAATTGAAACCTCCCCACATGTATAATAAAAGATTACTACATTACATAGAACCTCTAACTCTTATTAACTTTAAACTTATCTTGTTATAATCCTTAATATACTTCAATAACTCTTCATCATCCATTTCTTCATCTGTTTCAGACACTTGTAATCTATAATGGTTGACTAAATTATAATCTTTGTATATCTTATAAGATAACAATTTCTTTAAATAAACTATTGAAATCAAATTATTTCTCTTTATCTTTAATGCCACTATATCATCCTCCTTATTATTTAAGAAAATCTTAATCTTAATATAATCTCCTGCATTGCAATTTATCACACTAGTAGCTCTTTCTTTGACTGGTAAAATAGGTGAAGCAAATGTCATCACTGGTGCTACTTCACTCATAGCTCTTTTATGATGAGATGGAACACTAATAATAGATTCTAATGAAGATGCTCTGTTCTTTAACTTTTCTGGAGTTAAAACAGATTTTCTACTCATTCTATATTCATATGCTGATCTTGGAGATATTGATTCACTTTCATTATCTTCCATAATGGGTGATGTAGGAGTTATCGGACTGGTAACATTAAGTACACAATCCGGAGTGGCAAAGAATCCACTAGTAGCTATTATTGGAGTTGATGGAACACTAGTTTTCAGTGAAAAGACTGAATCAATATCACTTTCAGAATTGGATGATGAATGACCACTACCAAATTTAGAGGAATCTCTGGGACATAAATCCTTTAATGATTCTATAAATTCAGATTTGATTTTCATATCTTTCTGTATCTCATCATCTTCCTCCACATCCACATCCTCTTCTTCTGCTTCTGCCTCATATTCCTCATCTTCTTCCACTTCAGCGATTTCTTCACTTGCTTGGGTATCATTACTTCCACGTTTGGATAATAAGGTAGATTCTACGGAAGTTGCTCTAGTAACCATAGAAGTATCTTTTGAATCTTCAGATTCAGTAAAGCTTGTTTCTCTTTCATCTGTTTCTCTATCATCTTGTTCAACAGCATCATAATAGCTATCATCATATCTTGCAATCAATGAAGTATAGCTTGAGAGAGTATTTGAACTGGTGGAAGGTACTATATGTTTGTTTTGTTGAATATATGTAGAATATTTATAATTACTAGTATCATCTCTAGTTTGAATGGCAGAAATCGATTTTTTGGAAGATTTTGGAGGAGGTAAAGGAGCAGTTGTTGAAAATGCACTTGTGGTTGGAGAATTAATATCAATTGAATTTGGTGATAATCTTTGAATTATATCTGCAATTAAAGTTTCATCAGTTTCTTCAGATTGACTTTTACACTTAATATGAGCTTGTTCATAAATAAACTTATGAAATTCACCTGAATATTTAATAGTAGGTATTTCGATTAATCTCTTGATATATAAACTTAAGTCTGAACTTAAATTATTTAAGTCTTGAACAAGGCTCTTATCATATACAGTTGATGATAAACTTGCTCGCCTTATAGGTTGAGGCAATTTTGCTAAATCCACATCAGGATAATTCTTAATAAATTCGATATGGATATTATAAAATTGTTGATAACTTTTCTTAACATATACTATATCATCATTTGACATTGTAAATTTTAAATTATACCAAAATTTACCATTGGTATCTTTTAAAACATTTTCTATAGATACTGATTTAGGATAAGCATGTTCGAAATCGAATACTTCATTATTGGAATAGATACTTGAACTTGCATCTGCAGGTTCGGTTAATTTATTGTAAAGTTCAACGTCTTCATCATCTTCATCATTTTTCACATCAAGATCAGTTATTCTTCCTTGTTTATATTCATGTAACCATTTTAAAGATATAGGATTCAGAGCATCATTGACAGCAATGTCAACATACGAAGCTGGAACTAAACCCATATCAAAAGAATTATCCAATCTAGAAACTTTTAACCAACCATTTCCTAATCGTTCTATTAATTTAAGGTATTCTTTTGTTTCAATACTTAATTCTTGAGGATTTTCTCCTGAGAAACCATATTTTGCTACCAAAACAATAATGGCATATTCTGAATCTTGAATTGCAAAAGACTTTGGAATAGCTTGTGATGATAAATCGGGTGAAAGAGGACCTGAGATCTTAAGGTTCTTCAAACTCTTCTTAGATTTGATTTGTCTTGATCTAAATAAACTAGCAGACATTTTTTTTCTTTCGTTTACACTCTCCTGTATGTCTGTATATATGGTATGATCTGATTTTTTTAGCACTCAGCTTTATTAATCTATACAAATAAACAATTCAATCCTTGGTTCTTAAAGAATATATCTAACAATTCACCGAAAGTAAACCGAAGAAGAGAATTCAATACAAAAATTATAAAAAAAACTATTGACTAAGGCGAAAACAAATAAAGTCTGGATATATATACTTAAAAGTAATATTTTTAATTTTACAAATACTTAGCCCATATAATAATTTTTTCTCAGGTAATTAATTAGTTCAAAAATATAATTCTATAATGATCGATGCTACAATAAAAATATGCTACTTCATTGCCCAACCGCTGTATAAAATATATTACCGAAAGCGTAAAAATAGCGGAACAAATGATTGTGAAAAGAAAATTTTTCTAACAAAACTAAAAATAAAAAAATAAAAGAATTAAAATAAACAAAGAATTATTTTTTGTTCATGTTATGCATTGCATACTGCATGAGTGAACTAATATTAAAAAATATTCTATCAGCAGTTGAAAAATGTAAACAAAAGCATTTCTAATATAGCAGAAGCATTTATAACTTAGAGACCAAATACGGATATTGTCACTATTACAAGTAGCAATAACCGGTATAACTTCTTATTTTGATGTTTGGCAACGTTCAACTGATGGATAGATTTGAACGACATGTAACTGTAACTGCAATTAGGAAGTTTAACCACATTAAAATATGTCAATATTATCGCATTTATGCTGCTGGTCAATGTTTTTTTTTATTTGTTATTACCATTTTTAATTCGATTGTTATTTTTTTTCCTTTGATAGTTCCTACCTTCACCATCTTGCTTGAAGTCATGGTATCACAAAAGCATGTTTTTGATGTCTTGGAAAGTGATTGCTTTTTACCAGTTGAGGTAGTGATTGATTAACTTGTTACATAGAGTAATCAATGGTTAAAGAGCGTACACAATGATAGAACACAATTTATGAAATGTGACAACTGTCCGCGCTGAAAGAAGTCTTTGTTGGCATTTATTATCATTGGCGAACAATAGCAATGTAAGTGAGAAAACAATGAGTGGATGTATAGACTTCAAAAAGTTTGTTAACCGGCATTACATACCTTCTTTTCATTTATGACTTATGTTCACGGCTACACTTTAAAAACTATCTACAAAGATTTTTCAGATAAATTTGAACCTATAATTACGTCAATGTAACACGTCGACTTACGGTAAGAAGTCAAAAGATAAACAATTAGGTAAATAAACTATTCTTGTTTAGGCTAGTAGTTATACGGATCAAGAATATCTTAGTGATGGGCGGTGTTACATAATTTTTAACCTTATTTTTAGCTGATGGACGACCTTTTTTTTGGTTTGTTACTCTGGTTTTAAGTCTGAGTACACTACTCTCTTACTGGATTTCTTATCTTAGCATCTAAAATTGCAAACCCAACCAACTTCAGACATGCTATGGTATGCTATGTTAATTTCTTGTAGGAACATACAATTGAAATTCTCATTCAATTGAAAAGGTCTCAATAAGTGGAGAAAATTGTAATAAGACATATTTCCATAAATCTGAATTTAGTAGTTTAACAAAGTAAAATTTGTATGAAATTTTGGTTAAAATCGATTTAAAAACAATACATTTCAGAGAATGATTTTAAAAAGTTTAAGGCAAAGCGGACATATTTACGCCTCAATCATTAAGGTATAGAAAATTATAATTAATTGGAATTGAAAATGATTAACAGAACATTCACATACACTCCTCAAACAGAGTTAAGTTTGTAATTGATCAACCTAAAGATTCATGAAGGGTTTGTTTCGTAATATGTTTTACTATGAGCTAGAATATTTCTCTAAATATTATGTTTATGTTTATGTTTATGTTTCTTTGTTTTGTTTTGATTTGGTTTGGTTGTATAATTTAATATTTTTTTTCTGTTGTTTTGATTTTCAAGATTATGGATTTCTGGGTTTTTTAGTCCTTACCCCCCTACTTTATCTAAATCATGGTTTTCTAAATTGTTTACATTGGTTTAAATTGAGATTAACTTATGAAATTTTGCATATGTTCTTCATTAACGATTGATACGTCTCCCTGCATAGTTGGGAAGTACTTGAATTGTTTCTGTTCAAAACTGCCTCAAACTCGACAAAACTAATTTATATGCCCCTCCGTAATAGCTCTAAACCCCCTTCCGTTCACGTGCATTTTATTCCTTTAATGCTATTCAACGCCATAAAAGCTCTCGTTCTAGAAGAATTAATGACTAAGGGTTCAATTCTCTTTCAAATCTAATAACGAAAATTCAAAATTCTTATATGGTTCCCCTTATCCCACCTGAAATAGCAATGCATTTCTCCTCAAAACGATCCTTTATACAAACCACAAAACAAACTATTATTATTTAAACTTATCACATACACATTTCATACACTTACACATTTGATTTTGAAAATAAAGGAGATTATTCCCCAAAAAAAAAATAAATCATCAAAATAAAGGGTCTGACCCTTTTCAGAAATGTTCGTAGATTTCATTTAGAATCAACAGACAAAAAAAATATCTTTGTTTCATATGACAGTGTTATAAAACCATAAAATAAAATTTATTTTTTGGTGAGCTTCAGCCAATTTATTTTTTGGATGGTTTCAATTATTTTTTGGGGTATTCTCAACCATTGCATTCGTCTAGAGGAAGATTTGAAAGGAATACCACATCTTGGATCTAGGTAATCAGTGATCACCAACGTTGGTGAGCATGGTTAGGTCACTCGATGCTCTGCAATCAATTTAAACAATGTAAGTCCAAGCGTTTTAGTCTTACATGAATTGACATATTTAATTTAATACATTTATTAAGCTACATGTAAGACTAAATAAAAAGAAACAAAATAACAAAAGCATAAAGCACAATACAGCACCGACGATGAATTGATGGAAAATAAAAGTAATACTCACTGTAGAATTAAAGCAAAACAATGGCTAGCACCTTGTACATAATAATAATAATAATAACCGTAAAAGTAGAAACCTCAATTGAATTAAGAGGGTTAAGCAACATAATGCAATACGAATGCAATGAAAACAAAAACAAAAATAGCAATAAAAATAATCTTTGAAACTATCCAGAGTTTCATAAAATTCTAACTGATTTTAAGATAAACTTTATCATTAAATCGTAAAAATTCAGAAATACTGAAATTTACAATATCAATATTTTCATAATTATTTGAATTAGGTAACTTAATGAATAGTTTAGTGAAATAAATTTTTTGTTTAACTAAAACTTTAATATCGTTAATAGATCTAATTAATGCTTTATTAAGTTTAATAGCAACAATTTCATTATTAAAGTTAACTATTTTACATTTAATAAATTGATGATTATTATTATAATTTATCACATTTGATTGATAGGGTTGGGCTTGTGATATTGGTTGTAATTGAGGAGACATATTAGAATAAACTAATTGTGGAGAATATTGTGGAGAAAATTGAGGTGAAAATTGCATAGTTGGTGAATAAGGTAAAGCAGGACTATTAGCTGATAATTTTGGAGGTGAAATTTTAGTTGGATAAGGTACATGTGGAGAAAATGGCATTTTGGTCGGGGTTATTGATGAAGTTGACTGATTTGAACCAAATGATGTGTCAACAGTAGTATTACTAGATGGCATTGGTGCTGTAGTATTAAAACTAGTATTAGGAGTACTATCAGCTGAATCTGAATTATTTCTTGATAAAGGATCAATACTAGTTGAATTATTTCTATTAACATTAATTGGAGTACTACTAGGATTATGATTAGTTTGATTATAACTAACTGAGTTATTTCTATTGATATTAACTGAATTATTTCTGTTAATACTTGTAGAATTATTTCTATTCACACCAATTGAGTTATTTCTATTAATACTTCCATTTCTGGCTTGTTGATAGTGATTATAAGTATTTTTTGTCTTTGATCTCTTTGGTAAATCTCCATTACTTTCATCATAGGCTTGTAATTCAAGTGACTTTTTATCATAATATTGTTTAACAATATTGACTGAACCTGGTAAGATTTTCTCATTAATTTGATCATTACTTAAATTATCAATAAGATTATCATTCTTGAACCCCTTTAATTCATTTGTATCATGGTCTAAATCTAACCAATCGATTAAAACCATTGAAGTTTGAAAATAATTATTGAGAATTAATTTATTCATATAAGTATGTAAGGCATTACATCTCTTTAATAAAGTATTGATCTTTTCTTCATCTAAATCGTCTTCATTAACTGAAATTGGTTCTGGTAACTTTGGTAAATTCAAGTCTTCATTATCAACATTCTTATTACCTATCAAATTTTTCAAAATAATATGTAAATTATAAAAATCTTGATAATATCTTCCAATATGAGTTTTGGTTTGATTAGAATATTCCACATCTATTCTATACCAATATCTATCTTTGAATAACAGGAAATTGGCTATGGATGCACAAACTGGATAAGCCTTATTATTGACAGTTAATGGTTTATTATGAATATCATTTTTTAATTGAAATTGGATATAATTATATTCTTCAATCAACTTACTATTGTTGGAATATTCATCATTTGTCAGTTGTAACCAGGTCAATGTAATGGGGTTTGATTGATCATTGACAGCAATATCAATATAAGAAGCTGGAATTAATCCAGGGTCCAATAATTTATCAACAAATTTAACTAATAACCAACCATCTCCACATCTATCTAATAATTTCAAGATATCACCTTTTCTAATAGCCAATTCATTTTCATTTTCGGCATGGAAAGTATACTTTGCTACTAAGATGATGTTAGCTTTTAACGATGATGAGAATACATGAATTGGTTTTGGGCCTGATATAGTTAAATTACGAATATCTTCAATTATGGGAAGACTATTATTAGTGTTACTGCCTACTCCTCCGATGGGGGCTGAAATGGTAGCCGTGCTCCCTGATAACACGTAAGATTTTGCCATTGCTGATTGTAGTCTGGGATAGATTGGAAAGAGCTTCTAAAGCATAAAAATAAAGAAAAAGAACAGTTGAAAGTAAAAAGAAGAAGAAAAAGTATAAACAAGAAATTAATGATGATAACAACAACAACGAACTCAACGTAAGGCTGCCCTGTTTTTTTTCCCCTAAAAGGCTTTACAATTCAGGGGACATGATTTTGTTCTATTTAATGTCTAACCCTGTTATTATGATTTAATGTTTGACACACCATCTACAAGATAAATCATTGTTATTGTTTACAAATATATCACCTTGAGGCCAAAAAGCGCGTGTCCACAAAAGTTTTTTTTGACGCGACTTGGTGTTTCGAAATGCGGCTCGCTGAATTCGAATCATAGAAATAAGTTCATTTCAACTGTCTTACGAGCATAAAACCAGCAGTTAAAAGATATCTCTACATGGGTATAGTAATTTTAAAAGAGTGGATATGTATAACTTTTGTCGAACTCAAATTGGGAATGAAACTATCGACTTTAATTGGCCAATGTTGATTTATTTTATTTCTTGAGTTGAAATTCCTCAGCTAACTTTTGGGAATTTGTTCGACATCTGTATGTTATGCCATGTACACTCTCATTTATCATTGATTGTCACTACATTATTCGTACCATTTTCAAATTTACATTCTAATTAATTGCAAATTGGAGTATGCGTAAGGAACGTCAAAAGTTTAATTTGAAAATGGGTCCGTTTTCAGCGTTTTTATAGCAGTTTTTTTTTCTTTTATCGTCTTGAATGATTTTCAATTTAATTTTCCATTAAAACAGTTATGCTTATATGCTATACCTGTTATAATTTGTCCACGATGGGTAACTCTCTCCCGATCTCGAATAAACTAAAAAAAAACATTAGTCAATTCCTATATCTAAGAAATGTTTCTACAGAAATATAATACGAGACCCTTACTTCAAATCTTATCAATTATTTCAGGGCACACATGTCTTGTAGGTTTACGTAAATCAGTAGCGACTGCCTTGATTTCTAATCCCCTTTCCTAAAAGGCGGACTTTTATATTCTTAATACCATTGTATCCATCACGCGAACCAAATATTCAAATTGAGATAAAACCTAAATTTTATTCAAATTCTGGATTATTATAATGATGGAAAATTCTCGATTCATTTATCTCCTTCCAGCCATTTTTGCGATAGAATAAACAGAGGTAAATTAGTCTCGCTGGTATTCCGGAAGTGTAAAATATGTTAAAGAAGGAAAAGAAGAAAAAGGTGTATTTAAATTATAACTATTATCATGAAAAATTTTTTTTAGCTTCAGGTCAAATTTGATTTCTCTGATGAGGCGTCTTGCACGTGATCGATTTTTTTATTTTTCAGTAACGATTTTTTTGTCAGATTTCGGTTCACTTTTTTTTTATTAATTTTTGTCAGATTTGCAGTTTAAGACAAAACTTTTTTTTTTTTTTCATTTATTTTTAAGTATTTTTTTGTCACCACCACACGCCTAGTATAATTAAAGAATTTTACGAAATGACGATAATTGTGAGAATCAACAATTCTATTCATTAAAGTTTGTAATAGGAAATATGAAGTCATTGTGAAGTATAATAAGGTTTTGAACTGAAATCAATTTCAACTCAGTTTCAACTTCAAAACCTTAATTAAGCGCAATAAATTCCCCAATATGCACCACCATATCCACCAAATAGCATTGATTGGATAGAATGTGAACTTAGTTTAAGTTTAGTAACTATTAAAGTTGAAGACGAAAAGCTTAGGGCGGGCTCTGGGCGGGGTCAGATGATGATACCGATATGTTCGAAGAAAGAGAAAGAGAAACAGAAACAGAAACAGAAACGGTAAGGTCAATAACGTTTATTACCTTAGAAAGCCATGGTTTTGTATGTAATTGAGATTTCAATTTTGCTTGTCCTCATTGTCTGGGTGGGACTCTTATCACATTTCTTTCATTGGTCTTAGGGACAATAACTATTTCAGGAACTCAATTGTTGGTCAATAGCCATTATTTACTTGTTGTTATTATTATTCTTGACTTTGTATTACTATTATTATTATGGTGATGAGTTCATTGTCTTCTCTTCAAAAAAGCACACACTATGGAATCAGAGAATTAATAATACAAAAATGGAAAATTTACCTTTATTTTTATTTTTAAACAATAAAACGGTTATAATAATTTAGACTAAAAGATTACACCCACTAAAAAAAAAATAAATAAAAAAAAAAAGGTTTTTTTTAATTAAAATATAGAGATGGAAAATAGGGGCACATTAATTTATTTCACAAAACATTTCGCTTTATGACCTTGTAATTCTTACCAACGGCTAGATAATGCCGAATACTAACAAGACTCTTTCGCCTTAATTGATCACTTCTAATTAGTGTAAACTGCCTTGCCAACGTTTTCACATCTATCCGAAATTGGTAATTGAATGAAGTAGTCAATATGTATATTTTATATTGTACCTACCTGTTATAGCTCACATATACATCAAACGTAATGCAATATAGACAGTTGGAAGCGTTTAATGAAAAATTAACCCGCCTATTTCAAGCCTAATACTAAACTACACTTTTTTTTCCAATTATTCATTTATTATTAAGTTTTATCTTTTTACATTTTATTTTTCAATATTTGTTTTTTGTTTTTTGTTTTTTGTTTTTTTTTTATTTTTTATTTTATTTTTATTTTTTTATTTTTTTATTTTTTTTTTCTTATGCAAGTTCGTCAAAAAAAAATAATTTATATAAAAATAAACCGTTGAGAGAATTTATATTAGTATGGAGACAGAAATTGAGCAGAGCTGGCTGGGATAATATTACTTCTTTAGTCCAATGCAACTTGTAATTCATGTAAGCTTCAATTGTTTTGCAGACATGCGCACGTAATTTTAGCTTAACATTACCTTGCTGTTGTTTTTCAAATGCCATGATTATAGCAGTGGTGGTACAACTACCCAAGTAATATATAAGTCTTTTTTTTTTTGCATGCCAGTCCAAACAAAAAGTAGCTAAAAATCAGCGAGCGTTTAGGATATCTTGCGTTCAATTTAAATCTCGCCGAAGAGAGGAAAAAAATGCAGCTCAAACGAGTAGGCTAAAAAAAATACCTCTGCGAATCTATATTGTAAGGCGATAATAAAGAAATACCCAAATAAGGTAAAAGGTTAAACTAAAAGTTCCGAATTTAGACCAAGATGGTACGTGTTAGTTAAAAAAGGAAGAATGAAAAGTCTAACAACTTTTGATTTTGATTTGAGATTATTAAGAAGACCAAATCAAATACGGATCTCTTTCTAGTTTTGTTATTTTTTAGTTTGCATATACCGCTAAAAATTGCTCTAAAAATTTCTCATAACTGATATTTATCAGAACTGTAGTATAACGTCTGGCTCTGGCTCGAATCTAACTAACTTAAACATATACAATGGTTACAACATTTTACAATTGATATCATCGTTTTTAAAGTCAAACAGTTATATGCTTTTGTGGTTTATCTATTTTAAGGTTAACGTACTTTTAATCATTGTGCGGTTTTATCGTCTGATTCCTTTAATGGACTGGTACGGAAGTTATGTTATGCCATATTATGTTAAATCATTTTATTTTATACATTCCATTTTGTAATTATAATTTATAAACAGACGATTTCTGTGGATAATGAATGTTAGAATAGAAGTAAGAATACCCTGATTAAACCTTTCTGTTTCATGGATAAGGCAGGTGAAACCAACATGACAAAAAAAATTCTGGTTAGATTCTCCACAAAAGATTGGTTTGTATACTGACTCCAGACACAAATTCTAAAGTATATGCCCTTCAATGGATGTTTAAGAATATGTGCTATAGTTTTGACGTTGATCTTTACGAAGCTATATAATCAAGGATTAACTTGCTGTTTGTGTATTCAGGATTGATACCTTTCAAATCTTCATCAATCATTAATCTACATCATCATTTAAACTGGTTCCGAATCAAGGTGATTATTTGCGCTCAATTACTAGATATATTTCTACAAACCATGTAGCAAATCTTTGAAAGGTTGACATTCAGATAAAGCAAATTATGTTACTAAACCAGACTTTTTTTTTTATGACGGCACTTTCCTTGACCGAACGATTCCTGATTTTCCTCACCCGTTATGGTTAATCAAAGAACCTGGTTCCAAACTCCTTCCTTTTATATGCTTATGAATGTAAATGCTCTAAGTAACCCTATTTCACAACTGCGAAAGGTTAATCCAAGAAAAATTATCACGTAAGAGATTCCTAAAAAAAAAAAAATTAGCCCAGTTCTTTTCAATTATTTATTAACAGATTTTCTCGTTCCTACAAACCTCTACGATAAATCTTGTTTACACGTAGTTCTTTTAAGTTAAGTTTAGCAAGGCTGTTCTGCACGTTATTGTCTCACTATACATTCCAGGAACAATTTTTTTCAATATATATTTGAACTCATGTAAATAAACAAATTCTAGAACTAGATACAAAATTGAAAAATTAATTATAAAGCAGCTTACTATCACCACAGTCAAAGTCATTTGTCATTGTTTTGTCATATATCTTATCCTAATACAAAGAAAAACCAGACAAAATACTTTTTTTACAATAAAGAAATGACAAATGACATTAAAAAATAAAATAAAAGAGTTGGGAAAAAAAAAAAAATTCAAAAAAAAAAAAAAAGAAAATGGGAGGTGAAGTGAACAACAATAGTGGAAACTATTTAAATATCTCCATAAATTGAAATATTAGCATATGTTATTTACTAATTGAGGATAGTCTATGAATCTTATTTACTATTTTCATATAAATTACTATTGTGATGGTTTTTAAACTTTTCTAAGACATTAATTTTTTTAATTTTCAACTGTGGTCTTAATTAATCGAATTGTTTTTCAGAAATTAACAGCATATATTCTTGGACTATGTTAATCAATCGATCTTCCCACAAGACAAGTTCAGACCCTTTCCTTTTGTAATGACAGTATAAATCCGCTAATTTTAACAGTATCTGTGTCATTTTAGTTTCTGTTTTCTGGTAGAGGATTTAAACTTTAGATCCGTAGAGAACATCACAATATAAAAGATAGTATATAGAAGTAAAATTAGTAAAGGGCGACGAGCGATTCACAAAAGTAGTATCGTAATTGATGGTGAAGCTTTATAACACAAGCAACAAAATATTTGGGATTATCTATACATATTAACATTTACCTCTTACAAGTAAAAAGTAGTTTTCTTTTATTTTTTTTATTTTTGTCTGTATTTATTTATTTATTTTAATTTATTTTTATTTTCAATTTTTTGTTTTTATTATTTTATTTTTTTTATTTTATTTAAATTTATTTTTTTTTCTCCAAAATTTTTTTTCAAATTTATTTTTGTCAAATTAAATTTTTGTTGTTAATACTCCTGTTTTTTTTTTTTTTTTCTTAATTTTGTAATTTTTTTTATCACAATTTAATTGTATGATTACAATGGGGCAAAACATTTACAAGTTAATTTACGTAATGTTAACTTGTACAATTCCTGCTTACTTTGAAGGTTTCCTTAACATTTTTCAGTTTTTGGTTAATGCCAAAGTAGGGGAATTTCTTTTTTTTTATTTTTCTTTTCCATTAATTTTGTTTGGTATACATTTTTTTTATTTATTTATTTTTAATATTTTTTTTTTTCTAAAAATGTTATTTTACTTCCAAAATTACCTTTTTACGTTTATTATGTTATAATTTAATTCTAATTTTTATTTGTACCATTGTAGTTTGTGGATTAATTTATATAGTCCCCTTTATCGTTTGACTATTTTTTAATTACCTTGCTGTACTTTTCATTTCGTCTTTCTGTCTTTCTTTTCTTCTTTGAATCCTATTTTAATCACTTCTTTTCTTTTAAGCTCTAAGCAATCGGGATCGTTCGTCGTTAGTGTCTTCGACTGTTACCAATCTTTGCATTCAATCATAGCAGTAGACCGATAGTTAGAGATAATCTGAAAGGAGAAGTAATCTTAGTTTTCAGTATTTGGATTAGACAGTGAATTTAAATTATCAACCAATATTCGTTCTTTCATTCAGTCAATTACATCGATTTAGACCTGGGAAAAAATCAAGTTATTCCATTCCCAACTGATATCAACACCATTCCTATACATTCCAACCCCATTTTGTTCTGTTACCGGAGATCACCATCAATTGCCCTGAACAAAGTCAATTACAAGCATTCGAAACCAACCAATATACTTACAGCCTTCGATAACTAAACCAATCCCTTCATTCTACAAATCAATTGAGTATATTAGTTTATCCTTCAATATCAACCATCGTCCCAATAGTTTCCCTATAACAATCAAAATTTTTGAAAAATTAATACAATATAATAATAATAATAATAATAATTATTTTGCTAGAGCTGACAAAGATTTTACATAATCTGCCAATAATAAAAAAAATAAATTGTCTGGAAAAAAAATTCAATATTTTTTTTTACTGCCGCAAATTATTCGTTATTTTTTTTACGGTTTTGGCACATAATTTAAGGCACCAAAAAAAAAAAGATAAGGAGAATTTTTTTTTTTACGCAGCATTAGCAGCAACGGCCACAATAACAATTTCCACTTGGTACAAAGGCATCAGATAAAGGGTGGGATCCCTGAGTTAATTTAAAGTTGTGTGAGTGTCCATTACATCAGTGAAATAGTTAATTCATTTCAACTGTCGCTACATACCTTTCTTTCTTTACGGGTTCTACCACTACTGCCACTACTACTTTTTAATTTACCATTTATTTTTTTGTTTCAGATATTAGTGACCCCGCAAAATATAGGTCAATTTAATTTTTTTTCACAACCTGATACAGACATTAGAATTATAAGGTTAATTATTATTAGCTTATCTGGTCACTAGATCAATTTATGTTTCAGTTGTTTTAACTATAGTCCTTCATTCAAGTTTTGCCTTCTTTCCTTATATATATTATTTTTCGGTCCTTGCTTCTACCATAATCATATTTTACTTTCTTCACTTACCTAAGTCAAGCAATAAGAAATATGAAAAATTCTACTGATACTCCTAGTTCTGCTACTTATGATAATGAAGATACAATAAGATTAAATAGCTCAATGATAACTTCTTCTCCAATCATGGGAAATTCAAAATATGATCATCAGGTTGTTCAATATCAGCAACAATTACAGCATCAAAATTTAAATCAAAATCAACAGCTTTTATTACTACAACAACAGCAACAACAACAAATCCAATTTCATGGTCATTATCAGCAACCACAACCTCATGTTGATCTTCAACGACTTGCACAATTTGAAACCAATGATCAAGATTTATATCAATTTGAGAATTTGGGACAATTTAATCCTTTACCGCCACCTCCAATCTCGAGAAATAAAGCTCCAAGTATTAGTTCAACATTTCTGGGAGGATCAAATTCTTACGATTTATCGCCAACTGCAGGAATAAGCAATCCAATTATTTCCACCAATCATCACGATAACGCTGCATCACAAATACTACAGCAAAATGATGAAGATTTTCAGTCTAATGCTCCACATTATTCATTCTTTTCTCATCAGAATGGGGTGAATTCAAATAATTCATTACCACTTCAAAATAATAGTCATAATACCCATAACAATTTTCAAAATAATAATAATAGCAATACTAATAGTGCTTTATTTAAGTTGAATATGGAATCAACACCAGATCTTTTAAGTCAAAATATGTCATTAAACCAATCAGAATTGATGTATAATTTAACTGAATTTGATGTTGTTAACCCATCCCTTGATTCAATCCCTGATTCAATGATTTACAGTCACCAGAATACAAGTTTAAATTCTATTTCTAATCACCATAATAATAATAACAACAGTAATATGATAAATAACAATAATATTCTTGGTAATCTCAATGAATCAAATGCTATATCTTATTCAATATCAGCAACTAATGAAATATCCCAATTTCCTTATACTCCAACTTTAAGTGATGTTTATACCCCTACACTTTCAGATTCAAGTTTTACTCCAAATTCTACAGTTAATACAAATTACCCTCTTCAAGGTTCATTCGAAGATCAGAGTTTAAGAGCTCCGACTCCCCATTACAGTTCATCCAATACTACTAATAAAATTTCTAAAAAGCCTTCATTATCAAGATTGAACAATTCAATGGTTAATAATAAAAAGAATTTAATTATTCAAACTCATCTTGCTTCATCTACTTCAAATCTTTCAAGTAGTACTCCATTAAGTGAATCTTCTCCAAAAGTTTCACCATTAAGTAATAAATATAAAGGATTAGAGAATAATCATAACAGTGGAAATCATTATCAAAATAGTTCTACTACTAGATCTTTATCTAATTATTCTACATCATCTACAACTTCAACTAATACAAATTCGGCTAGTGCTTATCCTCCATTGAATGTATTTCGTCACAACTCAGATGCTTCTTCAACTGCTTCTACAAAAAATTCTGAAATTAATGTTACTACATCAAATATTACAGTTTCAACTCCCGTCAAAGCGTTAAGTACCCCACGCCGCAAAACTTATCCAAGCTTAAACGAAATATCTTTAAAGAAATCAAACAAGAATTTAAGAAAAATTCCTCTGAGAGATTCTGTTATTATGCAAGATGGATCAAAAAATTCGAGTAGAGATAGTTTTACCAGTCATAGCAGTGAAGATGGAATTAATGATACACCAACAGGTAAGGCTAAAAAATACACGAGAAGAAGGTTATTGCCAAGATCTAAAAATGGTTGTTGGATCTGTCGTATAAAGCATCTTAAATGTGACGAAGTTAGACCTCATTGTGCAAGTTGTCTTAAATTTGGAATTGAATGTGATTATAGCAAGGATAAGCCAGACTATGTCATCGATAAACAATTGAGGTTACAAAAATTAGACGAATTATCATTAATTAGGAAACAAAACCAAGTAGCTACTAAAAATCAGAAAAATAAATTAAAAGCTGGATTTAATGATCAATTCCAAAATTTTGCTACCCCTTCACCTCATCCATCTTCGAAATCTCAATACTTCAGTTAAGTTCTAACCTCCGACATGGATAAATTATAGATACAAATTGACAAAATAAGTTGAATATTTGTGGATCACACTTCCAAATGAAATTTAGTTTTTGCAACAAGAATCAAAAGCACTGCATCATTTTTTTTTTTTTACTTCTCTCCTTAAAAAAATTCCTTAGATTATAGTGGCCCAGCGTTTTCCACTAATTTCATAAATAGTTATATTAATTCACTTCTTTCTTTTCTTCTTTCTTTCTATCGTAACAATTTTTAATTATTTCCCCCGCTTATATATATATTCTTTTCCTTGGTGCATATACTAGATCTTCATCTTTTTATGATATATTCCTATTTTTAAAAATATAAAAAAAGTCTTCTAATGTGATAATCATTTCAATAAACCAATAATCTAGCGGGTTCGTTCACCTCTTATACCATTTTTTTTGTACAATCGTCTCTTAGATGACACCTCATTTACTATAGACGAGGTTGAGTTCTGGGGTCACAAATGATTGCAAAAAAATAAAATTCTCTAACGGTAAAAAAATATTCGGCAAACAAAAAAAAAAAAAAATTGTTTTAAGCGAGCTTTGACCGTTAGACGATGCAAAAAAAGGTCCAAAATCTTCATTCCTTAGATTTCACCTGATAGTCGAGAGATTTGCTATATTCATTTATAGTGCATTATTTTATATTAAAAAGTTTAATAATATGACACTGTTTCAAATCAAATTAGTATCTATCTATCTATATATGTTTCTATTATTCCCATTCGCTAACATTTAAGCGCTTCCTCAAAATTATTTCGTCATCTGTTCTTGATATAATTGAAAATTCACCATTTTCGATATTATGATTAGACAAATTAGAGTTATTATATTCCACCATCGATATTATATCACCTTCGAATCCAACCCATGGTCCATGTAATGGATCTATCAAGTATGGATATGTATAATCAGAGAATTGTTCTCTCTCTTCGTCAATGGTGGATCGTCTTCTACTTAAGGCGGTAGTTTGATTATATATGGAATGATCACCTCCAATTAGGAATGATGATTCGTCAAGTACCAGCGAAAGATTTCCAGGGAAGTCTTCATCTTCTTCTTCATCGTCATCATTTCCATTGATATGAGGGGTTGGAGTTTGAGATTGACTCCTACTTGGCTGTTCCAGACTCGATCTATCATCGTCAAATTCTTTATCAAAATTGAATGGATTTTGAATAGCCCTCAAAGCAATAAAAGTATTTAATGGAACATAATATTTTTCAAAGTTCCAGAATATAAATATGGTGATTATAACTAAAGGTGCACACAAAACTGATAATAATATAGCACTTTCTAAAGCCATGGTTCCACACATAAATAATTGGAATATAATTAAGCCTAAAAGAATTCTTCTAAATATCATGGGCCAAACTTTACCTGTGGAATGAGGAGGATGAACAAAATTATAAACTAATTGATATTTATAAACAAAATATCCTAAAATGAAATATACCAATCCACTGGTTACAATCTTGGTTGATAAAACAGAATAAATCAAAATTATAATGAAAATTAAGATATGTTGGGGTAAGTGAATACCAAAATCAAAGATTTGAGGGGTAAAATAATAAGCTCTATAATCTCTTGGAGTCTTTAAAAACATATTTTTAATCAAGAATAATTTTCCAATAACATTAAGAATAACGAAATCACTAATTTGTAATAATTTAACGGGGAACATGGCTAAACCTTGTAATAATATTAAATCAACATAAAATAATGATTTATTTTTTAAGGACGAAGCTAACTTATAAGCTATTTTAGTGGTGTCACTAATATAAGATAAATAATCCCAAATCGTACCTGTAATAACAAACACTAAAAATAACACAAAGAAATTGTAAAAGAAATTTTTTGATAAGGTTGATAATTCAATCTCACTATTTGATGAATAACCTTGAATTTGGGATAAATATTTATAAAAAAATGGAGTCAGAACACTTAAAGCTGAAAATAATAATGGAGGTAAAATACCAGTAACAAATGTAGTTAACCATGGTGAAGTACTTATTAATTTTCCTAAAGCAGGCCAGAATTTAGTTATAGTTTTAATTTCTAATAAGGAAGCTAATGGAACAACTAAAAAAATTATGAAAGCATAGCTTAGAACGATAATGATTGTAACTGAATATGATTTTATAAGTCTTCTTAAATAGGTTAATTTATAATTTTTCCATTGTATATCCTTTGGAGCTGGAGCCAAACTAACCATTAATTTATAAACTCGAGGATCTAATAAGGTTTGAGATGCCATTTGAGCAGAAGCAACTGATTCCATGGTTATAAATGCACTATTGATTTGTTTAAAATCAGGATTTTCAATATTTTGTTGAATTTGACGTATTTGACTGTCGATTTCTACTAGCTCTTGGGATAATAGTTTAATTTGTTTATCAATCTTGATAGCTTTTAATTCATTATTATTCAAGTTAGGGTTTTCATAATCAGGTAAAACTGATGGTATTTTATTTTGATCATAAATATCAACCTTTAAGTTGTATTTTGATGAATAATGACTTTCTAATTTGCTAATAAGTTTTTTTCTATTATTGAATAATTTCTCTAATGGAGTCCAATCATAGATTAATTTGATATCAGAAACTTTACCAATTTGAAGATTTTCAACAAATTCTTTTAATTTATCGATGTTTAATAATTTTTTTGGAATTCCATCTAATCTTATGGTTCTATCAGTAATTGAATTTTGAGATGCCAAATATTTTTGTCTTATTTTTAAAACTTTTGTTGTGTACTCATAAAGATAATAATAAATTATGATTGAAAATAAGTAAGTGAAAATGGGATATACCCACATGAATTGAGGGAAATCATCACTAAAGTCAGGAGGATTATTTGGATCATCAAAACTATAATGGTAAAGGGATCGTACCATCAACCAATGAATATTATCTTTATCATAATTACCTGTAAAATAATATCGGATTGGACTTAAGACTATAACTGCCAAAATAGATAAGATCAGAAAAATCTTGATACCCATTTTGAAGAATTCAAGATAAACATAAGCATCTAAACCCGAATAATTTAAGATTTCATCATCTGTTATGGCAAAGATAACGAATATCCAACCAAAATATCCTTTTGGTAATGGTTTAATTCTGGCACTATTGTAAGATTTTCTTAATGTTCTAACCGCATAAATATGAGGCCATCTATGTCTTAGTATACAAAATAAGAAGAATGAACCTATACCTATGAAAAGACAAATAGTCAATTGAGTTTTGAAAACCCTTTGTTGCCCTCTCATCTTGTTCAAGGGATCATCATCCAAATCATCTAATGATGAAAACGACATATTCAATTATGGTTGGATTTCGTGAACTATGTATATGATATGATATGATATGATATGATAGGACTTGACTTGAATTGAATTATTTGAGGTGTAGGATATTTAGTTATGTGCTTTGAAATTGACGGTCAAAAATAAAAATGACGGTCAAAATTTAAAATTGAAATCAAACGTGGAGCAACGATGCTGCTAACTAGTAAAAATCAAACAAACAGGAACTAACAACACTAACAGATGTGTTAACGGACGAGTGGTGAGGATGAGATCAACGTGATCTTATCAGGTAAGATGGAATTGGAGAATATGATGTTGTGGAGACTGGTAGTTAATTGAAATTAGTGGTGATACATCATCATAAAAATTTCTGGGTCTGTTTACAACGCGCTCTTTATGTTTTTTTTTGATTTAGTGTTCTGTTTTGTAGTGTTCTAAGTTTAAATTTAAATTCATCTACACCAATGTAATGGATCAAATGGTGATGAATCTATTGGAAATAATCATCAATGGACAACATAAAGTCTAGTAAGTAATATAACTTGATAATAACCGTGGGATGGATGATTATCAGAGTGTAAAAGGGTTCATATTCCCATTGTTTTGCAACACAATAAAAATGGCAGCCATTATGTTTCAGGGCATGGTTTGTAATCATGATATTTGTTTCTGATCACAAGAGTTGATTAATCCATCAAACAGAGTATCTGAACCATCAAATGAATCACTTATTTGCTTAGTTAAGTAATTGTTATCATCAACAATAGTAAAAATACTATTCCATTAAGTCGTTTGAAATAGCTCTGCTACTGGTCAAACATCTTTATTTCAACTTGCAGCACTTAGAATACGGTAAAACACGAGATACATTGCACTACTTACAATATTACCTTTCATCTAATCTAACTTTACATTTTCTATTCATTTAGACATTACATTGATCGATTCGACCATTAGTCTTAGTTATATACTATGTCATTTACAACCATTGGGTATGTCTTATTCTAAGTCCTTTTTTTATTTTGCGACGTCAATATTAATCACGTGCACATTTTTGACATTATTTTTTGTAAAATAATTTTTTTTTCGTTTGGTGGTGGTGCCAGTCAGTCGTCGAAAATAAGACAAGACACCGGTAAACAGAGGAGGAAAAAAAATTGATTTCTATTTTGAAATAGTTTTACATTTGTTGACCGTATCAGAACAACATATAATAAGAGATTTCAACGGTATCTGTATTACTACCAAATCGATTTGGCCCCATCATCCCGTCCAGTGCCACCTACCCCTTCCCACCCATCTTCATTCTCATTACCGTTTTCATTTCACTTCCCCGTTCCATTTGCTTTGCATTGTCTCTCTCTATTTTTTTTCAAAGGCTTTTTTAAAGTGTCACTCTTTTGCAACAAACACCATAGCCTAATACGTTAAATCTATTTTGATAGCCTCGAGAGTAATCATATTTCAAACAGTTCCAGATTCATTTCATCCTCAGAAAGTTTAAAATTGTAAAAATTTACTGGCAGGAAATAAAAGAAATAGACGAAAAACAAAAAAGCAGACCCTTTTATTATGAGTGATGTATACGTAGTGATTAATATCGCTACTACTTGCGACGAAACTAATACTTATGTCACCAAAGATTCAACTGAATTGATAGAATTTTCGTGGTCAACCATCGATGCGGTAACTACTGAAGTTTTACATAAAGAATCAATTTTAGTCAAACCTACCAATACTCCAATAACTCCTTATTGTTCACAATTACACAAATTAACTTGGGAACATGTTAGAAATGCAGGAACTTTCAAGGATGCTATTCAACAATTTGATAACTATGTTCAGGTAAGCTTAATCAATAATAACAAATCATTTGTATTTGTCACCATGGATTTAAAATCATTTAATATTCAAGTACCAAGAGAAGCAAGAGATAAATCAATCGTTTTACCATCATACTTACAAATGCCAAAAATCTTTGATTTATCAATTGAATATTCTAAATGGCAATTATCTCATCCAGAATCTTTAAGTTACCCTGGTTCTTCTTTAATCAATATTATCACTTGTTTACAGGTTGATCTTAATCAATCTGAAATTGAAGAATTAAACTCATCATCAGTAAATGGTTCTTCTACAGTTGAATTATTATCGAATTTAGCAGCATTAACTTCTGATTCATCAAACTTAACCACTCCAAGTTTAACTCCAAATTCAACTTCTTCAACAAAATCATCATTACTCACGAGTATTTACTCAAAAATCTTAATTCAATTAATTAAAAAATCATTACCCATCGAAGAACATCAAAATGTATTGACAAAACCTTATGATTTTGAACAAGATGTTAAAATGTTTTTATCAGAGAGATCTAAAATCTTATATCTTTCCAATTTATCTAATGATACTACTCAATCAGAATTAGAGTCTTGGTTTACTCAATATGGTGGTAGACCAATCGCATTTTGGACTATTAAAAATTTAGAGTCATCAACTAATTCTAAATCTAAATCAAATGGAATTTCCGGATTTGCTGTCTTTTCAACTCATGAAGAGGCCACCGAATCACTTTCTATGAATGGAAAAGTTTTTAATGATAGACCTATTGAAGTCCAACCTTCTTCAACCAAAGTGTTGGACAAAGCTAGTGATTTGTTGACTCCTTTCCCACCTTCAAAGAATAGACCAAGACCTGGTGATTGGACTTGTCCTTCATGTGGATTTTCTAATTTCCAAAGAAGAACTCATTGTTTCAGATGTTCATTCCCAGCTTCTTCAGCTGTAGCAATCCAAGAATCAATTTATTCATCTAATTCTGTTCCTAAATCCAATAACAATAATAATAACAACAATAACAACAATTATTCAAACAATAATAACAATTTAAATTTAACTCCTTCAAATAGTCGTCGTAATGGTCCCAATGATAAAATTGCATTAAATTCAGCAGTTATAAATGCTGCTGCCATATTAAATAATAACAATAATAACAACAATAATACTTCATCTGTTAATAATTCTAATTCTAATCATAATGCTTACAACAATAATATTAATTCTTACAATAACAAATCTCAACTTCAAGATCATTCCCAATTACAATCTCAACAAGCACAACAATCACAACAACCGCAACACCAACATCATTCTCAGGATCAACAACAACAGTATAATTTACATTCTAATGGAAATGGTCATAATAATTTGAATTATAATAATAACCATTTGAATTCTATCAACAACAACGGCAATAATAACAATAATTTGAATAATGCTAATAACAATATGAACAACAATCATAATCGTTTACACTATAATAATAATAATGTACCATTTAGAGCTGGAGATTGGAAATGTGATTATTGTACTTATCACAATTTTGCTAAAAATTTATGTTGTTTAAAATGTGGTGCTAATAAACCAGCCAGTTTACAGAATAATAATAACAACAATAACAACAATAATAATAGTCATAATAATTCTGGAAGCAATGCTTCATCAGCCGCTGTTGCTGCTGCTGCTGCTGCCGCAGCAGCTGCTAATAGCAATATTCATTCTGTTAATTCAACAGCCGCAGCTATTGCCGCTGCTACTGCTAGTGGTCAACCTTTGAATTTGAGTAATGGACTTTTAAACAGTTTACAACAACCTCAACCTCATCCTCATCATTCGAGTCAATATTTACAAGCACCATCTCAAAGACAACAATCAAGAAATAATTCATTGGGTTCCACTTCTAGCACTCAATATTCTACTGGTAGTAACAATTCAGGTGGAAAATCCATGCTTGGTCAAGGTCAAAACCAATCTCATCTTTATCAACAACAAAACTCTTATAACAGTAATTCTGGCTTAAGAGGTAGTGGTAATGGAACCCCACAACCATCATTACAACAACAACAACAACAACAACAATATCTTCAAAACTTGAATAAATTCAATTCACCTTCTGTTACAAACTCCCCTGGTTTATATCCAACTACCGGATATATTTCTAACCAGTACCAACAACATCAACATCATCTCTCTCAACAACTGCAACAACAACAACAACATTCTAACTATAACAAGCAAAATCCAATTACTCCTAATTCAGTTCCATTAGATGGTAATTCTAATGCTTCTCCTGCTGTTGTTGCTAAAAATCAAGATGCTACATTTAATGTGTTAACTAATCAAATCAATTCATTAAGTTTGAATCAATAATTTCATTTACTTTATTTCTACGTTTCGTTACTTAATTCGTCAATGGATCAATTTTTATTCTAGTTGTATATTTGCTTGCTTGCTTTAAACTCTTTTTTTCATTTAATTGCTTTGTTCCTTTTTTTTATTTATTATTCTTTGATTTTCCTTGTTTGGCATAGTTTAACTTTTGAAAGGATGGTGGTGGTGGATTCTATCGTGTGTGTTTACTTTAAAAAACAGCTTGTGCTGAAAGACTTTTAATACTTTTTTTTATGTTTACTATTGTTCTATCTTTTGATGTATTATATTGTATATGGTTATAACTCTAAAAAGACTCTCTTATATAGGTGATATAGTGATATATACACATTGTTTTAATAACATTCTATATACGTAAATTTTATATAGAAATATTTATATGCAGTCCAAGCCAATTTTTAAATTTCAGAAAAACAAGAACACGTCAATAAAACAAATTGAAATATGGCTACCACTTAATTTACTTGTTCGATATACCAATTATCAACAACAACCAGCCAACATGACTACCGACAAGTACTCAATTATCTTACCAACTTATAATGAAAGAAAGAACTTACCTATCTTGATCTATTTATTATCCAAAACTTTTGAACAACAGAAGATAAACTGGGAAGTTATTATTGTTGACGATAACTCTCCAGATGGTACTCAAGAAGTTGCCCACAAATTGATTGACATATTTGGAAAAGACCATATCCAATTAAGAGCCAGAGCAGGTAAATTAGGGTTAGGTACTGCCTACGTTCATGGTTTACAATTTGTTACTGGTAATTTTGTTATAATAATGGATGCTGATTTCTCTCATCATCCTGAAGCTATTCCAGAATTAATTGCTAAACAAAAGACTGAAGATTTTGATATTGTTACCGGTACTAGATATGCTGGTGATGGTGGTGTCTATGGTTGGGATTTAAAAAGAAAATTAGTTTCAAGAGGTGCCAACTTTTTAGCTGCTACTGTTTTAAGACCTAATGTATCTGATTTAACTGGTTCTTTCAGATTATATAAGAAGGATGTCTTAACCAAGATCATCGAGGTTACTAAATCCAAGGGTTATGTCTTCCAAATGGAAATGATGGTAAGGGCTAGATCATTAGGATTCAAGATTGGTGAAGTTCCAATCAATTTCGTTGATAGATTATATGGTGAATCCAAATTAGGTGGTGATGAAATCGTTGGTTATTTAAAAGGTGTTTGGACTTTATTTACCAGTGTTTAAATCTCTTTCAAGTGTATATTATAAATAAACGGCTTTAACCATGCGTGTTTGAGGTATATTCTGTGGCATCCATCCAAGTAAACCTTTTTGTGCGTTGTAAGTAATATGAATAGCTGTGAAGAGTAGTGAACAGCAGATTTCGCTTATCTTTGGTAACATGTTGAGAGTGTTATGTAACATAGTGAATAGGAATCGAAGAAGAGAAAAAAGTCGGTTAAAATGAAACTAAAATGAAATAAGCATAAAGAACATTAACGTAAAACTAAGATGCTCAGAGAAAAATTTAACTGTTATGGTAGCGCCACAAACACCAACTTAACCCAAATCCATAATTCCCGAAACCAAAATTGGAGTAGTCACAGATACACATAATTAACATTGGGGTCTTTGTTAAATTAATATTCTTTAAAGGAAAAGCAACTGCAGTAGAAGGAGTCTGTTGTGGTTTAAGTAACACTTTCTTGTACTGAAATTGGTATGCGAAAAAAAAAGCGGGCAGCTGAAAAATTGAAAACAAATTTAAGGAAGGTATAGTTTAAAATTACCTTATTTTATTATAGTCAATCAAGATGGCCAAAGATACGTATTTGAAGAAGGTCTTAGGATCTGAGCGTTATAACCGAATCAGGTCATCGAAAGTGTTGATGGTTGGTGCAGGTGGGATTGGATGTGAGTTATTAAAAGATCTAGTATTAACGGGATATGGACAAATTCATATTGTCGATTTAGATACTATAACATTATCCAATTTAAACAGACAATTCTTGTTTCGTAAGACTGATATCGATAAATCGAAATCATTAACTGTTGCCAATGCGGTTCAATCATTCAATTACTTGAATTCCAACTTAATTCCTCATCATGGTAATATTATGGATGGTAATCAATTCCCAATCCAGTGGTGGTCACAATTTGATTTCATATTTAATGCATTAGATAATCTTGAAGCAAGACGTCATGTTAATAAGATGTGTTTATTCTTGAAAAGGCCATTGATGGAAAGTGGAACCACCGGATTTGAAGGTCAAATTCAACCAATCTTTCCTTATCATAGTGAATGTTTTGATTGTCAAGCTAAAGAAACCCCTAAAACGTTTCCTGTTTGTACAATTAGATCAACACCATCATCACCAGTCCATTGTATTACGTGGGCAAAAGAGTTTTTATTCTATCAATTATTCGATGAAGCAGATTCCACAGAATTAAATAGTGCTGATAAAATAGCTGGTGAAACTGATGATAAAGATCAACAAGAAAACCTCGCGAAGGAAGCAAATGAATTAATTGAATTAAGAAATCTGATTATATCGAAAGATAAGGATGTATTCTTCACAGAGCTTGTGTTTAAAATATTCAAGACAGATATTGAAAGATTATTGTTAATTGATACTTTATGGAAATCTAGACAAAAGCCGAATCCATTACAGTTTTCAGAATATGAATCAGAGTTAGATAATTTAATTGCTGATGATAAAAATACATCTATATTAACTGATGATACCAAGGTTTGGACAATCTTGGAGGATTTATATGTCTTACGTAAATCAGGTGAATCATTACAAAAGAGAATAAACTCAGGAGATGAGCTGTCTATATCATTCGATAAGGATGATGAAGATACTCTTAACTTTGTGGTTGCATCAGCCAATTTAAGATCATCTATTTTCCATATCGAAACAAAATCAAAATTTGATATAAAGCAAATTGCTGGTAATATTATTCCAGCTATTGCTACTACCAATGCTATTATTTCTGGGTTTTCATGTTTAAGTGGATCTGATTATTTTAAAGTTGATGCCAAGAAGATTGGGACTGATTTTTCAAGTTTCATGAACCATTCTAGAACTGTTTATATCAGTATAAGGCCTAATAAGTATATTACTTCAGCTTTACTTTCAGAGCCAAATGAAAAATGTGCTAGTTCATCCTTGTTATCTAGAGGAGTGTTAAGAATATCCAAATCCGATGTCAAAGCTCAAACTTTAGGATGGTTAGTTAATACTTTGATAGATACATATGATTATGAGGAAGAAGGATTATCGATATCTTTAGGACAATCAAGATTGATTTATGATGTTGATTTTGATGATAATCTTGGTACAAAATTGATTGATATAAATGGGTTTAAAGATGGCGAGCTTTTATTCATTCAGGATGATAATGATGAATTAGAAAATCTTGAACTATACATCACCATAACTGGTGAAGGAACCCTTACAACCTTACCTGAGTTTAAGCTTCGACCAAAGAAAGAGTTTGCTGAAGAAGATGAAGAAGATTATTCTATGGAAGAAGTTGATGGAAATAGAGACACCATTATTATCGATGACGAAGAAGAAAAAGCAATTGATGACATCGTCATCGAAGAACCTGCTTTAAAGAAAAGAAAAGTTGTTGAATAGATATAGATCTACATACATATATACATAGTAAATATAGAGAATTTTGGTATTGTTTACATTGCTTACATAATCACTCGTTAAACTGTAACTAACGAAAAAATGTGGGACTCTCAATTCAATCCAAACTAAAAAAAATCAATCACCCACCACATAGTAAAAAGGGATTCTGTTTAGGCCAGATCATTTCTTTTTTGAATTAGTTCTTATCAATTGAAACATATATCTGATACTATGTCGTGGCAAGCATATACTGACAACTTAGTTGCAACTGGTAAGCTTGATAAAGCTGCTTTATATTCCAGAGCTGGTGATTCATTATGGGCTCAATCATCTGGTTTCCAATTACAAGCCAACGAAATCACGGAAATTGCAAAAGCTTTTGATAATCCATCAGGATTACAGGCTCATGGTTTACATGTTCAATCACAAAAGTACTTCTTGTTGAAGGCTGATGACAGATCTTTATACGGTAAACACGAAGGTGAAGGTGTGATTGCTGTTAGATCTACTCAAGCCATCTTAATTGCTCATTATCCAGCTGGTGTCCAAGCTGGTGAAGCCACTTCAATTGTCGAGAAATTAGCCGATTATTTGATTGGTGTCGGTTACTAGTTAAATGGTGTTGTGGTTGATTCAATATTGTTTATAGTTGATAATATCTATATCTTTCTTTTATCGATTATAAGAGAGATATGGTACTAACTAATACCCTAGTTGTTTCTTTTAAATTGTATACTTTAATCGAGTTTGAATTCAGTTTTGTATCTACACAGTATCACTTTCAACATGAAATATACGATATTAATTATTAAAGAAAAAAATTACAAACAAATTACTTCTGTAGAGCTGTTAAATTATAAAATTAACTATGATGTATCCTTTTTGTCTTCTTTGGTACTCTAGCCAAATAGTAGAAGAAAATAGTCATAACAATATTAAAACAAATGAAACCAATGAATACTCCAATATTTCTACCTCTCTCACTATAATAAATATCCATAGTCTTAAGGAATACGTTGGTACTCTTCATAGTACAGAATTCACATACTGAAGTTGAAGATTCGTCTACCAAATAACCTCCCGCGACTGCCATATAAGGTTGCATAAATTCTCCACAGGTTAGGTTCCCAGCGGGTACAAACTTTAAAATTTCATCTGCTGAACAAGTAACATCCGAATCAGCCAAACCAATACCTAAAAAGGCTCCCACAAGATAAGTAACAGGATTGAATCTATACATAAAGATCCAAAATCCTGGTAATTTATTCTTAGGAACTAATACACCACAGAAATTCAAACACATATTAAAAAGAACCACACAAATATTACCAGCATTATTTTCAATCTCAATGAACGAAATGACAAGTTGGGCTAAGGTTCCAATATACATATAGAATAGAACACACGAGAGCCACATTAATGCACCTCTTTCGTGAACTGTATCTGTTGGAACTGCATTACTGTATAAACCAACTGGATAATACCAACTGAAGAAAGCCAATGTACCTGCCAAAATATTCCATGGTAACTCACCTGTTATTTGAGCACATATGAAGGCAAACCAACTAAATGTTCTTGAAGGACGTTCTCTAACTTCATATAAACTTCTCTGTGCTACAAAATGGGGTAAATATTGAAGAACACAGGTCATCAATGTTAAAAAGAATAAAAATACCAGGAACATTTGATTTTGCAACCCTTGAAGTGATCTATCTGCCTTAAAGAAACTGAATCCATTAAACAACGACGCCAAAACTGCATTCAAAATCTTGGAATAGGTGAATGAAGGAGTTCTCCAATATTGTTGCAAAACTCTCTTTGTGACCAATAAGTATTGATAAGGTAAAGATCTGGCAAATAATTTATACTTTTCAGGATCAGTATTAACTGGGAGTTTAACTAATTCAGTTTCCATTCTATCTAATTCATTCACAACTTCTTGATACTCCAGAGAATTTCTCCAGACATCATAGTAATCCTTTTCAGCATGAGATCCTGGAGCAGCTCCAATGACTTCTAACATCCATTCAGCTGGGTTAGCTTCACGAGGACACTTATGAGGCGAGTTTCTTTCAAAATATTCTATTAAGGTTTGACAATTCTCTCCAAGATCACCGAAATAAACAGTTTCACCACCTTGTTGCAAAAATAACAATCTATCAAATTCTTGCAATAAAAGTGCTGAAGGTTGATGAATAGTACATAAAATAGCTTGACCATGATCAGCAAGTTTTCTTATCAATTTACAAATTGACCAAGCAGTTTGAGAATCTAAACCAGAAGTTGGTTCATCTAAGAATAATAATAAATCTGGTTTGGCAACCAATTCAACCCCAATCGTTAATCTCTTTCTTTGTTCCACATTTAACCCTTCACCAGCAACACCAACAACTGCATCGGCATATAATTGCATATCTAACAAATCAATAATAGATTCAACATAATCTCTCTTTTCTTGTGTTGAAACAGATTTGGGTTGTCTCAAATAAGCTGAGAATCTTAATGCTTCACGAACAGTTGAGATATCAAGATGTAAATCTTGTTGTTGGACATACCCAATAGATCTTTGGAAGGAAGTGTCTAATGGACGACCATTTACCATTTTAATACCATCAGTTATAACACCAGCTGTTAATCTCTCTGAAAGAGCATTTAATAAAGTAGTTTTACCAGCACCACTACAACCCATCAAAGCAGTCAATTGACCAGGTTTAACCCAACCATCAATCCTATTAAGAAGCACTCTATCTTCAGATTTGATCTTGACTTGATAAGTTAAGTTTCTCCAATGGAAAGTATCACGATTTTGTTTAAATTTACTAAATGTACTATCTTGTGGAGAAACTGATAATGACGGAACTTCCTTTTCAGCTTCTTCCACAGAACCAGATTCAGTATCATGCATTGCTTTTCTCTTTTGTCTTAATGCTCTTTCTTGGAACACCAAGATTTCACCCTTTTGCATGGCTCCTTTATTAAACTCACATAAAATAATATAAGTAAATAAAAAGAATACGGTGAATGCAATGATTATACCAAAGTTTCTCCATTTATGGGAATTATAATACTCGAACGAAATGCCAATGAAATCATCACCATTCACATATTCTTGACCTAATTGAGATCCAACCACAGAACAGATCCTATTATCTGGAGTCTGGGGATATCCTGCACCAGATGGAACAAATTGGGAACATTCAAATTGAGTATCATGGAATTCATTAGCCATCAATGCTTCAAAGGTATATGCAATTGGATCAATATAATTAATCCATCTACACCATCCTAACATTTTTGGAGTTGGAATTACAAAACCCGTAAAAGTCATGAATCCTAATAACATAAGGGCAGCTGGAGTCATAGCTTCAGATAGCGTTTTGGTAGCAGCACCAATAGTTCTGAAAATGTGAGACATGGCTAATGTTGAAACAAAATTGATTAATAAATAGAAAAAGAATCGTCCTGGTTCTCTTCTAAAATGGACCATGAAGTAATAAACAAGATTAAATCCAATAGCAATTATAATTTTAGATGGTAACTCCATAATTATTGAAGCAAGAGCATCAGCAGCGGGATGATATAATGCGTAGGTCTTATGTTTCTCAACGATTGGTCTTGCTTCATAAAGATTGAAAACTTCAATAATACATGAAAAGGCATTGAATAAAATAGCGAAAAACATAGCAGCAGTTCTATAATAGAATGAACCTGTGGTATGTGGTAGATTATAAAAAATGGAGGATATAAGTAAACTCATGGAGAAATTGGCAATGATATGAAATACCACAACTGTTGGAGCCGAAATATTTCTTAAATAATCTCTATAAATGATGTATCTCACTTGCATTAAGAATGATACAGTATAAGAAGACTTTGGATTGGTATGTTTACTTTGTCTTGCAACATGAGATTCTTTAAATTTATCACTATAATGTGATCCAGAATGTTGTTCTAAATAAGCATCTATGTCTAATAATAATTGAGCTCTTTGTGGAGAAGCTAACCAACGATCATAAAACTCTTTTGCAGTCCTAGGTACTTTATCTTCGAATCCAGGACTAACTGTTCTTTCAGATGGATTAGTTAAGGAAGTTAAGAAATCAGCCGTGGTTTGTCTTTGAGGACATTCCCAACCCATACTGGTAAAATATTCTTTGGCTGTCCTAGTATTACCAAAATAAATTTGATAACCTTCATATAAAAGACTGACATTATCGAATAATTCATAAGAATCTTGAGAACATTGATAAATTGCAATCAAGGGAGTTGTACCAGTAATATCAGCTGAAGTTCTTAATGCCTTTAAGAATTCTAATGCTGTGGCTGAATCTAAACCTCTAGTTGAATTATCCCAACATTGAACAAAACCTTGACTAATAGCCACTTCGGCAATTGAAACTCTTTTTCTTTCACCACCACTTACACCCCTCACATAGTCATTACCAACTTTTGTATTCTTGGTATGACTTAAACCAAAGGTAGCCATATATACCTCAGTTAAATGTTTGGCATATAATTCTCTTGATACACCCAAAGGAATATTTTGTGGAGTTCTTAACAAAGCTGCTAATTCTAATGTTTTAAATACTGTTAAATGAGGGAAATGATTTTCAGTTTCGGCACAATAGACCACATCTCCTCTATAATGCTTTTGAATTTGATCTGGAGTTAAAGAATTATATCTTATGACTGATTCTTTACCAACATGGAAACCATAGGTATGACAAGCTAAGGTTTTTAATAAAGTGGTACAACCTGCAGATGGTCTACCCAATACCACTGTTAAAGTTCCAGGTTTGCATAAGCCTTCCATTGGTTTTAAAATATCAAATGAATCATGTTCCAAGGATGAAGGGGTTAATCTTCTGACAAGCTTGTTTAAAAATTTATAGGGAACATTCAAAACATTGCTTTGATAATCAAATTTTGAAGAATGTCCATAACATCTAAGATCTTTATAAACTAAACCCAATGTTGTAGGTTTATAATAATCAATATCACTAAGAATCAACTTTTGCATATTTTTGATCCAGAATTTATAATCGAATTCATCATTATGAGGGTTTAATTTTGGATTAATGAAATTTTCATGTTCATCATCAACCATGGGGATTTGACCTGGGATATCAGATAAATGAGTTAATTTTCTCAGTAATGATAAATCCAATTCACTTTCATTAAATGCTTCATCATTTTTATTAAAATCAATAGCAGCAACATTCGAAAATGAAGTACGAGTCATGGTTCTGGCCAAGTTTCTAATCTCTTGTCTGACTTGAGAAGTAACACCGTCATAGGGAAGATTATTCAGACTAAGGTCAACACCCGTGTCAACCGGCTTACTATCAAAGGTGGGAGGAATAAAACCAGACATCTTCTAAAGTGTTATATGATAATGATTGTAGTTATTATGGTAGTTGTTTTCTACTTTTCTATACTTTTGTTATGATTTCTAAGAATGAATTCAAATTTCACATTACAACCTTTTGAAATATGCCATCGCGGTGGATATATATATGAGTTTGGATAATTCCAAAACATTGAATTCTGTGATCAGTTGCAAAATCGCAAAAAAATAAATTACAATGTCCTCCTTAAAAAATAAAAATCTGTAAAACACGCAATAAAAAGCGCTATTTCGGATGATTTTTTAAATAATAATAATTGTTAAAAGTTTAACTTCAAATATGCTATCCGATACCGAGGATGAAAACTAAGATCAAAACAGGTTTGTTATAATTCCCTTAAGATGCTGTATATGAATTTGGATTTTTTTGATATGAAAGAATAACAACAACATTGAAGAGGCCAGCCTCGTTTACTGTAAATTAAAAGTAGGTTTTATGGAGGAGAACCGTTTTGGTTTGAACATCAACTAAATTCAGATGAAATGAAATTCAATATCGAAAACAAACATGGATAATCGCTTATAATTGATTACGAAATCGAAATTAATCATCTTTTAGAGCCTAATGTAACACCAGATAAACTTTTTTTAACTAAAAATGGTTTAAAGTTTTATTATAATAATTTATCTCTTCTCAACCATAAAATGATCACCTCATTTGATGCAACATATCCTGTATATTATAACCACCACTTATTTCCCCCAGACTTTAAACAAAGTGCTATGATGACGATGGGGACAGGAGGATTTAACTCATTTAATCCGGTTTATATATCATATGTTGCTATCCAAGAACGGTATGCTTTCATCGTTACTTCATTCTCTAGGTGTCATCTTGGCTCAATAATAATATTTTTTTTATGTGCTGCATAATATTTGTTAATTATAGAAACGCTAAGAAATTAAGTCATTTGACATAAATTTAGCTAACGGTATTTATGACGAGGTTTCAGTTACCATAGGATAATTTTAATCAAGGTGGCTACAATTTGTCTTTATTTATCGATTTTTTATTGTGTATCGTTTTATTAATCTAGATATTTAATAATTTACTTCTACTATGATCTTTAATATGCTACTTCTTATCAACTGACTCAATTATAATTTATAGAATTCATCTTCAACACCATCTAATTTCTTTGGTAAACGAACTACTATACCAACTGGGTTAATAATAACATTTTCAATATCCCAAATACCAGTACTATAATAAACATCTTTTTTTAAGAATGCAATGACATCTTCTCTTGAATCAGCTACTAAATGGAAAGTACTACCAGCAAACTTGGTTTTAGCATCATCATGATAAATGGCACCAGCAGATTTAACAATTCCTGAATTAACAGTTGGTGCAATACCTTTAAAATGTTGAGGTCTGATTTCTGTTCTATCAGTATTTGGTTTATCAAAGATAATAACGTTATATTCAATTGACATGGTTCTTAAACTAGATGAGAAGTATCTGATAGTTGGTTTTAATAAAGTATTACTTTTAAACATCAAATATTTGAATGAGTTTCTAAATTAAACTACCTTTCTCCACTATTTATATATATATTAATTTATCCAATTTTTGAATTCCTGGCGGTTTGATCCTGAGAATACTGCATACAAGCTGAAAAATCGGGATAAATATGCCGAAATATTACTAGTTTATTATTTACTATTTAATAATTATAAACTACAGTAAGTTGCAAATAATCTAAATGATAAATATATTAATAGACTTGAATAATAGTTTCAAGCTTTATATAAATTACTAATAATATAAAGTAAATACTAAAATGTGAAGAAAAGAGAAAGTGAAAGTGAAATAATAAAATTTTAATGTAATAAAATGGTTTAAATGAAAGCGTACAACCTGATTAATTCAAACGTGGTAGTGAGTTTGAAGTTTTCAAGATTGTACTCTGCCATAATGCAATGATGAATATAATGAAAAAAGTATCATGAGGTATGATGATAATGATTCTTAACTGTCGTTGTGTTATAACTTTTTGATTCTTGATTGGAATGAAGACCAAAAGCATGACAAAGGCAAGTGATGACTAATATACTGTAATTTTGTTTTTGATTTAATGGTTTGATATTCTAATCAGATGAAGTATCAATTGGAGCAAAGATTCTAACTCTTTCCTTTCTTGGACCTAATTTATCTGTTTTTATACCAGCTCCAAATTGATTACCATATGGAGAATGTGTTGGGATTAAATTAGTGGAAGTGACTGGTGGATCTGAGATTCTTCTGTTTTGTCTTTGACCTATACCACCTTTATCTCTAATGAAACCTTTAATAAAGGAAGTTTTATATCTTCTCAAGTAATTTTCATTTCTCAAGTTCTCACGATCTCCGTTAACTTGTTGGTTATATAATCCAGTAGCTATTAATGGTTTGTCAGTTGGTTCATGGTTCTTGTAGACCAAGAAAGCACCAGCTACAGCAGCTATACCGAATATTTTAGTGATATTTATTTCTAAAGTCTTTGGTGGTTGTGAATGGGAGTCATGATGATGATGTGATGAATTGAATCTTTTAAATGATTGTTGTATGGTACGACCAGAAGATGTGTTTCCTACTCTTCTCAACATAGTCTAAGCTTAATATCTATTCTTATTAGTTGGATGGAAGTATTGATATCCTTTAATAGATTTATTATCCCTTTATTGTTTTCAAAATTTTCTGTAACTTTTTCTTTGATACGTGAGTGAGAGAACACTTTTGTTGTTTAACCAATAAAATTTATTTAAATGAAAATCCAACTTATATACAGGAAAGTCAGGTCACGTGAACAAATATATAAACTACAAAATATGAATCAATGTTATTTTAAACAAAATTAATATTGAATCGATTAATGAAACTATATATAAAGATATAAACCAAAAGTATGAATAAATGAAGAATGGAAATATGATTTTAAAAAGACCCCCAAGTACCGTAATTGTAGTGATAATCTGAGTAATCCAGATGTAAACACTGAAATGAATGAATAAAAAATATAATATAATGAAACCGATACCCAAGGAATGAATACAAAAAGACACTGTTAATTAGAAAACCAGGGAAGCATAGAATATCCCATAAGACGCCACTTCTCACTTGGAATTATTACCATTGTTATAAAAATGATCTTCAATCCATGAAGGACGATAAGCCTTTGGATTGATACTACTATTAAATGGTTTATTCCCATTAGCAACAATCTTTTTAGGAGCTGTTTTGGAAAAGTTTGAAACGAAGAAATCACTTGCGATTAAGAACATTGGTGTAAGGATAAACAATCCACTATTAGCAAAGTGTTTCATGTTATGTGATTGGGTCTATATCTATGTGGGGTATAATTGGAAAAAATGCAAGTTTCGTAAAGACTTTTGAATTAAGGGTGTGTTATCTGAGTTGAATCTATATATTATAAACACAAGGAGATTGAAGGATTAACTTTTATGTGATAAGGGTATTAGATGATATTTTGATGTTTGTAATTATACATTACACAAACAAACCGTTGTTTGCTGCTTTAAAGATGATAAATGACAAGAATTTGAACCTGTCAAGATAGACTTAGAAAAGTCTTTAGTTATGTATGTCTATAACGAGCTTAAAGCTCTAAAAGATATGCAAATATGAGTTGAAACTTAAGTAGCTTGAAGAAGAAAAAGGGATAGCAAATTTAAAAAGAGGAGTGTAAATTTATGCTTATTTATTTTTTATGAAGAATTTTTCCGATCTTGTCCTTTGTTCGGAGAGAAGAGCCAAAAAAAGGAGGGGTTCCTTTAAACTGGTAGCGACACGTTTATATAAGGAAAGGTATAACTAGTACCATAACAAAAATGGCTTGCAATGGGGAGTTATCATTACAGAAGGAAGCTATTTTTTTCTTTTTTTTTTATTCTTACTATATAGATAGAAAACTGTAACAATAAAATTATAACAAATAATATAAAAATAATAATATTAAGATAAACTAGACAAAGATTTAACAAATGACGACATGATAATGAACTTGATTTGAATTACTGATTATATAAGTTTCTTTTTTGACTTTCTTTCTTTCTTTCTTTCTCCATTTTGAAAATATACGTGATACTAGCTCAACTATATAAATCATCTTCTTCTTCTTCACGACCAAATGAAGCACCTCCAGCATTACCAGAAGCACCTTCACCATTGGCAGCACTTGCTTCACCACCTTCATTTTCAGCAAATCTAAAGTTACCAAATTGACCTCTTGAAGCTTGTAATTGTTGAGCATAAGCATCATAACGACGTAATTCAGCATCAGAAACAGAACGTTTAGCAGTCTTCATGGCTTCCTCGAAATGAAGTCTGGTGATGAATGGAACTGGATCTTCTTCTTCTTCTTCAACTTCTTGAGCTTCAGATTTAGTAGCAGTCATATCAACATCTTCTTCCTTGACTTTAGCTTCTTCCTTTTGAGCAGCTCTTGATTTATCTAATCTAATTTGAGCTTCAATAGAATCTTTAATAGCAAATTTAGCTGATCTTTGAACAATATAAGATAAATCAGCACCAGAGAATCCAGAAGTGATTTTAGCAATTTCGGTTAAATCTAAACCTGGTTCTAATGGAGTATTTCTTAATTGAGCTTTCAAGATAGATAATCTAGCAACTTCATCAGGTAATGGAACATAAATCAATTGATCTAATCTACCAGGTCTTAATAAAGCTGGATCAATTTGATCAGGTCTATTAGTAGCACCAATAACGAAAACATTCTTCTTGGCATTCATACCATCCATTTCAGTTAATAATTGATTAACAACTCTATCGGAAGCACCACCAGCATCACCATGAGATCCACCCCTAGCTTTGGCAATAGAATCTAATTCATCTAAAAACACAACAGTTGGAGCAGCAGCTCTTGCTTTATCAAAAATATCACGAATGTTAGATTCAGATTCACCATACCACATACTTAATAATTCAGGACCTTTAACAGAAATGAAATTAGCAGAAACTTCAGTAGCGACAGCTTTTGCTAAAAGAGTTTTACCAGTACCTGGTGGACCAAAGAATAATACACCTTTGGTTGGAGCCAAACCGAATTTTTGATATTGATCTGGATGTAAGACTGGATATTCAACAGTTTCTTTCAATTCATTCTTAATAGCATCCAAACCACCAATATCATCCCAAGTAACATTAACATTTTCAACCACAGTTTCACGTAAGGCAGAAGGATTAGAATTACCAAGAGCAAATTTGAAATTTTCCATAGTGACACCTAAAGAATTTAACACTTCAGCATCAATAGTATCTTCTTCTAAATCTATAAGATCCATCTTTTCACGAATTTGTTGCATAGCAGCTTCAGAACATAAGGATGCAATATCAGCACCAACAAAACCATGAGTTTCAGAAGAAATAGATTCTAAATCAACATCATCAGCTAATTTCATGTTTTTAGTATGGATTCTTAAGATTTCTAAACGACCTTCGGCATCTGGAACTCCAATATCAACTTCTCTATCAAATCTACCAAATCTTCTTAAGGCAGGATCAATAGAATTTGGTCTATTAGTAGCAGCAATAACAACAACATTTGATCTTGCTTTCATACCATCCATAAGAGTTAATAATTGAGAAACAACTCTTCTTTCAACTTCACCATTAGTTTTGTCTCTCTTTGGAGCAATAGAATCAATTTCATCAATGAAAATAATAGATGGAGAATTCTTTTCAGCTTCTTCAAAAGCTTTTCTTAAATTAGATTCTGATTCACCAGCCATTTTAGACATAATTTCAGGACCATTTATTAAAAAGAAGAAAGCACCTGTTTCATTAGCAACAGCTCTAGCCATAATGGTTTTACCAGTACCTGGAGGACCATACATTAAAATACCCTTTGGAGGTTTTATACCAATTGATTTAAATAATTGAGGATGTCTTAAAGGTAATTCAACTAATTCTCTAATTTGAGCCATTTGTTTTTTACAACCACCAATATCATCATAACCAACATCATTTAAATTATTTTCTTCATCTTCACGATTAATTGGATCACCTTCACAATGAATAATAGTATCTTGAGCAACAATGGCAATTTCTTCAGGATCAACTTCAACCACTTTAAATTCAACTTGTCTCATACCACCTCTTACAGTGAATAAATCACCTTTTCTTACTGGTCTATAAGCTTCGACGAAATAAGGTTTTAAATAAAGATCAAATAATGAACCAGTAATACCTTCAACAGTATCAGCTATTGGTAATACGGATATTCTATTAGCATATTTAATATCTGGACATGGATGAATGGAAACAATATCACCTAATCTGACTCTTAAATTATTACGAACACATCTATTGATTCTGGCAACACCATCATCCATATCATCATCAGCCAATACAATTAAGACAGTATCTTTTCTCTTTTTACCTTTAACTAACACAGTATCACCACGGAATAATTGTAATAATTCCATAGTGTTGGAGGACATAGTGATAACTGAATTGTCATCATTGACAGCATCATCAACGACTAAAGCATTATCCTTCTTCTTTCTTCTTAAGATAGCAGTAGCAGTCTTATCTTCAACTTGATGGGCACCAGACGCATCAAAATGAGGTTTCTTATCTTCTTCGTGGTTACTCATATTCAAAATGATTCAATTAGGTATCTAGTAAATGAATTAACTTGACTTTTAACAGATCGATTGATTTCTAAGGGGGGAACTTGATCAGTATATTGATTTCTCTAGACCAAAAACTCGAACGATTTTGATTAAAAGGAATTGATTATAATAGAAAAAGAAACGACAAAGATAATTTCAGGAACTGGAATGTAATAAGTTTTAATGATAAATCACAAGTTCTAATTGTAATTAAGATCAAAAGATGATTTGTAACCCTTAAGAATTGAATTGAAATCAAAAGAAGTATTTAAACGTAATAAATGATAATTGATGGTGAAAGTTGAGAATTTCCAACAGTGTCGCGGATGGTGTTGTGGGAGTGATTCCTGTATATAACTGCAGGTTTGGTGGCAATCCAAAATGGGGGAGAATTGGAAGAATCAAGATACTTTTATAAGTAGAATAGTATCCTTAACAGTTGGTGAAGTTTGTTGATGTATTTGTAAGACTGAAACTAACTCAAAATCATCTAAACTTAACTATGTCTAACTCCTTTACCATCGATTATGAAAAGCTTCTGTCAACTTCTATTCCAATCTACGGGGGTGGATTATATACAGTCCTAAGTACATATATGTGCTGTTCCCTTTTTGTTTTTTGCCACCCAATTCTGGCGATAAAAACCAAAAAGCTTTTAATCCAGATGTATGGATGTTGAGACAAACTTACTTTAGCGGTATGGATGTACCAATAATTTGACCATTAGTACACGACAGTTTCCCCAACCAAAATACTTTGTATAAACTGAAAAAGGGATTTGATTGAAATATATATATATGGTGATATTTTTATGAATTCATTTAATTTTAATTGGATAAGGTAACAAAATCGAATCAATTAACAATGGCTACTACATCAATTGCTCATGATGCAGCCTGTATCTTTTGTAAAATCATCAAGGGAGAAATTCCATCGTTTAAAATCATTGAAACTCCATTAACTTATTCATTCTTAGATATTCAACCTATTAGTCAAGGTCATATTTTAATTATTCCAAAATATCATGGAGCTAGATTACATAATATTCCCGATGAATATTTAGCTGATATTTTACCCGTAGTTAAGAAATTAACTAAAGTATTAGATTTAGATCAATATGATAAATTATCTGATATTGGATATAATGTGCTTCAAAATAATGGATCAATTGCTCATCAAGTGGTTGAACATGTTCATTTCCATTTGATTCCAAAGAAAGATGAAGAAACGGGATTGATTGTAGGATGGCCTGCTGAAGCTACTGATTTTGATAAATTAGGTAAATATCATAAACAATTACAAGATCAAATCCAATCTTTAAAAGATTCTGGTAAATTATAATGAATGGGGCTAGAAGTGTTTGTATTCAATGGGAGATGTGAGAGAGAGAGGAGTTTTGTAAGGGTTAATGATTTTTTAAAAAAAATATAATAATAAGATTAAAATTGATTTAAGTTTATATTAAATAAAATGACATTAAAATATATAACATTATTAAATAAAATTAGGTTAATTTGTTTTGATTTGATTTCATTGATTGAATCAGATTTATTTATAGAATAACTCCACCGACTAAACCACCTAAATATCCCACCACATAACTTGTAAACCAAGTTACAGTTGTTGCACCAAATGGGAAATAACTAAAACTATAATATAAAATTGCAATAAATTCAATTATACTAGCAAATATAGTTAATATTGTATTTTTTAAAATAATTGAACAATATAACGTTATTAAAATTGAACTGAAAAATATCGTTGAAAATAAAATTCTTTCTCTTGATAATAAATGCTTTAAATAACTATTTGGACCTTGTAAGATTCCAAATGATAATACAAATAATACTGATCCTAAAGTCCAAATTAATGCAAATTTTCTAGGTCTTAATGCTAATACAGGGAACATAAAAAAACAAATCACAAAACATAATACTGAAGCTGCAAGACAACATCCAAATCCGATAATCTTTTCAACTCTTGATAATTTAAACCATGAAGGTTCTTGAATTTGATTACTATTAGCATCTTGATTTGTCATAGGTAATCGAGTATATAAGTTATTGGCACTGGTTTTCACATAATCAGTCCAATCAGCAAAGATAGGTCGTTCGGTGGCATTATGATTGTTGGTATTGACGTTACTTGAATTGTTATGAGTTGGAAATGATCGATTCCAATTATTTTTCTGCTGTCTGAAGGTATTTTCTGATTCTGACATTAAAGGTATATGAGATATGAGTCTAAAGTGGTAGTTGAGTTGGATCTAGTAGTTATAATACAGATATGGGTATGGTTAAGTATGATATGATGATATGATGTATCAAATATACACTGTTGATAGATGATAATAAGATGGAATCATCTTTTTTATTTTGGTATCACTTATTTTTGTTTTTTTGTTTATGTGTTTAAAGTTTTTGCCGCTTTTATCAACAAGTTCTAAACTTGGTATATTATAATTACAGGATGTTACAAATACAAGATAAGTACCTATACAAGGCTCCTACTCCTTCTTATACTATGACTGTTTGTCAGTCGGTTCCTTCGCCAACTTCGACAGCAAATTCAGCAGCTACAACACCAACTGCAATCTGTGTGGCTCCTAACAATGATATTTGTCTTGATAGGTGTTCTTCACTTTTTGACTACTTTCACGTCCAATGTGCAATTGATACTAAACCAAGGTTTCATACTCCGAGCGAAATTACTTGTATCTGTGGGGTGGCGGCTGGATTTCCAACAGCATATGTTGCATGTCGTGATTGTACTTATGGTATTGGTTATAGTGGATCCTTTACCCCCTCCATATACCGCTCTACATTGGCATGCATTTGAAATGGCTCATTTAGGAATAAATAGCTGGACATGTAGTTCACTAAAACCTCCAAGCAATCTAAAGCAATGTTCTGTAATTCCTACAACGTCATCTACTACAAGTTCAACAAGTTCTACAAATGTAACTGTATCATCAAGTGCATTCATTATGGAAATAAGTTCTCAAAATTCTGGTGCTTTATCGTCTACGACTTTAGAGGAAAGCATAACATCAAATGAGAACGAGCCAGATATATCTCTAGAAATTCCTTCCCATGTTAAACCTTCTGTACCACTTTTCGTGCTAACTGCATTAGACCGGTTTACTCTTCGAGGTCATCACTTTTGAGTTCTACCGTGATATCGAGTTCATCTTCAGAATCTTTTACTTCAATCGAGTCGAACTCATCTATTGAATCGAGAATATCAACGTCAAGCCCTAGTTCACATACTACATTAGAGTCAAGCTCTTCTTTAAAGTCAAGCTCTTCTTTAGAGTGTAGTCTAGTTCACACACTACATCAAGTCCACCCTTTGCATCAAGCTCGTCTTTAGAGTTAATGTCGTCTGGATCTAATCTGGAACCAAATCCTACTTCAACTCAATCGAATGTTTTTACTGAATCATGTACCGAGATAAACTCGAGCAATAGTAGTTATAAAAGAGAATTAATATCCCAATCTGTGACATTAAGTATTGGTTCAATACAATCATATGTCCCTTCATCTGGGCAATTTGTAATCACTTCGGATGAAAAGACTATTTCCTTGGAAACAAATTCATCCATTAAATCTTCTGGCATAAACGTTGAACCCTCAGTAACTGTTAGTATATCTTCAGCTATATTATCAAACAACACTCCAAATACCTATTTAAAGTCTTCAATAGTCATCACCAGAGTAACTTCTATATCTTCAATTATCCCTTCGATGCTGGTATTGTTGCCTCCTGGGCATGAGTCTATATCGAGCTTGACAGTCCAAATTCCTGTGACGAACTGAAACTTTTTCAAGTTCTCATTTATTTGACTCTATCCAATTATCAATTAACGAAGTCGGGTCTACAATAAGAAGTAATTATTTTACAGTTATAGTTGTTAGTCGCAGTTATGCAGCTCAAGATCACTTTTCAATAGTCTCTACACAACACAGTTTTACAACACCAAGTCCAGAATACGGAGATGTATGTGTCCCAGTCGGTTTCGTGAATGAGTGTGAAGCTGTTTGTCATACATATTTTAGTTTTTTGAATCAAAAATGTGACAATTGGAAGAATAGCAATTCTTTGGAAATAGATTCATGCTTATGCAATGCTCAAAATGAATATGCTGGATATTTCTTGCTTTTGATACATGTGCCTCAGAGTAACCTCTTTTCACTAATCGAGGACCACCTTATTTGGAATTACCTGATTTTGCTGATTTATATTATTATGCATATTTTTTGATAAACATGAATCAAAAGTTCAGTTATGATCCTCCCCAGCCACCATATTAGATGATTACATGCATTTCTACTTCCAAAACAATAAAAAGTACTAGTACTTGTGTACCAACCAATGAATGTTTAATCAACTCCAAGTAATCGTGTATGCAAGGCTACGGCAATCTTTTCGAATGTATGCACAATTCCTGTAATTTAAGTGGTGGTGTAAACAAATTTTATTTGGATAACGAGATCCAATGTGTGTGCAGTGCGGTTCACTCAGAATTTGATCTTTTTGATTGTTTAAGGCTTGTGTTCAGAACATATATTATAGAGGAGAGCTGGTACCACCACCATTTACTGTATTGATCTGGCTTTCATTTGAAATAGATAATTTGTTGTTATTATTAAATGAAGAAACTTGTCCACGTCAACAAAATGTACAAACTCCAGATCAATTGTCCTTCTGTCAAATTCCGGCAGAGGTATCTGTTACATTGTCTCTTAATACTAGGACCAGTATAGTAACTGGGATCATGGCAGAGACGACTTCGACGGCAGCTTATGTTTCACCTATTATTTCAACCATTTCGAGTGCTGAGGGAGTTAGAATATCTTTCTCTATTTCAATAGGTTTGATATTAATAGGCATTTTTTTGTAATATAATAAACATAATAATTTATCTATAAAAAATGAAATATTAGGATTAAAGTAGAAAACTTTTTGAATAAATAAATAAATATATGAACAACCAGCAAAATGTGCTAATGATAACCTTATATACTCTTCCCCTAGTTTAGTCACTCAACACCATCCCAAACATCACCATTCAATCTAAATAATTTTTGACTGGTCTCATCAACGTTTATAAGTGATCCTTCTTGATGAGCAGAACAAACTTCTTTGGCTTGACGATTTCTACCATTTAAAACTTTTGGAGAGCTTGTTTCACCTGCTGCAGCAGCAAAATTCTTATTAAATATAAATCCTTGATCACCATTTACCACAGATGAAAACCAAAATAATTCATTTTCACCATGACTTAAAAGTCTAAAAGATTCCACAAAATTTAATCGAGCTAATAAAACATAGAAGTGAATTGTCGAGTCTTATCAATAATAACAGCTCCAGCTTCCATAAAGTGAAATAACACATGCATAGCTTCTAAATCAAGGGCATGGTCCGTTAATAATGGGAAATCAAACATTATAGCACCCAGTTTTTATGGAGACATTTTCCTAATGAATCTTGCATCAGTATTAGGTCTAGTTGGTGCTGTGTTTCTACTTCTAAAGAAAATACTCCTGTTTTTGTATATTTACTATTAGAAAAGAAAAGAAAATTAAATTATAAGTATTAACGAAGTAAACTTCTTGTTTTGGTAGTCCTCTATGATAATCAACAAGGAATTGACTTCTTACTTGTTCGTATTTGGGCAAATCTTTCATCTCTTCTCTCACAGCTCTTATAATTCTTGATTTTGAACGACCAGAAAGATTATCGTAATAAACAATTTGAATAGGTAAACTATTTTGAAGTTCTCTTGATAATGTAATTAAATGAACAGTATCATCAACATGTTTATCACCAGTGGTCAAGACTATACCTCTTCCGCTTAAAGACTTTTTGAATGAGATTAGGATGATGGATTTGTCTTATGAGCATTTAAATTTTGGAAAATTGGTAGATGTAATTTAACTGCAGAAGTCCATTTGTTCAGCAATGAAATTCTGAATGGCATTATTTTGACTTATTTCATTTGAAGTTAAATAACATTTATTAAAGATTCTTAAATGACATAAACCATCGAACATGGTTTGTACTTGTTGAAAAAATGAATCACTTTTTTTTATCAACATATTTTATTAAATGCATCTTGATATCAATTCTATCAGTTTTATCTCTATGATTATCTTCATTAAAACATTCTGGTAATTCTCTACCTTTATCATTTAAAAAGGTATCTAAATCAAAATTAAACAAATAAGCTTGAGTTCTTTCATTAGGATTTGTAAACCAATATTTATTATGATCAAAACAATTTCAAAATATAATCGATAACGATCACTAAAATCTAAAGTTTTGTGAATTTATAAAAGTCAGGTTTAGTATTTAAATTGTCATCATTTACAGTGAACATAGTTTCAAAATTGGAAGAAAAGATGGGATCAATATTTCTTTTATCTTCTAAATATTGTTCAATATAAAGTCTTGATGGACTATAATCTGAATCTGGTTGATCTTGTTATTATAAGTTGAATCAAAAGTAGATTCATAATTATTTCCTTTGCTACTCTTGTTGAACGATTGAATAGGTTGATTGGTGGTATTAATTATATTCACAATACTATCAGATATTGTTTCCGAATGATAACAATATAAATAGACATTGAAAGCTAGTATCCATCAACATCAACACAAACTAGAAGTCTATTACCTCTCAATAAAGATTTAATATTGAACATTCTAAAGCGTAACCAGACTTGTGCAATTGAAATACTTAAACAAAAAGAATAAGAATAACAAAATGAAAAGAAAAAGAACAATAATTACAAAATTTAAAATCTATATCAATGCCCAAAAAGGGAAGGGGCTATTTACTATATTAAAAAATTGTTGATACATACTATTCTTTAAAAAGGCAAACTCAAAAAAATAGCGTTACAAATGTTCGGAATCTAATAATGTTAAAATAAAAGGGCTATGATTTTTAGCAAAGCCGCCAAATATTTTTTTTTGCATTTTTTTCGTTTCTTTTTTCAGCAGCGTATTTTTCACAGCTGTGTACATTCTCGCCATATTTTTTTATCAATTTGTGCAGTAATGACCTCGCGATTTAACTTAAAACAATCTAAATCAACGCAATGCGATGCGATATTACGTAAGCTGATATTTTGAAAAAAAAAATTTTAACGCGAAGTACACTATGGTTAGTAATAGTTATAGCCTATTTAAGCGATTTAGGTTAATAGCACTTCTCTCGGCACACTTCTCTCAACAAAAGCATGGAAGACGGGTTTCAGCTAAAAGTTATATCAAAATCACTGTATAAATAGTCTTATTTTCTGAGTCAATATTTTATATTTATAAATGACAAGGGTCTTGTTTACTTTATGTTAAGTATAGTATGGCCCGATATAACTCTTCCTTCGAAATGCCAGTTATTCTAACGCACTTCTTAAAAAATATTCAAATGTCTTATTTTCAACGACCTGAATTAGACAACTGGGTTCATCGAAACAAGCTCAAGGAACTTACTTGAATATAGTCAGTCTCACATAGTTCAGATAATTATGTTGACTTTCTACAGACTACATCAAGGTAAAATAAAATAAAGTTCTATAAGAGATTTTGAATAAATGAAGATTAAGAAGAATTATAAGAACAACAACAATAAAGACTATAATCATTTATTAAGAAAACTGATACTGACCCAAACTAAAAAAAATCCACAATATGAGGCCCTTCATTAGCAAACGAGATCATGAATTTACGTAAGTGTCACTAGTTGAAATAAAACTAGCTGGGTTTGTAGTTAAAGTGGATATTGAATTCAAAGAAGATCTCGTCGGTACTAAATCTTTATCTTTTTTGAATGATACACTGTTTATTGGAGTTACCAGGTTGTATTCTAAAACACCATTAGTTGGAGGAAAATATCGAGCCCATAAGAGCAGAATTTGTACGTGAACCATTATAGGAATTTATTATCACAATAATGAAAGAAACTAGGCCATGGTTCAATGCATTCAATAATTGATGATTTGCTGTTGCAAACAGATGTTTCAAGAGGGTTAGATGATGTGGACCTAATCAATTCAGAGTCAGAACTAACCACAGATTCATCATGTACATCATTTGATAATATACTGTTGTACGTAGATGATTCGTAAACCATTGAAGTAGAGCTAGGGAGCGCAGATTCTGAGACAACCATAGGTTCATCTGATACGTTAAACGAATGAATGCCGCTGAATGTAGGCCATTCACGATTGAAAGATGATGTTGAACTAACCAAACTACCTTTTGCACTAATCATTGATTCATCTGATGCGAGACTTGAAAAGATGAAGCTGTATGTAGAAGATTCGTGGGTGATAGATGATGAAGAATTTACTAGTGGCTAGTCTGAGCTAGCCACAATTTCTCTAGGCTCATTGTTTGATAATACAGTGAAGTGGATGCTGGTAATGGTTCACAGATGAAGAACTAACGAATTGTTTTTGTCCTTACCTCAAATTCATCAGATTCAATATCCGAGAATAAGGTAGATGACTCGTAAGGGAAGCATGTCATAAATGGGAACTCTGAACTAGTGAATGGCTCTGATCGAAAATACGGTACTATGTGTATATGATGGGTAAGGGTAGGATGATTTAGAATTTAGGTACAGATATTTTGGACTAGCCACATTAGCTTTCGAAGTATAACTGTTTCATCGGATTCAATGACCGGAAATTTATGGTATATGCAGAGGACTAGTGCAAATTTTGAAGTAACTAACTGGTCTTCTGAACTAACCAAAGATTCGTCAGAAGTAAATGATTTGTATGGGTTTATTGACGTAAAATTTCTGACTGAAAGTTCGGAAGCATTCGAATTAATTACTGATCCGTCAGTTTCAGATTGTTGAGAATATTGTACTATGCGTATAAGGATTCGATGAGGTTAAATTCACGTAGGAATATTTAGGACCAATAAAGCCAGCATCTGAACTAAAAATGGCTTCGACAGGTGCAACCATTGAGAATTTACCGAAGTATGTTGATGATTCGTAAAGTTCTGTTGAAGTGAAACTTATTAAATGAGATTGTGAACTAACTACAATTTCATCAGACTCCATATTGAAGATGACTCCTAGACGATGGATGATTTGGAACATGCGAGTGAAGATTCTGAACTAATTATAGAATTATTGGGTTCAGTCCTTGACAGCATGTATGTGACAATTCATAAGATGTAGAAAATGTAGAACTTATGACTGATGATTCTGAATTAATGAAATATTCTTCCGAAGCAATAACTGATTCAATAACTTAAAACATTGTGCTATATGTAGACGATTCATAATAAATTGATGATGTAGATCTTATGAAAAGAGATCATGAATTAGATACTAATTCGTCATACTCCCTATTTTATGAATATGACACATAAGGGATGGACGTTGTAGAACTTATGAATGGAAGTCCAGTTCTTTTACTGTTATATCCTTTCTACTAACATGCTTGAAATTATTATTTCTATTCTAAATTATGTTATATTATTTCTAATATTATTCAATTATCTCCAGTAATGAATCCTAATCTAATTACCATATGAAATTTCTGACTTAATCCCATAATAGTCATACCTGAAAAAAGGGCCAGCCAAACAATAAATTGCTGAAACTTTAGTTGTAATATCCTACCGGTGAATTAATTATATATCTAATTCTTTTATTTACCTGTTAAAACTTCATATTTAATTCATTTAATTATCATCTGTCTAGTTACTCAAATAATTCATTTATTTCTTAAATTATTATATATAGTCAACTATAATATTGTTTCAACTTACAACATTTATTCTCATAATATCTAACAGTACTTAATTTCAATATAAATCTAATTCCTCTGTTTTTGAATATTTTTTCTGGTAAGCTGTCCTAACATTTATATATCATCCCTTCAATATTCTTTCCTCCTTCATTTATGCATTTATATCTAATCTCCATTGATTTATATCAATTATAAATTATCTACATAATCATCTATATAATCAATATTGTCGCATGTCGCTCACCAAGCACACGACATTTTCTCTTGTTCTCTTTTATCTAACACGCCAAACACTCTTATCTGTACCAAATACATACAATCATCATCATCGTCAATATAACCCAATATGTATAATGTTGTCAACTTCCAAATCCAGTATACAGTTCTTCCTTCTACTTCAAACTAGTAAATTCAGTCTCCCTGGCTGGGAATCATAAATAACTTTGACAAAATCACATGACTTTATCAGCGACATTCCTCTCCTTAACAAAATCTCCGCACGTGATCGACTGCTCAAGAATAGATTTCTACCACCTCCGATATCCTAAAACTCAAAAGTTAAAATTTCCCTCCTTCCCCCAACGAAAACCTAAAAAAAATTAACGGTTTTATACCTCCGGGACATTTCCACACGACTTTGTCCATAAAGTACTGCGGCACGTATCTTTCCTCAGCGGAAGCATCTTTCCCGTGTCATTAATCGATGAGAAAAAAAAAAAGATTTGTTCCCGTCTCTCTCTGTGTTTGGATTGGGTTGGGTTGGCTGGGCTTCAGATTTTGTTTGGCTCTGGAAGGAAAGGGATTTTGAATTCATAATTTATTTACTATTCATTTATCTTGATCAATTCTACTTCCACTTTGTTCTGTAAGATCATCTATCATCCAATCATCATCACCCCCATCCCATCAATCATGATTAGATCAGTTCGTCCATTGGCAAATGCTTCCACCAGAATTGCTAAAAGAAGTTTAGCTACTGCTAATTCTGATTTAATTGCCATTGAATTACCTCCAAGTTCATTCGAAGGGTATAATTTAGAAGTTCCTGAATTAAATTTCGAAACTGAAAAGGAAACTTTATTAAAAATGTATAAAGATATGATTATTATTAGAAGAATGGAAATGGCTGCTGATGCGTTATATAAAGCTAAGAAAATTAGAGGTTTTTGTCATTTATCAGTTGGTCAAGAAGCTATTGCAGTTGGGATTGAAAATGCCATTACTGCTGAAGATACCGTCATTACTTCTTATAGATGTCATGGTTTTGCCTTTATGAGAGGTGCTTCTGTTAAAGAAGTTTTAGGAGAATTAATGGGTAAAAGATCAGGAGTTTCTTATGGTAAAGGTGGTTCCATGCATATGTTTGCTCCTGGTTTCTATGGTGGTAATGGTATTGTGGGAGCTCAAGTTCCTTTAGGAGCTGGTTTAGCTTTCTCTCATAAATATAGAGGTCAAAAAGCTGCTGCCTTCACTTTATATGGTGATGGTGCTTCAAATCAAGGTCAAGTATTTGAATCTTATAATATGGCTAAATTATGGAATTTACCATGTATTTTTGCTTGTGAAAATAATAAATATGGTATGGGTACTGCCGCTTCAAGATCTTCTGCTCTTGTTGAATATCATAAAAGAGGTCAATATATTCCAGGTTTAAAAGTTAATGGTATGGATGTTTTAGCTACTTATCAAGCTTCTAAATTTGCTAAAGATTGGGCTGCTCAAGGTAATGGTCCATTAGTATTAGAATATGAAACTTATAGATATGGTGGTCATTCTATGTCTGATCCAGGTACTACTTATAGAACCAGAGAAGAAGTTCAACATATGAGATCAAGAAATGATCCAATTGCTGGTTTAAAAGCAACTTTATTAGATAAAGGAATTGCTACTGAAGATGAAATTAAAGCTTATGATAAAGCTGCTAGAAAATATGTTGATGAACAAGTTGCTGCTGCTGAAGCTGATTCTCCACCAGAAGCTAAGATGGATATCTTATTTGAAGATGTTTATGTTCCAGGTTCTGAAATTCCTGTTTTAAGAGGTAGAATTTCTGATGATTCTTGGGATTTTAAAAATAAGACTTTCTTAAACAAAGTCTATTAATTTTAGTTCCCAAATAATTGTATAAATAGGAAACAACTTCAGTAAATAATTAATTAATCTAAAAATTAAAAAAACATTTATAATTAAATATAGAGCATGGCTAGTCCAACCCAAAATAAACATTGATATTGTAAGTCTTACTAGTTATAATTTTTTTAGTTGGCGCGCGCTCTAACATGGAGATGAGAGTGAAATATCAGAACCTATTTCAAAATATACCATAAACTTCAATCAATTCATCCATAAATTTATACATTAGCCATGTCAAACGGTACACCAAGGAATGGTGATCTGCAGTCTACTAATGGCAATCAATACAGTTACAATGAGATGTCGAATAAAATCATACGAGGATCAAGAAGATATAATGATGATAATGTAAATTCAAATCCTACTTCTATAGCAGGTCATATATCAATTAAAGATATGGGAAGTGCCAATGTGATGGTGCTGACCACCAGTAATACTGATACGGTGGATCATGTCGAGACATCCAACTCGAATGAAAGTGATGATTATAAAGTTGTTACTGAAAATAATAGTCACTTTTTCAATATGATACTATCAACTATAAGACCATTCATAGAAGATGCAAGTCATGAGATTATCATATCAGCTGCAGAATCAGTGTTGGAGATTCTTAAGGAAGAAGATTCAAATGTGACGACTAAGAAAGCATCAATTTCTGATCTTCTTGGGGAGACTATTGATGATATTTCAATGAAAGATTTAATCAATTTCGCCGGCAAAATCATAGATAATGAAGATGAAGGTCAAAATATAGAAGATAATGGAGAGACTAACGATGTGATAGCGGTGGAACTTGACGATAATGATGATGCTGAAGAATTATTAGCAGGAGAAGTACAGTCTGAAGAAGAAGAAGAAGAAAATGTCGAGGAAGATGGTGATGATCTTAAATCAAAGGATATAATCTTATCTGGTAAAATTGATAATGTCAAGTTACCTCAAATTTATGAAATCACTGTTTCATATATACAGAAAGAGATTTCCAAAGCTTTACCCGATCTTAAAAAGGATGATATTGAAAAATTATGGGATCAATCATTTGAAATCTTACAACAAGAAGATATTGATATCAAACAATTGGAAACATCCTTATTGGAAATCTTTAATCTTGAAAATAATTCATTCATAAATTTATGTATTCAAGATAGATGGAAGATTGTCTATGGTATAAAACTTCAACAGAATAATAATAGATCAGAAATCATTGAAGAGATGAAACAGTTAAAATTAGATTATTTAATTAAAGAACTTGATGATAATAGAGGAACCAAAAGAAAAATATCCGACATAGAAGCAGAAACTACAAGAATACCAAAATTAATCGATATTGAAGCTTCAACTTTTGTTCAAACTGCTCCCTTAATGACAACTACTAAAATCAAATTACCGCAAGGTTCATTCCAACAAAGTAAAAAGCTATATGATATAATCACTGTTCCTGCCCCATCCCCACCACCAGAATCAAATGGTGATAATGAATTAATCCCCATTTCAACCCTTCCAGGATGGGCAAGAGCTGTATTTCCCTCATCAGAAGCCACTAATTTAAATCGAGTTCAATCTCAAGTATTTCCTCGAGTATTCAATACTGATAATAATATCTTGTTATGTGCTCCAACTGGGGCAGGTAAAACCAATGTGGCTATGTTGTCGATATTACGTGCCATATCTAATCATAGAAATCCAGACACTGGTAAACTTAATTTAAAGGATTTTAAACTTGTATATATAGCACCTTTAAAAGCTTTAGTTCAAGAACAAATGAGAGAATTTCTGAGAAGATTGACTCCAGCATTTGGGATTGTTGTCAATGAATTGACGGGTGATTCTAGTTTATCCAAGAAACAATTGGAAGAAACTCAAGTTATAGTCACTACTCCTGAAAAATGGGATGTGGTTACTAGAAAAGCATCTCAGAATGCTATTGTCAAGAAAACAAAATTAATAATAATTGATGAAATTCATTTGTTACATGATGATAGAGGTCCAGTATTGGAAAGTATTGTCAGTAGAACTATAAGAAATGTCGATGCCAATACTCGTTTAATTGGTCTTTCGGCTACATTACCGAATTATCAAGATGTGGCCCAATTCTTACATGTTGATAAATCAAATGATTTATTTTATTTCGATGCATCTTATAGACCATGTCCTTTAGAACAAAAGTTTATTGGAATTAAAGAAAGAAAAGCTATTAAAAGGTTAAGTGCCATGAATGAAGCATGTAAAGAGAAGATTGAAGAATGTCTTAAAAACAATCATCAAGCTATTATTTTCGTTCATTCTAGAAAGGAAACTTTTAAAACGGCAAAATGGTTACAAGAACAACTTGGAGGTATTAATAAAAATGAAGGTTCAATAGAGATATTACAACAAGAAGCAAATGAATTCAAAGATAAACAACTTAAAGAAATTATCCCTGGAGGATTTGGAATTCATCATGCGGGTCTTTTAAAGAATGAAAGAAGTGTGGTGGAAGATCTTTTCGCTCAAAGTCATTTGAAAGTTCTTGTTTCAACCGCTACGTTGGCTTGGGGGGTTAATCTACCAGCTCATACCGTTATTATAAAAGGTACCGAAACTTACTCACCTGAAAAGGGATCTTGGGTACAACTTTCTCCGCAAGATATTTTACAAATGTTAGGAAGAGCTGGAAGACCAAGATATGATAAATCCGGTGAAGGGGTTATAATCACTACTCAAGATGAAATTCAATATTATTTGGCAGTTTTAAATCAACAATTACCAATTGAATCACAATTAATGACAAGGCTAGCTGATTCTGTTAATGCTGAAATTGTATTAGGTACTATTGAAAATAGAGAAGATGTCGTTCAATGGTTGGGATATACTTACTTGTATATCCGTATGTTAAGATCACCTGCATTATATCATGTTGGAGTTGATATTGAAGATGATAAATCATTATACTGGAAAAGACACGATTTAGCTCATTCTGCCTTGACTATATTACAACAAAATAAACTTGTACAATATGATGCTGAATCAGGTAATTTGGTTGGAACTGAACTTGGAAGGATTGCTTCTCATTTTTATATTAATTATAGGACAATTAATATGTATAATACTCAGTTGAAACCTTGGCTCTCGGAGATCGAATTAATTAAGATATTTTCCAAGTCGGGTGAATTTGAATATGTGGCTACTAGACAAGAAGAAAGGTTAGAAATTGCTAAATTAATGGAAAAGAGTCCAATTCCAGTTAAAGAAAAACCTAATGAAACATCAGCCAAAATCAATTTATTATTACAAGCCTATATTTCAAGACTTACATTAGAAGGTTATGCTTTAATGTCTGATATGGTTTATATTACTCAATCAGCTGGACGTCTTTTAAGAGCAATGCATGAAATATCATTACAAAAGAATTGGTCATCATTAGCTAAGATAACTTTGAACTTATGTAAAATGGTTGAAAAAAGGATGTGGTTAACTAATTCTCCTTTCAGACAATTTGGAGATTTGGCACCAAAAGAAATAATCAGAGCTACTGAAAGTTCACATTTCCCATGGATGCATTATTTTAATTTAAGTTCTGCTGAATTAGCTGAAGCTTTGAACTTGAAAAGTAATGCAGGAAGAGCCTATGAATTATTAAAACAATTCCCCAAACTTGATCTCAGCTATTACATTCAAACAATCACATCTAGTTTGATTCGTGTTCAAGTGCAGATTGTTGCTGATTGGATTTGGCCCCAGCAGAAGAATGTTGAATCATTCTTAGTGGTTGTTGAAGATTGTAATGGTGATAAAGTATTATTCAGTGATAGATTTGTGGTTCTGAAACGAGATGTGGAAAACACTTACTTGTTGGAATTCACTCTTCCGATTTTATCTCCAGAACAGCCAGTATATTTCCTTAACTTCATCAGTGAATCATGGTTACATAGTGAATGGAAGACACCTTTAAATTTATCAGACTTACAACTTCCAAAACCATTTGCTGCACCAAGACGTTTATTGGATCCCCCAAATATAGTTTCTAAATCTACCTTTAATGACTCTGAAATTGAAGATTTATTTGATTTTAAATTTTTTAACAAATTCCAATCTGAATTGTTTCCTCACTTGTACAATTCAATTGAAAATATATTTATTGGTATTGCTAAAGGAGGTGGTAAGACAGTATGTGCTGAGTTAGCTTTAATTAATCATTGGAAGATGGGTAATACATCAAGGGCTGTATATCTTGATCCTAATCAAAAGAAACTTGATCAATTGTATAAAGTTTGGTCAAAGAAGTTTTCCACGTTAGAAGAAAAGGAAGTTGGGATTTTCAATGGAACCTTGGTAAATGATCTTCTGGTCATTGGTTCGTGCAATGTCATATTGGCTACACCTGAACAATTCAACTTTGTATCCAAGAGATGGAAACAGAGAAGAGCCGTTCAAGATATTGGTCTTTTAATTTGTGATGATGTTCATGAGGTTGGAAATGGTTTGAAAGGTGCGGTATATGAATCAGTCATTGCTAGAATGAGATTTGTCAGTGCTCAACTTGAAAAGGAATTAAGAATAGTAGCACTTTCCACTCCAATGGCTAATAGTCGAGATTTTGGAGAATGGATTGGATGCTCTAAGTCTAACATTTTTAACTTTTCTCCTCAAGAGAGGTTTTATCAAATTAAAGAGATTAGAATACAAGAATTACCTGATGAAAGTCTTACGTTTCCAATACTTAAATCTATTCTGAAAGAAAAGTCCTTAGTGTTTTGTTCTAGTAGACTGGCATGTTTAGAAGTTGCTTCTGAAGTTATCAATCAAGGCACACTTTCAGAACCAACCGAAGATCTTGAATCTTACCTTGGTAGAATTCATGATGAAGTACTTAAGAACTTGATTTCTCATGGGATTGGTATTTTTTATCCAGATATGCATTATGTTGATGAAGTCATTGTGAGAAGATTATTTGAACATGATGTTATCTCCATTTTATTTGCAACTAAAGATACTTCTCATTTTGCTCCTGCCAGTAGTTCTGTTGTCATATTAGGAACTCAAGAGTATGATGGAAAAGATCATAGATTCATTGATTACTCAGTTAACCATATCTTAGAAATGGTTGGATGCTGTAAGGACAATTTAAGAGATAATGGAAAAGTTTCGATATTCACTAACAATAAGTCGAAAATTGACTTTTATAGTAAGTTCTTGAATGAATGTCTTCCAGTTGAGAGTTATTTAAATGTATCACTTCATGAGTTCTTTGTTGATGAAATCGCTTCGGGAACTATAACCAACAAACAAGAATGTATTGATTGGTTTACCTTCACTTATTTCTACAGAAGACTACAATTAAATCCTAGTTTCTATGATGTTAACGATACAACCCATCTTGGTATTTCCGAACATCTTTCAGAATTGGTAGAGACTACATTAAGTAATCTTGAAAAGATTGAAATGATAGAGGATGATGAAGAAAGTGGAGATATTTCTCCATTGAATGGTTCTATGATTGCATCTCATTATGGTATTAGACTTAACAGTATGAAATTATTGAAACAATTGGATAATAGGGCCAAATTGAAATTAATTTTGGAAACTTTAACTTTAAGTGAAGAATTTGATGTTATAAATGTAAGACAGAATGAAGAAGGTTTATTGAAAAAGATATACAGTAGAGTTCCATATAAGGCAACTGAAGAGAATTTTTCATCCCCTTATTTCAAAGCTTTCATTCTTCTTCAAGCTCATTTCTCGAGAATACCTTTGTCTTTGGAGTTAGAGTCTGATAAAAAGAAGGTATTGCAAATTGTTTTGAATTTGGTTTATGGTTGTATTGATACATTATCAAGTGAAGGTTATTTGAATGCACTTAGTGCCATGACCATTTCACAAATGGTAATTCAAAGTGTTTGGAATAGAGATAGTCCATTGAAACAAATTCCTCAATTTAATGATGCTATTTTAGCGAGATGTAAAGAGCACGAAGTTGAAACAGTATATGATATTATGTCCTTAGAGGATGAGGAAAGAGATGAAATTTTCCAATTGAATGAAAGTCAACTTAATCAAGTTGCAGAATTTGTTAATAAGTATCCTAACATCGATATTTCTTACGAGTTAGATGTGGCTGAAACCATAGTTGCAAATGAACCAAAAGATATTATAATAAAATTAGAAAGAGATGAAGAAATGGATGATTTGACTGTTGTGGCTCATAATTATCCTTCTGAAGTCAGAGAAGGTTGGTGGATTGTCATTGGAGATATTCAAACTAAACAATTATACTCCATTAAGAAGACCACCATTAAGAATGAATCACAGGAAATTAAACTTTCATTTACAATCCCCAACCCAGGTCATCATAATTTGTCCATCTGGTGTATGTGTGATTCATACGTAGACGCTGATAAAGAAATCTCATTTGAAATTGATGTAGTTTAGTTATACATTTATAGATTCATAATTATAGAGTTCTCATTTTGTAAACATCTGAAATTGGTAGCGTTCCACGAAAGTCGATCTGTACACAAAAAGAACATTGAATTGAAAAATTGACCTTTAATTTGAGTCACAACAACGCAACCAACTATAGTCAAATCAATATCAATCCATAACAATACCATGTCATCTAAGAATATTCTTACTCCGTATATAAAGTCGTTGCTTTTACAACCGCCTAATTTAACTCCTAGCGATTTGGCTACTGTTTTAAGATGCATTTTCAGAGGACTTGCATCCGATATACAAATATCGTCCTTTTTAACAGCATTAAGATTCACTGGTCTTGATGAACATCCTGATTATATAGTGGCAGCAGTGAATACTGTGTTGGAGTTTTCTAGTGTGATACCTGCTGAATCCGTCGATGAAGAAGGATATGTTGATATTGTTGGTACTGGTGGTGATGGACAAAATACATTTAATGTTTCAACCTCAGCAGCCATTGTCGCAGCTGGGATTGGATTACCAGTATGTAAACATGGAGGTAAGGCATCAACCTCTACTTCAGGATCAGGTGATTTACTTAAAGCTTTAGGAGTTGATTTAATGAATGTTAATGCTGAAACTACTCCTGAAATTGTTAAGAGAACCAATTTTTGCTTTTTATTTGCACCAGCATTTCATCCCGGTATGGGGAAAGTAGCAAATGTTAGATCTCAATTAGGTATAAAATCAATTTTCAATATACTTGGTCCCTTAATTAATCCAATTCCTATTCGTTCCAGAATTTTAGGGGTTAATAGTGAAGCTTTAGGGGAAGCTTATGCTACTACTGCAGCTTTATTGGCCAAACAATCCCATGTACATAAAAGAACGATGGTTGTGTTTGGTACTTGTGTATTGGATGAAATTTCCCCTATTGGAACTACTAAATATTGGATGGTTGAAGAAGATGGTTCAATAAATAGAGGTATACTTAGTCCAAATTATTTTGGATTACCAGAACATAGTTTAGAAGAAGTTAAATCAGGTACACCAGAAGAAAATGCTGAAATCCTTCTTCATATACTTCGTCAAGATGATGAAGTATTTAAAATCCATGAAGAGCATAATCATCCATTAGTGGATTATATCTTAATGAACACAGCTGCCTTAGCTGTAGTTGCAGGAATTGCTGATTCCTGGGTCCATGGAGTTAAACTTGCAAAGGCATCAATCATAACCGGAACTGCTTTAATTGCTCTTGAAAGCTTTAAAGCAGTAGTTTCAGATCTTTAGATGTATATATATAAATACCCTGTATAATATAGCTTAAAATTAATAGAAAATAAAAAAAATAATCACGTGATTGGATTATCCTGTATACAGCTAGGTAGCGCGTCTTGTGGATTTGTTTACATTTTGAAATGTTTACAATATCAAAACAACTAGCGGTATCCTTGTATCAATTGATATAATACAGCAGATAGAAAAGGTATAACAAGGCCAGACCATGTTTTCCAGGAGTAGACTAGTGGGGACTCCTCAAAGGAACAGAACCAATGTGGCCACTAATGATTTCACTCCGATTGGTGTCAAGTCAAGTCATTATGAACCTGTTACTGATACTTTTACCAATACAAGATCTACTGGAAGATCATTATTTCAACCCATAGCAGATATACCGAAAGAACATGAATCATTCGCTGATACTACGTTTGAGTATACTACTGATTCAATTCATTCTATAGATCAACCTACCATACAATCGTATCATCCCCAAGCTAGATCTGACAAAGATCATAATAATAATAATAATAACTTTTCTAAAAATCTTATCAATAATGGGGCTGCTTCAGTTAAAGAACAAGATGATAGAATCCGTGAATTGAATTCTGAAAATTACATTCTTCGATTAAAGGTTATCGATCTTCAAAAGTTTCTTCGTGGTACTCCTGAAGAACAAAGACAAGTTCTTTCAGAAAACTTTAGATTAAGAGAAGAATTAACAGCTGCAATCAGTCACATAGAGAAATTAAAGTTACTTCAAGGTGGTCAATCAACTAATGATGAATATTTGCATGAAAAGGTTACTAGTTATGAACATCAGCTTCAAGAAAAGGATAATCATATAGATGGGTTGGAAAAAGAACTTAGAGAATCTAGACATTTATTAAACTTAGCCAATAACACATCCCATACTAATCAAGATGATTTGATTCAAAAATTACATATCCTGCAACAAGAAAATCATAATATATCCTTACAATTAAATGATTTGAAATCAACCAATAATTCACTTGCCCTGGAAAATGAAAATCTTCATAGTAAAATTCAAGAATTAATCCATCTGAATAAGGAAATCTCAAATGGCTCTGAAAGTTCTATATCATCATTAAGAGATCAAATCAAAGCTTTAGAGGCAACATGTGAGAACCTTTCAGAATCAAGACTGTCATTGAAGAAAGAAGTAGATAACTGGAAACGTCAGTATGAATCTCTTCAATCCACCATAAATAATTCACATACAGAATTTGATCATGAACGAGATTCATTATTATCAGAATTAAACAAATTAAGATCACAAGTTGAATTCAATAATAAAGAATTACAAGATTCATCTAAATCATATCATATTTTAACAGAAGAAATTGAATCTAAAGATAGAGCATTAGCAATAAAATCCCAAGAATTAGATTCATTAAAAGCTAGTAATGAAAGATTAAATGATGAATTAACTTCCATACAAAGAGAAAAGTTGAATAATGATGATGCTCAATTTTCAATAAAATCTCAATTAAGAACTTATGAAATGCAAATTGAATCATTAAAAAGTCAACTTAAACATGGTGGAATAGCAGATAATCAATTACATCAAAGTCAACAACAAGTCATTGAACTTCAAGAAAGAGTCAACTATTATGAACATGAATATGAAAATTTGAAAACAAAATATGAATCGTCTTCTTCTAAGACTTCAAGATTAGAATTAGAATTAGATGATTTGAAAATAGAGTTGGCTCGTCTTAAGAGTGAAAAATCAAATCTTGACCATAAGATTGAAACAGTAACAGGAAACCATCTTTCATCTAAAGAACTTATGTCACGTTTAACTCATGATAAACAGAAGTTGGAAGATATCAATGATAAATTAACTGAAGATTTAAAATCCAAAACTAGAGAATTAGAATTTTTGAAATTACGCTCAAATAATGAAAATAGAGATCTTGATACTAAATTTGATAATTTAATTTCTGAAAATACAGAATTAAAGACAGTTATTGACAATTATTCCAAGAAATTAAGAGATTTGGATTTACAATTCAGAGATATTGAAATTGAATTAGATACTAAAACAAAGAATTCTGAAATATTAAAATATCAAATTGAAAAACTTCAAAATACTTTACGTGAAAAAGAAGAAATGTATAAGGAAGAATTATTTATCACCAATAATAGGGTTAAAAACTTTTCAAGTAACAATAATAATAGTACCAATAATAATCAAGAATTAACTGATTATTTGAAATTAAAATCAAATCAAGATGCATCAAGAATTCTTAAGTTGGAACAAGATATTGAAAGTTTAAGAAAAGATTATCAAATTGAAATCACAAGATATAAAGATAAGATATCATCTTTGGAAAGTCAAATTGATTTACAAAAAGAATTAATTAGGAATAGTCAAGAAAGTAAGAGTAATGATCCATCTCCAGTACAAGCTTTATTAGAATTACAATTGAAAGAAGCATCCAAATCATCTCAAGGCCTTACACAAGAATTAAATGAAGCAGTTTCTCGTTATACCGCCGCTGAAATTAATCTTAAAAGGTTAGAAAAGGATAATGCTGAATTATTAAACCTGATGATATCAGAAGAATCCAAAAATAAATCAATTAAAAATGAAAGTATTTCACAACAGATTAAAGTTAATGAATTGAAGGAAGAATTATTAACTGCTAAGAGTCATTGTAAGAAGTTAGCAAATAAGGTTGAAGAGCTTATGCAAGAGAATATTTTAAGTGAGAAACTATCATCAAAATTAAAGATCCAATCTGATAATGATTTAAATAAATCAAATCAATATTTACAAAGGAAAGTTCAAGTTTTAAATAAGAAATTACAATCTTCACTGAATTTGGATAATAGTGATAAGACCATTCTCTTAGAGAATGAATTGACTTATTATAAAGCCAAATTATATGATATGAATTTAAGAGCTAATGATCTTCAAATCATGTACTTATTTGCCATTAACTCAATTAAAAATTCAGATAAATCACTTCGAAATGAATTATACAATTTAACTAGAGTTGGAATTTATCCTGATTATTCATCAATGAGAATTGCAAAGTTAAAACAAGGTAAACGTTTAACATTCAAACAATTAGCTCTTTTTGTATTAGCTGGTATTAGAATAAAACGAAGATGTGAAAAATCTCAAAAACGAAAATTAAAATTAGAAGAATTAAAGGATGAAATAGACTATAATAAGATTAAGCTACTTCAATAGAAAGAAATATAATTAACCCATCCATTCATTCATTTATTTATTTATTTATGTATTATACATATATGTATCAGTAATATATATCATTATCTCATTATGCGTGTAATTGGAGTTTGGAAAATACGATCGTTGGAAGCTTGACGAGTTCTACCAACACGAGGAGTTTGTATTATTCCTTGATGATTTGACGTACCTATCGAGGAGCTTCTTAAAGGTTGGAAAGATGTATTATTAGCACTAGCGCCACCATTATTATTATTATTATTTGAAAGTTGAGCTTCTGATGCCGTTGAATTTATAAAAAAATCGCCATGATGAACACTAAATGTACTATCATTAACCAATTCCGAATTTAATAAAACATCATTGTTATCACTTATTTGAAACCCATTCGATAAATATTCCGCCACTGTCATTTGATTTGTTCCACCATCTGCTTCAGTAGTACGTAAGAATCCTAATAAACTTCGATCAACCATAGAAGGATTACTATTCAACCCTTCATTAATGAACTTATCTCTTATACCCAAATCGCTCCATGTTTTATCTTTATTGGCTGTTCTCTTCTTGTATAAATTAGCTCCCAAAGTGGCTGGTTGTAATGGTATCGATCCATCTTCTTCTTCATCATCTAATAAGGTGAATGGTAGTATTGATGATGTAGCATCTAATAATTGTTGAGTATCAATGGCATCAAAGGGAATGGAATCATCTCTCCATTTCTCCATATACAACACTCGATTGGGATTATCAAGATGGACATATGAGAATGTCGAATCCCGTACTGACGACATATAGTTTATGAAGATGATGGTTGAAGATGGGTTAGAAGGTCTACAATATTTGATTCAGATATTTATTTTTGTTTACCTTTTTAAAGTTTACACATGTATTTTATGTACAGGAAAACTAAATTATTAATATACACTTATACTACCATTACTACCACCATCACATATTTCTTCAAATAAGGATGGTTTCCTTGTCAACACCTTCTTATCATAATTAGAAGATTTGACTAATTTGAAAGCACCAGTACCGATACTCATGGTTTGACCTAAAATGATACATTCAGAAACACCTTCAATCTTATCATTCTTCATAAAGAATGCAGCATCGAATAAATGATCAGTTGTCTTTTCAAATGATGCCAATTGTAATACTGAATCTCTCATCTTACTTAAACCAAATCTGGTGATCCCTAATACTTCCCCTTTATAGGTCATAACATCACCTAAAAGTTGAATATGACGAGGATCAACACTCATACCATGATTACTCATGGTATAATCAATTTCTTTAATGATTGAACTTCTAGCAGCTTCAATACCAAGAACTTCAAACACTTCAAGAACATGATTGGTGGTGGTCTTGGTACCAACCACCCCTTCTGTACTCATAACTTCTTTCAATCCATACCCTTCAACCAATAATTCCTTTTTACTATCATCACGAATATTAATAACAGCTCTGAAAATATTTGGTAAACCCTTGATACAAATATTTGGTAAGGCTCTCTTTAATTGTTGCATTCTAAAGAATAAAGTATTGACATCATTAACTCCTTTTAATATATCAGCTTTAGATTCTCTTAATGTTACAAGCACATTAATTCTATCCTTTGAAGTAACTGAAACTTCACCCGGTAAAATCTTTAATTTTGGAGCTGTATAAATAGCTTTAGCAATATTATCAATCGTTAATTCTAATTGTAATTTTTCAATCGTTTTAAGATCAACCTTAATTGAAATATATGCTAAATCATCAGAATAAACATCTTGAACATAAAATGCCACATCTTTTAATAAGGTTTTTTCAATTCTACCTTTAACCACACGAGCAGCAATTTCATCATCATCATTAACCAATACAGAATTAATAATTGGAGTTGAAATTGTCTTGGATGCATTAATAATTTCCTTAATACGAGGAACACCTAAAGTAACATTCATAGATGCCACACCTGCAAAATGGAAAGTTTTTAATGTCATTTGAGTACCTGGTTCACCAATAGATTGAGCACCAATAGCACCCACAGCAGTTCCAGGTTCAACTTTTGCTCTTGAATATTTATATAAACATTGTTCTAAGAATTTTTCAATTGAATGGGTTGAAATCTTTAATAATTGATCAATGGCATTAACACTTGTAGCATCTTCTTCAGTTACATCATGAATCATTCCGGTATCTGTCAAATAAGCTTGTAATCCTTTATTTTCTCTTATTCTGGCTAATTGTTCTGCTTTATCAAATATAAAACTTCTAACAGATTGATAATATTCTCTTTCGGCTTCATTTTGATCAATAAATTCTATATTTTCAAACTCGTCTTCATTTTCTAATACATTTCCAACATTATCATGGCGTATTAATCTATTTTCCAATGTATTTAATATAGAATTGACCAAATCAATGATTTCATAAGGTAATAATCCTTTATCCTTAATATTGAAAGTGATATTGAATGAATGATCCCATTGACGTTTGAAATTAACTGGTTTGGCATCACCTTCCATTTCGAAAGGATCTAAACCATCTCCTCCATAAGTGAATTGAACAATACCATTAGATGAATTTCTAACCGTGGTATCATATTGAGATGATAAATCTTCTAAAGATTTCATAAGTCTTCTCGACATATAACCGGTTTCAGCAGTTTTAACCGCAGTATCAACTAACCCTTCTCTACCTGAAATAGCATGGAAAAGAAATTCAGGTGGAGTTAAACCACTATAAAATGAATTTCTAACAAACCCTTTAGATTGAGGAGTTTTGGAATTCTTAGTGAAATGAGGTAATGATCTATCTTGGAATCCATCAGGAACACGATTACCCGATATAATTTGTTGACCCACAACCGCCACCATTTGAGACACATTTAAAGTAGAACCTTTTGAACCACAAGTTGCCATAATTAAAGGAGCATTAAGTGAATCTAATTCTCTAATACAAACTTCCCCAACTTCTTCTCTAACTTTAGAAAGTAAACCCCCAATCTTGGCTTCTAAAGTTTGTTCTTCATTACAACCGGGTTGAGTTTCTAATTTTCCTTGATTATATAAACGAATTAATTCATCACAATTAGCATAAGCTTGTTCAACCATTGTTTCTTTTTTATTTTTTAAATCAACACCAGGTGTAACATCATTAATACCAATGGAAAACCCTCTATTACCCAAGTATCTAGCACATAATTTAGCCATACGATTCATGGCAACAGCAGCTTCATCAGGACCATAATCTCTTAAAATAGTATAAAATACAGAATGTTTCTTACCATCACCTAAAGTAGATTTATCCATAACTCCACTTAAAACATTTGAACCTCTAATGATAACGAAACCATCATTAGGAGACATTTCACTAGGATATTTAGGATCGATTGGAGGAATGAAAGTTTTATTTTTGGCATCAAGATTAATCACCACATTTGATTTTTTATTTGGTTTAATTAATAATGAAAATACTTGTTTACCTGTCCAAAGCATAACTGGTTTGAAAACAGTTGGAGGAGGGAGATCAAATTGAATATCAGCATCGGACATCATACTTAATAATTGGACAAATGATGCTCTATCGTAGAATGAATCTTTATGAGATATTAAATAAGACCCAGTAATAAAATCTTGAGTAGCTGCAATGATTGGTTCACCTGATTTTGGAGTTAAAAGATTATTCTTTACCCCCATAAGATTCATAGCTTCAGCTCTTGCTTCTTCCGTTTGAGGAACATGTAAATTCATTTCATCACCATCAAAATCAGCATTATAAGGAGTACAAACACATTCATTTAATCTGAAAGTTCTCCATGGTCTAATCTTGGCAAAATGAGATAAAATTGAAAGTCTATGTAAGGAAGGTTGTCTATTAAATAAAACCACATCACCATCTTCAATATGTCTTTCTACTACATCACCAATTTGAAGATTCTTAGCAGTTTTAACTCTATCACCATATCTTAAATTTCTTTTTTGAACTTCAGCTTGTTTTACGACATAATTTGCCCCAGGATGAATATCAGGACCATTAACAATCAATCGTTGTAATTTCTTTCTATTATATCTGGTACATTTCTCCGGATAAGTTAACACTTTAGCAACTCTATCAGGGACTGCCACTTCATCAATTCTTAAATTTGGATCAGGAGAAATAACGGTTCTTGCAGAGAAATCCACTCTTTTACCCGATAAATTACCTCTGAAACGACCTTGTTTACCCTTTAATCTTTGACAGAACCCTCTGATTGGTTTGGCTGATTTCGCACCTCCACCTGAACCACCAGCTCCACCAGTTGGAGGTAATAAAGCAGGATTGGCGGCATCGGAATTAATATACATCGCCACAGATAATTGTAAATAATCCCATTGTTCCATTAAATTATTAATGGAAATCCCCTTTTCTATACCAGCATTGATTAAACCTGAAGTCCAAACGATTTCAGTTAATTTCACCGTTAAATCATCTTCATTTGATTGAGCATCCATCATGACTGATGGTCTGATACAAACGGGAGGGGCAGGTAAATATCTCCAAATATACATTTCTGGTCTACCTCCTCTTGCAGGATCTATACCGAATAATTCAGTATCAGCAGGATCAATTTGTTTGAATAAATTTAACGTTTTTAAAGGATTTAAATCATCATGAACTCTTTTTATAAATTTTTCCAATTCAGGATTTCTGGAAAATACTTGATCAAATTCTTGATCCCAATATTCCTTTTCAGGAACAGTCTTTTTCCCAATCCATCTGAAAGTATCATGAACGATTTTTAAAGCAGCTGGACCAGCACCACTGGCAGCTTTTTTAACCACACCATTAATATGATTACATTTAAGACATCTTCTTTGCTTTTTACATTGTTCCAATATTTTCTTTAAGATTCTCATTCTTTTTAAATTATCAATGTTTGGTTTTCTTAATTCAATAACGAATTGACGTTTAACATGTTCATCCAATAGTATAGCTGAACAATTTTTACAAATACATTGTAATACTTGAATGATTGATTTGAAATAACCAACATGAAACACAGGTAATGCCAATCTAACATGACCGAAATGACCATGACAAGAGGCAAGACCACCATGACAAGTAGTACATTCTGAAGTATTGGCAGAAACCCCCATTCTAGGATCAAGAGCCCCATTAACTTTAGCAGCTCTACCTTTTTCTAGATCATATAAATCACGAGTAGTAACTTCAACTTCAGATTGAGCCACAATATCCTTAGAGGATAAAGCTCCGAATTCTAGACCCAGAATACATTTGGGAGCAATATCCACAACCACCTCTTTCATCAGGATTATTGACTTGTATTTGTTGATTAACTTTCGGTGAATTGATTAAATTGATGATACCCTTTTTACAGCTATAGTTACTTAAATTTACAGAGAAGAGCCTGAAAAAAAAAATATGAGCCATCCAAAAAAAATGATCACGTGATTTGATTTTTGGGTGTTTAAACTTCAGAGATAGAAAATTGAATTGAACGTATAAGAATTAGTGGCAATTGACGTTTATATATATATATAGAATACATTTATATCATTATATTAAAAGCATTCAATTATGTCAAGTGAAACACAACCACCTAAGGAAGAAGAAGAACAAAAGGTGATCAAGACCTTGGAAGAAGACGACGAATTTGAAGATTTCCCTGAAGATGATAAGTTTAATAATGAACCCAAAGTTAATACTGCTAATTTATGGGAAGAAGATTGGGATGATGATGATAATCAAGATGAATTTTCCAATAAATTAAGAGATGAATTAAAGAAATCTCAGAATAATACCACTACCATTGCTTAGAATGGTGTTATCACGTTGGTTTAGATCATTTTTCATTGTATATTATAGTTAAAGAGAGTATATTGGATTTATATATATATATATAACAATAATACTATGCATAAAAGTTTACTGATTTTGATTTTCTGGCTTGTACTTCACTAATAGCATCAACGAAATCTTCATGTTTTATAATTGATTTCCCATTTCTTAATGCAATCATACCGGCTTCAACCGTAACAGCTTTTAATTGAGCACCATTAAATTCATCAGTTGATCTTGCTAATTCTCTCCAATTTACCGAATTATTATCACAATTCAATTTACGAGCATGAATCTTTAATACTGATTCTCTTGCTTCTTCAGAAGGTAAGGGAAATTCAATTTTTCTATCCAATCTACCTGATCTTAATAAAGCAGGATCTAATGTATCAACTCTATTGGTAGCAGCCAATACTTTAACTCTATCATCGGAATCAAACCCATCTAATTGATTTAATAATTCCAACATTGTTCTTTGCACTTCTCTATCCCCACTTTTATCAGAATCAAATCTTTTAGTACCAATAGCATCTAATTCATCAATAAATATAATGGTTGGAGCTTTTTCTTTAGCTAATGCAAAGGCATCACGAACTAATTTTGCTCCATCACCAATAAACATTTGCACTAATTGAGGAGCAGCTAATTTTAAAAATGTTGCCCCTGATTGAGCAGCACAAGCTCTAGCTAATAAAGTTTTACCAGTACCGGGAGGTCCATACATTAAAGCTCCTTTTGGAGGTTTAATACCAAGAGTTTGGAATTTTTCACCTTGTTTCATAGGTAATACTACTGCTTCAATTAATTCTTCAATTTGTTTATCTAAACCTCCAATATCAGTATAATTTTCAGTTGGTTTTTCATCAACTTCCATAGCTTTAACTCTTGAATCATATTCTGACGGCAAAGTATCCAATATTAAATATGAATCTTTATTAACCCCAATTAAATCATTTGGTTTTAAAGTTGAAGGATCAACCAATCCAATCAAAGGTAAGAATATAGTTTGTCTGGTAGAAGTTTTTATAACGGCTGATTTACCTGATCTAGCAGCATCTAAATCAACATTTGCACCTTGTTCAATGGCTTCTTTTTCAACATCCAAATCTAATAATTCAACCACATTCCCTACAAGATAAGGTAATTGTTTATTATTATTGATTTTCTCTTGATTATCTTTAATTCGATCTGTCATTACATTTTTTTCATGATTTAATCTTTGATATTCTGATCTCATTACTTTTATATCATTATCTAAAAGTTTAGTTCGACTAGTGATATCTGATGTTGAAGAGTTTAAGATTTCTTGATCCACTAAATCTTCTTCTTGTTGGGCATTCTCCAATTCTTCTAATGTGGACATTATGATTTATGGGGATATATGGATATAGTAGTTGTTTAATCAATTGAACTTATATCGTTATGATCAACCAACCATTGACTTCTTTGGTTTATAGTTCGCCACTGTCTCATTCTCTCACTGTTCAAAATTTTGATCAAAAAAACGGATCACGTGATGCTTTTTTCACCCACAAATAGACAGATAACCAAAATTGGAGAAATCAATCAATATATATATATATATATACATTCTTATTCTTTTTAGATCCCTTTTGTTCTCCTTCTTTTAATAATGGTTACTATTCATACTGATCATAAAGAATTAACTACAGAAGAATTCAATACCTTGAAATCAAAATGTTTAGCTGCCAAAGATCTTTCTTATTCTCCTTATTCTAATTTCAGAGTAGGATGTACATTGATTACAGAATCAGGAACATATATATCGGGAGCCAATATTGAAAATGCATCATATGGAGCATGTATCTGTGCTGAACGAACCACAATATCAAAAGCGTTATTGGAAGGTCATAAGAAATTAAAAGTCATAGCTATATCAAGTGATGATAAGGATCCAATATCCCCCTGTGGAATTTGTCGACAATTCATAAGAGAATTTGGAGTTGATATCCCAATTTATATGTTTGGGAATTCAGGACAATTCATTAAAGTTTATTTAGAAGATTTATTACCCTTAAGTTTTGGACCTGAAAATTTAGGTAAACCATCAATTGGTTAAATCATGTTGTTATGAGTATATAAATTAGTATAGAACAATTGTATATATAATGCATTTACAGTTTAGTTAAGTTTGATTTAGAGTAGTAGTTGAATGATAATGGAGACATTGCAACTGAATAGTTACTCTATAAGTAATATCTATTAACTTATAGTATTATACCAATTAACTATTGTTATCTCTTAGAAGATCTTTCAAATCGAAATTTGCACTCAAAATCAGACACCGCGAAAGAAAAAAAAAGGACCCAAAAGCCAAAAAAAGAAAAGATGAAAAAATAAAATAAAAAAATTTAATTTCAATTATGAATAAACCATAAGAGTTCAGTAACCCCCAAACATGACTTCTGTATGTGCCTCTCCTACTTGTGGCAAAGATACTGAATCGAACTTGAAATGTCCAGTCTGTTTAAAGGATAACATCGCCAGTGTGTTCTGTGATCAAACCTGTTTTAGATCCAGTTGGTCTCATCATAAATCAATTCATAAAGGTGATGATGGATCTGAAGATTATAATCCATTCCCTAGTTTCAGTTATACCGGAGATTTAAGACCTCATTATCCTTTATCAGGGAGAAGAACTATTCCAAAACATATCAAATTACCTGATTATGCTAAAACTGGTAGACCCATAAGTGAAATTAAATCGGATAGAATTGGTAAAATCCCTGTTAATACTCCCAAGAATATTGAAAAAATTAAAAAAGTAGCAGTATTATCGAGAGAAATCCTTGATGCTGCTGCAGCTGCTGTCAAACCAGGAGTAACCACTGATGAAATCGATGCTATTGTTCATAAAGAATGTATTAAAAGAAATTGTTATCCTTCTCCATTAAATTATTATAATTTTCCAAAATCAGTATGTACATCCATAAATGAAATTATATGTCATGGTATTCCTGATAAAAGAAAATTACAAGATGGTGATATTGTTAATATTGATGTTAGTATTTATTATTTAGGTTTCCATTCTGATTTAAATGAAACTTATTATGTCGGGGATAAATCAAAAGCTAATCCTGATATTGTTAGATTAGTTGAAACCACAAGAGAATCGTTAGATTTAGCTATTCAAGCTGTTAAACCTGGTTTACCATTTAGAGATTTAGGTAATATAATAGAAGAACATGCTACTAAGAATAATTGTTCTGTGGTTAAAACTTATTGTGGTCATGGTACTGGTGAATTATTTCATTGTCAACCTAATGTTCCTCATTATGCTAAAAATAAAGCAGTTGGTATTGCTAAACCCGGTATGGTATTCACCATTGAACCAATGTTGAATTTAGGGACTTATAAAGATGTAAGTTGGCCAGATAATTGGACTTCTTCAACTCAAGATGGACAATTCTCAGCTCAATTCGAACATATGTTATTAGTTACTGAAGATGGAGTTGAAGTTTTAACGGCTAGAACTGAAACTTCTCCAGGTGGTCCAGTAAATAGAATTTAATCATCTCTTATAAATCATCCATAAACACTTTTTTTGCATCCATATATATATAAATAAATAAATAAATAAATAACATTTGTAATTCTTTGTTTATTGTAATTACTATATAACTTATAATTTTAATGCTCTTGGGAAAACTTTAGATTCTTTTTCTTTATCATAATTTGAATTCTCTTCATGTCTATTATAAGTATTATACCCCCAATTACTTTTACCATAGAATGAAGAACGATCATAATCATTTAATTCTAATCCATTCTTCAATTTATATACTAAATCAGGATTTGAAATATAATATCTTGAAAACCCAACTAAAGTTCGATCATCAGCAGTATCATTTTGAATTGATTTAAATTCAGGAGCATCATAAGTATACTTCCCAGCTTTAACGATTTTCCCCTTCCAAATTTGATATACGAATTCATTAGTACCTTGTTGATCTTCGGCATCGACATCAATCAATCCACTAACTCTTGGTTCAACAATAGATATATAAGCTAATTCTTGACCGGCCAATTTCCTCTTTTGTAATTCATTAATTAAATAGGAGAAAGTAGTGATAGGATGAATGACATCTTCATGAGCTAAAATTCCTTGAGTATTAGCCCATGGTGAAAGTCTAATGGCCACTTTATTAGCACCTACTACTTTTGATAATTGATCGATTAATTCTAAAGTGAATCGAGCTCTATTTTCAACTGATCCACCATATTCATCAGTACGTTTATTAGTTACTGGATGTAAGAATTGATCTAAAAGGTATCCATGAGCTGAATGAAGTTCAATATAATCAAACCCAGCTTCAATAGCCTTTTTAGCAGCATTAGTATAAGTATCATAAATTAGATGTTTAATTTCAGGAATAGTTAAAGCTCTAATTTTAACTCCAACTTTCTTTGCTTTATTTTCGGAATATTCACTTTCAAAAATAGCTGATGGAGCAACAATATCTAAACCTTTTTGTTTAAATACTTGAGGAGTAGCAACTCTACCTAAAAACCATAATTGAGCTGATATGAAAGATCCATTACTATGAACCTTATCCGTAATTTGTTTCCAAGCTTTAACATGTTTATCAGTGAAAATCCCAGGAACATTAGTATATCCTGATCCTTGATCAGATACAAATGTCCCCTCAGTAATGATTAATGAACCAGGATATTCTGATCTATCACCATAATATTTCAATTCAAGATCAGAAGGAGTATGATCTTCTAAAGCTCTAAATCTGGTGGTGGGGACATAAACGATTCTATGAGCCAATTCATTTTGACCGACTTTAATCGATTTGAATACTGAAGTATCTTTTAATGGAACACCAACTGTCATCGTCGTACTTACTATTAAATTATAGTTATATGGTATTATAGAGATTAGATAAATTGGTGCAAATTTATAATCAAAAAATTAAAAAAAGTTTGATATTTCATATTTCCATTTTCACATTTCTTTTGGCGGGGTATTGATTGAGGGGGATGAGTGAACGAAGAAATTGTGGTGGCTATAACCCTTTTTACGATAATAGATTATACTATTAATTATTGTGGGTTGTACCGGGTTTAATGATAATTCTAATTGTCGTTATATCCATTAACTATTAACTTTTACTATGTTATAATTCATTTCTTAATTAGAACCGTTTACATAGTTAATTACTTTTACGAGTTAGTTATCCAAGAAAAATAAAATTACAATTACGATCGTTCAACCGACGGATCAATTTTTGTTATAGTCTGTTTTTCCGTTATTTTAAGTGGAGAAGATTTGTAACTGAATATATCGATTCTTTCATTTTTAGTTTATCTATTAGTTGACCTTATACCTTCATTGTTAAATAAATTTAAAGTTATGATAATTTTTCATATTATTTCAGGTTTATAAAATTATATTTCTTCTCAATATAGTGATAAATTTAGAAAAAAATCAATTCAACTCAATTTCTCAAAATACACCCAATTTCTTCAAAATAAAGATATTATCATAAACTAAATACCATTTAGATATCATAATCAACTTTAAATTAACATTATTATATTAAATATATGATTTAATTCATGTTTTATATAAAAAGTAACGTGTCATATTTCACGTGCGATATACTTATTATGATGAAGTCAGAAAAAAATTTTGCAGAAAAAATCGGTCCCTTGGCCCAGTTGGTTAAGGCGTGGTGCTAATAACGCCAAGATCAGCAGTTCGATCCTGCTAGGGACCATTTATTCGTTTCCTTTTTTACTTTCTCTTTCTTTCTTTCTTTCTTTTTTTATTTTTTAAACTATCATATTCATAACATACTTATTTAATCACTTCAATCACATAACATTATATTTTTACTTATTATCTAAATCAATTGACATAGTTGTACATCAGTATTGATATTAACTATAACTAATCCGGGTAAATAAAAATTAATTTTTTTTGAATCGCGTTTACGTTGAAAAAAAAAAATCTGTTAACTGAGAGATATACAAATCAAATGTTAGACGTGAACAGCTATTTTGCCATTTGATATTGAACGACCAACCAACAGATTAACAGATGTCACTTCAATTATTAAACCCTAAGGCTGAGTCCATCAGACGTTCTCAAGCTTTGCAAGTCAACATTGCTGCGGCTCAAGGTTTACAATCTGTTTTAGCCTCTAATTTAGGTCCTAAAGGAACTTTAAAATTATTAGTTGATGGATCAGGAGGATTAAAATTAACTAAAGATGGGAAAGTATTATTAACTGAAATGCAAATCCAACATCCTACTGCCGTGATGATTGCTAGAGCTGCCACTGCTCAAGATGAAATCACAGGTGATGGTACTACTACTGTTATACTATTAGTTGGAGAATTATTAAAACAAGCTGAAAGATTTATAAGTGAAGGTGTTCATCCAAGAGTTATGGTTGATGGATTTGAAATTGCAAGAGAACAATCATTAAAATATTTAGATGTATTCAAACATAAACCAGAAACTTTTGATCGGGAATTTTTAATGCAAATTGCTAGAACTTCATTATCTACTAAAGTTAATCAAGAATTAAGTGATATTTTAACTCCCATTGTTACTGATGCTGTATTAACCGTGAGAGATAGTGAAGATTCTAAAAATATAGATTTACATATGATTGAAATCATGACCATGCAAAATGGTCATTCTAAAGAAACTGAATTAATTAAAGGTTTAGTATTAGATCATGGTGCTAGACATCCTGATATGCCAAAAAGAGTTGAAAATGCTTATGTATTAATATTAAATGTTTCATTAGAATATGAAAAGACTGAAGTTAATTCAGGATTCTTTTATTCAAGTGCTGAACAAAGAGAAAAATTAGTAGCATCTGAACGTAAATTTGTCGATGAAAAATTAAAGAAAATTATAGAATTAAAAAATGAAGTTTGTGAATTAAATTCCAATAAAGGATTTGTTATTATTAATCAAAAGGGTATTGATCCAATGTCATTAGATGTTTTGGCTAAACATGGAATTCTTGCTTTAAGAAGAGCCAAAAGAAGAAATATGGAAAGATTACAATTAATTTGTGGAGGTGAAGCTCAAAATTCAGTTGATGATTTAAGTCCTCAAATTTTAGGATTTTCCGGTTTAGTTTATGAAAATAGTATGGGTGAAGATAAATTTACTTATATTACTGAAAATAAATTACCTAAATCAGCTACTATTTTAATTAAAGGATCAAATAATCATGTATTACAACAAACTAAAGATGCTATAAGAGATGGGTTAAGATCAGTTTCCAATGTTTTAAAAGATCAATCTATATTACCTGGTGGAGGGGCATTTTGGTTAAGTTGTAATCATGAATTATTACATAATAAAGAGATTTTAAAAGGTAGAAATAAATCAGGGGTAAAAGCATTTGCTGAAGCATTATTAATTATTCCAAAAACTTTATCATCAAATGCAGGTTTAGATCCATTAGAAACAATTTCCAATTGTCAAGATGAAATTCTTGAAAATCATATTGTCGGAGTTGATTTGAAATCAGGTGAACCAATGGATCCAACCGTAGAAGGTATTTGGGATTCTTATCGTGTATTTAGAAATGCCATATCTGCTGCCACTGGGATTGCATCTAATTTATTATTATGTGATGAACTTTTGAAAGCAGGTCGTTCTTCCTTAAAGGAAGGTGGTCAAGGTGGTCCTGGTGGAGCTCCTCAAATGGGTCCTCCAGGCATGATGTAAATAAGTTAAATAACCAAACTACTTAATGTATAGAATTTTTTTAATAACGATACAATAGCTATTTATCCTTAGAGTTACTGTAGTCCTCTTGTTAACTTGCAAGATACTTGTGATAGTTCATAAGCATGATATATGGTAGCAAATATAATTATGGTGTGCGCCAAAAGAAAAAAGTTGTAAACCTCCACGTCAAGCCAAAAAAAAAAATGTCAAATGGAAAAATAAATAAACAACGCCAACAAACCAATCAATCAACCCAATCAACCCAACCCAACCCAACCATATAAGAACAGATCAATCCAAGTAGACAATGGCAGACCAGACGTTGAGAGGAAGGCAAATAACGAGCCTTGAACGAATGCTTCATTTGAATAAAGATGGGTCAGCTGATTTAACGTTGGCTTCTAAGAATGAAGAAATCATTTGGAAAGTGTTAATCTTGGATTCTAAATCAAGAGCTGTATTATCATCTGTATTAAGAGTCAATGACTTGTTGAGATGTGGGATAACAGTTCATTCTTTGATCAATTCCAAACGTACAGAATTACCTGATGTCCCTGCTATCTACTTTATAGAACCAACTATTGATAATATTGTTCAAGTGATTGAAGATATTGATAATGATAAATATGAAAGTTTCTATATTAATTTCATATCATCGATTAATCGAGAATTATTAGAAGATTTTGCTAAGAAAGTATCGCTTTCCGGTAAATCAATTAAAATAAAACAAGTATTTGATCAATATTTAGATTTCATCGTTACAGAACCAAATTTATTTTCATTAGATATTCCTCATACTTTCACTCAATTTAATAAAGTTGATACTAGTGAAGATACCATTCAACATATATCTCATCAAATCGCTGATGGTTTATTATCAACCATTATAACTTTAAATAATGTACCTGTCATAAGAGCTCAACAAGGAGGTCCAGCTGAATTTGTTGCTCGTCAATTGGATGCTAAATTAAGAGATTATCTAAGTAATTCCAAAAATTTAATTACTCAATCAATTCAACAAAGACCAGTATTGATATTATTAGATCGTAATATTGATTTGGCTTCTATGTTTTCTCATTCTTGGATTTATCAATGTATGGTTAGTGATGTATTTAAATTACAAAGAAATACCATTAAAATTTATAAATATAATCCCAATAATAATAATAAGAATAATCAAGACAATCAATCACCAACAAGTAAAAATTATGATGTCGATCCAAAAGATTTCTTTTGGAATAAATATGCTCAATTACCTTTCCCAGATGTGGTTGAAAGTGCTGATGTTGAATTAAATGCTTATAAAAGTGATGCTAAAGATATAACTAGTAAAACAGGTATAACATCCTTAAGTGACATTGATCTTAATGCCGCTAACGATACGGCTAATATACAACAAGCAGTGGAAAAATTACCTGAATTAACTGCCAGAAAAGCTACTTTAGATATGCATATGGATATTTTAGCAGCTTTAATTAATGAATTACAAGCAAAGAATTTAGATAAATTTTTTGAAATTGAACAAAATTCTCATGATCCAAAAATTCAACGAGAATTTATTGAATTACTTGAATCATCAGCTGAAAGAGATAATTCCATTGATAAATTAAGAACATTTTTAATTTTATCCTTATTAGTTGATTTACCTCAAGATTTTATTTTAAAATCAAAACAAATCTTAATTGAAAAATATCCTGATATGAATCTTAATGCTTTAAATTATATTTTAAAATTTAAAGAAATTACAAAATTAAGTAATATATCTTCATTAAATGATACATCAGTTAATGCCAATTATAATGCTGCCAGATCAACCAATACAACTGCATTATTAAGTGGATTATCATCAAAATTATATGGTTTAACTGAAGGTAGAATTTCAGAAGGGTTAAGTACTATTGCTACAAAGATTAAAAATTTTATACCTGAAAAGAAACAATTACCAGTTACAAATGTAGTTGAAGCAATTATGGATCCTAATAATGCATCATCAACATCAGTTCAATTAACTGATGATTATTTATATTTTGATCCTAAATCAAGAGGAGGACATTCAAAACCTCCTAGAAGACAATCATATCAAGAATCATTAGTATTTGTGGTTGGAGGTGGTAATTATTTAGAATATCAAAATTTACAAGAATGGGCTAATATTGATGCTAATAGGAAAGTAATTTATGGTAGTACTGAAATAATGGCTGCTAATGATTTCTTACAAGAATGTAATGAATTAGGCAGTTAATACATAGTAGATAAATAAGTTTCTTTGCTAAAAATACATTGTTTATTAATAAAGTAGTTAAAACATACTATACATCAAATAATCTAAAGGAATCCTTTACCTTCTTCTAAAACTTTAATTGATCTACGAGAATCTAAGAATAAAAATTCACATTCTTCAATATCTTCATTGGTGATTTCAGATCTACCAGCAGTAGAACTTAATATACCAGCGGGAGCTAATAATTGTAAAGCATAACGTAAAGAAATTGATACACCATGTTCAGCTAAAATATCAAGGGCTTCAGGTGTTATGGATAAACCTTCTAAAGTTGCTCTTTTTGATATAATGATTTTGATTTCTTCTTGATTATAAGGTAAGGTTTTGACAATTAATAATCTATCGATTAAATCAGGTGGACAACCATGAGGAGCTTTTATATCATCATCATCAGTTCCTCTTATGGTGGTTAATCCTCTATTGGATGCTAATACCACAATTGGAGCCATATTTGATTCTAAAGCTTTATTTAAATAAGTAAAGATTTCAATATCTAACATATTCACTTCATCAATGAATAAAACACCAGGAATTAATTCAGCAACACCTTGATCAATATATTTAGCTACTACTTTATTAACTTCGGTTCTTAATTTATCAGTTATTTCCGTTTTTCTAGGTTTTAATAATTGACCCATCATTGATAAGACATCTTGACCACCTTGAGGTCTTGCATTTGCTACATCCAAATCATGTAAAGTAACATCTTGAACAATTTCTTTCTTTTTATGAACTTCTCCTTTTGGTAATGGAACATATTCTTCAGCTTCTAAATCAAATTCAGTAGCATAAGCATCTGATCTTCCAACTCTTTTAACAGATCCAGTATTTGATTCAATATAAATCACATCTCCAATAGTAACTCTTTCCTTTTGAATACTTTCATAAATACTTGGATCTAATCTTAAATTTTTAGTACCTTTAGCAGTTTTTAATCCTACTATAACATGACTAATGGTTTTACCATAACCACCTAAAGGATTTTCTGCTTCTTCAGGAGCTAATTCAATAACTTCCCCTTCATAAACTTCTTTAGTTTCTTTAATTCTTAATCCAATAGCTCTTCTGAAATTTTCCATTAAAGCTTCAGTTTTTTTAACTTCAGCAGAATATAATTCAGATCCAACAATAGGACAAAACGGTACTTTTGGACCTAATTCTTGAGAAATAGCCAACGCAAGAGCGGTCTTACCAGTACCTGGCCCACCAGCCAATAAAATGGCCTTACCTGACATTCTCTTGGATTTAATTAAATCAACTATAATCCCACAAGCTTCTCTGGCATCAGATTGACCAACAAATCCTCCTTCAACTCTCTTTGCAATCCCATGTTCATCCAATCCCAAACCTTTGATATGAGTATGGGCTGCGGTTCTACTTTCTCTAGCTTGAGAAGAAGACTCCTTTACTTCATTGATTTGAACCATTGGATAGATCTGTGTAGTGTATGAAATATGTTTCTGATAAATCGTTGATGTTTATAGTGTATTTGACATTTCTGGTTATAGGTTCATTTTTCGAAAATTTTTAAAGTGCCTTCAGACTGGATTTTAATATACAGGAATGACTTTTATTTAATACTATACAAAACTATAATCTATTATGATTATATCTATTCATTATCATCTTCAATTTCAGCTTCATCTTTAGGTTCTTTAGGTTCTTGACTTTCACTCCATTGAGTCACATCATCTATATAACTTAAAATAGTAGCCACTGAATCACTTTCTTTACGACAATCTAACGGTAAGAATTGAACCATACCAAAATCATCCACTAAATTTGCAATTAATTTATTTAATCTGGCAAATTTAGGATTATAATCTTCATCTTCTCTAGCTAAGATTAATGGATCAGGATTTAAGAATCTCTTTAATTGTTTTTTATTATATTCATCTTTAACTAAATCAATTTTGGATAAGATATTAATATGAGGTAATTCTAATAATATCATAGCTGACATAGCACTTAAAGCTCCAGAAAAGAATTTAGAAGTATCTATTATGAATGGAGCTTCTAATAAATAAGTAGCACATAAATTAAAATTCAAACTTTGTTGTAAATGTCTTACGATGGTTGGTAAAACAGGAATATGAGTATATAATTCAATTTGGCCAGGACAATCAAAGATTAAATATTCATCATTAAAATCTCCAATTTCTTCATCCAACCAATCAAGATTATTCAAAAGGAATTCAAAACAATAGATCAATCCTCCATTTGGACCTAAATCCATTTCTTCCATAACATCTTGTAATGAAATTAAATCTCGAATATCAATAGTAAATTCATATTCAGTAGCTTCAGCAGCAGGATCTAAATTAACGATATGAGCTCGACGTCCTATGGATTGCATATGGGATATTATAGCATTACAGAAAGTAGACTTCCCTACTCCTGCTGGTCCTAATGCCAATACTCCAACTCTTGACATGATTATTTCTATAATTTTAGTTGATACTTCCCTTTTGATCTATATTGATAAATTATTATTACAAATAAAATGCTGCTGCTCTTCACAGAAAAAATTATGTCATGTCGCGCGAAAAAATGTCGTAATTATAAATATATGAATGAATGTCGTAAATAAATAGTCTATATTTTTGCAGCTATAAAACTCTAAATACATATAAATAGGTTGGTCACTTTTTACACCAACAAGAATCATAATCATTTTCAATTTGAATCATCGCATTGATATCTTCATTTTCAAAGATCTTTTCACAATACTTCTTAATATAACTTCCATTTTCACCTCGATAAATTTGAATATGAATATATCCATCAATTGAATTATTTGCTCCTGGCCAAAATCGAGGGGTGGTTAATGATTTAACTCCTTTAATCTTGGTTATTTCAATTAATGATGATCTTACTTTATGTTCCTTTTTCGTGGATAAAGTTAATAATAAAGTTGAAGCAGTTGATTTAATTAATGGAATGGCTGATACAAAGATTAAACTAGCAATGATAATCGATGCAATGGGATCAAATCCATTCCACCCAAAATATTTGGTTAAAAGAGTCGATATCACCACTCCTACTGATCCTAATGTATCAGCTAAAATGTGTAAGAATATCCCTTTCATATTATCATTCATACCTTCATGATGATCTTCATGTTTTTCATCATGACTTTGATGAGAATGATCATGAGCATGAGAATGATCATGACTCGGAGCATGACTATGTGAATGACCATGAGAATGACCTTCATGACTACCATGACCATGATTAAAAGCGAAAATACCCACTAAATTAACTATCAATCCAAGAGTTGATACAATAATTAATTCATTTGTCTTTTGTAATACGACTGGATTTAATAATCTTCCAATCGCTTCAAATACAATACTCCCACTAATCCCAATTAATAATGTGGCATTAGTGAACCCGGCCAAGATTTCAAAATTCTTTAATCCAAACGGATATTTCCCATTTATATCAATTTCATTCTTAGATAAGATCCCTGCTATTAATCCTATAGCAAGCGATATACAATCCAACGCCATATGTAATGAATCTGATAATAATCCAAGTGATTTTGATCGGAAGGAGTATAATAATTGGACAAACATGAATGCAGTGTTCAACACTAAGAATTGAAATATGGCTCTTGTATCAGCATGAGATAATAATTTATGAATGATGGATATTAATGTTTGAGACGAAGATGATGATGACGATGAGGGGAATTTAGGTAAATCCAAACTAGATTTATCGGGAGTGATTATGATTGATAATAAGATATTTATATTGGATATGATAATGGTTGGAGGAGATGATAAATTCACAACTGTTTCGAATATGATGGTTATGATGGATACAAAAGTAGGCATGAATCTTAATTTGAAACCTGATGTAATACTATCATCATGAATATTAATCAATAAAACCAATAATCCAATGAAATAAATCCCCACCATAGTGATATCAATTGATATAGAAAGTATCAATAAACTCAAACCTGATATGACTGCACTAACCACAAGAGGGATGAGATTCAAATGGGTGATGTTATATTTAACCAACTTGAACCCCACAATAATACAAACGTATCCAAATAAAATAGTTATGAATTGAGTTAAAGTATTGGTACTATCTGAACTTGAAAAAAGATCAAACATAAGGGATAAAGGGGTGTAAAAACTCCATTGATTCACATAAAGACTTAATAATAGGGTTGGTATTCTTTGGGATGAGAGGAATATGGAGGATGCATAGATAAGATTTATACCGATGAGATTCAGTACTGTATTGGCAAGTAAATTTGATGTTGATGAAGAAGATGAAATGGATGCTAATTTCACAAGATTGAAATGAATAAATATTTTGAATAACAATAATGATAATGATGATAAAAGTATCAGTGAAAGTATGATGGGGATATATGTTGGATTGGATTCATCAGATATAGAATTAAAGATGATATTACATGATAGGATTATAATAGGATAAGTTAATATCAAAGGGATACTGATAATCAAAGAATGGATCCATGAACTTTCCCTCCTTATGACTCTTGCTGAAGACGGTATTTCAGGTGATTTACTAATGAATGGATTTGAAACATTCAGCGGAGGTGAAGGTAATGGACCTCCAAATGAAAATGATGGATTAACATCAAACTCTTCAAGATTGTTTTTCTCTTGACTTAATTTATGAATGAATTCTTGAGATGGAGGAGGTCGTATACTCATGTTGGACCTTGTTATTAAGTATTATACGTCCTGAATAGTTTGGATATTGATGTTGGTTCCTGTTACAATTAATTTGCTGGTTCGTCAAGTTAACTGCTGCCATTTTTTTTTTTAAGAAGCATTTGGTCAAGACGTGTCCGCAGTATATACAGGAACAGGCAATATTTTTACAACCATAATAGTTATTATTAGTAACAGTTATTAAACAGGGTGGAAACATTATATATATATTAAGGAAGTAAATTAAAGTAAAGTAAAGTATAAAAAAGCGTTAAACAGGAGGAGATAATATAAAAAAAGACAGGAATAATTATATTTAAGCTACAGAAGCAGTAGTAGCGGCAAGATCAGCTTTAGCAGCTTGAACTGGAGTCATTTTACTAATATAATCAACAGCATCTAATTTCATTCTTTTCGTAGTGGCATCATTCCATTTCAATTCAGTTTTCATGATATCAATGACCCCATCGATGGAATTCAAAGCTTCCTTTGCATTCAAGAATGCTAATCTTGTTCTTCTAGCTAAGAAATCAACGGGAGTTCTAATATATTCATAATTTATGGAATATTTCAATTCAGCGACAGTGAATGGTTCATCAACACTTTGATAGAAATCAATAGCATTAGCAGTGTTGGCAGTGGTAGATGGTTTTATTGATTTATTATGGGATATAGTGATTGGTAGTTTATTATAATCATTTTCAAAATAATAATCTAAAACCAATGGGGATCTTGAACCATAATTAGTAGCTAAATGATGAGCTAATTTTAAGGGGATTTTATATTCATGAATTAATCTTTCTGTATAATTACTGGAATAATCTTCACCACCAGCCAATAAGATTTCATTAGTTTGACAAGGTTTAATATCCTTGGAGAAATTAAAATTCTTAATGATAGTATCAACAGTTTCTTGAGCCATTTCTCTATAAGTAGTCCATTTACCTCCACTAATTGTAATTAAATCAGAATTTGTTTTGGTAATTAAATGAGAACGAACAATACCTTCAGTTGCACCCGTTAAATCTGCTCCCTTTGGAATATTAGTTGGATCTCTAACTAAAGGTCTAATACCACACCAAGCACTTAAAACATCATCTTTAGATACTTTAAATGTAAGATACTTTTGTAATTCTTTTAAGATATCTTCAATATCTTCTTCAGTAGCAATTGGACTTTCAGGAACAGATTTTAAAGCATGATCAGTAGTACCAGCCAAGACTTTCCCTTGCCATGGTAAAAAGAACATAACTCTACCATCGGAAGTAGCAGGATCTAATAAACCAATATCTTTAGGACAATAAAATTCAGGTAACACAATATGAACCCCACTTGATGGAACAACCATTCTTGGTGGAGATTCAACTTTTGGTAAGAAACCTTGAGGATCTTCATCCATTTCTAAGATTTTATCAGCAAATGGTCCAGTAGCATTAATTACAGAAGTAGCATTTATAGTGAATAATTCATTAGTTTCAAGATTTTTAGCTTTAACCCCCGTTAATTTTCCTTGAGGATCTTTTAATAATTGTTCAACATTGAAATAATTTAATACGGTTGCACCATTTTCAATAGCAGTAATGGCTAAAGTAGCATTATATCTTGAATCATTAAATGAACCATCATGATAAACACAAGTAGCTTTTAAATTTGAATCATCAATCATTGGAGCAATTGAATTAGTATATTCACGTGAAAAAATAGTGGAAGATCTTAAATTTTGATAACCAGCAAACCAATCATACATTTTACAACCGACAAAGAAATAAGGAACTTGCCACCATTTATAAACTGGAATCATAATAGGTAATACTGAACATAAATGAGGAGCAGTTCTTAACATATTACCTCTTTCATTTAAAGCTTCAATAACTAAATCCAATTGAGCTTTTGATAATTGGAAAATAGCTTTTTCTAAATATCTTACTCCACCATGAGCCATTTTAGTTGATTTTGATGATGTACCAGAAGCAAAATCTGATTTTTCAACCAAACAAACATTTAAACCTCTTGTAGCAGCATCAACAGCTGTACCAGTACCAACAGCCCCACCACCAATGATTAAAACATCGAAATTCTTGGTATTTTTTAAATTATCGATTAATTGAGATCTTGTAGGATGAGAAATGATGGGTTTAGTTAAAGGTTTATAAGAATCACCAATACGAGAAGGATTTGGAGCTTTAATGAAATCCAAATAGATGATGGTACCACCAACCAAAGTACCTGAAGCTAAGGTTACTTTACCTAGGGTTGAATTTAATAATTTTGAAATAGTTGACATATTAGTAGTAGTGAGTTATGAATATATATACAAACGAAGGTAACAATAGTAATAGTAATAGCAATAGTAGTACTGAATAGGAATAAATTGAGTTGTAAGTATAAAATCTATGATGAAATCTATGATAAGTTTATAAAAAATAAATAAAGGATGGGATAGGTTGAGTAGTTATTAGGGTTGATATTGGGGTGAGATGTGAGTTACGTGATGGATAATAAATAACTCAAATGATTGGGATGGATGGAGGGAGGGAGGGAGGAAGGAAAGGTATACTTAAGTGAGTATGAACTAACCTGATTATGATGATGGATGATACACTTCTTAAGGAAGAAGAAACAATTGAATTGAATTGAATTGAATTGGAATTGGAATTGGAACTAATTAATTAAATAAACAATTACTGTAACACAGTGGGACGTAAATTGTTTTTAAATTGCTTATGAAAAAAAAAAAAAAAAGCGTTTAATTTAACCCGATTCCGCAACTGTAAATTGATTGTTGTTGATGGAATGATTTGTTAAATAGGATGTATAACAAAGTAGTAGGAAGTAGGAAGTAGGAAAGAAGAAGAAGAAGAAGAAGAAGAAGAAGGAGGAATTAGTTGTTGGAAAATTTTACCTTAAAATGGTTACGTACGTGAACGTGAACGTGAATCAATTAATGATTAATGGACGGCTACAAATGGGATCGATGGTGATGACTGTCTCAGTAAAATTTAACTTTTTACCGCTAACTAAAATTAAAATTTGTGCTGCTGTTGCTGCTGTTGCTGCGTTTGTTTTTGCTTGTTTAGGATTAAAGGATATTTTTATTTATTTATTTACTTATTTCTTTACTATGACATTTCCATATGATGATGTTACCATAGCTATATCCATCTATTTACAATGTCATATTAATCTGTTCATTTGTTATCTATAATAGAGACGTGTTTATTAATTAATAAACACGCCCCCCCCTCCTCTCTCTTCCCATTCCTCAAATATTTTCAAGAAATTCTCTCTCTCTCTCTGTCTGCTTAATTCTCGCTCATATTTATTCGTTTACGCCAATTATTACTATAAATAACTGACAATATAACTTACTTAACCATAGTAAATCACTTACTTACTACAAAACAATAACTATCAAAACCATATCAAAAATGGAGAAAAGATTTTCATAACAATTAAAGACAATAAATTATGATATATTTGTTCCGAGCATAAAACCTTAATGCAAAAATTAATTATACCGAGGAACTTAACCAAAAACTAGACTATGGAATATCATTAAAATCTTTAATTGTACCTTAATTCTAAATAAATTTAACTAATTGAATTGCCGAATTCTAGACTCATACCTATTATAACTTATTACTTTTAACATTTCGGATATTTACTTAATAAATATAGAGTTATATAAAGATCTCTTCATTTTATTATTGAATCATGTGATTTAATGTCAGATGATTAATCACATGACTGCAATTAAATTAACCAATATACTGCGGTATGGATTCAACATAACACCTATTTGAATATCTAACTAATTTAATTCATTTACAACATATCAATCATATTAGAGTAATTATATTATCATTATCTTATTATAATTGCCATACATCTTATACTTACTCTAATAAATATACTACGTATACTACTATATATGTTATGCTATAAATAGTAGTTATGTTGCATTCCTGCATATACCGTTTTGTTGAGAGAGAGAGAAGCAGATAGAACTTTTGGTACGTAAGCATAATGAATCGTATAACTATATATAAAATGATCTATCATCTTTATTATCATCAATTATATTTCATAACAACTATTATTATAGATCATACGACATGTCTGAATCCCAATCTAGTATAGATCAATTGACGCCGGCTCAACTGGATACCTTCCATCAATTCAAACTTATAACTGGCTTAACTGATAATGAAGATGATAATGATAACATTATATCATTATTAGCTTTTAATGAGTATAATGTCAATCATGCCATTAATGCCTTTTTTGAATCTGGATTTGATTCATTACAATATCATACTCCAAATGTAGTCCCTGCTACCCCTAATTCTACCAATGTTGAAAGTGAAAGAAGTAGAACTCCTTTGGAAACTTTTAGTTCTGGTATTGATATTCATGATGAAATTTCAAATATTCATAATAGAAGACATAGTAATAATATGCATACTACCAGTAATTTACAACAACAATTCTTTATGGAGAATTTAATCCCTCGATTACCTAAAGCTCCAAGAATTTCAAATGGTTGGCAATTGGATGTCGGTATTCATACATCAATTATGGAAACTCGTCAACGTGAAAAGGAATTGAGTGAACAAGTTATAGATGAAAAGGAAGTTGAACTTACTGATGATTCAACTATGTCATCAGATACATCTAAGAAAATCCATGTATCATTATGGTTGATACTATTAATCATACCTCGAACTTTATTAAATTTAATCATATCAGCATTTAAATATTTATTCGGATTTGGAAAACTTAAACTTTCTTCATCATCATCATCTAATTATAACAAATTACCTAAATCATTCAATTATGATCAAGATTTCGATTTTGATTATACATTCTTACCTTGGATAGAACAAGAATTTGAAAAATTATCCCCAAAAGAAGAAGAAGATCCAATAGAGGAAAATCCATCTCAAACTACAGCCTCAGTGACCACAACATCATCATCATCAGTGGGTGAATTATTTGAAAAGTTTAATATCGAAAGTACCAACTTCAATGAAGTCCATGAACGTTGTCAAAAACATTATTTATGGTTATTTGTAATCATCATCAATTCCCATCAAGATTCAATTAAATTCCTTCATACATTAGTCCATGATCCTCATTTCAATCGATTATTCAATAAATCCACCGGTGAATTCAAAGAATCAATCATTTACATCAATAACGTCACTAAATCACCGGAAACGTTTGAATTGGGGACGATTTATAAAATTAAACGTATACCTTATATCATGTTAATTGGGAATGTATCCCCCTCCCCGGAAATCATGGCATCAATGTCGATAGTGTATAAGTCTAATCTTATCCTTCAGGAATTATTAAGAGGAGGAGAGAATGAACATGATGAATTAAGAAAACTTTCGAAAAAAGTGTTTAAGAATATCTATAAATCAATGGAGATTTTCAATCCTCAATTGATTTCAAAACGATTTGATCAACAAGAGATTGAATTCGCAAGATTGATTAAGCAACAACAAGATAATGCCTTTGAAAAATCCTTAAAACAAGATCAATTAAAGAAAATCAAACGAGAAAAATTAATCACCCTTCAAAAATCAATCGCTTTGAAACAAAATTTAAGATTGAAATTCTTATTAAACCTTATCAAATCAAAATATCATACTTCAATCACCAATAATGAAAGTAGTGACGTTACGAAAGTAGCGATTAAATTACCTACTGGGAAACGTATCATTAATACATTTGATAAATCGATATCGGTGAATCTGATTCATTTATACGTGGAATTAATCTTATTCATGGCTGAACAGAATATCGCCGATGATGATGAAAGTGTTAAGATTGATGAATTGATTGCTGATATCCCCTTTGATGATGAAGATTATGAAGATTTAACCATGGATCAATATTTTGAATTATATAAATTTAAATTCAATTTAATTCAACCATTCCCAAAGAGAATTATCGTCGCTAATGATGATTCCATTGGATCAATTGAAGAGTTTAAGTCGGGTGCAAACTTATTAGTGGAGTATAATGATGACGATGAAGAAGATGAAGATGAAGATGATGAAGAATTGGAGTTGGAAGATAATGATGACGACGTAGACGACGATGACGACGACGATGATGATGATACCACTAATGATTATTATGAACAATAATGATAAATTTTTATAGAATAATACATGATTTTGTTTTTAGTTTTGATTCATCGCCTTTTGTGGTTATAGTTGTGCCCAGTTGGTTGACTGCTTAATTCGGTATGTGTGTGACAGAAATTTGAATACAACAAAAAAATAAAGAAATGTGTTTTTGCAACAGAGAAATCTATAGAAAAACAAATTTAGCCGCCAAACCATTTTAATAATTATAAGTAACCTTTCTTTATTGGAGTGATAATTGAAATCTAGTATTATCTGTTGATTCATTTACCCCCCCCCCCCCTCCAGTTATCCAATTGATAATATGAATTATCAGCTTCATATATTTAATAGGGAATCAAATTAAGATCTCAATTCAATTCATATATTAAAATAGGGAATCAAATTACAATTATTTTTTATTTAAAATTTCATCATAATAATTAAATCATTTATCAATGTTAGAATCAAACGAAGCATCAATTTACTACAACTCAAGTCTTCGATTCGACATTTCAACCCAGTTAAAATCATATTTAGAAGAGAAATTAAACAAAGAATTAAGTGATGTTGAATTAAGTGAATTAATTTCAAATCTTGTATTAGCTGTGTTTTCTGAAAACAAAAAGAACAGATTAAATTTTCCTTCTAATATGGTGAACGGTTTCTGGATGTGGAAAATAAAGCTGCTTATAAGAAATTTCTCCCCATTTGATGACGAACAGGTGGTTGATGAATGTAATTTAACAATTGAAGACAATGGTATCTATAGTGTGTGGAATTATAAACACAAACCAATCAATCACTTGAATCAAATCGAAATCACTAGAAAATGTATAAGTGAATTGGCTTATTTCATTGAAAGGTTCATAAATGATGACTATACAAATCAAATTATATTTATTAATCATTTACAGGAACAATGGGTTAAATCATCTAAACAGGAAAAAAAGCAAATAAAATCGAAGCTCGTTGAAGACTTCATTGATTTTATTATTATGCTTGAAAAAATGCCAAACACTGGATTAAGAGATATAATTAACAATGCACAACATAATAGAATCTCCGTAATGGAGATGATTACTATCTTGCAAACGATAATATATTTGATAGACTATCAAATTAAAATCTAATTTGGTTACGAAAATTTAATACTGTTTTTATAGATATATATATTAAAAATCTAATTGTAAGTACTTATATAATTATTGTTAGTAGTAGTTTTATAGAAACAATAATGATAAAACCCCACTTAGACAAGTCTTATTCTATATTGATATAATTTACTTCCGTGATATTGTTAATGTACATCCTTTGTTATATACAACTGGATCACTTAATAATAATTTTCCATCAAATACTTTATAACAAGATACTGACAATTGTGAACAAGATTTTACATGTACATATACTGTAACACAAGTTTCTAAATAGAATTTAATGCCATAAGATCTTAATGCAACTGCATAATCAACATGTTTGAAAATTAAGGATTGTAGGTCTTTGGATTTGATGTTTTAATTATTTCTCAATATCAACATCTAAACGATCAAGTCGTTAGCGAGACATAGTTTCCTCCAAATGATTTGTATAATCTCTTCTTCATCTTCATATTCCTCCTCATCACCATATTCACGTTGACAAATCTAAAGAGTCATACCGCTAATGATTCGCCTAAAAAGTATGATATCGTCGTATTTGTAAAATCAAGCAGCAATATGATTGGTGATATATCAACCATTTGTATTTACCCCAGCCATAATAACATCAACAGTAGCACAAAGTTTTGTCATTCAAAATAATTATAATGTTGATTTATTCCTTTGTGGACTTCCTAACTCAGTAAACTTCATTCCAACTAGAATGAATCTGATGCCATTATATGTACCATTCTGATTTGAAGACTATAGCTTAATAGTTATTGGAAATATGGCTTTCAAGCATATGATTCAGCACTAGATAAATTAAATAAACAACTAAAAAGACGAATTTAAATCAAATAACAGCTTTTTGATTATATATTTGGAAGTTGCAGTGAATGGGGAAATTCTAATTTGATTTCAATAAAACCAAAGTCAACTAATGTAAATATCTAATTATTATGAATAAGGGAATATGTTTTGTTAGAGGAAAAATCAAAAAGCAAAAGGCGGAGGGAAAATAGGAAAAAAAAGGATATAAAGTATCAAGATATTCCCTTCAACTCATTTTATAAAATAGTTCTCATACCATTTATTACAAATATATGTAAAAATTCTCCTGGATTACCATCTACATAGTTATAACTTGGACGGTTCCTAAGAGTGCGTAATCTATACCTAGTTGCTGAATGGTCTTGGTCATAATCTAGACGAACACGAATTGGTGAATGAATTGTAATATGTTGAGCTAACAATGGAACTTCGGTAGTACGTATTCCATAAGCTGAATTTAATCTTTCAGCTTCCCTTCTAGTTGAATCTGGATCTCTTGAATCAACCAGATAAAAAAGTTCAATATCTGAATGAGCCAAATCAAGATCTCCTAACACATCTGATAAAAAGTGGAATTGGCAACCATAACAATACAATACTTTGGCCCATCTCAAAGCTGTATAAAGTCTAGAAATATAATCATCTGAGTTACCTATTAAAGTACACTTTTCAAGCACAGGCATATCTGGAATTTCAATTGCACTACTATCATCTCTTAGAGTCAAAGTCTTAATTAAATGATTATGAGAATTAACCAAAAATGACAAATTATGACATGAAATTATATCATAACTTTCAATACCAAGAGAAGAAAGTTTAGGAAATGTAAGACCTTGAATTTGACCTTCTAAACTAACTTTTTGACCAATATATAATTCTTCTAGTTCTGAACTTAACCAACATATTGGAATTGAAGGTTGACATCTAATAGTATCTTGATAGAAGTCAAAATCGTTTGTAGGGGTATTTTCCGGTATCATATCAGTATCGAATCTAAAGGCAATGATATTTAACTTCATCAAATAATCTAACTTTGGCATCATAAATCTATTTGGTTTTTCATGATCAACAAATTTGAAGATATAAATTTTGAACTTAAAACTTCCTAATTGTTGAAGTGAATTTGCTCTTAAAATTAAATCATACAATGGTCTTTCATCATCATCGAAACCAAGCTTAAAATATAAAGTGACTATTAATGGATTGGTTGGATCATTAAATTTATGGGCATTATCAAATAAAAATTGCAGAGAGTTGTCATAATCAACAGATTGATTATGATATAAGACTTCTCCTTCTAAAGGAATATCAGGAATAACAATACCGTCAAGATCATCAAATCTAGTGGTATCATTTTGAAGAACTATATGAGAGATTCCACTTAACTTTTCTGGTAAGGGATCTTGATTGACATTCTCTTTGTCCTGAATTGAGAATTGGACATCATCAAGTTGCTCAATAATTCTTCTCAAATAAATAGGTATGTCAGACATTGAAAAGAAGTTCAATGTTTAGTAGATATACATTTCTTTAGAATTGAAAGTTATTGGAGGTCTTTTTATTTTCTTTATATAACCATATATTAATCTTTACGCTTTCACATAGAATTTTGTTATGCAATTTAAACTTCTAGATTTGCATCTTTGTGCACTTCCATTTTTGAACATAACATAAATTTGCAACTCCAACGATTTCGCATTCAAATTTGCGCGCATAAACAGTTACTACACTAGAACTCTGAAAGTATTTCCTAAGTAATTATAAGGTATATATCGTCTAGGAAACAACGTAGAAAGATGAAATTAACAAATAAATATACAAGTGAAAGTCGTCCTACAAGAATCAAGCAATGAAAAAGAAGACCGAATGTATATACAAGAAGAGGCACGATTATGACCAGAAAAACTAAACAATAATTAAATTAAAATAAGTGAGATAATATTAAGACCAACAACAACGTAGCCGAATATTTCGCTCTAGTAGCATCACCTTGGATAAAACTAACAGATTCATTTTCACTTTCATTTTCACTTGAAGCATAAATTGTAGTAGTCACATTTTCAGTCTCATCTGAAACAGAAATTGTTGCAGTAACAGTTTCAGTTTCAATCGAAGCAGAAATAGTGATGGTAACAGTTTCAGTTCCACCTAAACCGCGCACTGTAGATATAATAGTTTCAGTTTTACCTAAAGCAGTGATTGTAGCACTAATAGTCTCAAGTTCACCTAAGGCAGAAACTGTAGCAGTATTTAAGGCAAAGTCAGATAACAAACTTGTCTCAGAAGAAAAATGTGAAACTGGTGATGCGTTTTGTACTGTAAGTGATGTACCTTCTGTATCAGCTTCAGAACCTTCTAATGGAACAAAAATGGTAATTTCAGAAGTAATTCCCGAAGGGCCTTCTTCAGTAATGGTTAAGACTTCTGGATTTCTAGTGATCGGCTCAGTCCCTGTAATAACAATGGTGGCCACCACCTGAGATACAATTTCGCTATTAATAGTAAGATTTTCAGCAATTGTAGTGGTTGCCATAGCATTATAAATAGAAGTAACAATAGGAGTTGCTGTAATGATTGTAGCTGCTGTAATAGTAGGGGTTGCTGTAACAGTAGTAGTTGCAATAATAGTAGGAGTTTCAGTAACAGTAGAAGTAGATATAACAATAATACTTGTCGTGATAGTAGGTGCTTCCGTAACAGTAGTAGTAGTTGTAACAACAGTAGTTGCAGTAATAATAGTAGCTGCTGTACCGATGTTTGGTGAAAGAATGGTAGTGGGACTTATATCGATAGAACTAGTTTCCCCTTCCTCAGGTGTCGTTACAATAAGAATTTCAGTAGTAGTGACAGTGACAGTAACAGTTTCAGCACCTGTTGTTTCAGCAGTAGTTGGAATAAACACAGTGAAACTAGTAGTTATAGTTTCCAAAGAAGTGAATGGTACAATTGTAGTCAACGTTTCACTAACTCCATTAATAACAGTTGTGACGATCTCTGTAGAACTAAATACCGATGAAGTGGTATATGTACTAATGATAACTGTTGGACTCACGCTTAGAGTTGGACTCACGCTAATAGTTGAGCCCACAATGACCGAAGAACCAGATGATAATGCTACACATGAATGGTCATCATTAAACGTAGCTTGGATGGAACCATCTGTCTCAGCATCAACACTGACGAATAATCTGTACCCAGTTGGAACACCATAATATGATAGAACGAGAGATGAAGGGCCACAAGAAGCAATACTCACACTACTTAATGTTTCATATGTGGTTGGGAAGTACCATGCATTGAGACTGTTAGTAATGGCCGCAGACCACGACGAGCAATCAATCGAACCATCAGTCACTGATATGGTTATTTGACCTGATCCAAATAAAGAAGTACAATTTCCACCTAATACATAGAATGATTCTAAGTTATTCCAAGGTTGAGGTCTAGAAGCATAGACAAGGACACTTGGATCACCTGGAGATGGACTACCAGCAGCAAATGTAACCGACGAGAGAATATCGTTAAGACCGTCATCGAACGCTATAGACTGAGTACCTACCACAAAAGCATTTGCAGCTTGGATATCGGTAGGAGATGACGATCCTCCAATATTAAACACCAATGGTAAAATAAGCGACCCACTGACGTCAGGATTGGTAAGAATATTTTCAGTGATAGTACAATCTATTGTGGTCTCATCATTTGTAGAACCAGCCATAGTGACGATACAATCAGCGTAATCAATATCATCAACAGTCAAAGATAACGATCCATCAGCTCTCTTACCGATACCACCTTCACCTTGAAATAAATCAAACACATTTGGGAGTCCTATATGTGCTATATTACCAGGTTGAGTATTATCTGGAAATTTGAATGAGAATATGACATCAAAAGCTGGAGCCATTGGGATTGGCATAGTGTAGTATGAGTCGAGATTCACGAATGTTAATGGTGGTAGAGAAGAACTGAATACTCCATATATAGTAGTTGGACCACTTCCTGCAGTGGTACTACCAGATGATATAGCAGTGGTACTAGTTACAATACTAGATACCGGACTTGTGTTTGATTGTGTAGATGAATTTGCACTTTCTTCTGAGGTTGGTGAAGATACAATACTAGTACTTGATCCAGATGTTAATGAAAAAGAATTTAAAGATGTGATAGATGAAGTTATTGTAGATCCTGAGATTAATATTGGAGCAGACTCGGAGGATGAGATTGAAGTGAATATAGAGGACTCTAAAGATGAACTGAAATATATAGAACTTGATGATTCAACAGAAGCTGTAGTTATAATTGAAGTAGTTGAGGTACTATATGACGACACTGATGTTGAAAAAAGCAACAATGAAGTACTAAAAGACGATAGAGCCGTTAACGAAACACTTAGTGAGTGACTTGAAGATGCGAGGAAAGAAGACCCACTTGATTCAGTAATAGTCAATGAAGTCAGTGAATATGTGATAGGGGAAAACGAGCCAGGCGTTGAACTTTCAGTAGACACAGGAATATTTGACGATTCAGAAGGCGATAATTCGGAGGATGACGAAGATGTCTCTAACTGAGAAGCTGACGATGAGCTCGATTCGATACCAGCCGTTGTGCTTAAAGAACCAATGATTGACAATGAGTCATACAATGATGAACTTGTTATTATAGAACTAGATATTGAGAATGATATTGTACTGGTGGATGAATTAATATAGGAGAATACACTAGATTCCTCTATTGATGTCAGATGAAATGCTTGAGTTAAACTTGGTGACATAGAAACAGAATATATAGGAAACGAACTGCTGAAAGACGAGGAACTTGATAGTATACTCAAGGAGGTTGTTGTTTCCATTGAAGATGATTCAGTATTACTAGTGGTGGCGGAGGAGTAAGAATATGTCGAATATAGAGAAGACGTTTCTGTTGATATCAGTTCAGTAGATAAGGATAAACTTGACAGTGACATACTCTGAGAATTGTACGATTCAAAAGATTCAGAAATACTTGATATGGCACTACTTGATACAGTTCCTGAACTTAAACTTGTTGAAAATTGGGATGATACACTTGAAACAATACCCGAAGAAATGATTGAAAGAACACTTAAGGATGATGTTGATGCCGACATTGCACTCGAAGAGCTACTAGATTCTTCTTCAGAAGAGGTAGTTGTTGAAGAGGAACCACTACTTGTTTCTAATGAGCTTGATTGGGAAGTATTTGGGGACTCTATCGAAGACGAAGATGAAGATGAAGATGAAGATGAAGATGAAGATGAAGATGAAGATGAAGATGAAGATGAAGATGAAGATGAAGATGAATACGTGCTAGAAGTTGATGAGTATACTGAACTAGAGGAAGGAAAAGTAGCGGAAGGTGTACTCGAGAGATTGATCGAAGGAGAATTTGAGGTGGTACTTGACGTGGTAGTTGAAAGAGTAGTTGAAGAACTTGAAGACTCAGCAGAAGAAAGACTAGTTGATGTGGTGCTAGAATAACTACTTGAAGAATTACCTTGTGAATAAGTTGACGGACTCATTGATGGTGTAATTGATGGGCTTGTAGAAGGAGTAGCTGAGAATGTAGTAGAAGGTCCCGAAGAAGGAGCAGTTGATGATGTGCTTGATGAACTCCTCGAAGGAGTAATCGAGGCAGAAGTGGAGGAAGTTGTAGAAGAAGTGGTAGAAGGGGTATTAGAAGAAGCAGTAGAAGGTGTTGTTGAGGGATTAGTAGAAGGAGAAGTCGATGATGTTGTTGAGGGATTAGTAGATGGAGTGGTAGAAGGCGTTGTCGAGGGTGTAGTAGAAGGAGTGGTTGATGGTGTGCTTGATGAACTACTTGAAGAAATAATCGAAGACGATGATGATGTAACATTATAAGAAGGTGGCTCTGGAGATAGTATAGTAGAACACAACGCACATCCAACTGGAACAGCTGGAACTGGAGGTGGACCATTATAAAGAATACCATTTGGTAAAAAATCTACCCAGTCCGGAGAGTTGCTCAGAAACTCAAATAGATCCGTATCATATCCAGTACCTATATCGAACATTTGACAGAATGAATCATCCCCACAAAGTAATAGAATTCCTGTTTCACTTATATATATTAAAATTTGTTGAAGTTCCGTTGCTAGAGCGATTACATTACCATTTCCAAAACCACTAACGGAAATTATGCTACTACCTAAGTTAGAAGGTTTAACCAAAATACTGGCATTTTTATCAGCTAAATAATAAGTCTGATTAGCAAAGTCTGCCGAGGGTTCCCACACATGAAAAGTTGAATTGTTTTGAATTGTAATACAACCATATCCACCAATATTTGAAGTTTGATTAAATCCTTTATTATATAAGCAAATTTGTCCATAGTTTAAAACAGTCGTCTCTGGATATAATTCGGCCGAATCACCATTGGATACTAATTGATAAAATACCATTAAGCCATTGTTTATGATAACAGGACAGTTAATCTCAGCCAATCCTTGCCCCAATGCACCATTATAGGCCATGATAAAAACACCGTTGTTGACAAAACTTTTGTTTACGATTTGCAAAATAGCTGCATATGAAGCCTGAACACAATTGAGGGATGCAATACCATCATTGACAAAATAACCTTCACCAGAGATGAAACCAATTTCCGAATTTTGTCCTTCGTAAAAAGACTGATACAGACCAATGAGATAAAGACCACTACCTGTGCCAATGGTGAGATTGGAATAAGTATAAAAAAATTGGAAATCGTAAGCAACAACATATACATTATCATAGATATTCAAACCTGAGATAGCCCCAACACTATTATCATAGACAGTATCTTCAGAAATGGTACTATTCGTCACAACGTAATAGGTATTGGAAGGAGTCGAAACAACAACAACAACATGCTGTAAGAGTAGAGCTAATAATAAATCAATTATTTTCATCTGGTTTTGGCATATCTCAATTTGAAGAGCTGAAACTAAAGAAAAAGGGTAATTTGAAGTAACCGCTGTTAAATATCCTTCTCAATTAGTTCACGATAATGTGGCAAAATTCGATACTTTATGTAAAATGAAAAACCTTACCCACACCCTTAACATGTTTTAAATCCATCGTTTCTGACTATACCAAGAAGCATGTTCCAAATGAAAAACTTTACATTTGACTTTAATTATTTTTTAGTAATACGAAATCATAATAATAATAATAAAAATAAAAACCAATTGTGGGAGGAGTGATAATTCGACGCTCTATTCCAAGTTCCACTGTGCATTAAGAATAACGAAAGGATTTAAACTTGGTGCTAAGCTAGTCCTGTGTTTTTGAAGTAGACAGTTGAGCAAACATAGACCACTATTCCCACAAACCATAACTCCCATTTCCCTTTATTTCTGCAACCATCCCGGGCTCATTCCCTGGACTGGAGAGTTTTAGTGAGTATTGTTCCTTGGAGTGAGTCTCACACTATTAAACCTGAATGGCATAAGCAGGCTTTTTGTACGTAAATAGTATTTCTCTTCGGGTATAGATAATATACAAAAAAAAAAAAAAAAAAAAAAAAAAAAAACCACAATTTTCCACAACCGTTTCCGAAATATTATTTAACCATGTCACTGAATTTAACAATAGTTTTAAAGTAGCCTAGATTCCATATGCTAACAAATTGAATATAATGTTGGCCTACCTAAGGTAATGATATAATATTTGTCTGCCCGCCTGTACTTTACACGGCATATGCGACCCCTAAAAAAATAAGAGATTCTGCCTCAAGAGCAAGATACGAACAAACCTTAAAAATATTATTTACGTCTATTTAAGATAAAAATTATCGAAATGTATGTATGGAGGGTAATTAATTTGAATTTGTTAAATATAATGTATACCAAGCCACCTTTTAATACGAGAAATTGAAGCCTCATGAGGGATTAAAATGATTAATTTGTGAGTGGGTGGTTGTGTTAATAAATGACAAATGTTACCTTTAAAAATAATATAAAACGGAAATTGTTTTTATTACCCAGATTAGAATTAAGATTACAATTTAAATAGAAAATAAAATTTATATATCTAGTTTATTTTGCTGAATATAAAAATTTTAATGAGACAGAATTATCAAGACCTTTACTGACTACCATTTAGCAAGTACGAAAATAGAGAAGGTAGCACCACCATAGGATTTTGAACTATAATATCGACTTATTTAAACTATGTACATCAAGACTAAAGCAAATAACAAAGTAATTGAATATCGGGATCGATTAGCGCTGCCTTCAATGGTACAAGCCTCTGAGGATATTGAAGCAAGCGGGCTAACAGCTAATGAAGATATGGATGCAACTTCCGGAGTCATATCCCATATTGTGGTATATACATTGTTAACTGGGGTAGTATTTTCAGGATTAGCTGGAACTCCTACAATAAAAACTTTCAATTCAATAATTACATTTGGAGCTCCCGTTTCGGTTGTGACTTCCACGATTGTTCCACCTGCTTTAGTTTCAATAACAACTTCAATCGATGGTTCAACATTTTGAGTTTCAACAGCATTCACAGTAGCAGGAGTTGTTGTAATGGCTGCTGTTGCAATGAAGGTTGTTGAAATTATACCAGTCGTACCTGTAGTACTGGTAGTAGTTTCTTGTTGTTCATAATATGTAGTTATCAGAATAATTTCAGTACTAGTGACAGTAACCGTAACAGTTTCAGTAGTGATGTATATCTTAGTGATACTGATAATTTCGGTACCTGTAGTCTCCGTAGTTACGGGAACAAGTTCGGTGAAACCAGTAGTTATAGTTTCCAAAGAAGTGATTGGCACAGTAGTAGTCAACGTTTCACTAACTCCATTAATAACAGGTGTGATGATCTCTGTAGAACTAAATACCGATGAAGTGGTATATGTACTAATGATAACTGTTGGACTCACACTAATGGTTGGACTAACGTTAAAAGATGGACCCACACTAATAGTAGAACCCACAATGACAGATGAACCAGTTGATAATGCTGCACATGAATGATCATCATTAAAGGTAGCTTGGATGGAACCATCTGTCTCGGCATCAACACTGACAAATAATCTGTACCCAGTTGGAACACCATAATATGATAGAACGAGAAATGAAGGGCCACAAGAAGCAACAGTGATACTACTTAATGTTTCATATGTGGTTGGGAAGTACCATGCATTAAGACTATTAGTAATACCTGCAGACCATGATGAACAATCGATTGAACCATCAGTCACAGAAATACTGATCTCACCTGATCCAGTTGAGGAAGTACAATTTCCACCTAACACATAGAAAGATTCTATGTTGTTCCATGGTTGAGGTCTAGAAGCATATACAAGGACGGTTGGATCACCTGGAGATGGGCTGCCAGCAGCAAATATAGCTGACGTTAGAATATCGTTAAGACCGTCATTGAAGATAATTGGTTGATAGCCAGCCACAAAAGCGTTTGCAGCTTGAATATCGGTAGGAGAAGTAGATCCACCAATATTAAATACTAAGGGTAATGTAATGGATCCACTAACTTCAGGATTGGAAAAGATATTATCGTTGACTGTACAATCTACTGTTGTTTCATTATCAGAAGAACCAGCCATGGTGACGATACAATCAGCGTAATCAATATCATCAACAGTCAAAGATAACGATCCATCTGCTCTCTTGGCTATACCACCTTCACCCTGAAATATATCATACACATTTGGTAATCCAAGATGAGCAATGTCACCAGGTTGAGCATTATCAGAGAATTTGAATGAGAATATTCCATCAAAGGCCGGAGCCATTGGGATTGAGGCGGTGTAATATGAATCGAGATCCACATATGATAATGGAGGCATTGAAGTATCAAACACACCGTATATAGTGGTTGGCCCACTTCCCAAAGTCGTAGTACCTGTTGGTACAGAAGTAGTAATACTTGCCATACCGGATGTTGAACTTGAGCTTGAGTGTGTAGATGAGATTGAAATTGCTCCTGAGCTTAGTAAAGATCCAGTATTTGTAGATGAGCTTCCAGTTGACGTATTGGAATTTGGTGATATGATAGAAAAAGGCAATGTAGACTTGGAGGTTGAAATTGACTGACTTACAGAGGATTTGCTTGAGATAAATGGATAAGATTCAAGTGGAGGACTGAAATTATTAGAACTTGAAGAACCCACAGTAGTTGTTATGCTTGAAGCAATACTGGAAGCATATGACGAAGTTGAGGATAAAATTACCAGTGAAATACTTAATGACGACTGTACAGAAAATGAAGTACTTAATGATTTACTCAGTGATGTGAGTATGGAGGAGGTTGTTGATTCAGTAATTATTAATGAAGTAGAATAAGATGTGGTCGGAGAAACAACCAGACCTGCTGTGAGAACAGATGAAATTGATGACTCTGTATATGTTTCACTAGATGCCTCAGAAGTTAATAAACCAATGCTTGATAACGATTCCAAAGAAGAAGCAAATGATAAGGAAGTAGTGGATGATGTAAAGTATATCGAACTTGCTGTTGAATTGATGTATGAGTCAACAGTTGAAGGTGCTGATGATATTGCTAATCCCTCTAATGATGAGACTGAAGATGAGGAAACAGAAAGTACGGGAAAAGAGTAACCGAACGAAGACAATATAGGACTACTAGAAGTACTTTGAATCAATGAACTTGTTGATATAAAAGTGGCCGATTCAATACTAGTAGAGGACGAAGTGAACCCAGAAGAATACGTATTTGAAGGTAATACAGATGTCGATTCTGTATTTGATGATATTGCTTCAGTAGATAACGATACGCCAGAGGGAGAAACATTTGACATTTCAGAAGATTCGGAAATACTTGATGTGGTAGTCTGTGATGTAAAAGCAGTACTAGATGACGTTGATGATATAACAGCTGAAATTGAGCTTGAAGAATTTATTGATGCAGAGCTTGGAGGTGCGTTGGATCCACCTTCACTCGAAAATGTGATTGATGGAGTACTAAAAGATACAGTTAATAATGTGCTTGAAGAACTATTTGATGATTCTTCCAAAGAGGAAGATGACAAATAATCTTCTGAGCTTATTGATCCCGAAGAACTGTACGATAGTGATGTGCTGGATGATGCGGAAGCAGAATAAATAGTGGATGAGATGGCACTGGAAGATAATGTAGATTCTTTAGAAGACGATGATGTTGATGAAGACGAAGTGAAATATTGGGATGATATACCTGAAAGACTGTTGGAGGTTGTGCTTGGAGATTCTGAGGAACTTTCAGACGATGATGACCATGATAACGACTCTGTAGAAGATGGTAGCAGCGAAATGCTACCTGAAGTGGAGTTTGTCGACTTTGAAGTGCTTAAGGATTGCGAAGTACTCGATGACGAATTTGCTGTTGATGGCTCTCCAGAAGAAATCGTTGCAGCAGAAGCGCTAGAGTGAGTGATTGATAATGAAGAAGATGATGATGATGAAACTGGTGGTCCTGGAGGGGGTATACTAGAACACAAGACACAACCAGCAGGAACATCTTGACTTGGAATTGTACCTGTATAAATTATACCATTGGGAGCAATATTTTCCCAATTAGTGGAATTAATCAGCAACTCAAATAAATCAAGATCATACCCGAGACCAATATCAAATATTTGACATATTAAGTCCTCTGAGCAAAGTACTAAGGAACTTCCGTAATATAATATAAGAGGTTGGATACTAGTAGTTAAAGCAAGTACATTACCACCTCCAAAACCATTGATTGGAATTATGTTACTTCCAACAGTCACATTAACGAAAATACTAGAATTCGAGCCACTTAAATAAATGGTTTGATCCCGAGAGATTGCCACAGGGTTGTCGATATAGAAGGTTGATTCTTGAATTGTAATGCAACCATTACCTTCAAAAATTCCTGTTTGATGGAAGACTTTATTATATAGGCAAAATTGTCCACTATTAGAAATTTGCCCCAAAACTACTAGTGCATCACCATTATTTACTGATTGATAAAATATCAGTAAACCAGTATTTGCAATATTACCAAATTCACACTGTCCATGCGAGAATTGACCATTATAAGCCACGATTAATTGACCACTGTTTACAAACAGACCAATATCAGCACTATCGGCAGCATAAGCAGGACCAACAAAATTATAGATAGGTGAAAGAGTAGCCTCAACAGAATTAAGTGATACTATCCCACCATTATTAACTTGATTGAGATTGACATTCAATGCGTCAGCAGGATTAGTGGATGTGGACAGGGCAACAATATAGAGACCAGCATAATATTCAACAGTAAATTCTATAAGTACAATAAATGAAGTGATACCATAACAATAGAGATACCCCAAATCTATATTGAGTTGTTCAAGATCAGCGTCAGAATCGTAAACAGTATCCTGTTCAATAATAACGTTTCCGATTTGAGAATGAACGATAACAATATGTAGGATTAAGGTTAGTAGTAGATAAATTAGTTTCATCTCTCTCAAACTTTTTCCAATTAGATACTTATATGAGTTTAAAAACAAAGGGGCAGTATTTGTAATATCGATTGTTCAACTTTTTGAAACAGTTATTCAATGGGCTTAATACTTCTTATATAAGGAATTCTCCGCTCAATTCTCTACAAAGATTAGTTTCGAAATAATGTAAATCAAACTACCCCTCTGGTTGATAAACATCTCTAATTATTATTTATATATTCAACATTGCAAATAAAAAAATAAAAAGTTTGAGGAGGAAATTGACATACGCAAATATGTGGCATCAAGAAACTCAAAAGAAATCAACCCCATTATATGTTGATGGTGCTCGGTTAGTTGAATTGAAAGGTGGAGGGGAAGATGTTCTGAAGGCATTAGTATTCACTTCTATGATCCATTACCTGAATTTGTTTGTTTACTTTCCTGAAATCAGTTGAAAGAAACTTCAGAACCTAATTCACTGTAAATTAAGTTTATTCGTTATTTTCTGCTTAATCGGGATTGATTAGATTGGATGCCCGGTCCGTCTTTTATTGTACAGGGACAGATGCGGCGAATGCGTATCAGCAAGCAAGGATCTAACAATCGAAAAAAGATACGAAATAATCGTAAAGTTGCTGATTAAAAAATAAATGGAAGGAAAAAAAAAGGGATATTTATTCGGGGTATTGTCAAGTCTATTGTCAACCATCTGTAATATACTACTGGAAAATACACTATTATTTCAAGCAATGGGGGGAAATGGCTTTAATCATTGGATTGAACTGGTTTAACTATGTTTTTAAGCCACCAATTCATATCATTCCAACTTAATTACTGGATAATATACTGATTATTTGAAATTTCAACTTCATGAGGGGTTAAAGTAATTGTAGGGTTTTTTATTAAATGATAAAACTAACTTTTAAAAATAATATAAAACGGAAACTATTTTTATTACCCAGATCGGAATTAAAGTTACAAGTTACACTTTAATTTTAACTAATTTATACCCTGTGAACCAGGAGTGAGCTATAATATATACTTTTATTTTTAATCAACAACAAAGGAATATTAATTTAAATTATGTACATCATGACTAAAGCTAGCAATACCGTGAACGAATATTGGAATCTATTGGCACTTCCTTCAATAACACTTACTTCTGGGGACACTGAAGCGGCTGGACTAGTAGCAACTGCACTGATAGCTACTGAAGGAATAGGTCCAACTTCGGAAATAATAGCCCCTGTAGTATGAACATAATAAACTGGGGTAGTATTCTCTTCAGTACCTGTAAATTCTTCTATAGAAATTAACGATTCAATAGTTAGAATAGAACCTACTGTTTCAGTAGTAATTTCTACAATTGTTTCACCTTCTTTGGTTTCAGTGACAATTTCAGTTGTTGGTGCAACATTTTGAGTTTCTACAGCAGCTACTGTAGTTGCGATTGGGGTTTCAATCCTTGGAGTAATGACAGTAGCAGTAGCAGTAGTAATAGCAGCAGTAGCAGTGGTAATCGCAGCAGTAGCAGTAGTAACTGGATGACCAGGACTGGTATTCGCACCTTCTTCTGGACAGTAGGTAGTCTCGATGGTGGTTACGATTACTTCAGTAGCGGTGATGGAACTCTCTTGGCCAACTGGACAGAATGTAGTAGTGATGGTGGTAGTAATAACAGTTTCAGTGGTGATGTATGACTTAGTGATTTCAGTACCTGTGGTTTCAGTAGCAATTGGAATAAGTTCAGTGAAACTAGTAGTTATAGTTTCTAAAGAAGTGATTGGTAAAACAGTAGTCAACGTTTCACTAACTCCATTAATAACAATTGTAATGATCTCTGACGAACTAAATACCGTGGAAGTGGTATATGTACTGATGATAACTGTTGGACTAACACTAATAGTAGAACCCACAATGACAGATGAACCAGACGATAATGCTGCACATGAATGATCATCATTAAAGGTAGCTTGGATGGAACCATCTGTCTCGGCATCAACACTGACAAATAATCTGTACCCAGTTGGAACACCATAATATGATAGAACGAGAAATGAAGGGCCACAAGAAGCAACAGTGATACTACTTAATGTTTCATATGTGGTTGGGAAGTACCATGCATTAAGACTATTAGTAATACCTGCAGACCATGATGAACAATCGATTGAACCATCAGTCACAGAAATACTGATCTCACCTGATCCAGTTGAGGAAGTACAATTTCCACCTAACACATAGAAAGATTCTATGTTGTTCCATGGTTGAGGTCTAGAAGCATATACAAGGACGGTTGGATCACCTGGAGATGGGCTGCCAGCAGCAAATATAGCTGACGTTAGAATATCGTTAAGACCGTCATTGAAGATAATTGGTTGATAGCCAGCCACAAAAGCGTTTGCAGCTTGAATATCGGTAGGAGAAGTAGATCCACCAATATTAAATACTAAGGGTAATGTAATGGATCCACTAACGTCAGGATTGGTAAGTATATTACTATTGACTGTACAGTCGACAGTGGTCTCATCATTTGTAGAACCAGCCATGGTGACTATACAATCGGCATAATCAATATCATCAACAGATAAAGATGTTGTTCCATCTGCTCTTTTAACTATACCACCTGTTCCCTGAAATATATCAAACACATTTGGTAATACTAGATGGGCAATGTCACCAGGTTGAGCATTACCAGAGAATTTGAATGAGAATATTCCATCAAAGGCCGGAGCCATTGGGATTGAGGCGGTGTAATATGAATCGAGATCCACATATGATAATGGAGGCATTGAAGTATCAAACACGCCGTATATAGTAGTTGGTCCACTTCCCGAAGTTGGAGAAGATTCAGCACTGGTAGTTATACTACCATTTGTTGATGGAATTGAATTTGAAGCTATGGAAGACGAACCTAACGTAGTTCCTGAGATCGATATTGGTACACTTTCTGAAGATACACCGGAAGTAAATAAGCTTGATTCAATAAAGGATGAAATTATAGAAATAGAACTGGAGGAAATAAAAGTAATAGACGGACTAGTGGAACTTATAGAAATAGGTGGACTTGTTGAGATGGATATTGAAGATGAATAAGATGAACCACTTGATTCATTGGATGTGAAAGATGTCGTTAATGAAGTGGTGATTGATTCAATTGAACTAGGACTACTGGATGATTCACTCAATATAGTAGAAGCACTAGTGGAAGAGATACTGTATTCGGTACTAGTGCTTATCGATGCAGTTCTAGAAAGAGTCTCTGATAATAGAGAAGATGACGGGTATGATATTGTCGAGTTGGAGTATGGGGTGATAGTTAATGAGCCTGATTGGGAACTTATAGACGTAGTTGAAGTTGAGACATATGATGATGGAATTGAAACCAGTGGAAATGATGATATAAATGATGATAAGGTATTGGAAGTTATTGTACTAAATGAGGAGATGGCGGATGGTTGTATAGAAAAAGGAGTTGTGGTTGAAGTAATTAAAGAAGAGGCCGAAGAAGGAGTTATACTAGTAGTTGATTCTATAAGCGATGTTGTTGATGAAGAAAATTCGGAATGTGTGGATGATGTTATCATTGAAGATGTTTCTGCATTTGATAATAGAGCAGAAGATGGAAAAGATAAACTATTTGATGTCAGCGATGAAGAACCAGGATTAGACGAAGCAGTAGAAATTGAACTTAAAGTATTGGATGATAAAGCAGTTTCAGAAATATTTGACAATGTTGATGCTGACTGAGAAGTTGAAGATTCTGTAGATGAAGCACTCGTTGATTCAAACGTACTGGATAATGAAGAACTGGATAATGAAGTACTGCTTGACGGTAATGAGCTATTGGTGGCTTTAGAAAGTGACGATATAGAAGAAGTAGACAGTATCGAGCTACCTGATGACGACGAACTACTATTCAGTGACATTCCAATGGAGGATGATGACGGTGAATATATGGAAGAAGACCTTCTTGAAGAATATGAAGAAGTGCTTGAAGAATATGAAGACCTTCTTGAAGAATATGAAGAAAACCTTGAAGGGGAAGAAGAAGAAGAAGCAGAACTAGAAGAAGTAATACTAGAAGAAGAAGTAGTTGAGATAGAACTTGGAAATATTGGCAATTCAGTAAAAACAGAACATCCAAGTGGTATACCAGGATTTGGTGGTGGATCGGGATAATAAACCCCATACAGTCCTAATTGATTGTTAATCTCCGTTTCAAAAACCAAAGAGTTATAACCTTGACCAATATCAAAATCTTGACATCCTTGACCAGACGAACAAATGGTTAATATTCCCAGTTCATCATAATTTATGCTTTGAAGATTATCATCTAGAGCTATGATATTACCATTTCCAAATCCTGCAACTGTGATGGTTTCGGTTCCGAATGCAGGATAAACAATGATCATGGATTCATCACCTGCCAAAAAGAATGTTTGACCTTGTAAATATGACAAAGGACTGGTTATTTCCATGATTCCTTGTTGTTGAATTGTAATACAACCCACACCATTGATTTCTGATACTTGATAGAATCGTTTATTATAAAGACAAATTTGACCATTATTTGTAAAAGTACCGTCTAATATAACAGAATCAGGATTAGAGAAAGCTTGATAAAATGTCATTAAACCATTATTAATTATGGAAGAACCTGAGATATAATTTGCACCTCCGTTCGTAATGCCGCTATAACCTAAGAACATTTCTCCATTATTTATAAATGAATTCGTAGCTGAAATATAAAAATAATTAGCAAGAAACGAACTGATAGTTTCCAAAGTAACTGAACCATTATTGGTAAAATCACCAAGTTGGTTACATAATGAGAATTCTGCACTACCCAGATAGATCAGATCATTAATATAAAGATTTCCTCCAGTTTCAATGATGATGTCTCCCGCAATCGATACTTCTGTAACACCAAGAATTGCCAAATAAGTATCATCATAAATTTGTACACCACCACTAGATATTTCATAGTTATTATGTACAATTGTATCCAGGGAGATTATAACAGCTAAAGCTGTAGAGATATGAAACACTAAGGATAATAAGATAGTAATTCCTCTCATAGTTTTGCTGTAATTATGAATGAAATCATTCGACGAAGTTAAAAAAAAGAGGCTATAGTGCTACATCAACCATTTTAACTGAATATTTGAACTATGTTATCGCCAAAAAGGAGTTGTTTAAGCCTCTCTCGTACGGTTTAATTTTAATTTAATAACTGATTCTGAAGTAAAACCCCTCATAAAGTTGTAAAAAGAGATATCTGAAAATTATTTTCTTTCTCACTTCCCCAATAAAAAAACGAAGATCCCTATAAAATAAACTCTTAAAAAATATATATAACTTTAGGTTAAAATTGTTGATTTTAGGTCAAGTTGAACCGATTGAACCAATCAAGTGGCATATGTTGCGGATTCTGCATCTCAATATCCTATTTAATAATTAAAGGGGGATAGTGCAGATTAACTACCCTTCTTACTTAAATTAGTTTAATTCCAGATTTGGGACAATTTTTATTTTTTACAATTTTTTTTGGTCCTGCCGGACGCCTTGCCACAATTAAATATTAACACATTTTAATAGTATTTAGTTTTAATTGGTTTATGAATACGACAAATGAACATGAGTGGTTTCTGGAAATTAGAGAAACTATTACTTATATGTGTCATTCAATTCAACTTATTGCGAGTTTTTTCAAGTATGGTGAAGTTACTCTTATCGTAACTATCCATGCCTAAGAAACTTAAGATTCTAAGACACTTTTTACATATTGTGATATATTCATAAATTCTTTTGAGCAATAGCCACATATGTTCATCTACTAAAGTTAAATTCATATAAACTTCAAATGATACAGGAATTTCATGCCTCCGGTCATTGTCTCTAATAAATTATAAAAACTCAAATTTAAAAGTAATTTAAAACGGAAAGTATTATTATTACCCACATTAGAATTAAGATTATAATTAAGATTATGATTAAGATGTAACTTTCAGCGCTCCGAATTATTAACTTACTGTGAAAAAAGAATTAGCTACGAAACCAGAAAATATTATATGTATATTTACTTTCAATTACCAATTATAGATATTCAGGTAAACCATGATTGTTGACGCTTTTAAGCAGTATAATCTCGGAATATAATTTAATCTTGACATCTTTATTCAAAGAAGTCAACAATCAAAATGATTAATTTAGATAATGGATGATAATAATAAAGTTAGCAAAAATGTGATAGAATACTGGAATCTATTAGCAGAGCCTTCGACGGGACTAGTTTGTGGGACCACTGAAGCCGTTGAACTAGTAGTAACTAAAGGAATAGTTCCAACTTCAGTGGCGAACACCTCTGTGGCATATACATTATTAGCAGTGGTAGTAGTCTCATACGTAGTTGGAACTTCTTCTACAGAAATTGTTGATTCAATAATTATGATTGAACCTTTTCTTTCCGTTGTAATTTCTACAAGGGTTTCACCTACCTTGGTTTCAGTGACAACTTCAGTTGTTGGCGCAACATTTTGAGTTTCAATAGCAGCAACAGAAGTAGGAGTTGAATTTGACATTTTAGCTGTGACTGTAGTAGCAACAATAGCAGTGGTAACAACTTGACCAGGAATGGTATTTGCACCTTCCTCTGGACAATACGTAGTCTCGATGGTGGTTACGATTACTTCAGTAGCTGTGATGGAACTCTCTTCACCAACTGGGCAGAATGTAGTAGTAATATAAGATTTGGTTCCACCACCAACTGTTATACCTGTAGTTTCAGTGGCGACAGGAACAAATTCAGTAAAACTAGTCGTTATAGTTTCTAAAGAAGTGATTGGTACAACAGTAGTCAACGTTTCACTAACTCCATTAATAACAGTTATGATAATCTCTGTAGAACTAAATACGGATGAAGTGGTATATGTACTGATGATAACTGTTGGACTCACACTAATAGTAGAACCCACAGTGACTGATGAACCTGATGATAATGCTACACACGAATGCTCATCATTGAACGTAGCTTGAATAGAACCATCTGTCTCAGCATCAACACTGATGAATAATCTGTACCCAGTTGGAACACCGTAATATGATAGAACAAGAGATGAAGGGCCACATGAAGCAATACTCACACTACTTAATGTTTCATATGTAGTTGGGAAGTACCATGCATTAAGACTATTAGTAATACCTGCAGACCACGATGGGCAGTCAATCGAACCATCGGTCACAGAAATACTGATTTCACCTGATCCAGATGAGGAAGTACAGTTTCCACCTAATACATAGAATGATTCTAAATTATTCCATGGTTGAGGTCTAGAAGCATATACGAGAACGCTTGGATCACCCGGAGATGGACTACCAGCAGCAAATGTGACCGATGAGAAAATATCGTTAAGACCGTCATTGAAGATAATTGGTTGATTGCCAGCAACAAAGGCATTTGCAGCTTGAATATCAGTAGGAGAAGTAGATCCACCAATATTAAGCACCAATGGTAAAATAAGAGATCCACTAACGTCAGGATTGGTAAGTATATTACTATTGACTGTACAGTCGACAGTGGTCTCATCATTTGTAGAACCAGCCATGGTGACTATACAATCGGCATAATCAATATCATCAACAGATAAAGATGTTGTTCCATCTGCTCTTTTAACTATACCACCTGTTCCCTGAAATATATCAAACACATTTGGTAATACTAGATGGGCAATGTCACCAGGTTGAGCATTACCAGAGAATTTGAATGAGAATATTCCATCGAAGGCAGGAGCCATTGGGATCGAAGTAGTGTAGTATGAATCAAGATCCACATATGATAATGGAGGCATCGAAGTATCAAACACGCCGTATATAGTAGTTGGTCCACTTCCCGAAGTTGGAGAAGATTCAGCACTGGTAGTTATACTACCATTTGTTGATGGAATTGAATTTGAAGCTATGGAAGACGAACCTAACGTAGTTCCTGAGATCGATATTGGTACACTTTCTGAAGATACACCGGAAGTAAATAAGCTTGATTCAATAAAGGATGAAATTATAGAAATAGAACTGGAGGAAATAAAAGTAATAGACGGACTAGTGGAGCTTATAGAAATAGGTGGACTTGTTGAGATGGATATTGAAGATGAATAAGATGAACCACTTGATTCATTGGATATGAAAGATGACGTTAATGAAGTGGTGGTTGATTCAATTGAACTAGGACTACTGGATGATTCACTCAATATAGTAGAAGAACTGGTGGAAGAGGGACTGTATTCGCCAGTTATACTAGCGCTTATCGAAGCTGTTCTAGAAAGAGACTCTGATAATAGAGAATACGATGGATATGATATCGACGAGTTGGAGTATAGGGTGATGGTCAATGAGCCTGATTGGGTACTTACAGACGTGGTTATAGTTGAGGCATATGATGATGGAATTGAAACCAGTGGAAATGATGATATAAATGATGATAAGGTATTGGAAGTTATTGTACTAAATGAGGAGATGGCGGATGGTTCTATAGAAGTAGAAGCTGTACTTGAAGTAATTAAAGAAGAGACTGAAGAAGGAGTTATACTAGATGATGGTATACTAGTTGATGGTATACTAGTTGATTCTATAAGCAATGTTGTTGATGAAGAAAACTCGGAATGTGTGGATGATGTTATCATTGAAGATGTTTCTGTATTTGATGATAGAGCAGAAGATGAAGAAGATGGAGAAGATAAACTAGTTGATGGCAGCGACGAAGAACTACTCGATTCACTGATAGAAGCAGGTTCAGACGAAGCAGTAAAACTTGAACTTAAAGTATTGGATGACGAAGTAGTTTCAGATATACTTGACAATGTTGATGATGGCTGAGAAGTTGAAGATTCTGCAGATGAAGTACTTGTTGATTCAAATGAACTTGATAATAAAGAACTGCTTGATGTTAATAGATTGGATGACGATATACTTTCAGAAATACTTGTCAATGTTGATGAGGACTGAGAAGTTGAAAATTCTGTAGATGAAGTACTTGTTGATTCAAATGAACTTGATAATGAAGAACTACTTGATGGTAATAGGCTAACAGTGCCTGAAGAAAGTGAGGATATAGAAGAACTAGACATTATCGAGCTACCTGATGACGACGAACTACTTATCAGTAATATTCCACTCGAGGATGACGAGGATGAATATATCGAAGAAGAACTTGTTGAAGAAGAAGGAGAAGAAGAAGAAGAAGAAGAAGAAGAAGAAGAAGAAGAAGACGTAGTCGAGATAGATCCAGGAAATATTGGCACTTCAGTAAAAAGCGAGCATCCAACTGGTATACCAGGATTTGGTGGTGGATCGGGATAATAAACCCCATACAGCCCAAACGGATTATTAATCACCATTTCAAAACCCAGAGAGTTGTAACCTTGACCAATATCAAAATCTTGACATCCTTCACCAGAGGAACAAATGGTTAATATTCCCAGTTCATCATAATTCATGCTTTGAAGATTATAATCTAGAGCTATGATATTACCATTTCCAAATCCTGCAACTGTGATGGTTTCGGTTCCGAATACAGGATAAACATTAATCATGGATTCATTACCTGCCAAAAAGAATGTTTGACCTTGTAAATAAGACAAAGGCTTAGTTATTTCCATGATTCCTTGTTGTTGAATTGTAATACAACCAACACCATTGATATCTGCATTTTGATATATTCGTTTATTATAAAGACAAATTTGACCATTATTTGTAAAAGTACCTTGTAAAGTGACATAATCATCATTAGGTAAAGTTTGATAAAATATGATTAAACCATTATTAATTATGGAAGGACTTGAGATATAATTCACACCTCCGCTAGCAATGCCGCTATAAGCCAAGAAAATTTCTCCATTATTTATAAATGAATTCAAAGGTGTAATATAATAATAACTAGCAAGAAACGAATTAAGACTAACAAATGTAACTGAACCATTATTGATAAAATCTCCAAGCTGATTACATAGTGTGATTGCCAAATTATTAATATAGGTCAGATCATTAGTATAAAGATTTCCTCCAGTTCCGATGATGACATCTCCTGTAATTGTTGTTCCTGTATCATCAAGAATTGCCAAATAAGTATCATCATAAATTTGAACACCACCACTAGATATTAAAAAGGTATTATATACAACTGTATCCAGGGAGATTATCACAGCTAAAGCTCTAGTGATATGAAACACTACGGATAATAAGATAGTAATTCCTCTCATAGTTTTGCTGTAATTATTAATGAAATCATATCAAGAAGTTGAAAAAAAAGAGGCTATAGTGCTTCTTAGACCATTTTAACTAAGTATTTGAGCTGAGTATTTGAACTATCTTCTTTTCTCGTATCTATCCACCAAAATGGGGTAGTTTGAGCCTCTCTGATACGCTTTAACGGCAAATTTTACTGGTTCTGAAATAAAAACCCCTCATAAAGTTGTAAAAAGACATAACTGAAAATTATTTTCTATCCCCATTCCCCCAATAAACAATGAGATACGAAGAATCCTATAAATAAGCTCTTAAAAAATATATGTATGATAAATCATACTTTACGATAAAATTGTTGATTTAGGCCAAGTTAAAGCGAATCAACCAATCAAGTGCTATAGATTACGGATTACTCATTTCAATATCCTGTTTGGCATATAATAAAAAAGGGGGTAGTGCAGTGGAACTACCCTTCATACATGAATTAGTTAAATGTCAGATTTGGGACAATTTTTATTTTTTAAAATTTTTCTTTGGTCCTGCCGTCCGCCTTGCCACAATTGATTATTAACACATTTTAATATTATTTAATTTGATTTGGTTTATAAATACGGCGAATGAACATAAGTGGTTTCTGGAAATTAGAGAAACCACGACTTATATGTATCATTCAATTCAACTTATTGCGAGGTTTTTCAAGTACGGTGAAGTTATTGTTATCGTAACTATTGATGCCCACAAAACTATAATGCTAAGAGTCTTTTTTGCCTGTAATTATGATGAATTCATAAATTTCTTTTAAGCAATAGCCACATTTGTTCAACTACTAAAGTTGAATTCATATAAACATCAAATGATACATGAGTTTTCTATTAAGACTGAAATATACATAGTCATTATTAGATTAATGGGGGTATAATTCAAATTTTGCAACAATCACAATGAAATTCACTATATGTTTATATGCACACTATATAAACACGTGACTCGATTGGCGCCAAGACATTAACTAAACGAACAACTTTTTTTTATTGTGAGAGGCTGAAGTATGCAGGATCGAGCCATAATTAAGAAAAAAACGATACAACAAGTACAACAGTTACTGAAATAACACCAAATTTTAAGTTAAGACCAACAAATCATTATATGTAAAGGTGTCATTAGACCGACGATATAAACTCAATATTGATCACAAGAGTTATAATGACTCTTCCGTCAATCAAAGACGGGCGGTACTTAAAAAAAAAGCATAAATGTAAACAAAATACTACAATTATAGCTACTGTAAATATTTATAGATTATACTTTTCATGGATTATGAGCTTAAGATTTAAACTAAAACTGCTACTGCTCCTCCTCCTTCTCTTCTTCTGTTACATACTTGTGGTTTCTTCTTTTCAAATATCGTTCAAGTTATATTTTTAAATTAATTTATTATATTTATACCATTTTCTCTTCTTTCTTCTTCTTCTTTCTTCATTATATATCCCCCTCCTTCATTATAAGCCATTAAATTTTTCAGTTCCCACTCACCTCACTTTTTGTCTGTCTGATCATAAAGTGTCTGTTTTTTAGAATTTTTTTGTCTGTCTGTCTGTCTGGTTCAAATTTAATCTTTTTTTGTCTGATTTCCAAATAGTCAGTCAGTCTCTCCCTCCCTCCCCACCAATCCTCCTCCTCATTTTCCCCTTCCCATCAAATTAAAAAAACAACAGCCTTATCAAAATGCTCAAACCAAATCAAAATACTAGTAGAAGCAATTCAAGTTTACTTTTGGAATCAGAGAGATTATTGATCATCCAGAAATCAATGTCAAACAGAGGTAGATCTTTATCACCTACCGCAGGTAATAATAATGCCAGTCGTTCATCGTCTGTTTCAAATGAAGATTATAATAAGGACTTGAAATGGTCAATCACCAATCATGATCCTCTGGAACGTCTCGTCAAACATTCAGATGTAGTCTCATCATCCAACGACACTAATAATACGACCACCAAGAATACTGCCAATGACTTGAATGATTGGGAAAATGAAATCAGTGATGAAGAACATATCAGTGACGATGATGCTAATGAAAAATTTCAATATGATGATACCGGTAACATTTTACCAAATTATGCATGTCAAGATGAAAAAATTAATGAAATTAGTTCTATATTAGAAAATTCAAATTTAAATGATCAATTAACTATAAAGAAATTAGAAGAATTAACGGCTAGTGAAAGAGCATTTGCAAATACAAAAAATATTGGTGGAACTATTGATCGAGAAATTTTAAATAAATTAGCTAGTGATAAACAGAAATTAACTGGTTTAGAAACTCTTGATTTAAATAAATCAGATCAAGATGCTTTAGCAAGAAGACAAAAATTAGAAAATTATCAAAGATATAGAAGAAAAATCATTGATCAAGAAAATGGTGCCACAAGTCCACCTCCATCATCTGGTCCAACCACTACATCAACCACATCTGCATCAGCCACTACCACAACAAATACAACACCAGCACCAGTCATTGTCACTACCGATACAACCACAGGTGAAACCAGTACCGCCACCCTCACTACAAACGTCGATGATGATGATTTCTTAATTCCATACACTTCCGCAGTTGAAGATAAATTAGATAGTGAATTTGCATCTCAATTAAATGAAACCATTGTAGAAGGTGAAATTGATAGTAATAAAACTCATTCAAGAGTGATTCAAACCATCGTTAGAGGTAATTTCTTTCAATTAATCAATCCAAAAGTCAAACCTAAAATGTTCTTAGTATGTATGGATTTCTCCCCTGAATCAATCTTTGCCTTAGAATGGTGTCTTGGTACAGTTTTAGTGGATGGATCAGTCTTATTCATTGTCTACGTCATTGAAGAAAATGATAATAATCATAATTTAAAAGGAAACACTCAAAATGAAAATACTCGAGAACAATATCGATTAAATATGTTGAATAAAGCTAAACAACAAGTATTAAATTTATTAAAATTAACCAAATTACAAATCCACATTGTCATTGAAATCATCCATCATCCAATCCCTAGACATTTAATCCTTGAATTCATTGATAATTTACAACCTACCTTAGTAGTAGTTGGATCAAAAGGTCAAAGTGCTATCAAGGGAGTATTATTAGGTTAATTATCAAATTATTTAGTAACTAAACTGTCAGTGCCTGTTATGGTGGTTAGAGAAAAATTAAAGAAAATTAATAGATTTAAATCTGGTTCTTCAGTATTTTCTAATAATATTAAACCATTAACTTTATCAGAAGCTAGAATTGATTAAAGAATGGTTTTCTCTTGTGTTATATATATATACGTGATTATTCTCCCCTTATTTAAACATTATATCTTTCCCTTTACCTTATTTATTTATAGTCTCTTTTTATTTTAAACAACCCTAATGAATACATACAAACGTTTATATTAGCCTAATCTTCAATGTTGTCTACGATTAATCCAGGTATACATAAGAAAACAATTTTATAAGAATATATATAAAAAATTTACCAGGTAAAAAACATAAACAAAATAGAAATGAAAAGAGAAATAAAGAAAAAAAGGACCAATAATATATACCTTTTTAAACCAAAAATGTCCAAACCTAAAGAAATGAATAAAAACCAAATAATGATAACAGATAAACTAATCTAATAATACAATTCTGTAAAACTCTTTGGCGTTAATCGTTTTTGACAATCCTTCGCAGCACATGAATGAGGAGCATATACTTGAGGGTTATGAATCGTATACCCTGAAGGAGTTGATTTTGTCTTTCGAGGTCGATTACCGATATTTTTAACACATCTTCCACAATATACATGACCACATTTCGCCACAAAGATTCTCTTTGATAATTCAATATCAACGGGTGAACATTGAGTTATACAAAACCATGGAGCATTAACACGATATTGTTGAACATATTTTTGATAATTTTCATTATATGCGATATTAGGTTTAAAATCAGATGGAATACCTTCTCCTAATATAATAGCACATACTTCACAACATAAATTGGATGAAGACTTAATATCATTCACATAACCTGATTTTTCTTCTTTGATTGATTGTTGTTTATCTTCCAAAATCCGTTTATTGAAATTACGTTCTCGAGTAATTCTATTATCTAATTCATGTTCATTATCTCGTTCAATTCTTTGCATGATGGAATTTTCAGTCTCATCAATTTGATTTTGATTTAATCCTCGATCTTCAAACATTACTAAATTATGTAATTGTCGTATATGATTCAAAGCTTGATTGAAACTAAAAGCTTGATTGAAATATCTTCCTGATGCTCTTGGAATTGTTCTTAAATGTCGGAAATTAGTAGGTCTAACAGGAGGTCCAGCAAATGGAGTTGGGGATGCCAGATCAGGATTATTATTACGATTGATAATCACATCATCAGTAGCAAAACTGACTCTGGAATTGTTGTTGATGTTATTATTTAAAACATTATGTCTTGTTCTATGCCTATGTCTAGGGATAATTTGATCACCATTAGAAATTCTAACGCGATGAATATGGTTATGACTTTGACTATTGGCACGGGTATTGTTATGTTGGGTATTGATAGGAGGTGTAGGAATTGGACTTCTACTTTGACTTTGATTGTTATGATTATTGTTATTAGGTAACGGAGGTGATATTGCAGTTACAGGTGCATCAAACATATTTGATAAATAAGGAGCAAACACTTGATTAAAATCAAAATGAGCTGAAAAAATATCATCATTCTCATTCATTTCAACATTATTAAGTGGTAATAAAGATGATAAAGGTCTGAAATCGGTGATTTCAATCTCATCATCTGCTTCAACCCCATCAGTATCTAATGATGATGGGGGTCTAGGTGAATCTCTTCTTCTGGTATGGGATGATATAATGGGTATAGGGGTATTTAAAGGCACAGGGTTATTATTTGATCCCGTGATTTGAATATCATCATCGTCATCGTCTTCATTATTTCGTTGTTGTGATTGAGATTGACTGTCTTGCATAAACGAATCATTATCAACGTCCACTACTCGTGGAGGATGACGACGAACTTCAGTTACTTCCACATCTTCATCGTCATCGGATGATATTTCGATCACATCGTTTGGATTATCGTCATTAGGGATAGTGATGGATGGCAAAATTAGTCCATTGTTGACTAAGGATTCTGGCATACCTTCATTATCTCTTACAGGTTGAGATCTAATTTGTTGTTGTTGATGTTGTTGAACTAGTTGATCTTGAGGTTGATTTTGACTTTGGTTCAGGGTCTGACCTTTCCGTTGGTTAGGTCGATGATCACCTCCCAGCCTCGGTATTGAATCCATCTTATCTGGTTGTTTCTTCTAATGTCTATATAAGCAGCAGATCCATAAAAAAAAACTTGAAGGACTTCCACAAATAACACATACAAAAAAACCAATCAAACAAAGCTTATTTCACTCTAGTCTGGACGTGTATTCTAATTCAAGTGATGATACTAGACGTGTATAGATGTAATTATTGATCTATGATAAACCAGTGATGGGTGGCAACAACAAGAAAGGTGTAATAGTTAGAGATATTTGTACCCCCAATAAATTTAGAATTATTAATTTCATTTCTTTTTTTTTTACAAATCGCACCTTTTTTTTGTAAACAGTGTCTAAAAATGGGATTTTTGTTACGCTTCTCATAAGCTTTCCTAATTGGGAAGTCTACAACTTTAATGGTATTATTTTAACTGTAAAATGTGTGTATGTAAATATTTCAAAATAATTAATATACAAAAATCGTTCTAAACTATATAATAGAACTTTATAAACCGAGAAAGAAACAAAAGCTAAAGGAAATATGGTGAACAGCTATGTTCGTTGATAATATATGTATGCATAAATGGGTGGGTAGGTGTGATTTGTATGTAATAGGGATTGTATGCTTTTTTTTTAAATGATGATGCTTTATTTTAATTATTTGAATTAATTGATAAATTGATTAACTATTAATTAATTAACTTATTTCTTTAATCCACTTCTCATATAACGACCAACAACAATACAATGATCTCTTTCATAAGGTTCTAAAGTTAATTGTTCTAATGGTTTTATTCTTTCTTCTCTTAATTTTTGAACTTCTCTAGCGAAAACAGTTTCAGCATCAACAGTTGAATCAATACAGTTAGCTTTAATAGAAATAACAACGGTACCTTGATCTTTTAAGAATAAATGAGAGTTTAATGCAATAATACGAGCTTGATCAGGTTGAGCAACATCAGCAAAAACAGCATCAACCATACCAATTAACATTCTATATTTTTGAGGATGACGAGCATCTTCAATAATTGGAATAACATTTGGTCTCTTTTTAGCCATACCAATTAATTCTCTACCTGGTCTATGAGAAAATTCAACGGCATAAACTAAACCTTCTGGTCCAACAACATCAGAAACATGAGAAACAGAAGTACCGGAAGCAGCACCTAAATATAAAACTTTTTTACCTGGAGCAATACCTAATTCATCAATACCACCCATAATACCAGCAGCCAATTTAGATCTGAAAGGATTCCAAACACGATATTCAATTTTAGTTGGAGCAGCACCTTCTTCTTTGGCAGCTTCTTCAACAGTAACTCTCTTTTCACCATAAACTGATTCACCTGGAGCAAGATTTCTAGTAACTAATAAATCTTCTTTACCTCTAGCAATGAAAACACCAGCATGTCTATGTGGTTCAATGACAACTTTAGCACCACCTCTGGCACCACCTCTAGCACCACCACGGCCACCTCTAGCACCACCTCTGGCACCACCTCTTGGACCACCTCTACCGGCACCAAATCCACCTCTACCACCTCTTGGGGCACCACCGAATCCACCTCTTCCACCTCTGGAGGCACCACCGAATCCACCTCTGGATCCACCTCTGGCACCACCACGGCCACCACCGAATCCACCTCTTGCTGGACCACCTCTACCTCTTGGAGCACCGAATGACATTATTTGATTATGTATATAGGTATGAAAAGTATATATTTGACTTAGAGTTATGAAATCTAATTAAATATATTTGAAAATTCTATAATTGTTAAATAAATCATTTGAAAATCTATATAATAAATGTAAAAAAAATTTTCGTCTCATATAAAAATTTGGGATGCGACGCCGGGTAAGTTTTGGTAAGTTTTTATGATTACGTAAGAAATGAGTGCTTAACTATGTGATGTATTATATAATCGTGCGTTTTATAAATATGTTATATATGGAGAAGTTTAATCATCAATTGAGTTGAATATTAATTAGATAGTGTATATATTTAAGTATCTTCATGCAATAATGGAAGGATTAGGTTTTACATGATATAAATTATATGAAAATTGATAATGTGGAAGTAGTATTTTCATACATGTTTACTTCTATTACTGTCAAATTATAAATTATAATAGGTAAACCATCATATTATTAACCAAATTTCTAGAATTTTTCAAGTGTAATATGAATATACATATAGATTAATGTTATATATCCACTTTAATTGAATATTTAATTTATAATGGTTGATTTAAATCAAGTTAAAGTTGATTTCTCCAGATTTAGGTTGATGACCATCATGCGGCTCAGATCTGGTTATCGCTATTAAATCAATTTTTATCGTGTGCTTGATCATGTGACTGTATGTCGTAAAAAAATGACATAATTTTTATGACATTTTTTATATGAAAAGAGGAGACACAAAAATATTACCTGTTTGAGCCTTCTAAGGACTAGGCTAAAACAACGCTGAATTTGAATTACTATTATAAATAAATAAATATATACAATTGTTTTCTTTCTTTCTGTCATTATTACTTATTGGAATTATAGAATATGTCGTCTTCAAGTTTATATCTTATAGTGATTGGTACATTAGTTACTGGAGCTGCTAACTCATTATTCACTAAATATCAAGATAATCAATGTGTTAAAAATTGTCAAAATCCTGATATTTCAACTCATAAAAATTTTGAACAACCAGGTATTCAAACTTTTCAAATGTTCATCGGAGAATTCGCTATGATATTCGTATATTATCTTTTATATAAATCGAGATTTGCCATTGATAATCATAGAGGTTATACTCCGATTGAAGGTGAAGAAAATCAATTACAACATGAAGAACGAGAACAATCTAAGTCAAAAACTTTTTCATTATATGAAGATTGGAAGTTAGCTATCCCAGCTGCTTGTGATTTATGTTGTACTACATTATTAAATATCGGATTGGTATATACTCCGGTATCGATTTATCAAATGACAAGAGGGTCAGTGGTTTTATTTGTGGCTATTCTTTCGGTAATTTTCTTAAAGAGAAAAATCACAAAATTAGAATGGATTTCATTATTTTTTGTTAGTTTAGGAGTGGCATTAGTTGGTTTAAGTGGTTCAAGAAATGCTGAATCGTCATCCTCATCATCGTCAAATGTATCAGGATTAATTATCCTTGGTATTGTTTTAATTATCGTGGGTGAATTATTACAAGCATTCCAATTTGTTATTGAAGAACATATCTTAGATAAACATCCTATTATCCCTTTACAAATAGTCTATTCCGAAGGATTCTTTGGATTCACCATCTTATTAGTCGCCATGATAATCCTTAGTATCATTGTTGGTTCAATCCAATCCCCTGAACAATTTGCTGATTCACCATTTAATCTTGTAGAAGCTGTTTCACAAGTGGTTCATTCTAAACAAGTTCTTTTCTCCTCCATTTGCATTATGATATCGATTGCAGTATTCAACTATTGTGGTATAACTTTAACTCATGTCTTATCAGCCACGGCAAGATCAACCATTGATACCTGTAGAACCTTATTAGTTTGGATATTAGCTATTATAATGGGATGGGAACAATTTCATTTTTTGCAATTTTTAGGATTTGCAGTATTAGTATTTGGAACATTATGTTTCAATGGAATTTTAAAACCAGAAGAATGGTCATTTATCCCACAATGGTTGAAAGAAGATACAACTCCTGGTGAAAGATTAATAGATGTGGTTGATGAACAAATTGAAAGAATGTAATATATAGAACTATAATAAAAATCAATTTACATAGATAACTTTCCTGTATATAACATAATCCTCCAAAACTGAACAATTTTTTTTTGATTTGCCTCACAAAAATATCAAAGTGGCAATATATGAATTGAACTACATTGATAATCAATCTAATATTGGATTACATTCATACTTATATATAACGCGTTAACATAATGGTATGTACTATATATAATCTGATTGGGGTGAATAATCATTGATTCAATTAGATTGAATGAATTGATGAACTTCATTATCAGTTGAGATAAACAATATACTAACATTTAACCTTTAACTTTAGTCATTAAGATTAATTCCTGATAATAAACAATCATCACAAGTCAGTTCCACTGCATTTGGTACTCCAGCAGAACATGCTCCTGGATTACAAGATATTTTAAAAACTCAAGAAGGTCCATTAAACATTGCTTCCAAAGTGAATAATCGTCATCCATTAGAATCAAGAATAACCAATTGGGAACAAACTCAATATGAAACCAGACTTGAAACTTATAGAAGAGTATTTGGTGCCGGTGAACCAATCAGAAGAACGATGGAATTACAATTGATTGAAGCTACTGATTTTAAACCAAGTGTATTGGGAGGATCCGATACTATGCATAAAGATATTCTTTTAAATAAAGATACCAGTGTTAATTGGGAAGATATATATAAGGGAGAGTTTGAAAGTGGTAATAATGTCAAGGATTTCCATACTGAATTAGAAAATAAGGTTGGTATTTAGGTAAAAGATGTGATAATGAAATAGAAATAAACAGATATAATTATAGTGTAAAATGAGATAATTGATGATTAATGTAGAAATGAGTGAGGGTTGGAATTGATTATGAGGTATAGTTACTGTTAACTACGATATCATATACATTATCAACCTAATACCAGTAGTACCAATGGGAAATGATTCAATTTATTTAGCATTATAAAATTTTAATCCACAAAACAATTCGTGTCTCACATTTTTCTGTTTCAACGAGACTAACTTTCTCCATTGAGAAATAAAAAAAATTTTCAGTCTTTTTAACATGGTAGAATTGATATAGAACTTTTCAAATTCATTAATCTTTTAAATTTTATATAGAAGACTATAAATCAACCTCATTCTTATCATTCGTATCATACTCAAAACATGTATTCCAGGACTCGTAAACCAATTGAATCATCATTCAATGGAAATATTCAAGATGAAAACCTAGCTCCATCTAATAATAATACTACTACAGGTAACTTGATTCCAAATACATCCTCCACTATCACTTCTACTACTACCACGACTACTACTATTCCTCCTAATAAAGGAGGGAAACGTTATACTATGAATGAAGTATTCCAAGTATGGTATGATAATAAGGAAGAAATCCTTAATCCTAAATTTGAATTACCAGTACAACATAATGAAAATTATAAACTTAGTAAACCAACTCAAATTTATCATTTGGATTTACAACCAGAAGGGTCAACTGGGGTAGAACCAGAACCACAACCTGAGAAAGAACAATTGCTGGTAGATCAAAAATCATCATTGGATCAATTTCAAGGTCAAGATCAAGGTCAACTCACTAGTTCATTGGATCAATTGGGAATTAATGATTTATCATCATCTGAATCACCTGCTATTGCAAATCCTATCGTACCAAATTCATTCGTGGATAATAATACCTTAGGTAGTAATATAATTCAAAATGGTCCACCAGGAATGAATCAAGGTCCTCCTCCTCCTCCTCCTCAACAAATACCACCTTCATTGACTCCTCCACTTATCACATCTGATAAAATTGAATGGTATTATATTGATCCTCATGGTACGGAACAAGGTCCATTCAATGGTGATTTGATGCAAGAATGGTTAAGTGGTGGTTATTTACATCTTGATTTACAAATCAGAAGAAAGGAAGAAACTACTTATAGAACCGTTAAACAATTATGTGATAGTGTTCAAAATTATGTTCAACCTTTTAAAGTACCACTTATTGATTTAAATGCTCCACCACCACCTCCACCTCAACCATCTTTGATTCAACCTCCTTTCTCTCATCTTCCAAAACAACAATCTCAATTCCAACAATTCCTTTCTGGAAATTCAAGATTAAATAATCCTCAATCTTCATTATTTGGAAATGATTTCATTAATAATGATCCATTTGCAAATCCTTTATCTCAATCAACATTCCAAAATCCAACCACCACCTCCAATCAATTTGGTATTGATACTCTTAATCAACATCATCATCTTCATAATCATCATCAAACTTTTGCTAATCCATTACAATCAATCTTACAACAACAAGTTCAACAACCATCATTATCAAGAAATAATAGTGGTTGGGGTTCAACTGGATTAGATACTACTGGTGGATTTGGTAATAGTAATCCAAGTACTCCAGTTTCAACCACTTTACCCCAAATTAATCAACCAACTCCATTATCTCCTTGGTTAAGTGGTATTCCATCACTGTCTAGAACCAATTCTCCATTCGTTCCTTCTTCAACTAATAATGTGGAAGTTGTTGATGATCAAAAGAATCATCGTGTTACTGATGATCATGTTTTAAACGAAATTCATACTTCTGTCGTAACTGATATCCTAAATGATGAAGATCATCATTTTGGAAAAGAAAAAGCTACTACTACTACTACAGCTGCTGCTGCTCCAGTTGTTTCAGAAAAGAAAGTTAATGCTTCTGCTCCAGTGGTTGAAAAGTCAGTCAAAGGTGATGAACCAAGATATGAATTAAAAGGGGCTCCAATTAAAAAGGAATCTTCAGAAGGTGCTCCAACCAAATCAGTAGTTAAGTCTGCCGTTGCTGCATCTTCAACTACTGTTGAACCAACTCCAGCTCCAAAACAAGAATTGGCTCCATGGGCAGTTAAACCAGAACAAGCTAAACCAAGTTTAACCTTGAAGGAAATTCAAAATTTAGAAGCTGAAAGATCAGAAAAGCAAAAGGCACAATTAAGACTTGAACAACAACAGCAACAACAAGTTCAACAGGTTCAACAATCAAAAGCTTGGGCTTCTATTGATGAACCAGTCATTGTTGAAAAAGCCCCTGCTTTACCAAAGACTTCAAGTTGGGCTAGTAATTCAGCCATTAATTCTCCAGTGGTTAGTAAGAAGACTTTAGCTGATATTCAAAGAGAAGAAGCTGAAGCTGCTGCTGCTGCTAAATTAGCTGGTCGTAGTTCAGCTGCTACTAAGAATTCATTTGCTAATGTGATTGCTAATCCAACTGCTGTTCCAAGGGAAGATCTTGGAGCTTGGACTACTGTTGCTTCTAAAAGAGCTGCTGTTAAGAAACCGCAACCAGTTGCTCAAGTTATTACTAATTCTTCTGCTGCTTCCAAGACTAATCCTCAATTATTACGTTCTGTTTCAGCCACTAAGACTGTAGTATCATCAGTTAATGATACTGCTTTAAGAGAAGAATTTTTAATTTGGGCCAGATCACAAATGACAAATTTATATCCAACTGTTTCCAAGGATGATTTATTAGATATTTTTGTTACTTTACCAGCCACCAGCTCTGATTCATCTCAATTAATTTCTGAAACCATTTATAGTTCATCAGCCACAATGGATGGTAGAAGATTTGCTCAAGAATTTTTGAAGAGAAGACAAAGAGTTGATCAACAAGTTTCAAATCAAGATGAAGAAGCTTGGTCTGCCTCTATTATTTCTTCAGCTAATAAAGTATCTACTGTTGATGAAGATGGTTGGAGTACTAGTGTTAAGTCTAAAAAGAAGAATACTAAGAAATTCTAATCTAATCCAATCATATCTACAGTAAAAAAATATAGTATAGTATATGTATATATAGTAGTTATGTATGAACTTTGTATATATCACAAGAACATCATACAAAACAAAAAGACGGCAAAAAAAATAATTGTAAAAAGAAAAAAGTGCAACTGAAAATTTGACGAATGGGAACAACAACAAATAACAATAACAACAGTTCATCTTCTTTGTTTATACTAATCCAATAAGATAAATTCCAATAGTAGTACTCGTTCGTCATGCCTTGCTTTTTCATAAGTTTGTTTCAATTAGTGATTTTAATTGTATTCCTCGCCATGGGTATTGAAGTGTGGAGAGAAGTTAAACAAACTGCCATCCATGATCATATTTCTGTTTGGAATGCATTTCTACAACAAATAAGTTACAAGATTAATCGTTTAATCAATTAAATAACATAATATAAGAGTGAATACTTTGATTTTTGATTTAACTTTAAGGTGGACCAAACCCACCTTATCCCATAAGAGCTAGATAATAAAAGCTATACAAAAAATGAAAAAGACAATGGAAAACATACCTAAAACCAGAAATGAAACAAATATAACAGAGATTTTAATTATATATACTATAATACAGAAAATGAAATGAATAGAAACTTGAAACTTGAATAAATGAACTTGATTTGACTTTTTTTTAAATGGTTAAAGCATCAATGTTGGGAATATCAACCGAATTAGAATTATCACCATCATAATCGATATTATTCAAAATTTGAGAAATAACGGAGATATTCTCCTTTGGAATCATGATTATACCAGATCTAGCCATGGAGAAATAATTCATTTCAATAGTGGAATCATTATAACTTTTTAACCCATTAATTAATTTACTTGCCACCCCAGCTACAATCCCAGTTGAATCCAAGGGTAAAGTTGAAAAATCAATCGTTATTGGGATGATTATATCTTGAGTTGAACCAATGATGTTTTTTGAATCGAACCCCATTTTGGTTCTTAATTTGGTTGATTTAGGTAAAATTAATGATACTTCATTGATGGAAGTTCTCGTTATGGCGAAATAATCGGGAATTGAATCAAAACTAGATAAGATTTTAGCGGTTTTTAAAATTGAATTATTAACTTCACCAGCTCTTGCTCCTGTTAATAAAAGTTTAACATTTCGATTAATTATCGGTTTAATATTTGCTTGTTTGAATAATTTAAACGTTTTATTTTCTAAAATTTTAGAATCATATTCTTCATCAATATCAATATTATATTCTTGATTATCTTGAGAAGTGGGTGAATTGATTGATAATGGAGAATAATCATTTGATGTCATTATATAACTATTTGAAATATCGGAAAATTCAAAATTCTTTTTAGTTAAGATATTAATTACTTTTTCTTTAAATATATATGGAATTAAAACAATATCATTAAAATGACTTGATAAAAAAAACAATGAGATATTATTTTGGGATAAAGGTTTAGTTAATTCTAAGATTCTTAAACTATTATCAAAACTTCCATCACTATCAACTTGTAAACTTAAGAAATTTTGATCAATGATTTTTACATCATCATAATTTAATGATTTACAAATCTTTATAGGATTTTTGAAATAAATTTTCATTAATTTAGTTGAACAAATAATAGTACATTCCAAAGGAGTTAAAGCGATATGAAAGAAATAATTTGATTCTTCATCTTGATTATCTTCATTATCAGAATATGAAGTTTCAAGTTGTGAACCATTACTATTTCTATGACGATGATGGAGATGTGAAGATGATGGATTACTGGAAGTATTTGATATGAGATTATCATAAGAATCATTTGATTTAACTTTACTTGAATTATCCACTGATGGACGATGAGGGGTAGATTTATTAGAATCATCTTGAGTTGAATTAATTGAATCTTTTCGATTAATATTGGAATCAGTAGATACACTTTCATCATCAATTTCATTAGTATCTATTTCATCATTTTCATCATCATAAGTATTATTATTATTATTATTATGATGGACAACAACATCATCATCAATGTCACTACTATCATCATCTGAATCATCTTCATCGTCGGTGATTTCCGTGTTATATCCACTTGAAGTCTTGGAAGATTCATTATATAATAATTGTAAGATTGAACTTATAAAGATCCAATATTTATCTCGAGGTATCGATAATATCGATAGTTTTGTAGGGTTTAAATGAACTTGAGTATTCATAATGAGGGTGTATGTATAACGATTAAGTGAATAGATGAGATGAATAAGTTATCATTGATAAACTGAAAGAATTGTGGATGTTGGGATAACTAAATATTATATTTTATAATAATTTAGGAATTTGAGGCTTGGTGATACTTTAGTAGGGACTATGTTTCAAGATTAACTTCGCACAGAGGTTATACTTTGTGTTAGATAGTTAATGATTTGCAGTTGACAGATAAGATCAAGAAGGGATGAAATGGAATGAATGGGTTAAATAAGGAAAGAATGGAATAATTGATTTGAATCAAAATGTTCTTAATTGAAAAATAAAAATAATCCACACAATTAAATTTATAAAAATTTTCTATTGTCTTTATATACGTACAAATATATCAAATCAATCAGACAGACAGACAAAAAAAAAAAGGGTGAAAAAAAAAAGCTTTTTTTTTTTTTTTTTTAAAGAGTGTGGAGTTTGAGTCATACAACGTAACCGGAAAGGAAAGGTGTGTGTATATTGCTATCTATTTAATAAAATAGATTTATAAACTTTAATGTGGGTTAATGGAATTGATCTAAAGTATTATTGGTTCGATAGACATATAAACTCTCTTTAAAAACTCTATTCAGTTTCAAAAATTGTCTGATTTGATGTTAAAATGTCTTAATGTTTAATATGATCGGACAGACAGACAGTTTATCAAACAGACAGACAGACATAAATAAATAAATAGTGGGGGTACTTTATAATTTATAATTACATTTACTTCTAACCGGTAGAAACGAGGGTAAGGGTACCCTTCCTTTCCGGGTACAAACAGAGAAGAAGAAGAAAAAATCAGTATGAGTAATTGAGGAAGGAGAAAGAGAAAGCGGTATATACCGAACTTATCCGTCGTTTGCCGTCGTGTACTTATGACGAAATCAAATCTACTCTAATTTAACTTTACCCTTGGTAGTTTACTGGGCAGTTTACTATAACTATAATTACTTGGTATAATACTATTACAACTTGATAGACTTTCACTTGGCTTCAACCCCATGTGTCTATATAGGGTAGAATATACACTTTTTAATCTGTTTGCCATATCACTATAAGGACATGGATCACTATTGTTAAGTTAACTTAAACCAACAATTTTATCTATTGTGCTCTCTTACTCATTCTAGTATGAAATATTTGGGCGCAAAAAAAGGGGGGAATACCTGATAAGAACAATATATATCAAACATTCATAACGTATCAACCATTATCACTTTTATCTACTATTGATATTCAAAAACTGACGTTCATAAATATGTTAAAATTCAAATTACGATTTCATTGATGCTCCTGTATCAGATGGTCTGGCAGGCAGGTGCCAGAAAGGCAACTTTAACATCAACTAAAAGAATCAATTGATCTAACTGATTAATATCAAAAAAATGTAGGTTAAAATTTATTATTAGCATAACATAAAAAGTTGCAGAACATTGCTTAGGATAGATTATATAAACTAAATGGTTTTTAGAAACACTGTTAACATCCATACTTAGACCAATATGAAATTTATCATATTCAAATATTTGATCGTCTTTTATTCATTCTTAACCGTAGCTTATGCTATGGGTGAAGGATATGAAGAGTTGACTGCTTATTCAGGTGATAGTTTGGGTGACTATAATGTATATTTTATTGACATCGAACCAATTACGGTTGAACCAAGAGAATTTCGTGACTTTAATGCTGACATTGACCTGATAGTTATAGAGTGTATTAACTTTTGGAATCTTACTACAGCTGTTGAGATTAAAGGTAATGGTGAATATTTATATTCATTACGTTCAGATGATGATGAATTTGAATATTCTGATGGAACACTTGATTACCTTCATGATTCTGAATTTTTACTGTTTAACTGTCAATCTTATTAGTTTCGTTACCTTCAGGTTTAAACTAAGTCATATATATTGTGATAAGTTCAAATTGAAGAAATTAAATAACCCAATTAATATTAATCATTGTTTCACTATAAAACACAACTGATATTACCAGGTATGCCATTACTATCCGCATCAGTATTGGTAGGCGCAAGAAAGTGGGGGCAATACCCGAATATTATCAAATATGTTCGTAACGTATGGTTGCAAGTACAACCGAATCAATATAATAGTGTGTCTTATTTGTTTTCTATATTTAATTGTAAAAAATATATATACGAAATATTGTAACTGATAAACTTATCTATATATTAGCTAAATTTTGACGTTCATAAAATGTTTCATATAATTCAATAGCTTCCTTTTGAGATTCAATTGAACTTTCAATAAATATTTCCACACTATTTCTAAAATTTTCAATTTTTTCAATTTCAAAATTATCAATTTCTTGTTTAATTGTTTCACTTATAGTTTTAAAATTTGTTTCATAAGTAGTTGATTTTTGCTTTAATTTATCAACTTCAAATTGTAATAATGATAACTTTTCTTGTTGAGTACTACCATATTTTCGATTCAGTTTATCTAATTGTTGTTGTTTTTTAATATATTCTTGATTAAAAGTATAATATTGTTGATATATTTTTGATCTGGTTTCAAATACAAATTTAATTGATCCAATGATTCTTAAATATTCTTCAATCGAAAATCCTAATGTTAATTGATCTTGTAAATTAACTCGATCTAAATTATCTTTAATTTTAAGTTGAACTTCACTAAATGATCCTAATAATTCAGTACTTAATTTCAGAATTTCTAATTGTGATAATTCATCCAAGGTTAAGGATATTTCTTCATAAACTCCCACTAATAAATTCCGTTGATTTCCAATTAATTCAATGGCTAAATATAATTGTTTTAAATTATATTCTAATTCATCAATATAATGTTTCTTTTCAATAAAATATTCATCAGGTTCATTGACTTTAGTAGCAATTGAAAAAAATGATGATAAATACCCAGTATTTGAAGTTGAACTTATAATTGGGGGAATACTTGATATACTACTTCCTGCACTACCAGGTGAATTTGCATCATTAATAATAGTAGCATTATCTAAAAATTCATTATTTTGAGTAGAAGCTCCACTACCACTTAATCTTTCTCTTTCCTTAGATTCATTATTAAAATCTTCACTGGTTAAAAACATAATAAAATCAGCATCATTACATATACCAGATATATTACTAATTTTATTTAACATTTTTTCTAATGATAATCGTCTATTTTCAATAAAACTTTCATTAAATCTTCCAATATATGTTTGTTTTGTAGGTGGAGGTGGAATTATTCTACCAGGATGATTATTTTGTAATTGATGATAAATCCATCTAAAATCTTTATATCTTCTGGATACAATAATATTATCATCAGTCTTGATGGGGAAATTTGTAGATTGAGGATTAGTATTTTTGGTTTTAATAGAATAAACAATATGAGCCGTAGTAATATCTCCAACTTTCATAGGATCTCCTACACTTATAACTAATTTGTTATCAGTTTCAGTTAAGGATGTGATTGATTTAAGGGCAGTATTTGATGATGATCCAGTTGTTGTAGTTGATGATGATGATTGGGGTGGTTTTGGCTTTGCAGCTTTTAATTCTTGAATCTTTTGTTGTTCAGTCTTTTTAGATTGAATCTCATATAATGGACCATCAGCTTCTTTAACTAATAAATCAGCTTTTGTAGATGATAATATGGATGATTTATCATTGTTTGATTTAGAATCATTTAAATTATTGCCCAATGGATCCAAATTAGTATGATTTTTATCAGTGATAGTACTGGGTGATACCACATCTTTACCACCATTTAAAAACTTTGCATTAATTTGACCACTAAATTTCCGAGGTCTAGGAGCTTTAAATAATTGACTATTTTTTAAATTGATCGCTTTCTTAGGGGATACAACTTGAGGAGTTGATTTATTATTATTAGTGACTTTAATGGGACTTGCACCTTTATCATGAAATAAGGATTCTGATGTTGTTCCCTTAGTTGGTGATATGATTGATGATTCTAATAAATTACTTTCCTCTGATCCATGGGTTAATTCAGATAATAAATTTTCAGAATGTTCCTTTCTCTCTTCCTTTTTCAATTCATTCAATTGTTCATATTCAGTTTCTGCTTGTCTATAATTATTAGTTGATTCAAATAAATGATCATTTACGCCGCTCTGAGGTATAGTGTAATCATTAGTTGTAGAGTTATTATTGTTATCATCATCATCGTCGTCATCATCGTCATTTTCATCATTATCATAATCTCCATAATAACTCAGAGTCAAGTTTCTATTAATTGATAAATCATCGAATTGATTAGTTAAACTTGGAGGTATATTTGATGTAGTAGTTGAGGTATTACCAAGTATAGAATGATGAGAATTTAAATTATCAAAACTGGATGATTCATTGTGGGGGGATATAACATCATCCCAATGAGAAGCAGTTAGATCTTCTTGTTCCATTGATTATTGTATTGATGGGGTGGTTGGTGAGTGATGATGATTTGTATTGATAGAATTGTGGTGGTAAGTGGGTGGTGGTCTCCTTTTATGAACATACAAATTTTGAATGGCAGAACAGATCGTTAACATCCATGCCACTGATGTGTGGATGTTTCTGTGCGAGCTCAAAGTGTTGTACAGATTTGTTGCATAGTAGTTAAGGAGGTGTGCACAAACATAGTTCACATAAAAAAAAATGATGGTTCACATAAAAATTTGTTGCACAGATGTTACTCGTAACAATTAATTACTTCTTATGATTTAATACAGAATATTTTAAAACTATTATAGTTTAAAATAGTCATATAGTATTTTTATCCCCTCTGATTAATCTGACATAAATTTAGCACTTTTTCCTTGCTATTTATAGTCAGAATCTTCAGTTTTAGATTTTGAAAAATTGGTGAGATTTTGCAACTTCTAAAGCTAGTGTTCACTGAATCTAAAAGTGTGTTCATTGAGACTTTTAAGAGTTCCTTAGCCTTTAAAAAACACGATAAAGTAAATCAATCTTAAAAATGATCAATTGTAATATAAAATTTTAAAACTTGAGTTCATTGAAATGTTTACCTTTGGAAAAATGCAAAAAACATAAAAATATAAATAAATACACCAATGTTAAAGCTAATCACTTAAAACTACTTTCAGAAGATATATTTGATAGTTTTGATCAAGTTAATATCTTAATATTAAAGGTCGTCACTCTAAATTTTGAAAAATTTAGAAAATAAACATTCATAAATTTTGACATCTTAGCATCAACTGGCGAAAAATATAAGATATCAAATAAGGGAGTGTGGTCTAGTGGTATGATTCTCGCTTTGGGCACGACCTATTAATAGTAGGTAGTTAAACAAATATGCGAGAGGCCCAGGGTTCAATTCCCTGCTCTCCCCTAATTTTTGCTTTTTTGACATTTTAATTATATTACTTGGAGCTAGAGTTCCAAAAGATGCTATGAATCATATTTAACAATCAGATATATATATTGTCAATGAGTTCTACTATGAACAACATCTGTGCAACAGTTGTACAACCAGAGTTATATACAGGTGCTGATACTTTTTTTTGTACTGAAGTTGATATCCACATATATGCAGGATTCTATTTTCTGATTTAATTAATCGAAATATTTGAGACGTGAATATTATTACTATCTCTATATTTAGACTGTTATCAAATTATATTGAATCAAGAGAAATCATGACGATCAAGAGGTATCCCAAGGCCGTTGTATTCGACTTAGATTATACATTATGGCCATGTTGGTGTGATACCCATATCACCATGCCTATCAAGGCTGTTAGTGATAGTCAAATTATAGATCGATCCGGTATGAAATTAGGATTTTTCAAAGATGTTGAATCAATTATCTTAGAATTGATTGATAATAATGTTAAAATCATTGGAGCCAGTCGGACTGCAGCCCCCTATATCGCGGAAGAATTATTATCATTATTACATATTTCAAATACGCCTGCTATTAAATATTTTGATTCATTACAATGGGGGACCGGATCCAAAGTTAAACATATTACTAAAGCTGCTAAACAATTAAATATGGAACTTGAATTGAAAGAGGGGGAGTTTATATTATTTGATGATGAGTTAAGAAATAGAGATGTTAGAAGTATAAATTGTCATTTTGGTCATGTATTTGATGAAGATGAAGGTTTAACTCGGAATATATTTTTAGAAGAATTGAAATTATGGGAACAATCTATTACAACGGGAGAATTTAAGGAAAGTAGATTTAATTTTTAGAACATGAACTTTATAGAAGATAAGATAGATTATTAATAGATCCAAGAATTTATCATAATATATCATGAATATTGATTTGCAACCGCCTTACCTTACTAACCGTTACCAGTTACATTCGATCTCGTATTATTCCGTCAAGCAAATTTTTATTCGTCTCACCGAAATACGGGGAAATAGAGGTAAAGATATGTAATCGGGAAAAGGGATGCAATAGTTGACACGTAAAAAGATACTAAATTGTAGATAGAGACGGTAAAGTAAAGGGTATATATTTAGAATTTGGGCTTATCAAAATATGATCAATGTGGGGGCAACGACGGTTATTTCGAATAAAAAAAAAAAGGAGACAAACAGAATGAATCAAATAACATACAATTAAACACAAAGGTCCAACCCTAACAGTATTCAAGATAATTTTCCGAAATTCTAATGTTGCATCTAGCTTATTCATACGTGGAAAAATGAATAGGGTATAACCATCCCCCACTTATCCTACTCACCGATAGTTAGGTTAGATTGATATACTAATTCGGTAAAATACTACTATATTATACGGGACTGCACATAATGAATTCAACAAAATAAAATTTTTGCAGCTCGGAGGAATACAGTAAAAATGAATTGGGTATAGTATGATGATGAACAGTAGTTATTCATAATTGAAATAATTACTACTATATGGTTAATATTGTTCCGTTTAAGCGTAGGCTGCACATATTTGAAGTGATGGATCGAGATGATTTAGGCTGGTTTTAACCCGAAACATGGGGAGAGCATAATTTGTTTATTCATGGGGGATAACTTCTTATTATAATAAAGTTTACAGGTTCATCCAAGGTCATTCAAAAAAGTTCAACATATGATTGGATGGAAATATCTTTAAATAGTAAATGTGATATTTTTAGTATCTTAACTTTTATAATTAGTACCCACCACGAGTTATTCTAATTATAGTGTACCCTACTTTGAAAAAAACTATATCGTGATGATAGATAGATTATAACGGAAGAAAGCATCATTATTTAGGATAAATAAATCAAAAGTGAAACAAAAAGGGTATACATCCACGGTAGAATAATCGATTGCAAAAAGAAACAACTTACACAAGACATCAATCAAACTGTATAAAACAGAAACCACCATTAAATTTAAAGTTGTATTTTTGAGAGATGAGAGCATTTCGGAAAAATTGAACTTTTGTGGGGAGCACTCACAAAAAAAAAAAAAAGATTTCTTTTTTTTTTCTTTTCTATTTGGGATTATATCCTTTTTTAGATTAACTATTTAATGGAATATTGATTTCAATTTAAAATGGTATAAATAGATTGTAAATTCATCTATTTCATTAAAATTTATATTTTCTCTTTTGTAGTTATAACCTCATCACTTGCCTTTAATCAGATAGACTTTTTATCTTCATATCAAACTAATCAATAATAATAATGACTATTGAATCATCATCTTCCATTACACCAGTTTCAATCTGTAATACTGATATTGGATCATTACCAGCTCCATTTCCTCAATTATCTTCCAACATTTTAGATTTATTCTTATTAACTAATAAACATGCTGTTATAACTGGTGGTGCCAGAGGGATTGGTTATGTTATTTCTGAAGCTTATTTACAAGCTGGAATTTCAAAATTAGCTATTATAGATTATTCCAATAATGAACCTGCTATTAATCGTTTAAGAGAACAATTTCCAAAATCATCTATTAATTATTATGATTGTGATGTTAGAAAAGCTGAACAAGTTAAAAATGTGATAGAAACCATTCATAAAGAATTTGAAACCATTGATATTTTTGTGGCTAATGCTGGTATTGCATGGACTTCAGGTCCATTAATTGATCAAGATAATGATGATGAATGGCATAATGTTATGAATGTTGATTTAAATGGAGTTTATTATTGTGCTAAAAATATTGGTAAAATCTTTAGACAACAAGGTAAAGGGTCATTAATTATGACTGCATCAATGTCTGCTCATATTGTTAATGTTCCACAATTACAAGCTGCTTATAATGTTGCTAAAGCAGGTGTATTACATTTAAGTAAATCATTAGCCATTGAATGGGCTGCCTTTGCTAGAGTTAATACTGTTTCACCCGGTTATATTGCTACTGAATTATCTGATTTTGTACCTGATGATATTAAAAATAGTTGGTATGCATTAACTCCAAAGGGTAGACAAGGAGCCCCAAGAGAATTGTGTGGTGCTTATTTATATTTAGCATCTGATGCTGCTACTTTTACTACTGGATCAGATATAAAAGTTGATGGTGGTTATTGTTCTGTTTAATAGAGTATGATTTTTGTAAAAGGAACAATATGGTTTGCTTTTGATATATTAATTAATAGGAATCAGTATATAGTAAATCCTTGAAATAAGGACCCTGTTTTATTTAGAAAAACTAATAATATAAAAACTAATAAATAAATAAATAAATAAATAAAATGATTTTAAAAGTTCATTAGAAGTTGTAGTAGTTTATGACATAATGAGTTTTATGACATCCCGGAAGTTAGTACCGGGGGACTTCGGAATTGATCACGTTTCTGGTCACGCGCACAACAAAACGTGACCAAAATAAAATTAACTTTTTCTAAAATTGACCACTTAAATTGCAGCATTACTAATTACACTAAATGCTATCACAAAATGAGTACCCCAAACTACACTATTATAACACATTATATAGTTCTATTATATAGAATAATTTACTATTAGACATGGGATATACATAGACCAATTGTAGTTCTATATCATGATACCTTCAACTTGTCACTGAATATACGGTAAATTAACCATAACTTCCTCTATTCTCTCATGATCTTCATCATTTGACTGCCCCGGAAAAGTTCGTTAAAATATTTTTTTTTTTCTGTTCTCTCCCTCACCCACCGGAGCCTATAAGAAAAAGTCAAAAATAAATCAATGGAAGAAGGAAGGGAAAGGAAACGAAAATTCTTTCTCTTTTCACTGTTTCTTTTAACAAACAACACTTTTTCAAGTTTTATCATTAACAACATCATTAGCATCAGGTCGATTGTTGGATTCATAATCAATTCATCAATCTTTGTTTCATCCATTGCTATTTTTTTTGTTTGTCTGTGTGTGTCCAATTGTTGAGTTTTCAAATCACTTCTTTTGAATTTGTTGTTAGTTGAAGTTTCATCCCTCTTCCCCCATATTTCAAATTATCAACCAATTGTTCAATCCAATTACTTAATTATTCACTTCTTTATTCATTTTTTGATTTCCATCATTGTCTTTCAAAAATGTTAACTTCGTTCCGTAATACCGTTAAGGTAAATTCCATAATACCAAAAAGATTCTTATCTTCATCTTCGATTAGATCTCAAACCATTGGGGATATTAAAGGTAAAGATTTCAATGCTGCCAAATATACCAGTCAAAAATATCATGTCATTGATCATGAATATGATTGTATTGTCGTTGGTGCTGGTGGGGCTGGATTAAGAGCTGCTTTTGGGTTAGCTGAAGCAGGTTTTAAAACGGCTTGTATTTCAAAATTATTTCCAACCAGATCTCATACTGTCGCTGCTCAAGGTGGTATTAATGCTGCTTTAGGTAACATGCATAAAGATGATTGGCATTGGCATTTTTATGATACCGTTAAAGGTTCAGATTGGTTAGGTGATCAAGATGCTATTCATTATATGACTAAAGAAGCTCCTCAATCTATTTATGAATTAGAAAATTATGGGGTTCCATTCTCCAGAAATGAAGAAGGTAGAATTTATCAAAGAGCCTTTGGTGGTCAATCTAAAGATTATGGTAAAGGTGGTCAAGCTTATAGAACCTGTGCGGTTGCTGATAGAACTGGTCATGCTTTATTACATTCTCTTTATGGTCAATCTTTAAGACATGATACTCATTTCTTTATTGAATTCTTTGCCATGGATTTATTAATGCAAGATGGTGCTTGTGTTGGGGTTATGGCTTATAATCAAGAAGATGGTACTTTACATAGATTTAGAGCTCATAAAACCGTCATTGCAACTGGTGGTTATGGTAGAGCTTATTTCTCATGTACCTCTGCTCATACTTGTACTGGTGATGGTTATGCCATGGTTTCAAGAGCTGGTTTACCTTTAGAAGATTTAGAATTTGTTCAATTCCATCCTTCTGGTATTTATGGTTCTGGTTGTCTTATTACTGAAGGTGCTAGAGGTGAAGGTGGTTTCTTAGTTAATTCTGAAGGTGAAAGATTTATGGAACGTTATGCTCCTTCTGCTAAAGATTTAGCTTCAAGAGATGTGGTTTCAAGAGCCATTACTATGGAAATTAATGAAGGTAGAGGGGTTGGACCAAAGAAAGATCATATGTTTTTACAATTAAGTCATATTCCTGCTTCTGTATTAAAAGAAAGATTACCTGGTATTTCTGAAACTGCTCATATTTTCGCTGGGGTTGATGTCACTAAAGAACCAATTCCAATTTTACCAACTGTTCATTATAATATGGGTGGTATTCCAACTAAATGGAATGGTGAAGTTGTTAAAAAGAATGAAAAAGGTGAAGATGAAGTTGTTCCAGGTTTATTAGCTTGTGGTGAAGCTGCTTGTGCTTCAGTTCATGGTGCTAATAGATTAGGGGCTAATTCCTTATTAGATTTAGTTATCTTTGGTAGAGCTGTTTCTCATACTATTAGAGATTCCTTAACTCCAGGAACTCCATTACCACCAGCTCCAAAAGATATTGGTTATGAATCAATTGAAAACTTGGATAGATTAAGAACTGCTGATGGTTCAAAATCAACTGCTACTATTAGAGATGATATGCAAGCTACTATGCAAAAGGGTTGTGCTGTTTTCAGAACTCAAGAAACTTTAGATCAATGTGTGGAACATATTACTGAAGTTGATAAATCTTTTAAAGATGTTAAAACTACTGATAGATCCATGATTTGGAATTCTGATTTAGTTGAAACTTTAGAATTGCAAAATTTATTAACTTGTGCTACTCAAACTGCCACTTCAGCTGCTGCTAGAAAGGAATCAAGAGGTGCTCATGCTAGAGATGATTACCCAGATAGAGATGATGTTGAATGGAGAAAACATACCTTATCTTATCAAAAGGAATTTTCAGCCCCTGTTACATTAGATTACAGAGATGTGGTTAAAACTACTTTAGATGAAAATGATTGTAAACCAGTTCCACCTGCCAAGCGTGTTTATTAGGTTTATTCAGTTAATTTCCTTCAAATATCATCATTCTCTTTCTACTCTTTTTATGAAATCTCGCATTCATGAGGTTAATTGTCATTAAGCAATCAATCAACTCATGCACCAAATCATTCATTCGAACAAATCATATCAAACGAATCAAACAAACAAACAAACAAACAATATGAAAAGAAGTACATACATACTTCTCTTTTTATTTCTTTATTTATTTATTTTATCTAGTAAATACAAATATATTTAACCATTATATGTTGATAATTATGATAATTTGTGTGTAGTCAATAATTGTGTCTATCTATAATTGTACCCAAAACAGACATAAAAAAAAGAATAGCAATCCTGATAAGAAAGGATTTAACTTTGCGGCTCCTCCCCCCTAAAAAATAAAATTTGTATGGTCCTCCCCGAGAAATTTTGAAAAATCAATTTTAGAGCAAAACTGTCTCTACTTTTAACAATGAACAAAAAACTATAAATATCCTATTTAATCCTTTATTTCTATTGATCTAGTTTTCTTTTACTGATTTATAAAAGTTTCGGATCATCTTATTATTTCTTTCATCCCATTTCGCAATTGACAATTAATAGATACTATCAAATATGACCCATATCACTTCTCAAATTAATCCTGCTGTTGGTCCATTACCCACCAAAGCACCAACTTTATCCAGCAATGTGTTAGATTTATTCTCATTAAAAGGGAAAGTGGCCACTGTCACTGGATCATCTGGTGGAATTGGATATGCTGTGGCTGAAGCTTTTGCTCAAGCTGGAGCTGATATTGCTATTTGGTATAATCTGAAACCAGCTGAAGATAAAGCAGAATATTTAGCTAAAACTTATGGTGTTAGAGCTAAGGCTTATAAAGCTAATATTGCTGATCCTGAAGAAGTTCAAAAGACGATTTATCAAATTGAAGAAGATTTTGGAACTATTGATGTATTTGTTGCTAATGCTGGTATTCCATGGGTTGATGGAGAATGTATTGAAGTTGATTCAAAATTTGAAACTTGGAAAAAAGTTTGGGATATTGATGTTAATGGAGTTTATTATTGTGCTCATACCGTTGGTAAGATCTTTAAGAAACACGGTAAAGGGTCATTAATCTTTACTGCTTCAATGTCAGGTCATATTGCTAATGTTCCTCAATTACAAGCTCCTTATAATGCTGCCAAGGCTGCCGTTATACATTTAAGTAAATCATTAGCTATTGAATGGGCTCCATTTGCTAGAGTTAATTCGATTTCTCCAGGATATGTCATTACTGATATTGCTGATTTTGTTCCTCAAGAAATGAAAGAAAAATGGTGGCAAATTATTCCATTAGGTAGAGAAGCTTTAACTCAAGAATTAGTGGGTGCTTATTTATATTTAGCTTCCAATGCTTCTACTTATACTACTGGGGCTGATCTTCTTGTTGATGGTGGTTACTGTGCACCATAGATCAACGCAATCTCTCTCTCTCCTTTATCATCTCTCTATAGATTTATATATCAATGTCATAATTATCAAACCAGTTTAATATAAGATTAATCCTCCTATAATTAAATCAAAATCTCCACAAATCAGCTACGCGACTCCGTCAAAAATATTTATTTTTTGTGTCTGAGATCTCTCGGTACACTGACTACGTTGGGCAGTGATTCCCTGAGGTGGGCCTCCCCCAACTATCACTAATTCGTCCCTAATGAATTATCATTTGCGAGAAAAGTTCCGAGCCCAGTAGCGTTAACCTACCTTTAATCTTTTATTTAACTATGATCATTCTGAAGACTAGATCTAATCCTGATATGAGGGTGGTAGTAGTTAGTACTATTTCAATTGAAAATAACGGCTGATAATAAATAATGAATTAGTTTATCCGTGGACAATATGGAGGGTTCAATATCATATTACACAGTGTTAAATTAGTGGGGGATGGAATAATTATACGAGTATTATTTTTAGTCATTTAGAACTGTAATTACAATAATAATTTGAGTTATAATAATATATTGTTTCTAATTAAGAAGAAAATAAGTGGATTTGGAAGTAAAAAACGGTTCCCATTGATTGATTTAACATCAATGGTATAGAAATAAATAAATGTGAAATGATGATTTGACGAGTTTAAGAAATGAATAAAAAGTAAATCATATAGCTAGATAAGCCATAATAAATGAAATAAAGGTAAAACAAAAAATCAGAGAAGATAGATATATAAAAGATTTCATGAAAGTCAATAACAAACAGTAAACTTTTTTATTAGAATGTCTTTATGAGGGAGGGATTAGGAATAGATTAAAAGATAACATCATCTTCATTCTCCTTAAGCATATCAGAATCATCTTCACCTTGAGCTTTAAGATCCAATTTTTCAACAGCCTTCTGAATTTCTTCTTCAGTCTTTGGTTTCAGATTATCCTTAGATTCAGATAAAGCAAGTTTTTCAGCTTCAGCATCTCTTTTTTCTTTTTCTTCAAGTTCAGCAGCAGCAACGGCTTCTTGTTTCTTTTCTTGAACTTTCTTTAATCTATAAAATTCTTCTCTATCCAATTCATCTAATTCTGAATTAATATAAGATATAGTATTTTCAGTTCTTGGAATAATCACATGTTCAATGGCATTGACTCTTCTATTAGTAACTTTAATAACTTCATCTAAAATAATAAATGCTGTTTGTAATGATGCTAATTCAACTAATGTTTCCACAGCTCTTGTATAAACTGATTTTGCTTTTTGAACTTGTTGACCACCTCTACCTAAACCGGTAAATTTAAAATCATTAATTTCTTCATTAATATGACTTTCAAAAGTTGGTAAATAAACCCCACTAACATTTTCTTGTTTGGTTTTAACTTGAAATCTGGCTTTTTGAACTGATTCTTGAACTTGATATCCAATATTATCTCCAGTAGCATATTGAACTTCTGCTAATGAAAATGCTGCAATTTGCATAACTCTACCCATTTTCTTCTTAGCATCATCAATTCTTTGCGTAATATCTCTAAATCTTTGCGTTAAAGCTTCAGATTTTCTTTTTAATAATGAATGACCTTGTTGAGCTCCCTTTAATTTCCCCTTCATTAACCCTAACGTCATACGAGTTGGGAACACTTGTTCACGATTCCCGGCACCTGACATATTTGTATTAGTGTGAGATTATGAAGATTATCTGATTCAATTGAGGGTACAATTGATAAAGAAGTTGCTTTGGAGGAGGAAGTTGAAATATCAATAATTATCACTTTATTACCCACTATCTCTCCTTAACAATTTTCATCACCAATTTCGTTCATCGAAAATTTAAAATGAGCACAGACTGCATATAAAGTATCACATAAAAATTTAAACATCTGAAAAGGGAAGAGGGTATGACAAAGGCAGCCAAAGGGTAAAGAGGTCAATCAATCAAGTTTGAAAGTGATGACAACGCTGAGTTCAGCGAACGAAAAGAGGTGGGATTTGAATCGACTAATCAATCAAGATGATATCCCCTTTGAAGAAGAAATATCAAAAGATCCCTTCAATCATGAGAACTGGTTGCAATATTATCATTATAAATCATCTAAAGAAACCACTACGTTTTACAACAAAGTATTTATCCTAGAAAGAGCAGTCCAGAACTTACCTAAAGCAGATCAGCTATGGATTACTTATCTTGATCTTGTTCAAAGTGTGGTTGAACACTTGAATTACTTCCATTATAAACAACAATTCTTATACACCAATAAATTATTTGATAGATCATTATTATTATTATATACCAATTCCGATATTTGGATGAAATATCTTCAATTCTTATTGAAAACTCAATCCAATGAAATAACCTTAATACGAAGGAAATTCAATCTTGCGTTAAGAAGTCTCCCCCTTAAGGCTCATACCTTAATTTGGCCATTATATTTGAATTTTGCGGATTCAGTTGGTGGGAAAACTGCCGCAAAGATTTATCAAAAATATTTACAGTATCTTGATGAAGATATACTTAAGGGGTTAAAGTCCAGGTCTGATCAAGATGGGCTTGGAGGTACAATTGAAGATTTTATTCAAAAGTTTGATGAATTCGGCGATTTCAATCAAGTTGGTAAATTGTATAAGATTATAATTGACCATCCTGAACAATATATTTCCTTATCAAGAACTATACTTCAGATATGGTTAGATTATATTGAATTTATACTTGATAGAGAAGAAGAAGTAATACAAGAGGATGACCAACAAAAAGAAAACAATCATCATAGATGGCACAGCAATGATTCATATTTTGAAGATCTCGTCTTTAAAGGTATACGTAAATTCCCTGATCAAATGGGGAAATTCTATATAAAACTTACTCAATATTACAAATTAAAACTGGGCAATGATGATAAAGTACGATATTTCTATGAAAAGGGCATCAAAGAATGTGTTACCGTTCAAGATTTCTTATTACTTTATAATGATTCCATTTCATTTGAAGAACAAATCATTGATGAATTAGGTGAAAAATTCGAATCTAATCCGGATGATAAAAAATTAGATAAAGAATTAGAATATCGATTATACTATTTCAATGAACTTATCAATAATCGACCATTATTATTAAACGATATGATGTTAAGACAAGATATAAATAATTTAGATGTATGGTTTGAAAGATTTGGATTGTTTAAGGATGATTTGAATCAAAAATTACAAACTTTTGCTCAAGCATTAATGAAAATCAATCCTTTTAAAGCACATTCATTATTAGGTAACGAGTCCCATAAGTTGTCCAAAATTTGGATCGATTATACCAAGATTTATTCGGTCAAACAAGATTTCAAAACGGCCAATTTGATTTTCACCAAAGCGAAAAGTTCTCAATTCAATCATCCTGATGAATTGGCTGATATATATATCGCTTGGAGTGAGATGCTCTTGGAAAGTACTTTTAAAGATGCTGATTCAAGGTCAATTAAAATCATAGAAGAAGTGTTATTATCAGGTGGAGACGAAAAAATTGATTATGATGATTCATCGATTGATATTCATAAACGGATTAGAAAATCAATCAAATTATGGTTATTTTATATTGATTTATTAGAATCTTTCGTCGAACTGGAAACAGATGAATCTGAAATAAATAAAGTCATGGAAGCTTATAATAAATTAATTGATATTAAAATTGCAACTCCAAAAATCATCCTTGATTATGCTAATTTCTTGGAATCATATAAATATTTTGAAAAATCATTCACTATCTATGAAATTGGATTGAAGTTATTTAAAGACGCTTCCATTAAATTTGAAATTTGGAATGTTTATTTAACCAAGACATTAAATACCAAGAATAACAAAGGGTATAATATTGAAAGAATCAGGGATTTATTCGAACAAGCCCTTGACCAAAGTCCAACATATTTAAGTAAACAATTTTTAATATTATATTCGAATTTCGAACAAGAGAATGGATTCATCATGAATGCCATTAAAGTTTTGAAAAAGGGGTTGAAATTATTATCAGTGGTAGATAATATTGAACGATATCAAAATGAGAAATCATCATCGTTAAATAAGAACCAATTGGTGCAAGATAAATTTGATATTTATACGATATTAATCTTTAAGATTGAACAATATCAAGATGAAATTGAATTGAGAAAGATTTTTCAAACTTCGATTCAAGATCTTGAATTATCAGTTAAGAATCTTGTTGAATTAACTATTAAGTTCGTTGATTTTGAAACCAAATCACATCAATTTGAAAGAGTCAGAAATCTTTATAAATACATTATACGATTAATAAAGAATTCGGATGATAAACTTTGGTCACAATGGGAACAATTTGAAATTAGTAATGGCAATGAATTAACTTTCAAGGATATGTTAAGATTCAAACGAACTATAAATCAAGAATTCAAAGATATTCAATCTTTCAAAGATACCATCAATCCAATGGGATTTGTTAAATCTTCCGATGGCCCAAAAGTATCATCCATCAATGCTAGTGAACCATTGCCATCACAAGAGCCTACAAATGTCAATCCTGATGAGATCGACCTAGATATGGATATGTAAATAATAATAAACGTTAATATTATTAAAACTAAAAACTTATACAAAATGTATATATATGTATATATGAAAGCAAACGATGAATTGAAGTAACCTTATAAATGCAAACCAGAAGGAGAAGAACGTAAAGGAAGTGAATGAGGGGTATGTGGTATATGCTGATTTCATGATTTTTTAAAGATATCTTTCCATTTATCCACGAAAGAATCTAAATTAATGATTTGATCGGCACTTTTATTAAATTTGATGGATTTGTTTAATTTAATTAAATCTTGATAATTATTCCATCCAATATGATAATATTGAAAAATTATCATTAAGAAAGTTTGAATTGCTTTTAAATTGTTTTTATCTTTTGATTTTAAAGAATTGGAATAAATTATTAATGTCTGTAAAAGTTTAATTAATGCTTGTAAAACCGATGAATTAATATCATTATCATCAGGATTGATAATAGTGGTTGTAGAAGTTGTAGTAGTTATCACATTGACATCTTTATCTTTACTTGCATGTGGACTTATGGAACTACTACTGCTTGATTCATGATGATTAGCAAGATTTAAATTCGAACCTGGAGAATTGAATGTGAATGAAAATTGATTGGATTGACTAAGGATAGGAGTGGATGGAGCCGATAAACTTAAAGGTAATTGATCATTTAATTGAGTCAAGATATAAAAGAAACTAGTTGAATTTAAATTTTCAAATTCTTTAATATCATCATTATTCTTGAAATTATGTAAGAATTTACCCAAATAATTACTACTGGAGAAATTATCCACATTAATCCAATTACTTAAAGAATTATTCAATTCCGATAAGAATTCTCTGGTGAAGATTTGTTGATTGAATAATTCCAATAAACAATAAATCTCTTGTAAAGTTTGAGTAGATTGGAAAAGAATAAGGAAGGTTGGAATCAAGAAGATCTCATCATGTTTCGATAATCCAAATTCCGATAATGATTTAATATATAAAAGATATTTGAAATTAGACTTGAACGTCGATAATTGATCATGTAAATGATGAGTTATGATTGATTTGAATAATGGACGTTCTAAAATCATATCGATTATTTTGTTAAATTCAAAATCCTTACTGACTTTAATTGAATCCAGTAAGATCTTATATTTCTCATCGAAAACTTTAAATGAATTATTAATGGTGTGGATTGAATCTTGACTATTATTATTGTTGGATAAGATCTTCATGAAGAATTTAAATCGTAAAGCTTTTGGAATATTTGAATCCCAATTCAATTTCCGGATGGCATTCTTTTCTTGATTAAATTTCTTATTAAACTCTTCCTTTCCAGTTTCAAATTCAGTAATAATCACTCCTTCATCATTATTTTCATCATGATTGAAAAGACTCACATGTAATCGAAGCCATTCTTGTTGATTCTGGACATAAATCTTTGACGTTCTGAATCTGGCATCATTCAAACTCTTCGTATTCAATTCATAATTATTCAACACTTTCTTAAACTCCTTATTATGCTTCGATTTATCATTGGTTGATTTGGGAGGTAAGTTAATCGGTCTAGTTTGATCGATTAAATTCAATTTTTCAGTCGAGATTAAATGTAAATCTTCCATTGATGATTGAGATTTAATAAAATTAGGTAATTTATACATGACAGATTGTTCTCTTGATAATTTAATTAATTTTGAAAATGAAGCTGACCGTTGGTTATAATATTGACTTATATTTTGAGTGATTTCAATATCTTCATTGGTATAATTGAAACTAGAATTGATGGTGGTATCTTCATGTTCATAATCATCATCAACTTCTTCAATAATACTATTCTGAGTTAAATTACCATGATGTCCAATAATATTCACCACACTACCATTGGCACTACTACTACTACCTCTTCTTGAAGCAGTTGGAGAAATTCTCGTAATATCAGTTTGAGACCCCAACCTACCTGGTAATGGCATAGGTTTGATATTAGTACTAGCAACAATGGTATTATACTTATCAACATCAGTGACTAAATCATTCCGAGATAAGCCATTCTCCTTCCCAGCTTTAGACAAGACCGAGTTGGATCGAGAGAGGGTTGGTGAAGAAGTGGTGGAATTCAAAGATGATGAGTTCGATATAGGTCCAGCTTGAGGATGGGTTTGAGCATGATGAGCAGATGAATGATGATGAGTAAGACTATTAATTTTGGAATTTTTCATATATAATTCCGCTTGATTTTTAATAACGGGAACGTTAAATACTAAATGATCTAAATCAGTGGATAAGATTTCTTCATCATTATCATTATCATCATACTTCTTCTTTCTTAAGATTTGACGTTCTTTGATTTCTTTCGAGCTGATATATCTTGTTTTAGAACGATTTAACATTAATGATGATGCTGACGATGTCGAATTTGATCTTAGTATCGGTTGTTGCTGTTGTTTTGATTGTGGTGAAACATGATGATGGTGATGATGATGGATATTCGATGACGAGAATGATTTTAAATTCTTATATGGAGTTGAAGAATTACTTATACTATTATCATAAGAAGTATTAAATTGAGAAGAAGGAGTTCTATATTTATCAAGGATAGGACTTGAGAAATCAGCCGCAGGTGCCGATGATCTTCGATTAATACGTTTTGAAGGAGTATTGCTAGCTTCAATCAACGATGATTCGGAGATTATTGTGGTTGAATTCCCACCCATATCATCAGTACTGACATTACTTTCCATATCATCATCATCAACCACAACATGAGAACTATCATCATCTTCATCATCATTTTCAATCGACATCAGATTATATTTCGAACTACCGTTGAAAATCGAAGGGGACCCCGAGGAAGGACCGATGGATTGACTTGTTAATGAATTCAAGCGAGAATCTAATAAACTTGATTCTAAGATGGGATGATCGAATTGAGATGATAAGATCAGACTTGATTCATCTGAATAGAATGATGCCAATGATTCACCGGACATGGGTCTAAGATTGGGATTGGTATTGGTGGGTAAGGGAGGTAATGGATGAGAAGGTTTCATAGAATGAGTAGAAGGATGATTTATATTAGACAATTTTTGAATATAATAATCTCCGGGTCTTTTACTACTTGAAGTTGATTCATTTAAAGTATTTAAGGAAGATAATGAAACCACTCTTTTAGGAGTTGTTGAAGATGAAGATGACGAAGAAGGATTACCACTGGAAGGAGATATTTTCTTTTTTGATAATGATGTAGTGGAAGGATTAGTATTGGTTATAGTTCCATTATTTGATGATAAACTCGAGGTTGAATAGTTTAATTTCCGTAAATTATTGACATTTGGAGTTGAATTTAACGAGATATCATAATAATTTTGATGATCATTCTTTTTATTATTAATAGAACTGGTATTATTTTGATTATTTAATGAAGATTGAGATAGATTTGAATGATGATTCATGATGAATGTAATATATATATATGGTTTAGCAAACGAGAGGGAGGATATTCAAATGAATTTTAAGCGAACGTATAGGATAAGATGATAAGATAAGATATTGAACGATAGAAACTCATAAAAGGAATTTATAATGGACAAAACACAAGTACAATAAGATTATATACTAAGGGGGTTGTTGAATGAAAATGGAATAGATTCGAGAAAAGAAAAGGTATGGAATGAATAAAAACGATTGAATATAAAGTAAGGAAATAGATAAACCGATATAGATCAGACTTAGGTGGTTGGGTGGTTGTGTGGGTGATCTTTATCAAGGTATAAATTGAGTGGAGATGATGTAACAGGAATTATTATGTGTATGTTAAAAAAGAAAAAAAAAATGGGTTTATTATTTTGATGGATGGATGCAAGGGGGTAAAAAAAACACAACAAGTAGGATGAATGAAGTGTATTTGGATAGTGGTAAAGTGGGATGGACTATGATGAGATGGACTATGGATGGGTTGGAGTAGATGATGATATTATAATGTTTTGATATTACAAATTGATAGAAATAAAAGAGATAGCAAAGTTGACATATATTATAATAGTTAACAAAGTTTGTTTGTGTTTCTAAAATTAAATTAAATTTTTTTTTTTTGGTTTGTTTACAGTTTAGTTATATACAGGACGGCAATTTCACTTAGTTAAGCTTAACTATAGAGTTATTAACTATTATATATAGTAATGAAGGCTATGTAATTATATCCTATTACTACTAACTAACTAATTATAACTATTATAAGTAATTAATTTATGAGATGAGTTAAAATATGTAATCCCCCTATCTACTTTACTCTATTCAACCCCCCTGATATCTATAATTTGTCACAATGAATAAGAAAGTGGTAATGGACACTTCCTAATTAGGACATTTCATGGATGATTTTGGACATTTGTATTTTTGATCCCAGGGGAACGACCCTCGCCCTCGCCCCCCTTCTTATGGTGATGAAAATGGCAATTGAAAGAGATAACATCCACACCGCAAAGTCATGTGACTTTTTGTAACATTCATTTGAAAATATCAAAATAATCAAAATATATACTATTCCTTCAAATATGGTGTAAAAATGAAGGTCTTTCTTGTCATTCCTATTTTCAATAAGTTTTTCTAAACAATCGAACCAAATGAAATATGCTACCTGCTTGTCGCAGATATCTAGGGGCTATATGAATGGTCTCCTACTACATAATACTAAAGGAGCAATTTATACTTTGATTATAATTCTCAGTACATAAATATTATTACAATTTATGAACTTATTTGAAATATTTATAGATTCTCTTGTTGTAGTATTAACCTTTATCTCTTTACATCGTTAACTTGTCCCCAGAAATACCGAGAAAGGATAAGCATAACCAATTTAAATGTTCTTACAAGAACTAAATAGATATCACTCGGTGTAATAATCTAATCTAATCATCACTCTTGATAACTCTATTTATAATGTTTAATTTAATTAATTAATGAAAATCATGTGACTTAGAATATGCTAAAAAAATCGAGTTAATTTATTCAAACTTTATCGATTATTATTATTTGGATTTGTGTTCTTGTTGTTCTTCTACCCCAAATCTGATTCCTTACAGACCTCCGTTGGATTTACGAGATGAATTGGATAGACAAATTGAAGAACTACTTAAACTTGGTTTTATCCGGGAGAGACATTGATGCTATTGTTTACCTGTTCTGGAATGAATCGGTAAATGTTCGTCAATTGGGATATCTCTCAAGATTTTCATACTAACTATTTAAGATCTATTTAGTAGGATTTATTATTAACTAGAATTTTTCCATCTGAATTATTAGTATATCAAATTTTTGTTTTCTAACCAATTTACAATATTTAAGACTTTTTTTTACTAACTATTATAGTTGTTAAAAATTTCTTATCCTTCACCTTCTGGTTGATAGTCTGAAAATTTTGAAAAGCACAATATCGGATGTAATTAGATTATATTTAATGAATATATGTATAAAGTAAATTTTTAAATTCAAAGCCTTGTAGTACATATCATTAGTATGAATGAATACCATCTTATCATGTAGTTAATATAAACAATTCTTCAGTGATATCATTCTTTAGCTGTTTATAGAGTAAAAAATTACAGTGTAAAAATAATTCTCATTGAAAATTCTTTTTCAAATATATATGTTTAAACTTTTTGAATTTAAACCATACCTTCAGCGTAGCGTGAACCTAATCTTGTGTTATTCCAAGTTTCTAGATCTGCTTTCCTTTTTGATAAGAGAAAACTTTTCGTACTAACCTTACATTATTTAGGATGTTATACTAACTAATTTATATAGGGTATTTCCATGCCATTGTCACTTCTGAAATATCGTATTTTTTGAGAGAATCGTTTATTCCAGGTTCGTTACTAACATATAACGGTATGATTTATCATGCTTATATTTAGATCTTATATTAACTACAAATTAAAGGATGTAACCGTGTCGATTTCGAAAGGGTTTAGACCTCCTAAGGAGATTTGGAAGGCGTACTGCATTAGCAGCATAATATAGCAGAATATACGTATAAAAATATTATTATTATTATAAAATTTAATTAAACAAAATTGTAGAGTAGTTCGCTATCTTATTATCTCTTATAACATTACTTACATCATTTAAATCAATCATTTATAATTAATATATGTCATATGATGATAATTAATAAATTGTTAAAAAATAATAGACATCTCAAATATGAAAAAGTATAAATAGAAATCAACGAGCTTTCTTTTAAATGGTTAATGATGTTTATCGTAATATCAAACTTCCAATTTCCCTCTCTTCAAATGTGTTCTGACGCAATGACTGAGACAGTCTAATCTGTGATACTCTCGAGTATTATAGGTGCCATACTAACTTTTCATCATTTATAGGAATAATAATACTAATCTTTCATATAGATGATAAGTCATTAAGATTTATCCTAACTTCATGTTTCGATATCTAGGTTGAATAGTAACCAATTTATAGGACAACTAAACACCTTTTTGTGTCTGGTTAACCCATGCTTCTGCATTTATTAACGCTTAAAGCTTTTCTCCTTAAAAGTCCTGAAAATTGGAATACATTTTACTTTGCATCTTAAATATATGAATATTATAGTTTATTATTTCGACTATTGTAGAGTCTTGTAGATTTACTATTAATTCCTTCCATTTATTAATTGATCTGAGTTACATATGGAAATAACCTCTAAATTTTCCATTTAAACAGAATGATCTATAATTAGCAATTATAATTATATGTACATTTTTATAGTGTAATTAATCAACTATAATTAGATGTGATTTTTAACATGTAATTAGAATTCATTATCAGCACGATGTAAAATTTAACATATTCTTCTCCTTGTCCCCCAACATTATAAACTATTAACGATAGGCATTGACCTTCTTCATGTTGTTCTTATCTATTTCATCGAGATCAATTGCCGTTCTCTCGTTGGTTCAAAATTATATAAAAGGTAAGAATATTTCTCATTTAATGCAAATTCCATTTAATTACTCCAGAGAATATTAGAAGATCATCCATATAGACCCGGACGTACGAAGCTAATGGATGTAAGTAATTGAATCATATGGTTGGCAAACACATTGAAAATTGAGTCATGTGACTTTTTTTTTTCTTAAAGGGGGGGATCAATCAACTTAAAAAATGAAAAGTTTTTTAAAAATCAATTATCATTATTAAGTTGATTCATCCCGTTGTGTGTCATTGGATCCACATCCAGGGCATACAGGGTGCGGTGCTTGCAAGCAAATCTTGACGTGTTTTTTAGTGTGACATGAGCTACAGAATATTAAAGAAGATTTATTTTTTACTAACTACAGTTCAATATTAAGGATTCAATCTATTGTTAACCATAGTTACAATGGTAGTTTTGGGCTCCATGTTATAGTTAGCAGGTCGTTTCGTTAAGTTTTTACTATATGATTATTTAGAGTTTTACTTACTTTTAGGATATTTGCTACTAACTAGTCAACTTTTGTTGATGATAATATTTACTATTTAGGATTTTGTACTTAACTTTAAGTATTTATAAAAGAGATATTAATCTCTCACCGTAATGATGGTTAGCTGTATTTTTGGAGTGATCGTCTAATTCTATGTGAAATTCACATGTGTTATGACTATTTACGTATAATGTATTATAATTTTATTAAATTTTCAATCAATGTAGACATTGTAAAACCTCTACTCTAAATGGCCTTACAAAACTTTTGGTATAATAAATAATACGTGTATAAGATAAATAAATAAATAAATAAATAAAAAGTGTTCGTTCTAAATCAGGTCTAATCTCTCTCAGCTTCAATCCATTCAGTAGTACTCATTTGACTTAATCTTGATAAAGCTCTAGCAAAGGCGAATTTTTCTTCATCATTAACAAACATAGATGCTTTTCTCGCTATAGATTTATCAAATCCATGTTTTAACACCAATTCATCATTTGCAAAACTATCATCACCTTTAGTTAGGCTTTGATCTTTTGATTTTTTCATATATAATTGGAAATTACCTTCTTTTAAATCTTCAGGCTCCACAAATAAATCTTTAAATGGGGCAACCGATGTAACTGCCAAATTCCCATGATTATCATAAACTGCATCTAAAAACGTAATAAATCTTCTCACTTCATCTCTAACATTGACACTTAAATATGGTATATCTGTCACGATAAATGATTTAAAACTTTGAGCAAGAGTTAAATAATCTCCAGCGGCTAATTTATTCCCACATAATTCATCAAAGGTGAATTGGGCTACATTTGGTGGTGAACAAATAGGGACGGTTAAAGTTCTACCCCAAACTTTTAAATCCAACGATGTCATATCATTAGGTTGATCTTCTTCATGATTGTTGAAGTAATTATACCATGTTTCAACATGTTTCTTACAATTGGTTTGATTGACCGCCAGTAAATACTTGACCCCTGGTTTTGGATGATAATAATTGGAAGATAAAGGTTTTGGAATCTTTCTATAATCAATAGGAGAATTCAAATAGATGATTCTTGTTTGTAATTTAATCAATTGAATACAAGGGATGAAACTGACTCTTTGAATCCCATTAAGATATAAATCATCAGGAGCACGATTCGAAGTAGCGAATAATATAACTCCATGTTGCGGATTTAATAATAACATTAATAATCGTCTTAATAACATCGCATCAGCCACATCTGTTACTTGAAATTCATCAAAACAAAGTATAGTAGAATCATTAGCGATTTCATTGGCTAAGATTGGAATAACATCAATATCATTATGAACATCACCTAAGGTCGTGGTTGAATTTTGATTCGAATATTGTTGTTTCAATTGATGTGACCGTTTATGTAAATGTTGCATGAATTGATGGAAATGAATTCTCTTCTTGGGTAAATGTTTTGGAATCGTATTATAGAATAAATCCATTAACATGGTTTTCCCACATCCTACATCACCATAAAGATAAATCCCCTTAATTTCATTTTCTTCAACATTAAGACTAAGGGATTCTTGTAATTCTCGATCTTGTTGAGATTTATCTTTACTACTTAAGAATGATGTAAAGAATGATTTAATTTCAAAGAATCGAGGTTTTAAATCTTGAATGTTTGGTTGAGTTAATTCAGGTGGGGTATAATTAAGTAATTTTGAATGTAAAATTGATAAATTTGAAATGATTTTCCGTTGATATGGATCATCTCTTAATTTCCCTTGTTCAATTTTGTGGTTGTATTCTTCAAGAGGCGTCTTATAATTAGCGGGAGATGCCGATGTTCTTGATGGTGCTTGTATTTGAATCGGTTGTGATTGTTGTTGCAGTTGTTGTATTATAGCTTCTTGATTATAAATTATAGAATGATGGAATGATCTAATCAATGGTATACCATTTGTCTTAAGAGTAGAACTTAATAAAGATAGTCTTAACATCACTTATCTGAGAATGCTAGGAGTTGGAGGAATTAAATGAAAATTGTCTATATGGAATGTCTATGCATAAGTCTAACCAGATATATAATGCTTATGAAAATGAAATGGAGGAATGGATGAAAGGATGAAATGCAAAATGGATAGAAGTAGTTGTAACAAAATTTTGAACTGAATGAACTTTTATAATAGCAATAGCAGAATGAAATGATATGAAGTTGTCGACAGTTTATATATGTCTATTCATCACAATTATCAATGACGTCTTGAACCAAAGGGAATGACTTTGAAGTTCGAGGGTTTTGGTAAAATTTTGTCCCGCGTTAATTCTTCCTCTGTCACTTTACATAAGAAATGACTTGTGGAGAAATTGAGACACAGAGAATGTCGCAATTTGGAGGATGCTAAACGACATAATCAGAAGAAGTTTAAAAGTTTTGATGAACGACATCATCAACGAAGTCAAACAACGTCATATAACACTATATAGATAGATACCATAATATCATTGATTTATTATAAAAGTGATTACCCGAATCAATCCACTAATTAGAGATATATTTGTACAAAGAAACTTATCACAGGTCAAAGAAATAAATACTGTTACTACTCATCATATACACAAACATACCACAACATGACAAATATAGATCTTCATGAAATATCAGAAGTAACCACTAAACCCCATTCCTTCAAACAAAACCCGAAACGACCAAAACCGCCAGCAAGAAGATATAAACCACTTAAACAATTAATCAGTGATGAAGTCAAACATTTACAAACGAATCATCCTGATTTATCAGTGAATACGCCCACATATCAATCGATTGTATCACCTCCCAGTTTAAAACCTCAAAAGGTATATTGTGATATCACTGGGTTGATTGGTCCCTATAAGAATCCGGCTAATTCTTTACGATTCCATAATGTGGAGATATATCAAGAAGTTATAAAGAATATGCCAAGTGGGGTTGATCAAGAGTATTTGGAATTAAGAGGTGCCAACGTCATCTTGAAGTAAGTGAAGTAACGTTTTGTATAGAATTATGTATATTAGTATTACAAGTGGGTTGTATCTATGTATTTATGTATGTGTGTACCTTTATTATACCCAATTTGATACGATTTTTTTAATATTATTATCAAATGTAACATTCTCTATAATTTGATCACCAGTCAGATTATCATCATTATGAGAGGTACCCCCATTCAAATTATTCACTAATGAATTATTGAATGGATTACATATCAATCTTAAATAACATTTATAAACATTTTTAAATAAGATATTAATATCTTGGAAATTAATCTTGGAATGAGTAGTACTAGTATTTGAGATTCCAATGATGATTTTCAATCCATTGTTAGTTTCATATCCGTATACTTGGATAGAATCCTGAATGAATAGAAGGATTATTCCTCCATTGGCGGGTGATACAGTTTGTCCTTGTGGTGATGATGGTGGTGGTGGTTGATGAGGATGATGATTTATATAATGAAGATATTGTTGTTCACGAAGATTTAACGAGGAGGGAGAGGCAAAGATATCTAATGCCATATGAGATAAGAAATTATATTTCAAGAAGTTATCCGAACTTGTATCATCATGATTAAACGATTGAATATAGAGTGGTTTATCATTTCGAGAGATTAATGATATGAATCTTAATGATAAATGATTAGGAGATTTTTGAGGGGGAGGAGATAGTACGCTATCTGGTTGTTTTAGATGTATGGAGTCTGATAAAGTAGGAGTAGAAGCAGAAGTAGTCATTATCAATTGGTTCTAATTCTAGTAAAGTTATATAGTTGTAGCTGTAGTTGATATTGTCACTGATATATATATATATGTATTCTGGTTTTAGTTGTGTTCTTGTGGTTGTATAAAAATGCTATAGATTATATACAGGTCAAACAAATTAAATCAAATCAACATCCATACCACTTACACCCGTACATCCATGAGATCAAATATTTCCGTAAAAGGAACGACGACGACTTTAAACAGAAAAAAAAAAAAACTTTATACGACAGAAATTGATTTGATTTTGATTTGTAACTAAATATAGAACTCTGATATGATATGATATGATTGACGTATTAGATATATGATTTAACTTAAAGTATTACTTAGTTAAGATGAGGTTCTATATACAGAGTAAACTGATTACATTATAGTTATCTCATCTTCTATAGATGAGATCATTATACTAATAAGAATGCCAATATTAACTATTGCTATTTTCTTCCTGGCTGTGGGATTCCCCCTTTCAGCCTAAAAAAAAAAAAACTCCTTTTTTTAAATTCTCTCATACAAAAAGAAATTTTCATCTCACATACAAAATCTCGATTCTAAACCTCCATACCCATTTAACTATAAGCTTCAAATATTAACCTAAACATCTTCTTCTTGTTCTTTCTTCTTCCTTTCTCTCTATCAAATACATACATCACATTCACTCGTTATATTTATTAGACCATACAAGTTCATACAATAGTTGAACCCTGTATCTTTCCCGTCTGTACCCGATCCATCCCTCGTTCGTTCGTCCGTTCCCCCTACATCCCCACGAGATCACAAAAGCTAAAACAAAAAACAAAATTTAGCTCCAACATTACCTTACATTTGACGATAAATATAATAAACGATAACATATCTAGAGTAGACGATAAATCATCAATATCATCATCATCATGGCTATTTTCAGATCAAAATCAAAACAACAAAATAATGGATTTCGTCCTAAAACTGCTGCTAATATCGATGTTAAAATCTCCAGTAAAGATGAAGAACAATTTCAATTAAATTCAGGATCAGTCCATGATCCTATCTTAACTGCCGTCAATGAACTTCAACCTTTTGAACAAGCCGCTGCTAAATATGATAATAGAAGACCAAGTTATTTAAGTCAAGGATCTCATGATTTAAAAGATATCTTTGGTAATCCCATTGATAGACCTGATATTTCAAATCCAACCAGATCAAGAAATGAAAGACCATTAGATACCATTAGAGGATTTGAATATGCTATTACAGGTGATTTAACTTATCGTGAACAATTAGAAACTTCAAGATTAGGATGGGGATTCCATGAAGATTTCCCTCATTATAATTTACAACAACAACAACAACAATTAGCTGCTGGTGGTGAATATGAAGGGGGTAATGCTGCTACCGCTATTTTCAATCATAATTCCGATCAAGCTGTTTATCAAGGTAATAATTATAGTGCTAGTAGTTTAAGACCTGAAGGTAAGAAAAAGAAGAGAGGTTTATTTGGTAAAAAGAAGTAAGACTATTAGTGTTCTTCTACAGTTATAGTTCATTATGTGATTGGATATTTTTTATATTAGTTAATTAGTTTAGTTTTGGTTTTGTAGTTTTATATAGTGTTTTGTTAATCTTATATGATATGAATTTAGAAATGTGTCGTCATAACACTGTATGTGGATGTTTACTTACTTGCCTTTCCCTCATTATGAGATCAAACAATGCACACACACACACACACACACACACACCAAATTTTTTAAAACAATTCGCGTTTTATCATACAACAATTTACAACCAACCCCCATAGATTCATTCATTATATCATTTTGTATATTGTTACATTATATATATATATATATATATTACCTATTATATACTATTACAATGGTTTCATAATTTCTTCATATAACATCATTTTTAAATCTTCAATTGATAATTCATTTTTATGTTTATCGAAATCAAAGAAATCCTCGGGAATCTTCTCACTTATAGGCTCATCATTTGGATCATGATATAATTGTAAATAAGGATGTTTTAAAGCATCATCAACCGTGATTCTTTTGGTAGGATTAAAAATTAATAATTTCTCTAATAAATCAAGCGCTAATGGATTTAAATTTGGATTCACATTGGCAAATAATGTTTGGAATGGAATCTTTTTACAAAATGGTAAAGATCGAATATATTCTCGAGCTCTTTTACTCTTAATATTATAATAATCTTCCATATTAGGAGTTCCTAATACTTCCATAATTAACCATAATTGATTATGATAATCTCTACCGGGGAATAATGGTCTACCACTAAGCATTTCAGCCAAAATACACCCTACTGACCAAACATCAATGGCAGTAGTATATTCTTGAAAAGTTAACATGATTTCAGGAGCTCTATACCATCTTGTAGCCACGTATTCCGTCATATATCCGAAATTATCTTCACTTGATGCAATTGATCTTGCTAATCCGAAATCAGCAACTTTTAAATCACAATTTGAATTTAATAATAAATTCAGAGGTTTTAAATCTCGATGTAAGACATTAGCTGAATGTAATGCTTTTAAAGCTCGTAAAGTTTGATAAATGAAATATTGAATATGATCATCAGTTAATTTTTGAGTTCGAATAACTCGATGTAAATCAGTTTCCATTAATTCTTGAATTAAATAAATTTCATTGAAATTCTCATAATTGGTTGGACGTTGAATAGCTAATATACTAATGATATTTTCATGATTGAAATGTTTTAATAATTTTAATTCTCGAAGGGTTCTTAAACAAAGCATTGATCTTTCAAACGGTAAGATTTTCTTAATGGCTACTTTTTGTTCAGTTGGTTTATGAATGGCTGAACATACAATTCCATAAGCTCCTTTCCCTACAATTTCGAGAATTTGATAATGGGATGAGACATTGAATGTGACTTGTTCTTGTTCCTCCTGTTGTTGCTGTTGTTGTTGTTGTTGTAATTGCTGTTGTTGCTGTTGCTGTTGTAACTGTTGCTGTTGCTGTTGTAACTGCTGTTGTTGTAACTGTTGTTGTTGATCTATATTCATGATGATAAAGTGATGTGACGATGAGGGATTCTATATGTATATAAGGGAAATGAAAATTAAATAATTAATGATTTAAGATAGGGGGATTGAATTAAAAGAATAGTTAATAAATAAATAGAATGAGTAATATAATAATAATAATAAGGGTTTGAAGTAAATTAAGTAAAGTTTAATAAAATAAATATGGATTAATTCAAAACTGAGCAACCAAGTGATGAGACAGGGTGTGTGTAAAATGGAAATGTGTGACTGGGGTAAAGTATGAGGGAGGGATGGAGGAGGGAGGATGGAGGAGGAGGATGGGATGGATGAAGGGAAGGTAGATGATATGGCGAGGTGTGTGTGTGTTAAGGGATGTGGTTGACTCGTTGGTTGATGAGGAGGAGGAGGAGGACTAGGTTTAGTTTGAAGATAATGATGACGATGACGATGAAAGTTTAAAATTCAATTCACTTTCAGTTCAGTTCAGTCACTAAAGTTTAATTAGGCCCTGTCAGTTGTTAGTCAATTTTAAGAAAAAGAAATTTTTTGGACTTTTTTATGACGAAAATCAGAAAAAAATGACAAAACTGCGATAAAAAATGACAAATCAATTTGAATTTATGACAAGTCAAATGATGAAGTAAATAGTTAAAGGAATGGACAGTAATAACCAAATGTTATCAACTTATAGAATAGTTTGAATGAATGAGTAGAGACAGACAGACAGACAGAAAGACAGAAAGATATACTTAGTTATAAAAAGGTTATTATAAATAAAAATTTAAAACCAGATGATTATTGTTGTTATTTATACAAAGTTTACAAATTGATCCATCCATATAAACACTACGACTATACGTAACTTACATACATACATAGTTTAACACATGATCTACATACGTCAGACACTTAACCGTTACGTCCTACCAGTACCTAGTAGGATACTACTACTTAATACTATAAACTATTGATGTTCATACAAATCGGTAATAGTTTCAAATGTTAATGTTTAAGGTACATAATCTGAAACATATCACAAAATTATAAATTAATTAATTAGTTATTATTATGTATTATTTTTATTATTTTAACTTCAAAGTTCAGGAACCAGGAACCAGGAACCAAAATCTATAAACAATACAGAATCAGTTACATGAATAGGGGAACTTATGTATCTATTTGTATGTGTGTGTTAATTTCATTTCCATTATAATATTGTTATTTATTATTTAATTGATTATGGTGTGAGCAGTCTGGGTGGTCTAGGTTTCAATTTAGCTCAGAACTTCTGATGTTTATGAGTCTTGATTATTTCTTACCTCTGTTTTACAACCACTTCATATTCATTTCATCATCGTCAACAAGTGTTGGTATACTCCTACTTGGTATTAACTTACAATTTAAACGGTTACAAATTTCACCATTTGAAACATCAAACAAACAAATTTTTCTTCTTCAAATTGAGTCAATTTCAAAATACGTACACAAAATCGGTTTATACCACACTATTTCCTAATTGGGAAAGTGTCTGCCATCAACTTATACTAACACTTTGTAACTATATACATTAGCCACTATCCAATAACAATAACAACAACAACAACAACAACAACATCACTAGTCATTGATCTTCTCATTAACCAGCATTGGATCCGCCTTGGACTTCTTATATTATTTACCATTTATTATTTTATTATTATTTTATTATCATTATCATTGCTCATGGTTATAGTTTCCTTACATCAAGTTTTGTTTAATTATAAATCTAATTCATTATTAATGATGGTTCTAAATTAATTTCGTATCTTCAAAGTGAGTCCCATCGGTCAAGGCACCTTTACGCATGCTTCCCCGTTATTGTATCCACTTATTCACTTACCTAACCTTGTTTTATAGATCATATGTTTGTTCTTGAGATTTACTGTTATTTTACTTTACTTACTTACGAGATTTAATTAAATTAATCATTTTTTTTCGTATATTATTTAAATAAACTTCTTATATTCTAATTTACAAAGTATAAACAAACTCAAATCAAATCAAATCAACCAGCCATTTTATTCTAGTCTAATCAAACACTTATTTCTTTCTTCTTTTCCATTGATCTCTCCAATTGTCTAGATCTATCAAAATATAAATTAGGATGATTAATATGCATACTTTCAGCCACAGCACCACTACTAGCTTTTAATTCCTTTTGATGAGTTAATTCAAATACTCTAGTACATGCAATTGAATAATCCCGTTTATCAACATCATCCATAATTTCATTAATTTGATGTTGATCTTCAATTCCTAATTCATTCAAATTAGATATTAAATTATTAACACTTAAATCTCGATATGGACATCCATGATATTCATCTTTACTAGGTTTGGCCTTAGCGAGAATGGTAGCGCAATCCCAAGGTTTATAATTTATACGAGCTCCTTCTAAACCATAATTATGTCTAATATTATATTTATATTCTTTATTAAATTTTTCTTGATTAATTTTCTTTAAAAATTGTTGAGACCAAAATTTTAATGCTTCATCAACATTAAGTCCAATTCCCTTTAAGAATAAACCTAATTGTTGTCTACCACCATATTTCAAATGACTATTGAAGGATAATTGTTTTTGTAAGATTCTTGCACATAATGGATAATGTTGTAAGATTTCCGGGGTTTGAATCGATTGAGCATTGATATCATTAGTATCATCTGAACCGAAATTATTAGTATCATATTGAATATTGGAGAAATTTAAACCTAAATTATTTAATAATGGTAAGATTCTATCATCTTCTTCTAATCTTGGTAAAGTTTGGAACGTTCTTAATAAAATGGTATTTAAATTATCTTGGAATTCAGTTACGATTAAATTCAATTGAAGACTAGTTGGAATATAAGCATACCCTCCTTTTAAAAAGATTGATCGAGAATTAATTAAATTAGTAACTTTTTCAAACGGTAATTTAATGAAATTTTCTTTGAATTTAATATGTTGTTTAACTTGTTCATTAGTGATTTCACTTCCAATTCCTTCTTGTAATAAATGATTCTTTATAATTAGATTCGAGGCATTATATAATTGGTCAAAATTAGCTAGTTTTTCTTCTTGACTTATGAATTTCCAATGTAATCGATGAGAATTCAGCATTAAGAAATCTTCTTGTTCCTTGGGAGTTAATAAATTATATCTAATTCTGAATAAAATCCCTTCATTCTTAATGAATTTCTTTCTTAATTCCTCACTTCTACAAAACACTAATCGTAATATAAAATGAGAATAATGATCTTTCTTTCTTTCTTGATAAAGAGTTGGATTGATTTTCCCATCACTCGAATTACCATTCATAGGTAAATATTTCAATAATAATGGTCTTAAAGCAACTTCGATATCCTTAATTGATTTAGAACGAGCTCCATAACTTTCAATCTCAATTAATAATTTCAATCTATCAATCGACCAATTTTCAAATTCTTCAAGAGTGATTTCTTCTAATGGTGGAATATCATAGAACGTTAATCTCAGTTGATAAATATTATTAAGTTGGCTGATGAGATCTGCTCCTCCCTTTTTGTCACCACTTGACGACGACGACACATCTTCGAAGTTTCTCCGTCCAGCTGTCTTCCTCTTGACTTGTCTGAACATGGCTATCGTCACTAAACTTAATGAAGATCAAACTAAGTTGTAGATAGTTATTATGGTTTATCTGTTTTTGTTTATTGATACTTAAAATTTCAACGCGTCTTTTTTTTCGAAGTAACGTGAGCGCGTTGGATACAGGAACGAACAAAATGAAGTGAAGTGAAGTGAACAGAACAGAAAAAGTTTTGACCGTCATAAATTAGCAACGACGACAACGACGACGAAGGCAAACCTCATTACACCTACTCAGATCAATCAATCAATCATGAGTGACGTTCACATCGACTTGAATACTTTCCATAAAAGATTGTCGATCATCCAACGTCATTTGGTCCAGGATAAAATCAAACAAATCTTGATCTTAGTTGGAGGTCCCGATGATGAAAATACCTATAAGAAATCAAATGTGATTCAAAATTGGTTATTAGGGTATGAATTCACTCATACTTTGATCTATATCACTCAAGAGAAATGTATTTTCATTACGAGTGAAGGTAAGTCTAAATACTTGAATCATTTGGTTAATAAACCTACTCAAAATTCCAGTGATATTGAAATTTGGATTAGAACTAAAGATGTTGAAAAGAATAAAACTTTATTTGTCAATTTAATCAATAAATTAAAGGATGTTGAACTTGAATATGGGATTGTGGTTAAAGATCAATATAAGGGGAAGTTTATTGATGAATGGAATGAAGTTTTAAATCAAGAAATTAAAAAGAATGATAATGTTAATCCATTTAAATTGAATGATATATCACTATTAATCTCCAAATCAATTGAAATTAAAGATTCTGATGAATTTAATAATATTTCAGTGGCTTCTAATGCATCGATTGTAATGTTAGATACGTTCACTAATGAAATGATGACTATTGTCGATGAAGAAAAGAAAATTAGTAATTCAAAATTAACTGATCAAATTGAAGATAAAATTGAAAATAATAATTGGTATAAGAAATCGAAATTAAGTACGAAATTAAAATCCACCAGTTTTGATCCTGAATTATTAGAATGGTGTTATTCTCCAATCATTCAAAGTGGAGGTGATTATGATTTAAAACCAAGTGCTATTTCAAATAATAATCAATTGATTGGTGATGGGGTTATCTTAGCTTCGATTGGTTTAAGATATAAATCTTATTGTGCTAATATCGCTAGAACGTTTTTAATTGATCCTACTAATGAAATGGAATCAAATTATGATTTCTTATTAACTTTACAAAATCATATCATTAACGAATTATTAAAAGATGGTAAAGTTGCTAATGAAGTTTATCAAGGTGCTCTTGATTTCATTAAAGCTAATAAACCTGATCTTTTACCTCATTTCACTAAGAATTGTGGATGGTTAATTGGTATTGAATTTAGAGATTCAACTTTTATTTTAAATGCTAAAAATGATCGTAAATTAATTAATGGTCAAATTATAAGTTTAACCATTGGGTTTAGTAATTTAGTTAATAAAAATACCAAGAATCCAAAATTAAAAAATTATGGTTTATTATTAAGTGATACTGTTAAAATTACCGAATCAGAACCTATATTATTAACTGATTATTCCAAACAAAGATCAGAAATTTCATTTTATTTTAAAGAAGATAATAATACTGCTGCTAAACCATCTGTTAAACAAGAAAAGAAACCAGATCCTAAACTTGAATTAGATGGATCAAGATCGAAAATTTTAAAATCTAAATTAAGACATGAATCAGCTACTAATGAAGATGATTCAAATGCTGATAAATTAAAACAAGAAAATCAATTAAAATTACATGAAAAGAGACAAGCTGAAGGTTTAGCTAGATTTTCAAAAGCTGATGCTACTGATGCATCTGATTTTAAACCGGTGTTCAAAAAATATGAATCTTATATCAGAGAATCACAAATTCCTTCTAGTGTTAAAGATTTAAAAATTCATGTCGATTATAAAAATCAAACTATAATCTTACCAATTTGTGGTAGACCAGTTCCATTCCATATAAATTCATTTAAAAATGGATCTCAAAATGAAGAAGGGGATTATACTTATTTAAGATTAAATTTCAATTCTCCTGGTGTAGGTGGTAATGTTAGTAAAAGAGTGGAATTACCATATGAAGATAATCCCGATAATTCATTCTTAAGATCAATCACCTTAAGATCCAAAGATCATCAAAGAATGATTGATGTATTTAAAGCTATTCAAGATTTAAAGAAAGATTCTGTCAAACGTGAACTGGAAAGAAAACAAATGGCTGATGTGGTAACTCAAGCTAATTTAATCGAATTAAAAGGATCAAGAGTTAAGAAATTAGATGGAGTTTCAGTTAGACCTCAACCTGATACTAAGAGAGTTACTGGTGTATTAGAAATTCATGATAATGGGTTAAGATATCAATCATCATTTAAATCCGATCAAAGAGTTGATGTGTTATTTTCAAATATCAAACATTTATTCTTTCAACCATGTAAAGATGAATTAATTGTATTGATTCATTGTCATTTAAAAAATCCAATTATGATTGGTAAGAGGAAGACTTTTGATGTTCAATTTTATCGTGAAGCAAGTGATATTGCCTTTGATGAAACCGGTGGTAGAAAGAGAAAATACCGTTACGGTGATGAAGATGAATTACAACAAGAACAAGAAGAAAGAAGAAGAAAAATCTTATTGGATAAAGAATTCAAAGCCTTTGCTGAATTAATCGCTGATTCTTCCAATGGTTTGATTGATTTAGATATTCCATTTAGAGAATTAGGATTCAATGGGGTTCCTGCCAGATCATCAGTGTTCTGTATGCCAACTAGAGATTGTTTGGTTCAATTAATCGATCCACCATATTTAGTGGTTACATTAGAAGAAATTGAAATAGCGCATTTAGAGAGAGTTCAATTCGGTTTAAAGAATTTTGACATGGTATTTGTATTTAAAGATTTTTCAAAACCAGTGGTTCATATAAATACTATTCCAATGGAATTATTAGAAGATGTTAAAAGTTGGTTAACCGATGTGGATATCCCGTTAAGTGAAGGTCAAGTTAATTTGAATTGGATTGCCTTTATGAAGACAGTTCAAGCTGATCCTTATCAATTTTTTGCTGATGGTGGTTGGAGTTGTTTAACCGGTTACGGAGAATCAGATGATGAAGACGAAGATGATCAAGAATCTGAATTCGAAGTGACTGATGAAGATCCAAGTGATGAAAGTGAAGCCAGTGCTGATGAAGATGACGATGAAGATGATTATGGTAGTGATTCTGGTAGTGGTAGTGGAGATGATGTTAGTGGAGAAGATAGTGCCGGAGAAGATTGGGATGAAATGGAAAGAAAAGCTGCTAAAGAAGATAGCGAACGTTATAGAGATTAAGTAGGGTTTCTAGTGTAGTGTTGCACATACTATTGTATATTGTATTTTGTATGAAAAATAAATAATAAATAAATAAATAAATTGAAGTAAAAAATGTTTGATATCAATTTAGCTCAAATCAATTGAAGACCAAATATCTCTGAAACCCCACCAAGAAGCTCCAGAACCACAAACACCAACCCAAAATGGAGATAAACAACCTTCACGTAAGGACCAATGTAACACAAGAGGAACTTGAATGACTTGTTTGAATACAGCAATCTTCCAATTTGTATTAGACCATTCCAGTATTGGAGTTCTTCTAAATAATTCAACAATTTCAATTACTAAATAAAGTCCCCAAATTCTTGAACACCAAATATAGGTCTCAAAGGACCACCAATCATTATCATTTGTGCCTACCCAATTATGATCAGTTATCCAACCGGCATTTTCTAATAATTCCAATACTAAACAATTAATCGATTGTAAGAAATTTATAATACGATTTGATTTTGGTGTGATATTGGTAGGATCAGTCATGGCGGTGAATTCATCTATTATCCATGGAGCATATTTGATTGATTCGGTTAATCTATTGAAGATTCTTATATCTGATAAATATGACGATACAGCTTTGAAATGTTTACCGATAGGTGAAGGTTTTGAAGCTTCCTTTTCATCAAAAGTTGGTTTTGGAGCATTAAAAAGATTAATCAAGAATTTATTAGGAGAATTCGTTGATGATGATAAATCGATATTCAAATAGTTCAATAATACTCGTTTAATGACATTCAATAAGTTAAATCTTTGTAATTTCAACCAATGTTTGATTTTATATTGATTATTTAAAACGGCTGATATCAATAATGTAAAATAACAAATGAAATATAAATTAGCATCGACAGTAGATGATTTGCTCAACACTTTATCATTAATCTCTTGATAGAATTTCCTTGACAATACTGATTTCTTTAATAATTCATTCAATTTTAAGATAATCGCTAATGGAATCGATCCTATTGGTTTTTTTAATAATGATTTAGTGGGGATTGAAAGCGGTGAAATTCCTTGTATCGACATGATTGCTTCAGTATTTCTTATTCCAGGTATATCTTGGGATTAATCAGATCTTATTATTGAAGTATATGAGTGTTAGATCTTCGATATTGCTGATATTGCTGATATGACGATGAAAGATCTAAATTACAATTTCCATTATCTGATCAACAAATTTTACCGCTAAAAATAAAAAAAAAAATTAGTTCATCTTTGACCTCGGATTGATTGTACGAATGCGGATAAAAAAATCGTCATAGATAAATTTGATTGCAAAAAGTGAGTACAAGAACTTTAAACAAGATCGTACGATTAAATACTATAGACTGATATAGGGATGGAATGTAATCATACTTGATGATTCTAGAAAGTAAAATAATATAAATATAGGAAAAACAACAATTTAAAACAGTAGAATTGAAGAGATAGATAGTATGAAAGAAAGAAAGAACTATATCCAAAAACCATGAATTTTATCTTTAAAAAGATGGGAACGATTTATACAAAATAAATAAACAGGATTACACTTTATTAAAAAGATCATAATAATTTTTGATCATTTTCATCAGACGAAGATTTAAGATGAGTTATAGAAACATGAGATCTAATAGCTTCAATGGCAATACCTTCCTTTTCAGCATATTGTTGCATACCTCTTTGATCAGCTGAACCAACAGTTTCCAACACAATTTCGTTAATTTCTTCAATATCATCTTCAACTTGAGGTAATAATAAATTCAATATAACTCCAATAAATCCAGTAACAGCGAAACCAGTTTCCATAACTAAAATAATAGCATTGAAAAATCCAGATAATGATTTATTATCACCAGTATAAGTGAAAACAGTACTAAACCAATCTCCAATTAAAGTAGCTCCTAAACCAGGTAACATAGAAGCAGTTAATAAGAAACGATCTCTTCTCGTGAATTCAGTAGTGGAGATAATCTTAATACCGGAAATAGCCACAGAACAGAATAAGAATGAAGTCATACCACCTAAAATTGCACTTGGAATACTAACGAATGCAGCAGCAAATTTAGAAAAAACACCCATAACAATAAGGAAAAAGGCACACCAATAACCAGCATATCTATTAGCACATTTTGTGATTGAAATAACCCCATTATTTTGAGCAAAAGTTGACATTGGAGTAACAGTCATTAAACCAGATAATAAACCATTGAAACCATCAGCTAAAACACCACCTTGAATTCTTGATTCATATAATTCACCTTCAACTTCTAATCTTGATACATCTGAAGTAGCAGTGATATCACCAATAGCTTCCATCATTAATGTGATATAAACAGCTAAGAAAGGTAAGACTATTGGGGCATAAACTTTTAATTTAAAAGTATGAACCCACATGAAAGTAACAGATGGAGCAGCAGCAATAGTACTTGAACTGAAATAACCACAAGCAGCACCAACAATACAACCTACTAATAAACCGACAATAACAGCACATGATTTCATAATTGGAGACCCAAATCTTTCTGATAAAATAATGGAAACATAAACTAAGAAACCTAATCCAATGAATTGAGCTGAACCCCATGGTAAATCAAATTTACCAACTGAACACATTTCACCTACACAACCTGAACCACCAACCCAATCTTCAAACCCGGATTCCACAAGCGAAGCTCCTATTAAAAACACAACTGGACCAGTAACGATTGGAGGAAAGATTTTTTGTAAAGTCTTTGGTGGAATGAAAGATAATAAGATTTCAATTAATGAACATACGATACCGGTAGCTAAGATATGACCATAACCATCTGGACAAGGTAATTGTTTTCCAGAAGCATCTAATGGACAAGCACCAGTTTTATACATTAATGGGAAAGCATTACCAACCACTGAAATGGTGGCGAAGGAAGTACCAACCACCGATAATAAACCTGTACCTAAGTAATAATTAGTACCATAAATATGAAATCTTGTAATTTGAATACATGATAAAATCCCTGAAGTAATTAAGGAAGCACTAACTAAATATTCAGTTAATTTTGGATCTAAATTAGCAACTCCAGCAATAATGATGGGAGGAGTAGCTACACCAGCCAACATAGCTAAACAATGTTGGAAACCTAAAATCATCCCTAATACCACTGGCATGTCTGAATTCAAACCAAAAAATGGTTGAGTTTTAGGTTCTTTAGTCATGAATGGGACATCAGGAATGAATAAATAACCATAATCATAATCACCTAATAACCCTTCTTTGGTGGTTAATTTTCTTACCAACCTTTTACCATTTGATTTTAAATCTGCTAATGAAACCATGATTGAATAATATGTATATATGAAAAATTAAATTTGTATGGAGATCAGCAATTATAAAAAAAAATAATTTGATTGCGAATGTTTTCGTTATCTAAGGAGCAGGGAGGGAAGGAGTAGCAACAACTAAACAACTAAACACACAAACAATGATTTGATGATGAAGGAAAGGATAAAAAATGAACAATGCAAAAATGAAAGGAATGATATGTGATATATATATGTAATTAATATAACTAGTTTAAAAAGAAGATTGATTGATAAAAAGAAAAAATTTTCAAGTTTAGAGATAAAGATAAACTAAATTGAAGACAAGAGAAACAAGACAAGACAAGTTAAGAAATAAAGTCAAAACAAGTATAGATTAAGGGTTATGGATAAATTAAAATTAAATTAGAAAAAAAATATTTTTAAAAGATAGAGATATCATCGATTGAGTTGAGTGGGTGACACATCTGAGAGATTGAGATTAGAAGATAAAGGACATAACCATAAGGGAAGGAAGGAAGGAATAATAATAACAGAAACGAGGAGGAGGTATAAGAAGTAAACGCGGAATATACCATAAATAATAATCACACAAATCAGAGTTAATTTTACTTGATATTACCACAATAAGAAACCATACCTTAGCAACCGTTATAGGTAAGAATTAAAAAGGAAAAATGCCTTAACGGTTTTTACCATTCAACCAAAGTACATTTTTCTAATTTCGGCAATTTGCGTCTCAAATTGCTTTTTATTTTTAAAGGGTGGGTTTTTGATATTTTAAGCTTATCGGTTGTTTCCATACACTATGCAACAACTTCAACTTTTAACTTACCACCCCATTTTCTATTACGAATTACAAATCAAAAAAACAACTTCGTAGTTTAATCTTGTCAATCTATATTATCCTTTACCTTTAATGTCTCGCCCCGGTTTAAATGAATCATTTCAATCAATCAATCAATTACTTTTCATTTTAGGTATACCAAACCTATGGGTGTAAATTAGTACTTTTAACTTGAACGGGCCGGACGGCCTTATACCACATTAAAGTAAGGCCTTCTCATTGGCTTTGATTTTATAACATAATCCCCTTGATTAATATATGGTCTCTCTCATTGCTTATTCAACTAAGTTTATCACCAAGAGTACAAAAACTTGATAATCAAATTTAATTGGTTTAAGATAAAAAAAATTGATTTGGAGTTTTCCACAAATAGAAATTTTCGCGTGTGATCATATCGGACATTACCGAGAATAAATTTTTGATTATCTTTACATAGATTGATCTCTTTTTTGATTTATAGAACAATCATGTTAATATATGTTTAACTTCTACATAATACTTTAGTATTATTATTATTATTCGTTTAACATAATAATATTAATAGATCAGATCATATTTTTAGAGTTAGATGGATAACTGTAAAGCATTCATATACTTGGAGGGAGAGAGTGGCACGTTTACTATTGCGGTATGGATTTACCAACTCTAACAATCATATGATTTTAACAAACCTTGTGATGATGATTATGGGATATAAATTGGATAAGATAAGATTCCAGGGAGATCAATATAGGAAGGTCAATACTTGTTAAATGACAATCTATCAAATCCAAGTTGTTTAATATCGAATTTGATTTACCATTATAATTTAATTTAATTAATGAGACTTTCAAATTTCGGAACATTCCATTTTGTGATTTTGTTTGAGTTTAATGATAGAAATCAGCTATCATAATTAAAAAGTTAATAATGAGATCTTTATCATTAAACTTTTATTTAACTCATTTGACAGATTTTAGCAACTTAAACATATAACAAATTTGGAAAAAAAAAAAAGAACATGAATCGTATTTAATGAAAATTCCGTTATTTCTTTGATGTATCTCTTTTTGAAATTGTATCATAACCTATCTTCGCCAGCTTACGGTAAAGATAAGGAAATGGTTACGATACAGATAATGATGATAAAGATTGACCTCAATTAGCCGATATAGGGACAAATCTCAAACCCATTAAAGAATAAACCAAATCTATGCTTATTCTGAAGAGTATCGTATTGACACGATTACGAAATTAGGGGTAATGAAGAAAATATTGCAACAATTAATTAAGGCTGGTTTAAAATAGATTTGAACAATGCTTAGAAATGAGGCATAATGTTACCAATCACCTCTCATTATCTTTTCATAAAAATAAATTTAAAATCAAAATAAACCGTTTGATTATATAAATAAGAGAGATTGTGAATTATAAAAGGGTGAAATAAAAGGGTTTAAATGAAATGAATTAGATATTATTGTTTTATATGTATATTTGACAGATTTAGTGGATTGATAACATTACTTACACCCCTAACCTCATATATAAACTGTAAAGGAGGCTTTCTCTTTCCATTTTAAGACAAATTTCGAAATTGTGATCACGTGATCTAAATTGCATTTGAAATTTTCGTATTCTTGTTAAAAAATAGAACATAGATACATAAAAATATTTCAATTTCATTTCATAGAATTTCAGGGATTAGTAAATATTATTTAATTACCAATTTCTATCATCATCAATTGAATCAAGTAGAAGGATATATCGTATCGCACCGAGGTCGTATCGTATCGTATCGTATCATAAGGAATAGAATAATCTGGTATCAACGTGTCTTTTTAAGATTTTTGACATATATACATATATATTAACGACCCATAATTTGACATGACATCGTAGAATCAATCCCGCTTTTTAAATAAACGGTGAAAAAGCTTAATAAATTGAAAAGGAAGGATGGTAGAAATCAACTCACTTCGTACTCACTCTTCCACCTCAATTTTAGATTTAAAATGAATACCATTCCATTCAAATTTGACGCCTCTTATTTTGATTTTAAAAAATAAACCCACTTTTTTTTTTTTGCTTTCGATTTTAAAAATATAGTTTTTTAAAAGTCTATGATGATGCAATGACAATATATGATTTGATATATAACGACAGATCATCAAAACTAAGAAGGATGACAGATTGATTAATTCATTAATTGATTAACGGGCTTTAATAAATATTACCGTAAGGTTTTATTAGTAAAATTGATAGTTAAATAAATTATTATTTTTGAATTGATACGTTTCCCTTAAGATTATGTGGCGAATGAAATTTATTACCCATTATAGAAGTCTCATTTTTAATGACAAGTCATTCTCTTTAAATATGGCGGCTATTTTATCTCTTTCTCCTTTTGTCCAAAAAAAAAATATTTTGAGTGGATAGGAAGAAGAAGAAGTAGAGGAGGAGGAAGAGGAGGAGGAGGAGGAGGAGGAGGTGGAGGCTCAATGAAAGATTTACTGACATTCGATCAACCCATTTTTCCAAGAGATTATCTTTCTACACGTTGAAGAGGAGGGTCAATGAATACACGTATATGACCTCCATAACGTTACACAAACCTTGATCTCATCTAATCTCATCTCTTACTAACCGCCATTCATAAATTTTATTTATTTATTGTAGTTTGTTATTATGTTTTTTGGTCTAATCTGATTTTCGACATTCATTTAAAAATCTGACAAACCAAAACACTCAACTTGAAATATCCCCTCTTGACTTACCTAATTTGGAAAGCTAGCACACTACAAGTCACTATTTTATGAATTTCTTTTTTTTCTGTACATGCATCAGAAAAAAAGTTAACAATGCATAAACATAAAAAATAAAATAAAAAAATGAATTAACTTTTTTAATTTTTTATTTTTTTATTTTTTTTCTCCCAGGCAGGCACTTTTTTTTTGATTTGTTACCGCTTTTCTTTCCCCTTGTCAATTCGGTGATCAGACTACATATTATTTTTATGTACTATGTTCTTCCTCCCTTCTTCCAATGATGTGATGGACGTTCGATCATTACCGTAAGTACTGCTGATTATCTATCAACACCTGATCGATTGGTAGATCTCGATGATGTAAACAATGTTAATCACGGAGAAGAGCATTTCTTTTGTAGTCACTGTCTTTTAGGTTCAACTACTGGAACTGTCTTGGCAAATATTTAAAAAATCATAAAAAAAAACAGAAAAAATTAAATTCCAATCAAAAAAAAAAAAAAAAAAAAGAATCAAATTTCGCAAATCATTTTCGAGAGTTATACCCGTACAACTGAATTATCATTTTCAAACACATTTAGTATAATTCAATAATAGATCGTTATCATACGTAACCGACCAACATCATTCTTGGTAATCAAAACTAATTCGAAAAAGATATACACCTCACTCGGTAATCATCACAAACGAATACTAAAATAAGGAACTGTGGATGTACACTGATGTATGTACGTGGAGGACTTTCTTTATTTAAGGTTTGATAGTGTGGACTCCGCTGGGTTTAAGTTTCATCTGCCCTTAAAGTAAATACATTTATATATAAAGACTTAGATAATAGCGTATGAGCCTTAATTCAAAGATGGAGAGATTGATGAGATAAAGTAAAGGATCATAATCGAAATCATTACGGTGGAGAGCGTAATCAAAAAGGAATATAACAACAAATCAAGCTTATCTATTACTTTTCTTGTACCTTTTTATTAACGACAGGAGTCCCTTAATGTCAATTAACGTTCAGTTCAACTTTGTTATCGTCAAGTTTTGTTGTCAATTGATACTTAAAACCATAACAATGATGAACATACTACCGACTTTTTATTTTTATTTAATTTTATTTAAGCCTGTTGTATTAATTAAATTTCGTATATTGCGTATTTAACATTATTATTCAGATAGATAACCATTTCGGAGATTAATATGAATAGGGATATATTGTCAAACAAATTTTGTTTTATGATTGAAAAATATATTCAAAACCGGTAAGTGCTCACGCGACCTTATGAAATTGAACAATGCAAGGCAAAAGAATTAATTAGGTATCCTATCCCAAAGTAGTATCTGTATACACATTTTTGATTAAACAATGAATGAAAGAAAAGAAAGAATCAGAGTTAATAAAGCTAATCTAAATTAGTGTATTATATTTTTAACGAGTATATACTAATTATTTAAGGCGATCTGATCCAGTCTCACAGTGAAAAAAAAAAATAAAATCATCATATTTGACAAAACAGTATAATGATGTAATTATCACCAATCAGTTAACAATGTTAAAAAATAGTAAGGAAAAACTAATCATTAACTTTCTTGTCTTATTCGATCTTATCTCAATCTTTCTTGGGACTCCCCAATCATCACCCGATGCAAAAGGGGTCGAAAACCTTACTTTTTTGTTTACAGCCCCACCGATAGAATCATTTCTTGGAAATTTTTGAACATGGCATACATATACTAACTTAGCGAAGATCTTTCCCTTTTTATACTGTTTGTGTAGAAATCATAAAATACAACCTATAATATATAATATAACACATTCATAGAGATGATCAAAATTATTTTGTACTCGTCATACCTTTTTTTTATTTTTATCAGAGAATTATTTTTTATTATCCGGTTTTGTGGCGATAATATTTTTTAATCTTTTTTTTTAATTTGTTTTTTTAATTTTTTTTTTTTTTTTTTAATTTTCGACAAAACTGTATGGCATTTCAGTTTAGAAATTCATCATTCTACACCAATTTAATGTCTATTTTGTGATGTCTTTTTTTTAATTTATTTTTATTTAATTTTTATTTTTTTTATTTTTGAATCCCATTCATTCATTCACTCATTCATTCATCAATGGGTGTTCATACATACATATTATACAATTCTTACATATATTTATATATCCTTACATACATGAAGAAAACAATAGAATGTAGAAATGTATATCCCACTCTAAAATCTAACTGAATTGAATCATTATTTTTATTCCAAGATATATACGTATTTTGTTTTTATTCTTTTTATATATATATATATATCTTCAATACTTAAATTTTGATTTTTGGAAATTTTAAGATCTTTGATTTTAAGTTTAATAATTTATATAACCATCCGTTTATTGTATTTTATTTTATTTATTGATTGGAAATAGTTACCAAACCAAAACCCAAAACCCCAAAAAACTATTTTAATTCCATTATTCCATCGTTCCATCAGTTTTCCATTCCCCATTCATTTAAATTTTAATACTTAAATTCGTTTTATTCTTTCATCAAAGTTAGAACCTTGCAATTTAATAATTTACTTTATTTGAATGTCATTCACTCATACTAATACTGATTAAAGAAAAGACTCGGACACCCATCCCCAGCATTTAAAATATCATAAAATAGACAATACATTTTAATAATTCATTCATATCATCCCCCACCGCCATTCACTTACACACTTCCGCATAACCTATTCATAATAAAAACACTACCTCATAAATTCATCCATTCATAGCATAATAACATACCATGTCTCATCACATATATAGCAAAGTACCTCGAATATTTAAGAGGAAATTTCAAGTTTTTCTCGCTATAGGACTTTGTATAATCATATCTTATTCTGTAGTTGCATGTTCATCATTTTTAATCACATCTTCAAGATCAGAAAATATCATATCATCAACATTAAAACATTCACAATATTTTAAAGATATATTATCTCTTGGTGATGATAATTATTATGATGATGAAAATAGTCGATTTTCAGATGAAGATGGACTTGATAATTTAAATTCTTTTGCTGTAAAAGATCCTGATAATTATTTTAATAAAAAAGTTGAAGATTTATATCAACAAAAAATTGGAACTGATTTAGAACAAAAATTTTGGGTATTAGATGTTGATATTACTAAGGATTCAAGAGTTGAAATCCCTAGTTATTTCTATCAAATAATTAATGAAAATCCTGAACAAGATCAACCAGATACTTTTATTGGTACCACTCATGATATTGAAAATAGAAGATCTCCAAAACCAATAATTCAACCTTTTGATCCAAGATTCACTTTAGGTATTTATTATCATTATTTAAAAAAGAATTATCCTGCTGCCCAATATGGTTTACAAGTTCCGTTTAATTGGTATGATTGGGTTGATTTATCAGCCTTAAATCCTTATTTATTAGCATCATCAGCTGATTTAAACCGTCCTAGTTGTGATTTAATCGATTCTAGACAAGATGAAGAAAGACTTAATGCAGCAAAAGATGCTGAAAAAAAGGAAAATGATCGTAAAGTAAAAATCTTAAAAGGTGAGGATCCTGATGCTGAAGAACCAACTGAAGAAGAAATACAGAAACAAGAAGAAGAAGAAGAAAAGAAAAAACAAGAAGAAGAAAAGAAGAAACAAGAAGAAAAGAAAAAGCAAGAAGAAGAAAAGAAGAAACAAGAAGAAGAAAAACCAAAGGAAGAAGATAAACCAAAAGAAAAACGTCATTTAGTTAAACGTGGAAATGCAGAAGATGCCAATAGATTCTGTATCAATGATGAAAAATTACCTAGTAATCATAATGATGGCCATGAAGTTCATCCTGGTTTTAATGCTTTTGGTCGTGAGGGTAGACTTTCAGAACAAAAATCTATCTTAGCCGGTCAATCATATCTTTATTCATTTGCTCCTCCTCCTTCTATGATTTTATTCTTAACTAAAGATGGATCTTATAATGTTACAATTGATACTGAAAATAATAAACCTTTAATTGATAACGGATTAGTTGAACAATATATTGCTGATACAAATAATGATCATGTTGATATTCTTCAAGAATTTTTATCCTTAACTAAAGAAATTGAAGTTAATAAACATCGTGTTTTAACTGCATATGAAGTGGAATTAGATGAAGAATCATTTTATATTGATTTTGATAAATTAACTGAAGAATATGAAAAAAATATTATGAATTTAAAACCAAATGAAAGAAATTATCTTGAAGGATTAAAATATTCCAAATTTAAACTTGATCATGGTGGTCCACCAAAATATTTTGAAGAAGCAAGATTAATTGAAAGTCAAACTGGTGATCATTATGATTGGAGATTTTTCCATGGTTTAATGTATGGAAGTTATGATCAAACTTTAGTCTTACATAGATTAGTAAGAACTTGGTTATCATTTACTAGAAAATCAGGTATAAGAACTTGGGTTGCACATGGATCATTATTAAGTTGGTATTGGGATGGTATTGCCTTTCCATGGGATAATGATATTGATGTTCAAGTTCCAATAAGTGATTTACATAAATTATCCCTTGAATTTAATCAAACTATAATCGTGGAAGATCCTGAAGATGGTTTCGGTCGTTATTTCTTAGATTGTGGTACTTTTATAACTCAAAGAAATAAAGGTAATGGTAATAATAATATTGATGCAAGATTTATTGATGTTGATAGTGGATTATATATTGATATTACTGGGTTATCTGTTAGTGATAATCAACCTCCACAAGGGGATAGAAATAGATTACCCGATGGATGGAAAACTCCTTCTGATGAAGATAGTGAAGTTAAATCTTGGGTTGATACCAATCTCTATTTGAAAGTCTATAATTGTCGTGATAATCATTTTTATCATATTGATGAATTAAGTCCATTGATTAAAACCTCAATTGAAGGTGAAATTGGTTATATTCCTCATAAGTATCCACAAATTTTAAGTCATGAATATAGAGCTGGATTAAGAGATAAAAAATATAAAGATTATATCTTTTTACCACAATTAAGAATATGGTTACATGAAATGGATTTATATTATTTCATGAAGGATAAAGAAGTTTGGAATAAATATCATAATTATAATTTGAATTATATTGAAGCACTTCAAGATCCTGACTTTGATGGAGATGAAAAGCTTATCTTTAAAGATTTCCAATATGAATTAACTGAAGAAGAATTGAGTAAAATCAAATTAAATAATGAATTGAATCAAAAAGCTCAAGTTAAAGATTTCAAAGCTCATAAAATCGAATTAACTGGTAAAGATATTGATGCCGTTTATAAATTGAATTATGATGAAATTTTGGATTTATTAAATAAAGATGATATATTTATGAATTTTTATCAAAGTAAAGAATTCACTGCATTCCATGAAAACGAAATAATGAGATTATCATTTGGAAAATCAACTGCATCATTAATCAATGGAGCTCCTGATTTCAAACCAATTCGTTATGATCCATTCTTATATAAAATGAAGAATGAATATACCACTTATGAAAATGAAGTTGCAAGATATATGCAATTATCTGAAAGTTATACTCAAAATGAAAAGGAAATTGAAAACGCCAATAGACATGATTATACCTAGATAATTCACCCTTTTTTTCAACCATATCACCAATTAGATCATGATTAACGCCCTTCCCCCTTCACATAGACCAAACTATACCATAAATAGATTTTTACATCCAATCATTTCAACACTGACAAAACATTCAAACAAACATACAATCAATCAGATAGTAAAGTACAAATACGATTGATAGACATGAAAAGGAGGATACATATAGTAATACTCTAGTCAAAGCATTTTATTGATGTTTTCCTTGTTGCTGTTGTTGTTGTTGTTGTTGCTGCTGCCGCCATTTTTATATTCATTACTTAATAACAATTTGCATTCTCTTTTTCTCCTTTGTATAATAGTATTTTTAATACATGATAACTTACGTTTACCCAAGGTGGGTCGTCACCATTGTATGATACCTAACCCCTATAGATGATACATCTACTGTTGTCAAGAAGTAGAAATGTGGTAAAAATTCTGAATGTGGTGGTTGTCAGTTTGAAAACGTTTTTTCGGAGACTTTAAGATTTGTCCATAAATTATTTTTTTAGTACTAATTTTAACTATCATGAAATGTGGGAATTGTATGGCAAAGGGAAGGGACCAAGGGCGGGATATTCCTTTCATTATATAGTATCAACAATTGACATCGCTTATGTGTAATGTATGTTGAGCCCTTTTTCAATGCCATAATAGACGAAATTTGCTATTTATAGATTTAAATTTTGATTTAGAGTTTATTGTTGTGTTGTGCCGTACCGATGTAGAGGCTTTGACACTTTTGGCGTTTTAATTATAATTCAGTATAGATATATGTTTCCCCTACGTTAAGTTTCTGTCACTTCATTGTTTTCACCAATATCAACTCTACATCTACATCTATTGTTAGTGAAATTATTAAAACTTTAATCTATTTATAACCAATTTTTGTTACATTTTTTTTTTTAAAAAAGGAGAAAGGACATATACGTAAAACACATTAAAATACTTTTTCATAAACTTAATTCTCATTGGCTTCCAGTGAAAACTTTGCTTGAGCAATTAAATTTGGTGGGGCATCCATAGTAGGTAACATAACTTCAATCATTCTGATTTTATTGGGGATTTTAAATGAAACATCATCAAATAATCGATTTAATTCTCCAACTGTTGATGTTCTAATTGCTTCATATTCTTTAGCATTAAATAATGGTAATATACCAAGATTCTTCCAAGGTTGAATATCATTATAAGTAGCATTCATCCCATGAATCAATCTTTCAATGGTATATCCATCATTATTCAATACATATAACCAAGTATTATTACATTCCCATTTACATAAGGTTGAAATTTCTTGAACCGTTAATTGTAAGGATCCATCACCCACAAATAAAATCACTCTTTTATTAGGATTCATTTCTTGAGCTGCCATAGCTGCTCCAACCGTGGCTCCTACCGTGAATCCAATCGAACCCCATAATACTTGAGATATTCCAATGGTATTATTTGGGAATTTAGATTGAATAATCCCAAATGCTGATGTACCTGTTTCAGTAACGATAATATCCCCTTCTTCAAACCAGGATGAAACTTTTGTCCAAAGATATTCTTGAGTTAATGGACTGTTTGGTTCGAATTTATTTATATCCAATTGTTTAATGATTGGAATAGGAGTTGGGATATATTTATTAGGAACCTTAACCACTTTTAATAATTCCTGTAAAACTTCTTTCATTTGAATACCAGGGAAAGTAGCTTGTTTGATTTTAGTATAATCCGAATGGAATTCCACTATATTTTTAGTTTTATAACTATAAGAAAAGGAACCAGTATTAAAATCACTTAATAAGGCTCCAATTGAAATAACCAAATCACTATTTTCCACAAATTGTTTAACTTCAGGTTGACTTAAACTTCCAACATAAACCCCACCAAATCGAGGATGAGATTCATTGAATGTTGATTTCCCCATTGGAGTAGTGAAAATAGGGAATTGAGTTTTATTAACTAATTGTTCAACTTCAAATTTACAATTATGTCTTGAAGCACAAGCATCAACTAATATGATTGGATTTGATGAACTTGAGATTAATTTTTGAATCAATTCAATCACTTCTTCTTGAGCTTCTGGTTCATTTGGTTTTAATGATAAATCGATCGATTGACTTAATAAATTAGCTGGGACTTTTAAATCCACTAAATTTGCCGGTAAACCAATATAAACTGGTCTTTGATAAATATAAGCTTCTCTAATACATCTATCAATTTCCTGTGGAGCAGTAGTAATATCGGATATGAAAGCAGTAGTTTGACTTATATTATTTGACATTCTATGAAATACAGTGAAATCTCCATTCCCTAACGTATGATGTAATAATAATTGTTTAGCTTGAGATGCAATGGATGGAACTCCAACCACATGTAATAATCCAACATGTTCAGCATAAGCTCCTCCTACCCCATTAAGAGCTGATAATTCTCCAACTCCAAAAGTAGTGACCAAACATGCTAAACCTTTGATTCTACTATATCCATCAGCAGCATAAGCTGCATTCAATTCATTGGCATTACCTGCCCACCTCATTTTAGGTACTTCATATACTTTATCTAATAATGATAGATTGAAATCACCTGGTAATCCAAAGATAGTATCAACTTCAAGTTGATGTAACCTTTCAAAGAGATATCTTCCTAAAGTTATCTCAGACATTATTATAGTATTATTATTGTTATGATGATGATGATGATTTTTGCAATTTTTGGGTGTGAATATATGGTTCGATTGATATATTATGAGAGCGTATAGTTGAGTATATAAATAAATATACGACTCTATAGTTTGAATAAGGATAAAATAATACCTTCCGGTGATGGTTTATGAAATAGAAATTTATTTAAAAGTAACATGGGATCAACAAATGGCATATAATAATGGAAAGGTCTAAATTTAAAATTTTTTAATAAAATTGCAGTTAATTATTTAGTGTTTATAGGTGTGAAATATTTGTATAGTTAACAAAGAAAAAGTCACTGTAACCGCATACTCATTGAAGAAATCAGTCTATTAAATTGTGCCCATAAGCGCATACTACACTTAGATACAGGTTATGCTGTTACACGTCTCAACAGCCCACAGATGGATACATTATATGCACGACCTGCTATTTGCTCCTTAATACAAAAAGAGAAAGAGAGAGCGGCTAAAAAAAAAATAAAAAAAGAGTGACGAACTACACGTGCAAAGAGGAGAACGAAAACAATTTAATTTACGAGAAGGAGAAGAGTTACCCGGCGTGAAATATCACGAGGGATTTTCTCACATGGTTTTTTCTCAGGTGATTCAATTTATCAAAGTCAAACTCCCTTTCCCTCCTCCTGAATAAAAAAACGTGATTGCCCTTTTGTCTTTTTTTACTATACAAACCTGCTGCAACTCTTCTTTGTTAGTTCTATAAATCAGTTAACTAGATATTATTGCAACTACTACTCCTCAAGAAGTCATAGTACCATTCTCAACCAAGTTCATATAGGTATGTATTCCATGAAACTGTTGTTGTTCTTTTTGTTTTTATTGTCGTTGTTGTTGTTATTTCATAAAATTTAGCAAACCATTTGTTTTGGGTTTGTCTATATCAATAATACCACAAAAAAAAGTATGGGGGGTGTGAGTAGAAAATAATTCTACTCCAACTCGTGATCATGTGTCAGGCCTATCCATGTGACATATACCAATGTTAATCAATTACTATCATTGATAAAGACAAATTACAATAATCATAACTGGAATGAAAAAAAAAGAATGAAGTAAAGTGAGTGAAAAGATTACTAACAAATTTCTAGTTATAAAAGTTTTACCATGTCAAAAAGAGACGTTGAAGATACTTCTGCTGAAGTTGATGCTAAAAAGGCCAAGGTCGATAAGAAAGATGATAATAGTGCCATTGATTCTGAATTATTAGGTCAACAATCGTCTTATGCTAAGCAAGAAACTACCATTGAAGTTCCAGGTACAGGTGAATCTACTTCTGCTACTGAAAATAAAGAAGAAGGTGATCAAGATATTGCTGAAGCTGCTGCTGCTGCTGCGGTTGCTGCTGAAGCTGATAAAATCCAAGATGCTTTCAAATTCCAACAACAACAACAACATCAGCAACAACAACAAGCAGCTGCGGCAGCAGCTGCTTCTGGAGCTGAAACTTCCGCTCCTGTTTCAAGAGTTTCATTCCAAGCTACTACTCTACCAACTAGTAATAAACCACATCATGGTACTGATGAATGGCATAGACAAAGAAGAGAAAATCATAAAGAAGTTGAAAGAAGAAGAAGAGAATCTATTAATTTAGGTATTAAAGAATTAGCCACTTTAATTCCGACTCAAGATACTAATAAAGCCCAAATTTTACAAAGAGCTGTTGAATATATTAAAAGATTAAAGGAAAATGAAAATAATAATATTGAAAAATGGACTTTAGAAAAATTATTAACTGAACAAGCTGTTAGTGATTTAAGTTCTTCTAATGAAAAATTAAAATCAGAATTAGAAAGAGCTTATAAAGAAATCGAACAATGGAAATCTCTTGCTAGAACTGAAAAGAGTTAAATGTGTCTTGTTATTTATTTTTCTTCAATTGTATTCTAGTTTCGTTTGACATTTCTTGTTCTTGTATTTTTATATTTCTTTTCCAGATCTCCTTTTCCCTTTTTTCTTTTTATATGGGATTAATCCAAATGTATTAGTAAATCTTCCTGTAGTTTTAGTTTAGTCTTAGTTTAGCCCTTCTTTTATTTTAACATTAAAAAATATATTTCACTTTATAAGTTGTATCCTAACGGGTTTTTGTAAAATGGTTCTCATTATTTGCAATTTGCAACTACCATCTCAGTACAAAATCAAACAAAGAGAGAAAAAAAAAGTAGTGTGTGATTGTGTTGCCACTCTTAAGAAAAAAATATCAATCATATAAATAACGATAAATTGATCCATTATATTCCATAGATATATTAATTAACCATCATATATCATGGCAGTTCCATTTCCTGATATAGATCCGTATGAGATTCTAGAAGTCGCCAAGGATTCATCTCCTATAGATATAAAGAAATCATATAAAAAATTATGTCTTAAATATCATCCTGATAAATTACAACAACAACAACAAACGGTTGATCCTCATCAATTTCCCAAGATTCAATTTGCATATAGTATACTAAGTGATTCCAATAAGAGACAACGATATGATCGGACTGGATCCTTACATGATTTCGATGATGATGAAGGTGGAGATTTCAATTGGCAAGAATATTTTGATTCTATAAATGAAAAAATCACCATTGAAATGATTGTGGAAGATAAATTAAAATATCAAAATAGTGAAGAAGAAAAAGATGATATTATCACTAATTTCATTTATTATGAAGGGGATTTTCTTAAATTATTTGAATTGATTCCTCATTTAGAATTCAGTGAAAGTGAAGAACAAAGAGTATTTGCTATTATTGAAGATGAAATTGAATCAAATGAAGATTTACAATTAGATAAATCAACCGTATTATCATGGAATAAATATAAAAAATCAAGAAAGACAAAAGTAAAACAAATGTTAAAGAAATTAGCTAAAGAAGCTAAAGAAGCTGAAGAATTAGAACAAATTTTAAAATCGAAATCGAAGTCACATCGATCCATTAAAAATGAAAGTGATTTACTGGCGCTTATAAAGAGTCGTCAATCCAATCGTTTAGATACTCTTATAAACTCATTAGAGTCCAAATACATTAATAATGATAAGAAAGGAGGTAAAAAGAGAGCAAGTAAAGATATCAGTGATGCAGAATTTGATAGAATTCAAAAGGATTTAACTAAGAACAAACGATCAAAGAATTAATACCCTCCTCCTCATTATACTTAATTATTCATTCATTCATTCATAGGCTCATTTTAAACGTGTCGCTATATACATAGTCTTACATATATATGTCTTTATACGTATAATACTTAATATCACATAAAATTTGATCTCATACACAAACATAACGCGTAAAACTTTCTCTCCAAATTTTTTTGTTTTTGGCTGCCATGTTTATTTTTGTTTTTTGAGTGTGTTGTAAATATTGATCTGTGTCTTTTAAGTATTGATCTTACTATCTTTACTGATCATTCAATCTATATATCTATCAGATCTTATCACATCGCTGGAAGTAGCCAATCATATCATGTCAAGTGGATCAGAACCGGAATCGGAATCTGACTTTTATTCAGATGCTGATGCAGATGATTTCATGCCATCTCCTCCTCAAAAGAAATCAAAATCAAAACAACCATTAGCTGATTCAACCAATAGCAGCATCAGTACCCCCGGCATCAACTGTATCCAGTAAACCAAATTCAAAATCTTCAACTCCAAAACCAGGAAAGGGCAACAATGCTTCTGATCAGTATCAAAAATTGTCTCAATTGGAACATATCTTAAAGAGACCTGATACGTATATTGGATCGGTTGAAAAAACCGCCATGGAATTATGGTGTTTTGATGCTGAAACTGAATCAATGGTATATAAAGAAGTTAATATCGTTCCTGGGTTATATAAGATCTTTGATGAAATATTAGTAAATGCTGCTGATAATAAAATTAGAGATTCATCCATGAAAAATATTAGGGTTAAGATTGATCCTGAAAATAATGTTATTGAAGTTATGAATGATGGTAAGGGTATCCCTATTGAAATCCACGATAAAGAAAAGATTTATATTCCAGAATTGATCTTTGGTAATTTATTAACTTCATCAAATTATGATGATGAAGAAAAGAAAGTCACTGGTGGTAGAAATGGGTATGGGGCTAAATTATGTAATATATTCTCCACTGAATTTCAATTAGAAACTTCTGATTTGAATACCGAAAAGAATTATAAACAAGTTTGGTCAAATAATATGTCTACTGTTACTAAACCCAAAATTGTGAAATTGAAAACTAAAAAGGAATTCACAAGAGTTACATTTAAACCAGATTTAGAAAAGTTTGGTATGGATTCGTTGGATGAAGAGATCTTATCAGTGTTAAGAAGAAGAGTCTATGATTTATGTGGTACAGTTAAAGATTGTAATATTTATCTTAATGATAAAAAGTTAAATATTAAGAATTTCAAAGGATATATTGAAATGTATGTTAAAGCCATTAAGGAAAGATCACCAGAACCGATTGCAACTGAAGAAAACAAATCATTCACAACTTTAGTTCATGAAGTTGTTAGTGATAGATGGGAAATTGGATTTGCTGTTAGTGATGGAAGTTTTAATCAAGTAAGTTTTGTTAATTCAATTGCCACAACCTCAGGTGGTACTCATGTTAAACATGTATCTGATCAAATTATCAATAAATTAATTGAAAGTGCATCTAAAAAGGAAAAAGGGAAGAAAAAATTAATGATTAAACCATTTGAAATTAGAAATAATATGTTTTTATTCTTAAATTGTCTTATTGAAAATCCAGCTTTCACATCTCAAACTAAAGAACAATTAACTACAAGAGTTGCCCAATTTGGTGGTAAACCAAGTGAAAAATTAGTTATTAGTGATCAATTTATAGCTAAAATCTTAAAAACAGGTATTCTTGAGAAAATTAGAGAAATTTCTAATGCAAATGAAGATAAAGCCTTACAAAAAGCCGATGGGTCAAAGAAACTGAGAGTTAAAGGTCAAGTTAAATTAGTTGATGCCAATCGTGCTGGTACGAAAGATGGTCATAGATGTACTTTGATTTTAACCGAAGGGGATTCCGCTTTGTCATTAGCTGTATCAGGTTTAGCGGTTGTTGGACGTGATCATTATGGTTGTTTCCCATTAAGAGGTAAATTATTAAATGTTAGAGAAGCATCAGCTGATCAAATATCTAAAAATGCTGAAATCAATTCCTTAAAACAAATTATTGGTTTACAACATAAAAAGCATTATAGTACAGAAAATATTAAAACCTTAAGATATGGTCATATTATGATCATGACAGATCAAGATCAAGATGGTTCACATATTAAAGGTTTAATCATTAATTTCTTAGAAACTAGTTTCCCAGGATTATTAAATATTCCAGGATTTTTATTGGAATTTATCACTCCTATTGTCAAAGTCACAATTAAAGGAGGAAGAGCAAATAATAAAAAAATATTATCATTTTATACCATGCCTGAATTTGAAAATTGGAGAGACTCTGAAGGTAAAACAGTTAGATGGACTCAAAAGTATTATAAGGGTTTGGGTACTTCTACTCCAGCGGAAGCTCGTGAATATTTTTCAGCTCTTGATAAACATTTAAAACGGTTCCATGCCTTACAGGAAGATGATAAACAATATATTGATTTAGCCTTTTCAAAGAAAAAAGCTGACGATAGAAAAGAATGGTTACAAGCTTTTGAGCCTGGTACTCATTTAGATCCAAACTTATCTGAAATTCCAATTAGTGATTTCATTAATAAAGAATTAATTTTATTCTCAATGGCTGATAATGTTAGATCTATCCCAAGTGTTTTGGATGGGTTTAAACCAGGTCAAAGAAAAGTTTTATATGGTTGTTTCAAGAGAAATTTAAAGAATGAAATCAAAGTGGCTCAATTAGCAGGTTATGTTTCAGAACATACAGGTTATCATCATGGTGAACAATCATTAGTTCAAACAATTATCGGTTTAGCTCAAAATTTCATTGGATCCAATAATATTAATGTTTTAAAACCAAATGGTGCCTTTGGTACCAGAGCTGCAGGTGGTAAAGATTTTTCGGCTGCAAGATATATTTTCACTGAAATCAGTGAAATTACTCGTAAAATTTTCAATCCATTAGATGAACCATTATATACCTACATGCAAGAAGATGAACAAACCGTAGAACCACAATGGTATTTACCTGTGATTCCTATGGTGTTAGTAAATGGTGGAGAAGGTATTGGTACGGGTTGGTCGACTAATATTCCAAGTTATAATCCAATCGATTTAGTCAACAATATAAGAAATTTAATGAATGGTGAAGAATTAGAAGAAATGACTCCATGGTATAAAGGATGGGAAGGTATAATCGAGCCTAATGGAAGCGATAAATATAAAATATCTGGTATTATTGAACAAGTGGATGAATCTACTTTGGAAATTACCGAAATTCCAATTAAGACCTGGACTAATAACGTTAAGGAATATTTATTATCAGGATTTGGAAATGAAAAGTCACCCGCTTGGATTAAAGATATGGAAGAACAACATGGTATTAATATTAGATTTGTGATTAAATTAAGTCAAGATGAAATGATTAAATCTAAAAAGATTGGTTTATTAGAACGTTTTAAATTGATTTCTTCTATAAGTTTAGCCAATATGGTCGCCTTTGATCCATTAGGTAGAATTAAAAGATATGAAAGTTGTTTGGAAATATTAAAAGATTTCTATTATGTTAGATTGGAATATTATCAAAAGAGAAAAGATTATCTTACTGATGATTTACAAAATCAATTATTAAAATTATCAGAACAAGCCAGATTCATTAAATTAATCATCGAGAAGAAGTTGAGTGTATCGAATAAGAAAAGACAAGAATTAATCGATCTTTTAAGACAAAATAAATTCACTCCATTTAGTAAAGAAAATAAACCAATTAAACCTGAATTATTTACCAACGATGATGAAGACGAAGTCGAGGAAGATGAAGTTGGAGATGTTAGTCAATTAAATGTTAGTGGAATTATTAATGAACAAGATATTAACGAACATAAACCAGATACTATTTATTCGTCCTATGACTACTTATTGGGAATGCAGATTTGGTCATTAACTAGAGAGAGATACGAGAAATTATTGATCCAAAGAGATAATAAAGAAGAAGAATTAAAGTTATTATTAGGTAAGAGTGCGAAAGACTTATGGAATCATGATTTGGACGTATTCGTAAATGAATGGGAGAAATTCCTTGACGATGATTACAAAGAAAGAGCTGCAATTATTCCAAGTAAAGGCAGTAAGAAAACTAGTAAAAGATCAAGAAAACCAATTACTAAACCCAAACAAGAAGTGGAAGAGCTTGATGATTTCGACGAACCTATTAGAAAGAAGCCAAATACAGCTAGGAGTATTTCAACCCCAAAACCTAAATCTTCTAATGTTGCAATTAAAAAGGAAATAGTTCAACCAATCAAAAAGGAGAAACCAAGAGAACCCGATGTGTTATCATTCTTTTCATCTAGTGTTAGTACTACTCCAGTTAAGAAACCAAGTATTCATGATACGTTTAAGTCAACTACAAAGACTTATAAGAAGCCAAAAAGTAAACCATCAACCTTTAGTGACAGTGATGATGATTTATTGCTTGGGTTAAGTAATGAGTCAACTCCAAGAAAAATAGCTTCTGGTAGATCTGTAACTGCAGAAGAAGTTCATGAAATAGAAGATGAAGACGAAGACGAGCCAATAATCACTAAGAGTAAGCCAATAATTAAGAGTAAGCCAAATGCTAGACCTAAACCAGGCTCAAAGGCTGCTTTATTAGAAGAGTTGGAAGATTTAGGAGTTACTTCAGATGATATTGAAGAATCAAGTAATGACAGAAGACCAAAGAAAAAGGTGAGCTATCAAATCATAGATAGTGAAGAAGATGATGAAGAAATGTCCAATGATGATGATGATAACGATGAAGAAGAGGATGATTATTATGAAGATGATTGATCGATCGGAGTTGTTAGAGGGTCTTGATACGTAGCTTTTTCTATAGTTTTGATGATTTCGCTATTATATAGATAAATTCCGATATTTGCTATTATCTTATTTTCTAATCTGAATTTGTGTAGATACAAAATAGGATTCTCATTGCCTAAAAAAAGTCTCTTGTCTTTTCATAATTGAAGATTTGTGTAATCAATGAATGTTTTATTTTTGAACTTGCGTGCAGATCACAATGAACTCAGAGAATACGATATTTGAAAAGTCGAAGTTCTTCTTATAACTATTGAAAGCACATATTAAGTTACATCCAATGGTGCTACTAAATCTTGCCCGACATTACTTCCTTCACTAGAATTGATTATCCACAAGTCCATGAGACACTACTACAGAAGTTGTTTGACCCTTATTGCCCAGAGCAGGCATTTATTGGAAGAGGTACAAAATATAACTAAAGGGACGACGTCTGCAGGTACTGGTGCGAAAGTTACTGGGGGAATATTAGAGGATCTGGGAGCTCAAAATATTGCTACTGAAAATATTAGCAGAGAAACGGCTGTATTTACTTCCAACAATCGTTCAAAACAGATATCCACAGGAAGTTCCATTGAATCTGTAGTCCAAGGTGGTTCGGTTAGGATCAACTATTCATTCACAACAATGGTTATTTTATTGCTCTCTTACATTTTCTAAACATTGTTGGTTTTATAGTAACTACTTCGTTTGCAGATTAATTACGAGTCTTGAATAGATCTATTGTTTTATATTACTAATATTTAATATAAATTTTCATTGTTCATTGTAACCAAAAGTGGAAATGGGTGTTTTTGTGTGTTTACAATTTTAAATTATTTTTTCGTAAATCAAAATTTATTTCAAATCTTTATTTCGCAATTAGTGTGGTCTACGCCGAAATTAAAATTAGTGCATAGATAATGGGAACTAAGCCTGATAATAAAGTAGAAAGTACCACTTACGAAATAAGGATAATTGTATTTTACTTAGCCATATTACTTGAAATTCATTCATCCCTTCAAGAAGGGTTGGATATATTTAACCAGTAAAAAATCAAATAACAATGCCATCCAATGTTATAAAATAAGTTATAAAATATTCAATTTTACACATTTTATTTTTACAAACTTTTTTAATCCGTATATAATATTCATTTTTGATTCGGCATTTAAAGTTGTATTCCACCCCCCTATTCCTTAAATTTTTTTTAATAAACCATCAATGTAGACCCCATTCTTTCACAAAGTAACACCTTTGGATTGATGTAGTCTATGTCCGATCTCATATCGTGTCTGCATGAATTTATAAATGCGTTAATTTTCATTAAGAAAACCACCATGTGTAACTTTAATTTTACTGTCAAAATTGAACGTTGTCATTGCCTAATTGGGAAAAATCAAGGATCTACAATCTCCACAAATAAAAAAATATTTCTAATACTTAAAAAAATATTTTCCTTTTGGTACCACTTAAATCTAAGAATAGATGCATCATTTAGCTTAATATTAACTTTTCTAATCGTATGGAGTGTATACTTCTTAAAATAATATTGGACTCATGGCTTTTATTATACATATTTTTTGAGATTATTTTTTAGCTGGATATTTTTAAGTTAACTGAACATGGCGTAAGCTTTATGTCAAAACACAATTCCCTCGTAATAAAGGGTCATATAAAGGGTAAGGGTCATCCCTCTTGGTCGCCGTAATTTCAACAAAGGAAATGAACTATCAATTAAACACGAATTCAATCAAGAAATATGTTAGGAATCTGGCATCTATTAAGTTTAATAATACACTTATCATTGAGTTATTCCGACGTTATTACTTATTCTGAAGATTCATATCTATATGATACTTCACCAATACCCAATGATATTATCTTTATAGATTACAACGTATCTGTGTCTTTTATAAATACTGAAAATGTTGCCTTATCAGGATTATATGTCGATATAGATTCCGATTTTTATGTTACTAGTGTTTCTAATCTGATTGGTCTAGTTTTCAATGTAACCGCAGACTACTTTATCAATAATGGTACTGTCTCATTAGATTCATCCAATTCCATTCTTCCAAGTACTTATATCTTTGATATTCTGAAGTATTTCATAAATAATGGAGATCTTTATATGGCATCAAGTGGTAATCTTGATACCAGTGTTATTACCATAAATGGCCCTAATATTTTCAATAATGGATTTATGGCATTTAATCAAAGTAGTAACACTGGAACACAAATTACTATAACTGGTTTTCTTACAAACAATGGTGTAATTAGTTTATATAATCAAGACATCACTCCAACTTCTGAAATGTTAGGTGCTGGGTGCTTCATGGCTCAAGCTGGATCAACTGTTATTATCACCGATCCTAATTATTTTATTGGCCAAACTATTTATTTGGCAGATGTTTCCTCCTCCATTATTGCCCAGTATACAACTTCCCAAACTTTTGTAGTTGTTGATGGGTGGGGTAATGGAAATTATATTAACTGTCCTGACATAATAGCAGGCGCTGGATATAATGATAATACTGGTGTGATGTACCTTGATTGTGATACTTTCTCAATGTATTTCCAAATTGGACTAGGCTATAATGATTTAAATTTTGATTATAGTGATGTTGGTGTTCTGTTTTCGTCACCACCTCCAAATGAAGTTTTTTGTGGCTCAAATACAAATACTTCACTTTCAGATAGCATAGCACCAATTGCTCCGGGATTAGATGGTGGAAATTATACCAGCACATACATAACTACATCCAATGGTCTAGTTTGTACAGAGATAGATGAGTATTTTGTTACTTCAGAACCATCAGGTTCATATTATGAGAGCAGTACGGTGTTATTTACGACTTGTTATAATGTTCTGACTAGCGCCAGCTATTCATCATCTTCTACATTGTCTTCATCTTCAACTTATTCAAGTTCTTCTACGTTATCATCCAGTTCTTTCAGTTCTTCCAGTGCTTATAGTTCGACAAGCTCGGCAAACTCAAGGTCAAGTTCTTTAATCTCAAGTTCAATTAGTTCAACTTCTTCAAGCTCACCAAGTTCTAAGTCTTCTAGTTCTTCTAGTTCTTCAATCGCCTCAAGTTCTTCGAGTAGTTCCCGTTCTTCTAGTACTTACAGTTCTTCAAGTTCAAGTTCCTCGAGCACTTCAAGTTCAAGTTCCTCGAGCACTTCAAGTTCAAGTTCAAGCAGTTCAAGTTCAAGCAGTTCAAGTTCAAACAGTTCATTATCTTCAAGTCCAGCATTGTCAATTACACCCTCATCTTCATCAAGTACTAACCCATCAAGTACACCATCAAGCAGTTTGTCATCATCTAGTTACACACTATTCAGTTCTTCATTGAATGCTTCGTCATCTGAAAGTTCAACATCTGCCACTATTTCCTCATCAAGCAGCTATAATTCCATTTCACCATCAAGTACCCTTTCTTCGAGTGTTTCATCATCTTCATCATTCCTTGAATCATCAGGTAGCTCGTCATACCCTACATCGTCCTCCACATTCTCGTCCAGTAGTTCAGGTTTTCCTATGATATCAATTTCTTCATCATCAATCTTTTCATCTTCAGGCTCATCGGTATATTCAGAGCCATCAAGTATTTTCTCGTATCACAACTCATCAAGTTCAACGTCATCTCTGGCATCATCTTCAGTCTCATCGACTTCTGAAATTGGTTCATCCAGCGAGTCTTCACTTTCTTCTTCGAATTTCGAGAGCAGTGAATCTACATCTGTTTATTCTAGCTCTTCTTCTTCTGGTATATCACAAAGTTCGCATTCATTCAATAGTGCTATATCTGGCTCTGGTTCTTCTTCATCAGCATCATTCAGTACTTTATTACCTACTTCTTCATCAACTTTCACTTCGTCAACTACACCCACAGGGAAACTATCTTCTGTTGAGTCTAGTAGTTCATTTAGTAGTAATTCAAATTCCCCTTCATCTGTTGTATCCACTAGTTCACCTGGTGCTTTAAGTTCTTCTTCAACCGTCCCATCAAGTATTTCTTTCAGTTCGATTTCTACACTGTCCGAGAAATCATCTACATTGTCAACATCCCCTGTTACATCTTCAACTTCGATTTCATCATTGTCCGTATCTGGTTCGTCAACTACTTCTTCGGCCGAAAGTGGCCCAACAACTTTATATGGAGTCTTTGATGCATCTATTGGACCATTGTTGTACAGAGACTTTGATTCTTACTATACTGCGTCCATTCCAATGGCTCCTGCTTTCAATGGTACATTCACATATACATTCCCAAATAATGCAAAACCTGGAGATTTTGTCCATGTTGGATTACCTAATGTATACGATCTCTTCCAGGGATCTGGAGGTATTAAGAAGAGATCCGATGGCACTTTATCGTTGACATCTGATGGTGTCGATTATGCAGATTGTGAGATCACAATGGCTGGATCTGTCAATGACGAGACTTCAATCGATTGTACACTTACAGATAATGTTCTTAATAATCCTGGAGTCAGTGGATCGGTAGTGTTACCTATTGTATTTAATATTGGTGGATCCACTTCTTCTGTTGATCTAGTTGCCGCAAATGCTTTTGTTGCTGGACCACAGTCAATTATTTTCAATGATGGTCTTAATGATATTTTGACATCAGCCAATTTTGCAGGAGGATCACCATCTCCAGAGGATCCTGAGGTTATAGTATATGCATCTAGGCCACAGCCATGGACCAATACAGAATCATTTTATTTATTAGGAGGCAATTGTTCTGTTTCTACAGGATATGGAGAACTCAGTATTGTTGTGACAGATGGATCCATTGATTGTTCATCATGGTCAGCAGGTATTACCAACAGTCTTAATGCATGGTATTTCCCTACCACATATGAAACATTAAGTAGTATCAGTCTTCTTTCCTGTTCAGCTGATTCTATTTCAATTTCATATTCCGGAGTCCCCGCTGGTTATAGACCATTCTTCAGTGTTGATGCCGATACTGATGGATCTATCGAAGCATCCTTTAATGATGACCACTCATGTGTTGCGTTGGCATCAGGATCATCTGTATCGATTGGTCCTACTATCAGTGTCGGATCCACTGTTACTACAGAAACATACACGACTGATACTGTCTACAGTTCTACTGAAACTATCACTACTGTTATTAATGGAATCACCGAAGTGATCACTACTGTTGTGAGAGTTACATCAGAAGAGACCATCACTACAGAAGTTACTGAGTTTGTTCCAGTGACTACTGAGACGACCAATGAAGGTAATGTAGGTACCAAGTCATACATTACAACTGATATTATCCTCACCACTACTATCACTACTACTTATTGTCCAGAAGGCGAAGAAACTCCGATTACTACAACTGAAGTTCTTGTCACAACAATTGAAACTACGTTTTGTCCCGAAGATGAAGCTACTGTTTCGACCGCTATCGCTGGCGAAGCTACAGACACAGCTATCAAATCGTTCACCACAGTTGAGACAGTTATCACGACTACTGTTACAACTACTTACTATCCAGAAGGCCAGGAAGTGCCAGTCACCACTACTGAAACTATTGTTACCACCATTGAAACAACTTATTGTCCAGAAGAAGGAGTTGGAGGAGCAGGAACGGAGGTTTCCGGCGTTGCATCTGAGATCGCAACTCCAAATGGCGGTATTAAGTCGACCACAAATGCAGCAGGAATGGTTGCTCTGAATATTCCATCTGAAACAGTTGCAGGTGAACCTACTATTGCATTATCTACTTCTTCATCTACTGGTTCCATCGAGTTTACAGCCACTGTGTTAGAAGGTGGTTCGATTAATATTAGCTATTCATTCTCAATACTTTTGATTATATTGGTTTCATACTTGTTTTGAGCATGGTTAAATTATCGTTTATTATATAATAAAATAAATTTCGTTTTTTTACCCATTTATACTTTTAATAATTTTAATATATTTTGTCGTTTTCTTTACTATATTAACAATAATCTAATTTATTGTCTGCTTTGAAAATTAAGCTTGGGATTTCCTATTTTATTTTCGAGAGGCTGAATTCTGAAACGGCACTATACTGACTTATGTAATTTATTCAACATGTTGGGGAAGATATTAATCATCGTATTATTATTTGGAACACAAAAATGGCATTAGAAATATTTCGACCGTGTAAAGGAGCTAATTGTTTACATTTGTCCCCAATTTTTAATTCTATCAAAGATGGATATGCATAAATAAATTAGAGACTTTTAAATGTTATATAATATTTTATTAATAATTCATAATTTAAAAGTTGTGAGCTGCATCAGATATTCCTGTTTTGTATTCTATTTATTCCTATTTGGATTGTTTTCAAATCGTTAAATATTTTTTTTGCTGTTCGTAAAAAATAATTTGACACAATCGCCATGTTTGTAAATTAGAGATTCTTTCTTTGTATTGTTACGCACAAATTAAAATGTGTCTTATTGACCAAGCGCAAAATTAAGGTTCTTACTTTTTTGCTTTCATTTTACTATAAATGATAATTGATAAATGTTGAATATGAAATGTGATTTTACCATAGAAATAGTATCATTACTTCAAAATAAAAATTAATCTGATTTTAGATGAGAATAAAACATATTATTGTGTATTTCATCTTATTTCGGTTTATAAATTTATAATTTAATAACTTGTTAGTATTGTCTTTATCAACTATTCCTTGATTTTCACCATGTAATTTAATCATTGATTAAGATCTCGAAGTTTTAATTGGACATAATTGTACCTTAGGAAAATATATTTCTATTCGTCATCTTCAGTGATAGATTATATAAAAAGTAGCTTTATTTAAGCTATTCGGTATATTAAGATACAAACTGGAGTGTCTTGTCTGTACAGTGATTCCCAATTGTAGAGAAATTATAATTGTTTTACTTCTCTGAAAATGGAGCATTTAAATCTTATATGAAACGTCCAAATGTTAGTGGACTAAGTTTTTATTCAATTGCTACTTTAATTTCTATTTTAATACATTTATATTATTTTTTATGATTAATTGTTTTTGAGTTGAAAATTAGCCAGATTTGTAAAATTTATAGGAGTACTTGGACTACTTTATTTTTTCATGTAATACAAAAATAATCCTGTTACGAGCCAAATTATGCAATTGACATTTCTTTGTTTTCGTGTGGGTATTTTTTCTGTCAAACTTAAAAAGTCCTTCTTTAAAATATACTTCTATTTTGAAAATTAAAGCTATTCAATTTCATCAATTGTTTAATGTCATCTGGTTAATGGCGAGAAATTATCTATCGATAATATATAGCATACTAAGTTAGTTACATATTTTACTACGTATATCAATTTATAAATTCGATGGAAACACTGGTGGAAATATATTACCGTCATGCAAAGGAATCAATCAATTACTAAATAATAAAAATTGATTTATATGTTCAAGTCTTGGCAAACTATCAGTTAGAAATATTTAATATTGCGTTTGACTTATTAAAAATACTAAAATGGTGGAAATTGCTTTTCAGAAGCAACAATATTATAATCAATTACGATTAAAAAATAACTGGTATGTATCTTTTATCATCCAATATTCATTTTATATGGGTGATGAAGCTTGCGATTCTCTTGATATTCCAGATCCAGATGTGACTGCTAAGTGGTTAACAGAATGTCGTGTTGTTATACAACAATTTGTGATATTGGATTTAATAGCTGGTCTCTCATTATAAATCTCATTCTCATAAAAGCTTCTTCCTTGTTATAGAGATACTATTTCCCTAAAGATTACCCTATTTGAATATATTATCTACACAAACTGGAAAGAAATATATCCTTTGTGTTGAATTCGCTATTTTCTATTGCATAATATGCCAGCTATGATATAAGAGCAACACAAAGCAGATTAAGTTATTGCTGAAGCCATTTAAGAAAGCCATGCCCAACTTCTAAGCCCGACGAAGCTTGATACTAAGGATTAGAATAGGGTACATATCTATATATTAGAATGTTTAACATTCTTCGAAACAAAGGAGATGATTAAAATATGAATATTCAAATCATATATTGGAGATTACTAAAGTAAAAATTCAATTTGGTCTTTCTAATAGGTTGGGTATACTTTGACTTTCCCGTTAGGCATAATTCAGATTGGTATTTACTTTATCTATAAAAACATCAAACAAAAAGGGCTATAATTCCACACAGAAAGTAAGGATAAAAACTCCATGAAATTTAAAATTGAAAATAATTTAACCGTGTACAGGAGTTAAATGTTTATATCTTAGACTAATCTGTCGAGCCAATTATTTTGATTTGCATAGAACTTATTGATTATCACCATCAATAATAATATTTTTTATCGAATTAAAAATACTGGTTGCATTTATAGACTCCTTTGTATATTTATAATTCCTATTTAGATTTGTGTAATCTTTATTTTTTTAACGTTGACTGCATAAAAACAATCTCACTTAAACTTAAATTACGAAATTTTTATTGTTTGAAATTACGCACAATTATTTTTTTCATTACAAGCCATTTTTATTTATTTGTTTCGCCTGTTGAGCGCAAATTGAACAGAACAATTTTTGTTCTTCGCTATGAGCATTGGCTAAGAACAATATGGGTCTATGAGGGGTCAAATGTAATGTTTTCTGTCCTAAACCAAAGGGAGTCATATTGATATTGATATTGATATTGATGTTTATGTTGATGTTGTTGCTGATGTTGAATGTTTATATTAGTCGATAAATGTTGTGTCTACTGCAATAATTGAAGTATTATATACTCAAGTAAAAAATATAAATCTGCTTTGTATGCTTAGAAAATAATTTAACACGGTTCATTCATATTTGGTTGCATACGTTCGTATAACAGATTTAATATTTGAAGCGATTTCCATTCTAAATTATATACTAATTAATAGTCATAAAGTTTTAGTTACCTTCTAATTCATGCATCATCATTCTCCTATTCTTGTTATTTTTTTATAAATAGCAGCTTAGTTCTTCAAAGCCTGGTAGTTTAAATAAGCTAAAAGTGAAAATTACAAAATAATAAAATTTACTAAGCAATATGAAAGATGTTAATTTATTATTAGCTTTAGTGTTACAGCTTTCTTTAGCTTTTGCAAATCCTGGTCCAAGTGTTAAATATAATGCAAACACATATGAATATGGATCATTCCAATTTCCTGAGGGCGGTGTGACTATTGCTAATAATGTTAATGTATCAATTATAGATAGTCAAGATATCTCTATTGATGGTTTGCTTAGTGTTGGAACCAATTCTGGTCTTTATATCACCAGTGTATCTAATACTATTGGTTTAGATGTTGATATTACAAGTAACAGTGTGCTTATTTGTGGTCTCCTTGCTTTAAATTCTATTGACTCAATACTTCCAGGCTCATTTAACTTTAACAATACCGACAGTTTTATTAACGAGGGACAGTTTTATATGCTTGCAAATGGTAATGTTGGTACTAATGAATTTTCCATTACTAGTAGCAGTATCTCAAATAATGGTTTAATGGTCTTCTATCAAGAGACAAATAACGGAGATGAAGTGATTTTATCTGGTTCAATTGAAAATTACGGACAAATAGCTCTTTATAATGAAGTTCTCATCGTTGATTCAAGTATTGGGGGTTCTGGTTGTATCATTGTTGAAGCTGGAACGACACTTAGTGTTACTAGTACTGATTATGTAATTAATCAAGCAATTTATATGAATGACGCAACTTCCACCATTATTCTTGCCCCTGGGGAAGAAGGACAGAATGTTGTTGTTTATGGTTTTGGGAATGGAAATGTTATGTATTTGAATAGTAACTTTACTGCGATTGCCGAACCTACATATGATGAAGAATCTGGAGTCTTAACAATTCAAACAGACGGGAATGATTTATATATCCAAATTGGACTTTCATATGAAGGCCTTGAAATTGCTGTACTAGGAACTAATGGATTATCCTATCCATATCCAGCTCCAGATCCAGCAGCAGATATATGTTTAGTGGATACCTCCATTCCATTGATTCCCGGTATTAATGGTACTGAATATGCTTCCACAATTATAACAACCACCAATGGTCATACTTATAACGAAAGTGAAGAAATTATTATCACCTCGAACAGTGCAGGTAGTTATTACACAACTACTTTATTTAGCACAACAAGTTCTTCTTCTAGTTCTTCGTCTAGTGCATCACCTTCAGTCAGCTATTCATCGTCTACAGCTTCTTCCACAAATTCATACGAGCCATCAACAAAAAGTAGCTCCTCATTCACAAGTTCTTGGAGTTCTTGGAAAGCTAGTTCCTCCTCTTCAATATCCTCTTCCAGTTCTTCGTCTACTACATCGTCATCTACTATATCATCATCTGCTATATCATCATCTACACTTCCTTCATCTATTTCTTTATCCAAAAGTTCTTCATCTTGTTCTTCATCTAATTCTTATGTATCATCTACAACTACTTCATCGACTTCATCCTCAGGTTCTCAATTCTCCAGCTCATTATCATCTGTGTATTCAACTAAATCATTGAGCAGTTCTTCAAGTAGTCCTTCTGGAAGTACGTCCAGCAGCTATACAAGTAGTACATATAGTTCAAGCAGTTCTTCAATTACTTCTAACAGTGCTTCATCAAGTACTGAATCATCATCAACATCAACTTCAACTTCTGAATCCTCCACCAGTATACCATCATCTTCAAGTTCATCATTCTCTGTTTGGTCGTTGTCATCCATTTCTTCAACATCTGAATTATCAAGTACCACGTATTCTTCAAGTTACATTTCGTTCAGTAACTCGTCTAATGTGATATCTTCTAGTTTAAGTTTAGAATCTTCTTCATTTGTTCTTTCATCTTCCGGTGATGAATCGTCAAATGTTCATTCTATTTCAGCTTCAAATGCAGAATCTACAAGTACTGAATCATATGTAACTTCAACTATTTTCTCAATAGCTCAATCTTCCTCTGAAGAATCTAGTTTAAGTTTAGCCTCTTCGACTGAATCGTCAAGCGAAGAATCTTCATCAGAATCCACTTCTTCTGAATCTTTAAGTTCTCTGCCAGTTACTCCATCGTCAGTTTCTTCAACTGAGGAATCAACAGGTTCTGTTGAATCAAGTGCTGCTTCATCGGAATCGTCTGCTTCCAGTGAAGCTTTAAATACCGAAACTTGGGTTGAATCAAGTGCAACTGAATCATCTACTGAATCTGTTCCCTCTTCCGTTGAATATGTTACTTCTTCTTCCGAATCAAAAACTTCTTATACAACTACTTCTGTCTTGTCTAGCAGTAGTGAAGTTCGTCCAACTTCAGAAGAATCATCCGTTGCATCTACAGAAGAGACATCTAGTTCTACTATTAGTGGTGAGATTCCTCCAACTTCAGAAATAAATACTGTATCATCGACTGAAGAAACTACTACCCCAACTTCTCAAGAATCTACAGTATCATCCACTGAAGAAGCATTCTCTGGCTCAACCTCCGAAGAATCTTCAGTTTCATCTACATCAGAAGCTTCTTCTGGTCCAACTACAAGTGTCAATAACCCTCCTCCAGTCACCGGTTCATCTTCATCTACTGAATCAGGTACATATGTCACTACTTCTGCTACTACCATATTCGGTGGGTTCGGAACAACACTTCCAGCGTTGATCCACTCCAACTTAGATGGAGCATACTCCTCACCAATTCCAATGGCTCCAGCATTCGACGCACTATTTGGATTCAGTTTCCCTAATAATACTCAACCAGGTGATCATATTCGTCTTAATTTACCAAACGTCTTCGATCTTTATCAAGGTGCGGGTGGTATCAAAAAGAGAGACGATGCTACATTGTCTTTAACTGTGGATGATGTGGATTATGCTGATTGTATTGTCATCATGGCTGGTACTGGTAATGATGAAACTACCTTAGATTGTACTGTCACCGATGCTATCCTCACCAATCCTAATGTAAGTGGCACTATTACTTTACCATTAGTATTCAATATTGGTGGTTCTACATCCTCATCTGATATCCAAGCTGCTAACGCCTTTGTACCAGGTTCTCAAGTTATCACTTTTAACGACGGTCTTAATGATATCTCTACCAATGTGGATTTTGCTGCAGGTGCTCCATCTCCAGGTGATCCAGAAGTTCTTGTCTATGCTTCAAGACCTGAGGTTTGGAACAATTCAGAAAACTTCTATATCTTAGGTGGTAATTGTTCTTCATTATATGGTTCTGGAGAACTTACAATTTCCGTCACTGATGGTTCCATTGATTGTTCCTCGTGGTCTGCTGGTATCACCAACAGTCTTAACGCTTGGTATTTCCCAACCTCATTTGAAACTTTAAGTAGTTTCACTGTTTCTTCATGTTCTGCTGATTCTATTGTCATCTCATATTGGGGTGTTCCAACCGGCTATAGACCATTCTTCAGTGTCAATGCTGGTACTGATGGATCAATTGCTGCTACTTTCAATGATACCAATTCTTGTATTGCTTTACCTCTTTCTGGTTCATCTGCTTCTGAAGGTCCAACCATCAGTGTTGGTACAACTGTCACTACTGAAACTTATACTACTGATACTGTGTTCAGTTCTACTGAAGTAATCACTACTGTTGTCAATGGTACCACTGAATTGTTGACTACTGTTGTGGATATCACCTCTGAAGAAACAATCACTACCAGTTTCACAGAACTTGTTGGTGTCACTACTGAAACTGATACTACTACCTCAACATCTGGTGAAGGTAGTGGAGCCACTAAGTCTTATATTACTACTGATGTTGTACTCACCACAACCATCACTACTACGTATTGCCCAGAAGGTGCAGAAACCTCAATCACTACTACTGAAGTTCTTGTGACAACCATTGAAACTACTTATTGTCCAGAAGATGAAGCTACTGCTACGACTGCTGCTACTAAATCTTACACTACAGTTGAAACCATTATCACTACTACTCTCACCACCACTTATTGTCCAGAGGGAGAAGAAACTTCAATTACTACTACTGAAGTTGTTGTTACTACCTTGTTGACTACTTTCTGTCCAGAAGAGGCTGCCGAAGAATCTGCTAAGGCAGCTGAAACTGAAGTTACTGCTTCTAGTACTGCCACTGGAACTGAAAAGGTTTCTGCTGGTACAGAGACTGCTGCTACTGGAACCGAAGCTCCGGCTATCACTACTCCTAATTCAACTCCAGGTGCTGCTGCCGAAACAGCTGTTGCTCCTGAAGGAACAGAAACGGAAGTTGTTAATATCACTTCTACTAAATCCCTTGGAAGTTCATCATTATCCCCATCTATTGCTACTGGTAGTTCAACGGCTAGTACCTATGAAGGAAGCGCCAATAGAATCAACTATTCATTATCTTTCATGCTTATATTATTAGCATCTTACTTCTTTTAAAATGTTAGAATCATTTATTGAAGGTTCTATTTCTCTTTGTCTGTTTATATAAAAATATTTTCGATTAAATTCATTTTTAGGATACCAATAAACTCTGGCCCTATTTTTCGTTTTGTTATATTTTTCCATTTACCTTCTGGTCTATTTTTTCATCCCTTTTACTGTTTTACAAATTTAATTCTTTAGCTATTTAATTCTTAATATAAAGATATTTGTAATGTTTATATCACTATTTCGGATGATTTGTCCGCATACACGAGCTGAATGTTTACATCTTACAATTTGGTTCTGCATAGATTTTATCGATTATCGTTATTAATAATAATATTATTTTACCTATTTCCCAAATTAATTAGCATGTTGCATCTGAGACTCCCGATTTGTAGATATCATTCCTGTTTTGATTCGTGTAATTATTGTCAATCTTATTTTTTAACGTTGACTGCATAAAACAATCTCAATTAAACTCAAATTACGTATTTCGTATTTATTTTTTCATTGTTTAATTTTGCTATTACGCACAATTTAGTTTCTGAGTTTGTTTCGCCTGTCAAGCACAAGAAGAAGATGAAGAGAATTTCTATTCTTCTTTCCAAGCATTGCATATAAAGGTTAATCAAGACTAGTTCAATAGTTATCCAGTTTATTCAGTTATCTTAATCAATTTCAAGTTGATAATTGGCGTTGATTGTTTATATTTTGTCGGTAAATGTTGTCTCTACTCCAATAATTGAAGTATTATATACTCGAGTAAAAAATAAAAATTTAGGAAAGACGTCAGAAAATAATTTGACACGGTTCGTGCATATTTGGTTGCGTAAGTTCGTATAACAGGTTTATTAATTTGAAGGTATTTCCATTTTACATTTAATACTAATTACTATTTTAGTTCTATTTGTATGGTATGTAAAGTTATGTATAAATAGCGCCTCACTTCTTCAAATTCGTTGATATATCCATATGCAAATATTGCAAAATCAGATAAACTGATCAATATGAAAGGTGTTGATTTGTTGTTAGGTTTAGTGTTGCAGCTTTCCTTAGCTTTAGCAATTCCTCCTACCGATGTTGCATATCATGCCGACACTTATGAATATGGACCTTTCCAATTTCCTGATGGGGCTATTACGATTGCTGATGGTGTTGATGTATCAATCATAGACAATGAAGATAATTCTATTATTGGTTCTCTTAACGTGGGATCCAATTCCGGTCTTTATATTTCCAGTGTATCTAATACTATTGGTTTAAATGTTGATATAACAAGTGACAATGTGCTTATTTCTGGTGTCCTTGCTTTGAATTCTATTGGCTCAACATTTCCAGGAACTCAATTTTACTTTAATGTTAATAGCTTTTCCAACGAAGGAAAATTTTACATGGCTTCATATGGTGGTTTTCTGCAGCCTGCTCAAAATACTCTTGCTGGTTCTACTATCTATAATAGCGGCTTAATGGTCTTCTATCAAAGTTACAATAATGGACCTATTTTTTTATCAGGTACACTTACAAATGATGGTCAAATAGCTCTTTATAATCAAATTCTCACAATTAATTCTCAAATTGTAGGTTCTGGATGTATTATTGTTGGCCCTGGATCGGAAATTAGTACTAATAGTGCAGATTTTTTAAGTGGACAAGCAATTTATATGTCTGACAGTACTTCTGTTGTTGTTCTTACTCCATCGGAAGATGGACAAACCGTTACTGTTTATGGGTTTGGTAATGGAAACACTATTTTCTTGAGTGCTAGTTATGCCGCAGTCTATGCCGACTATTCTAATACTGATGGTACCTTCACAATTGAGACTGCTACATACATTTTGGTAATCCAAATTGGAACAGGATATGGTGAAACTTCTGATTTTTCTTTGATAGGTAATAGTTTAACATATCCAAATCCGCCACCAAATCCTATAGCAGGGATTTGTTTGGTGGATACATCCATTCCATTGATTCCAGGTGTAAATGGAACTGAATATGTTTCTACCCTCACAACAACCATAAATGGTCAAACGTATACAGATGATGAAGAAATCTTTATCACCTCGAACGATGAAGGAATATATTCAACCTCTTCTACGCTTATCACATTAACTTCACCATACGGTTCCTCATTCAGTTCTTCAAATGTATCACCATCATCTAGCTACTCGCTTGCAACTTCAGCGACAAGTTCATATGTACATTCAAAAAAGCACAGATCTTGGAAGCGTAGATCTTCGTCTAGTATCTATGCATCATCTACATCTTCATCTTCATCCTCAAGTTCCGTATCCTCAAGTCCATCATCCAGAAGCTCTTCCACTAGTTCTTATATGTCAACTACTTCATTTCCCAGTTCTTCTTCTTACAGTTCTTTGTATTCAACTAAATATTCAAGCACTTCTTCAGGCAGTTTAACGAGCAGCTATTCAATTAGTTCAAGTTCTCCTTCAAGTAGTTCTTCCAGTTCAAGTGTTACTTATTCAAGTTCAACTAGTGCTTCTTCAAGTACTAAATCTTCAACAATTTCTGCTACTGCTTCTTCAGCCAGTATATCTACATCTTCAAGTTCTTCGTTCTCCGTTTTGACATTGTCTTCTGTATCGTTACCTTCAGAATTATCAAGCAGCACATATTTTTCAAGTCACTCTTTATTCAGTAATTCTTCTAGTGTGTTGTCGTCTAGTGTGTTATCTTCTAGTTCAAGTTTAGGATCTTCTTCACCGGTGCTTTCATCTTCCTCTGACGAATCATCCAGTATCCCTTCTACTTTAGCCTCAACTACAGAATCTACAAGCGCTGAGTCATCGGTAACATCTACTACTTCCTCGTCCGCTCGATCTTCTTCAGAAGAATCTAATTTAGCTTCATCAACTGAATCTACTTCTACTTCTTCGTCTGCTTCATCATCGATCGTATCTTCATCTGTTTCTGATTCTTCGACTGTTCCTTCCTCAGAATTTTCAGTTGAAAGTGAAACTTCGAGTACTGAATCATCTACTGAATCAGTTCCTTCTTCCATAGAATCAACTACCTCTTCTATAACTGCTACCTTGTCTAGCAGTGGTGAAGTTCCTCCATTTTCAGAACAATCATCAGTTTCATTCACATCCCAAGCTTCTTCTGGTCCAACCACTGGTGTCAATCCTCCTCCTCCAGTCACCAGTCCATCATCATCAACTGAATCAAGGGCATCTGTCACTAATTCCGTTACTACCGTATTCGGTGCTTTCGGCAGTTCTATTCCATCGTTGACTCATGTAAATTTGGATGCATCGTACTCCTCAGCAATTCCAATGGCTCCTGCGTTCAATGCTCCTATTGGATTCTCTTTCCCTAATGACACTCATCCAGGTGATCATATTCGTCTTAATTTACCAAACGTCTTTGATCTTTATCAAGGTGCTGGTGGTATCAAAAAGAGAGACGATGTTACATTATCATTAACTGTGGATGGTGTGGATTATGCTGATTGTATTGTTACCATGGCTGGTACTACTAAAAATGAAACTACCTTAGAGTGTACTGTCACCGAAACTATTCTGAATAATCCTAATGTAAATGGTACTATTACTTTACCATTAGTATTCAATATTGGTGGTTCTACATCCTCATCTGATATCCAAGCTGCTAACGCCTTTGTACCAGGTTCTCAAGTTATCACTTTTAACGACGGTCTTAATGAAATCTCTACCAATGTGGATTTCGTTGCCGGTGCTCCATCTCCAGGTGATCCAGAGGTTCTTGTGTACGCTTCAAGACCTGAGGTTTGGAACAATTCAGAAAACTTCTATATCTTAGGTGGTAATTGTTCTTCATTATATGGTTCTGGAGAACTTACAATTTCCGTCACTGATGGATCTATTGATTGTTCATCATGGTCTGCTGGTATCACCAACAGTCTTAACGCTTGGTACTTCCCAACCTCATTTGAAACTTTAAGTAGTATCACTGTTTCTTCATGTTCTGCTGATTCTATTGTAATCTCATATTGGGGTGTTCCAGCCGGCTATAGGCCATTCTTCAGTGTTGATGCTGATACCGATGGATCAATTGCTGCTACTTTCAATGATACCAATTCTTGTATTGCTTTACCTCTTTCTGGTTCATCTGCTTCTGAAGGTCCAACCATCAGTGTTGGTACAACTGTCACTACTGAAACTTATACTACTGATACTGTGTTCAGTTCTACTGAAGTAATCACTACTGTTGTTAATGGTACCACTGAATTGTTGACTACTGTTGTGGATATCACCTCTGAAGAAACAATCACTACCAGTTTCACAGAACTTGTTGGTGTCACTACTGAAACTGATACTACTACCTCAACATCTGGTGAAGGTAGAGAGGCCTCTAAATCTTACATTACTGCTGATGTTGTACTCACCACAACCATCACTACTACGTATTGCCCAGAAGGTGAAGAAACCTCAATCACTACTACTGAAATTCTTGTGACAACCATTGAAACTACTTATTGTCCAGAAGATGAAGCTACTGCTACGACTTCTGCTACTAAATCTTACACTACAGTTGAAACCATTATCACTACTACTCTCACCACCACTTATTGTCCAGAGGGAGAAGAAACTTCAATTACTACTACTGAAGTTGTTGTTACTACCTTGTTGACTACTTTCTGTCCAGAAGAGGCTGCCGAAGAATCTGCCAAGGCTGCTAAGACTGAAGCTTCAATTGCTACTGGAATTGAAACTCCTGCAATCGCTATTCCTACTTCAACTCCATCTCCCGCTTCCGAAACCAATGTTGCTCCTGAAGGAACTGAAACGGAAGTTGTTAATATCACTTCTACTGAATCCATTGGAAGTTCATCATCAACATCAGCCGTTACTACAGGTAGTTCTACAGCTAGTGCTTATGAAGGAAGCGCCAATAGAATCAACTATTCATTATCTTTCATGCTTATATTATTAGCATCTTACTTCTTTTAAAATGTTAGAATCATTTATTGAAGGTTTTATTACTCTTTCTTTGTTTATATAAAAGTAATTTTCGGTTAAATCCAATTTTAAGATACCCCTAAAATTCTGGCCTTATTGTTCTCCTTTTTTTTGTTACATTTTTCGATTTACCATTTGGTATATTTTTTTCAACTCTTTTTCTTTAACTATTTAATTTATAATATAAAGTTAATTACACTTGTTTATAACGATAATCAGAATGTAGAGTAGAAAGAATGTACGGTTGGATATATTCTATATTGTATAGTATAAGAAAAACGTTAAGACGTTGACAGGGGAGGGAAGTAGTTAAAGTTAAAAAAGTCTAGTACAAAAGAAAAAAGCCACGTCAGTTAATGTATGAGGGGAAAATTCCTTTATTTCTACGCTTAAACTTTAGTCTTTTGCTATAACAATTTAGAGTAAATAAACAACAATATCGTATCCCGTATATACAAAATAATGGAATCTTAGTTTCCACCACATTCTCGTTTGTGTGTGAAAGGCTTTGTGTAAAATTTCGTAAAGCTCGCTTTTCTATTTCTTTTTCTTTTTTTTATTTGATTTCTTTGAGTGCAGGATCAATTTCATATTACGAAAAGATTAACAAACAAAAGGCGGGTCAAATTATGTAAATTAGACAATGACAGGCATAAATAAAGTACATAAATAAATCTGATCAGATGATTTAGGTTAAGTGAATTTCAGGTAAAGAAAACCCTGATATTTGTTCATAGAAGTTTAATCTAATAACGAAAGGACAGCATCATTAATTAATTAATTGATTTAATAATTAACACACCGCCGTTTGCTTACTTACAGGACAAGTATTCGCAATTTGTGTCTGTCTGTCTTTCTTTCTTTCTGTTTACTTTGTTCGTGTGTGTCTGTCTGTGTGTGTGGTTTGTTTTGATTTTTGTCTTATTTGTGTGAAATTTTTTTTTTTTTTTCCACTGTCATTGTTGTCAAAAATTAAAATTAAAAATTTAAATAACAAGAGATTCAATTCTAAATTTTAATTTAGTATAAAGTTCGGTTACTTTTTGTGTGTTTTAAACACTTCATCAATTGATAGATAATAAAGCATCAATAACCATTAACAAAGGATATATTATTAGATCTAACAGATTTAAATAATAAGTCAACCTAAAACTATCTGGTCTGGTCTCAATCTGACATTCTGTCTGCGTGTTTAATTTTGTTACTAATTTTTCTGTCTGTCTGTCTGTCTGTCTGTCTGACTAACTGACTAACTGACTTTCTGTCTGTCTGGTTCCAATATTTATTTGAAAGATTAACGAGTGAAAAAAAAAAATTATCTAAAAGGAAACAAAAAAAAAAAAGTCTGTCTGCTCTCCTCCCTCCCCACCCCATTAATTTTAGTTTAAAGTCATACAAACAACTTTTACTTTAAAAGTAAAAAAAAAAATAAGGACACTTTGGGGTTCTTCAATATTTGTCTATTTTGTTTATATATAATTGATATCCGCTTTTTCAATATATTCAATAGTCGGTCATTTCCGTTACGGTTCAATTCAAATCAGATTAAGTTATCTGTAACCATCTGTGTGTCTCAGTGTCCAAGTGTGAGTGTCTGTGTCTGTGTGTTTGTCTAACAAGTGTTGTTTATCATATCTTCCAACACACCACCATTGATTTATTTCGATCAGTCCATTTTAAAACAAACATTCCCTTTAAATCCTAATCTACACATTCTTTTTCCCCCATCAATTTTATTAAATTAAAGTCACCACCACCATATCAAACCTTTAGTACCTTTTTACCACTTGCCACTACGATAAACCACAATAATAATAATTATAATAATAATAATTATAAAAATAAATTAATATTTTTCTATCTCCATAAAAAGATTTAAAGTTATATTTATTTATTTATTTATTCGTTTATTTTGTTTGTTTTCTTTTCCCTTTTGCCATTTAAATTATAGTATGATTTATTTCGAAGCTAATATAACTACAACAATTCCAACTTCTCCAAGCATGTATTCAAATAGCAACAACAATAATCAACAATACTTAGGTGATTACTCATATCATCAACAACAAGCACAAGCACAACAACAACAACAGCAACAACAACAAATTCCTTCTGTACCTGGTGCAAATGCCGCCCCTCCAACCACAAATACAACTACTTCGATTCAACAACAACTGCCTCGAGATCAACTAGTACAACCAAGCACCAGTCAACAACAATCTCATACTATCTTACCACCTCCGGCTACCGGTTCAACTACAGCCACCTCTGGTACTGCTACTGTTGCTACCGGAGCTACATCTGCTGGATCGTATCATTATCAACCAACTACAAGTGGATCAAGTTCCATAAGTGGTACTATACAAACCAATCCAAACATTACTAATAAATTTTCGGCTCAAGATGTTCAAATATTAAAACAATTATTAGTAGCTGGTGAAAAACATAAATGGAAACAAATCACTAAAGAAATTAATCAATCATCATCTCAAAATATTGCTATTTCTCAAAATCATCAACATCAACAAGAAATTGATCCTCAATATGCAACTCAATCTCCAAAACCTCAAGCTAAGAATGTATCTCCAACTTTTGTTATAAAACAATATCAAACTCTTTTAGGATTACCTAATAATTCTCTTTATTTCGGTACTCTTGGAAGTTCTTTGCCTTATGTTACTGCTCCAAATGGTTGGGAAGAAATTGTTGATCAAGGATATCATAATTTCGGTACTGATGATATTGAATAGAAAAAAAAAGAATAGTCCAAAAGAATACTATTACAAAGAAAATGAATGCTAAGGAAAGATTATTGACAATAGAATAACTGGACATTTTCACTCTGTTGTCGTTTATGGATTGTTTTTTTATTTTTGTGTTGGGGAGTTATGTCTGTAATAATAACTATGTTAATCTGTTTGTTAATTGTTTGATTTGATTTGGGGGTGAGTTTCAATTGCTCCCGGTGTCGTTTGGTTAAGCTTGTTAATCAATGTCACAAATATTATCATCAGTGTGTGGGTGGTTGTTTTACTCTATTTTTGTCTGATTTTTCCCTTTTGTTCATTGTTTTCTTTTTTCATATATATATACATTATCTACATAATGGCTTTTATTTAGTCTTTGTTTCTCTTATTAAATCAGGTGTTATAATCTATCATTTGTACTGTTATCATTTTCAAAATCTGCTTGATTTTATCTTGTTCTATATATATATATATCTAATATGTATATGTTTTATTATAAATATTTTATGTTAATTATTATTGTTCAATTTTACAATCTTGACAATCTATATTGCTATCGACAGTAGTTGGAGCACTGATGGGTTTCTTTTCAGTAGTTAGAAAATTCAAAGGATCTTGTTTCCCTCCACGAGTAAGATGATTACCCAATTTAACTCCAACTTTATCATCATTATCATCTTTACCTTCATCCAATACGTCTTTAATAATCAATTTTAAAAATTTTGAATCAGGAAATCCATCAAAATAATAATCTTCATCTTGATCTCCGCTCTCTCCAAACTCTTCAGCGTATTTCCTACTCAATGCTGGGTTCTTGAACTTTCGCTTATATATGATTCTTGATGGTTCATTGATATCTTTTATTAATATGATTTCAAATATACCTGGTTTATCAAATATTGGTTGAATGCTTATATCATTGATTATCTCAGGGAAGGTTTGTAATATCTCAGTTAAATACCATATGGCACGGTTTTGCCACTTACATTTGGCACAGTATCGGATGACGATCTTGGAGTATGTGTTACCATCTGTCATCTTGAGTGATTGATCGACTTATAAACTATCACTGGTATAATCTGTTATTTCAAATGACTCCACATTAAAAAAAACAAATCTGTGAGTATGGAAAAAAAAATAAGATCTATCACAAAGCAAAACTGAGTTCAGCGTTAGTTTGACTTATTTGATCTTCTCTTCATTGTTTCTTTTTTTCTTTTTTTGCAACTACTTTTTTTAAATGCCAAGTATTCTAATTAAAATGGAATGTTTTTATATTGTATATATTATTAATAATTAATAAGTAGAGTTAATCTTTCTTGGAAATCGAAAATTTTAATGTTATCGCTTAACCATTGGTTATATCCAGTAAAACCATAACCAAACAAACTAAAAAATTGGAATATCAATAAAGATTAATATAAGAATAAGAACAAAAATACAAAATTGAATGAAATAAACATGGCAAAAAAGATGGTAGAATTAAAAGCAATCTTCAAAGAGAAATAAAATGTAAAAAATGTATAAAAGGGGGAGAAAGAGGGGGCACATTAAAATAGGTAGAAAAGAAAGGAAAGAATATATATAACAACACAGATGGGAAAAGCAAACTTCTATCAATTTTTTTTTAGATTAAACTGTTTTTTTATGGAGAAAAACATAACAATAGTAATTATAACAACTTTATAATGTCATACTTAACCAATCCCAATTATTACCATTTCCAGACCCATTAGCATGATCATTGGTATTATTATTGCTATTGGAAGTGGCAGGATGATGAGATGGATGAGGTGGATGGCCACCATTGTAGCTTGCAGGACTTACAAACTCCATATTTTGATCTTCTAATTTAATATTGGATGAATGTTGAGGATGAATGGTTGATGTGGGGGATGCTACTGAATTTAAAACGTTAATGAATTCATCATCATTGGTTAAATGAAATCCATTTATATGTGAATTATCTTCAATTTTAGCATTTCCTTCAAGATCCTCATCTTCATCTTCATCATCTTCTTCATCATCATCATCATCAGCATTGTTAAGTGCTGATTTCTTTTTACCTTTCTTAGCTTGAGCTTTACTAAACTTTTTGATTGTAGTAGTATTAGTGGTTGATGATGTTGATCTTAAAATAGGAGTTTCAACTTTGATTTCTTCATCATAACCAGTTTGTCCAGGTGGAGTCATATCTTCGTTATATTGACTACCATCACCATTAGAATTCGATCGAATAAGATTATTAATCATATTTGAATCACTTTTACTTATAGAAGTTGGATTTAAATCATCACCATCTTTACTTAAATCAGTACTAATACTTGGCTTCTTTGGATTTGAATTACGTTGTCTCTTTTTAATGACATCAGTTTTCAAACTTAATGGACGGACAACACCATGTAATTTCAAAAACAATCCACAAGCATTACATAGTGGTTGTCCTTGAGGATTTCTTCTCCAAAGTGGGGTAGTTTTAGTATGACAATTAGTACATGCTACACCTGAATTAGGATTTGGTTGTTGATTATTATGACCGCCAATGCTTGATAAATTATTAGGAACTGACATCGAATTAGGTAAAACAATATTAGATTCATCCAGCATAGCAGGAATATCTAATGGTGAAATACCTGATTTCTTAGATTTAGTAGCAGTAGCTTTACTTGATTTTGATTTTTTAATGGTTGGTTTTTTAATACTACCACTACCATTACCATTCATTGGACTAACATTACTTGAATTTAAAGTTAAAGAACTATCATTATTCTCAGGGAATAAATTAGGTAAATTATTTTCAATTCCAAAGAACGTATTACCATTGCTGCTATTGCCATTATTATTTCCATTACTCTTACCATTACTATTGGCATTTATTTGATGAACATTATCAAAATATAATGATTGATTAAATGATTGAGATGCTAATTGAGGAGTGAAATCCAATCTTGGTGATTGACTTGATTGACTTAAACTTTGAGCATTACTAGGATTGTTACTATTATTATTAGTGAATTGGAAATGATTTTGATTTTCATTATAAGATCTAGAATAAGCGTTCGGAGTTTGAGTAACGGATCGATTTAAACCGGGACGATTTGGAATTTGTTGAGGATGATTTGGAAATTGATTTTGTTGATTTTGTTGTTGTTGATTGAAATCAGGTAAACTGACAATAGAACTATCATGTCTAATTAAATTTGAGGGAGATGCAGCAGTAGAAGAAATACTATTAAATCGATTAATATTATCATTTGAAAATTGACTTAAAATAGTTGAAGGACCAACACTTCCATGAGGTAAAGATGTTGAGATTCCATGATGATGAGGAGTGGTTATTTCATTAAATTCATGTTTCACAAAATGAGAATTCATTTCTGTATCTATATCAGTATAATAATTATTATTTGGACCTTCAAATGCTAATGGATCCAATGAGAATTCATAATGATGTGGATAATTAACTTGAGGAGATTGTTGTTGAGAAGATGGCAATACCAATCTAGTTGGTTGTTGTTGTTGTTGTTGCTTACTTTTTTCTAGATTTAGAGACATTGACAAGTTAGAATGAATTGAAGGACCATTAATTAAACCAGTAATTAAAGGAGAGAATTCAGCTGGTCTTTTTCTATTGTTATTGTTATTATCACCTGAGGTGGTTGAAGATGGATTATTATTATTTTCATTATTATTATTGATATTATTAGTATTTCTAATACCAATATCAGTTGATGATTGACCCATTTTACGAATATGAGCAACATAATCAAAATCTTCAGCGGCAGGGTCTAAACTTGGAGAATTTGCTATAGAAGCTTGATTATTTGTATTTGAATTGGAAAATAATTGATTGGTATTAACTATAGGTTTATTATTCTTTAAATTATTAGTAATATACATCATTCTCCAAGTTAAATTTTCCATTCTTTCCTTATAAGGTAATGATTCCTTTGCTCTATTATACATTCTCCATAAACCTTCTAAACTTTCTAATTCATCTGCTAATAAAGTTGATAAACTAATTAAATTATTATTGGAAAGGACAGATGAACCTTTCAGATTAGTTGAAAAAGAAAATTTGGGATTATTAATGGTAGAAGAATGATTATGATTGGTGGTGGTATGAGAAATGGTTGGTAATGAAGAACTTGGAGTATTGGAGATTGAAGAAGCTAAATGTGATGTATTTGAACTACTACTAACGGTACCATATTGAATAGGTTTGGAAGGGGCGTTGGTGGCAGTCACTATGGTAGATGAACCACCGCCACTGTCTATAGTGCTATAGTGATTCATTGATATTGATGACGATGATGAAGTAGGAGTAGTAACAGAAGTTGACAAAGAATGATTTAAAATACTTCTAATTTCAAGTAGGATTTTGTTATTGCGTAAAAAGATGTTGAATCTTGAAATGATTGTTTACTTTGTTTTGGGGGATATAACGATATGTTTGATGATACTGATGTTGTAATGGGATTAGTTTGATACGATTGAATGAAGGATGATTTAACAAATCAGATTTTGGAAAGGATAAATGTAAAAATTGGAAGAGTCTTCTAAAGTATAGAAGAAGAAAAAAAAGAAACTTAAAAAAACTGACTAAAATAAAATAAAATAAAATAAAATAAAATAAAAATAAAAATAAAAATAAAAATTAAGTAAAATAAAATTAATATTCAAACTAAATTATGAATTTGTAAACTATTTACAAATAAATATAATAAGGTACAATTGATAGTTTTAAAAAGAAATTTTGTATGGTGGGTTGTATAACGGAACATATCGTTTCTTATATTTTTTAAAAACTAGTATAAGCTAGAGGAGGGGTGGGTAAGAAGGTGTAAGTGTAGGGAGAGATATAATGCAAAGAAACACTGGCGGTTTAGATTATTCCACGGCATAGATTGGTGGGATATGATAAAGTATAAGCTACAATGTGCAAATTTAAACACACTATTATTTGACATGGCCCGCCGCCCCTGAAAACTAAAAATTCCTCAAAATGTTCCCTGTATTATCGTTATTGCAAATGTTGTAAACACACATATTAACAGAGTACAAAAATAGGATATTATTACAAATTACTTGACATTATTGGCTACCCGTTTCCCTAAGCATTGTTTTTGATAATCATGTATGTATTAAATATATATATATAATATGAAAAGACAATGAATCAACAACAACAACTGATTCAAATATTTGCCAATTTTTACAACCATTTTTTGACTTTTTTTTGTTTTGCTCGCTTATAATTAAGTCTCAAAATATGGCTTATGTCAGTGCTTATGTCATCTCAACTCCAATTTTCTTATCGAGGAATTTAATTGGTTGGATTATGAATTAAGTTATCGGAACAGGGTACTGTATATAGTCCCGTGGTTTCCCAATTTTGACTATCTAATGACAACGGAGCGATAAAGGGAACAACTATTTCAATTTTGATATTTCATTGGTTTGATTTAATTTGATTTGATTTTGAAATGAAATGATAGTTATTCCGAAGGTAGAAGAAGGACACAAACCTTACATCATTAATTCATTTTTTATAATCGTTGTTTTTAGTTAAATCGTCTTAATTCTAAAACTATATATTGTGAACAGAGAGTATGTTATTGACATACTGTACAAATAATTCATTTTCCTATTTCTTTCCGAAAATAATTTCATATCAAACTGAATGTGTGCCGATCTCCTTATCCGTTCATCATCATTCATTTTATTTTATTACTTTACTTATTTATTTAAGGAAAGAGTTACCCTTACCCCCTTTTGACTTAATTAAAAAATAAATGTAAGCCTTACGGATTATTTTCCTTAAATGTGCGAGAGTAAAGTAAAGTGGACTACATCGTCACGCGATTCCTGTCATGTGTTTGTAAAATATGATCAATTCCCATATATAACTAGTAGTACCATTCATCGAGTCGTTTGTCTAACTGTTAATGTTTCGGCATTTAGCATCTTCAACTATACTTAATTCCTCATTTTCCACCATAACCATTTGATTTTAAATTTTAAAACATATCTTGTTAAATTTTATCAAAAATTCATCAAAAAGAACATTTCTTTTTCGACGAATTAAGCCAATTATCCTTAAAAACATAATCTATCTACATCAATTACGAATTCTCTTCATTGTAACCAGAAACTTATAATATAAACTATAGCACCCCAACCTGATAAAGCATCTCTATCAACTGCATTTAAAAGGGCTTGACTAATGGTTTCAAATAAATCTTCTGGTTCTAAATTTGGTTCATAAAGTGATTCACACATACCATATAATTGATCACTAGCAGTACCACTAACTATAAAATCTTTAGCAAAATCAATACAACCAATTGAATCAAAAAAAAAATATAAAAAAAATATATATATATAAAATAAGTTCGTAAATAATTCACTCAATGAAATAGGCTTAATTATTTAGTCCTTTCTTTTTTCCTTGTTACTTTTGCAACAACCAAACTATTTGGTACCTGCCAAATGCGGTAAGTTGCACACTATAAACTTAAGAGAGGAGGTCCTTTTCATAAGCAATAATTTTTAAAGCTAATAATTTAGAAAAATATCTTGAAAGAGCTAAATTTCCTCCCATAAACCAAAATGCCTTTTGTCCTGAATCTCTCCACATGGTTTTAATTTCTCCTTCTTCATCTAATCCCCAAACTGGCTTTAATTTATCCACAACTTCACTTTCAACAAATCTTTTAGATGAATCTTTCATATTTGAATAACCAGTGGCTAAAACTACAATAGATAAATCATTAATCTCTGTCCCATCACTAAATATAACTCCATCCTCTTTAAAACTTTCAATTTCAACTCCTTGTTTCATTGTAATCTTTCCTTCAGATATTAATTTAGAACATCCAACATCAATATAATATCCTCCACCTCTTCTAACATATTTTCCAAATAATCCAGTGGCTCCAAAACCAGCATCCAACTTAAACCCTGCTTTTGTTAACGCATCATATAATTCACTTTCTCCTTCAATGGTGGTTTTATATTGTTGTTGCTGTAATAAATTCTGAAGTTTGATAGGTACAGAATGAGCTAATAAATCAGCTAATTCAACTCTAGGCCCACCTTCTTCATAAGTACCTCTATTAGTAACCTTTAATCCAAATTCAGATGAAACAACACATGTTGTAGATCTCTGTAAGATGGTGGTTTTGGCACCTTGTTCATATAAATCATGAGAAATATCATGGCCCGAATTACAACATCCAATAACTAAAGCATTCTTACCTTCAAATAATTTCCCATTTTTATATTTTGAAGAATGAACAATTTCACCTTTGAATTTGTCTTGATTCTTGAAAGTAGGAATATTTGGTTCACCTGAATGTCCAGTAGCCATTACTAAATGTCTTGGAAATAATTCAACAATTTTACCAGTATCATTATCCGATATTTTAACTTTCCAAACATTATTCTTTTCATCGAAAACAGAATGTTCAACCGTTTTATTGGTCCAATAACTTAATTCCATAGATTCAGCATAAGTTTCAAACCATGATGCTAATTTATCTTTGGGAGTGAAAATGGGCCAAACTTCAGGGAAATCCATATATGCCAAATGATCATACCAAACTGGATCATGTAGTACTAAAAATTTATAACGATTTCTCCAATTATCACCGATTTTAGGATTCTTTTCCACAATTAAATGAGATATTCCCATAGCATGTAATCGAGAAGCTAAATTCAAACCTCCTTGACCACCACCAACAATCAATACTGTTGGTTGTTTCTCTTCTCCCCATTTGAATCTATCATTAATCAGATCTAACCAAGAAGTTCTATTCAAATGTTGACCATGATTAACTCCTTGTGGTCTTAATACTCGTTTACCTTCTTCAAATCCTTTAATATCATCTAATCTGGTATATAAGGTATACGCCTTAAGACCAGCAGTAGTCGAGACTAATCTAAACAAACCAATAACTTTCCCAAACTCATTATTAGCATTGATTATAACCAGAATACATTCAATCAATGGATCATTTGATTGAAGTTTATCAACCTTATAACCATTTTTGAAATGATCAGTTTCTTTTTTATCTAAAGTAAAATTTGTAATTTTAAAGTTTTCAACTTGACTAACAATACTTTGTTTAATATTTTCTAATCCATGAAATTGATGAAAATCCCAACTTAAAGTTAAATGATCTTTCCATGACGCATGATTAAAAAGAAATTGATCTAATAAATCTAAATTACTATCACTTGGATCTTCATTTATGGTTTTAAGAACTGTATTGAATCCATTGACCCATGATTCAACTTCTAAATCTATATTATCCAACAAGTCTATTGGCTTTGGAATTGAATCACCATAGATATACTTTATGGGAATAGTCTCAGTAACAGGATCAAATCTCACTGGAGGATTGACCAATTGGGACAATTCCACTCCGCTTGATACACTCATCTTGTCTTGTTCATTTACAACAATCTAATGCAAAGTTCAAAAAGGATCTTACAGTCAATTTAAATAGTAATTACCAAAGTTAAACCATTACTAATGAACGAGCTTCCAGAGAAGTCATTTTCATACCATGGGGTAAAACTGCTAGTGAACAAATTCTCGGGATAATTTTACTAACACATATATAGTCTTACCATGAACTCTATTCTAAATAGCCGCCTTTAACCCTCTCAACTATTCGTCGTGCTATATCCATCTCCCCCACAAAAAGATTATTTAGGCTTAGAAAATACTAGCCTCCAGGTGGAGGTGTATGGTTGTAAAGTCCCTCCACTTATTTATCTTGATGTATGGATGTTTTCTCCGGAGTTCTATTATTTTAAACCAGACTCTGAAAAACGGAGTCACAAACATATTAAGGAAAGGGCTCAAAAGATAAATTATACTATTAATATGAAAGGAGAAATAAATCTACCAAGGTCATATAATTGGTCAATGATAAATTCTTATAATTATAATCAAAGCGTCATATAAATCAAACTATTGAACAGTGGTTGTGGAAAAAGGTAACAGATTTCATATGTCAAGTCTTGTGCTACAGTGCATTCATTCTTGGAGCTACGGTAATTGTTACTTTGACTACGGTTGTTATTTTTCTGATTAGCGAGTATACTCAAGTTAAGGAGTCTTCATTAGAGTCATCAGATCATCAGAAATTTCATCCATTTTGGATAGGTTCTAGGGTTTGCTTTACAGGGAATGTTTTGAACAAGTTTTGAAACATGTGGAATTCAAGCTGTACTAGCGGATGTGGGATATGTTCCAAACAAAAGGCAATGTTTTGTGGCTTATGATGTTGCTACTGTGAGTGGATCTATACTGACAGGAATATTTGCCGAAGCGATATTGTAATTATTGTAAAATGTTTATGTTCCAGTTCACCTACATAGAGTTAATAAAATTCCATATCATGAGTTCCGTTCATTCAATGTAACAAAATCAATTCTTTAAAGGGATATTTCATTTTCTACAGATATCAGGTTGGGTTCCAAATTGGAACCTATTGGCTAGTCCATCTACATCAATGAATTGAAATCAAAAATAAGAAAAACTAGAGCCCGAACGAAACCAGCGCATCTACGTATTCATCATCTGGATTTTCTACTTTGAAGTTCATTAAGCTAGCCTGTGTTTCGGGTTAATCACATAGAGCTTTTTTTTGCTCTCCAATTTCGGTCTACGATACGAAATGATTTAGTAATATGAGCAATTACGGTCTGAAATAAAAACTTTATTTAGATATATATAAAAAGGTACATATGACATGTATAATATATGATATGTACATATATAATGGGAGGGGTGAATATCAAGTTAAAACTATGTAATTGATTTCCTAATTGAGACAAAATTGATTTACTCTTACAGAGTCCAAAAAAAAAAGTGTATACATGACGACTATCAGTCTGCCTAGCTTTTTGTTTAAATGTATAAAAGTAGGAGAACAATTAAGATAGCCATCGCCTCTTATTGTTTACTTTACTACAAAAGAGATTGTGCAAGGTGATTCCATTTAATAGTATGTACATATATCGCCCATTTAATATTCATATCCGCCTCACTTGGAAAATTTTAGTAGAGTAAATTACCAGCAGTAAAAATAATATTTATGAGGATGTCAATAACTATTAATATGATGGAATTAAGACTGAACCTTCTTACTAATTAATTAGAAGGCTCATTAAATAAATTAATTGTTTTGGAATCAGGGTTAAGTTCACTGCTGCTATTGTTCTTTCTTTTAATAATGATAGTTTCATTTCGTAATTTTGTGATCTTAAGTTAGTCAAAAAAAAAAAATCTAACACTCGTGTTATAGTTGATTATTATAATTGTTATCACATGTACTGGGGTAACAGCAACAATACCAAAAGACGACAATAAAGACTTATATAGATCGCCAAGTGATATACAAAGGCCATAGAGATCATAAAATACCAATCTCAACAATGGAAAATAAACCTAAACGGGAATCAGAGAGAGTGAGGGTCTATGGATTTATGACCTTAACTGGTGCCCTGATACAGGTCAAAAAAATAATTAATTTTGGGTCGCTAATAAGAACAATTTTAAGGGCGATGCTTTACTGACACAAATTATTTAGCGTCAAGAAATTTTAAATTAATAACAGCATTGCATTTTGGTTGGACCCTTGGCAACATATTTCTATTCACTTATCAGTATTTATTGGTAAATCTTTAATATCAGTTCATTAACTATAAATTTTTGTCGATCAAGTTTTGAAGACGATGTAAAATTGGTTTTGTTAATTACCTATATGACACCACTTCTTCCTTTGGTTAAACTTACTTTGTGTACCCCTTCTATAGACATTAAAAAATTATTATCTTATTGTCTAGTTCGATGCAGATGCATATTTCACTCCTTAAAGGTTTTTTTCCTTCATTGTTCTCAATATGATTGTTATGGAAATCTTTCTATTTGATCGTAACAATTCTATCAATTGCTAAACTCTAATGTTTCTTTCTATTATGCTTCATGCAGTGTTTCTAGTTGATATTCTCGATTCTTCTTGTTCACTTGGCTTCTATTTAATAATGTAACAATGTAGCCTCATAATATTTACGCCAATTTTGTTGAGTTTAGGCGTATGTCTCCTCTAGCCTTAAATTTCATAATCAAAACCTTATAATAAATACCCATCAAGTTGTCTTAAAAATTATTAATTTATAAATAATTTGGTTTGATATCTGGATTCGACTCAGCTGAATTGAAAAGGTCTATTAAAAGAAACTAGAGTTAATTATGAGTTTTTATTTATTACCTCCAGTTTCTTATCAGAATCAACAGAAGCTTAAGCAACTGACTAAAAAGAAAAGCTCTAGCTCCAGTTCTAGTTCATCAAAACATAAAAAAGATGGCAGTAAAAAAGAACGAAGTCATCGAAGTTCCAAATCTTCAAGGTCAAAGGATCATGAAGTTCTGGAAGTTTTATCAGCATCTCCTCATACAATACAGTCCTCGATAATGAGTGATAGTATTGACGAGTCATCAAGATCAATTTTTACAACTACTTCAATAGACACTTCTAGTCTTAAAGATTCAACAACCATATCTTCTGATGCATCTCCAAAGTCAGATACTAACTCCTTAACAACCCTTTCAAAGAGAGCATCAATCCTTTCAAATTTTGATATAAAATCTGTCAAATCAACTAAAGAAAAGAAGACTTCCGAGTCTTCATCCGCGTTCAATTATACATTCAATTCCGATATCAATGATGCCATAAATAGTTCTAGAAGGGCCAAGAAACATAGCATTAACACTCATAAACGTTCTATATCAATCAATTCTACCAATTCAGGTTCAATCCATTCTCCAATAAGTTCATATGTAGACCAAGGTTCTTATAGATCTGTCCCAACAGAAGCAGACGATGAAACGGATCATGATCCATTATTATTAATGGAATCAGAAGAACTGGATGAAGATAATGATGTTAACGCAAATCAAGACTTTTCAGATGTTAGTTCAATTTTTAGTTCAAGACCTTTACTGTACATGGACACTAAAAGTAGTGCATCATCTCGCAGAATTGAACATCCATCTGGTCATAAGAGAAGTTCCGATTAAATTCAACCAATACACTCAATAATTCAATTCTTCTTAGCATTCTTTGATAAATATTGCTTATAGGTTTTTAGCATCCTTTTTTTTATTTCAGCGGGTTAATAGTTTTCTTCTTTTTTAATTTTTATTTTTTGATTAAATTCTTCCGTACAAATTATCATATAATAAATAAACAATTTTTATTTGGGAAATCATATCTAAATAGTAAATGAAATAATAAAAAAGTAAAATTAAACAATAGATTATGTAATGAGAGGGATTAACCCTTTTAATAGACCGTCACTGAAGAAATACAGCCATTTGAATTAATAGCCTCAACTATACATCTTTCAAACCCATAAAGCTTAGACTGACCCCATGTTTTCACTTTACCACTAAATTTAGTGTCCTCTTCCTCTTTGACCTCTTCGGTTGCATTTGGAAGCTCGATTATATCGAACTCATTATCAATAAATTCAGACTCATTTCTGTTAAGAAGAACTGGTGTCAAGTTACGAAACCTTGGAGGCAAGTCTTTGAAATACATGGAAGAATCAAATTTAATTTCTTCACCATCAATCGTAGTGTAAACTTCCCAGAAACATCTATTCCACTTCATGAAATTCAAACTTTCAGTTAATCCACCATTATGAGCAATAACCTTCTTCACAGTGGCACTCATTCCAGTATTACCCTTGTTTGATTTATTGTTATTCAAATCGTAAAGGATATCAATACCATATTTGAAATAATTATGGAATTTGAAATGACTTAAATCACTATCAGAATCCAACTTATCAGACACCAGGTTGTAAGTTACATCATCTTGATTTAGAGATAAGTGTTTATGAATCAATAACCTCGAATCGAATTTATTAAAATAGTCATCCGGAGGGCCCAAGATATTAACAACCTCTTGTTGGGTTGTTTTACCAAGAATGATTTCAATTGTCACCCCTTTTCCATCACCTTCTTTATTTTTCATTGACACCAAGATTTTACCAGTATCTAAATAAAATTTTAATCCTGAAACTGCTGGCTTCGAATTAATTTGCCTTGGATGAAGTTGATCAACTCCTGTACCAGCAGAAGAATTATTCAGTAACTTAAACTGTGACCACGACTTGCCTTTGTGTAATGCTATAGTTGAGCATACAAGATCCAAATTACCATCCCAATTAAGCAATATAGATAAAATTTGATCATCATTGGCTGCTTCAATCTTATTTAATAAGGTTTCATTTCTGATCTTGAATTTAAAGGAAATCCCAGGATAAGATAAAATATAAGTCTGGGTTTCCTTATTGAAAATACCAGGGTATGTTGGGCCAAATATTTTATTATAAATAGATTTTAAAGTTGGACCAGTCGAGACTAATGTATGAAATGTGGAATTGGATGACAATGAAGCAGCAGACGATGTCTCTAAAATAGTACTGGATGAAGAACTCTTGGATGCTGAACCAGTCAAATCCAAAGGAACTGTTCCCAAACTGCCATGAATATCGATATTACTGTTGTTATTGCTATTAGAACCACTGCTACTTTCAATCTCATTTAAACTTATTCCATTATACATCAACTTAAGCAATTTGTTAGAAGTATGATTTTGATTTTTCAACTTACTATCAAATTCCATTACTTCAATTAAATCTAATACTTGATCCTTTTGATTAACAAACGTCAACCTAATACCCAAATCTAATACAGTAATAAGAATTGGAACATTTAAAAAGTTGGTATCACTGTAACTGACCCGCAACTTGTATTGAAACTTATCAAGGTACTTCATTATGGTATACATAGATTCACCCAACTTGATATGATTACCTAACCCCTCTCCAGGGATGATATTAGTCTCATAAATCATGAACAGCTGGTTTTGCTTAGGAGTTGTAAGTGTAGATAAACATCCTTTATTAAATAAACACATTTCCTTATATTTACAATTACAAAATATCCCCTAGATAAAGAAACATCCATACCTCCGCGTTACCTTATCAATGATTCTAAAATATGTTGAGTCCTGTATATAATAAACTGTTTCTTCTAACTATAACTATGTACTATAAATTGACCTAACCTAAGATATCTCCAAGAGAAATCTTCGAACGGGAGACCTCTGCAATAACCTTCTTCTCTCTACTCACTTTAGAGCGAGGTATAAATACGGCGCTTACATTGTCCGTCAAGTCTTCTATCCCATAAAATACACCATTCAATGGAGAATCTAAATTCTCTACTAAACCTCCATCTGAATCGTTTTCATCTTTTTCCAGATCGTTCTTAGTGTGGTAACATGATTGGCAGCGATAGTTTATGCCCCCATCAGGTTTATCTTCTTTCCACCACATTGGCGAAGTTGTAGTTTTACAATCACAACAAAATGCTTGCTCTTTGCGTAATCTCGTTAATTGTTCTCTATTATTTTTCCATGATAAATATTCTTTATCACCTTCCTTTAGGACTTTACAGCTTTCAACATAAAGCTTAGACTTGGACTGTGGACCTGATTTGGAAGAATTGTTTGTCCTAGTAAGATCTTCAAGAAATAACTGTATCAAGGGTTTTGCTTCTTCTTTACCACCACCATGCACTCTTTTCCCCAATGTACGCATACCAAAAATAGTAGACGAAGTTTGATCATGTTTTGGACATATCAAAATTGGCTTTAGGATACCAAAGGAATTATTCACATCAATAAGACAAGCATCCTTTTCTTTTAATGGTTGATGATCTAAACCGAATCCTAACTTAAAATTTGGAGTATCTTGAGCACAAGTTATATGATATTTGGTTTCAGAATCACACATTTCACAAGAAATTACCGATCCATTCCTTGATGAACAAATACCACAAGTAGAGTGATACCCCCTGAGAAAAGTGTCTGCTACCTCTTCGAACTTCAAATTATTCGAAAGTTGTGAATCATCAAAAGCAATATCTGATTTACCTTGCCTGAAGGAAATCGAATTGCTTGGGTTGGCGAAGCTTCCTTTGCGGGCCACTAAACCATGATTGAATATAGCACACAAGACATGGCACCATTTAGTTGATGCGTTGATTGGTTTTAGGAAATCTGGACGAACTAAAGTGGACCCTAGGAATGAAAGTTCATAATTGGATTCATTAGCAAAACAAAGTGAACATGAATAAATGGTTGAGTTATGTGGAAGAGTGTCATTAATGCAAACTTCACAGAGCCACTCTTTTGCTGGAGAAGTGATTTTCTCACTTATTTGAATTCCAGCACAAGATGCATGAATATTAACACCACAAGTCGAACAAATGAGCATCTCAAGACTTGATTTTGAATTGATATCGTGTTCTCTGCAGATGCTACATTTTCTTTCATTTGGATTGAATGGAACCGATACAGTACTTTGTGCCGGTACATGTAAAGGTGAAAACTGAGATTGCATATTGGATACCTGTCTGATCCTGAAATTATCGAGCAAGTTACGTAATATCCCATCGTTCAAATCTTTACTTCGTTCAACACTTGGAAGATTTATAAGACTGTAGCCGCTATTGGTGATGGGGAATGGTATATCATGAACCGAACCAGTAATTTTCTTGACTTTCTTTGTCAGTGACATGGAACCATTTTCAGAACTCTTGTTGAAACTCGATATAACTTCATCTTCAATTTTCCTCTTAATAGGTTTTGGTTTAGCAATAGTGTTTTCAATGATAGGCTTTACAACAGCCACCTTCTTAGACCTCGATTGTTTGATAGGTATATTGTTTTCCGTCTTGATAGTAACCTTCTTACTTTTTGCAGTATCGTTTTGTGTTACGTTGTTAACTTTCTTCTTCTTAAGAACAGGCTCTACACTACTTTCAGCACTTGGCATCCTCTTATTAGGAGTGTCTGGAGCAGATACCGAAGATTCTTTCTTCTGAATCTTGGCACTATCACCCTTATCATAAGAAATTATTGCTCCAAGCCTTTCAGCTTCTCTCATAACTGCTTTGGAATCTTCCAATAACTCAGGTTCTACCTTTTTCTTCCAGCCGATCAGTTTACTATTCTTACCTTCAACCTCATTGGGATCTTCCCAAATGACTGCATATCTCCTCCATAATTTAGCACATCTAAAACAAAGAGCTGTAACAGAATTTAATTCCAAGGAGATCCCGTTCTCTTCGGAGGAAGGCTTTTCTTTCTTATCCGCATCATGATTTGTTATTCTAAACCATTGCAATGATGTTTTTATATTACAATGTTTGCAAATAAAATCTCTTTTATTATCCAAGATTTTGTTGGTATCATAAGAAGAGTCGTCTTCAGGATCGGCCAAACTATCTATAACAGGATGGGCAGGCTTATCTAGATTTTCGTGTTTCGAAGGATCATCTTTAATATTCTGAAGTTTCTTTTGTATTCTTCCTTCATAATTTCCCCATATTAACCTACCATTCTTAGTCTTTTTCCAAAGATAATAGAATCTAACGACCATAGCATTGGTTTGTGATTTAACTCGTTTATAAACAGGATATAATTCACTACCAAACTCTTTAATACCACTTTCAAATCTTTTAATTTCATCCTTGGAGAATGTAGGCTCCTTCAACAATTTCTTATTTAATTTTGCTATTTTCTTGAGAGCTGCATCTGCATCATAACCAGATTCCATATAACTATAAACCACTGCATCCATAAAATTTGGCGAAGTTGGTAATATACCAATCTTTTCAGCTATAGATTTACTATCCTCAAGCAATCTATCCAATACTTTGAAATCATCTTCAATATCAGATTCGGAAGATTTCCAAAGAGAAGTGCATGTTACTCCTTCACCATCATCGACACCCCTTTCAAGATATCCTTTTGGTCGAGGCTGTAACCACTGTGGGAAATCTCTTTTATTTAAATCCTTATATTCATCTGGAATTTCAAGCTTCTTTATGTTATCGACTTCGTTTGCCTTCTCTTTTGATAATTTTGATTTAAACCCGCCATTGGTCTTTTTCTTTCCATTACTAGTTTGCTTGTCAAGGTCATAGTACACAATTGGATGATCATAAAATTCAGGGATATTGGTAGCTTGATGTTTGGCTCCCAATCTAGTAGCTGCTCTTGGATATGGAGATCTATCGTCTAAATCAACAGCATCTTCCAATCTTGCATGCATACCTAAATATCTCATAGGCCATTCTTCCTTTATTCTCCTCTCTTCAAAAGTCGATGTGCTGTCTTTCTCAAGGAATTCAACTGCCATTGATTCATACTTAGGCAAGGTCTCCAATGGAGTCTCAGTTTCACTATCTTCTTCAGTCTGAGATGATACTGGAAATTCATCAGCTTGTTGCGCTTCAAAGGAACTTAAAACAGACAATTCTTCATGTAGTTGATCTTCATTAGATGATTTATTGTCATGAGACAACATTAGCATTTTCTTCTTATGGTATTCAATTTCGTATTTCTTTGTACATACAGCACAAGACCACGAAAAGCCTCTGCTAGGTTTCTTGAGTAATGGTGGTTCTAAACAGTACATATGATAATAGTCATTACAAACAGCACATGTAATCGAATCTTGTGTTGAACCACACCATTGACCACACTTCTCACAGTTACACGAATTCGAACTAAATGTATTTATGAAGGATTTGGTTCGTTGACTTTCCACAAATATATATTCGAATCTTTTATTCAATGCTGTTAAAAAGTTGCGACTAGTATTGTTGTCTTTAACTGCATACTGTAACAAGTTGGAAGTCAGCAAAATATCATAAAACTTGATCATATATCTATCAAACAATTTATCGAAGTAGAAGCAGTTGGGATTCTGAATGTATAAATCGATTGCTGTTGAGGAATGTCCAGGTGAAGCAGATTTCTTTTGATTTTGTGGTTTGTTAGCTTTTAAACTTGAAGCCGCATATTGACTTTCATCTTCAATATCTTGCTTATGCTTGACAGTTACCAAACCACGGAAACTTGCCATAGGGCAAGTATCAGTATGCATTGAAGCAAATAATACTCTTGAATCGCTTGTAGATTTTGAAATATCTCTAGGTCTGTAAAACCATTGCATTTGAAATTGATATTTACTGGCATCAACTAATTCGGCTTGTTCATTTACTGTCTGTGACTTTTCTTCTGGTAATGGGGATTTAAAAGACGATTTCTCCTTAAATCCCATTATTCTTCCTATGTAGTATGGTTCACCAGGCGGCTCGCTTACCATATATATATAATCACCTTTGCTTAGCGTAAAAATGTCTTTCTGCTTACTTTTCCTTTTTGATTGTGTTGACACTGCTGGTTCTTGATAAGGACAGTATAGCATTTGAGTCTTTAGATTAATATATGCATCTGTTAAGTCCAATCTATTTGAAAAATAATCTCCTGGAGCTGGAGGCATTTGATAATTATATGGTATGCTTGGAACTTCAGCTACAGCCTTCGAATCAGTTGCTTTAGAACTCGCTATGATCAGTGACCTTTTTGAAGAAGCCTTCTTAAGATCTACAGAAGGAGTTACCTTGCTGTTAGCTTCTTCAAGGGGAAATTCTTCTAAGGTATCGTTATACGACATATTGATCGTAGCCTTCCTTCTTGGTCTGACCAGAGTCATCTTGAGATATGCAAATATATGAGGGGATGGAGTTAAAAGTATGAAAAGAAGGATATTCTAATAATGCTAAAGATTCATATGTATATGGACATGAACAATCTTAGCTCTTGAACATGTAGTACTTTCCTTAGAAATACTTTCTGGTTTAATAAATTGGGATATAGGGCCATAAAAAAAGTTCTGAAAATTCCCTTATATTCAAATTTTTATTCTGTGTAACATGCTCTATATTTCACACAATTATTTAGAGTGCCTATATTTAATATACATATATTTACAGTTCCTAATGATATTTACAACATTTATATATAGCCTTTCAGTATTGTACTTTCAAGCATTTCTATTTCCTCGATACTAGAAGCATTCTGTAATTTCTTTATTAAGTCTTCCCTCTCTGCATCAGTCAATTTCTTAGTAACCGTCTTCAAATTCTTCTCTTTATAACTCAGATTATTATCTTTATTGTTTAGAACTGAACTAGTATCATTCAAATAGGTCGTTGCTAATTCCGATGGTTCATCAACTTGTAATCCAAATAGATTTTCAGCGTCATCTCGTTCCAGTTTTTTTATTTTTGAAAAATCCAACACTTTTAATGACGGTATCAACCAAATTATGAATAGTCTATAATTATCTCTATCTTGAATTGGATTACCAATTAAGGATAGATTTTCAAGTTCCTTAAAACATTTGAAATTCTTGTGAAAGTGAGAAATATTGTTATTAGTTAATACAACCGATTTGAGTCCATTACTTTCTGCAATAGTATCATCTATATACGAAATCTTGTTATTCGCCAATAACAAGACTTCCAAATTGGTTAAATCTTCTGGAATATTGCTTAACTCTATTAATTCATTATTGGATAAATCTATAACTGAAAATCGATTTTGAGTTAATGATAAATTTTCAATATAAGGAATTTGTAAATTTCTCAACTGCAAGGTTAATTTACCTTCTGGATTAAGGTAAGTGGATGCATTATTGATTATTCGGGAAGTCAACCTCATCTGACTTGTTAATTATCTTAGATGCTAATTGAAACACTAACTAGTCAAAATCTCTTATATATTAAAATCTATTCTATCCCCACGACCTTTTTTGGTGATGTTTTTAATTTTTCGAGAGTGCGACCACAAGCAAGGAAATTATTGTTATGTTAAAGGGCACAGTTAATTATTAATAGAAACACCCACACCATCAGCTACAGAAAGACAATGATACAACTAGAGGAAAGAGATATGCCCCAGATTCCTGGGACAAAGTTGGAGGATGGTGAAGCTAGAGAATTACGAGGAATGGTGGCAGACTTACTTGGTAGAAGAAATTTTAACTTTCCTGGTTCTCAACCAGTATCATTTGAAAGAAAGCATTTAGTGGAAACATTGAAGACAAAGGACTATTTCGTGTGTGAGAAGACCGATGGATTGAGGTGTTTATTGTTTATAATATACGACAACGCCAAGGGAGAAGGGGTATTCTTAATTACCCGTGAAAATGAATATTATTTCGTACCAAACATACATTTCCCATTAACCACCCACGAGACAGCTGAACAAAAAGAATATCATCATGGAACTCTTCTAGATGGAGAGTTAGTATTGGAAAATAAGAATGTAAGCGAACCAGTACTCAGATACTGTATATTTGATGCCTTAGCCATAAATAGTAAAACAATTGCTGATAGACCGTTACCAAAAAGACTAGGATATATTACTGAAAATGTCATGAAACCATTCGATAAATTCAAAATAGAAAACCCCAAGATTGTTAATTCTCCTGAATTCCCATTTAAAGTAAGTTTCAAAATGATGAGACCTTCGTATAGAGCAGACCAAGTGTTATCTATGAAAGATCAACTTTTCCATGAATCAGATGGATTGATTTTTACCTGTGCTGAAACACCATATGTATTTGGAACCGATCATTCATTATTAAAATGGAAGCCAGCAGAAGAAAACACAATTGATTATGAACTAGAATTTGTATTCAATAAATTTCAAGATCCTGATATAGATGAGAAGGATCCATCATCAACATACACTGATTATGATTCCAAACCCAATTTGATAAAATTAAGAGTCTGGCAAGGTGACAATGTTCATAGTGATTTTGCTAAATTATACCTCGCGGATGAAGATTGGGAAAAATTGAAGAATTTGGGTGAACCATTACAAGGAAGAATAGCAGAATGTAGACAAAGTCCTTCTCAACATGGATTTTGGGAAATGTTAAGATTCAGAAACGATAAGAGTAATGGTAATCATGTAAGTGTTGTGGAAAAGATCTTGTTAAGTATAAAGGATGGTGTAAAAGAGCAAGAAATCATCGATTTCTGTCCAATAATATCAGAAAATTGGAAAAGAAGAGAATCAGATAGAAAGAGGAAACTGGTATCACAACAACCCATGGAGCATGTTAAGCGTCATGCGGAACCACCAAGAGAAAGCGAGCCTCCTGTTAAAAGGAGCAGAGGTAACGAAAATTCCCTCGAGTTGCCTACATATGACGAGAGTGACGATGAATAGTCTATTCCGTTTGTAACACTATATACATGTATAATTAATAATAAGACAAAATTTCATGCCAATCTTTATAAAACATTAACCCCTTAACAGCTTTGAGAAGCGAAACATAAAACCTGTATATCTAACGTTCAAGATTGATATTATTTCCGAACTTAGCGTACAAGTCTGTCTTTAATGAATCTAAACTTTCTTCATAACCTTCTAAAGTTCCATCTATATCCTCTATTTTGGCAGTCAATTTTTCATTATCCTTTTCTACCCTTTCAATAGCCTTCGATACTTTCATATAAACAAATGCTTCACCTATCTTATATTGGACTTTCTCGTCTTCATCTAATAATTCTATTTCAAGTGATAAATCATCTAGATATTCTTTCTCAGTCTTATATTTATTCAATACAGCAGTTAATTCATCTTTTTTGTTTATTATCGTTGAAAATTTATTAATTCTTTGTTGATCTTCCCACAATACTTCAGCAGCAGTATTGGCTTGACCATCAGGTAACAATTCCATTTTGTATTTATATTTGTTGAATAATATATGCTAATTAGGTTGAAATTACCCTACTTTAATTATTATTCAATTCTTTAATTTTTTTTCATTGTCCATATTGGCCAGGACGTGTACCGTTCAAAGAAAGTGGTAGCGCATTGATTTACAGAGAAGATAGATCTTCATATAGTTTAAGATCTAATCGTTTAATGGAATGAAGTTCATCTGTTTGAAACCACTAGTGGAGTAATTTGATTTATGTTTCTATTGATTAAGAGTAAGATGAAACCTAAAAATGATGTGTTTGGAGCAAAATACATAGTGTCGGCAAATTCACCCAATTAGGAAGCGATTGTACAAAATCAGATCGCGTTTAGTTAACGTTAGCAGATATCAAAGACTATATAGAGGGGACTATCTTTAAAATATAATTTAACTCAAACGGCATCCTGCTAGATTAAGTTCAAAGTATAAATAGACCCCAACTTAACTTCATTAATTACTACTTGTATATTTAATATTTATTTAAACCTAATTTCATCAGGATATTTTAAACGCTCAAGATGACAGCTTCAAAAGTAGATCCAGAAGAATATGAGTTATTACATTTAACAGATTATGAATTAATCAAATTCACCAGACAACAAAACTCCGCTGCTTGGAAGGGGAGATTGACAGCAGATGACTATATAATCAGAGATTTGGTCTTAGGAAAATCCAAAATGATAGCCACCAAGCCTAATGGATTATTTGTTTTCATGTTAAGAAGAATTAGCGATAAGAAGCCAGTCTCATCTATTGAATTATTGATCCGTACAGGTTGGAGGTTTGACTTTGAAAATGGAGAAGTTGTGGAAAAAGAAGTATCAACTGGATGTATTGGAGGTGTATTTACTTATCCAGAATACAGGGGTCAAGGTTTAGCTAGAATTATGGTTGATAAAATGATGAAGATTGCCAAATCAGAAATAATAGGCGAAGATGGATTTACATTTCTTTATTCTGAAGTTGGTGAATACTACGTTAAGAATGGATTTAAGTCGTTTGAAATCCCATTAGTACTGATACCATTAGTAGATGCTAAGCCTGTCGAGGGTATTGATGAAAAATTTGAATTAATTCCATATCATAAATTCAAACCTTATTTATCTATTCACAATAAACAATTAAAAGCAGAAATTATTGAAAAAGTTAAACAAGATCATTTATCAAGGGTCACATTAGTACCAACTTCAGACTTAGTTGATTGGTTCCATTTAAGAAGTAAGTATATCAGTTATAAGCTTTTCCACGAAAAGAAACATACTGAACCAATTGATTTTGTGAATGATACGTATGAGCAGATTGCGGAAAAATTTGAAAGATCTGAACCACATAAATTTGGTCTTAAATTGTTGAACAACGACAATGATTTAGTTGGTTATATTATCTGGACTTATGATTGGATTAACGATACTGAAAATTATGCTACTGTATTAAAGATCGTTGTCGTTGATGGTAATGATAAAGAAACAGCTTCTTTGAAATTATTGAGTTTGTTAAAGAACCACTTATTAAAGAACGAAGATAACGTAGGTCAAACTACTGTCAAGATCAGTGTTTGGGAATCAGAAGTCAGTGAAAAGAATAAGAAGATCTTAGTATCTAAATGGAAATCTAAGGCTGGTCTTGAGAATAGTTCAAGATCTGCTATTTTAATTAATAATAAAGTTGACGACGACAAGTTACAATCGGGTGATTTAATCTGGGAAGGTAATGATAAATTATCTTGGTTTTAATAAACAGATATAACTTTCATAGTCTACATCAAATCATTAAATATGATTCAAGATTGATTTTCAAATCCATGCAAATTGTATAGTTAACTGAAAAGTTATATATAACTGTAAATAATAATTAATTAAAGTTCAACTTCTATAACCGCATTGTACTTTTCTCTATGCTCATCCCTCTTAGTATAACTGTCAGCAACATAAGTCATAATCAAACCAAAAAAGCTTAGACATGCAGTATATACAAAACCAATAAAATACTTTGGTCTGTACTTGCTATCGAATACAAATATAGGAACCACACTTCCAATAACATAAGCTAAAGTATTAGTTACACTAATAAGAAAACTTCTAAATGAATCATCCTTGACCATAATTCTATTAATCCAACTGTATATTTGAGGTTGTCCCCAAGAGCCCGGAACACCAATTAAAAAGAATGAAAACCAATGCAACCATAGTGGTAAATCCCAATAACTTAATAAAAGACATCCAATTACCATTGATGCGAAATAAATCTTGAGAAAGACGTGATTATAAATCCCACCAAGATAATCATTTAAGTATCCTACTGTTATAGCGAATATTATACCAACGAAATGGATAATAGAAGGTATGATATTATAATATTCAGAAGGTAAATTCAATTCCATTTTCATCCAACTTACTAAAGTTGGTTGACTTGTAACATGGCCACCATTATTGAATGCCCAGAACATCATGGGAAATATCCATATTTGCCATTTGCCAAGATATGATTTATACGAGCTTGTTGATTTCTTCTGATGTGGCTTATCTATTTTTGCACCCATTTTCCTCCTTCTTTCCAATGCAATTAGTTTATCAGTATCATTCCAATACCAATTAGTAGTATTAGTTGGTAGATTTGGATTAGCAATCATTGTGAATGCCGCTATTGGTAAACTAATTATAGCATCCAAAAGAAAATTCAATTTGAATGGAGGTATATTTGAATCTTTACTTAATTCTATGATTAATTGTTGTAATGGACCAGCTATTACCGATGCAATTCCTGAACTTATGGCAAGGTATGTTGATCTTTTATTTATTTCTGCAGGGTAATACCAACTACCTAAAAGATACTCTAATGAAATAAACAAGGGAGCTTCTAAAAGAGCCAAAACGAATCTCAAGATATAAAACTCAGTCAATGAAGTTGCATTGTATTGTAAAATGGCTAAGAAACTCCATGCAAATTGTATGAAACCAAGGAAATATCGGAAATTAATAAGATTATGATGTATTAAATAGTTTGCTGGAAGTTGACCCACGATATAACCAACGGTCCATATAGATAAAAGATAATTAAATTGATTTTTATCCATTTTATAATATTCATCCATACCATTATTATATGCTAAAGTGATATTATATTGATTCAAATTCTTAATGAAATATCCTAACATACTTGATGCCATCAAGAAGATATCCAACTTTAATATAAATGCTTGTTCTAAAGGGTGTTTATCTATTTTATCATTAAAGAATTTCTTCACTATATAAATAAATGAATCCTTGCTATAAGTGGTAACTGTATTTTCATAGTTGGAATTATCAAACACATCAAGATCTATATATGGTTCATCTTCCTCACTAAAGTCTTGTTCTCCTCTTTCCAGAAGGGTACTAATCGATTTCTTTTTCAATAGAGAAGCTGTCTCCATGATTTATACCACCTCCAATTGTATTAATTACCAGTTTGTTTATAGAGAACCGATAGATAGAAAGATAGAAGAGAACTATATAATCAAGTATATATTATGATAATATTGTATTTATAATCCTTTGTTTTCAGTGGGATCAATTTAATTGAGTACTTTGGATCCACAGTTTTTTGCCTAGTTGGTTGCAGCCTTAGAATTCGCAATTTAATAGTACACAGCTTTGGCCTATCATAAGTGCAGTATACAACTGTTATAGCTATATGGAATACTATATCAAGATCATGGTAGTTGTTAAACAGGCATATCCGCTTATCAATGAGACTAATTGGATAATAAATAGTACATTTCAGAAGCTTGTATAAATATAATCTCAGTTGTGGGACATCTAAGATTTTTATTGTCTCGTATATAATCCGGTCGCCCAATCACATGACCAGAAGACCGGATATCGCGTCTCATATTTTATATGGCAGCAAAAACAAAAAACGTATAGAATCTGAACTTATAATTAGATGGTTATTGTTAAGACAACATTACATATCAAATGGAGGTAGAAGAGGGGATACATAACAATTCGGTTAGAGTTGGGTACTATGATCCTTTTAATCTCTATGCAGCCATTAAGAAAGATCTAGAGAGTAATCTACCCTTGTCCAACTTACACTGGAAATTCCATCCTTCAAAACCATTAAAATCAATAGCTTCATTACCTATAAGTCTAATTGAAGAAATCCCAAACACTAAGACTGAAGAATTAAACAAAAATATAATTGATGATGTTTATTTGAGAATCATGATTGTTAAAATCGATAATCTTGAATTTTACAGATCTCAAGTTAGACCTTTGATCAAAGAATGGCTAAAGAAACTTGTACTAGAAAGAAAAATTGAATGGATGATAGTTTTATATGTACCATCATCTGTGAAAGATAAGAATAGTACCCTTATAAAGACATCAAGCTTTGATAAATTGAAAGTTGATTTTGGTTACAATGGTAAAGAATGGCAACATATAGCGAAAGTACCAGTATATAAGACAGATGATGATTCAGCAAAATTTATCAAGATTAAAGAACAATCATCAAATGAATCAGAAAAATCAGAATCATATACTGATCTAACTTCAAAATTAAAGGAATTATTAATATCATCCTTCAACGAAAGATTTCAAGAATTTAATCGTAGGTTAGCTCAACTGAAAGCAAGTCCGTTAGAGAAATTCATCAATAACCTAAGTTTAGGAAATTTATTCAACGACATGAGACTTTATCAAGATGCTTTGGATATTTTCCAGTCACTTAAGTCTGAAAGTTTACTTAATGAAAAGCTCGATTATTCTATAAAGGCATTACCAAAATCTTTTGAAAATTATAAATTTTTCTGCTCTACCAATCCAGCATCATGCTTTACTGAAGATGCCATTAATCTATTTCAATTAAAGTTGCTGTTATTTGCAGCGGAATCTGGTTTGCTACAGAACTTGGCTAATTCTGCAGTTTCGGTTTCCATATCTTCACTCTTTGTTATCAATTTATTCCAAAAGTTAATTTATTATGTCAATGATGTTTCCGACACATTTAAATCAGCCGATTTAGATGAATTTATTTTCTCAATTGTTGATAGTTTCATTGAGCTCCCAATATATCAAAGACTTATCGAAATACTTAATGATACTGATGACGATACTATATCCTTAAATGATATTTATGAATTCAGAGGTGAATTAAAATTGCTGCAGAGAACAGCATTAATCAATTTAGCATCAAAGAGAGGCTTTAATTTACAATTGACAGGACAATTTGAAGATGTTTCTCTAACTGATGACCAAAACATAGATAAACCGGTAAAAGAACTCCAACTAACTAATAGAAAGTTGTTAAAGGCCTTATCTCTGGAGAATGAATTTCAAGATTACTTTGAGAATATAACGGAATCAACCATCCAAGAGTTTAGTAAATGCTCCCGTTTAAAGTCAATTGACATATTAAGTATTGACTTGGCATTATTGAAATACCAGCGAGGTGATTATGAAGAGGCTTTAAACATCATTGAAGAATCCTTTGATGTCTATATTTCCAATGGATGGAGCTTTATGGGTAGTTTTCTATTGGATGTTTATCTTCAATGTTTACTTAAGGTTGAACTGTCAGACTCACAAAGAAAGATATTCACTGGTCTTAAATTGATTTCTTGCTTAAAAGTGGGTACTGCTGGTCAAGTTGGAATCAACAATTACTCATTATTAATGAATCCAGAGAAAGTTGAAAGTTTATTTCAAAGTATAAAGGATACCTGTCTTGAACAAGATGAGTTAATCGATTACCCACTTGATGCTCTTTTTGAAATTGAATTATACCCTTACATCGAGGCAGATGATTCATGTTCTGCGTCGAAATACTATCTTGAAGTTATGATTGTGAATAAATTCGAAATCCCATTTGACTTTGAAGAAATCAATGTTCATTTGGATGGAGAAGAATATGACGATCAACTTTCTTTCAACGTTACAAACATTACACTTGAGCCTAAAAAGAGTCAGAAGATAAAGGTATATTCTAATTTTTTCAAGCTGGGGATTTTCACACCAACAAGAGTTACAGTTAGGATAAATGAAAATCTAGAACTTCTGCAAGAATTTGGATCAGTGGGAGTATCTGATGATCCAAACCATACAGTTATACACTTTGGAGATCCCTCGATTAAGCCATTGGCGAAATTTAGAAATCTTCCGCAACTACTTTACTATCAAAATATGGATAAGTTGTGGTGTGAGTTTCTAAATAGTAAGGAAATAAAATTAGGTACTACCAGTGCAGTTCTACGTATCCATAATGGGAAGACAAAGCTCAAAAACTTGAGGGTTGACCTTGTTCCTAGGACAGAAGGATTGAATTTGGAACTAAACGGAGTTGATCTTGACATAAAAGAAATAGGTCCAGGTCAGCTGTATGATATCGAATTTCCTTTGAAATACTTCAGTGATAATAAGGTAGTTGTTATCGGTGCTACTATAAAGTATAATATTAAGTCCGAGATATACAGTCACTCGTTGACTGCTAGTTTGGATACTACATTAACTATGGCGGTTTCGGTTCAAGATATATTTAGACCACATTTTATTTATTCCAATTTTCTGGTTGGAACTTCATCTCCTAAATATCCAATCAGACTCATTTCTAGTTTGTTGACTACTTCAAATGAAAATTATACAATCGAAAAGCCCAAGAAACTGTTGTCCGCATTGATAGCTTTCGGCGAACAACCAGCCGGTTTGTTCTTTAAAATCATCCCCAAACCCGGTTATTCTATAACTGCAACTGATACATTTGATTTAATTCTTGAGTATTCCAATTTAAGAAGTGAGTGCTCCACAATTGTTCAAAATCAAATTACAGAGAGGTTAAAAGAGTTGGGATTATTGAAGTATTGGCACTTGATGAAAGTTCAAGCTATTGATAAATTAAAATATGATTTAAACAATTATGGAATTAATAAGTTTATTCAAATACTTAATGGTAAAGAGCTATTCATTTTAATTGAAAATATAATATTGAAACATGTTCAATTAAAATCTGATCAAATTCTATTACTCGATTTATTCAGCAAGATAGTTGATGAACACATTGATGTCGAAGAGCTTCTGTTAGAAGATTTAACCCAAGAGCTACACATTTCAGTAGCAATTCCATATTTGAAACACTTGCATATAGTGGAAGCCAAGTATGAAAGGAAACAAAAGTATATCGTTGGAGAGCCAATCTCTGTCAAACTCCTTATTCAAACTGAAACCAAATGGTATAATGATGAATTTGACAAAAGCCCCAAGGATAATGGATTGGCGCTTGCCGAATCATCCCCATCCCCAAGTACATCAGCCTCCGAGAGCCTGCATAGAGAAAACTTCCAGTTACTGATTCAAAATGATGATGGTTGGCTCATTTCCGGTTTCAAAAAGTACCTGTTTGATTTGACTCCATATAATCGTGAACAAATTCATGAAATCGATTTAGTAATAATCCCATTGACGGTTGGAAAAGTCTTACTTCCAAGATGTGTGATAAAAGGTTCACAATCTAATACTGAAGATGACCTTGATACTCTTTTCAAAAATGGACAAGAAACACTTCTTGTCGTTCCACAATTGGATAGTATTACGTTCTCATTCTAATACTGCAATATATACATAGCATAGCCGATAAATATTTTTTTTGCAGTAAATTTGTATCTCCTGTATATAAAAAACGTCATTTTTTTTGGTAAGTACAGAAATTATAAAATCAAAATAGATTTAATCAGTAAAAGGTAATTATTCAATACAACATCATTGAGTCATGGTGAAAGACACTACATATTATGATATCTTGGGTGTTGAACCAACTGCAACGGCCTTAGAGTTGAAAAAAGCTTATAGAAAGCAGGCAATTAAACTTCATCCAGATAAAAATGCCAATGATCCCCAAGCAGCTGAGAAATTTCAGGAATTGGGAGAAGCTTACGGAATACTTCAAGATGAAGGATCAAGAGCAATCTATGATGAAGTAGGTGTTGAAGGGATGAAGAGCTCAAATGTCGAGAATGCTGCTGCTGATATTGATCCAGCTGAATTTTTCACCATGGTATTCGGTGGTGTTGCCTTTCAAGACTGGATTGGAGAATTATCTTTGATAAACGAGGCAACTAAAGCTTCTGAGATATTAGGAGAAGACGATGATGAAAATACTTCAACAGACAAATTAAATGAAAAAGTATCAGATTTAACCCTTCATAATGACAATTCACAATCCGCTATCAGTAAACCTGAATTAACTAGTGAAGAACTTGAAAAAAAGAAGCATGCTAAGATAACCAAGGAAAAAAGAGAAAAGATAGCTGCAATGCAAGAAGAAACTAGATTAGCTAAAATCGAAAAGGTTAATAAGTTAGCTGCCAATTTACTTTCTAAAATCGAAAAATATGAAAGTGTTGTAACTACTCCTAGTGCTCTTGAACAATTCACTTTAAAATTAAGACAAGAGTTTGAAGATTTAAAGATTGAAAGTTTTGGTATTGAATTACTTCATTTGATTGGAAAAATATATACAACTCAAGCTAATGCAACTATCAATTCATCTAAAACATTTGGTGTTTCTAAAATATTTTCATCAGCCAAAAGTACCGCCACTACTGTTAAAAATGGATATTCGATCTTAAAGTCGGCTGTGGATGCACAATCTTATGTTGAAGATATGATGAAGGAAGAAGAAGCTATTCAAATTGCTGAACTTAATGGTATAGCAATTTCTGATGAAATCAGATATAGACATGCGGAGAAGCAACGTATAAGTAGTGGTAAAATGGTAGCAACAGCTTGGGCAGCAACTAAATTTGAGGTTACTGGTACGCTTAATAAAGTTTGTAAACAAGTTTTAAATGATAAATCTATTTCCAAGAAGGAAAAAATAAGTAGAGCTAGAGCTTTATTATTCATCGGAAGAGAAGCATCCTTGGTTAAGAGATCACCAGAAGAAGATGAAGAAGCTAGAGTCTTTGAAGAAATGATGGCCGAAGCAAATGTTAAAAAGAATAAAAGATCCAGGGCCAGTGATGCTCAAATGGATGCATACTTGAAAACCTATGCCGATTCCGATACAGAAACCGAAACCACTGGTAGCAGTAAGTAGTAGACTAATTTATAATTTATATGGCGTGCATTATATATTAAATCATGATAGATGGGGCAGCGCACTACCCTTTTTAATTTTGTCATCAAGAAAATATAACCTAGATTTTTTAGATATGTCAAAGTTTAAATAAATCAATTATCATTCATTTCGATAAGATAACATAACAGAATAGTACTTGAATAGATATTACAATGTCTGTCACATCAAAGCAAATATTAGGTTTATATAAACAATTATTGGAAAGAGCTGCCAAATTCGACAATTATAACTTCAGAGAATATTCCAAGAGAAAGATTGTTGATTCATTTAAGGAGCACAAATCATTAAAGGAAGAAAAAGATATCGTTGACTTTTATAACAAGGGTATCGATAGTTTAGCCCAATTAAAGAGACAAACCACCGTTTCACAAATGTTCACTTTTGATAAATTAGTTGTTGAACCATTAAAGCAAAAACACAATTAATTGAAAAAGCGAAGTTAGATCAGTGAACAAATTGTTCATCATTCTACTTTTCCCATTTGATGCTTTCAATAAAGGGAGGTTTCTGTTAGTTATGTCATAAAGAGAAGTTGGTATACTCTCCTAAAGGGCAACAAACGTTCAAATTATCATGGTTATATTATATCATTGTACATAGTTTTTATTTCTTCGTTACTTAATTGTTTGCAAGTGAAAATTCAATATATTCAAACATTCAGATTTCAAAGGCTTCAACGATGTAGTTATCAATATAACAAGAATATAAGGAAGTAAAAAGAATCAAACTTCCTTAACGTAAGTCAAATCCCGTACAAGTTTAAAAAAAAAAGAAAATGATCAAAACGACCCCGGTGAGGATTGAACTCACGATCTTGAGATTAACAGTCTCACGCCTTAGCCAGCTTGGCCACGGAGTCATTTGCGGACGAGAAATTTTGCCGGTTTTTACGCCGGGATTCTAATCACGTGCGATTTTGCACGCGTCAAAATTTCCCTTGATTTCAATTTTGCAACTACATTTATAATTTCAAACGGTAACAATAATCGTTGTTTAATAAGCGCAAACTATATAAAAAAGGTATTATAAATTACTTGAACTTATAATAGAAGAATTGAACTAACCTAAAATCGTTAAATACATTGTTTTAAAATCTTTGATAATTTTTTTTGTATTTTGTTTTTTGATTTTTGATTTTCATTTTTTGTATGGTACATGGTCTGTTTTGGTTTTTTATAACACAAGGATATCAATGTTCATGCTTTATGAACGTAATCCATTAATTCATGAAGAATATTTTCTAAACTTGAATAAAAGGCACAATAATCATTAATGTCAACAAAATTGTTTCGAAGATCATAATAAATCTTTTCATTCAATTGAATTAATTCACTCTTTGTTTCAGGACTTAAATTATGACTTATAATAGCCAATTGATTACTATTCACTGGCATTCTACTATGTTCATTATGGTTTGGAATCAAAGAAGAATTACGTTGATTGTAATCTAATTCTTTCTTTAAATTGGAATCGTGAAGATTGGAAGTCATTGATGAAGGTCCATTATTACCTCCATTACCACCATTGTTTCTATGATTGTTACGATGATGGTTACGACTTCTTTGTTGTAATTGTTGTTGTTGTTGTTGATCAGTTGGATTTGCAATATCCAATCCTTGTAATTTATCTTCTTCAGCCAACATTTCTTCTAAAAATTCTTCATCATTAAAAATTGGTTGTGGAACATCCATAATATTAAATAAATCATTTAAATTCATATATCCTGTAACTTGGTAATCGAAAAATTCAATTCGAGCACCATTATTATTTCCATTAGATTCATTATATTGATTAATTAATTCAATAATACTATATCTCTTTAATAAGAATTCCCAAGTTAAATTAGTCAATGATAACATTCTCTTATACTTTTCATTCTTAAACCATTTTCGATTTAAAATGAATAAAGCTTTATTAATCAATTTGACATAAATACATAATTCATTCAATGTCATGAATTCATATTTAAATTTAACGGTAATAATAATAAACATCAAAATAAGTGAATCAATGGGAATAGTACGTTTAATGTACCAATTATATTTCCCGAATTTAATGAAATCATTATACTTTAAGAAATCATTTAAATTATGTAAAATAGATGGAATTAAGTTATTATGCATATTATCATAGGAGAAATTTTCTGATTGATTAAATCTTAATAATGAAATTGAAGAATTATTAAAATTCAAAATGATATTGGCTTCTTGAATTCTACCAAATGTATCTTCATATTGACTTAATGATAATACTCCATTTCTAGATTTAGAAAGACTATTGGCATCTAATAATTCATCATTAGTATTTCTAATACTACTTCTATGATGTAAATATTGATTACCAGTCTTTAAACCATAATTATTTTGATTTTGATTATTATTATATTCACTTGTATTATCCCCAAATAAAATCTTTTTATGTAACAACATTAAAGCACGATCAACAAAACTCCAAGAATGATTTTTAATAAAATTAATTAAATTCATTTCTTGAACTGTAGATGGTGGATTCAATTTATAAAATTGATTCATTCTATAAATTGATCTATGAATATATTTGAAATAATCAATAATCATTTTTTTGATTTCATTAATTTGAGTAGGAGTAATATTAGATGATAAACCATTATGTAAATGATACACCAATTCACTTAAAATCCTATCATATTTAAATTTAACATTCATTGATAAAATACTCACATTCAATTTCTTTTCCTTCACAATACCTAATTTATCAAAGATTGGTTCTTCTTCTTCAGGCATCAAAACATTAAAGTCTTCAAATTTACAAACAGGAGGTAAACAGAAATTATGTGATGTTAAAGCATCTAAACCAAAGATAACCCACCATAATAATCTTCTAAATTTAATAACTTCCCAATCATTGATTCTTAAAGTGATTAATGGATCTTTATGCATTTGTAAAAATTTAGCATATCTAATGATTTGAGACATTTCCATGGTGGATGGATTAGGTGAAGTTGATTGAATAATAACATTACCTAATAATAATGGAATGGTTTTTAAACCATGAGGATAATTATAATATTGACAAATCTTATTAAAAGCTTTCAAATAACGATTAATATCCTGATTCAATAATAAATTATCATACTCTTCAAATTCAGATATAGTGGATGCATACAAGATAGGGAAATAAAGGGTATAAAATTGTAAATAATTGAAATCACCATCATCATTAGCTGAAGAACCAGATGAAATTGAAGCAGCATCGGGACTTGGTTTAGTAATGGATGAAGGATAAAGATGAGAAATATTATTATTAAAATTATTGTTATTATTATTTTGAGGAATAAAACTTGAATCTTGATTAACTAATGACCAATAACGTTCATGTTCCTTTAAGAAATCAGAAAGGGTAACAACAATGGGGAATAAAAGATGGACGGAATTAATATACCGATCAATCAATTCAAATGATCTTTCTTTACAACTAGGTAAATGTTTTAATAAATCGTCTAACAAATTGTCATTGGAATAATAAGTATTGGTTCCATAAAGATAATTCACCGTCGTGGCTGGATTTGAAGAATAAGCATTTAATGAATTATGTAAACCTGGATTATTGGGTTGATTCTTCGATCCAATAACTGTATCTGATGAAGAAGGAGTGGGAGGGATATTAACACCATTTAAGCTACTACCGGTATTCATACTATTGTTATTACTATTATTACCAATATTGTTGTTGTTGACATTGTTATTATTATTATTGTTGAGATTATTATTGTTGAGATTATTATTGTTATTACCTTTAGAATTCATATTTTCATTGACTGATTTATTAAATAATCCACTGATATTATTAGTGCTATTACTATGAGATAAAGTTGTAGTTTGAATATGTTGATGAGCAACGGGAGAATTGAAATTGGAAGGTAAGGATGAATTTAATAATCCTTCTTGATTGGCAAATGTGAATGATGACAAGTTGAATGAATATTGATCTTCATTAGGATTTGTAGGTGGACCATTTTGAGGACCTTGTTGTTGTTGCTGAGGATTTTGAGGATTTTGATTTAAGAAATTAGTATTGAAATAAGTATTAGTGATATTATTTGATAAGTTATTAAATATAGGAGTTTGTAAGATACCTCCAGTATTCGATAACATTTGTTGTTGAGCTTGTTGTTGTTGTTGAGCCTGCTGTTGAGCTTGTTGCTGTTGTTGTAAGAAGGACTTCTTTCTAGCTTCAATATCATTCACCATACTTGAATTAATACTTTGAGGAGTATTACCAGCAGTTGATAAAGGATCATCATTTGTATTTGATTGATTTGTCATATTAAAATTCAAATTTAAATAATTTAATGAAAGTTCAGGAAGCATTCCACCTGGAGTTTGAACCACCTTACTGAATGAATCAACATTTGAAGCATGATTATTATTAGCATTATGATTATTATTATCACTATTAGATGAAATTGATGAAACAGTTGTAGCTAATTGATTTGAAGAAGCTTGAGATATGGATGATGAAGCAGATGATGAAATAGAAGGAGGAGCAGATGCGGAAGTGACATGGTTATTTGAATCATCTTCAAGTTTAATATGAGGATGAGTTGATGAAGAAATTGAAGTAGTCAATTTTGTTGAATTTGGACCACCAGGGCCTTCATTTGAAATTGAATGATGTAAATCGATTGATTTATTTGGTTTAACTTTATTTTCAATATCATTATTCATATCAGTATCATCATCTTCTTCATCTTCTTCATCCATATTATCATTTTCAAAATCATCATCATCATCATCATTATCATTATCATTATCATCAATTTCTGAAGTTGAACTTCTTGATTTTTTAGCATTAAAACTATTTGCATTATTATTTGAATCAGAATCTAAGATTAAAGATCCTCTTTTTCTACTTTGACGTTCTTCTTCAGTTAATCTAGCTGATTTTTTACCACCTCTACTTATTCTTTCATTAACGAAATATTTACATTCCAAACCTAATTTATCACAATTATTACAAATGGGTTGTTGTCTTGAACATTTTATCTTTTTAGAATGACAATAAATACAACTAAGGATTTTTCTTTGTCTTGTTTTTTGAACTTTTAAAACTTGACCATCAGCTAAAACTTTTAAATTTTTAGTCTTTTTCTTTGATATAGCGATTATAGGAGTTGAATCAGTTGTGGTTGGATTAGAAGTGTTAATATTGTTGGTATTGTTGTTTGGTGATGAAGATGATGAAGATGAATTATGAGTAGATGTTGAATTTGTTTTAGTTATGGATGATGATGATTGATCAGTATTATTTGTATTTGCAACAGAAGATGTTGAAGATGTGGTTGGTATATCATCTTGCCATTTTAGAGGCGACATATCATTATGGGACGAATGAGAATGAGGATGATGGAGTTGAAGATCATGATGGAGAAGATGATCTTGTTGTTGTTGATGATGAAGATGATGATGATTTGAAAGGATTATATTTGGGGATGAAGAATCGGGAGATGATTGTGGCTGAACGGGAGGAGGAAGTATTGAGCTTAAAGTTGAAGTATGAGAAATCATAGTTTAATAAAGTAGTTAGATATAATATTTGGCATTAATGGATGCAATTAGACGATATTAAAATGAATTAATTGATTGATTTGATTGATTCAGATTGTTGTTGCAAATAATGAAACAGCCTTTGATGGATTGGATTGTAAATGCAATGGTTTTGAATCAGGATACAAAAAGAAACAAACGGGGAAAAAAGGAGGGGAATTAACAACTCAAACGAAATGTTGTAAAAGCCAAATGGAAAAAAAAAAGTAATGACTTGACTTGACTTGACTTGGATCGACACTGAATGGGAAGAAAGATGATCGATATAAATCAGTTAATGTTTGAACTGATGAAAAAGAACAAGAAGAAGAAGAAGAAGAAGAAGTTGTTGTTGTTGTTGAATAATAAAAGTTTAAAATCAAAATGTGGTAGTGGGTGATGGAAATTACAATGTGTGCAGAGAGGGAGGGATGAATTGATGAGCTTTATCGGTGGATATATATAAAATTTGTGTCTGACTGTCTGACTCTATTTTTTGGTGAGGGTTTTTTTTTGGATTTCGTAGTGGAGGTCTGTCAATCTAGAATATTATTTTGTCTGGTTGTCTCCTTTTCTGAGATTATTTAACCGGAAATGTGTCTAATTATGATTTGGACTAAACAACAGAAAAATGGTTATGATTTTGATGGTTGAAGAATGATATTGAATCTATCACTAAATAAGGAACTAACTATAACTATAAGGGTAACTCTAACTTTAGATTAGTTTAAGTTTTATTATAACTCAAAAGTAACTTTTCACCTTTTATATATATAAATACATATATATATAAATAAATAAATAAATTGTATCAGAAATTTCAAAAATTGTCGTTGAAAAGAATTAAATTAAATCGAAAATTTCAACACAAAGACATAATTTTAAAAATATTTAAAAATTTAAGTTATAATATAAACTATATATGTACTATAGATTTCAAATATTAAGGTGAACTCCGAATATAATCCACAGCATATTGTTATTGTATAGTGTCAAATATCATTTTCAATTTCATTTTACATTGTTATGGCGTTGTTCTACACCTATCTGAACCTTATAATATTGTGTATATTGTGTATATTTATTGTCTGTCTGTCTGTCTGTCATCAATTTTATTTATTTATTTTTTTTTTTTAATTTAAACTTTTTTTCTGCTTTAAAAAAGAGCGGGGCATAATACGTAATTAGACTTCCATGCACGACTTTTGTCTTCTTTTTTGCGTCTATTTTTGACTATTTTAAATTATATGTCTGATTTTTGTCTGGGGTAATAGTAAAAGGACCAATAAATTGTCTCGGACTCGGACTGACACTTTATCATTATTATTATTTATATTGTTATAATTATTATTATTTATTAAGAGTTACCTGTTTTATATTTTATTATTATTATTTATTTATTTATTATTTTATTATTATACAAATATCAGACGATACTATCATCTCCATTCAAAACGGTACTTAATTAAGCCTAACCAAACGTCTACTTACTGTTATTCTATCCTAACTCAATTAATTGAGACCAGACCAAAACCGCAATCAAAAATAATTGCAAACTTGCATAATTGAAAATAACACCCCATATCCCACACTTCACACACTGATCATCAATTATATATTTCGTCCCCCAATAAAAATTGATATCCTCTGACCCATAGATTATGAACTTTATTTATTATCCCTTTGTTTACAGTAATCACATTCTATTTTTGACTCTACTTTTTATGATCCCGAGTTTTTGCGATTACTATATATTTATAAATGAAAAACCCCAACAAATAACACATTTATGGTATACAGGCAAACGCCTGTTCAATCAATCTAACTATTCTTACTTCAATCAACAACCATCATGTACCCCTCCCCCACAATTCCCTTTTTATTCCAACTCCGAATTTCATTATAACTTACTGCAAGAAAACAGTATCATCATTGACGCTTATCGACATGGTAAATCACATGTTCTACGTCAATAAAGAATGATTTAATCAGATCTACTCAGGAGTACCAAAATTAAAGGAAAAGGGAAATCACCAGAATTACCATAAACGAAAGAACTAAAGAACGAACTAACGTATGATTGAAGGGGGCACAGAGAGAACACTTTGTGGTAAACGCCGAAATGAAAGTGCAACTTATTTCATAACCGTAAAATTAGATTAATTGTCGTTTTTTTAAATCTTTTTTTTTTCTTCTCTTTTAAACTCCCTAAGGTACACAAAAATAGTAAATTGGAGTTAAACTCCGAATCAGGTTAAACTTCTATACAATTTCCCAAATAAGTGATTACTGTTCGTTCCTTATTCGGTTTCGATTGTCAAAAAATAAACTTAAATCAAACAATAAAGGCAATTGAAAATTGAAACTGTTTTGATAATCGGCTTAAAGGAAATTATAGGATCAATAGTTTCATTCTCTGCCCCTCTAACGAGTCAAATTACCAACAAAATTTAAATGTTGACAGTTGAATTTAATCATTATTTAACCAATACATAGGGGTGAAATCTTATATCTGACCATAAACGGTCGGAATGTTTGAACTTTATGATATCATCATATCGTTGTCGTCGTTATGGTCAACGAAAATGATTTAAAGTTTTTAAGTATATGCACCTATTTATTTTCTCCCCCACAATTGTTAATAGAAAAATTTTTCATTCATTGTGATTTAGGATTGGAATTTGTTCATTTTGTAATTGCAAAATTTTTGTAATGAATACATTTCCATTCATTCAAAAAAGTTCATACAAGAATTTCCCTTATTTTCATTCACTTCTCCAATCAAATATATTCATTATGTCATTGATAAGACATTGTTCTAATGTGAATCTCAAAGCATCAATCTCCATCATTGGCCGTAAATGTACTCCTTGATGGTGTTGTGAACCAGGAAACTTCATTTATTGTTTTCATACATCCATGCCCTAAGAACCTCAATTTCAATATCAAGTCTCATAAGAGCTAATATAAGCATTATATCTCATGAAGATCAACAATTTCATGACATATTCAAATTCGTATACTTGGCACGTCCTAGAGAATGTATATAAATGATATTTTCTTGATCTTGAGAATCTCAGTACAAGAAGTTTTACCATTGGATCTTCCAGAATCAAAATTAATTTCTTGAAAATTTCCAGATTATCATTTCAGAAAGAGAACGATCTCATTATCTGATTCACCTCTATAGATAATCTCTTGTTTAGTTGAAATTGTTCTTGATTTAATCATCTCGCAGTTAATCTGACGAATGCCGAGATCAATGCTAGATTTTGTGTATTCCCATATCGAAGCATAAAAGTGACAGCGGATCTAATGTATATTGAATTACCTTCCAGTTGTTAAAAGGATTACCACAAGTCTACTAGTTTGATTTCTTCTTCGTCTTATCATAGTGTATGATTTAACTCTAGTCTAGATATTTTTGCGTTTCTTTCTCTTTTTCTTTCTCCTTCACTTTTAACTCAAAATATTCGAATATTAACAGTAATAACTGTCATTTTTATCCCTGGCCAAAGTAAATGTCATTGTCACTCATAGACTAGGGCATATCATATCATCTGATGGTATTAATAATTTCTTACTAGCCCACCCAATAAGCCACGATATTTTACTTATACTCTTTTTTGCAATACGAAGTGATGAGAAAGGATACGGTCTATGCAGGCTCGTTTAAATATTTTTTGCAACTAGTCGTCGCAGTTAAAGCCATTTCGTATATATACTTGCGATTTATAAAATTAAACAACTTTTCTTTGTATATTAGAATAAGACATATAGAAACATTGATTTGATTGATTAGTTATTTATTAATTAGACTATTTACAATCAACAATAATAAATAATAAACATAGATCAAATAATTATACTAAAATAATAAATGAATAAAAATGTAACAAGGGTAAGGTAAGTAGATAATTGAAAAAAACATCATAGTGCATCTACACTGATTTATTGTTTTCATTGGTTCATTAAACTTAAGTAGATCCAGAAACCACTAATTTCTTCAAATGATTCATAAACACCTGTAAGGAAACATCATCAGTTAAAACAATGGCACCTCTATTAGTAGCGAATTCAGAACTATTATAAGTTATGGAAGGATTCAATTTAGAATATAAGAATCTTGCTTGCGATCCACCTTCTTCAGTATCAATGAATCTTGGTAATGGATATCTATCAATTAATAATTGTTTGGCTTCTTCTTTTGGTTCTTCTAATAAAATCTTTAAATTTTCATATTCTGGTAAATTTTGATATCCTGCTTTTCTCCATTGAGAAATAGTTTTACCATGGAAAATTAAAATATGGAAGAAAGTATCTAATAATAAGATAGAATCATCTTTAATAGAAACTGAATCCAATAAGACTGCTTCTGGTTCACCATCTAATGAGAATGAAGTTAAAGTTGGTTGAATCATAATTAATGAATTAGTAGTATCTTCAGTTAATAAAACATGTCTATAAAAGGCAGTTTCATCAGGAGAATTATTAAACACTTGTAAAAATTGGGATCTTCTTAAATAATATATGAATTGAGGATACATTTGGAATTGAGGTCCCAATCTAAATGATTCTTCTTGATCTTTTCTATAATCAGCAAACTTTTGACATAATCTAATTAACATACGATCAACCCATCTTAATACATCAGCTCCATCATCTTGTTCTGATTTATATAAAGTAACTCTGGCTAATAATACAGCAGCTGCTTCTTCATCAAATGAATTGGTTAAAGTTTGTTCATCACTAGTTAAGAAATTAGAAATAGTAGTAACCCTAATTCTATAAGTACCACTTGAATGTTGATAATGAGTTATGAATTGAATATAACTTTGACTATTGGTTGGTAAAGCTTGAGTATTAGCAATATCAAAAAATACTGCATAAGTATGTTGAGATGATATACTACACAACTTAAATTGTGAAGAACCACCAAGACCTAATTCATTTTCAGATACATTTTGTGATTTAACATTTAATGATGATCCATGACCAATTAATCCACTAACCTTTAATTCTTTAGAAGTTTTAATATCAAAAGTACCATTGAAACCCATTAATAAATAACCTTCACTATCTTTATTAAATAATCTTAAAAATGATTGTTTGAAAATGGCAGTAGTAAAAGCATCACTTAATAATAAAGTACCACCAGTCTTATTACATAAATTCTTCATTTCTAACATACCAATTTGATCATAACAACCAGCAAATACATCAACGGTATGACCATTTTTAACAGCTTTAGCAGCAATTGAATCATAAAATTTAACGGCTTTTTTGAAATGTTTAGCATTATCTTTATCAATATCACTATGAGATCTAATTGGTTCTTTTAATTCTTTTCCAACAATCATACCTGGATTAAAAGTACCTGGACCAGCACTGAATAACATGATTCTGGCTCCAAAACCTGGATAAGTTGAACCTAATAAATTAGAAGCTACATTCAAAGCTGAACCAGTCGATCTAATTGGTCTATTACCATTAGCTACCGGCCAAGGATCTTTGGCTAAATTTTCTAAGATTGAAGTTAATTGGAATTCAACATCTTCAATAGGTAAGAAGAATCTAGTTAAATTGTTAGAAAATGCAGATTGAGATGGGAGTTGTTGCTGTTGTTGTTGATGACTCATTGAAACTGGTCTATTTAACATTTCACCAATTTGTTTATCGGTATATTCTTTATCACCTCTAAAGATATAAGATTTATTGATTTTTTCAGAACCTAAATCATGAACTTGAACCATAGTACCATAAGTGATTAAACCAATTAAAGCATTTGGAGGTAATAAACTTAAAGAAATGATTAAAGTTTCTTTTAAAGCTTTTAAATTATCTTCATCTTGACATAAATCAATAACAAAGAAGAAAATTGGTGGGTTTTGAACAGGTCTAGCTGTAATATATTCAATAGTGGAACTTGAATGTTGTAATTCAATAGGTAAATTTTCTTGAGTTATACCTTGATAATGAGCAGGTAAAGGATTTCTGTAAGAACATAAGGGACATCTCCAGAATCCATTGGCTTCAACTGTACAATAAGGATTAAAAATCGATTTACAGGTTTGATTTGAACAGAAGATTGGATCATAGGCAGCAATTGGTAAATCTTCTCTATGTTTCAAAGGAGTATATAAAGCCCCGGTTGGAATCACAATCTTAGCAGCTTCTACTTTGGTAGAAGGAAATACGTTCCAAGCAAAACGAATACCGTTGATATCTTCTGCTTCTTCAAAGTCCATGGTGTTGAGTGTTGATTATTGATTAATGAATGGAGTAAGTAGATACTAAACGATTCAAAACGATAATGATGAGATGTATATCACTAGATGTGATGGAATTGAAGATGGATAGAGTGGGTTTTGATAATGACTTCAGATTTTGATGTCCGTATAGCTTTTGATTTTTTTCCCTTTGTTGATTTCAGTTCTGACAGTTTCTAATTTTTCAAAAAAGAGCCCAAAAAAAGGACAACTCATAACAAAATAATATGCTAAACTGATCACATGATCAGTCACATGTTTGAAAATGTAACCTTAAATTGGAACCAATTGAAATATAACTACAATAGAAGCAGAAGATGACTTCAAAATACTATTTTGACTAGAACGTAGCACGTTTATATTGTTGATATAGATACAACTTGTAGTTATACAGGCATTTACTCCCTTCTTTCCCCCGTAGGACCTTTAGATAATCATTGGTTAAGGAAAATCTTTTTTATAAAAACAAGGTAATATATAAAATATATATAAGTAAATAAAGAGGTTTGATTTGATTGATATTACACACATTTGGATTATTATTATGACTAATAATTATTAAAAAAAACAGAGAAGAAAAGAAAAGCATAGAATAGAATAGCAAGGAAAAGAATGAAACAGAATAGAATCATATTAATTTTTTGATTTCAAATCTTCAACTTCATTCAATAAAGCTCTAATATATTTAGAAGCCAATTCAACAGTGGTAGCCTTAGATGGAATAGTAACTTCATCATGATAAGCTTGAGGAATCAAGTTGCCTAATTCATGAACTGCCATATTCATTCTATTTCTTCTACCTTGTTCAGCTAATTTATGAGAAGCCTTTTTAGTAGCTGGTTTTTCAAAATTCTTCTTTGAAAGTGAACTTGAACTTCCTCCACTTGCCTTTAACTTTGGTGAAGTTTCAGTACTTGATGATGATTTTGAAACTAATTTATTGCTATTAAATGATGAATTTGATTTTCTTGATCTTGTCGAAGATTTTCTTGAGATTGATGGTTTAATCATATTTGATTCCATATCAATATTATCATCATCAGCATCTCCTTCATCATCATCATCGTCATCATCATCATTTAAAAGACTACCTTCATCTTCATGTTGAGAATGTTCAGCCAAGATTCCCATGGTGAATCCCATTAATGGAGTTCCACTACCATTATTAACATTACCATTACCATTACCATTACCATTATTACCTAATTGTAAATCATTTCTTTTCAGGGATGGTGGTAACATATCATGAGTTGATTCTAAACTTGATTCTGGTAAATTCTCAAAGTTATTGCTATTACCACTAGTATTAGCATTACGATATGTTGAACCTCCATTCTTTGCTTTCAATGATGGTGATTGTTTAATTGATGATGGTTTTCCTTGTAAAATAGGTGTACCATGTGGAGTTCTTCTTTTATAAACTGTTGAAGTTAATGTAGCTGGAGTTTCATCAACTGGACCAAAAACACTTGATGATGATCTTCTTCTATCAGCACTATTATTATTATTGTTGTTGTTAGTATTATTATTGCCATTATTGTTCGCTATTATGGATGGTTGGGCATTCAAAGCTGGAGAAGTCAATGGTTCAAATGCAATTGAAACAGGAGGCTGTTGAGAATATGATGAACTTGAATTTGAATTTGATGCAACACCACTTTTAACTTGAGAATCCAATGGAGTAACAGCAGGTGATACTAATGGAGTGAAAACTGCATCAGGTCTAACATGCTGTTGAGGAGCTTGATGATGTTCCGTTAATTTCTGTTTATGATAATAATGTTGATTATTATAAGATTTTTCATTTTGACCTGGCAAAATTGGTGATGCAAATAATTTATCATCATTATTATTTGAATTAGTAGTACTTGCGGTTGAAGAATTATTATTATTAACAGAATTTGGATTTGAAGTTGGACCAGCAGATGAAGATGATGGAGTTGATTTATTAATAGCTAATAAACTTGGAGTTTGAGTTGGAGGCAAATTTGATGGTGGAAATGCAGAAGATTCATGATTCGGATCAGTATCAAAATTTAAATCTTCCGGTATTATGAAATTAATATTTTCAATACCAAATTCATATTGATGAGGTGGTGGTGGAGGTGGAACATTACCCCCTGATTGAAGTAATCGATGCTGATGAATATTATTGGATGAAGATTGACCACCCAAAAGCTGAATATGATTTTGAGAAGATGTGGAAGATGATGGATTTGAATGACTGTTATTATTATTAGAAGTAGATGCATTATTATTAGAACCATTGTTACTATTAGTTTCAATATGAGAATTTGGAGTCGTATCATCAGATTGAGTATTTGATGGATCATGATGATGGTGGTGGTGGTGATGATGATGATGAACAGCAGCAGCTTCATAAAGATTTTGTTCTAATTGATGTAAGAACATTTGTTCACTATCAGTAAAGTTGGAAGTTGGTGTTGTAGTTGAATTTAAATGTGGAGGCAAAGGATTTGATTGGAAAGGTAAAGATGAAGGAGTTGAATGATGAGTTGAAGAATCATGCTGTTGTTGTTGCTGTTGTTGTAATTGTTGCAATTGCTGTTGTTGTTGAGGATCATGATAATATGGGGATTTTCCGGGCGTTTGACCTGTTGTACCAGGAGAAAAGGTAGTATTCCAAACTGACAGATCCATATTATGAAATATTTCTATTAGTTAATTAGAATTTAATGAAATAATAGATGTTGATATGACTTTTAATGAAATGAAAATATGTTAAAATAATCTAAATTTAAACGAAAGGAAAAGGAAATTAAAATTGAATAAGGAAAACTCTATTTTGCCCTTTACTGTTATCTATCTTATGATTTCAACAAACCTGTTTTTCTGAATTAAGACGTGAATAACCAGTACTATTGTTTAGGATTGGATTGTTGATCTTATGAATGGGAGTAAAGGATCTACACAAAGGATTTCTGGTAGTAATGATACGTCAGAATATACGACTAAACAAAAAAAAGTTCAAGTAGTCAAAATATGGAGTGGGCTATAATATATGGGGGTTTTGTAAGATTATGGATGTAGATATGATAATGATATATGATTTGATGAATGACTTTGACGTTGGACGTGACTATGGGATATCGAAAGATGATAGTAGATGATGAGGTTAAAATGCTAATAAATGAATATGAAATTAAATGTAGATTTTGAATATATATATTTAAATCTGAATTTTAATTATTATTTCCTAATTGAAAGAAATTTAACAGAGGTTTGAAAACTTTTTTTTATTTATGGAATTAAAAATTATTAAATTTGAGACATTTAAAAAATATGTTAAAAGATCAGACAGACAGACACAGATATAATAACAGACAATTCAAACGACATTTTAATTTAAATAAACTGTCTGTCTGTCTGGTTGACTATAGGTTGTCTGTCTGTCTCTATTATGAGAATTGTAAATTTACTTACCACAGAAAAAAGAAACAGTGAGAGTAAAACTATAACTAGCATATTCCTGTATACAAAGACAAAGACTTTTTTATTATTATTATTATTTTAAATTCTCCCACGTGGGGTTCACTATAAAGTTGTTACTGTCTCATTTTTTTAATTATCAGTTCAGCTACTCAAGTTTTACCGTTGAAGAAACCCAATTAAAGCAATTTTGATCTTTAAGTTCTTAGTTGTTGCCTCATATACTAAATCAAATTACTTCAGTTCAATTATCATTATTATCATTAAGATTTACACAGTCTAATTAGTTAATTTTTCTAATCACATATAATCATAATTAGACTAATTATAACCGTATAATTTTGATACATATATCTGATAAGGAAATTTTCTGATACTGATTTCTATCTGTCTGTCTGTCTGTCTGTCGGCTACTTATATTTTGTGTCTCTGTACCAAATTCTGACACAGACAGACAGTCAGTGAGACAAAAACAGAACCTGCAAAATAACTTGAAAAATAAAAATAGAACGCAAAAATGTGTACAAATTGGATGAAACTGCTAACTTGCACCTCTTTTCCATACAATACTTGTTTTTCTTCTTCTTCTGGATTCATTACTATCCACATAACTTGAACCCTATAGAACCTTATACTAATATAACTGGTCACCTGCCAATTATCAGTTCATTTTATATATAATTCTTACTTGTTACCTCTGCCTTCGGATTAGTTGGCAAAAAAAAGACGACATTTTCCCCTTTTTTTTCTTGTATTTTTTTTTAAAGAAAATTCTCTTTTTTTAATAAATGTAACATTACCGACATTTTTTATCAGACAAAATCAAAACTTGCCCCCAATTAGGGTTAAATTCCCTTTTCCTTCTTTAACCTTAAATATTATTACGACATTACTTTAAATAGAAGAAAAGGAAATGATCGGCCTTTTGAGAATGTCTTTCTTTTTGCCTTTCGTTCTTTTCTTTGTTTAAAAATAAATGTTCTGTGCAACTCTCTTGTCCGTTAGATACTACCCACTACCACAAACTAGTTAAAAATAGTTACCTAGACCAATTATTATTATTATTATTATTTTATATTCAAAAAGCGTTGATAAAAGTGTCGAAGTGACAATTAACGGCTTTTCTTATTGATTCTATTTGTGGATATATGCACTATGCTTTACATTGTACAACTTTTGCCGCACAATTTTTGTTTTTGCAATTATTGTGATACACATTTCAAAATGGCTTATTTAACACTTTCTACACTTTCAAATTAAAAATTAATTAAGTTATATTAACATTATATCTTATAAAACTAACAAAAAACATCATATAAAATATCTACAATAACTGATAATCACACCATTAAATTATCATTTTACTTCTTTTTTATAGCACACACATACTCTCTCTCCTAATGCGTATTATTTATTTATTAATTACTACTACCGAATAATTTTCTTAATTTACCAAATTTCTTCTTTGGCTTTTCTGCTTGTTGTTTAGCTTCATCAATAGCATGAGCTAAGGCTTGTTGCTTTTCAGAGGCTCCACTACTTGCTCTTAATGAAGGTGGTATAGATGTACCAGGTAAAGCCACAGCCGGTGATGATTGAACAAATGGTTTAGGGAAATGAATTTCTTCATCAGAATCATTAAATCTAGATGAAAATAATTTCCCATTAGAACTACCACTACCATTTCTTAAACCACTAAGAACTCCTCCTCCACTAGTTGGGCCTTCATCATCAGAATCATCAAATCTTGATGAAAATCCACGTCCATTACTTCTGGATTGTCTATTTTGTTGTTGTGGATGTTGAGGAGGTGGTTGTAAGTGTGATATTTGAGCTTGATGTTGCTGTGGTAATGGTGCTTGAGCTTGTACATGTTGTTGAGGTGGTTGACCTGCAAATCCTCCTGGTCTAGGAATTGGATCCCTCAAGGTTGTTCTTGTACCTTTACCATTTTGTTCAGCATTTCCATTTCCATTTCCATTTCCATTTCCATTATTTGGACCATTTCCACCACTTTCTCTACTAAAGGATGATCTCTTACTAAGTGGTCTAAATACTGATTGAGGTCTAGAATTTGCTTTAGCATATAATTCAGCCGCTTTTAATTTAGATGGGGATTGATAATTTGGTTGTAAAGCAGGATGAGGAGCCACTGGTTGAATATAACTACCTCTTAATGATCTACCACTCATACCACCAGCATTAGGATCTAATGATCTTGGATGATCTTGAGTTTGTTGGAATGATTGACCAGGAGGTTGTTGATATGATTGTGGTCTTAAGGTTCTAGATGCCATACCTGATGGATTTGGTGGTGCGGCCATAAGATTTGGTTGACCTTGAGGAACTGGATTTGGTACACTCTTTCTTAATGTTGATTGAGATAATCTCTTCGTAGGTGGCGGTATGACAGAATTATGAGATGCAGCTCCAGGATAAGCAGTGATATTACCAATACCATCATTTAATTGATTTGAAGATAATTTAGAATTAAGTCTGGTATTTTCAGCTGTAGTTAATGATAAGTAAGCTTCATGAGCGGCATTATTCTTAGCTTTACTGGCATTGGAATTATAAAATGAACTAGAATTCTTCATAGCTGATTTTAATTTCTTTGGTGAATCTTTACTACTTTGAGAATAAAGAGATGAATTACTTGAACCATCATTTCCTCCAAGAGTTTGAGGAACTTGTAATGTATCATCACTTGATAAGACTTTAGGAGCTTCTTCTTTAATATCTGGTACGTTATGTTCTTCATCTTCTATATCACTTGATTCATCAACAAATTTAGATGATTCAAAATTACTGCTAATTGGTACTTCATCGGTATGCAGAGGAGCTGAATCAAAAGTTGGTCTTAACAGCTTAGCAAATCCACTTTCTTGACCATGACCTTCATCTTCTTCATCATCTTCTTCAGAAGTAATGGTATTCTCCACAATACTATCACGATTTAATAATTCATTAGAAGCAAAATTACCATATTGATTGATTATACCTAATTCACTACCAGAATGACCCACATTTGAATAAATGGTATTACCAGCTTCCTTGGATTCTTGGGCTGATTTAACTTGTGGTTCTGTGACATCTCCATCTTCATCTTCGTCTATTAATTCTTGTGATTTATCAAATTCAGATGTTATAGGTGCCAAGGCTGGTTTTTCAACTTCGTCGATCTCTTCTTGATCTTCGTCATCTTCTTCATCTACTTCGTGTGCTTCAGCATCCTCAACTAAATGTTTCTTGGAAACTTCATCAACTATGATACCTCTATTAATGATTGGAACATCCTCTTCATCGTCGTCGTCGTCTTCTTCTTGTTCTTCTTCTTCGTCTTCTTCGATTTCTTCAGGAGCAACAGATTTATATTGTTCTTCTTGTACAGGTACATTCACTGCTTCAGGAATGGCAGCAACAACAGGTGTTGGTTCAGGCACCGATACAGGTTCTGGTTCTGGTTCTTTTATGGTTGGAACTTCAACATAAGATGATTGTGGGTTTTCTAATGATTTCAATGCATTATCATTCTTTAATTTCAATGATTCATATTCTTTCCTCTTTAATTCCAATTCACGAGCAAAGTTCTTTTCTTGATCGATTTTTTCTTGCAATTGTTTCATTTTCAATTGTTGTTCATGAACTTCATCAGAATGACCCAATTGATCTTCTAAATCGACATTTTCAGTCATAGGAGTCATGGATGGAGGTTGATGTTGAATCAAACTTGATAATCTCGATGGAGGTTTCTTTGAAGGAGCGGATAAGTTTTTATGTTGTTGAGAAACCGAACTTAATGAAGGTGATCTTGGAATTCTTTTTGAACCAGGTGGAATATTTCTTAATGAACCGGATCTTGAAATACTTGTACCTGATCTAATTGAATTATTTCTAGCCATTTCTTGTTTGAAATTTGCTTCGGGGACCTCAATGATTTTAATACCATTAGGAGTTGGAACATATTTCTTAACCATTTTAACAGGACCAGTAGGTTGAGCATTAAGATTCGATCTTGAATTGGTTTTAATGGGTTGATGAGATAATTTTAAATCTTTAAGATTCTGTTGATTATTTAAATAGATTTGATTAGTTTCTTCTGTAATTTCATCTAAATAGGAATCATTAAAACTATCATCTATATCATATACAATGGATTGATGATTATTATACAATGGAGATTTGGAATGGGACGAAGAAACAGGAGTTGGTAACGTTGATGGTGAGGAAGTCGAGGTAATAGATCCCCCTGAGAAATCTCTAAATTGATGCTGATGATTAATTGATTTTGGTTGTGGCAGTTGTTGTTGTTGTTGTTGTTGTTTACCTACGATTGAATTTCTCTTTAATAAACTTCCACTAGAACTTCTTGGAGTTGGTTGTTGAGGTGGCTGAGGTTGTTCTCTAGTGATATAATGTATAGAGTTAGTATGACCTTGCGCTTGTTTCCCAGATGATTTTTGTTTAATTGATTGTCCAATGGTTAAAGCAGCTGCCAAGGCATTCATATTTGGTTGACTTGATTGAGGCGCAACATGATTGACACCTGTATAGGCCGTATTATGTACGTTTCGACTTTTACGTCTGAACATTGTTTCACTAATTGACTAAATTGATAGAATAAGAGCAACTATGATAGATTCAAAGAATGATAATAATGAAACAAATCTCAGGATAAAGATTCCACTGATTTTTTTAAACTTTTCTGAATTTGATTGTTTTGGTTGTTTTGCTTTAGTTTGAAGTTTGTATACAGTAAAATTTCATTTGTGTGTGCCTCCTTTCCCAAATGGAGAGGAGCAGAAATGGAAGGAAGGAAAAGCTCTAAGGGGATTGCACTGATTGTGTGGAAGAGGAGGAGGGAGGAGGGGGGTTGGTCGTGTCCGCCCTATCAAAACAAAACAAAAAAAAAAAAAAAAAAGCAAAAAAAAACACGTGACTATCTAGACGAATCAAAAATGGAATATATACTATAGTAGTATATGTGTTTAGATAGAGTAAAGATAGGTATTATTGATATCTATTTATAGATAAATTATATTAATCGTCAATTTGCGGTCTCGTATTTTATAAGATATACGTGACCATGTTGTTGTTTGTTATGGTAAACCCAGTTAGTTGTTCTCTTTTTCTAAACGATTCAACCGCTATTGCCACAATAATTTGCAACTCCAAATTAGACCATAATTTATCGTAACCTGTCTTCGTAACTTTGTTTCTACGTCACTAATTCATCTACATCGTAAGAGTGTATGGTGACTACTACTCATTCTAAATTCAACATGATCATCAAACTTATATTCGAAATGCTACTTGTATGTAAGTCATTCCTTTAATTATACTATTTACACATATTTTCAAGTTTGGGTCATATCTTGTATTCATCAACATCATCACATCTGTTAGGATTTTAAAAATTTATCATCGACGGTTCACTCGTTTTATAGTATTTAACCCAACTAAATTACTCAACCATATCCCTGTTTGTTGACCTTGTCTAACAATGATATTTAAAAGTGGTCTGATACTTATTAAGAACCCAGTGTATAAGAAACCTTGCAATAATGGCATCAATATTTGATCTTTGAATATAGCATATATCACTATCGAAGGAGTAATCACACCTATAGGCTTTTGAACTTGTGATGACTCTGGATTATTTATATCTGTATTTAATAATTGTAATTCCGAATCTGTTAAAGGTTTAGAATGATCTGATTTAACATCTTTTCCAGCATACCCATTCAATTGTTTCATAAACGTTTGCTCGAACCTGAGGTCTGGCAATGGTAATTGAGCCAAATTACTCTTATTCATCCTTGGTCAATAGATCTGCTGTTGTTTAAAACAAGTGGTTAATATGACTGTTAAAATATCGTTTGCCTTTTTATAACAATTGAAAAAGAGCGTGTCTTCGTCAATGCTATAGGAAAAAAAATTCCTGCACTTAACTACAATAAATCCGTCAAAATGTCTCGTTAAGAAACTTTTGCAGTTACCAGTTTTTGATATAACCATTTCCAGATTATAATGAGATAAGCATAACAAGTGAAATTAAATAGTATAAGTAAATCATGATGATCAATTTGTGAATGTGTAAACTTTGCTTGCTGATTATATCTTTCAATTCACCAACGTCTTAATAAATGAGACCAAATATGAAGACAATCGTTACTACTAGTACTAGTAGTACTACAGCTTCTCCAACAACGATTACTTCTGATGATGCTGAATATAAATACTTGCAATCTGTTATTCAATTGCACCAACGGCGAATTGAAGAATTAGAATTGTCTTTAAAATATCAGTTGACTACAAATGAAACACTTAGTCAATTATCACTAGATTTGCTATTATCATCATTGAGGTTCTCTAACTATCGAAATTTATTGCAATCGGGAGCTCGTAAGAACGATTCGGAATTAATAACCTTGTTTGAAAATTTATCGAAAAACTTACCACCAAAGTATCGTCAGTAGTCATTTTTCATGGTGGTTGCAAAAATTAAAGTAGTATAATAAAGGCGAGAAATTAAAATTCACAATTTAATTTTTTTTCCGAATTTGTTACACATTTCAATTAAATATACAATTATTGTTGAATGTTTTTGTTTATCTATTTGACATTCCTCTTCTGTAGTGTTATTTGTTGTATTTTTGTATCTCCACATTTTGGACTATAATCTTTAGTGACTGAAATTGCCTCTTTTTATTAAATTTTGTGCATAAAATTAAAATAAGCGTAACATTCAAGATCTACTTTCGAAATTTTATAAATATCATAAATTTTCTTTTTTAATCTGTTCATTTAAATACAAAAATCAAGTACACCCAAAACAATCATGTCCCCACTTCTATTATTATCTTTAAACGATTTAAAGTCAATGGTTCGAAAACAAGAAACAAGGATTTACAATTTAGAGTCATCTACAATGTTACAAGATTTTGAAAATCGAAATCTATTTAGTCAAATTGAATGTGCAAGATCTTTAATCGATGAGGCATGTCATGATATTCATAAGTTCTTAGCCAAAGAAGCAAAAGCTAAAACTATCGACGAAAGTAAAAGTGAAAGTGAAAGTGAAAGTGAAAGTGAAACTCAAAATAAGAATGATATTCAACCTCCACCTTATTGTTAACAGTTACTTTTGTATTGCCCTCCAACTTATTAGGGCCAATCAACGTTTTCACAGGCTAAGAAATTTAATATAATGCTACTAAGGTTGAATTATGGTGACTACCCTAAAGGTCTCAGGGTGTTGAAATTGTACAAGCCCAAAACAATATGGACTTCGATTTTATCCAACAAATAGTGACAGGTATTCAACTACTACTATCTTAAATTTAAGTAAATGCATACATATATTTAATTCTATGTTGGATAACTATATATTTCAATATAATATTTCTTTCAAATTCAAATTATTAAGTATGCAGCGTATTAATTTAACAAAAAGAGGCAATTTCAGTGACTAATGTTAGGAGAAGAAGATAAGACTATAGAATAGAATTAACACAAATACAGCTATTGCTATTAGTTAGTATTCTCCTCGTCTGCAAATTGTATATCGATTACAACTGCCTATCATAAGTATAGTCTACAATATTTATATTCAATTAGAATCATTTATTTATTCAAAAAATAATAACTATTTAACTTGGTTTCTTGAAACCTATGAGAGTTATAAAGCTAAATTCGCACAGTAAACCTAAATAAGAGAGGGAGAGAAACATAGCTAAGATATAAATATTGAAGTCTTCATCTCGTTGATAAGCAGCTCCACAAAAAATCACTGCTAAAAAGGTATTAACAAGGGCTAGAAAATGATGTAATTCATTCATTTCTTCCTTCATCTTCAAAATTTCAAGTGACTTTTTTTCATTTTCAATTTTAAGAATCTCTAAATCGTTTTCAAGCTTCTTTGAATCACCTGCAAGAGCCTTACGTTTTAGCGTTTCAACATCATCTTTAAGAGAAGCTCCATCTATAATAAAAACTTCTACGTCTTCAAATTTTTGGTTCGTTTGAGTGTAAAATTCTTCTAGACCTTCTTTAATTTTTTCAAATTCAGCAGTAGTTTCATCTTTTATAGTTTTAAGCATATTCTTCACATCCCTTTGAGCTCTATATAAATAGGTAAGAATAAAATTAAATTGCTCATTATTATTTGCAGTTGGAGGCGTTCCTGGTGTTTCAGGAGTTCTAGGAGTTGAAGGATTAGCAGACATTATCACTTAATTGCTTTGATTGACTAAAACTATTATGATTGATTCCATTCAAAATGGAAAGAAGGAAATTAGAAAGCGTTTTTATATGATGATCAACACATCCCAATTGTTGTTTTAATGTGAAACATATTTAAAGATGATCAGATAAAATGTATTTAAAAAAATGGCAGCCAAAAATTAACCTCCTTTATCAGGAAGTAATCAAAGACTATTGTGTAGATAATTTGGTTTTATAATTATGATAAGACAAATACACTTCACGGATAAAGTAATTTTCATTCTTACATTAAGTTTGTATACTTTTACATTCTTGATTATTATATGATAAAAATTTCTATTATAAATTTAAACATATAAGGTACATACAATACATAATTATAGATATACAATTCCATTAATATACCTTGTCTGAATTCAAATTCAATTCAGATTACAACTCCTAAAATAACACATAAGAGAGCTCCTAATACCCACTGACCTATATTTTTGTCCTCTTGAAACAATCTTGCAGCACAAATGATAGCGTTTAATGGGTAATACATCTTAAAAATATTTCTAAAACCACTACCAGCCTTCAGTTCTGGACCAAAAATCAATAAAACGGCATGACCAAAGATAAGATACATAAATGATACAATATAGCAAGAATAATTAATGAGATCCCGAACTTTTTCAGAGAATAATTGCTTTGGCGACTCATCTACTTTCGGTTTTGGAACAGTAGAATTTTTTAAATCTTCAATCTCTTCCTCTAACTTGTCAACATATTGACTCATAATGACAAGTTCTTGATGAATCTTGTTAATTGAAGTTCTAAGTAACTTGACTTTATTGATTGGTTCACTAGTTTTCAACATATCCAAATCTTGTTTAAGTGGGGAACGATTTAAGATAGATTGCTCTAATTTTTCAATACGGCTGTAACAATCATCAACAACATCTTTAATCTTCATAAATTCTAATCGATACTTTTGCTCAACCAAATCTAAAATTTCATCCTTAAATCTTTTTTTATCTGAATCTAATAAGTTTAACATATACTGTTCGGGGAAATCCTCGAATGAATCAGTTGATGGCGTTTCAGAAGTAGTTGACATGATTTGATCTTGAATTGTTTCACACCCTACTATCATTGATTGATTGATTGATTGATTTGATTTGATTGATTGATGATTTAAAAAATGAGGAGAAAGAGAAAAGGGGAATGTTTAAATATGACGGCCAACACATGAGAATAATTTGTTGAGCAGAATTGGGTCAGGGGCGAGTTGTGATGATGTATAACATATTTGAAGATAATCAAAAAATAATAAATAGCAGCCAGAAATTGTCTGGTTTTTCTAACCTCTTTTATCAGGAAGCTATTTTAAGGTATTGTGCGAAGATTTATGTTTTGGATAATTACGATATGATAGTTCTGAAACATTGTCTGATAAACAATCAACTATCCTATTAAATAATTTAACTATTGTATCTTGTAAGACTATCTACTGCTGTATATTTAGATTTCCTAGTTATCTTGACATTTGTATCCTTGATTAATAATATGAAGCTAATTTAAAGCTTCTCTGAATGCTGAAATAGAACCACCAGAGAAGTAAAGAAATGGCATTAATCTTGTTCAGACAAAAAATGATACATCCATTTTGATTGGAAAGAGAATATGACAATTTACACTGTTTAATTTTGATCTTATCTTAAAAATTGTCTGTCGGGTTGAGTTTCTGTCTGCTATTATTTTTATTTTTTGATCTTGTTTTTTTACAGCCTACCTAACATGCAAAACTAATTTTACAGTTTACTAATTTTTTTCATTTCAACATTTTATTTTTGAAAAACGGAAAAAAAAAATAATGATAAATGATAAATAAGCAAACTTTGATTGTGACTCCAGGCAAATAGAGTCTCTTGTACATTAATCCATTCTAATATCATATATTTCCCATAGTCTCCTATATCAAGAGAGCATTTACTTATAGAAAAAGAAATCCACATAAATATTAAAAAATGAGTATAGATAGGTCCAAAGAATTATCGGTCAGAATCACCAATGCTGAAAGAGATCGTGTTAACTTTGAGTTGTTCAATGTTGATTTATCATTAGCCAACTCTATAAGAAGAGTGATGATGGCTGAAGTGCCTACTTTGGCGATAGATTTAGTTGAAATAGATATCAATACCTCAGTCTTGGCTGATGAATTCTTATCCCATAGATTGGGTCTTATACCATTAAATAGTGAAGGTATTGATAAATTAGCATATTCAAGAGATTGTGCTTGTGATAATTATTGTGCTAACTGTTCAGTCAAGTTAGAATTAAATACTAAGTGTGATACTGATTCTACTATGAGTGTATATGCTTCCGATTTAGCAAAATTTCAAAATGGTTTAACTTTAGGTAATCCAGTTACAAGAGATGCAGCAAAGAAAGGTCCATTAATTTGTAAATTAAGAAAACATCAAGAAATTAAACTTACATGTATAGCTAAAAAAGGTATATCAAAAGAACATGTGAAGTGGTCACCATGTGCTGCTGTCGGATTTGAATATGATCCTTATAATAAATTAAAACATACAGATTATTGGTTTGAAGATGATGCTGAAGAAGAATGGCCAAAATCTGCTAATAGAAGATTTGAAGATCCTCCAGATAAAGATGCTCCATTCGATTATAAGGCAACAGCTGATCACTTTTATTTCGATACTGAAACTGTCGGTAATTTACCTCCTAATGATGTTGTTCTTACTGCCATTGAAACTTTACAAAGAAAAGTAGCTGATATTCTTGTTGGATTGAAAGATGAAAATGTTGAAACTTCGAATGCTCAATCAGGTGGATTTACTACTTATGGTAGAACTGATTATGATAATAATGGTGGAGAAACTCCTTCAGGAAGTAAAACTCCTTATGGTGAATTTGGTGGTGGTTCAGCATGGAATTAAATCTTTTAAGTTCGGTTTAATTTTTTGTAATTGTATAATTATTATGTTAATAGTCTATATTAAATATATTTACGCGTTATTTAAACTTTATGATTCCATTGTACAAGGTCATCAAACTTTACTAGTTTACCACCAAATATATCTAATGCACTTCCGTAAGTTAAATCAACCTTACCTTTACTTAACTCTTCAACAGTTTTTAAATCATCCACCAGTTTAGCACCACCAGCATAAACGATTTTACCTTCAAACCCAGTAGGACACCATTCGCCAAGCTTAACCACTAAGGCGGAATCTATCCCTTTGCACAATCCTTCAACATCAGCAGCATGAATTAAAAACTCATCACAGTATTTCGATATGTCATCAAAGACTTGCTTTGATAAAACTGTAGAAGTTAATGTTTGCCATTTATTCATAGCAACAACCCATTTGGTTTCGCCATTTTCCTTAACGGTTCTACAACTAAGATCCACAATTAATCTCTCTTTCCCCACTAATTTCGAAATGGATTCCAATCTAGTCCAATCGAATTCTTTATGCTCGTTGAATAACCAACTTGTCACTATAACATGAGAAGCTTTATATGTATCTAACCAAGTTAATGCATTGTCTATATTGATACCTCCACCGACTTGTAAATTTAACGGCCATGATGAACAGGCTAGTTTCGCAGCTTCGTCATTGGCAGGATTGGATCCTAATTTTATAACATGACAACCAGATATCTTATTATCTTTATATAATTGGGCATAATATGCTGATGAATTTGTGGATATGAAATTTTCTTGTGTAGTATTGGTTTGTCCTTCTTTGTCATCTTGAGTTAATGTACCACCTACAATCTGTTTCACCTGACCGGCATGGATGTCTATACAGCCTCTGAATTTAGTCATGGTTATTATTTTGGTGTTATCGATCAACTATGTAATGATTCAACGGTTAATTTTTCATTATCGCTTTTTTTTTTTTCATGCTTTGTTTTAGTGGAGGAAGCAAGATAGCAGATATCATAACAAGCTATTTAACATCTTTTATCTTGAAATTGTAGTTTGTTACTTTAACTAATTGTCTGAATTGAATTCATCTATCTATCATCAGACTACAGTACCACCAAATGTAAAATATAATTGTATGTTGCATAATATTAACTAATAAGAATATTCAGCTTGTTTGCAGCTGATGCTAGCGGCATTGAAAAAAAAATAAAAAATATGAAAATAAAAAAATTATAATGAGATGCAACATACTTGTAAGCAAAACATCAATAAAGAATATGAGTGAAGATGATGACTATATAAAGGCTCTAGAAATACAGAGAAGAAACTTTGAAGCCCAGTTTGGATCCATCGAAACTTTGGGGTATGAAGATAAGTCAAAATCTGCATCGAATGGGATTAAAGATATAGATTCAAGTGAAGAAGAGGAAGAAGAAGATAACTTTGAAGGATTTCAATCAGGAGAAGAGTCTGAGGACTATTCATCTTCATCCTCTGAAGACGACGAAAGTTACAGTAATGGCTCAGCACAAGTCAAATCGGAAGTGATACGACCAAAAGTCTTTAAATTAAATGATCCAAATGAATCCAATAAAGCACCAATGGTATCAAAGAGAGAAAGAAAGTTATTAAAATCTGGAAGAGCACCAACGTTAGCAGAGATTGAAAAGAAAGAAGAATTGGCCAGGAAACAAACTAAGAAACAACTTCTTAAAGCTGGAAAAGATGATGGTGAAAATATAGAGAATGATTTAAAATTACAACGATTATTAGATGAATCTCATATATTAGCCAACTCATTACAATATTCAGGAGCTGATTTAACATTACAAACCATAGATTATGAAGATCCAACTGGGAATGCCAGGAAAAGAGCCTTAGACTCTCGTTTGAGAAAATTAGCTGCAGTGAATTCATCAAGTGAAGGATTACCTAAGAAATTAGAAAATATGCCAATGTCAATGAGAAAAGGAATGATCAGAAGTCGTGATATGAAAGTAGCAAAATTCGAAAAAGAAGCCAAAGAAGCAGGAATTGTTTTATCTAAAGTTAAGAAAGGCGAATTAAGAGATTTGAAAGCAGGTAGAGGTTTCACATCTAGTGCTGATAGATTGGGTACAGGAAAGAAAGTAACTAAAGTAATTAGAGATAGAGGTTTAAAGATTGCCAGTATAGGTAGATCAACTAGAAATGGATTAGTTATTCCTCAGAGTCAAATTGATAAAATCAATAATCAAGGCCGTCGTTCAAACTCAAAAGGAAAAGGAAAAGGGAAAAGAAGATGATGATACAAAAAAAAGTATAGATTGTATATATAAATAATAATACATATTAATTTTATTTAATAAGTCTTTTCTATGCTATGTGTATAAATAATTATCCTATTAAAAGCCAACGACTTTTAAGTCGTCATAAGTTTCATTTGACTTGATGGTTAATCCATGTTCATTTGCTAAATGTAAAAGACAAATGAAATAAAAACTTGTTGATAAATCCTTTCTTTGTTCTGTACCATACATGGTAGCCACGGAATTAACCAATTCTCCGAAATTCTTCGATGGAGGTTCCTTCTCTTTTTCTTCTTCTTCTTCTTGATCATCTTTTATTACGGGTGTAGTTTCTTCTTTCTTTATAGACTTCCATATATTGTCTTTTAATGCCTTAACATCAACTCTTTTCGCAACTCTTGAAAAGTTAACATACTCTGGACGTCTTCTACCCATAATTTGCTCAGTAGCAACATTGTCCTTATCATCAGATTCATTATTATCAATATGATCACCTTCTAAGGCATCATTGAAGTCAATAGCACCATAATCATCTCCATTATCAAAATCATTATTGAAATCATCATATTCAGCTTGATGGAAAGATTGAGCCAAACGTTCTTGTTCTTGTTCTTCCTCTTCTTTCTTATCATATTGATTTGCAAAATAATTTTCATCTGTAAATTCGGGTCTTTCACTATTTGAAGATTTCTTGGGGAAATAAACAATTGAAATTTGTGGTTTAGTGAAAAGATTAGTCAATCTTGCAGAATTATATTTAATATCATCTGGTAAAATTGTTTCCGATATAACTGTTTCCTTCTTCTTAAGTATGGTTAATAAAAACTTTGGTGCTGCAAATAAAGCATCTTCATCTTCATCTTCACCAAAAAAATCAACAACTACCTGAGTTGGTTTCTTTCTTTGACCACCTGTTATGGCTTGTTCAGCTTTATTTTCACCACCATTTTCGTCCGACACAACTTTTGAAGAATTCTTTAAAGCAGCAACTTTCCAATGCTCTGGTCCACGCCAATTTGATTTCATTCTTTCATCAAAATATGCCATAAGATCTTTATCTAATAAATCAGTACTAGCTGCAGCTGTAATAGCAGGTTGTAATTGTACTTCTGATTCATTAAAAAGTCTTTGCATTATACTATGATTTATATTATTTAATGGATCATCAGTTATGTTGTTTCCACTTTCATCATTTATTCCACCATTTTCAACATCACCGTCATCATATCCACCAAAATCATCATAATTTCCATCATTGTCACCATAATCTATTTCGTCAACTGCTTCCTCCACAGCTGCAGTTATTTTGGTATTAAAATCACTTAAAATAGATTTGGCTTTAGACATATCTTCAATAGCAGAATGAAACTCATTAAGTGAAGGGCAGATAGTTAAGTCATCAAAATTGGCTTCATCACCTTTAAATATGAAACGTTTAAGACTCAGTATATCAGTATCTTCTGTATTTAATTTAATTTCTTTTTCTTTATTAACTTGACTTGAAACGTTGTCTTTATCTTCTTCGTCATCATCATCATCATCTATTTCATCAACAGGCTCAGAATCATTTATTGATTTAGAAGTAGCATCAAAGACAACTCTTCCTGATGCATCGATATTCAAGGTATTTAATAATAAACTCTTAGCCCCACCTTCATCAAATTCGGCCAAAGCTTTTTTAAACAAAGGATCAATAGCTAATTCTTGATCTAATTTCTTTATCCGAAGTGTTTCAAAATCAACTAAAGTTGTTTCAACTATTCTATTATATTTTCTTTTCTTTCTACCGTATTCATCAAATTCATTTTCATCATCACCTTTTTCACCATTTTCACCATTCTTATTTTGATCACCATTACCTTCATTTTCTTCATCTTCATCATTTTCTTCTATATCTTCTAATTCCTTTTTCTTTGCTAACCCACTTAATAATTTACCAGTTTCAGTAGCAGCTGATTCAACTCTACTCAGATAAATCTTTACACAACCATCTAAAGTTGCAGACGCTCTTTGGAAATTAATGTTTTCACCATCTTTTATAACATTCATATCATGGAAATAATCAATTAAAGCAAATTGCCATGAATTTTTACTAGTGATTTTATTATCAGTTGACATTTTGATCCATTCTTCAAAATTAGATAAGATTGTATGTTTGTTTTCATTGAAATGAATGGCACTTTCTTCATTAAAGGAATCATCGGCTGCATTAAGCGATCGACTCACATGTCTTGAACTTGATAATACTCTATGATTTGATATGATTCTATTGTTTTGATTTCCAGGAGTGGTTCTATTTGATATGATTCTATTGGAAATGATCCTTGATGGATTTGGGGTATTTACAGCGGGTGAACCATTATATTCAGAAGGTATTCTGGAAGAAGAATCCCCAAGACCTCTCTTCTTAGGAAGTACCTGTGAATTCATCTTTATTATTCTATATTATATGGATATATATATATGTTTTATAGATCAATAAATAATGTTCAATAATCGATTTGGATGTCTATATGTCATTTCATGCAATTATATAAACAAACTCAAATTTAAAAACATAAACATTGAGCTTTTTGAGTCAGATCGCACGACCCCTTTTGTTTTGTCGCGACTTATCATGTCCAAAATAAAATGACATATTTTTGCGACATAACTGGGCCGTTGATGAGCCGAAATAGATCTAATAGAGTACACTAGGGTAAATTGGTTAATATAAAAGTAAAATTAAATTTTAAAAAGACTATCTTATAGTAGTTTATTGGATAACTATGAATAGCTTATCAAAAATGAGATAATAAATCTCTATTATCAAACTAATTATAGTTATGAACTGATTCCTATAGTTAATTTTGCCACAATCACTGAAAAATTTCTTTTTCTAAATTGGGATAATTCGCACACTAAGCAGAATGAAAGTGCCAGAAACTTCTGTCTCCAACAAAAAAAGATGATATCAAGACTGTACGACAAAGGTCTAGATTAACGAATTATTCATTAATTCTTTCATCAGTTTTGGTGTCAAGTATTTACCACATGTACGGGTTAACGAAGATGGCACTGAGTGCTATACTTCGTCATTCTGCTCAGAATCATTTGATAAGATCTCAAGCTTTAAAGATATCATTAAGACAATTATCAAGAGGATCATTTGTTAATAAGCATATTATTTCACCTGGTTTAAATCCATTAGGTAATGGACAAACTAGATCGATAGTATCTAGCTCCACTGTTAGTTTATTACAATCTCAAGAACAAATCGCCAACAATGATTTGAATAATACTACTGCTCAAGCTGAGTTTTATAAATCCTTATTAGCCAATAATTATCCTCATATTGTGGTGCAAAGATTCGAAACTCCAGGTATAGCATCTTCTCCAGAATGTACTTCTTTATATATCGATGCTTTAAATAAAATCGGTAAGAAGGGGAAAGCTGAACAAGTGGCTCGTTCTTTACAATCACAACAAGTAAATGGCAATGTGGCTGGATTACCTCATGGATTTGGATCAAGATATGAACCAGTTCATGTTATCGTTAGTGAATCATTGTTGACTATCCTTTCTAAATGGTTAAAATGGTTGATTCCAGTAGCCTTATTAACTTATGGTGCTACTAATGCATTTAACTATTTGGTTGAAAATGGTACTATTTTCAAGAATTCAGAAGTTTCTGATAAATCAGTCGATGTCACTCAATCAACCGTTAGATTTACTGATGTTCAAGGTTGTGATGAAGCAAGAGCTGAATTAGAAGAAATCGTTGATTTCTTAAAAGATCCAGCTAAATTCACTGGTCTTGGAGGTAAATTACCAAAAGGGGTACTTTTAACTGGTCCACCTGGTACTGGTAAAACCTTATTAGCCAGAGCTACTGCTGGTGAAGCTGGTGTTCCATTCTTTTTCATGTCAGGATCTGAATTTGATGAATTATACGTTGGGGTAGGTGCCAAAAGAATCAGAGAATTATTTACTCAAGCCCGTGAAAAATCTCCAGCTATTATCTTTATTGATGAATTAGATGCTATTGGTGGTAAAAGAAATCCAAAGGATCAAGCTTATGCTAAACAAACTTTGAATCAATTATTAGTTGAACTTGATGGGTTTTCTCAAACTCTGGGTATCATTATCATTGGTGCTACTAATTTCCCAGAATCCTTGGATAAAGCCTTAACTAGACCTGGTAGATTTGATAAAGAAGTCATTGTTGATTTACCGGATGTAAGAGGTAGAATTGATATTTTAAAACATCATATGAAGAATGTTGAAACTGCCGAAGATGTTGATCCTTCTATTATCGCAAGAGGTACCCCTGGTTTAAGTGGGGCTGAATTAATGAATTTGGTTAATCAAGCTGCCGTTCATGCTTCTCAATTATCTGCCCCAGCGGTTGATATGAATCATTTCGAATGGGCCAAAGATAAAATCTTGATGGGTGCTGCTAAAAAGAAGATGGTTATCACTGAAGAATCAAGAACTAATACCGCTTATCATGAAGCAGGTCATGCCATTATGGCCATGTTTTCAAAAGGTGCTACACCATTATATAAAGCAACTATCTTACCAAGAGGTAGAGCTTTGGGTATCACTTTCCAATTACCGGAAATGGATAAAGTTGATATGAGTAAAAAAGAATGTATTGCTAGATTGGATGTATGTATGGGTGGTAAAATTGCCGAAGAAATGATAAATGGAAAGGAAAATGTTACTAGTGGATGCTCTAGTGATTTATCTAATGCCACTGGTGTGGCTAGAGCCATGGTAACTTCTTACGGTATGAGTGAACTCATTGGTCCTATTAAATTATCTGATAATTGGGAACTGTGGTCACCAGAATTAAGAAACATGGCTGATAAAGAAGTAAGAGATTTCTTAATATCAAGTGAAAATAGAACTAGACAAGTGTTAAAAGATAAAAAAATTGAATTAAAAAGATTGGCTGAAGGTTTATTGGAATATGAAACTTTAACAAGAGATGAAATGGAAAAAATTGTCAGAGGTGAAACCATAAATAAACAAAAAATAATAAGTAACACGGTTATTAAAACTCCAAAGAGTAACACCGAAAGAACAGACTTTCCTATACCGGTAGAAGCCTAAGTCTTGTATATACCCTACCTACCAAATAAAAATTTTAATAGCATTAATATCATTATATCATATTTTTAAGTATTGTAGAATTTAAATTATAAAGTCATATAAACGCCTAAGATAAGTCAAAATCAATCAAATTAGAATCTCCCAGTTGATCATATTTGACACCAGATTTTTTTTCGGTTTCCGTTTGTGCTTCCGTTTTCTTTTTCACCTTTTCAACTGCTTGAGATTCAGAAGATTGTAATAAATCTTCATCGATTGATATAACACCCAAATCATCATCTCTTTCTTCTTCATAATCATCTTGAACTCTAAGCCTATTTGTAGATTTAAGAGAAGAGTTATCACTATTGATAATAGGATTAAGAGCACTACTTGCGGCACTATCCATTCTTTGACGTACTTTATGAGCCACTTTAAGACCATCAGCCAATAATCCATCAAACATACCTCTTAAGTTTCTCATGGTATCGAATTTTGAGTTCAATGGCTTATCTAAATGAAATGATGTTCTGAAAGTTTGACTAAAGAATAATTCATAAGTTTCATCAGCCAAAACAACCATCCTGAAAGTGGGTAAGTTAACAAATACAGGCGTATTTGGATTTAAAGCTGCATTATGAGCAATTGAATCATCAATGGCTAAATCTTTAATAAGAATTTCTTCTTCTTCAGGTTGAGCATATTCGAAAGCACGTTGGATAAATCCACTAGCAGCTTGTAAATATCTTTCACTTTGTAAAGCAGCAAACTTTTCTTTATCAATGTTAACTTCACTAGGCAATTGTATAACCTCATCTTTTCCATCTTCTTTCGATGCTTGTGCTTTGTATACTTCATCAGCCACTGCATTCTCAATTGCTGTTTCGGTTAACGAATCCAAAAGAACTCCATCTTTCCAAGCACTGGTGATATTTAATAAATCTTCCGATACTTGTAAAATACCTTCTCTATCAAGTCTACCTGTATTTTTATAATCATATAATTGGAAAAAGTTTGACATTGAAGTCATTAAATCAGGATCTATGATCTTGTTCAATCCAATTATCAAATTCGATAATGATAATGATCTTTGACCTTCTATATCCCATTGAGCAAACAAATGATTTAAAAATACATCCTGCAGCTTATCATTCTTTATATTTGGCTGCACCCAATCACACGTTTCAGCCATGAAAAGTCTGAATGCTCTGAAATCCATGAAATTAGATCCAGTTCCAACTGTGACATCAGATTGAACAATGGAATAGAATCTATCATAAATGATACTTAATGTTTCATTATCAATATTATTAGTCTTTGGCAAGTTTCTTAATTCAGTTCTTTTAACAAATGTAGAAATATTTTGGAAAATACCATCTCTGTGTTTTCTTCTATGAGTTTCGATGGTTTCTGAAGTAATATTGGAGAACTCTTTAAATGCTGTAACTAATAATTCTTGAAATTTGGTGATTGATTTATATTTTGGATTTGGAGAAGTTGGATGAGCTGATTGATCTAATTCTTGGAAGTAGTCTTTAATGATGGAAATAAAAGATCCATCATCTTCAGTTTGTAATAATTGTTCACCGTTTATCTTTAAGACAGCCAAAGCAACTTGGAAAAGGGTTTTAGGGCCCTGAAGGAAAAATACATCTAGAATTCTGAATGCAAACACTAAAGGCATTGAACTTAAATATAATGATAAAAACCAAGGTAATGAGACAACAGACAACTGTATATCATTTTTAGTAATATGATCCCATAATAATGGCATAGTAGTTTGAACCAAAGATTCAAACACTTTTTGATCTAATAAAGTTCCATACATGGTTTTTGAATAGTATCCAGGTACAATCTTATCGACAAGTAAATTCAAAGACCAAAAAGCTTGTTCTTCTGACATATAGATTAATAATGCTGCCACAACAATATTCATAGCTTGACAATAACCAACTTCTGGATTTTTCCAAGAATAAGCGGTCAAAACATTTCTTAATCTGGATATACCTTCGGGAGTTTGATAAGCGGCATACTCTGGTAATGATCTATTTAAATCCTTTTCAATTTCATCTATCGAAAATGAGGTTCTATTCTTATTATCTTCTAATATTTTATGATATTCATTTTGATTTTGAAATCTGAGATAAATTGATCCACAACATAATTCCCAGATTTCACCTCTTAACCTATTTGGTAACCCTACTCGTATTAATTTATAGAACATAGGAGTTTTAATCAATGATAAGTTTCTTCCATCAATTCTAAAAAGATCAAACCATAACTTCATCTTAGATTTATCTCTTTGTTCCTTAGGATTGCCCGGAAATTTAAAAACCAAACCTAATCCACCAGCAGGCATATGTTCAATCTTTTCATTGGATACTTTATTCTTCGCTAATAAGTACTCCGAATAACAAGTCTGTATAAATGGTTGTAATTTCTTATTATTGACGAGATTCCTTTTTAAGGTGATTTTTAAAGTTTGAGCAAATCTTTCACTTTCAGATCTTATTCCCACCAAGTAAATAGTAATGGAGATCTTGCTATAAGTAGTGATGGTTAATGCAAAGGCATAATCTGAATTCTGACTTCTTTCAACTTTCTTCACCGATGAGAGATGAAGGGTAAAGGAGCAATTATTTCTATCATAAGAATCACTGAACACAAGGAAGTGATCGGTTAAATAAATCTTTCCCTGAGGTAACAACTCATTCCTATAGGCTTCTTTACTGTTCTCTGACAGTATAGAGACTTCCGCTGAAGACTCATGAACAATGATTTCACTATCAGGTAAATTGTAATCACGACAAAATATCTCATCTTTCGATAAGCCATTAGTTGGTTTCCTATCAAGGACTTGATTCAAAGTAGACACAGCTCTTTCCCTAATGGTATCAAGGAACGCCATGGTTGTGCCAGCTTAGATGGATGGATGAATATTTGAACGATGATGATGAATAATTGGAATGATCAATTGATAGCAATTGGTGGTTAAAGTTATATATATATATATCAAACCATAAAGCTACGTCTTGTTTTCATTGGAATTTTCCTGCATCAAACTTCACACAAAAATAGATTTTCTTTGCATCACCACAAAAGATTAGAGCACTACCAATTGGTTACGAAAGTTAAACCATAAATAATATATATATTCTTAATATATACAACATAAAATAAATAATAAATAAATAACCCATATATATATATAAATAAATCTCATAAAAAAATCATTCCTGTATTTCAACAGGAATAACAGGAGCAGATGTATCAGATTCTTCTTCATCATCATCAGTGATGTCATTTAAGAATCCTTCGAATGCAAATGCGTTACTTGAAAGAGTTCTCGATTTCTTCAAGTTATGATGATGATGGTGGTGATGAACATGATGATTCTCTTGAACATTGGTTTTGGAGGTATCTCTTGCTCTACCTTCCAGTTGTAAATCTTGGATTGTCATAAATGAAGCATAATCAGAGATTTGCTTTAATGGTTCAGCATGAGCATTTCTCTTTCTATACTTGAATTTGTTTCCAAGAATCTTACCAGTATGATTCAATATAATCTTGATTATATCCTTTCTAACCCGTAAACAGAAATCTTCTGCTGACCAAATCTTATTCCTGTACCTCAAATTTGGTATCGTCAAAGTAAGTTTGTGTACATCAAGGATATTAAGATGCTTTGGAGCTTTGAAACTAACAAACAATTTGAACTTGGTCACTTCTATATCAATTATAGAACTATACTTTAAGGATCTAGATATGATAATTGATATATCATCTCCATCTTCATTATACTTGTCCTTTTTAGTAGGTTTCAAAAGCTGATTGACCTTTTCTCTAGTTTCAGATGCCATAGATACTTCATCTGACGAAGCTCTAGACGAAGTTGTATCCGATCTAACCATTTCATTCTCAACGCTAGTTTCTGTCAGTGACCGACTTGCACTGCCGGAACTTCTGTGTTTAGCAATAAAGTTTTTAAATGGATTCCTTGATGTTCTTCCATTACCGGAAAATACACTACTATCTTCAGAATCAACATCATCCTCGTCCTCATAATCATCCAAAATATCATTTTCAACTTGAGAATCTGAATCAGGGAATAAATATGAAAACGCAGCTTTCGCGGTTCGATAATCCAATTCTACTTTCAAAGGTTGAATAGCTAATTTGGCACTTTGGATTATAGCAATTCCACCTACATCATCCAACATCTTCCATGTCATTTGAATTATAGGATGTTGTTCCACACATTTACCAATACTTTCTTTAACCTCTGGTGAATTCACATCCTTTCCTTCCAAGTATGGCCTCAAAAGCTCAGGATACACTGCTTTTTCTTGCAAATTAAACCCTTGAATCATTGATATTTCAACTTTATTAATATTAGATCCATCAAGTGAATCAATTCTGGTATATCTTGATGAAGCTAACGCAAAATCAATAAAAGGCTCCCTATTTTCATCCAACATATGCCAGATAACTTGATCTGCCAATATGTTCCAGAATCTACTGCTCTGCTTAGTAGACGTGGCCTTATATCTCAGACCCAAACCCTTCATTAACACATTCAATTCGACTTTCAGTCTTTCAAGTTCAAGTTCTAAAATACGTAACTGTTCCTTTTCCTTTTTACTTACATCAATACTCTTGAAATCCAACTTTAACAATAAATTGGTGTATTCTCGAATTGTGAATTGTAAATTTCTCACTCTATCATCCAATCCTCTAAAGTCAGCTGAATCAGAAAGAGACATAATCTTATCCAATCTCTTTAAGAATTCATCTCTCTTCGTCTTACCGTGAACTAAAAGATCTGTGATGACATAGAACATAGTACTGTATTGCTCAGAAGTAGCATTAATAACAATTTTAGCCAATTGAACTATAATTTCATTACTTTGATTAACCGCCTTATTTTCAGTGAACATAAAGTTTGGCTTCTTAAGAATAAGCGCCATTGAGTTTCTTTCAGCAACCAATTGTGTTCTTGCCCACGAAGTATCATAACAAACTTCACATTCAACCCATGGTGGCCAATTGATATTAGATGTTGGATCCTCTTTCCCATACGTTAACTCTGGATGTATCAACTTGCTATCCTTGTTATTAAAAACAAAAATATGGGAATCCTTAAACAAAACACCATGCCTAGTTTCGACTAAGTTGCATACAGAATCACCAAGAATTTGATTATCACGACCAAGGTGAACATCAATTATTCTCATCTCTAAATCCCTTGAAGTAATAATCATACAAGAATCAACAGTCTTCAGACTAACTAATTGAATTTGTGGATGAATTAATTTAATGAGATATTTATACTCAGCCTGTTGTTCAGGACTATCCAAATCATCAATCTCGTCATTGAATCCATTGATTACTTCTTCACCACTCTTAAACTCTTTCTTAAATGCCTTTTCCTCAATATCAGTCGGTTCTTCTCTTTCACTTTGATTATTGATTACACTTTCAACCAAGTCAACTGCTCTCTTGCTCATATAATAGACATGAGATTTACGATCACCAACTCTTTGAATATATTCCATAAAGAGATCTCTCAAATCGTTATTCCACTTCAATTGTAAGTTATGTACAATAAATCTATTGTGAAATTGACTGACAGAAGAATTCGTTTTAACACACTCACCGAATGCTTCTATTGACCCATGGCTAGAATATACAGATAATGACCGAGATGTAGTTCTGGCAAGATCAACACTTTCAGAATCGGTGGTGTTGGCTAGATCTGGCATAGCAAAAGTATCATATAACGATTCCACCACTTCCAACTTCTCTTCTAGAACTTTCAAATCAAGCTTAACTCTTGAAATTTCTTTCTCGTCTCCTACTCTACCGTCGGCTTGAAGTTTTTCTAGTAGTGCTTGATTTTCCTTCATATCTTCTTGTAATGACTTGATTCTTTTCATTAAAATCTTAGCTTGTGTTTCTTCTGGCTTAGCCATTCCCATCAAACAGTCATGAGATTCTTCATGTCCAAATGGATATTTACCATCTTTTTGTAATGAATATTCCCTAACATAACTGAATTTAGGTGAGAAACAAAATGGTATAACTTTAATATGTGGACAAGGAGATAAGGGTCCCCTTACTTCTAGTTCAACGAAATCATCCGGGTCAACCCATGAAAAATCGTTATCAAACACATCAACGTTATCTAGCCAGTTTTGAAATTTCGTACTAGAATCACTATAACTTGGCGAAGATACGGAATCATGTTCATTTCCATTTAAAAATGATGCTAGATGACCCCGCATTGAAGTATCCTTGAAAATTGCGTTAACAAACCTGATATCAGCCTCATGAACATTAATTTCACCTTCATTCATCTTGAGATGTTGTACCTTATTCAGAATGTTAAGCTTCTCATTCACATAAGTAGCCATTTCCTTACGTTGATGTAAATCCATTGAGAATTTAGAAAATTTTCCTTTTAAACCAGTAAAAGCAACCTTTTCATGTTCAGACTTAGACGTGAATGAGTGCATATACATATGTGAAACTGTTAATGGCTCAAGTACTAGTTGATATTTTAAAGTAATTAAGTGAGGACCCATCTTCACATGAGAGGGATCATACACTTTCGTCTTAAATATATCTCCCAGTCTAACCGGCAAAGAAGTATGATTCTTTAACGTGTTCCACCAACTGAAAAAATAATGGAAAGTTAATGGAGTTAAATAAATAGCATTGTGAGAATTTCCAAGCGCAGATTTTGATTTCACAGAAATTGCCACATGAATGTAATCTGACCTATAATCGGTATAAGAGTCTGGATGGTTTTCAAACTTTGGATTTGTAACAATAACATCGTAATGGGGCTTGAACTCTGAGATTCTCTCCATATCATCACTTAAAGTAGTTGAACCCAGTTTATTTCTTTCCAACATAATTCCAAGAGTCCATTGAACTTTTTCGGCTGACGAAAGCTTCATTACACGTTTATTGAATTTCTTTGACTCCGAATCAATATCAGGAACATATTCTTCCATCTCATCATAAAATAAACTCCAGGTCTTCCGCTCTTGAACAGAATAATTTGGAATAGCAAGAACAAAATCGTCACTTTCCAATACAATGAGTTCTTTCATGTTCTCTGTGTCATTTATCTTTAATTTAACATTATTCTTCCAACTAAATACAAACCCTGCATTCTTTCCTACCAACTCATACGGATTGGCAGAACTTTTAATGTGAAGACAAAATTCGTTTGAGATATTAAAATTAATCTTACCATGTAACACCAAAGCAATCTTATCCCACCAACCCAATGGACTGTCATCAATAGTAGGTTTGGTGAAGTTATCAAACGCCAGTGAAGCTGCCAGCAAAGCTGCTCCATAAGATTTACTCCAAGATACCATACAGGCTCTGTCGGTGTTCAAGTCACACTTGAAGTCGATCATAAATTTAACAGGAGTCAAAGTTCTAGGTATGAATACTGAGTAAAAGCTATCAGTAAAGGAATCTGATGTAGCAGCTGGCGAGAATGGCACGAATATAAATCTCATTTCTTCTTTTGTGTAGACCAACTTTTCGTTAATGATCAAATCACCGTACATGTTAACAGTGGGTTTGGATAAATCGTGATTTTCAGGGAATGACACAAGTGGTAATGGATAATCTTTTAGGAATACGTACAAAGACCTACTTTTGATACAGTATGTAATTGGTACAAGGATGGAGTAAACAAGTTTTGGTTGTTTCTTACCATAATCATACAAGAATTGATCAATATCAGTAATACTACAATTGTGTACCAAAAAATCAAGGTCCCTGAATACAGCTCCAAGTAAATATGGGCCATCAACACGATCCAATATGTCAAACTTTTCAGTTATCACTGGACTTATAGCATCTTCACCCCAAGCACGTAAACATCTCTTTCTCCAACTTTGAAGTTTAACTGCACGGAAAATCTTAAATTTTGATACCCAAGTAGAACCTATACTTCTGTCAAGATTCTCTTTTGCTCTTCTGATCTTTTCCTCCACTTCTTCGTAACTAGCCAATGGCTTTGCCGTATTCTTAAAACTATTATCTGACTCATGAGTCTGTTTCCCATTTAGATTACCATCGCTTTCAGAAAAAAATTGACGCAAAGGACTAGTATACTTAGGAGCGGAATTATGAGGAGTACCCTTCTTAAATGGTGGTTGCGCATTTGTAAGTTTGATCTTTTCTTCTATACTCGTATCAGCTGTAGCTCTCAATTCTGCTGCTCTCTTCTCGAATTCCTTGAACTTCTTTAAACGTTCACGTTGTTCGATAACTCCCAATTCATAAATGTAAGATAATTCATTTTCGAATACATCATTTTCGATAGTGAGACCAAACATTTTTGTTTTAATATTGACCCTTGGAAAATGTGGTGCTGTTCTGACATCTGGTTGGAGTCGATCAAAATCGTTAATTCCAATACTTAGGTTTTTAAAATTGTGATTAAGCTGATTAATTGCTTTGAATAAAGTCATAAAATTGTCTATAACAGTGTAGAATAAGAATTGATGAGGAATATTCAACCTGACAATAGCTGGCACTATAGTGATTTCTGAATTACCTATAGATTCTTTCTTTTGATACGTAATCAATGGTTCTTTGATAACCAATAATCTCGCCCACAACTTTGTAGAAGGATGTACTACATATAATCGGGCATATTTAAGAGCAGCACTTTGAGTATTCAAAACATTTTTTACTGCCAAGCTGTCGAGTTCAATCATTATGTCAACGTTATTTGGCAACCTTATCACCGTTGAAAAGGAATTAATTGATATATCCAATTTCAACTTGATCTGTCCTGTGAGTCGATGCATCTCTTCTTTGGAGCAATTTCTTTCTACCGTTGGAGCAAAATAGTTAACCAATGTCTTTGCATAAATAGTACACCATAAAAAGAATGTGTCCATTCTACCATCAATCTCTGGAATAGTAAGTAGAAGTTTATTGACATCTCTAGTTTCCAAGGTCGAACGATTTCCAAGCGATATTTCCTTTATATTTAAAACTTTTTTGACTTTCTTTGAAGTATTATCACCTTCTTCGTCATCTTCTTCATTGTGATCCATAGATAAAGCAGAATTTAACGATGACATATCTGTGAATTCTGATTCTGAACCTTGGAATTCTACATGATCAAAATCTTCGATATATTCAGTGGAATATTCACTAGCAGTAAACATTTGAAAACTCTTTATGGAAAGATCTATGTCCTCTTTTTGTTTCTTATATTTGAATACGATATCATTGAGTCTTAAACTAACACCTCTTTTAAAGTCACCTAAGTCGACATCTCTTCCTAGTTTTTCATCAAAAATCTTATATGAAGGTAAACCATCCTGACAAACTATATCAGCTTGAATATTAGTAATACTGACTTTGAAAGATGATAAGAATTTAGGAGCTATTTCAAATAACTGAATATACACTTGAGAAGCTTCTGATGAATCAGCTATAGGACAAACAACCGGCTGATGACCAGTCAAATAAGTATATCTTTTGTTGGCGTGTATAATTGAACGATTTCTAAATTCTTTAACTAAATGAAATAAAACTTCATTGACCGACTTAATCTTAAAGTCTTTACTCGACACTTTTAATGATAAGTTTGATTCGCAAATATTATAAATGGCAAGGACATTCACTTTAGATAATTGTATAGAATTTCCTGCTGCTTCAGCCTTAAGATTTTTTATTCTAAATAAACCATTAAGACTGAATCTCTTTGTCCTCTTCTTATTTGTCATTAAAATGTTGAAATTCTTGGTGTAGAATCTATGAAAGAAAGACATTAATGAATATGTAACAATGATATTTCCCTTATTGTTTCTATTATATACTGATAATGAGTCCTTTGGATTAGGAACGTGTACAAGTACTTTCATATCAACCACAACCACACGTAAGGATACTTCTTTTAATTTATATAACAAAGACAGAAATTTGAACGGAGAGTTTGATTCTTGACTCGGTTTCAGTTTCTGTCTCTTGAAAAACTGTTGATCACAATATGTAAAGAAAATATCCAGTTGATCATAATAGACATCAACAGTAGGACTTGTGATCATTATTGAAGTGTCAGAATTGATAAAATTATTGTCACTGTTAATACTACTATTGTTGATTAAAGAATCAGTAACTTTCAAGAGATCAATTGGATTGGAAAAAGTGGTAAATGTAGCAGAAGGTAATTCGAAACATTTTGATTCTCTGTGATAAACTTTACATGAAGTGATATAGAAATGTAATTTTAAAATATTTTCTGGTGGGAGAGGGGTTGAATATGGTGTACTGCTTGAATTATACTTCAATTCATTGGAGAGTACAATAACAAAATTAGAAACATTAGCTCCGACTTCTCCATATGATAATGCTAATTCCTCAAGTTTAAATTCGAATTGTGAGAAGATACTAAGACCATCTTGTACTTCGTCCAAGTACCTAGCAATATTAATAGCTGACTTGGGTTTAGATTCATGAGTTTCACTTCTATTGATAGTTAATTTATCCAACGGTATAGATAATCTTCCAATTGATAAAGATAACTTAAAGTTACGTGGATCACAATATATGTTATTGTAATCATCTCTGGGACATGATAAAGCAGTATCAAAAGTGATGATGAACTCCACATTTCTAAACAACTTGGTTTGTACTTCTCCAGTAGAGATTTTATTCTCGGAATGATGTAAATAACTATGCAATAAAGATATAACAATCTTTGCTGTACCATCTAGATGTACAAATGCTTCAATTCTGGAATAATCTATGAAGATTGATAGTTTCTCATCGATTGATTCATCATAGAGGGATAATCTGAATAAATGAATATTAATTTGATTGATGATTCTGTAGTGTAAAAGGAAGTCATATATTCTCTTTGGAATTCTAATATTCAACGTATCCCGAATTGATCCAATTGATCTTGTGGGTTTTATAGTTAAGTCTTCTTCTTCCTCTTCTAATGTATTCTTGTCTTTCTCTTTCTTAAATGATTTGACATCAATATCCATAATTTCCACATTGATAAGCTTTAGACCAGACTCCTTTCCTCTGAACCAGTTCAATCTTAATCGTATCTTACCAATGTAAACAGTAGTTGAATCCAACTGAATGGTGATATGTTTAATCGAAAGCCATCCTATAGTCTTTACTGTAACATGTGGAATTCGATTCAATAAAAAGATGGAACCAATATAGAGTATAACGGCTGATCCAAGCCACAAGTAAAGTGAATTGATCATGTTATGCCAAAGAGTTGTATCCAGTTCTCTCCGTATTCATACAATTGATACCACTCTAATTTAGACTTTTACCATACAATTTGACATGACTGTCAGTGTAAGTTAAGTTTTGATACCTGATAGTTTAAAAAAATTACGAAACTGGATCTGCATAGAAGAAGACAGGAAAAAAAGCCCGCATTATCCGCTCAACTCTATTCCATCACTTTAGATTTGATAGTCATTGATTTACGGACTATTCTAATTGATAAGTCTAAATACTAAGAATAAAATTGTTACCTGAAAATATGGTTTTAGTTAAGTTAAGTTAAGTTAAGTTGATTAATTATTTAATCCAAGCCAGAGATAAGATTTATAAAAAATATCAATTTCCTCAGCCTGGTACACAAAGGACTTGGCTTTGTTAATTTGAACCGATGCGGCTTAAATGTGTTAAAATAAACCCCATTGCCTTCTATTTGGAGGTAATTGGTTAACGGTTAGAGTTTAAGAATTCACGGTTCATGTTCATTTTTATTTTGGTATAATTACCAATTCAGGTGCCTCATGTGTAATTGGAATCTAATTGATTTGCCTCGAATCGTCTCACTTTTATTCATAGGACAAATAAAAGTACAATGACGAAACACTAATCCCATCGATGTAAATGTACAAAGCCAGACTTTTAGTATGAATGATCTATTTTTAACCAATTTCAAAACATAGCCATGGGCGAGGACTCATATAGAGGTTTAAAATAGGAAACTTAATTACAAAATGTAAATCTGGTTCCTGTATATATCGATATACGCATACAATTTAATTACTTTACTAAGTAATGCCAAGAGTGGAGTTAAAAATTTCAAAACCATAAATAACAAGGGTACAAAAGTTTTGTCGTGGTAGTTATACTAATTATCTCATGTTCCAATAATTCCATGTGGTATATGAATAGAGGGGTCCTCAATCAGTTGTAAGTATACTTCAAGTTGAAAGTAAGATTTGACCGTCTTATTGATTCTATAGTTTGCCATTGAATCAATAAGAGTACAAGTAACATGAATGTAACGTCAATAAATCGTAAACTAGATACACGAACTCCACTTCCATACGATTTTTTCATACAATCAATTGCAAATACTAGAACAATAAAGCTTTTGGAAAGGGTTTTTAGATAGGTACTAGTAGTTCAAATTTTATTTTGATAGAAATTACCGCATTGGGAAGTTGGAGCATCTTCCAATTGTAGCCACAGAATTGATCCTGGACACGCCCTTTTACAACATTTCCAATTTAGGAAATTTACATTTGCAGTCTTTTGTTTAACCTATTTCTTTATATATACAAATTTAGCTTGATTAGGAAGTAACACTTAATACAAATTTTCTTTATATAGATTTTCCTAAAGTGGATTGGTATAATAATTCAGTTGAATTATATAAATATCCCAATTAGAGCTAGGTTTTAAAATTATTTTAATAATCTTTTTAGTTTACCTGTCAATTCTTCTTTACCCCAGTATACATTCGTCTATAAATAATGAAGTTATCAATCACAACAGCAACAGCAATTCTTGCTACACTTGTTGCCATTAATGCAGCCCCAGCTTATGAAGGCAAAACCACATCATCCAAAGGTTTAACCAAAAGAGATATTGATATTGTTAATAATGCTGTTGCTAATATCAATGAATATAAAATTAAGAGAAGTTCTTATTCAGAAGAAGAGTTAGCTAAAAGAGAATCATCAATTGTTACTGATGTTTTAACTGCTATTGCTGATACTGATTTAGCACCAGGTATTCTTGAATATATTATTAATGATCCAAGTTTATCCAGTACCGCAAGTACTGTTATTGTGGATGTTATTAAGAGTGGTGTTATTAGTCTTGATACTTTATTCACTGCTTTAAATAATTCTGGTTTAGCTGTTCAAGTTATTCAAGATTTAATCAGTGACTGTCAATTTTATGCTGAAATTTATAATTTGGCCCTTCAATATATTGGTAACTTAGTTAGTGACATTACTAGTATTCTTTCCAAGAGAACTATTTATGATCCAACTCCAACCATTGAAAACGTAAAGAGAGCCACTGCTTCTTCTTCTCCACTTACTGCTGCTGAACTTGCTACTATAACTTCTTTAATGGAATCCTTAAAGGACTCTGGTTTAGCTTCCCAAGTTGTTGAAGCTTTAGTCACTGATAACAACTTTTACACTTGGGGTGCTAATTTAATTGAACAATTGTTCAGTTCAGGTGCTATTAGTTTATCAGAAGTTGTTGAAGCAATTGCTCAATCTGGTTTAATTCCATCATTGTTCGAAGCTTTCTTCAATGTTGCCACGTTGAAAACCGTTGTTGTTAATGCTTTAGCTGCTGCATTAGGTAAGTGTGGAACTCCATCAGGAACTGCTACTACTGTTGCAACTCAAAGTGCCGGTGTTTCTTGTAAGAGAAAGAGAAAGAGAAGATCTTATTAAACTCATTGTTTGATAAAAAACTTGCAGTTTTACCATTCATTCAAAAATTAAAATTCTACGATTAAATCTTTCAAAAATTTGTTACCCCGATGTTTTTTCCTTCTTTTCTTTTATTTATTTTTGGCCGTTAATTTAAAATACATGCCACCACTACAATGATCACGCTACAACTCCATTATATTTCATTCAAAAGCGGACATTTCATTAATTTAAGTTCATTCAAAGCTAAACTGATTATAGCCTTACTTACACACCATACATAATAATGCATTCCTTTCTGCTGGTCAGGGTATAGTTATGGCATAATTTTTATGTAGTCTTGATGACTGATATTTGTTAATGGAAAAAAGTCCCTTCGTCACAGTTTATTAATTCAAGTTTATATTTTTTCGTCAGTTATAACTATGCTACAGTTATAATTGAAGGAGTAAAATGTAGCGTTTATGTTTATTAGATAGTGTGTGTTTAGATTTTATACTTTTATTAAATTATATTTTATGTTCTATCTGAAACTGATTATTTTGGGAGCGCCTAACATTTTGGTGATTCACCAAAAAGTGTACTGCACACAAGAATTTTTTTTAAACAAGTGTAAACAAAGCGCGTTATATGTTTCAATGTTTTGATATTTGATATATTGAAAAACTGGTAATTAGCTGAATCGTAGCAAGATAATATAATAAAGGATGCCTGGGTATGTATATTGATCATTCGGATGGCATTATTGATAGAAACTAATACTAACTGTGTCCCTTTCTAGTGAAACTATAACACTTCAGGCAGGACAATGTGGGAACCAAGTTGGATTACAATATTGGAATCAATTATCACTGGAACATGGTATTCAATCTGATGGAACACCATTATCATATCCTCAAGATGATTCATTACGATTTCAACAGCAAGGTGCGGAAGAATCACCTACTTTCAATCAAAATCGAGGTGATAGACCTGAACTTTTTTTCACCGTATCAGATTCAAATAAATATACCCCAAGATCAATATTAATTGATATGGAGCCATCAGTTATAAGTAAATGTACTAATCAATTATCTATGTTCAATCCCAGGAATGTTCATTTGAGTGATAATGGAAGTGGGGCTGCTAACAATTGGCAGAATGGTCATTCATATGGAGTGGAACATCAAGAAGATTTGTTAAATTTGATAGATCGAGAAATGGATAAATGTGATAATTTATCAAATTTCCAATTAATTCATAGTGTGGCCGGTGGAACAGGTTCAGGAGTTGGATCATTATTACTTGAATTATTGAATGATAGATTTGGAAATAAAAAATTAATCAATACCTTTCTGATTTTTCCATCTAATGAAAAAACTAGTGATGTGGTGGTTCAACCATATAATACAGTATTAACTTTAAAAAGATTGATTGATTTCAGTGATTCTACATTTATGTTTCATAATGATGCTGTGAATAGTATAGAGAATTTATTACTTCGTAATTCAACTTCTCAAAGTGATGAAATATTTGAAAGTACCAATAAACTTATATCATATGTCCTGAGTACCATATCGAATCCATTAAGATTTCCCGGATATATGTATAGTTCTACTGAAAGTATTTTATCGACATTGATACCTACCCCTAATTTGAAGTTTTTAACTACCTCCATAGCTCCATTCAATAACTCATTAACTGAATATGATATGATATTGGAATTATTAAATGATAAATATAAGATGAACCGAGTTGGATCACAAACAAGCTATATTAGTGTGTTGAATTATTTGGTAGGAACCAATTTAGATCAACAAGAAATACGGAAGGGGATAATTAAATCACAACAAAGAGTTGAATTTGTACCATGGACATCAAATTCTATACAAGTAGTTCATGGTAAGAAATCTCCATTTTTAAAATCAGCTTCTAAATTAGGAGGTATACAAATCTCAAATAATACATCTATCATACCAGTTTTCAGTAAGATCCTTAAACAATATGATTTATTAGCTAAAAGAGAAGCATATATTAACTCCTATACTGAATCCAATGATAGACAAGAAAGGTTAAGAGTGATGGATTTATTTAACGAATGTCGAGAAAGCATTGCTAATGTCATAGATGAGTATAAGTCGTGTCAACTTGATAATTACTTAGATGATGAGATCTTATTAGAAGATGAAGTTATGTAATTGTATTTATAGTATTAAAAGAATGTATTAATATAATGGAACGCGTTCCTGAATTAGGAAAGTGCCGCTTTATCCCTTTTGGGACAGATTGTAATTCCGCACTTTTTCGTTATCTGTTTAAAAAATTAAGAAACTGCACCACCACCACAATATAGCAACCACAGTTAATTTGGGGTATACAGAGTTTGAGGTTTCGGTTTACGTTTAGGTTTAGGTTTCGGTTTCGGATATAATTATAATGAGCAATGATAGCCTGAAGAAGTGTTAGATGACTAATGTAACGGTTGTGAAAATCTACATCTACAGCCACAGACACTTCTTAATTTCATTATAGTTAGTATCAATTATTGTAGATAAGGCAGACTGAGTTTGTATTCCGTTAATGGAGAATGAAATGCAACCTAGTAAGTAATAATACTTCCCAACAAGGAAAGTAAGTAACAATGAGGTTGAGCCGACTTTGACCTTTTTACAACTTTAAAAAGAGAAAATTGTGTAATAGATAAGGTGCGGCTCCCTCCCCCTTCTAAATAAGAATGCCTCGAAATTTAATTTTTCAATTAGTAAGATTTATATCAATGAAGGAGGGATATGAATTTTTTGATCTTGATATATAAATTGGGGTTTATTTCCTTTATTTATATATATATAAATAATTTTTACAACTGTTATCTTCTTTAACTTTAAAATCATATTCGTATATATACTTAACCATGTCTGAAATAACTAATTTAATTTCTAAGCGTGCAGCTGCTAGAACTACTTCCCATTTTACTACTGGTCCAACTGACGGAGCTCCAGTTGGTTTCAAAGCTCATCCAAACCCATTACCTTTACATTGGGGGATGCCAAATAATGGTTTCTTCCCTATAGATTCCATTGATCTTAATTTGGTTGATTATCCATTTCAAAAATCGCTCCAATTAACTAATAATTCATTAGAGAATTTATCATTAACGGGATCAAGTAATGGAGGTCAAAGCGTTACCCCTCCTTTACAACCAACTAAAAATCTTAAAACAATTAGAATTGAAAGACATACCACTGATCCTGATTTAATTGATATTGCAACTGGTTTGCAATATGCTAATGTTGAAGGTTTGAAACCTTTATTGAATTTCACCAGAGATTTCATTAATAGAACTCATAAACCAGGTTATGACGATTGGGAAACTATCATTACTAATGGGGCTGGTGATGGTTTAAATAAAGCTGCTGATGCTTTATTGGATCCTGAAGATGTGATCTTAATTGAAGAATTCACATTCACTCCATTTTTACAAAATGTTAAAAATGCGGGTGGGATCCCAGTTCCAGTTAAATTAACTATTAAAAGTGGAAGTCAAGGTCTTGATTTAGAATATTTAACTGATTTATTAGAAAATTGGTCAACTATTCATCCTGATAAAAAGAAACCAAAAGCTTTATATACCATTGCTACTGGTCAAAATCCAACTGGTTTAACTCAAACGGTTGAATTTAGAAAGAAAGTTTATGAATTGGCTGATAAGTATGATTTTGCCATTATTGAAGATGATCCTTATGGTTATTTAGCCTTACCACCATATCAAACCCCTTCTTCAACCATTAAATTGGATACCTTCTTAACCGTTGATGAATATTTGAAAGATCATTTAGTTCCATCTTATTTAGAAATTGATACTAAAGGTAGAGTGATTAGAATTGAAACTTTTTCGAAATTATTTGCTCCTGGTTTAAGACTTGGATTCATTGTGGCTCATAAAGAAGTCATCAAAGCAGTAAGTAACTATTCTGCCATTGTTACTAGAACTTCAAGTGGTACATCACAATTAATCGTTAATAATGTTATTCAACAAAAGTTTGGTGGGGTTGATGGTTGGTTACAATGGATCTTAAAAATGAGAATCACTTATGCTCATAGAAGAGATGTATTATTAAATTCAATCTACAAATCAGAAGCTTATAAGAAAAAGTTTATTGAAGTGATTGATCCAAAAGCAGGTATGTTTGTGGCACTTATTGTCAATTTCCCTGAAGGAACTGATTTCCTTGCCAAATTGAAACTCTTAGTATGGAAGTTTGCTGAATATGGGGTAGGGGTAGTTCCAGGTATTAATATGGCTGTTGATAAGAAATTCAGTGCAGAACATGCTAACTTCTTTAGATTAACTTACGCTCCAGCTAATTCTGATGATGAGTTAATTGAAGGAGGTAAAAGATTAACTGATGCCATTAATGATTTCTTTGAAAAGGGTTTAGAGTTTTAAGTCAACAACTAGAAAGATATTCACGTAAAAAGTATGTAAAACCATTTGTTAATTTAGATTCTTATAATATAAAAAACCAATTATATTTGCAGTTAATATGTTCTTAGTTCGTAAATTACTGTTACACGAAATGGCCTAAAATGGAAATCAGACACAGACAGAAAAAAAAGATTAAACTCAAAAAAAAAAAAGAGATCAGAAATTGTATAGCCAAACTATATTTAAGGGGGGTTACAACCATTATTCTATCATTCCATCAATCAATCCATCAATCAATCATTGAAAGTAGAGTAGAAGTGTTAAGATGGCGTTCAATTTCTCAAACTTCACCAAGGATCTTAGATCATTAGCCGATAAGGTATCAACTGAGTTTAATAATGAAGTGGTACCATTAGCTCAAAGAACTACTAGAAGAGTTCAAGAAAGAATTGGTAAGGTTAATGTCGATGATATAAGTCAATTACCATCAGAATATTTGGAATTAGCTGCTAAATGCAATCAAATCGAAGCTTTATACAAGAATGTATTAAAGATTACTTCTAATTATGAAAATGAAAGTTATGATTATCCTCTTAATGTTCAAGAATCATTTAATGATTTTAGTAAGAATATTACTACCAGAGTTTCTAGTTTATCAAAGGCAACTACTCCAGCTGAAGCTCAAGCTGCTTTAATTAATCCAACTACTGGTGAATTCAAACCTCCAAAAACTTTGTATCACGCATTAGCTAGAGCTACTGATGCATCAGTATTAACTAATAATCCTGCTTCAACTGATCCATTAGTTAAAGGACTTGATTTATATTCATCTAATTTAAATAAAATCGCCAATGCAAGATTAGGTCAAGATCAACTTATTAAATCAAAATTTAATAAACCATTAACTACTACTTTAAGACTGTTGATTGGTCAAAGTAATAATATTCAAAATAAAGTTCAACAAAAGAGACTTGATTATGATTTAGCAAGATCAAATGTGGCTCAATGTACTAATCCAGCTAAAGAACCTCAATTAAGAGTGGTTATGGAAAATGCTGAAGATGATTTTGCTAATACTGTTGAAGATGCTATGAATATTTTACAAAATGTTTTAGAAAATGCTAAACCATTAGATGAATTCTTAGAATTAATAAAGGCTCAATTGGCTTATCATAAATTAGCTAATGAAATATTAAGTAATTTAGTTGGTAAATTTGAATCTTTAATTGATGAAAAGAATGATGATACCACAATTAGTGAAAATATTACTGGTAGAGAATCTGGAGATTTCGATATTTAAATAAAGTAGTGTATTATGTATACCTGTTAGTTTATATTCTTATTATTATTACATGATAAATAATTGTCTATGTACAAAATGTCTTTCTTTTTTGTTTTATGTAAATCTGAGTGCTTCTAATCTTAAATCAACTGCACTTGGAATTGGTTCATATAATCCTTCTAATAATTTAGCATGAATAGAACGTAATGCTCTAATAGTATCGTTATCATTGATAACGGCTGATATATTAATTTCATTGGCCCCTTGACTGATCATTTCAATATTAATTCTTTCATCAGCTAATACTTTAAACATATTCCCGGCAATACCAATGAAATTCACCATTTGTTTTCCAACTAAGGAAATAATAGTCATATGTCTTGTGATATCTACTGACCCCATTTTTCTTAATTCTTTCACAGCAGATTTCAAAGCTGGTTCTTGATCACTTTGGATTTGTAAAGCCATTGAAACGTGAACTTCTGAAGTTGAGATTAAATCAACTACTAATTTGAATAAATCAAGGGTTTTGAAAATATGGGCTAAAAAGCCATGACTTAATGTTTTCTTATTAGAATGAATGTTAACCACTACAATGTCTTGTTTGGCAGTAATAGCGGTTGCTGATCTCTTTTTATGAGTAGAGATATAGTTTGGTGATAATGTTTCATATGCAGCTGGTGGATGTGGTGGAGTTTCTTCACCTCTTCTAGCAATATTATCAGGATAAATAATAGTACCTTTACCTTGAGGATTTTCAACATTTTTAATTCTGATGGGGATTCTTGCTTTTATAACTTGTTCCATTGTGAATGGATGAATAACTTCAGAACCATAATAAGTTAATTCTGCTGCTTCTTCCGGAGTAACACTATCTAATAATCTAGCATTAGGAACTTTTCTTGGATCAGCTGTGAAAATACCATCAACTTCTTTCCAAACTTGTAATTCATCAGCTTGAACTCCAACTGCAACCAAAGCCGCACATAAATCAGTATAACCTCTACCAACTCCATTTAAAAGTCCACCAGGGACCACACCGAAATAACCAGTTAAAACAGGTACCACATCTGGTTCTAAATCTAATATTAAAGAACCAAAATGTTGAGATAAGAATTTATAAAAATTATCATCGAACCCTTGATTGAAATCATAAGTTAACGGTATAATTTCAGATAAATCGATATATTTAGATTTTAAACCATGATCAACCATTAATGCAGATATGAATAAACATGATAACTTTTCTCCAATAGACATGATTGAATCTAAGGATCTTGGACTTATTTCTCCAATGACTTGACATGCATGTAATAATTCACGGGCATGGAATAATTCCTGTTTAGTATCTTCTATTAATTTTTGTAATACTTCAGGTTTATGAACAATGAATTCTTTGGCATTGTTGACGTGATCTTCTTCAATGACATCCAATAAGTTTTGGAAATCTTTATTTTCATTAGCTAAATCGGCTGCTCTTAATAATCTTGAAGTGGTACCTTCACTTTTGGTTTGAGAAGAACGGGCAGAACAAACCACGGCAACTCTATTATTGGCAGAAAAGGCTTTAATGATATCATCAACTATATTAGTAGGAAACTTCCCAACTGATGTACCACCGAATTTTTGAACTATCCAACCACCTTTAGCTGAAGTAGATTTAAAATCCAATACGGAATTATACGATCGAGCTGATAATGCTGGAGACACTGACATGATATGCGATAATTAAGATGAAGATGACGATGATGACTAACTATGGTACGAGTAAATCAAATGATATGACTTTGTAATGTGATATTTCACGCTTTAAGTTAAAAGAATGTGTCTACTTATATGTAGATCTGAATCTGGTGATAATTGAATCGTGTTTAGATTATAGTGACCGATATGAGTCAAAATTTTTCAATGGGGGTACACAGGAGACTTTTGATAGCGGTATCGCTTGCACGTGATATGAGTCAATGAAAAAAAAAAACTGTTTGGGGTGCAGGTAACAGGTGTTATTTGCGGTATGGGTCTTCTACTCATTACATCATAATTCAATTATGGTACTATTTAATTATTTTACAATGTCATGATGTCTATTATATGTATTGCGTGTTATATCTATATGATCTTTAACTACCAGCAACCCCATTTAATGCCATATCGTAAATAGCGTAAATATTTAATGCAGAAATGAAAAACCAAATAACGACCGCAATGGAAGTAGTTATCCAATTGTTTGTCATAAATTTATACTTTCTAGAATCATTTGATTCAGTGTCGACTTCTTGAACCGTACCATCTTGTTCTTCTTCATCTTCCTCTTCTACTAACGTTTGCATTTCTTCTGGTAACTCAATCTTCATGATTGATTTCTTACATGTGAAATAAATCAATGGTGCAGTTAATGGTGGTAATAATAATGAAATAATAACTTGTGAAATGTTTAAAGCTGTATTTAACCCATTTCTACCAATAGATACAGAAATGGCTAAACATGGAAGAATTGAAATACCTCTAGTAATCAATCTTCTCAACCATGGTTTAACTGTCCAATTAATATGACCTTCACTAACAATTTGACCTGCAATTGTACAAACAATACCAGCACTTTGACCACTAAATAAAAGTGCCAACATGAAAATTGTACCAACAACAGGAGCTAAATTCTTAGATAATAAATAATGAATGGTATATAAATCAGCATCAAGTGCTTCTGGTGTACCATATAATGAAGAACCTGCCACAATAAGAATAGCCAGATTTACAAATAAAGCAAGAGTCAATAAAGTAACAGCTAATTCAATAATTGAATACTTATATGAGTAGTTGATTGCTTGATATGAAGGCTTGTAAGAATTATAAAAATAATCAGCTTCTTTATCTTTCATTTTAGCAGCATCCTTTTCATCTATTCCTTCACAAATATCAGCTAATTTAATATGACCATGTTGGACATCATATTCTCTTAATCTTGGTTGAACTAAACCAGAACCCAAAAATAATGAATGAATCATAACTGTAGAACCAATAAGAGAAGTAGCAATGGTCATACCACTACCAGCAAACATTTCTTTGGATGGAACAAACCCTCTAAAGACTTCACCTGCATCAGCATGAATTTGAGAAAGTTCAATAGCAAAACAAATAACAACAGCCATCACTAATAAACCAACAGCATACTCAAAGCATTTAACAAACTTAGTTGATGAAGTATCATTTCTATATGCTAAAAGGACAAAAATAACATCCACGATTGTAATACAAACACCAGCTGGTAATGGAATACGTAATAAAATATTAAGAGCAATAGCTGAACCAATAACTTCTGCAACATCAGTAGCAATAATAGCGCATTCTGCTAGGATCCATAAGATGATATTCAACCATCTTGGGAAATATTCACGACAACATCTTGCTAAATCATAACCTGTAACTGACCCTAATTTAATACATAAGGCTTGTAAGAAAATAGCAATTATACTTGAAAGAAACACAATAAATAAAAGGGCATATTTGTTACCTGCACCAGCAGTAATACCAGTGGCATAGTTACCAGGATCCATATAAGCAACTGAAATTAATAAACCTGGTCCTATGAATGTACCATACTTCCTTAATGAAGTTACAATTTTCCCCATACGTGTTTGATGATACACTTCTGGTTCAGCTGAGACTTTAACATCATGAGTTTTAGAACTCATATCTCCCATGGGGAAGGCTTCTGAGCCAGTGACAAACGCTGTAGATGAACCTTCTACCATTTTCCTATACCATTTATTAAAAAGCTATTGGATCTCTTCTGAATATACCTGAAAAGTAATGGGGTAATTGTACCTTTAAATAGAATTTTTTTTTTAAGGTTCCCGATTTCCTCCTAACATTTCCTTTTAACCTAAAAGACCAAGAAAAAAAATGCACCATAGTAGTTATGAGTTACAATTGGGCTATATAATTACTTGGAAACAATAAGACGACTTGATCTGCTGTTAGATTCAACCCACCGTAATAGAAGAAGAGAAGTAATAGGCTATAGCAGGGATGGTTACTTTCAACAATAAGATCTTTAGAGGAAAGAAAGAACAAGAAGCGTATGATAGAACTTTCGCCGGGAAGTATCAAAAGTTGATGAAAAAAAAATCATTTTTTGTATTTTGGATTACCATTCTTATTATCAATCGTTGCTGGATCAATATACTTGCAGAAGTTCACTGCGGTCAAGTGGGAGAAATATGATGAAAAATATAGACAATTGGGTGAAGAAGAAATGCTATCTTTGATAGAGAATAAAAGACCAGTTGATAAAAAGAATGATTATTATAGACTTCAAGGTTTATTGAATGATCATGTCAGTAAAGAAGTAAGTTCAAATAATGATTATGAAATAGTCAGAGTGAAAAGAAAGAAGGAAGATGAGCCGGTTTGGTAATACAATCTACCCAGTTTTATGAATGAAAAGTTGCATTTTATGTTATGTCTTTACTTGTAAATAGTTTTTTATTATTCCATCCTATATTGGTTGAAATAATTGGTCAACAATCGATAATCGAATTTGACGTTTTCTTATTGGACTAATCGATGTATTTAGTCTACATATAACGAAATTAATGATAATAAATAATACATTAAATGTATAATAAAATATAAAAGTACCTTTTTTGTAAGGTTATATACAGAAACTGAAAGGTATAATTAATCGAAGAAATGAAAAAGTGAAATCCTTTTTAATTGGCGAAATTTAAAAATTAAAGGAGAATTGAAGATTGAAAAAGATACAGCAATGAATTATGAATGAAACAGAAATTATAGTAGAATCACATGAACATCATGGAGACTAATGAAGAAATCAAAGCGATCATAATAGAAGCCTTGCTTGTGTTTGAAGCAGAACCTTCGGCAACAGTAGCTGGTCCGGTAGGAGCAGCTTCTGAAGTAGATTCAGCAGCAACAACTGAGGTGGCTGATTCACCAGAAGCGGCAGCTTCTCCGGTAGATTCAGCGGCAATGACTGAGGTAGTAGTCAATAAGCCTTCAGATCCACTTTCAACAATAACAGCAGCAGTTTCGGTACTACCACCTTCAGTAATTGTAGTTGTGTAAGCAGATACAATACTACCACCACTGATGATACTGGTAGAACTAACAGTTTCTCCGGCAGCATTAGTAGTAACAACAACAACACCAGTTTCAGTACATGGAACACCAACAGTATCAGTTGTGACAATGGTAGTTGTATAAACAGATCCTTCAGTTTCAGTTGGAACAATAGAAGTACTAGTGTAACTTTCACCTTCAGCATTAGTAGTAACAACAACTACACCAGTTTCAGTACATGGAACACCAACAGTATCAGTTGTAACAATGGTAGTGGTGTAAATAACACCTCCTCCAAGAATAGAAGTACTTGTACATTCTTCACCCATAGAATCAGTAGTAATGATAACAACACCAGTTTCAGTACAAGGAACACCAACAGTATCAGTGGTAACAATAGTGGTGGTGTATTCAGAACAAGAACATTTTTCAATGATTGAAGTGGTAGTATACCAGACACCTTCTGAATTAGTTGAAACAATAACTTCACCAGTTTCAGTGGTAACGACACCGTTTGGTAATGTAGTAGCGAAAGTAGTGGTGTATTCAGTTGGACTTTCAAGAAGAGAGGTAGTAGTGTACCAGCTTCCTTCTGAATTAGTAGAGATGATAACAACACCAGTATCAGTTTCAACACTTCCATTGGATTCAGTAGTTAAGAAGGTGGTGGTGTATTCAGTTGGAGATTCAAGGAGGGAAGTGGTGGTATATAATGAACCTTCAGAATTGGTGGTTACAATAACAACACCAGTATCAGTATCAATACTTCCATTGGATTCGGTAGATAAGAAAGTAGTGGTGTATTCAGTGAATGGGTAAGAAGTAGTACAACCAGAACCATCTCTACGACAAACAGTGACAGGACCAATTAAAGAAGTAGTAGTGTATAATGAACCTTCAGAATTGGTAGAGACAATAACAACACCAGTATCAGTATCAACGCTACCGTTAGATTCAGTTGATAAGAAAGTAGTGGTGTATTCAGTAAATGGATCACTTTCAGTTGGGAACAATGAGGTACTGGTATAGATATTTCCATCAGAATAACCAGTAACAACGACAATACCAGAATCCGTAGCAACAAATCCATCAGATTCAGTAGTAGTGAAAGTAGTGGTGTATGAAGTGAATGGATCGCTTGGAGTTGGAAATAATGAGGTACTGGTGACAATACTTCCATCAGATTCGGAGCTAACAACAACAATACCAGAATCAGTTTCAACAAATCCATCAGATTCAGTAGTAATGAAGGTGGTGGTGTAAGTAGTATCTGGATCGGTGATAATAGATGTAGTAGAATATAAACTACCTTCAGAATTGGTTGTAACAACAACAACACCAGTATCACTAATTGAAGAACCAGCAGAATTAGTAGTACCAAATGTAGTAATGTAACTGGTAAATGGATCACTCTCGGTTGGGAATAAGGATGTACTGGTTTCAGTAGTATCAGATTCAGCACTTACAACAACAACACCGGAATCAGTAGCAACAAATCCATCAGATTCAGTAGTCGTGAAAGTGGTGGTGTAAGTAGTATCTGGGTCGCTGGAGGTTGGGAATAATGAAGTTGAAGTATCAGTTCCTGATGGGCCAGCACTGACAACAACAACACCGGAATCAGTAGCAACAAATCCATCAGATTCAGTAGTCGTGAAAGTGGTGGTGTAAGTAGTATCTGGGTCGCTGGAGGTTGGGAATAATGAAGTTGAAGTATCGGTTCCTGATGGGCCAGCACTGACAACAACAACACCGGAATCAGTAGCAACAAATCCATCAGATTCAGTAGTCGTGAAAGTGGTGGTGTAAGTAGTATCTGGGTCGCTGGAGGTTGGGAATAATGAAGTTGAAGTATCGGTTCCTGATGGGCCAGCACTGACAACAACAACACCGGAATCAGTAGCAACAAATCCATCAGATTCAGTAGTCGTGAAAGTGGTGGTGTAAGTAGTATCTGGGTCGCTGGAGGTTGGGAATAATGAAGTTGAAGTATCGGTTCCTGATGGGCCAGCACTGACAACAACAACACCGGAATCAGTAGCAACAAATCCATCAGATTCAGTAGTCGTGAAAGTGGTGGTGTAAGTAGTATCTGGGTCGCTGGAGGTTGGGAATAATGAAGTTGAAGTATCGGTTCCTGATGGGCCAGCACTGACAACAACAACACCGGAATCAGTAGCAACAAATCCATCAGATTCAGTAGTCGTGAAAGTGGTGGTGTAAGTAGTATCTGGGTCGCTGGAGGTTGGGAATAATGAAGTTGAAGTATCGGTTCCTGATGGGCCAGCACTGACAACAACAACACCGGAATCAGTAGCAACAAATCCATCGGATTCAGTAGTAGTGAAAGTGGTGGTGTAAGTAGTATCTGGGTCGCTGGAGGTTGGGAATAATGAAGTTGAAGTATCGGTTCCTGATGGGCCAGCACTGACAACAACAACACCGGAATCAGTAGCAACAAATCCATTAGATTCAGTAGTCGTGAAAGTGGTGGTGTAAGTAGTATCTGGGTCGCTGGAGGTTGGGAATAATGAAGTTGAAGTATCGGTTCCTGATGGGCCAGCACTGACAACAACAACACCGGAATCAGTAGCAACAAATCCATCAGATTCAGTAGTCGTGAAAGTGGTGGTGTAAGTAGTATCTGGGTCGCTGGAGGTTGGGAATAATGAAGTTGAAGTATCGGTTCCTGATGGGCCAGCACTGACAACAACAACACCGGAATCAGTAGCAACAAATCCATCAGATTCAGTAGTCGTGAAAGTGGTGGTGTAAGTAGTATCTGGGTCGCTGGAGGTTGGGAATAATGAAGTTGAAGTATCGGTTCCTGATGGGCCAGCACTGACAACAACAACACCGGAATCAGTAGCAACAAATCCATCAGATTCAGTAGTCGTGAAAGTGGTGGTGTAAGTAGTATCTGGGTCGCTGGAGGTTGGGAATAATGAAGTTGAAGTATCGGTTCCTGATGGGCCAGCACTGACAACAACAACACCGGAATCAGTAGCAACAAATCCATCGGATTCAGTAGTAGTGAAAGTAGTAGTATAGGTGGTATCTAAGTAACTAGAAGATTCAGCAGATGATGAAGAACTAGAAGATTCAGCAGATGATGAAGAACTTGATGATTCAGCAGATGATGATGAACTTGATGATTCAGCAGATGATGATGAACTTGATGATGATGATGAACTAGAAGATTCAACTGATGAACTGGATGAAGAGCTTTCCGAGCTAGAAGTGGAACTAGCCAAACATGCTGAAGATAAGATTGAAGTGGTGTTGTAGAAATTTCCCAGAGCATCTGAAGTAACAATAACTTCTTCAATGTCAGTACAAACTTGACCATTGTCTGTAGTAGTAATAGTAGTAGTATATTCAGTACCATTTAAACCTGGAATAGGTGGAAGAGAATCACATAAAGCACAACCAGCTGGAACACCTGTTGTTGGTGGTGGTCCAGAATAAGTAACACCATTCAATGGTAAGATAACACCATCTTGAGCAGCATCCCAATCAGTGGTTACTGAAAAATCGTCAGGATTATATCCAGTACCAATATCGAATTCTTGATTTGCGATAGTGGAATAAAGAGTTAAAATACCAGTGGTAGCATCGTATGAGTAAGGTTGTGTGACCACAACACCAGCAATAGTAACTGGTGGATTTAAAGTAGTTGATAAAGCAATCACATTACCACTACCGAAACCAGCAACAGTAATAGTGTTACTTCCAACAAAAGGTGCGGCAATAACACTTGATTGAGAATCAGCTAAATAAATGGTTTGACCATTGAAAGTGGCTAAGGGATCACTCATATAGACGGTGGAGTTAGCTTGGGCAGTGATACAACCAGTACCATCAATACTTGAAGCTTGTTCGTAAAGTTCATTGTATAAACAAATTTGACCATTGTTAGTAATACCATTAAGCAAGTTTGTACCACCTAATATAACTTGACCACCATTGTTTTGGGTTTGGTAAAATACCATTAAACCATTATTAGTGACAGAAGGACTATTGATTGTAAAAACACCAGAACCAATAGCACCGTTGGAACCCATGTAAAAGTCACCGTTATTAACGAAACTAGCAAGGGTGGTAATAATGTAGGTACTTGGAAGAAGTGATTCAACAGAATTGAATGAAACTGTACCATTGTTTAACACGTTACCACCAGTTAAATCAACGTTTAAACCAATTAAGTTAGACACACTACTAACATAGAATCCACCGCCATTGCCAACATTAAGAGATCCAGTAATGGAAGTATCTAAATTGTTAATAACGGATAAATAAACATTTGGGTCTATATCAACGTCACCGATATCAAGATTGAATGTACCGTATTGGACTGTATTTTGAGTGACGGTTTGACCTAAAGCGAATGAAAACTGTAAAACAGCAGCCAATAATAAGCTAACTCCCTTCATCTTTGTTAATACTATTTTCAATAAGTAAATCAACGAAAGTAATTGGAAATTAGAGAATGATTGAAGTAAGGTTTTCAAAATTAAAAATCTTGGCTTTAAATTTGAGATAAACAAGAAGTTCTGATACCTTTATATATGTGTTCTTATGGTCAAGACAATCATATCTCTTGCCCGTTTCTAGAACTCCATTATTGAGTCTTTAATCATTATGCCGCCAATGACGTCTAACTAACTGCCAAAAAAAATGTTGCCAAAAGTAGTCCATGAACTAAAATAATAACTTTTATTTTTTATGCACGAGTTTTATTTTTTAGCTTTTCAAATTCATTTGAAATTCAGATATACGCACTGTTGTTTTTTAATCCCAATATTCATTTAAGACGGGTGCCGCACCACAAAAATGGTAACAGTGTATATTATCTAGGTAAGATATCAAGTACTGATAATCTATAGTTAAAGGATTCTATCTTTGTATCAATAGTGTGACACCTCTGATTTTCTAAATGAGGAGCAAAATAGAATGGTTATGAATGAGAAAATCAATCAAATTACCCACTCTATGATGATATTGAGAAGTGATTGAGTTCTATGATGACATTTGTAATTTACAAAATTCATTCAACGATTTGCACTTTTATCGTTTGTTTTGACCTTACATAATTAGTTAGCTTTAATTTGGTGGCTTTTGATTTCCGGAAGTTGATGTCTTTGGTGAAGGGACTTATACAGTTCTACTTTTATCCATCCCTCAACCTAAAATTCTTTCTATTGATAGTTCATCATCAACAGTTCGCAGATCCTTAACCAGTCATTATGATAATTTCATAGTTTACGTTTGTGTATGTTCCTTTACAATTGTTCTTTGTACCTATATTGACTTGTACTTTCGCACACAAATAGCGTCAATACTATTGATGTTGACAACCTTTGTAAATACTATATTGCTTAAAGTTTTTGACATATTGTTTAAAAAACCATGTTTTTTTAAAAAGATTTGATTGTTGCTTTTAGCTTTTTTTCGTTCTTTTTTTTTTGTCATATTTTTATCACTTTGAATCTCACGTGCAGGAGCATTTTAAGGCAGGTTTTCACATCTTGCATATTAGCGTTATTACCACTTATAGTAATTGGGGCATAGAAGGCAAGGGTTTCTACGCCTATCACAGAATTGAAATGTTCTATGTAGTTCTAGAGGAGGGAATTTGACTATACATAGTGAACGGACATTCCGAGATGTTTTTGAGATATGTTGCAAAGTATAGATTATGACTCGTTTGTATTTCGTCTACGATCTAATAGTCTAAGTAAACAAAATTTTAAAAAATAGCCACAAAGTAGTATTATTTAATATAATGCTATTTTGATAGGTATTTTTAGGTTTGAATTTATTTTTTGAGGTTCCGGCTAATAATTTCTATTTATTTTTTAACTGTTGGTTGGGTTTTCATCATTGGAAATATCATTTCCTAATAAATGATGATACTCCCTGATTTAAGATTTATATGTCTACATTTGGAAATCCTCAAAAAATATAACTATTACTTAACAATTAGATAATACTGAACTAAAAAAATTGCTGCATAATTGGGGGAATCACAAAATTGATCATTAAGAATCTGGCGTTTTGTCGATTTTGGTATTATTTGACCATAAATATTTATTCTCTGTTGCTCTATTATAAGTTTTGATACTTCCGTTGCTATTATAAAAATGGTATAAGCTGATCTTTTGTTGAGATTTATTAACAGAGAAAAACAATCAACATCACCGTAAATTTAAATTTCGTTGCAAATTAATTTCATTGGAGTATACGTATTGATGATGACAAACTTGATCAACACGAATCTTTCCAATTTAGTTGGGGGCTACGAATCTTTCCTTGATAGGTTCATAACTACTCTTGGCTAAAGATAATATAGCCGTAAACGTCGAGACCATCCAAAATCATGTAATGGTTAGAATTTGACCCCTCAATTTATCACATGTGCAAGTAGCTATCCCAATTTTAGGAGAGCTTTTCTCTCTCTCTAATACTTTCAAGTATTAGCTGTACCAAAAAAAATTCCATTTATGACAGACTTTTTAATTTTCGCGCGCAGTTTTTTTCCCTCTACTTTTATATATACGAAAAGATCTGCAGGATTATGACATTTTGTGTAATTCAAATTTTATTTCCAGCCCCAGGGTTTCTACAAAAATATTTCTGCAGCCATTGTATCCTTCCTCCCACCAAGAAAAAAATTATAGTGGGAATACATTGTTCATTATTTCATTTTACGTGAACCCATGCACTGTAAAACTCCATTCATAAGCATCGAAACAAAGGTAAGTATACTGCCAGTATAAAATGATTGATCAATGTATGAGAGGTTGGAAATGCAAGCGTGCTTTCTTTCTTCTTCGCATTGCAGAAATGTTGATTATACTGTAGGCTTTACAAAGTAAGGCGCGCAAAATGCGTTTTTGACTTCTCTGTTAAAGGTTGTAATTCATTTGAAACAGGTAAGTATATTTTTAGTAAGTATTTGAAAACGTTACTTACTGTTTTAGGATAATCTACAGTTTTTTTTTAATATTATTTTATATATTGTAAACGCCGATCGCAATATGCATAAACTAATAAATTGGAGAAAGTTGTAAAGCCATTTCATATCAAAAGAGTTTATGAAAGGAAATTGAAAATAAAATGAAATTTTATGAGCAACTTTGATAATAAAAACCTACTTAATAGTGATCAACTCAGGTACGAAATAAAATAACTTGAAATAATAATAATAAAAAAACGAAATTCAAAATCACACAATATGGACAATGGTATAAAGAATACAACAGTATTGATCACCCAAGAAAAAAAAAACGATGGGAATGAAAGCAATAAAGCAGATGCCGTAGCCTCCTCTAAACCTCAACTCGGAAGGAAAGAAAGAAAGAAAGATGGGCTCATGCCTATATTGGGGAAAGAGGAGTTTCTGCGCATGCTAGTTAAGAACTTATTGTAACTTAATGGGGAAAAATTTCATCTACTTTCAATTCTGTAAGCTGCACGGTCTTTCCTTATTTCTATTGTCTTTAGTGTTTCTTTTAGGGTTATTTTTAGTTTACATTTTGCCTCTGACGTAACAGATTTCCACAACAAGGATTTAAAATATTAAACTTCGAATTAAGATGTAAATATAAATATAGGGAAATATATCACTATAATTGAAGTTGATTGAAAAGATTTGGAATTGATTTTCAGATTTAAGAAAATTTCTTATCCCTTTAGCGTTAGAAACAATAAATTCGTATAATAATGATGATGGTGATCCAAATCTGTACTTGTTTAATTGTTTAATTGTAATGTAGTATATTGTTTTGATTGTTTGATTGTTTATAGTTTAATTAGTCAATAGTTTCTCTATTTCTTGATTACTTGTTTGCGTATTGTTGGGTTGCATCTTAATTGTCAACCTCCACTTTGTTCCTATATTACCAAAACAATAACAACTCTTCATTTTTGACTTCTGATTGGCTTGGTCGTAATTAAATTGCATAATCAGTAACAATAAAAGGATTTAACATCAGGGTATCAAAAAGTTTGTAACCAAACCAGAATTAGAATCAGTGCTCATAATATAATATCATAAAATATAATTGGGAAAAAAAAGCCAAAGTTTAAAACTTTAAAAATGATGGTTAAAATTTTAAAGTTACGAAATTGACATTTGAAGTGCAAAACCGAGTAACTTCTTTTTCTGATCTTTATTTTTATTTTGTAGATTATTAACCAGGAACCAAAATAAAGTAAAATAGACTAATTTTTTATTTTTTTAATAAAATTTGAAATATCGACCGAATGCAAAAACGAATTAAAAAATATATATTAAACAAAGACAAGAAAAAATGATTAACCATAACATGAAATGAATAAATAGAATGAAAGACAAAAATATGACCTTTTTTAAACTAATGTGGATGAAATTCTAGAGTTATTTTCATATTTGAACTTGAGATTTATCGGCTTCAGCTTCAACTTTATGATCAAGTTCAAGTTCAGCTTCGGTAGTAGGTTCAGGTACAGGTACGTTTTCATCATCCACCGTAGTTTCACCAGCCCCTTCTATTGTTTTTTCTTCATCTTCTGTCTTTGGTTTCTTTTCAATTGGAACAGTTTCATTAAAACAAAGTAAAGAGGAAATCAAACTTAAACCACCGAAAATCAAACAGGCAAAAAATACCCATCTTAAACCTTTTGTAACTGAAACTTTAAAAATATTAAATTGATCAGGGGTTAAAGTTCCATTAGCACGATTAGTAAGGAAAGTTTGAAGTCCATCATTTTCATATCCTGGGAAAGATTGGATTTTTTTGGTAGAAATCGATGTATAGATAGCTGTAGCTATAACCCCTGCTAAAGCTGATCCAAGTGATCTTGAAAATGCCATGAATGCAGTAATGATTAAATTATACATTGCTTTATTTTCTTTATTTGATAATTGAGCAGCAATAATACCTGATTGATTATAAAAACCATAGGCGAACCCAATCAAGAAAATAAAACCAATTTTCTCACCACTACTTGAATTATAATTAAATAAAGTCATTAAACCAGTTGCAATTGTTGATAACACAGCTCCAAGGATTAATACTGGTTTAACAATACCGACTTTACTGACTATGATACCACAAGTCATGGTAGATAATAAAGTTGGAATAATCATGGGTAATAAATGAATACCGGTACTTTTTGGTGACATACCTAATAAATTTTGGAAATAGATGGAAACATACATACTTATTCCAAAAAATACTAAATTACCAAATAAGATAGTAAAGGCAGGAGCTAAAACTTGTCTTTTAACGATTAAGAAAGCAGGAATCATAGGATAATATTCTTTTGATTCATCAATTTTAAAAATGAAAAGTTCAAATATAATAAATACCACGAATAATACAGCTCCAATAATGACAAATGCTAAAGGTAAAGGTTTAGTAAATCCATCAGCACTTTCACCTCCGAATGAACAACCAACTAAGAATAAAGTTAATGAAATTGAAATCAAAGTTACCCCAATAAGATCAAAAGCTTTCACAAAATATTCCAATGATAAATTACTTCTGGTGAACAGTTTTGAAAGTTGATGTTTTGGTTTATATAAGAAAAATAAGAATAAAGCAGCAATTCCACCGAATGGTAAATTAATCCAAAAACACCATCTCCAAGTTAAAGATTTTGAATCGGTGAAAATACCTCCAATAAGAGGACCAATAGCAGCAGCAGGAGTTAAAGTCATAGTAACCACTCCTAATACAAGACCTCTTTGTCTAAGAGGAGTGATTTCCGAACTGATTAAAAACACATTGGTTTGAATACCACCAGCCCCAATACCAGTTATAACTCTTCCAGCAATAAAAACCGACATATTATGAGATACGGCTGAAATGACAGACCCAAGTTCAAATAAAAATAATGAAATAAGGACACTATTTTTTCTACCTAATACAATCCCACATTTTCCCCAAGCTAAAGCCAACACTGCCATAGGTAAAATATAACCTGAACTTGCCCAACCAATTTGAGAAGCAGAATCAAAAGTTTCTTCGATCCCTTCCAATGCAGTAATAACAATGGATTGATCTATAGCCGTGACGAATATAGCAAGAATGATGGAACAAGTACATAAGATTAAGGGAACACCAGTTAAATAATTTTCATCAGTTTTTTCCATTTCATCAGTATCCGATAATGGTTTTTCTTGAGTTGAATCATGAACGTTTGAAGAATCGGTTGACATTTTATGTTTCTCATCTATTTGAGATACAGTTTGATGTTTTAATTTAATATCCTGAGTCATAGTTGATTGATTGATTGATTGTATGGTTTAATGAGTCATAATTATACTTACAAATGGCAACAGATTATGATCTATTTATAATCAAACCGCTAGTAAGGAAAAAAAGAAAGCATTAGTTTAGATTGATAATTAAGATTGATTTCGATGATACACGGCGGTGATATGATTATTGCAAACACCTTAAAATTGTCTGGAATTTGACCGAGCAAGACCGAGTCAGGGCCAAAAAAATGACACTAAATAAGAAACAGAAGTTTGTATTAACGGGACGGAAAAGGAGACATTTTTAATTCTGTTGAACGGGATTATAAATATATCCTTGTTAGCAAAGTAAGTAAAGTTCGGTAAAGCGACTGGGAAAAGGATTTAGGGAGGCATTAATGTCAGTAAAGTAAAATAAAGAAGTAAGGATTTTGTCCAAGCAACACCGAACTCAATCATAACAATAATATGTATCATAATAATGATAATAATATCACAAAAGAAAGTTAGACTCTAGATGGATTTGATATGTATGTACCTACCTAGCTACTATATAGTTCTATTGTTGTTCTAATTATGTAGTTGTTGATGTGGTTAAAATTATCTGATTTATTATGGGGCAAGACCAATTTTTTTTATATTTGGTTGGCTTTAACTTTCTCTCCCTATTTTTAGTGAGACAGACAGGATATTTAGGCAGCATTGGCAGGCAGGCTGTCAAAAGATTGTGAGACAGACAGAAAAAAATAAAATGAACCTGAAATTTTGTTAATTAACTATACACTATCTTTTAACTATTACGGAGTTCATAAATTGATAGTTGAACTATCGTTTGTTTGTTAGTTTGTTTGTTTTGATTATTTGATATAATTTTTAACACGAAGCCATACAGAGAAGAACAAGAACAAGAAGAATCTATCAAATCTAACTAAATAACTACACTACTATGAGACAAAGAATATCTTTCTCATGTACCAATTGTAGAAAGAGGAAAGTTAAATGTGATCGAAAGAAACCATTATGTTCAGCATGTCAAAGAAATAGAATACCGGTTCATTTATGTACTTATGAAACATCACCTCATATCTTGAAGGCAGCTGCCGATAATCAAATCAAATTACAACAACAATTACATTTACAACAACAACATCAATTACATTTACAACAAATCCAAGCCAGTCAGAATTCACCATCTTCTGATATAGATCATAGTCATGATGTTACTATACTATCCAATAGCAATTCTAATGTCGATACTATTTGTAGTTTACGTGATTTTGCTTACATCAAACCAAACTTTGAAACTATTGCTTATTTCGGAGCTACAAGTTGGAGAACCGTTTTAAAAGAATCATTTAGATTTCATCCTATAGTAGTTGAATCATCTCGAAAAACTTATATTGATATTAAATCATGGTATAAAACTTCATATCAACAAGAATTAGAAGCAGATTTACCTTCTCATATCGGGAATCTTGAATTATTAAATGATTTATTACCAAGTTATAAAGCAATGTCTAAATTATTAAGTAATTTTTTACAACAACAAGATGATTTAATATTTAAATGTTTTAGTCTGACTGATATTTTCAAATATTTTAATAATACTTTTAATCGAAATGGGGAATTAAATTCAAATCCTTCAAAAGTTGATATATGTATTACATTATCAATTATAATTTTATCATGTTATATTAATAATGAATTTGAAGTTGATTTAACTACTTTATATCAGATGATAAGATATCAATTTAATAATTATAAATTTCAAATTACTGTTCCTAGTTTACAAGCAATGGTATTAATGTATGAATTAAAAAAATATGATTATATGGGAGATTATAATGCAACATTTGTTCATGATATAAGTTTATTATGTTCGATTACAACCACTGCAACATCATTAGGATTAAATCGAGATATTGAAAAAATTCATAAAGAATCAGATATTTCTCATCAAATTTCAGTTCGAAATCTTTGGAAATATATTCTTTTTGAAGATGCAGTAAGAGCTTTTAGATATGGTCATCAATTATATTTAGATGATGATTATATTGAACAACAATTATTAGAAGATGATGAGTTTAATTATAAAAATCGAATTGAAATCATGAGGAATATATGTCGAAGATTAAATCTGTATACTTTGAGTGAAAAAATCAATTTAAATTCTGAAATTGAATTTACAAAACCATTACTGAAATCAGATAATTTTATTGATCTTGCTTTAATTCAAACTTTAATGCAAATTCGATATGTTAAATTCCCAACTCCATTTCATTTTCAACATTTTTTTGAATCTTCCCTTGCATTATATAAATCATCAACAAAGATTGTTGAAAGAGGTATGACATGTCATTTCCTTCATGCTAAAGAAACTTTATTCCGAGCTGCTTATGGGATCTTATATATTTTACTTGATCTTATAATTCTTAAGAATTGTAAAGATTCTGAAAAAATTAAACAATCACAAAAGGAACAATCATCTACAGATACAGATAAAAAACCACTTGGAATTAACTTAACTTTAAAGGGAGAACTCATTACACTTGATTGGTTTTTTAAATTTTTTTATGATGAACATCAACCATTATTAAATAAAATAAGACCTTATAATGAACCAATTCGATATGCCCTTATTTCTAATGTTAATATATTAGAATTACTTAAAGCTCATTTAGAAAATGAAGAAGGGATAAAAGTTGAAATTAATGGGAATTATAGCAAAGATACTATTGAAGAAGGTGATGATTTATATGAATTCTTTTAACTTATGTATTATATAGCTTAAAAGAGAAGTATATAAATGAATAGAAGTTACGATTTTTTCATGATTTAATTGCAAAAAAAAATAAAGAGAAAATGTAGATATTATAGTAAATCTTGAGATCAAAGAGATAGATAAATACTACTCAAGAGGTAAGATTAACCATAACTAAGATCAAAATGTAGTTAACGCATATCATAGTGATACATTACAGTAAACCATTTGATAGATTAATAGAAATGTAGATGAATATATAATAATCATATACATACATTCAGTGAATCAGGTGATTTGTTATCAAGTTTTAAAATAATAAGATCCAAAAAAAGGGGAAATAAAAATACTACATTTTAGGGGTAAGGTAACAACAGAAGAGCTATCATCCCACCATGAATAAGAGAATAAGTAAGACTAAGTTGATGAAACAAGAGTGATATACTCTATGATAATCTGGAAAGAAGTCTAGCTAATTGTAAATATGATTAATTAGGTATAGGTATAGTTCTAGTTCTAGCCCCTATATATTGATTTGATTTGATTTGATCTTTCTTGATTTTATGCTCACGTGACAGAAAAAAAGCAACCAAAAAAAAAAGAGTAAGCTTAAAAGCATAACAGTATAGTATACACTATATATATTCAAAAGTTATGCCATTTTTCTGGTTAATATTTAAGTTTTATGTTTATTTCTTTTTAAAATCTGCTAATTCTATTGGTAACTACTCCTACTTATTAACCCTATCATCAACTGGTGTTTGTCCTCGACTACTGTATCACTATCTGTCTCTTCCCTTCTCTTTAGCTTTTCCTTTTCCCGGTCAAACCAAAAAGAGAACAATCCAAAAAAAAATAAATAAATAAATAAATAAAATCATCAAAACATCGCCTATCACTAATCATCCATCATCCATCATCATCAGCATATATCTTCATACCATCAGCTTACACATATCATATCATATCACATATCACCACACTTCCCATCCCCATCCCAATCCTATATAATCACTACGAATATGGATATGACAACGTTGGATATATTTGTACCTCCAAAAAACTTTTCTGAAATCTTATCTCAACCAAAATTCCTTATTGATGATATCAAATTATCAATAAAACCTTCTTTAATACCAGGTCTACCCGATGGGATATTGGCCTTGATAGCTCCCTTGGTCGCTTATTGGTCATACGCCTCGTTTTTCCATATCCTTGATGTTTATGAATTGGCTGAACAATATAGAATACATCCATCTCAAGAAGAAGAAAGTAGAAATAAAGCCAGTTTACATGATGTTATAAGAGATGTTATCTTACAACATTTCATTCAATCCATTGTCGGATATTTCGTCTATCTTTTAGATCCAATTCCTCAAACTGGTCATGAATTATATCAAATGTGGAGTTTAAAACAAAATTATTTACCTAATTTCATTCCTGATATCTTAGTTTATTATGGTTATATGTATGGTTGGTCATTATTTAGAATATCAGTGGCATTTGTTTTAATTGATTCTTGGCAATATTGGTTACATCGTATCATGCATGTTAATAAATATCTTTATAAACGATTTCATTCTAGACATCATCGTTTATATGTTCCTTATGCTTATGGTGCCTTATATAATGATCCAGTAGAAGGATTCTTATTAGATACTTTAGGTACGGGTTTAGCCAGTATTGTTACTCAATTATCATCTCGTGAAACCATCATATTATATACTTTTGCTACTTTAAAAACCGTGGATGATCATTGTGGTTATAGATTACCTTATGATTTATTTCAAATCATTTTCCCTAATAATTCAATTTATCATGATATTCATCATCAAAATTGGGGTATTAAAAATAATTTTTCTCAACCGTTCTTTACTATTTGGGATAAATTCTTAGGAACAGAATATCAATTTGTTAATGAATATAAACAATTGCAAGATCATATTACATTAACTAAATATAGAGAATTCTTAGCTTCAAAGACAAAACATAAATGGAGTTTTGATAAATCTGCTAAAGGTACTTCTGTCCCCATTGATAATAGTTCTTCTTCAACTAGTGAAAATACTAGTGATGAAGAATTTGTATCAGATAAGAAAAAATTAGATTAAACCCATCCACCCATCCATTACTTTCCTTCCCTTCCCTTCCCTTCCCTTTTCATTCCCTTTTTATTGATTTTTACATTAATAGTTTCTTGTTTATAGGTATCCTCCCTCCCTCCCATCTTTTTAATCATCGTGAAAGTGAATCAATTTCAAATCAAATTTAAATAAATCCCAAAAAATATCCCAATATCAAACAACAATCATAATATCAACTCATACTTAATACTAATCCATAGTAACGTTTATTTACTTTTTCTTAATGTTAATACTTTTCTAATGTTTTATATAATGTTTATACTAATAATAATAATCCTAATAATATCGAATAATGCTGTATTTGTATCCATCTATCTATTGAATATATTAATGGGGATATACCTCTTTTTTATATGCCGGAAAATACTAATTTTTTTATTGTCACCGCGTAATTGAAAACTGATTTGGTTCAAAAAGGCAAACTAAATGATGTACTTCATCAGCTTTAAACAGATAAGAGGACAATTCAATCATGTCAAAGAGTAGTAATAATCGATATAATGGGGATGATATATGGAAGAACAATACGGAAAAGATCAATTCGGAATTATTCACATTAACCTATGGATCCATCGTTTCACAATTATGTCGAGATTTTAATCATAATTATCATGAAGTTAATAATCAATTAGATAAAATGGGATATAATATTGGTCTAAGATTGATTGAAGAATTCTTAGCTAAGACTGGAGTAGGAAGATGTTCAACATTCAAAGAGACAGTCGAAGTGATATCGAAATTAGGGTTCAAGATTTTTCTTAATATTACACCCCAAATTGAAAATTGGAGTTCTGATAATAAATCATGTTCCTTAATCTTACCTGATCCTAATCCATTGACTGAATTTGTTGAATTACCAAATTTAAAAGATGCTGAAATCTTAAAGGAATTATGGTATTCTCAAATCTTATGTGGGGTATTAAGAGGTGCTTTACAAATGGTTCAATTAGATGTAGATGTTAATTTTGTAAAGGATACATTAAGAGGTGATGATAAAACTGAAATAAGATTAAAATTAAATAAATTTTTAAAGGATGAAGTACCTGCTGGTGAAGATTAAGGTCTAGTCCGTAAGGACTAGACCTGTCCTTCAACTTAACTGGTAATAATAGTACCTCCTTATTTGTATAGTATAATAGACATAGTTATAATAATTTTTAGCATGAGAGTGTGTGTGACTATATGCAGTCAGCTGTAAACTTTATATTTTTGTCTGGGGCAAGGGCAACAATTATCATCATACCAGTAGGGTCATCCTCAAATCGAACTGAGTTTAAATTTAAAGCAGACGATAAATTTTAATTATTCACAACTTATTCAACATAAGATATATATTCAAGCCATAATCTCATATCAATGAAATTAGAAGATTCTTCAGGCTTAACCTCAGGTGGGACAGGAGATGGGACTGAGAAGTCAAGTACTATCTCCTCCAGTTCCATAGGTACGCTGAAGCAATCATCATCAACATCTAATCGACCAATTCGTCAAAGACCTTCACGATCAATTTCTGATTTATTTCATATAATCTTTGGGAACTTCACTTATGATTTGGTGCTTTGGTTTTTCAGTTTTGTAATTCATACATTTTTCAGAGATATTCAACCTCGTGGAACCTTTAATATTCCAAATCATGGTCCCATAATATTCGTCATTGCTCCTCATCATAATCAATTCATTGATCCCTTGATTGTCATGTCGAAAGTGAAGGAATCATGTGGAAGAAGAATTGCCAATTTAATTGCCAATCGTTCATATCAAAGAATGTTTATTGGAACAAGTGCAAAATTATGTGGGGCAATCCCAGTTGAAAGAGCTCAAGATCTTTTAAAATTAGCTCAAGGGGAAATTAAAGTTGATCCTAATGATAATACAAAAATCATTGGTGTAAATACGAAATTCACCATAGATTGTATGGAGAGGGGATTGATTGGATTACCTGAATCATTAGGTAATGTAACAGTTAAAAGTATTGAAGATGATACTCATTTAACTTTAAAGAAACCATTTGAATCACCACGATCATCAATTCAAATTCGAATCAATACAAAATTAGAAAATGGAACCAAATTCAAAGTTGCTCCTCATATTGATAATAGTATTGTATTTCGTCATGTTTTTGATCATTTAAATTCAGGAAAAGTTTTAGGTATATTTCCTGAAGGTGGATCTCATGATCGTCCTGATTTATTACCTTTAAAACCAGGAGTGGCTATCATGGCGCTTGGAACCATTGGGAAAGCAATTCAAGATGGTCAATCCCAAGATCAAATTGAAGCTGTTAATATCATTCCAGTAGGATTAAATTATTTCCATGCTCATAAATTTAGATCAAGAGTGGTGGTTGAATTTGGAAAACCGATTATAGTAGATTATCAAATGGGACAAAAATATCTTGATAATTCAAAATCCCAAGTTGAAAAATTATTAAATTTAATTACATTGAATTTAAAAGAAGTTACTGTCACCTGTAATGATTATGAAACACTTATGGTATTACAAGCCACTCGAAGATTATATACTTCATCTCATCGAGATTCAATCCCATTACCTATGGTGGTGGATTTAAATAGACGATTAATCAAAGGCTATGATCAATTCAAATCTGATCCTGATGTGATTGAATTAAAAGAACAAGTTTTGGCATATAATAATCATTTAGTAAGTTTAGGATTACATGATCATCAAGTTTCATCATTAATGAGGACCAATAGATTAAGGACATTGATTATGTTTATGGAACGATTTTTTAAATTTTGTTTATATATGGGATTAAGTTTACCAGGAGCAATATTATTTAGTCCCGTATTTATAACTGCTAGTCGAATTTCTCATAAAAAGGCTAAGGAAGCATTAGCGGGATCTGTGGTTAAAATTAAAGCTAAGGATGTATTGGGAACTTGGAAAATCTTAGTAGCATTGGTATTAGCTCCAATGTTGTATATATTTTATTCAATCATTGGTACCATTCTTATATTAAAATATACTTCGATACGACAATTCAATATTCCAATTTTATTTATATTTTTATTTTGTTATGGATGGGCGGTATTAACTACTTACGCGTCATTAAGAGTGGGTGAGATTGGAGTGGATTATTATAAATCATTAATCCCATTATTCATTTCGATAATAAGTTATAATAATGATCAATTACAAATCGAAGCCTTAAAGCAAACTCGATATGAATTAAGTTTAAAAGTGGATAAATTCTGTAATAAATTTGGTCCTGGATTATTTGAAGATTATGATGAATTTTATCGCGAATACAATGTCATTGATGAGACTGATTATAAAGAACAATCTCCATTTATTCAAGGTGAAGATCGTGGTAGTAGTGATGAAAAGAGTTTGAATAGAACTAGTTCAATGGAATCATTTAATATTCATAATTTATCCGACGTTCCGATCTTTTCAAATATACCCGATAGTGGATCGATATCAGCGAAGCCATCTTATGTGAATTTAACTTCTATTGGTAACGGAGGTGATAGCAATAATACTAGTGGTAACAATAGTAGTATTCATCTTCATCCTAACTACAATAATAATAATAATGATGATGTGAGCAAGAAATTGAGAGATAAATTGAAAAGTAAATTTAAGATTCAATAATGGGATTTGTTGTTATGTATGATTTGAATAAAAAATAGAATAAAGAAAGGTACTTTACATTTACAGTAACAACTGATGGACAAGTATAAGAGTGAATAGATGAATACAACAATTGACGAGATTGTTAGTGATTTTTGCGCTTTTTACTTGTGGTTAGAAAAGGTTGATTAAATCAATGGGTAGTAAAGGTGAAAGATTGTATATATATAAAAAGTTATAGGACCAATATTAACAATAATAATAACATTAATAATTATAATGGAAAAATGTAAACAATGAAAGGCTATACAAATGAACCAGTAATATGCTTTGTGTCACAAGGGGAATTAAACAGGGAACTAACCCGTGCTTGCTTGGACGAACAAAAAGAAGATAATATTATATATGTGGATACTAGTGGTGTGGGGGTAAATAGGAAAGAGATGACGAAGAGAAGCAGGACCCATTGTTCTTTACCAGATTATCGTTTTTATTACCTCCAATTTCCATTAAAGAGAGGGTTGGGTTGAAGGTAACAAAAATTCCTTTTATCCCTTGCTCCCAAGGCTTATATAAAATGATAAGTCCTACGGATACATAACTATACATAAGGATACAGAATTAAAAGATTAAAAAAAAGTATAAATTGAATAAGGAATTGAAGTTACTTAATTAAGTAATTCATATTAAAGGGGGCCCACACAGGGTAAGCAAAGAAAAAACCATAAAAAATAAAAAATTACTATATAAAGGAATTTTTTGTCAAATACCCTTTAAAGAAAACAATGATATCAAAAAGGTTTAGTAAGACCATTAAGTTTTGATGATGGGTTGTTTCAGATAGTATATATATATATATGTTGTAGTTTCCTATTAAAAATATAGATAATCTAAACTTAAACTTATCAGTTTATTACTTTACAACTACTACTTACCTTCAATATGTTACATAGATTAACAGTATTAATACTGATATTATCAGTATTGATAATAGTTAATATTGGTATGGCAACTCCAATACCAGCAGATGTTAGATTTAAAGCATTATCACTTTCCCAATTAAAATCAACCTTATATACTATTCCAACTGTTTCATTAAATGAAGGAATTGATGAATTAGAAGTATTACAAAAGGAAGCTGATTTTGATGAAGAGAAGAGAATATCATTTAATAAGATGATTATAAATCGAATTAATCAAAATATTATAGCTGATAGAGTTCCAAGTGGTGAACCCATGAGATGAATAAAATAATATATTATAAAATAATAATAAAAGGGTAGTAATAATTTATTAATCAATTACTATTCCTAATTAGGAAATGATGGATCTGAGATTGTTTTGTCTGTCTGTTTTGTCGCAAAATGGAAATGTCATGTCGAAAATGATAAATGACAGAAAAATATGACAAAGAAATGCGACAAACAGTCAAAAAAAGAAACTCGCACAACACAAGACAAGACACAATTTCACACGACCATTGTTTTTTTGCCACTGAAACTGGGAACAGAGAGACACAGACACAGACGACAGTTGGAGTGGAGTGGAGTGTATTACCTAAGAATGAACATGTGGATTGACTGGATCAATTTAAAAGTGTGTTCTATAAATAGATAGATAGTAACACTTTGTATATTCAATAGATGAATGATGACATTATAATTAGAATTGTAGTGTGATTAGTGATGATGATGAACTCTACTCAGTTGTCATTCCTTATCTAATTGCCTGCGGCTAAATAAAGCAGAATAAACCAAAAAAAGAAATTCTATTTTGGGAATTATGAGCGCACACTAAACATAACACATAACAGACAGACAGATGATGATCACAAGATTTGTGAGTAATAACTTCCACTACCACTTCCACAATTATAAATCAAATAACATCACACTTTTCTTTTATTATCATTACACAACATTCTAATTATAGATATATATACTCATCCAGTTGACTATATATATATATATCTATCCATTTGCTCACTCCCTCCCTTACCTTACTGCTACCTGTTCATTCCTAGCTTTTCCTCCTTTAGCTCCCTCCGCTCCCTCCCTCCCTGAATCAATCAATTTGCCATCAAGTCAAATTCTAGCATAACATTAAATCTAATACATCATGAAAGTAACTATCAGATTATCAACCGAATCCTCCTACTCCATAACCATCCCAGATAACTCCACTGTCGAAGATTTAAGAAACTCTGCTAAAGTTGGCTGTCCTGTTTCTTCAAAATTACCGCATGATTTTAAACTTATCTATAATGGTCAAAGATTAACTCCTTATTATCAACCATTATCAACTTTTAATATAACTCCGGAATTAGATTCCATAACTGTTATTCTCATGAGTGATGGTTCAGATACTCCCATCAATTTAACTCCTCAATCTTCTCATATCGATATCACCACTGCCTCTACAACTGCTACCACCACCACCACCACTACCGTCAAGAAAACCAAAAAGAAGAGTAAATGTGCCTTCAAATCTTGTACTTCTGCAAGTTTAAGAATGGTGGGTGCTTGTAGTCATTGTCAAGGTTCATTCTGTGCTAAACATCGTTTATTAGAAGATCATTTATGTCAAGGCTTACAATTTTGTAAAGATAATGCTCATGAAAGAAATGCCATGAAATTACAAAGTGAAAGTACTATCGCTAGTAGAGTATGACCTAATTAATGTTGTTTCTTCACATTCTCACTCATCAGTTGAGATATTACGTCCATATATCACTTATTCACGTCATCATTATTCATGTTTGGTTTTATTTCTGTTGTGTTTTTTTTATCATTTACTTTTGTCTGTTAGGTTTGTTTTTCATTTCCACTTCAATTTCAAGTTAATTCCCCATTTTAAAATTATATAACTCATCAGTTTTATTCATTGTTATTTATATAAATTTAATATAGATTTTTATCCTCCTCCATTTTTAACGTCTTGCCTCTCATTATTCTATTTTTTTTTTTTAAGTATCTAATTATCTAATAAATTTTCTAATATATCATCATATTTACCATTTGTACTAATATTAGCTTTAATTAAGATTTCTTCAGCTGATTTATAATAAAATTCTTGATCTTTACAATCAAGTTGATATAAATTACCTAAACTTATCATACATTCAGCCACAGCAACCCAAGTTTCAGGATCATCTTCATCTTGAGCTTGTTTTAAAGCATCTAATGCAAGTTTTAAAGAATTTTGACCTTTTGATTGAGCTTCATTTACTGTTAATCCTTCATATTCTTCAATTCCTTCGAATTCATCATCATAGGTTAAAGTAGTATAGACTTTAATTGGGATTTCAGCTTCTCGTAAATACCATTGACCAATACGTTTCGACATATCACGGTATAATGATACATCTTCAGGAGAAGTTTTATCATATTTGAACTTTACAAAAAAATCTGAAAATTCAATAAGTTTATCTTTCAACCATTGATTATATTTGAAATCTTCAAGAATAGGTGATAATGGATGAAGCTCGTCTAATTCTGTATCATCATCTTCATCATCATCTTCTTCCTCGTCATCTTCTTCTTTGTTATGTTTTCCGAAATTATTTATGATATCTAATAAATCATCTAAAATTTCAAAAAATTCATAAGTCTCACGATTTATTAAACTATAATCGTTATTCATTTTACAGCTTACAAGTGCTGCACCAAAAGAAAGATAAGCTTCATCTAAAATATTCTCCAATTCCATATGTTGACCATGTTCCTCTTCTGTATCGATGGTTAATTGCGAAACGTGTTGTAAAGAAAGTTTTAATAATAAAATCTTACTCTCTGCGAACCACAACACTCTGGATTCTGAATATTTCTCCAATCCTATTTCAATTCTATCTAAGGATTCTTTGAAATAGGATTCAACTTCATCAGGATGGAAATTACTTAATTCAGCTAATGAAAGTGCATAGATTGCGTAAAAGAAATCAGGTAATGAATCATCATCTTCCTCCTCTTTACCTTCTTTACTTTCATCTGCAGCTTTCTCATTACTATTTCTTAATAAACGATCACATTCATGAACGATTCCATTCAACACCAATTCATTATCACGATCAGATTCAAAATACGTATTCCATAAAGCTTGTAATTGAGCCAACTCATCATCAGCATCAGCTTCCTCTTTTAATTCAACCGTAAGTTCACCTTCACCAGCTTGATCTTCAGTGGAACCAACTTCAATCGATTCTTCTTTTTCTTCAATCGGTTTCTTTTGTTTCTTGGCTTTGGAAGCCTTACCTAATCCTAATGGTCTCTTAGCCATATTGATAACGTGGGAATGTGAAATATACTAGAACTTAAACCGTAAAACGTTGTCAACTATATCAGACCATATACTGAAAAAAAAAAAAAAGAGCTGTGTTTGTATGATGGTGCTTTTTTTGTTATACGATATTCAGTTATATGCAGGTTGAGATGATTTGAAATTGCTGCAAATGATCAAAGAGATGAAGTTGGTAATAGATTCAGTTATGTACAACTTATTTCTACTAGATCTTGGTATGTTTTGAGTGTTAACAGTGTTAGTCTTCGGTAATGAAGATTGATTTAGTCTGTTTAAATCGACTTAAAGTTAATATTGCAATGTTTTATATTTTTACCTATTTTTGCATTACATTTAGATGATTTCTCAATTCATTATGAAATATGAATATCCATTTTCACCTCTTATACAAATATTTGAAATACTGAAACAACCTTGAATTCATGTCATAAACATCCATAATAACTATAATATCACCATAAATTGTTCAAATTTATCATTATTCCAATCTTTAATAATACTAATTTTAACATTGGTTAAAACCAGATGAGCCGCTCACTTATATACAGGATTATTATTATAGTGATAAGCATTTCACGTGATATTCTGTAATCTAAAATTTTTTTTTCAAACCCCATATAATATATATATATATTTAAAGATTAAAGTAATTGCTTTTATATTTGGTTCAACAAGTGTTAGTAAGCTTAAAGTAGGTCATAAAAGATAGATATGCCTAATTTACTTACATCTTGGAATTGTCGAGGTGAAAGACATTTAATCATTGGTGATGTTAAATTAATCAATCATCGAATTAAGAGTATCATTGATGTTGGAGGTTTACCGATTATCTTAACTGACTCAAAGGACATAGGTCAATTTGAAGATGATATTAAAGTTATAACTCATGATAAATTAACTATTGATAAAGTTAAGGAGGTCATTATTAGTGAAGGTAGAGATGATGTTGATCATATTGTTGATAAGGTATTTGTGGTATTACCTAATTTTCAACTTCAATTAAAGGAAGAGATTTACAATACATGTTTAAAATTAAGAATACCGATAAATATAAGTGATACTCCTCAATATTGTACTTTCACCATATTATCCACCCATACTTCAGGTGATTTCCAAATGGGTATAACTACCAATGGTAAAGGATGTAAATTAGCATCTCGAATCAAGCGTGAATTAGTTAATGCTATTCCTTCTAATATCGATGAGATCTGTGCTAAAGTTGGTGAATTAAGACAAAAGATTCAACAAGAGGATAATGTGATTGATCTCGGAGGTGAACATGATGAAGATTCCATAACTACTTCCAAATTGAATTCGTTGGTGGAGGAATTCAATATGACCAAAGAACAACAAAAATTACAAAGAACAAGATGGTTAAGTCAAGTTGTGGAATATTTCCCCTTACAATACTTAGTTACTATCTCTGCCGATGATTTATCCCAAGCATATAAGAAATCGATTCAAAATGATAAAGAAGAAGGTCAATTAATCAAACGTCAAAAAATAAACCAAAAAGGATCAATATCATTAGTGGGATCAGGTCCAGGTTCAATTTCATTATTAACCTTGGGGGCTTTACATGCTATATTCTCCGCTGATTTGATTCTAGCTGATAAATTGGTTCCTCAAGAAGTTATTGATTTAATTCCTCAAAAGAGAACTAAATTATTCATTGCTAGGAAATTCCCTGGTAATGCTGAAAGAGCCCAACAAGAATTATTACAGATGGGATTAGATGGATTAAATAGAGGTGAAAAAGTTGTTCGTTTAAAACAAGGTGATCCATATATTTTCGGTCGTGGAGGTGAAGAATTCAATTTCTTTAAACTGCATGGGTTCACTCCGATTGTATTACCGGGTATAACATCAGCTTTAGCTGCTCCAGTATTAAGTCAAATCCCAGCTACTCATAGAGAAGTGGCTGATCAAGTTTTAATATGTACAGGTACTGGTCGTAGAGGAGCTGTTCCTAATTTACCTAGTTTTGAATCATCAAGAACAACAGTATTTTTAATGGCATTACATAGAATAGTGGAATTGATTCCTAAATTAATCAATGAAAAACAATGGGATCCAAAATTACCTGTCGCTATCATTGAAAGAGCTTCATGTCCTGATCAAAGAATCATAAGGACAAATTTATCATCAGTAGCTGAGGCAGTAGAAGCTTGTGGATCAAGACCTCCTGGCTTATTAGTTACTGGTTATGCTTGTGAAGTGATTGTTAAGAATGATGAACAGTCTCCTGCAAAATGGGTCATTGAAGAAGGATGTAGCACCATTAATGATTCAACTTATTTATCACCCATTGTGGATTTGATTACAAAACATGGTAAATTCGATACTACCACTACAACACATCATCAGCAAGAGGTGCTGCATACACCTCCACCTGATAGTATAATTACTGTATAGACACACTATTTATTCCTAATTCTTAATATATATTTATTCATTGTATTTTATTTATCTGTTCGGTATAGGTTAATTCACGTGTGCCTGTCAAAAATAATTCCGCTCCTTAATTTCGCGATAAGAGCCACAACAATTTTTTTAACTATGACAAATCAGAGGACCAACTTAATTTAAAGTGTCAATAATTGTTGGTCGTCAATTGTACACATTCTTATACGAAAACAGACCTCCAATTAATGTTAAAGAGGTTTACTCGACTCTACTCATCATTGCCACAAAGTATAACAACAACAATAACTACAAGAACAATCATGACATCTTCCAAGAAATTAGATCCAACTGCTTTACATAATCCTTATTTCTTTCAAAAACCAGGTCAAAAGGATATTTGGTCGTTAATTAATGAAACTGCAGCCCAAGCTCAAGAAGAATTAGGTAAACCAATTGTTAATTTAGGTCAAGGGTTCTTCTCCTATAATCCTCCTGATTTCGCTGTTGATGCTGTCGGAGAAGCTTTAACTAAACCTCAATTCAATCAGTATGCTCATGCTAGAGGTAACCCTAATTTAATTAAAGAATTAACCAAACATTATTCCAAAGCTTTTGGTAGAGATGTTGATGCTTCTGAAATCCAAGTCACTACTGGAGCAAATGAAGGTATTTTTTCTATCTTTTTTGGATTTTTAACTCCAGGGGATGAGGTTATTGTCTTTGAACCATTCTTTGATCAATATATTTCAAATATTGAAATGACTGGAGCAAAAGTCAAATATGTTGAAATCAAATACCCAAAGAAATTCGATAATGAAACTGTTACTGGTGATGATTGGGAAATTGATTGGGAAGGTTTAGAAAATGCTATTACTGATAAAACTAAAATCATTGTTATTAATACTCCTCATAATCCAATTGGTAAAATATATACCGAACAAGAATTAATTCGTATTGGTAAATTAGCTATTGAACATAATATCATTCTTGTTAGTGATGAAGTTTATGAAAATCTTTATTTCACCAAGACTTTCCCAAGACCAGCTGCCTTAAAGGCATTACCAGAATTAGCCGATCGTACATTCACTGTCGGATCCGCAGGTAAATCCTTCGCTGCCACTGGTTGGAGAGTTGGATTCATTCATGGTCCTGCCAATTTAATCAAATTCGTTACTGCTGCCCATACAAGAATTTGTTTCTCAACTCCAGCTCCATTACAACAAGCTGTATCTCAAGGTTTTATCGAAGCTGACAAGAGAAATTATTTCGAAAAGACAAGACAAGACTATATTCATAAATATAAAATCTTTACTGAAGTCTTTGATGAATTAGGTTTACCTTATACCATTGCTCAAGGTGGTTATTTCTTATTAGTTAATTTATCAAAAGTTAAAGTTCCTGAAGATTATGTCTTCCCTGAAGCTATTTCTGCTAGAGGTACTTTAGATTTTAAATTAGCTTATTGGTTAATCAAAGAAATTGGTGTAGTTGGTATTCCACCAACTGAATTTTTAATTCCTTCTAATAGAGTTGGTAATGGATTAGAAAAAACTCTTAGATTTGCTGTTTGTAAAGATGATTCTATCTTAGAAGATGCAGTTAACAGATTAAGAAAATTAAAAGATCATATATAATTGAATTGTAATCATTATCATTAATTTATTCTTTAGATTTTTATAGACATATATATGACTTTATGTGTATGGCCATTACTTTCTAATATACAATTTAAATAAAAATTTCATTTCACCATAATCATCAAATCCAGGTTCAATTTCTTCTTCAATAACTTTAAATCGATTATCCATTAATGTCCATAATAATTGTCTTTCAGCTTCAAATTTGGGACGTAACGGAATTTGAATCAAGACTCGAGCATTTGATTTCAGAGATGTAAATGTTTCAATCATATCCACCAACCAATATGGATGTTGAGGTGAATAAATAGGATCACTTACAACTATAGTTTCGAAAGTGAATTCTTTCCCAAACTTATTCTTAAATGAAGCTGGATCACACCAATTTAATTCATCAACTTTAACTTTAGCATCAAGATTATTAAGATTTACATTATCTTGTAAATTTGGGACAATTTCATTCAAATCAGTTAACCAAGTATCAAACCCCAACAACGCACAAATCATACCTACCAACCCCGTACCTGATCCCAACTCCAACACATTATTTACAAGATATCCATCATGGGTTTGTTTATTAATCAATCGATTGGCTAATATGAATGACGCACCCCAAGTCTTAAACCCAATATTATCATCAGTCAATGAAGGTTCCTTGAGATAAATAATCGGTTTGAAATTGGGTAAGGTTATTCTACGGATCATTTCAGGCTGGGCTGATTTCCCACAATTTTCACTGATTCTTAATGATGTTTCCTTATGAATTTGTTGTATTTGATCATCATCTGTTATCCAATGTAAATCATTCGAAATAATTCTTGTGAGGTAGGCATTATAGTCCTTATCTTGTTTTAAGGAGATGCTTAGGTTTGGAATAGATGATAACTTCAATTCAGTGTTGAATCGAGGACAGTGTAAGTTAAACCATGGTAATGCTTTTTGGATAATATCTTGATTGATGGACTTCTGAAGAAATATATCTTCTGGACTAGATTGATCTGGTTGGGTTGAACCAGGACCAAAATTTAATACTTCTTCAGGACCAAATAACTTTAAAATAGTGATTAGAACTTCATATGGTGGTTTTCGTATTAATGCTGGCAAATCTAAAATATGCAATGGTTGTTCTTCATCATCATCATCGTTTGATTGTACTTCTTCATCATTGGTACTTGACGGTATAGTCTCTTCAGAAGTAGTAGGATATTCATACACTAAGTCATTAACATCATCAATCTTAACCTCATTAGGACTGAATAACGACAATGGATCAAACTCTTCCTCCATGACTCCAGATACACCCAATCAAACCCTTCTTCGAACAAACTCCATCATTTTCATGCCTATACACCTTTTTTTTTGCGATCAAAATTTTTTTAAAGAGCTCCGGGCTTTGTGTCTTGACCGATACGGATCAATTTAGACGTTACCATTATTTAAATTGCTACTACAACATGTATACGAAACATACTCTGTTCGGATAATTAGACCAATATAATGTCATTATGTACATTCAAGTGATATTATATAGTTATACCATACAACTGTAGTGTCTAGGTCACTTACAAACCTGGTTGTATGAATCTATTTATGACTTTCATATTTTCTAAAAATCAGTTACTCTACCATTAAAAGCCCATTCATTAGCATGTCTTAAAGGATCTTGCTTTGGACCACCTACTTCACCAGTTTTCGGATTAACCTCTCCATCGAATTCAGGTATAGTTTTAAGAGTTTGAAAACTTCCAATATCAGATGATAATTTGGGAGGAGTTTGATCAATAGGTTTGGATAATATAGATGATTCTCCATCATTACTTGTAGCATAACCTTTGGCTTTTATCTGGTCATTATAATCTTCTATAGCGATTTGGGAATTAGCTATTGTTTGTAATTTTTCAAATTCTTCTTGTTCTTCTCTAGGTAAACGAGGTGGAGAAGGTGTGAAATCAGTAGTGAATTTAGATGCATAGTATCTTTGAGAAAGAACTGACCTAGTCGCCGTGGTGGTTCTTACTGTGGATGCTCTGAACATACGACGTAAAGATAACATGATATAGTATGATAATGTTTAAGTAAAGAAAGAAGAATCCTAACTTAAATATATTTAGATATAACTACCATAAATTTATAAAATTTTGGATTCCGTTATATACCGGAAACATGATCACATGATCTAAATTGCTAAAACAGATTGCAAAATATATAAATTACATAGTCTACTAAGTATTATTTATAATGTCAATTATTATATTAAATAAGAGATTAAGTCTATTAAATGGAAACTAAAATGTTCTATGAACAAGCGTATGTAAAAAATAGTTAAATAAATGGAAGAAAATTAGAAAGAGATTATAAAGGATTAGGCCCATTTACCTAATAAAGCCATTAATCCAGTACCCCAACACATAATGAAATAAGCCCAAAGCATCTTTCTGAAACCAGTTTTACCTTTAAATTCATTGGAGAATAAGAATTCATGAGCCATTAATTCAACAATACCAGTATAGATTAAAATACCAGCTGAAATAGAATCAAATACCCCATTAGTAATGGTTGCAGTGGTTGAATTTGGTGGATAACTTTCTCTAACTCCTAAACCAATAGCAATTGAGATTGGAGTAGTGAGACCATAAGCAGCAGCTAATAACCATGGAGTCCATTTCTTATCTTTTGGCCAATAAGTAGTAGCAATTCTAGTACCTAAACCTAAACCTTCAAACATTTGATGGAAAACTAACACGACATATAAAGTAGCAAATTCATCACCGGCAACAGCTAAAGTAAGACCAACGAAAACAGAATGGAAGATAATACCAAATTCTAATACGAAAACATTTAATAATTGACCATAATATTGTTCTTTATCTTGATCTTCAACTGGAGTTCCAAGAGCTTCAGGATCTTGATGATCATGAGCATGAGAGAAATGTTCAGGATAAAGTTTTTGGAATTCTTTTGAATTAGAAACTTTACCATCTTCATCATCTTCATCTTCCTTTTCATGTTTAATAGCAGCATCTTCAGAATCAGATTCAGCAGCCTTTTTAACAAACACTGATTCATCACCGAAATGAGAATGTGATTGACCTGAACCTTCAAGTCTTTTGTCAATAAGTCTATAAGCAACTAATTCAAAGAAGAAAAGAGCAAAAAGACTGAAAAGACAAATAGCAAATGAATAAGGATATTCTTGGAAAGCAGGACCTAAACATTCTTCCGATAAAGCTTGATTAGCAGGTTGTAATAAATGAATAAAGGCAGTAGCGACAATAACACCAGAACCGAAATATTTAGCAATAAAGAAACACCAACTTGGTAATCTAATAAATGAATATCTTGAAGATAAAATTGGGAAAAAAGCACCAAAAGAAGAAGTAGCGAAAATAACAAATACAGATGAGATACGAGCTCCCATAGAACCATTATAATCGTTACCACCTGGACAGGTGCCTCTTTTAAGAATTTCAACAGTAGTATCTAACATGATGTAATACTATGCAAGATATGATATGACAAAGATAATTTAAAATCCAATAATGAAAAATTTGAAACTAAAGAATATTAAACTTCTTATATAGAAACTTCAACGAGTAAGATGTCAAAACGTTAAAAAGTTAATAACTATTATAGTCAATTAGGGAAAAGTATATAATAATAATACTTTAGTAGTTATTAATTTATGCTAAGCCAAAAAATAAAAAATTTTATCAATTTAATAAATAGAGCCGTTCCAAAACCCAGTAGTTAGATGGATATTAATGAAACAATGCAAAATGACAGGAAAGAAGCAGACCACTAGATATGACAAGCTTTAAATGAATGAAAGCTGGTTGGTGGTTATGTAAGGTGATATGATGTGATGCGATGACAAGAATTAACGACCCAATTTGAATATTGTTGTAATTAAACTATAATTGATAAGGATGTCAGTTATAATATAATGCAAAAACGATTATACAACGGGTACTCCACTTTGATCGATGAATGTGAAACGAAAGCTAATTTAAACGAATGAAATGAAATGAATTGACAGTTGTGCCTAAGACTTCTTCTTCTTCTTCTGATTGTTGCTCTTCTCTTCTTCAGGGATAATCTCACCCTTTTCCCATCTGTTGTAAATTGACTTTTATGTTGTAAAAAAAAAAAAAGGTGTTTGGTGATGATTTTTTTTTTTGCCTAAACCACCAAGGTAGATTTTTTTCTGAGGTCTACCTTTGTAGTTATCTGGAAACAATGAGATTGATAACCACCACTATTAACATTTAACTATATACTATACCCACTGGTGTTAATTAATTAAGCAGTGGGGTTACTATTGACAGTTATTATTATCGTCAACTCATATGTATTAATTAATCATAACTACTACTACTAATATATAGTAGTATCTATTAAACTGTAAATGTAGATGTCGTCGGACAATGAGTGGTTATTACCTAAAACTTGGCTAATTTCCAGCCTATTGCACTATACCGTGCTAAAGTCCAGATTATCCCACTTGATACAGCTAATGCACCTTCGTATAATACAAAATTTCTATAATTGATTAAAGTTCCATGACTTATAACCAATGATGCAAAATACATCCCTAACATCGTTAAAAATCCTAATAAGAAATAAAGAGTACCATAAACTTTACCAAAGTTATTTGATGAACAGATTTGTCCTGTACATGCTGGAATTAACGATATAACTGCTGATGTCGAAATACCAAATAATGCTGCAAATGCAAATAATAATCCTACTGATCCTTTGGCAGGTAACCAAAGTCCAAAGATAACTATCGTAGTTAATACTGAAGTACCAATCATAACATTAAATCTACCATATTTATCAGCCAATATACCTGATACTAAACGTGAAGGAATACCACACACATTAACAATAGTAATTAAAAGATAAGCATTTGAATTACTTAATCCAAAATTTAAGGCATATGATGATAAATATGTTAAACTTGACATGGAGATTAATTCAGCTAACCAAACTGCTAAAGTTAATAATACAAATCTCAGATCTTTTAATATGGTAAAATCAAGAGCTCCCTTTAAGAAATTTAAACTTGTTTTTAAAACATTTCCTTGCGTGAATACATCCGATATTTGACTATTAATATCACCATGAGCTTCTTGATCTGATACCAGTTTCTTTTCTTTAGCTCTTTCCTTAACTAATAAAACAGCAATACCCATACAAAATAAACATATAAATGCTAATACTCTTATAGCCCATTTATATCCTACCTTAGTATATAATTGTTGTAATAAGATTGAAAAACATGAAGCTCCAACTAACCCTCCAATGGTGGCAATTGAACATGCCATAGCTCTTTTCTTTAAAAACCAATGACTTAATACTCCAATTAATGGAGACATACACACTGAAGTCCCTAATGCTGTCAATATACTAAATGATAAAATAAACTGATACAACGTACGACTTTCAGCGGTAGCGAATAATCCACAACAGAGTAAAACGGTTCCAGCCATCAATGGTCTTTTGGCTCCATATCTATCAAATAATTCACCAAAAAATACACCACCAAAATACATAACTCCTAAATGTAAAGAAAAAATCCATGATACATTAACATTCTTATCCAATATTAATTGATGGGTTGAAATATATGATTCAATAGCACCCATTGAATTAGCAATTCCAAAATCAGCAATTAGTCCCATAAATGATCCGAATAATACTATATAAGCTTCTTTACCACCATCAGGAATAGAAGCAGCATTAGTTTCAGAAGCATACATCAAAGCAGTAGATTCATCAACTGGTTTAGTCGTGACAGTAGTATCTAACTCATATGCAATGACTTCATTTTCATTGATCATGTTATCTAGTTCTATGTCTTCATAATCATTGGTTTGAATAGTTCGAACACGAGCGATGCCTTTACTTTGTAATTCCGGTAATTCAAGGATCTGAATAGGTTCAGTCTGAGATGTTATAGGGGTACTCGTCTCCATTGATCTTGTTTTCTGATCCTTATTCTCCCTGTTTCGATCTATAAAGTAAGATCTATGCTATATAAATACCGTTTAATTATATCGTTTACGTTTACATAGATGAATATGACTAATTGAAAATTCAGGCGGATTATGCAGCAATAAAATTTTAAACGGGAGAAATAATATTTTTCCCGTTTGAGATGTGGAGTTAGAAGACTCCACACCGTTAAATATGATTATAAAAGATAGTTATATGTCAGCAGATAGTTCATTTATACTATTTATTCCGTAAGTTAAACAAAACACAAAAAGCTTGTAAATAGATATTTCATAGAGAGCTGCTAGTAAAACGATATGACATATTATACAGTTTCCTCGAGGTTAATATATGGAATACCATCTAATTAGAAAGTGTTATTAAGTAAGCTATTCACAATTGGATCATCAACATTTAAAATTGATTCAAGATGTAATCAATGTCATGATAATGAAATCAAAGTAATAATCAATTAATCTGATCCCATTCGTATAATTCGTAATAAATTTGGTACTAAAATAGAAACTGTAAAAACTCAATCTGTAAAAATTTATAACCAGCAAATATGGTCTCAACATTTTACAGTTTAAAATAAGGTGGACTACGTACCAAAATAAAGATCACTATCGAAATCAAAAGTATATAACACGACTAATTCCATACTATTAATAAACTACACAATTATGTCAGAGGAAAATAAGATTACCACAGGAGAAGATGTTGAAAATACATCAGATAATGAGTTGTCCAAAGAAGAAAGATTGGAATTGGCTCGTAAGAAGTTTGAAGAATTGAAGAAAAAGAAGAAGGGTAAGAAATCAAAAAAGACTAAGAAAGATGAAGAAGCTACTAATGAAGACGGTGATGATGCTGAAAGTCGAGAACAAACTCCAGCTGTTGAAGATACACCTGATGTTGAAGGTGATGCTAAGGAAGATGATACAGTTGAAGAATCTAAACCAGAAGAAGTGAAAGAAGAACAGCCAAAAGAGACACCTGCTGAAGTTGTTGAACAGCCAAAACAAATAATACTGGAACCAGTATCAACATCCACATCCACATCAGACGAAGAAGTTAAAGCACTCAAAGATACCATTGAACAACAAAAGAATACTATTAAGAAATTAAGAGATGAAAATACTGATTTAAAATTACTTAAAATGGACCTTAATGATAAAATATCAGAATTACAAAAAGAAGTTAAATTATTACAAGGATCAGGAGGTTCAACCGGTACAAGTAGTACCAACTATATCCCAAATCCAGTATTATCTCCAGCCAAACCAATTGTACCTGCTAAACCAGTATATACTCAAAATGATTATGCTACATTATCACAACAGAACTTTGCTAAATTCAATCATACTGAAGATTTTAGAGAAAAATTAATGGTTTGGAAAAGTTGGCAAGTGGATATGACTAATTGGAGTCAAACTCAAAAGGTAGCTCTTTAAATAATAAATCTTTTATTATCTATATTTAAGTAAATAAATCCTTTTCTATGTACAAAATTAATAATAACGTAAATACCTATTTAACACGATATAATGCAACACCATCTAAGTTTCTTTTAGCAGCCTCTTGGATTTCGATGACTTCCTTTTCCTTTTCATTCTTTATGAATATACATTCAGCAGGTTGTAAAGGTTTAATGAATCTTACTGCTAAACCAGATGCTAAAGCTTTAACTTCTTCTTTAGTTAAATTAACTTTTCTACCTGGTTTAGAAACTAAGGAAATATCTCTTATGACAGGTTGATTGTTACGATATTTCAAACCTAACCACAATCTTCTGGTGGATATATTATCAGGAGTAACATCTACTGGAGTGACATCTGGTCCTGTGGTTGATCCTCGTTGTATCGATGATATAAATCCTTCTTTATATAATCCACTGGCTATTTGTAAATGCAATCTTGTAAATGGCACTGATGTGCTTGATATATTAACATTCGTACAATTCTTTATATGGGCACAGAAGTTTGCCAAATGAACAAATGACATCTTTGGTTGATATAATGAACTGTTAAAGTGTCTAATCTTGTCTGGTTCAATGATTCTTGTAGTTGAAAAATTTCTGTATTGAAAAAAAAAAAAATCACCAAAAAAATGTTCACGTGATTAAATTGAAAATTTGGAAAACAGACCATTTAGCATTGAATTAATTATTCAAAGGCCGTTACTATTGTATGAATTGAATTAGATCTATAGAACTCATTTCTTCAATTATTATGTTTGCATTAAGATCTCTAGCTGGAAACGTTATAAAACGTCAAGTTGGTGTGAAAAATGTCAATAGTGTGATTGCATCCACCAGATCATATGCTAGTGCAACAAGACGAAGACCAGGTGGAGGTCCTAAAATTCGTTACCTTTTCTATATGCTTGGTTTATCATATGCTGCATTATACTATGCTGGAGGGAAAGTGAGTAATAAGAAGAATAAGGATTCATTCTCTGAACGTGAGTTTGAAGAATATGAAAAGGAGACTCGTTTAAAGAGACGTCATAAATTAATAAAAGATTCAAGATATACCTTCTATGTTATCCCATTCATTGAAGATTCAAAGATACTTAAACAATTGGAAGATAATTTACAAAAGAGTGACCCTGAAAAGCTTGTTAAAATTATAGATGCCGAAGATTTGATCGCTAAAGAGAAACAAGATGAATCCAAGAAATATACTTATCTTCTTCAAGATTTAGATGCCACTGGTAGAGAATATCCTAAAGGTTTAATCACTTCAATCATCAAGGAAGAGATCGAGTTGTATTTAAATACTAGAAATGGAACATTTGAAACCAATTTCATCATTAGAAATTATCCTCAATCCACTGATGAAGCTATTAAGTTTGAAAACGATGTTTCTGATATATCAAAATGTTTGATATTGGATGGAGTTTCAACTACAAGTCTTTCCGAAGATCAAATTAGAGCAATCGATAATGTTAATGGATATTTTGAAACAGTAGGTAAAAGTAAATCATTAACTAAAAAGAACATTAAAGATGCATTCAAGGATTAATTCATATATATATAATTTTACACATACTCTCTTGTACATAACTTATTTACTAATACATGTGTGATAATCAAAAGAACTCTTCTGGTGTTTTGAAATTGGTAATACCTATATTCTGAGCAAATTTCAAATCACTATCCAGAAAATCTTTAGCTCTACCAGCGGCATCACCAACATAAAAACTGTTTGTAACATCTATTTTAGCTTCATTACCAAGATAACTTAATAATTCCTTCCACATACCTGTATTAGGTTTTCTCATTAATTCATGACTTTTAGTATTGGTTTCCTTAGCTGGTTTCTTAGGAGATGCAAACACCAATATTTCAGTGTTATCTTCTTTTATGGATGACTTTATAGTGGAAATGATTAAATTGACTCTTTCTATGAAATTATTATATGACTTGTTAGATGGGTTAGCCACTACACCACCTTGATTAGTAAATATGACAATCAAATACTTTTCCTCTATCAATTTATTCAATTTAGTTAGAATTTGTGATGATGAATCCTTAGTAGATCGCGTCCACCATTTCCAATCATGAGATGATATGGCGAATTTTCGTCCTGATTTTGTATCTATCAACGTCCCATCTAAATCAAAGGCAGCAATTTTGATTTCTTCCTTAAAATTCTTAATGATATATGATTTAGAAGGTAAATTGTGTATTAAATGAGTGCCAATGATTTTCCATCTTGATGCAAAAGATGATCCTGACGCGATATCTTTGAGTACTTTGGTTTCAGTACTGGTCAGTAAAGATGCTTTAGTGGTGGTTGATGGAGTAGTAGCAACTTTGGTGATTCTTCCTGCCATCAACGATCGTATATCCTTTGGTGCCATTGTAAAGTCTAGTCTATTATCTGGTTGTTGATATATCTATAGTAAGTGAAAAATCAAAATAAATATATTTGATTGAAAAAAAATTAATTGTACAATATATATTTAGTACTCTTCTTATCAACTAACGTACACTTAATTTCAAAACACAAACCATAACATTCATTTGACATCATTCAGAGCATTGAAATGACGGATGAAGAGAAGAAATCCATAGATCAATATGGTAGACGAACGTGGAATGTGGAACTTTATGAGAAAGAAGCCAAAACCTCGAAGAAGCCGCAAAAAACCACGACTGGGTCAATAATCCCAACTTCCGTCATTAATGATGATAAATCATCATCAGATTATATCAAGCATAGAAATACATTATTGAATGATCTGTTGAATGCCGTTAAAGTTCATAATCTTATTGATCCTTCTATCTCATCTTCGACATCTATGGCAGGGAAGAATAAACGATTTGGATTCTTTTGCCCTATTTGTAATTTATCATACCGAGACAATTTAGCTTTGATAGATCATTTCAATTCATTACAACATGTTAGGAATGCCAATGAATTAAGTAAAGCGAGAAAGAAGGCAAATAAGAGTGGTAAGGAAGGTGTAGATGGAGAGGATGATGAAGAAGAAGAAGAAGAACCTGAAGAATTGGAAGGAGGAATACGACGTGCTACGACGAAAGAAGTCATTGCTACCATAGAAGCATTAGTTCAGAAACTGATACGATTGAAAGGGCAAGATAATAAGTCTAATCAACTTTCATTTTTACAAAGGGTAGAAAAGAGAAAGCAATTTGACCAAAAAAGAAGGGAAAAAAGACGTGAACAAAGACTTCGAAGTAAGTCACTGAAGAATAATGATACATTGATTGATCAGGATCACCATTCCATGGAAATAGAGTCATTAATGGGTATAAATAGTTTTGGTAGTAGTAAGAAATAGATAGTTAAATATATAACCTGTAAATATACTGCATTAATCTGTAAAACTTTCCACCTTATCTGTAAACTACATATTTTACAGTTTTTGATGATTTTTTTTCTGTTCATCCAATAAAATTATCTTGAAAAATGTTTATGCGATTAATGTTTGTTTAGATATTGAATTGAAGGTAAAGCAGCATATATCAAACATGGTGAAATTTACATTTAAATTCCCATTAAGTGGGTTATTGAAGCTTAATTTTGGTAAATTCAATTATCAATTAGAACAAGATATTCGTACCAAATTAGATTCTTTACCATCTGTTACCAAAATTTATACTAATCCAGATGGAACTCCAAGAGTACCCACCGATCAAGAATTCAAAGTGATCTCTGAATTACAAAACTTATACTATAAAAGAAATCATTCCGAATGGAACTTCATATTACCAGGTATCCCAAGAGAACAATTAGATTTACATAAAGATAATACTCAAGATTTAACCAACTTTCAATTTGTTACCAAAGATGCTGGTAAAATCATTGATAAAATCCCTTATAAAGATGAAACTACTGGAGAGTTGAAATGGAAGATTGTTCGTGAAACTGAAAAGGCTGAAGGATGGGAATTTCCTTATTTCTATTTGGTATTACCAATATTTGCATATGTAGCTTATGCTAAATATACTGCTCAAATGAAGAGAAGAGAAAATGAAGGTCCAGAATGGGCTGAAAAGGAATTAAGATTAAGAGCTATGGAAGAATATTTCCATGGTGATACTGCTAAAGCCAAGGAATTCTTAAGCAATGAAGGTAAATCAACAAGAGAAATTAGAGATAGAGATGATTTAGTTATTGCAAGAATCTTAGCTGGTGATTATGATAAATTATCTCAATTAAAGAAGAAATTACCAGTTGATTTGATTCCAAAAGCCGAAGCTCATCCAATCATTAAAGTTTAAATAGACTAAACCCATTCATCAATAGTATTATTAATGCCTTCATCATCATTTTTCATTTTTATATAAAAACATATATAAAGTAAACTATATTCTCGTCATATACATTTTTCACATATTTATATTATTACAACATGCAGATGTATTGTATCTCTCTATTTACAAGTGTCTAACATTCTCCACATTCTTCTATAACGATTTTAGTAGTTGGTTTCCCACCTCTAGTACCATAACTTTCAATCTTTTTAACTACATCAAACCCCTCAGTGACTTCTCCAAATACAACATGTTTACCATCCAACCAAGGACATGCAACAGTAGTAATGAAGAATTGGGAATTATTAGTATTTCTCCCAGCATTGGCCATCGATAATAATCCAGGTTTGGTATGTCTAACTCGGAAATTTTCATCATCAAATTTCTTACCATAAATAGATTTACCCCCAAACCCTAAACCATATTCAATATCTCCACCTTGAACCATGAAATTAGGTATCACTCTATGGAATGGTGATCCAGCATATCCAAATCCTTTCTCCCCCGTACATAATGCTCTGAAATTCTCAGCTGTCTTTGGAACTACATAATCGTATAATTCAAATTTGATGGGATTCTGTTTAATACCTCCTATTGATACATTGAAATATACTTGAGATGATACCACAGAGCTAGATGAAAATGATCTAACACTTCCAAATGATCTGAATATACCAGTCCTTATCATTGCTGTTCGTGTATCGATTTGAATCTGGTTAGATCTTGATATTGCAAATGGGTTCCTGAAAGCTGAAAAAAAAAAACCGTTCTCCAGATCGAACTTACAATTTTTTGTTTGGATTTACTCTAAATTTATTTGTGTCGTAGATTTCAAATTAAAAAAACATATAAAAAATAGTATATCAAGTTTTGTAGAATAGATATGACAAGAAGAAGAACAGAAGCTAGTATCGATATATATAGAGAACGCATTTAGAAACTTAACAAATCAACTTCACCGTTGTTTGAAGAGTTACCTTGTTGATTAGTATTGGTACTTTTACTACCACCATTATTATTATTGTTGTTATTATTGTTGGCACTAAAACCACCGAAAAAGTCATCGTCTATAGGAGCAGCAGCAGTTGGCTTAGCAGGAGTATATGTATTGGTAGGAGTAGTTTTGGTTTTGGTTTTTGCAGAAGAGAATAATGATGAAAATGCATCATTTTTTGGTTGTGGTGCTGCTGGACCAGTAGTTATAGATGAGTTTACATTATAATTTGGAGCACCAGAGCCGTAAGATGGAACTCTCAGTTGAGATTGTTGTTGTTGTGGAATGGCGTTTTGATATGCTAATATAGGATTTTGTGCTGGTTGACTTTGGAAAAAGTTGGCGTTAGAGAATTGCTGTTGTTGTTGATGTTGAACTGGTTGTTGTGATTGAGGTAAAGATGGCGCAGCTTGGAAATCATCAAAATCATCATCGTCATCATCATCATCAAATTGAGCAGTAGAGTGTCCATTACCACCTGAAGGTTGTGAAGAACCACCAAAGTCTAAATCACCTAATAAATCAGGTTCTGGAGCACTTGGTTTTTTGGTAGCACTAGCAGTAACTTTACTCAGAGCAGTAGTTGGTTTAGATGAACTTGAAGATGAAGCAGCAGCAACATCATATTCTTCATAATTTTCATTACCAGTTTGACCGTTCTTATAAGCAGCAGCAGGATCATCGAATCTTTCACCATAAACACCACCATCCCCATAAACTCTATTAGTAAAATCACCTTCATCATCATAACCACCAGTAGTAATTGAAGAAGCACCTCCGAATGCAGCAGATGAAACACCACCAAACTTCTTGGCATTGGCTCTTGCTTTCTTTCTTTCAGATCTTATCAAAGCATCATCATTTAAAAATGCAATTAAATTCTTAGCTTTATTTCTAACATTAATACCTTGATCTCTACCTTTTGAATCAATATAATGGAATGATTTTAACATTTGAATTAAGGATAAATTGGCTCTGACATCATCAATTAATCTTTCAGAACCATTCTTAAGTAAATAATCTAATAATTGTAAGGCCTTATAGATTTGTCTCCATTCATTGGCTGCTTTTTCAGTAAAACGACGGAATACAAATCCTATAATTTCTTCTCTTTCTCTATAATTATAAGTACCAGCAGCGATTTGAGCCATCAATGTAGATGGAGAACCCCATGGTTCGTTATTGGTGGCTTCACGGACTTTTGATTCCATTTCAGTCAAGTTCATAGCAACTATATTTAAATGTTAGTAAACTTTCAATTCATAAAAACTTGGGAAGCATGACAAACCAACCGGCTCCTCCTTAAAAATCAATTGGATACATACCATTTTGTGCTTTACGAACATAAGCCTTGACATCGTAAAGACTGATGTTCTTAGCGGCGTCCTTTAAAAGATCCATGGTCAACTATACTATCAAATGAATCGATTGATTATCAATGGACAACTGAAACCTCTGACTTTCAACCAGATTTTAAAGAATGTGTGTCAAAATTGAAATCGAAATGGATCCCACTCACTCTCACTCTGGAAAAAAAATAATTAAAGGAGTAGATTCGGTATATGCAGGAAATGGATTTCTACTATGCTTAAAGTATACAAATGGTATATATTATTAAATGCTAAGATGCTAAGATGCTATATATATAATTATAATGCTATGATAATGTTGGTGATTAAAAAGTATAATACAAAGGGAGGTATAGTGATAGTTGGAAGGAATATCTACTGCTTGTGATTTGATTTAACGTAAGCTCCTTCTCAGGTTTGTTTCTTTCTATATTTAGATTTGATACCTGCAGTCAACTCTCGGAGTTGCTGTACATTCTTTGGCAATGGTTTGGAGTACTCATCAGTGACATCGTATGTTCTCTTTGAATTTGGTGAACTGGCAGGAGTACTTTCTTCCATAAAACCTTTACCAAAACCCAATAATGTAGATACATTGATATTATTGGTAGTCATGTTGGATAACATGGTAGTATTGTTCTCTACAAAGGTAGAATTATCAAATTTATGACGTGTAGTAGGCTTTAAATGAATTGATGATTTGGATGTATTCAAATGATTGTTCAAATATTCAAACCTTCTTGTTCTCTTGGCTTTCTCAAGTAAATTATTTTCAGTTTCTTTGATCTCTTCAATAAGTTTAGGTATTTCAATTGGTTTCTCAATTAAAAGGGGTTTCTTCTTTCGATTGATTCGATCTAATTTTTTAGTTCCTCTTGATGTTAACTCTAATGTGAACTTCTTACTAAGATCTTTGAAAGCATTATTAAGAATATTACTGATATTTCCATCTTCAACGGTCATATCACAAAATACAATACTACTAACATTCTTCTTATCTGATTCAAATGAAGATAACCCCAATAAATCAATCACATCAACTATTGACCCCAGCGATGAAGCATCCCAATAAACAACCAATACTTGAACTTTATAATAACTGAATTTATCAACCAATGAAATAATCTTCTCCAAGACCAATCTATCCTTTTTAAGTTTTTCTTCAATACTGATTCCATTCGAATCACCAGTTAAACCACATTCAAAGAGTATAAACGAAGTAGTAGAGAAGAAATCTTTACTTAAATAATCTTGGCCTGGTAAACTCAACAAATTAAGAGTGATTTTATTATTAGTGATTATATTTTGATAAGTCTTTTCCACTTGATTTGGTTTTAATGATAATTTAGTATTCAACCATTTTGAATATGGACTGGACCAATTCTCCACAATTAAGAGGAATTTCAAATTAAGATTCTCATTCTCAATCGATATCTTAACGTTATTGGTACAGTTATTAACAAATTGATTAAGATCGATCGGAGACCATAATTCATTAACTTTATTCTGTTTCTCCATTATAGAAGTATTACTAACCTTAATCTTCTTTGATCTTTGAGTCATGGATGTATCACTACTTGATTTAGGACGTTTAATTTGAGGAACTTTAAATTGAACTGATTTCAATTCTTGTAATTTCTTTTGTCTAATTTCTCGTTTCTTAATTAATTTACCTCCAATGACATTTAATTTCTGAATCATTCTCTTTTGTAAACTCTTCTTGAATTGGAAATCGGCGGTGGCATTCATGATTTCTTGATAAATGATTTCACTTAAAAATGCATTATACAACTCATTACTTAAAGTTTGTATGACTTTACCATGTTCTTTCTTTAAATTATGTAAATGACTTAATTTAGGTAATAAAGCTTTCAATTCCAATACTATTGATTCATTAAATATCTCATCAGTGATTTGTTTTAAAGCAAGTCCAAATTGAGGATGATCTGTTAACTTGATTTTCTTCGGAGCTGCAGGAGGTGGTATTATAGTTGGTTTCTTTACGACTATTTCTTCTTTTTTGAATTCTGGTATCAGTTTGATTTCTTGAAGTTTGGTAGGAATGGCAAGAGGAGATGGAGTTGATGGTTTGATTTCGAATTTAAGTGGAGTAGTCTTAATTTCTTTAATTGGTTTATTGAATGAAGGAGTAATTGATGCCACAGACTGAGGCTTTGAGAATCCGAATGTGGACTTTTCAACTGGTGGTATTGGCTGCTGTGGTGGTGCTTGTGCTTGCGGTTGTTGTGCTGGTGGGTCAAATGAAAATGCTGGTGGAGTATTAACCAGTGGTGTTGAGACTGGCTCTTTGACTATAGTTGGAGCAAAACTAAATGCTGGCTCTTGTTTAGTGATAGGCGGTAATTTGGCTTGTTGAGGTTGACCAAATGGTTGACTGAGTGGTTGACCAAATTGACCAAAAGAAGATTGTCCGAATGATTTAACTGTTTGGGAAGGAGGTGGAAGAACTTTCTGGAATGAATTAACCTGATCAGGGTTTAAACCTACTACTGAATCATTACCAGAATTAATAATATCACGATAACTTCCATTCATCACTAATTGACGAGAATATGATGGAGTAAATTTAGCTTTATCTTGAGCTGAATTCAATTTATATTTAGTTTCCAATTTTTCTTTATTAAATAAATCCACTTTAATTTCACCATCTTCTTCCATAGTATCAATTTCATAATAAGTAACAAATTTAATAAGTTTCTCTACTGAATCAAAACCAAGAATAGATTTAAGAGCATCAGCAGAATATGCTTTACCCTTTGAATGATAACATCTTACCATAGCTTTCAAAGCATAGAATCTGATTTCATTAAAATGAGTTTCAAGTAAACATGCCATTAAGAATGGAGTAGTCGAACTATCGAAAACCACTTGGAAAAATTCTGCAAATAAATTCACTGCTCCAATAGTATTAGCCACTCCTCTTTCCGCTATATTATTTTGAGATATGATATGTCTTAATCTGATAGCCAATTGTAATTTTGGATCTTGGAAAATATGACTAGGTAAGTTTTGAACTTCTCTTTCTAATTCAGGATCTCTCAAATGACTTAAAAGATGATAAGCTCTAAATTCAGCTTCATTAGGACAACTTCCACCATTATTTCTAACATCGCGATAAATTTCAATTAAAGTTTGCATGGCTTTATTAAATTGTTCTAATTCTTGTTGTTGGGAATATTCAACATCACTACCAGCCATGACATGAAGGGATAATAAATGAATTCTAACGATTCTTTCATTACATTCAATTGCTTCTGGTCCAAATGAATTTTGATAAGTGAAATCTTGTCTGATTGATCTTGTTCTATCCCATATGAATGAATGAGCTTCAGGTAATTGATCAAGAACAGTATCAACTAAATAATTTAATGATTGTTTTAAAACATGAGGAGGACGAACTTCTGAAGGTAATGGAGGTGGCTGACCAGCAGCAGGTCTTGAAAATGCTTTAACAGCTCTTTCAGGAGCGATTTTCTTAGATATAGGATCTCTTTCTAAAGCCTTAACGTTATTTTCTAATGCTCTTCTTACTCTTTCAAATACAGGACACATATCTAAACAAGTACCTTGAAATGAAATGGCATCATTTAAATCTTTACTAATATTTTCAGCATCGACTAATCCTAACTGTTCCATTTGTTTCCTTTCGATTTCTCTCATTTTTTGAAACTCTTCATATAATCCTTGATAATCTTTACCACCATTTGATAATTCCATTTCTCTCATTTTTGCTTGATTTTGTTGATCCCAAGCATTCTGTTGGAAAGTTGGAGTATGTAATAATCTAGGTTGAATTAATAAATATTTCGGTATAGGACGAGGTCGTATGTTCTTTTGAGGGATTCGTTTAAATTGATTTAAATCCTGAGGTGAATTGAATAAATTACCCGTTAATGATATTTCATTAGATGAATAATTTTGATATTGTAATTGTGATTGTCTTGGGATAACAGTTGTCGGTATATCCAATGGATCATCTTCCACTGGCATTGGCATCGGCAGTTCAGTTCGATTATTTCGTTCTGTTTTCAATGGTTGTGATTGTTGTTGAGGTTGTTTCTTCCTCTGCTGGCCCTTGGCACCATTATTATTACTGTTTCCTTGCCTGTTACCTCTATTATTATTAGACAGTGCTGTACCATTAGCCCGATTAGATTGATTGTTATTACTATTATTAGTTGATTTATTACCTTGACCACTCCTTCGTGGATCGCTGAACCCATTATTAAATTTTGGATTGAATCCATTTTGGTTCGATTTAAAGTCAAACCCATTACCATTGGTAAGGTTTGACATCCCACCAAATGCTGACATTATCCTTTCTTGCCAGCCTATACGCTTTGAATCCTTATATGACCAAGGTTCGTTGTACAAGATGTGATATGACTGTCAGACAATCCGATGTCAGAACTTAAATGTGATATGATATGATGACGAAGACAAGTTCAGTTCAGTTCAGTTCTGTTTGGAGATTTGACATTTTTTTTTATTTTTTATTTTCGTTTTGGTGATTATTTTTTTTTCGGTCTGTCTACACAATAAAGAGAGATTTATCATACACTGTTACAATAATATGTTCTATATGTCTATTATAAGGTTATATAGTATATAAGGAATCCCTTCTGGAGTCGTTCTGTCAACATATGATCAGGTATGACATATACTTTCAAGTCAGATCTAAGTAATTGCGATATGAAATCTTCAAGAGTGACAGGATCTCTCATTTGTAATGCCACTAAAGCTATGGTTGTTGATGACATTAATGATTTCAAAGCATTGATGAAATGTGGGATTAAATAGTGATTGTATATGGTATCACATGCTATTATAATATCAGGCAATGATGATGATTGGCCTAATGATTGACAATTATATAACCCTTGATCAATATCTTCCCAATCAAATTCTATAACTTCGATTTTATGGGGAGGAGGAATTTTAGTCAGTTTCTTAGTCAGTTTCTTGGAATCAACCATAACCACATTATCATTGATATTCTCTTGAAGTAACTTTAATATATGTTTCTGATCAGTAGCAATATACCTCGCTACTCTAGGACCCAATATCGATGCACAAATCCCACTTACACCAGTCCCTAACTCTACTACGGTTAAATTCAGATTCTTATTATTGAACATGGAATAAAATGGACCTGATTCGAATCCAATTAACCAATCAAGGAAATATGTAGCTGATTGCCAACATACAAATCCTGTTGAAGATTGAGCTGATGATAAACTTGATAATGATTGTTTGATAGTAAGATCTATCTCTGAGATATCCAATGAGATTTGGATTTCATGTTTCGATTTATTAACATATCCTAGATCTTGACCTGATGGAGCAGCTCTAATGGAATATATTTCATAGATATGATCTTCTGCCGATTCAATTAATTCGAAATCAGATACATTCACCGCCATTGACACCCTCTCCAGTGATGAAGTGTAGTCCTTTACAGAGTTTGATCAAATCTCACAGTTTATTTTTTTTTTGTACTATGTAAACGTTTTATATTTATTATGATGATAATTTAAATATCTTTAAAAACTATATACTTTTTAATATCCTTAAATAAGTTTTTGAGCTAAAAGTAATTCAGCAATCAATATACCTGAACCAGCAGCACCAATAATGGTATTATGAGATAAAACCACCATTTTAAAATCTAATACTGGATCTTCTCTAATTCTACCTACAGAAACACCATACCCATTATCTCTATTTCTATCTAATCTAGGTTGAGGTCTATCTTGTTCTTCCAAGACATGTATGGTTTGTTTTGGAGCTGAATGACATCCTGCTTTAAAGGCATCACAAACATAATCACGTAATACTTGTTTGACTTGTTCAACTGATGGAGCTGGTCTTTTAGCAAATCTTAATGAAATACATTCAGTATGACCATCACTTACAGCCACTCTATTACATTGAGCACTTACTTTCATTTCTTCATCAGGAATATTAACAAATTGAGTACCAGCTTTATTCACAGTACCTAAGATTTTTTTAGTTTCCCATTCTAATTTATCTTCTTCACCTCCAATATATGGAATGATATTATCTAAGATATCAATGGATGGAACACCAGGAGAAAAACCTGCACCAGAAATAGCTTGTAAAGTAGTAGCAGTTAAAGCATCAATAGGACCAAAGGCTTCAACTAAAGGTTTTAATGGAGCTACTAACCCAGCAGTTGAACAATTTGAAATACAAATTTGATAACCTGGCTTTGGTTTACCTTCAGCTTTAGCATCAGATAATTTCTTTGCAATGACGGATAAATGTTCAGGATTAACAATAGGAACAATTAATGGAACATCTAATTCTCTTCTATAATTTTTAGCATTGGAAACAACAGCTAATCCTGCTTCGACAAATTCTTTTTCAATAGTTCCAGCATAATCAGAATCTAAACCTGAAAACACAACATCACATTCTGCGAATGGACCAGTTGCTTTACATTCAACCACTTCGAGTTGTTTGGCTGATTCAGGTAATAATTCAGTTTGTTTCCATGAAACAGCATCTATATATTTCTTACCTGCTGAACGTGATGATGCACCCAAAGCATGGATTTCAAAATCAGGATGATTGGATAATAATAATATGAAACGTTGACCCACTGATCCAGTGGCCCCTAAGACACCAGCTTTCTTTAATGCCATGGTTGATAATATGTAGTTGTAGAAAGAATAAGTAATAGATTTAAAGATGTTTACGTATAAGTTGATTTTTGTTGTGACTCAATCTTTAATTTTTCACTGACAATAATTTCGCACATCATCTGAGCGGAGACGGCGATGACGATTGTTATTTTATACTATGTAGTTTGATTGCTGCAAATATCTGTCGATTATGAATATCATATACAACTATTTGACAAAAGTATTCGTTAATAACTTTTATGTGATGGAAGAATATATTGATAGATATCTTGGAGTTTGTGCATTAGCTGCTAAATGTAGATAATTACTGTTTAAAGTTGTAATTACAACTAAAAGTTGGAGTCATAAGGGGTGACCATTTTCAGAAGGTGATAGTTAGAAATCTGAATTGATCAAATTGGATTTACTGCATCATATCTAACTTTAATTAAAGTATATAAGTTATTTCTTCAAATACGACAAAACTATGTCGAAAAGTGGTGATGATGATGATCTTATTTTCGACATAAGAAATGACAAAAGAATGTCGCCTTTCACAAATTAATAAAAAAAAAGAAAACGACGCGGTTCGAAAATTTCTTTCAGTTTTAAATTTCAAACTTCAACCAGGACCATATAGATCTTTCATTCATCATTCATCATTATAATCATCATTGAATAATCAAATAATCAAATCATCCAGCCATGGTCAATACTGATTTTGAAAAGATCTACCTTAATCAATCCAAAAGCAGTGGTCGTATGCGTATAGCCGACTCGGGATTGGGTTGGAAATCGATTGCTCCTACCAATAATGAACCATTTTTATTACCATCAGAAGAAATAGTATCAACTCAATGGTCAAGAGGTTCAAGAGGATATGAATTAAGAGTTCAAACCAAGAATAAAGGAGTAGTGATGTTGGATGGGTTTGATGTTGAGGATTTTAATCAATTGAAACAAGAATTACAAAGAAATTTCCATTTAACTTTAGAACATCGTGAACATTCTTTAAGAGGGTGGAATTGGGGTAAGAATGATTTAGCTAGAAATGAATATATTTTCAATGTCAATAATAAACCAGCATTTGAAATTCCTTATAAAGCTATCAGTAATTCGAATTTAACTGGTAAAAATGAAGTTGCTATTGAATTAGATTTAGAAAATGTTACTGCTGGTGATGAATTAGTGGAAATGAGATTTTATGTTCCAGGAACCATTGAAAATGAAGATAAAGTAGTCAAGAATGGTAATTCAGTTAAAAAGGAAGGAGAAAATGGTGAAGAAGTTAAAGAAGAGAATGAAGAAGAAGAAGAAGAAGAAGAACAAGATCAAGAAAATGAAAAAAGTGCAGCATCGGTATTTTATGAACAAATTAGAGATAAAGCTGATATTGGTCAAGTTGCAGGTGAAGCCATTGTATCATTCAGTGAAGTATTATTCTTAACTCCAAGAGGTCGTTATGATATTGATATGTATCCATCATCATTAAGATTAAGAGGTAAAACTTATGATTATAAAATTCAATATAAACAAATCGAAAGAATTTTTTCATTACCCAAACCTGATGAAGCTCATCATTTAGTTATATTACAAATTGATCCACCATTAAGACAAGGTCAAACAAGATATCCATTCTTAGTATTACAATTCTTAAAAGAAGAAGAAACTGAAGTTGAATTGAATATTAGTGATCAAGATTATAATGAAAAATATAAAGATAGATTACATAAAACTTATGATTCATTAACTCATTCAGTAATGTCACATTGTTTAAGAGGATTAACTGAAAGAAGATTAATAATGCCAGGATCATTCAAAAGTAGTATTGGTCAACCTGGTATATCATGTTCATTAAAAGCATCAGAAGGTTATTTATATCCATTGGATAGATGTTTTGTATTTGTTACTAAACCAACGATTTATTTACCATTTTCAGAAATAAGTAATATCACCATGTCAAGAACTGGAGGAGGTATAACAGCATCAAAGACATTTGATTTAGAAATTAATGTAAGAGGATCAAATCAACCTCATATTTTCGGTAGTATAGATAGAGCAGAACAAGAAACCATTGAAAGATATTGTGCTGAAAAGGGTATTAGAATTAAGAATGAAGAAAAAATCGCTCAAGCAAGATTAGCCAAAGCTATAAATGACGCTGGTGATGATGATGACGATGATGAAGATGTTGATATGGGTAGTGCTGGTGAAGAAGAAAGTGCCGATGATGATTTTGAATCTGGATCTGATTCCGACGTGGCTGAGGAATTTGATTCTGAAGCTTCACTTAGTGGAAGTGATGATGAAGGTGGAGATGATAAAGGAGGTGATGATAGACCACCAACTAAGAAGTCAAAAAATTAATGAAATTTTGTATAGTATAGTTAGCTCACTTATTCTTTCTCTCACACTCACTTACACTTTCATTTCATTTCATCTGATTTAAATAACACATATATGTACATTTAGTTAAAACGTTGTAACACTATTCATTTATCATACATGAACTATATCATTGGCGGTTGACAGTTGTAACTTGCTTAAAGATGCATTTTGCGGCTTGACGGTGTTACACTCACCCCCATAGCATTTCCTAATGCGGACAGTCCCAGCCTCTTTTTTTTTTTTTTTTGGATGTTGCAAGAAAAAGAAACTTTATTTTTCTGTCTCATACAAATTTAAAACACTGTCTATACAGAAATATACTTGATGATACGGGATGAAGAAACCATAAATAGATTTAGATTTAGCCCAGCCAGCAATTTTTAAGATAAACGAATTGATTGTTTAAATATTTACTTACATACCGAAATAATACTTCAAAGGAATATTTAAAAGAAAAAGAATATATATTGTATTATTTGCTTCTTTGTGGAGATAGAACATAGCATAGACAATCAATTATAATTAGACAATCAAACAGTGTATGTATTCAACCATGCAACATACAATGAATTTCGAATCAATAGCCATGTTTGCTGCTATTGATGTGGACACGATGGAAATACCGGTACGTTCTCCCAAGAGATTATATAGTGGTGGTTCATTCACCAAGGATGTGATAAATGTGGATGAAGCAGCTGATGAAAGTTCATTAGAAGAACAAAATCATGATACTCTGAGTATATCAGATGGATCTGTGTTTTCAGATAATGAAGAGTATGAAAAGAAAGAAGAAACAAGTGAAGATATTCAAGAACAATGTTTATTACAAGAAGAGGCAGAAGATACTGATTATTTTGATGATGAACTCCTTGAAGAGTTATTAGATGAAGAACTGGATATATGTACCATTGATGGAGTGGTTGAAATCATTGGTATATATGGAGAAGAATCAGGTTGCAGTTCTAAATTATCCCTCATTGATGTTTAATCAACTATATTAACAACCTCACAGCCTTTACTTATGATTTATAATGATGATACCCAATTACTCTATACAATATTTTATTCTTTTTCTTTTTCCTTTCTAATTCCCACTGATATAACAGTGAAACTTATAATAATAATAATAGTAGCCAAAACTAATGGCATGAAGCTTTTCTTAGTTTTCTTTTATATATGTTTTTAATAGACCTTTTTTATATAGTATAATATAAACTAAATTACTGGTATTCACTAAGGTCTTAGGGAGCAAAAGCAACAAATTGTTGAGATGTGTTAGATAACTATATGACTCGTCTAATATCGATACACCATATAAAACTAATTATAATTAAATAAAGCAATTATAAACTAATAAATTAGAGCTACCAATTTAATACATATAATCTTTCCGAATTCGCGGGGGACAAGATCCCCCAAAATCAGATAATTGCGACAAAGGCGGTAAAGGAAAAGTTAACCTTAAAGCAGAAAGAAAAAAAAAAATGAATCACCATCACCCATCATCATCATCATTATAATCATCAGATTATTTGTATTATATGCCACCAAGTTCTTAGTTCAGTATCTAACTAGGCTCTATGGATTGCTAAGTCATTAACTATCATATTAAACCAAACTACAACATCTTACACTCATACTATCAAGTATAAATGAAAACGGTTCTAGCTTCCATTTGCTGATCTTTCGCTTTTTTCATTCTGTCACAATTCCGTAACCTTTCAACCATTTTGATATAATCACAACTTATAATTCAACAACATCTCCATCTTATAATCACACTATACTACCTAGCTAACTCATCTTATCCATCTTCATCTTCCTTCCTCCCTCCCTCCTTCAACTTTTCCTATTATCTAACCTCAACTAAACCTATTTATTCACACAAAAATGTCATTAGGCTTAATCGTTTATGCAGCTGCTAAGCCAATCTTTAAAATCTACTTCATCATAGCTTTAGGTTTCTTCCTTGCTAAAAAGAACATCTTAACCGTCACAACCACCAGAGATATAGCTGATGCCATCGTAAGTGCCATTATGCCATGTTTAATCTTTGATAATATTGTCACAAATTTAAAAAGTTCTGATATAAAAAATCTAGGTATAATCTTCTTTACCGGAACTTTATTATTCCTTTGTGGAGTGGTATTGGCCTATATCACTCATATTTTAACTAAATCACCAAAAAGATGGTTAGGTGGTTTATTATCAGTCGGATTATTTCCTAATATTTCCGATTTACCAATTGCTTATTTACAAACTTTATCCCAGGGTGATGTCATATTCACGACTGCACAAGGTAGTCTTGGTGTAGCATATGTTTGTATCTTTTTAGCATCTCAAGTATTCTATCAATTCAGTCTTGGATTATATCGATTGATTGAATGGGATTTTAGAGATGAATTATTAGCTGAATCCATTATTGATGAAGAAAAACAGTTTGATGATTCAAGTGAAGATGATACAAATAATCTTACTACTCAACAACAACAACAAAAAAGTAATAATTTGCCTATTCCATTAAGTGCGAATGTTCCCACGGTAAGTATAGATGATGCTATATCTATATCCTCCAGTGATGATTCACAAGCCATTTCAAATCATGATGATGAACTAAATGATGAAAATGATGAAAATGATGAAACAAGTATCACTAGTGAAAAGACAAAGAAAAAATCAAAAGCTTCTAATCCTGAACGAGAAGAAACTAATCAACATGATGAATTTTTAAGAGCTCATAGTTTAAGTAAATTGAATTCTAATCCAAGATCACTCTCATCAACTAATAGTTCAAGAAGAGATTCCCTTAGCGGTGCCAATATCAATTCTTTACAAATGATTCCATCAAGAACTACAGAATTAAGAAGATTGAAATCTCAAGACATTCAAGATGTGATTAATGAATATTCTGAATTTGAAAATTTAAAACATAATGAAATCCGTAAAACCATCACGGCCATGAGTGATGTAGGAGCTATATCAGTTAAAGATAAAAATGATAGATTAATAGATTCTGATGATACACCTCCTATATTAACCAGAGGTCAAAAATTTAAAAAACAATTACTTCAAATTGGGAAAAATTTCCTTGCACCAAATTCAGTATCATTAATTGTATCAACCATTATTGCCATGTCACCTCCTTTAAAAGCATTATTCGTTCCTACCGACAATTTCAGTATTCCTCCTGCTCCAGATGGTCAACCTCCATTATCATTCATTATTGATTTAACCAGTTATGTCGGAGCTGCTTCAGTTCCATTAGGATTATTATTATTAGGAGCCACTATTTCAAGATTACAAGTTAAAAGAATGCCTCCTGGATTTTGGAAAACAGCAGTAATGATGACTGCTGCCAGATTAATTATAATCCCCATCATTGGAGTTGGTTTAACTACTGGATTTTCTAGAGGTGGTTGGTATGGTGATGATAAATTAATTCGATTTGTAAGTGTATTAGAATTCGGATTACCGAATGCTACTGCCCTTGTTTATTTCACCGCATTTTATACTGATCCTACATCTGATGATCATTTACAAATGGATTGTCTTGCCATTTGTTTGATTTGTCAATATTCAATTCTTTTTATAACTTTACCAATTTTAGTCACATTTACATTAAGTGTTTCCTTGGGTTTTTAATTCTAGTTTCTATTTCTTCATTTACCATTTCCTCTTTCATTTTATACACCTTTATAGATCAATAAAAAGCATTATAATGAATATCAAATAGATTTCTTTCTTGTTCCTTATAATTTTTGACACCGCCGCACACGTGATTGAATTTTTTCAGAAATTTGCCCTCTATAAAAAAAAGGTACCAAATTTCATCAACAGCAACTTACATTTCTACCATTGCTTTCTTTACTTTCTTTACTTTCATAAGATCAATTGAGTTGAATTAAGAATTAGACAAGATGGCATTATATTATAACTTAGTATTTGGATTATTGGTGATTGAAATGGGATTCTTCACCGTTTTATCCTTACCATTTCCAAGAGCCATTAGACGGAGAGTTTTAGCAACTGCCAGTGCACCATTTAGAAATGAACAAGTTCAAATTGCCATTAAATGTATATTGGGGTTTGTGCTTGTTTTATTCATTGATTCTATCAATCGTGTTTATGCCGTCACTACTGAATTACATTCTGTCAGTCAAGGTAGTGGTGTTGTTCAAGGAAATATCTTAGGTGATAGATCTGAAATTCAAGCTAGAAGATTCTATGCTCAAAGAAATATGTATCTTTGTGGATTTACGTTATTTTTAACTTTAATTTTAACTAGAACTTATTCATTGGTAGCTGAATTGGTTACAACTAAGGATAAATTAGATAATTTAAAATCAAAGAATGGTAATGGTTCAGATTCAGCTGAAATTGCTCAATTAAAGAAAGAATTGGCTGCTAAAGATGAAGATTTACAAATTTTAAAAGATCAAGCTAAAAGTTTAACTGATGATTATGAACAAGTATCTGTTGATTCATCCAAAGTCAAATCTAGAAAGAAGTGATTAACCTAACTTTTTGCTATTATTTCTATGTTTCGCTTTATTTATTTATTTTATATATTTTTGAGTATTTTTATATAATAATATATATCAACATGCAATATCAATCTATGATTTTTCGTAAGAATTACTCTTATGCTTTGGAGTGAATTGAAATTCAGGACTGGTTTTACCTAAGAACATTTCAGTAATTTTAATCCAATCTTTATAATCAGTTGAACCTAATAAAGTTTCCATTTCATTTCTACCTCTCCATAATGGTGGTCTTTGATTGATCTTTGGAGGTAATCTTTCTAAAATACCAATAGGAATATATCTATGTGTAAAACTTAAGAATTCACACATGAATCTTCTGGCTAATCCTACTCCATATTCATCAGATCCCCAATGTTCAATAGCAAAATTACTAAAGGTCTTTAACATATCTAATCTTTCAGAAGCTGATTTATCAAGATATTGTTGAGCTTCAATTTCTTCAAAGATCCAGGGTTTGATTAATGCACCTCTAGCAACCATCACGGAATCAACTCCATCTATAGCCATGGCATTATACCAATCTTCGTGTGTATAAATATCACCATTACCAATAAACCAGGTAGGTTGAGTATCTGATTTTTCTTTATCATCAAGTTTCTTTTCATTCCATTCTTTAACAGTCTTAGCCACATCTCCTACATATGACCAATCAGCTTCTCTAGTATAACGTTGTTGTCTTGATCTACCATGTAAGGTAATAGCAGCCACATCATTTTCTTTCATTATGCGGTCAACTAATGAGATAGCAGTGTTTTTATTATCTTTAGTACCAGTTCTCATTTTAACTGTTATTGGAATATCACCAGAACTATAATTCATTGATTTTAAAATTCTGATTAATTTAGCAGGTTGATCCATTAATGCAGATCCTTGACCTTGTCTATATAACAAATCAATTGGACAACCACAATTTAAATTGATTTCAGATACACTGGTAGTTTCTCTGTATATCGCTTCTGTAACCTTGGCAGCTTGATAATGTTTTGAAGTAGCGATTTGAACACCAAATCCGGGATATTCCGATTTATGAGCTTTTGGTAAAGCCCATTCAGCTGCAGTGGCTTGTAACATAGGAATGGTTAATGCCATTTCTGAATAGGTGATATCAGCTCCTAATGTTTTCATTAATCTACGATATGGTAAATTTCCAACTGTAGTTAATGGGGAAACAATCTTGGCATCTTTCAAATATAATTTCTTCTTTTCTGATACTTTAAATGGAGCTTCAACAAATGATGCTTCATTATCTTTACGTTTTTCTAAATTTTCTTCATTTTGAATTTGGGAATCAATATATGGAATGACTTGATTGGCAATTTTGAAATCATATTTCTTCTTTCTTAATAAATCCTTAGAAGCATGAGATATCTTATTAACTTCTTCATCTTGTTTAATATCTTGGGCCTCTTTTCTTAATAATTTACCTTCAACATAATGAGATTTCAACCATCTACATTTCAACCCAGTTGGACAATATCCAATAGCTTGATAAACAGGACATACCCCATCAATATCAGCTGGTTTACTTGCAAGATATTCTTCAACATTATGAGAATTACGACATTTTTCAGCTCCAAAATTACATTCTTTAATATTATCAGGATCTAATAAAGTAGAACATAATCTGATTTCTTCTTTCTTTTGTCTTAAATCACGGTTTTTGTTTTGACCACGTCTTTTCTTACCACCTCCATTATTGTTATTGTTTCCATCACCTTTAGATCTTTCACCACCTTCAGCTTCATCATCATCATATTCATTAGATCTATTATCATTGACTGGGGTCTGGATAATATATTCTGCCTTAAGAACAGCTACACCTTTAGGATATTCCACATGTTGTTTCTTAACTTCTGTAGGTTCCTCAACCACAGGGTCGGCTGGTCTCTTTTCTTGTAATGAAGACATGCTGTGATACTGAATACGATCTTAACCTTTCTTAAACGTATATTTTTCACATACTGTAATTTATTTTCTGATTTTGGCGATACTTCGCAACCAGTTCATAGTGATGATCATCATGACGTTAATATCAGCAATATATACCTAATTTTTATACGAATTGACCTAAACTAACTCTAATGGGATTACTAATAAGTTTAAGATCAATTCCGAATTGGAATTATACCATTTCCATCCAATTTAAGGGGATTTTTCATACTATTTAACCCAACTCATCTCATCCATACTAAATTATATAGTGAAGATTGTCTTTTGTGCAGTCCACAGAAAATTTGTATGTAAAAAAAAATTTCAGACAGTTAAGACAAGATGGAATCAAATGCTCTTTTAGAGATCATCGAAACACCACAAACCATTATGGTAGAACCTGTTGATAAAAAGAGAAAGGTCGAGGTTCAAAGGGCCAAGAAACCTTCGAGAATCTTCAGTCCTTTTAGAGTTCTTGGGAATGTATCCAATGAGATTCCATTTGCCATAGGTACTTTAGGTTCAACCTTTTACGTTGTTACATCTGTGGGAAGATCATTTCAAATTTATGATGTGGCTACTTTACATTTATTGTTTGTATCTCAAAGTCAAACCTCATCCAAGATCACTAGTTTAGCTACTCATTATCATTATGTGTTTGCTTCTTATGCTAATAAAATTGGAGTTTATAAAAGAGGTAAACTTGAAAATACCATTGAATGTCCTACCACCAAGAATTTAAGTAAACTTTTAGTATTTGGTGAATTCTTAGTAGCAACTGCTTCTGATGGTGAAGTATTCATATTTAAAAAACCAACTTCCAAATCAACCGAATTATATTCAACGTTGAAATTCTCCTTGAATGAAGATATCACTGGTTTGATCCATCCTCCAACTTATCTTAACAAGATTGTTCTTACTACTCCAACTGACTTATATATTATCAATATCAGAACTGGGAAATTATTATTTAAAACGAACTTTCCAGAAACTATTAGTTGTATTGAATCAGCTCCAGTATTGGATATCATCGCTATTGGTACCACTACCGGTAATGTTCATTTATATAATTTAAGAAAAGCCAAGATTCTTTCCAAATTCGGTGTGGGAAATGAAGATAAAGTTGTTTCATTATCATTCAGAACTGATGGTTCTAATCATTTAGTTGCTGGTTTAAATACCGGTGATTTATTCTTCTATGATTTGAATAAAAAATCAAGAATTCATATTTTAAGAAATGCTCATAAGGAAAGTCATGGAGGTATTGCTAATGTTAAATTCTTAAATGGTCAACCTATCGTCATTACTAATGGTGGAGATAATCATTTGAAAGAATATGTTTTCGATCCTAATTTATCAGCTACCATTGCTGCTCCACCTCGTCATCTTAGATCTCGTGGTGGTCATTCATCACCTCCTATTGCGATTGAATTTCCAAATGAAAATAAATCTCATTTTATCTATAGTGCATCAAGAGATAAATCATTCTGGACTTTTTCTTTACGTAAAGATGCTCAAGCTCAAGAATTTTCTCAAAGAGTTAAACTGAAACAATCCATTCGTGATAAATTCCCTGAAATTATATCTATTGCATCATCTCAAGCTCGTGAAGGAGATTGGGAAAACATTATCACCGCCCATAAAGATGATAAATTTGCCAGAACTTGGGATTCAAGATCTAAAAGAGTGGGTCGTCATAATTTAAACACCGTTGATAATGGAATTGTCAAATCAATTTGCATATCTCAATGTGGAAATTTCTCCTTAGTTGGTTCAACATTAGGTGGAATTGGAGTTTATAATTTACAATCCGGTAAATTAAGAAAGAAGTATATGTTACATAAAAAGGCAGTCACTGGATTAGCTATTGATGGTATGAATAGAATGATGGTAAGTACTGGTTTAGATGGTCTTGTTGGATTTTATAATTTTTCAGAATCAAAATATTTGGGTAAATTAAAATTAGAAGCTCCTATTACTTCGATGGTATATCATAAATCATCCGATTTAATTGCATGTGCCTTAGATGACTTAAGTATTGTGGTGGTTGATGTTCTTACTCAAAGAGTAGTCAGAATCTTATATGGTCATACTAATAGAATCATTGGTATGGACTTTTCTCCCGATGGTAGATGGATTGTATCAGTTAGTTTAGATTCAACTTTAAGAACTTGGGATTTACCAACTGGTGGATGTATTGATGGTATTAGATTACCTAGTGTGGCCACCAATGTTAAATTCTCTCCTATTGGTGATTTCTTAGCTACTACTCATGTTTCAGGTAATGGTATTTCACTTTGGACTAATAGATCCCAATTTGTCCCTATTTCCACTAGACATATTGAAGAAGAAGAATTTTCAAATACATTATTACCAAATGCTTCAGGTGATGGAGGTTCAACTTTATTAGATGGTGCCTTAGATGAAGATAATGAAGATGAAGAATTCATTCAAAAATATGAATCTGTTGATCAAATTGATTCATCATTGATCACATTAAGTCTTGGTCCAAGATCTAAATATAGTACTTTAATTCATTTAGATACTATTAAACAAAGAGGTAAACCAAAGGAAGCACCAAAGAAAGCTGAAAAGACCCCATTTTTCTTAACTTTAGGTGGTGAAGTGGTAGGAGATACTGCTAGTGGAGCCAACGGTAGTAAGGATGCCAATGGATCCAAAGATCAAACCAATGAAGAAGAATCTGGAAGTAAATTACGTACATTGAATGGAAATGGTCATTCATTTGAATCAGAATTCACTCGTTTATTGAGACAAGGATCTGAATCCAAAGATTATACCCAATTTTTACAATATATTCTTCAAGCAGCTCCATCAGTGATTGATTTAGAAATCAGATCATTAAATTCATTCCCACCATTGACTGAATTCGCTAACTTTGTCGAAGCTTTAACTTTTGGAATCACTTCAAAGGCTAATTATGATTTATATCAATCTATCTTCTCTATGTTTTTAAAGAATCATGGTGATGTGATCCGTATTTTCAGTGATGAAACTGAACTCAATCATGCTTTAGAACAATGGTATCAAAACAATGATGCTACCGACATCGATGAACTCGTCAAATACTGTTCTGGTGTTATTAATTTAGTATCAACTGTGTAAATAGACATAATAAATATAAATATCTAAGAGTGCAAAATTTAACCAGTAAAAAAAAGTATCATGTAAAACAGCGTAGAAATTGTGAGCTCTTAATTTTTTGGTTTGAATTTGGTTGTAAATAGTGTAAATTAACTGAAATAGATGAATTGCCAATGAATATAGATATCATAGAGCCTATCAATAGGATACATCTATCGTCCCAGGCCAAGATCACATCCCTCCTCTATCTCAATCATAAATTATATGTGGGTTTTAATAATGGGGATCTATCAATATATTCTACCACCACGTCTAATGACGATAATAACACTAATGAGAAACTCAAATTTGATACTACTTTCCAGAACGTGACGAGAGATCATTCTAGTATCGATAGGATAGAACATCTACCCATTTCCAATGATCATACCAATAGTAAAGTGATATTAATCATCCTGACGATTGAATTATTTCGTGTATTTGAGATTATTGGAACTCATGTGAATCTTATTCAAGAAGTTGAGATTGGAGTGGATTTCGTGTATTATAAACATAATGATACTCGATGGTTCATCACGGGTATAAAGAAGAAGTTAACTATTTATAAAATTATCAATAAGACTCGGAATATCCTTCAATTTCAAAAGTTTAAAGATATAACGTTAAAGGATAGAGTTAAATCAATAGCGAAATATAATGAATCCAATCTATTAATTGGATTGATTAATGAATATATCTTGTTGGATTATGATTCATTTGATACAAAACCATTGACTATAGAAGGATTTGGTAATAATTCATCATTTAGTTACTTTGGATTATCCGGTTCATCCAAGACTTGGAATATACCGATTATTGATAATGAAATATTACTTATTAAAGATAATCAGTCGATATTATTAAATAATGACAAAATCATACCGACTCAAATCAAATTATCTTCCACTATCCCTATCCATATCATTTTCCTTAGTCCAATTTATTTATTAATCGTATATAATAAGAAATTAGAAATCATAGATTATTCCAACGGGGATTTAATTCAAAAATTCCATCATCAAATCTCCACTTCAAATATTCAAATCACCGTTGATCAAAATATCATATTCCTTTCATCAAATTCAGAAATCGTTCAATTTAAAATGATTGATTATCAAAAACAAATCGATCAATATTTAACTATAACGGGTAAGGGTTCATCACAGGGGAATCTTAAAGACCCTCAAAATGATCTTAAAATCATTGGATTGAATAAAGCAATTAAATTAGTATCGAAACTAGATCATGATCATAAGTTCTTTGGTAAATTCGATCATAAAGATCGAGAAAAGCAAAAACAGTTGATCTTACGAAAATTATATAAACGAAAAGCAATGGTATTATTTGAATCATATTCCCGATATCAAGAATCCTTAGTTGAGATCGGATCAGAATGGTTACTTTCATTCAGAGATGTCTTAGGATTATTTCCTGATTTTCTTAATGGTGAGAAATTCATTACTAAAAAGAGAGGCGATGATGATGATGCCAGTATGAGTGTGAGATCAATAGGTACTAATGTGATTAAACGAGTTTCGTTACAAGATGTTCAAAAGATTGGTGCTAATGATGAAAGTACAGAAAGTCCAACTCCATCCATTGCACCATCGACGGTGACTACTAGCAATAATAATAAGAACAATATCAATCCTACTAATATTAAGAAGTTCACTAAAGCAGTGAAATACTTAATCATATACCTTACCGATCAAAGACGTATCAATCTGAATTTTTTAAATGATTTACCACTCAAATGGAAAGGTGTTGAAATCATTCCTCTGGATTTATACCTGAGTAAACATAATAATGGAAACATTAAGTTTTATTTAAATCAAGTGGGGAAAATCATCGATACATCATTATTTCTTTGTTATTTCTATACCAAACCCATGTTATTGGGTCCATTATTAAGATTACCTAATAATTTCTGTGATGCCAAAGTGGTTAATGATTGTTTATTATCTACTCATCAAATTCGTGAATTACTTGATTTTTATTATGGACGTCATATTCATGATTCTGCATTGGAGATGTTATATAAATTAAGTCATGAAGGTGGAAGCAGTGGACCTGAATTAACTATACAATACTTGACTAAATTAAATAATGATGATTTAGAGTTAATATTTCAATTTTCTTATTGGGTTATAATGGAAGAAAATGATTTTGAACAACAATTAATCAATAGTCAGTTGATATTTATGAATGAAACTTATGAATGTGAAAGTTATGATAATTTTAAAGTATTGAATTTTTTTCTTGAAGTGTTAAAGAATGATAAATTAGGGATTAATTATTTAGAATGGTTGATTTTTAAAAGTGAAAAGTTGAAAATATCGAATAAATTTTATACGAAATTGATTTTACTTTATATTGAAGAGTTAAAGGAGATTTCGAAATTGAATCCAAAAAGTTCATTAAGTGAACATGCCACATATAAGAAGTTATATAACTTTTTAGAAACTACCACAAATTATGATCCATGGATTATACTAAAACAAATTCCATTTGAAAATGATGAATTCTTAAGATTTGTGATATTTATTTATAAGAAGTTAGGTGAACATGAGAAATCGATTGATATTTTATTTAATCAATTGAATGATCTTGATAATGCAATGAAATATTGTTGTGATATATACATTATAAACAAAACTACAGGTCAAAATCTTTTACAGAAATTATTAGAAGATTTATTAATCAATTATGATGAGAATGAAGCATTAATTGAAAAACTTTTAAATTTACAAGGATCTAAAATGTCAATTTTAATGGTATTAACTAGTTTACCAAAATCATTCCCATTATTTAAACTACTGAAATTCTTAAATAATCAAATCATAAACTCACAACAAAATAATTATGATTCCAGGATAATATCTCAATTGTATAAAGTTGGATCGATTAAATTATATGATAAGATATTAAACATTGAAAGTGAGAATTATCTGATTCAATCAAATCGTCAAATATGTTCAATCTGTAATAAGAGATTAGGTTATAGTGTATTTACAGTGGATAAACATGATCAAATTATCCATTATGGATGTGCTCAAAAGGGGAATAAGGTCACGTAATCATCCATCTCACTCATTAATAACTATCCTCCCTTCCTACATATAGTTATAAATACCAGTTTATAGAAATTGTGTGTAGTTAATGATAAAAGTCTTATCAAATTGACACAATCTATATATAGGTCATCTCGGACTCAGAGCCGTACCCCACGATTATCAGAAAAAAAGGGCGTGTGCCAATGCCAAAAAAAAAGTTTAACCACATTCAAAAAACCCAAAAAGTCAAAACAAATTTTCACAATTTAATGACAGTCAAGAATAGTTATAGTTCGAATAGCTATAGTATATCATCCATTATAGATCAATTGACCATGTCGTCAAGCAACGTGAACAACCACGAGGTAACTCATCAGCATCAAAGTCATGATTCAATTCATTCTGATCATTCTAACTCTAATTCACAATCACAATCGAATTCGCAATCAAATTCATTGTCTCCATCAATGGGTATTAAATTACCTCCAATTTCATTCTTATCAGGTTCAGTTCCAAGTAGTAATAATAAAGTTCATAATTTGGGGATAAGTAGTTTCTTGAATAATAATGATAATGATGACAAGGAGAAGGTAAAGCAAGAGGAATTACAACCACAACCACAATATAATCAAGTGCAGCCATTACCGCAACCACAACAAGTTCAACCAGTACAAGTCCAACCACCTCCACAATCACAGGAAATAGTGACCCAACCAGATCATAACCATCATCAAATTACAAACCCTCATCATCACCATCATGTTCATCATCATCATAATAATCAAGAGCATACCCATAACCATACTCATCCTCATCCTCACAATCCTCATCAACATCATCATCACCACCATCACCATCATCATCATCATCCTAAACAAAGTCAAACCACCGAGACTAACAGTATAGAGGCAACTGCTACTACAATCACAGATGAACCTCATAAAAAGAAACAAAAAGTATCAAGTGTATCAACACCACCTATAACCTTCAATCTTGAACCAATACATGAATTAATTAAAGAATACTTCCCCAATCGAAAATATCTTGGGAGTTTAATCTATAATCCAACCACAACATGGGAAACCATTCAATTTCAAACATTATACGGATTAAAACCAGCTCATTTAAGTCGATTTCAAGAAATTCAAGAGTTATATAATGATCGAAAACTTACATCTTCAGCAACCCATGAAGAGAAAGTAAAATATATCCCATCTATACCTCCTTTACCATTGGAATATATCAATCATATCATTGAAGTGAAGATCCCATATCGATTTATTAAACAGTATAGATTATTAACTAAAGGAGGAAGTGCAAAGAAGAGAGATGTTTGGGGTGGAGTTCATGGGATATATACTGATGATAGTGATATTTTACAGATCTTACAACATGTGGGATTTTTCAAGGGGAACATTCAAAATTTAAAACCATGGAATGATGATTGGACCTATAAAAAATTAATTAAACCAGAATATGATGAAGAAAATAAAGAAGAAGAAGAAGTTGAAGTAGATGAAGATGATTTTAAAATATATGGAGATTTATCAGTCGAGATTCTTTTATTACCACCTTTATTAAAATATGTCGGATATTATAATAATGGAATAAATTCTCGATCATGGTTTAATTTAAATAAACATAATGGATTATCAATAGCGATTTATAATATTAAATGGGAAAGTTTTGGCGTTAATTATTTTGATAGATTAAATTTCAAACAATTAATTAATGAAAATCAATTAGATGATAATAAACGAGAATTCGGTCAAGGTTGGAAATTTAATTTTGAATATTATAAATTGATTAAGGAAAAGTATGAAAAGTTACAATCTGAAAAGAAAGAGTAAAAGTACAGTTTTAATAATAAGGGTTTGTATTTATTTACGTATATAGCTATTTATATATGTATATATATAAATAGAAACATTAATCACCTTTTTCGTCTTCTTCTGTCAGCAAAACCGCAAACAAGTCTACCCATTGTCCAAGTAGCGACAACTGGGAAAGCATACATCGCACCAACACCTACAATCACCACACTAACACCAACACCAGCAATAAAGACTTTTTCTTTGTCGCTAAGTCCATGGTTTTGTCGGTTGGGAAATTAAATGATATGATAGTTTGGCTAAATTAAGGTTCAAACATTACTAAGATTTAATGTTGTTGGGGTTAATTTTGAGATGATCAAGGAGGAGTTAAAACCTGATTGTGAAAGGCTACTGTACATTGTGTTGATTTTTGTATGGTACAAGCCAATAAATATATTAATTTAACAAAACTAAATATTCAAAACTATCTCGGTCTCTTTGCAAGGTGATCAATCATATATGGAATACCATGAAAAAGAGCATAATGGCCACCGATTACTCCACCAATGGGGCCGGCGACAACAGTACCAACACCAGCTCCAACACCAACAACCACCACCGTTAATCCCATAACAGCCATAACAACGATACCTTGGATTATTAAGATTCGTTCGAAGTATAGTGGAGTATCATTTCGTTGATGGCCACGACTATTAGAACCACTATAGTTTGGTCCGGGATACGACCCAGTGTTATTAGCATCCGGCATATCACGATGAGGTGGTCTTGGATTATTTCCAACTTCGTGTTGTGAAGGTAATGAAGGAGGTTGGTTTTCTTTATCAGAATTATCATCATTGTTTGTATTTGGAACTTTTTCCTTTCTATTGAGGACTTTATCACTCATCATTATCTTAAGTAATTGAATAAAGCTATGATTTTGGCTTGAATATTACCAGATTTACTACTCAGACACAAATCTACCGATATTTATATAATAGTCTTTATCAAATTCATATTTTAGAGGACTCAACAATTTAATTGGTAGCCTCTAAATTTACAGCTTTATCCCCTTCCAAGTTTTAAAAGTTGAGTAATAATTGTGATAACTTTCTAAAATTAGGTTGAATTAGATGATAAAGAGCTTACTTAATGATATTATTGATTTGATTAAGGAGAAGGAATAATACTACAATTGATTTATTTAGCGTACAAACCCATGCTTATATTATTATTCTAAACAATATATAGAAATAAATAATCAACACTATTTAGATTTATCCTTATGTACCTTTTCATATAGAACGGCAAGAGTATGAAGACCCTTCGTAATGCCATCCCTGTTCTGAAATATGAAAGCACCACAGATAAACAATATTGGAACAACAAAACTCGCAATTGTATTAAATGAAACTGGTTCATTGACAGGTTCAGCACGATAGTTAGTTTCATTTCTATCATTTTCGTTTGGTAATTGATTATGTAAGGGAGGATGCGGTGGTGTAGGAGGTGGTGGTGAAGGTGAAGGGGTTTGACTACTTTGACTACCAGAGTTTTCTTCACTAGCATCATCACTATTACCATAGTTAAAATCAGAATATCTCCAATCAAAGTTATAATCATATGTATCATGGTTAATTGATCTACGATAATTTGCAGGAAGTGGTGAAATACTTCCTTCACTGTAAATAGTTCTAACTTCTTCTTCACTTTGACTAAGACTATCCCTAGCACTAGCACTAGCACTATCACTTTCACTTCCTGGTATTTGAGGAATTAGTTCCATAGTATTGAGATCTTTGTCACTCATGATGATTGTTTTGGTTGATTGAATGAAGTAAAGCTTGTGGGGGGATTGGTTATCAGACTACGTACTCTACAGACATATATATATATTCATGGTGTAAACCTTCAATAGCTAGAGATACCCAACATTTTCTTGTAGTTTACAGTAGTATACGCTAAATTTAGAGATTGATCATAATTACCCCAGTTATCAAAAGGATGAGTAATTAGTTAAATGTTTTAATTAGTTAATACAGAAGTTGGGATAAGGATTGACTAGAATGATTATTCGACCCACTTTTCAAATCACAAATCAAATCGTAAATTATGGTAAATTAATATGGCTTTAAATTGCATTATCTATCTATTGATAACATTAAATCGGTATATTAGTCGTGTACTTTTGTCATAATTAGATAGATAACTTAACTATGTAATTAATTTAATTTAATTATTATGATTATGATTATGATGTAAATGGATATGAAACATTCATAGTCATTCATTTACTTTACTATGCTTACTTGTAACTGTTAATCTGGATCATTCATTTTCAACTTATGTACTCCTATCTATAGTCTATACATACATATTTGTATAGACTCTGTATACTGTCTTAACTATGGTGTTCCAAGAATTAAATTTAAATTTCTTTTTTTTTTTTTCTTAGAATTAAAATTTCTTTTTTTTATGTCGCAAACTAAAAACACTCATGTCGTAAAATAAATTATGTTTTATGTCGCGTCATAATCGGGCTTCTGGCTTGTTAGTTATAGTGTGAGTTCATTTTCATTTTGATCAACTTCAAACTTGAACTCCATTTTTTAAAATTTTTACAACATTCAACTTTCTTTCTTTCTTCTGTTTTGAAGTTATTGTCTACTAACCCTTTAGAAGAAGAAGAAGAAGTAGAAGTAGACGTGGTTGAAGAAGAAATAAAGGTTATCCTATATCTATATATACTGTATCCTCCTTCCTTCCTGCTCCCTTTTTATCCGATCGGTTAACTCATCAATCATCCCTTAGTATGGAATATCCCTTGATACTATAAACTTATCATATCAAATCAAATCATATTCATACATCACTTTATATACTATTTATTGGATCCTATTTATTGTCATTTCATATCTCATCTCATCTTAATCATTGGGTTTTTCATTCTTTCTTTCTTTGTTTCATTCATTCATTCATTCTGGTTCAGGTTCCTTCATTTCTTAATCATACCTTAGATCTATATCATATACATATCATATCATATCATATCATATCATATCATTCTTTTGCATTCTTTATCCATCCTTTCTCTTAATTATGATTAATGATATAAAAACATCCACCTATTTAAAATCAGCATCATCCACTCCTTTTTCAAACTCATCAAATTCTTCATTCCCGTCAAGTACAACCAGTAATAATAATAATAATAATATTAATAATAGTAACACCACTATACTTAAGAAGAAATCATTACGAAGTTTAAAATCATCATCCCCTTTAAATCCATCAAGTCATACTACTCCAGGTCCAACCTCATCATCAAACAATAACAGTAGTGGATCCAAAGTGTCGTTTTTTAAGAAAATTTCAAGTGAATGGAATTTCTTATTATTAAGATTAAGATCAATATCAGAAGAAGTTTTCACCAGTGACGAATTAATCGACGATTTATTTACTGAAGTTGATGAAGAAGATCATTTCGATCGTCTTATGAGAAGTTCAAAAGGATATACCTCAATGGAAGAGACTTTCTTACAAGAATTTAAAAAATTTAAAAGTTTGGATAAAATGGTAGAATATCATCAACAACAACAACAAGGTCAAAATCAATCATCACCTTCAAATGATGTGAAATCATCAACTACTCTTATAAGTGATAGTCAAACGAAATTGAATTATACATTACAAGATTTCATACGACAAAGTTTTACTCCTGATCAAGAAGAAGCAGATCAAGATTTAAGTGATAATGATGAAGATATTCTTGATGACATGGATTATAACGATATAACTTATCAAGATCTTGACTTGTATAAATTGAAACAAGAGTTGGAAATTCAAAAAAAATCATTAATAAACAATAACCCCTCCGTCAATATCGGAGTCACATTATGGGAATTTAGAAGACTGAAATGGTTACATAATGCCAATACACCTGCTATACAGGAGAAATTAAAATCAAGATTAACCCAAACCTCAATCCTGAATATCCCTAGGGATTCATACGTTAAGATTTATAATTATCTTATTGATAAAAATCGAGTATTGAAGAATAATAAGAGAATTAATTTATCTGATTTAATTAAAATCATTAATATTGGTTGGATAGCTGAAGAAAAATGGGAAAGAGCCGCTAAGGGATTACCTTAAATTGTTCATCTTAAATATCCATCCTACGAAGTTATGAAATCATCATGATCATTCATGTTCTTATTCCTACCCTTGCATTTTCTATCTATCTATCTATCTATGTTGCTTTTCCTAGATTACGTTTGTTCCTATATACTTATATAACTAATAATATCATTGCACAGACCTCCCTATTTATGTTTCTTTCGTCTCATCATGACTTTACTTTCAAGTCATGATTTATATAGTATTTAATTTAATAATTTTAAAGTATATTCTAATATTCGTAATTCTTGGTCTATAACTTCCGATCGAGATTGTAAAGAAGAGATGATATTCCCAGGACTCCTACTTCGTTGTCCCTTTCCTCCTCTCATACTTCCTCCCATTCCTCTATGACAATCTTGAATTGCCTTATGTAATTTCAATTTATACTTCATCAACAATTCAAAATTGACAGCAATGTCATTATTCAATTGTTTATCGATCTCCTCGTTCAATTGATGGATGGTAGTGATTTTATCGATAAGACTCGTGGTGGAAGTTGATGATGTTAATGAATTGATGGTGATTCCTGGGTTGGAATTTGATTTGATGATGGTGTATAAGGTTGAGATTAATTGTTTGGAGTATTGGTTTGATTGTTTGAGTTGATTTAGTTGGTTTAATTTGGATTCTCGTAGTATATCATTATGGGACATGGTTAGTATGTGTGGTGGTATGGTATGATTGTATGGTGATTGTATGATGATAAGGTTTGATTAATTTTTGGTTTTTGTTTGTTTTGTGTGCAAAAACATAGAGAACCAAAAATTAACTATCATCAACTAGGCTAATCAATGGACCATAAAGGGTAGATTATATCCACACCATGTCATTGGATTACATAACTCAAGATTCATTATTCGCAAGGATACCACCACCATTACCCTCCATAGATGAAACCACCACCTTAGAACAAATCTATACCAAATTAACCTTACCAAATGCATCTCAATCATATCGGAATATAATTGATCAATTATATTATATCATCCAAACCCATGGCAAATCAACCTCATCCAACTCTATCAATGATTTATTAAAACTTTGGGAGATAAGATTCAATTTACTTATGTTCAATCTGGAAGTCAATCTTGCACACATTGAAAGTATTAATATTAATAATATTCTTTATTTACAGGAGAATATCCAAGATTTGAATGTAAGTGTGTATCCATTACCTAAATTGGATTTGAAGTATTATGATTTCCTTATTAAGCTTTTGAAATTGAAATCGGAGTATCAATTAGAAGGAATGATTGTGGGGAGTAGTTCAGGATCAGGAGGGATTTCTGGGGGCACGGGGATTATTAATGAGATATTTAAATTGAATTATCAATTACGACTTAAAGATAATGAAGTGAATGAAGAAGTGGAAGTGAAATTGATTAATTTGAGTTATCAATTGATTATAAATCTTGTTATTTTGAATCATTTACCTACATTATTAACATTTGTGAAGGGAGTTATATCAGAATTAGAAAGAAAAGAAAAGAAGATATCTATGGTATTAGAGCAATATTTATCGAATTTGATTATAGTATTGATTATAGTTGAATCTTATTTGTTACGAGGAAGAATCATATCGAAAACATCCCTTCAAATGGTTATAAGGGGAAAATATGAAGATAAGTTTAAATTAGTGAATCAATTTACAAAAGATAGTATATCGTATGTGATTAATCAGAATCAAGATGGAACTGTTAAAGTGGTTACTATTACTGATTTATTAGATCAAGATGTCACGATTAAGATATTGGTTAATATCATTGGAGTATGGGATTTAATCAATACTAATAAATCGTTAATCTTAAATAATAAAGATAATATCATATCATTAAAGTTAGAAGAACCAGAAGTAATTGAACAAGAACAAGAACAAGAAGAAGATACCTTAGTGGATAAGATCTATAATCATGTTAATAATCTTTGGTATAAACATATTGATAAATTATATGGATTAAATTCGTTAGTTGCAAAAAGTCAACTTAGTTAACATTAGAATGTGTATAGTAGTAATAAACTAAGTAGGTGTGAAGCCCTAACTGTATTTCTATTGCACGTGACGTGTTCGTGCCTGTATATAATTATGGCTACCCAAACAAATTGTTATTTTTGTGGCATGGAGGTAAAGTGGATGTGTGGATGTTTTATTTTATATAGTACTCACTCATTAAACCATCTACACACTAACTAAACTAAACTGTACTCACAAAGTACTACCAGTGAGGTCTGAAAAAAAAAGAGGAAGAAAAATTTATTAATACTAAAAATTTTATCATAATAGTCTTTTATCTATATTGAAATAAATCACAACAAACCTTACAAAATGGCTTTACAAGACGTTGTTACTCGTGAATACACCATCAACTTACACAAGAGAGTATGTACCCATCTGATACTTTGTTTGGAGAAGTAGTAGTAGTCAATCAATCAATGAATCCATCCATCCATCAATGAAAGAGAAAGAAAGTGAACGAATGAATGAACGTATCCATCCATCATGTTTATATCAAGTTATTCAATGAAATATTAATCAGTCATGTTACTAGAATCAATCAATCATAAAGTAATCCATCATTTCAGAGAATCAGACAATGTCCAGTATGTCAATATAACCATCAATTTATCAATCATTTAGAAATCAACTCAACTTCCACCATACTCATCATATCAAAGTATAATCATATTACTATGTTTATAACCATCTGGATCATCATAATAAGATTACTTTTAACAAGATACTTTATCATTCACATTACGTAGGATCTCACTCCAGACTATGACAAAATATCAATCATCAATTATATTTCCATCACCTCTACCTATATCCAGTCAAATTCTACTCTAGTCTAATCAAACTCATCAATAGAATCAAATCATGTCATATACTCATTCTACTTGATATCACTACTTACTAACCTTTCAACTCATGATTTACCATGAAATAATTTTATACTAACTTTTATTCTTTCTAGTTACACGGTGTTAGTTTCAAAAAGAGAGCTCCAAAAGCTGTCAAAGAAATTAAAAAATTCGCCACTTTACATATGGGTACTTCTGATGTTAGATTAGATCCAAAATTAAATGTTCAATTATGGAAAAGAGGTGTTCAAGGTGTTGAAAAAAGATTAAGATTAAGAATTTCTAGAAAGAGAAATGATGAAGAAGATGCTAAGGATAAATTATTTGCCTTTGTTGAACCAGTCTTTGTTCCAACCACTAAAGGTTTAAACACTGTTGTTGTTGAAGATGAAGCTTAAATTATTTAGAAATTAAAATCATTTAATTTAATTATATAGTACATTATCTCAAAAACAAACAACATATTTTAATACATACATATCTTGAATCATATAATGAGTGATTATCGTAGAGATAATAGTAGTAGTAGTAGTAGTAGTAGTACTTTACTTACAGATTACAAGTAGTCATGTTATTTCATATAAATATCATATATTAAATCATATTCTAAAGTCAGAAGACAACTATAATTGGAGTTAGTAAACAAACAAACAAACAAATAGAACAAATATTCCAATTCACTTATTCACTCCATATATACATCTCCCACAGGAAAAACATTCCAAATCAGTGTAACTATGACAAATAATACCAGATCATTGCAATAAAACCTATGCATTACCAAAACGGTAAAAGATTTCAAAAAGAGCTCGTAATTGGTATAAAAAAAAATGAAAAATTATCATCACTGAAATGTCCTCCAAGAGTGGATGTATGGATGACGTATGGCTTGGATTGATGGGATGGGATATGTACTTACATATTAGATTATATCATGATATTATATGATCTTAAGAACCTATCGTTGATTGATATTGAGTTGATGGGTTTAAAATTTTTTATAATTTTCATTTGAATTTGACTGAGGGAGAAAAGTGTCCGGGTAAATTAAGTCAACAACTGTTATTTATATAGGGATTAAAATTTTGCAATCTAATGAAAGTCACTACTTTTTATATATCTATATTAATATTATGAAGCTAAAAGTGTGATAAGATGGGTGATATACTGTTTTAGGTATTAGTTTACTGATTAATGGTTTATTTTATTCAATTCTTGTTAATAATTCATCATCATTTATAATTAATTTCGCAAAGTATTACCCGAATTATTTACATATTTCAATAAAGGTGAATACTAAATGATATTAAAAATTAAGCTAATCTTTCCATGTCTAACTAATATAAACAATCTATATACATAATCCTGATTGAGTATCTACTGTTTTCTTGGGGGTAACTATATGATTGTGGTTCAGAATTGTTTACTTCCACTTATCTTCTCAGAACTGGCTTATTAAACTTGAAACAAATTCTCTATGGATTCAACCTATGACCTTCAGAATGATCATTAGATGTTATCTATACCAACACATATCATATAATATTCTATTCAACTAATTGAATGATTATGTTGTTTATTATAGATATTTTAATTTTGCAACACTTTTTCCTTTTTTTAAACCGAGGAACTCACACCGAAAAAATGACTGAACAAAAATGTTTTGTGGAGAAATTCACCAAATGGGTTATGAATTTTTCATTATTTCTATCTTCTACTTCCACTTCCACTTCCAATTTATTAAGAAGAGATTGATTGAATTAGTTCACAAGGCATCTAAACCAACCAATCAACCAAGTGGATAACTACATCAAAATATGCCGTCGGTTGTATTACCATCTAATGGATCATTATCAAATGGTCATAGTCATGAATCATCCAACCATCCAACCACTACTTCACCTCCATTTGAACCTATCACTTCCATTGCTAACGTTTCATTCATTGATAATCCTCAATTATTGACATATGATGTCTTGGAATTATCCTATGATTTATACCTTAAACTCTTTGGTGACTCAGATGAATCAAAGTCAGATAAATTCGTCTTGATTAAATTATTAGGAGCTCCTGATTATTTCCAAACTTTCACCATATTCAAAATATCTACTATCAACCATCAAAGTTCAAATCTTATCAATTTCATCAATAATACAAACTTATTACATCAATTCTCTATTGATAATCTTACTTTAAATTACGCCATTATAAAATCAATCCCATCCAATCATATCCCAACTTTATCTCAAGTTTATATCTCGTTACCTAATGAAATCTATAAATTGATTATTGATCATACCAACCAATCTATAAAACAACAATTCTTAACTCAATATCTTTTACATAATGGGAATGTCGTCAATAATAACGATCATATTAGATTGATTAATGGGAAAGTTAAATTATGTGAACCTTTATCTCAAGGGTTAGTGGGAGTGAGTACTAATATTGTGTTGATTAATCATGATACTGATGATGTCTATCGCGAGAATGGTGATGATGAAGAAGAGGACAGTGTTCATATCGAATCTGAAGATGAAGAGGAGGAAAATGTTGAAGAGGACGACTTTTATGCTGATTTAGATAATGATTTGGATTTATCAACTTATTTACAAACCAATTTACAATTTGAAACCCCATCAAATCTTCCCACTTCTAATGGATCAATTTCATCATCTCATAAGTTTAAGATTAATCCATTACCAGAAAAATTACATATTGAAGAATTACCTTCCGATTGGTCTAATGAAGATTCAGAATTATTTGTTTTCATAAATACATCAGATTTAATGAAATTGAATTTCCCCGTATTCAATGGTGATTTAATTCAATTGAACTACGGTGATCAATCATCAGATTCAATTATTGTGAGAATATTTACCTTTGTTGAACCTCATAAATCTTTCTTAAAGAATTATATCTACATTTCCCCTATTTTATTAATCAATTTAAATTTGAATTTAAATTCGAAAATCACCCTTGAACCAATTCAAAAATCATCCACATCAACAACTTCATTAAATGATTCTCTTCCTATTGCAGAATCAGTTACGATTTCGAAAATATGTTCTCAAATCACCATGGATAAAACTTTCCAACGTAATTTCTTCTCCAGTTTGAAAACAAGTTTATCAAATCAATTCAAATGTGTCAAACAAGGTGATGTGTTCCCTATCGTACTCGATTCAGTCTTATCCAAAACCATTTTCGATCATATTAATGAAACTTCAACTCCACAATCCACCAATGATGATGCTATGACTGATGAAATTTCAACAAATGATGGGTTAGACGTTATCCCCATTGGAGATCCTGATTCAGTGGCATGGTTTAAAATCAAATCTATCACAGGGGAACAAACATCTACTAATCAATTCATCATTGATCCTTCCAAGACTTTATTGGTTTCTTCCGGGGTGGAATTCACCAGATTACCCTTGAATGAGTTTTATAAATGGTATCAATATCTTAATTTACCTCCTATGTTTAATTATAATACCATCCCTCATGATTTCAAATATGCTAAGGATTTTAAAAAGATCTTACAAACATGCTTAACATCCAAGATTAATCTTAAGACTACCATTCTTTTGAATTCCTTAACCAGAGGGATCGGAAAGACTAATATGGTTAGGAATATAAGTTATGAATTAGGGTTGAATTTGATTGAATTGGATTGTATCGATTTGATTAACCCGGGTCAAGAATTAAAAACGATTGGGATCTTGAGTGGGAAAATTGATAAATTATTAATCAATCAACCTAATTCAAGTATCGGTAATTCATCGTACAATGTCATTTATCTTAAACATATTGAAAGTTTATGTCCTTCAAGTGATGATAATGATCAGAATTCATCCATTCATACCTCATTATCATTGAAGATTATCAAATCTTTACAAGATTATCTCAGTAAATATCCTAATTTATCAATTGTGATGAGTTGTAATAATTACGATAAATTGAATGATAATCTTAAATCATTAATTAAATTCACCATCGAATTCACCGTCCCTAATGAGAAGGAAAGATTACAAATCTTTAAATACTTGATCCAAAAGGAAAACTCCTCCCATCATAATCACGATCATCATGAAATCAACAACATCAATGATTATCCATTCATAATTCGTAAGGATATAAATTTCAATAATTTAGCCTTACAATCAGCTGGGTTAACCCCTCGTGATTTAATCTCCATCATTAAAAAATCAAAAAAATCGGCCATAAAAAGATTAATCAAATTATCAACTCAATTGAAAACCCCTCTTCTCGATCTTATCAATATCGGAGATGGTGGGGTTATAACTTGGACCCCAGAAGATTTCAACGAAGCCATCAATGAAGCTCGTAATCAATTCAGTGATTCGATTGGTGCACCTAGAATCCCTAATGTTAAATGGGAAGATATCGGGGGGTTGGATTTAGTTAAGGATGAAATTTTAGATACCATTGATATGCCTTTGAAACATCCTGAATTATTCAATAATGGTTTAAAGAAGAGAAGTGGGATTTTATTCTATGGTCCACCAGGAACAGGTAAGACCTTACTTGCTAAAGCTATTGCCACTAATTTCTCCTTGAATTTCTTTAGCGTTAAAGGTCCTGAATTATTAAATATGTATATTGGGGAATCAGAAGCTAATGTTCGTAGAGTTTTCCAAAGAGCCAGAGATGCTAAACCATGTGTTATTTTCTTTGATGAATTGGATTCTGTCGCTCCTAAAAGAGGTAATCAAGGTGATTCCGGTGGGGTCATGGATAGAATTGTATCTCAATTATTAGCTGAATTAGATGGGATGAGTAGTGAAGGTGGAGATGGAGTGTTTGTGGTTGGTGCTACTAATAGACCTGATTTATTAGATGAAGCCTTGTTAAGACCTGGGAGATTTGATAAAATGTTATATTTAGGTATTTCTGATACCAATGATAAACAAACTAAGATTTTAGAAGCTTTAACAAGAAAATTTAAATTAGATGATGATGTTAATTTAGATAAGATTGCTGAAAATTGTTCATTCACATTCACAGGGGCTGATTTTTATGCATTATGTTCTGATTCAATGTTGAATGCCATGACTCGAATAGCCAATGAAGTTGATGTTAAAATCAAACAATTCAATGAAAATTTGATTCAACAAGGTAAAGAAATCATCTCAACTCGTTGGTGGTTTGATAATATCAGTAAAGAAGATGATATTAATGTGTTGGTTAAGATGGAAGATTTCTTAAAGGCACAACTGGAATTAATCCCATCGGTTAGTGCTGAAGAATTACAACATTATTTAAGAGTTAGACAAAATTTCGAAGGGGGTAAAGAAAAAGCTAAAGGAGAGGAACAAGTTAAAGAAATCACTTCTAATGGTAATGTGGAAGATGAAATTACCATTGATTTTAGTAATGGTACATCCAATGGTAATGCAATCTAGCAGTAACGAATATTTATTTAAAAGTTATATATATATACAGATAGTTTAAAATTTTTATTATACACTTCATTTATTATGATTAATCCTTATCATTTTTAAACATGTAACTCTTCTCCAACACATCTTTAGCTTGATTTATCCTTTGACTAATATACTGACTCCCACTTTTATCAGGATGATTTAGGATAATTAATTTTCGATATCGTTCTCGTAACAATGTCTTATTAAACTTGATAATATCATCATCTTCAATCCCCATAATCAACAATGCCTCTTGTTCCGTCATAGGATCTTTAAACCCCAGATGTGGATATCGTAGTCTTAAATACTTTATATGGGAATAATTCGGATCAGTCTTACTAACATTGATGTCATTATCATTAGGTCGAACAAGTTTGATATTGTTTAACGATGCTATCATTTGAGGAGTTAAATGAACGAATTTACTATACGCGGCAAATGTGGATTTGACAGTAAGAGCTATGACAGTAGCTCCTACCCCTATGATGATAGGTAGTACCATCTATACTTTCATAACCTGGATTGATTAATATGGTTTGAACTTTAATGGCAAATTTTTGTGGAGTATTTTTTTTTTGCTCAGTTTTGATCAACAGACCATAAATAAAATAATTTATAGTGAGAAATTGAGTGGGAATGAAAATGGGTGCAATTCACAGTTCTGATTGAAATAAAGGTTGAAAAGCATACCAATCAAGTATAGACAGTATGTGATTAACAAGATATTTTCTGAATTGGTGATAATTGTAGCTTTTATGTTATTATTACCTGATTTGTGGCATACCATTATTCTTTCGCAACTAAAAGTTTACCTTAAAGTTGCCCCAAATCGGCTAATTGAAATAACAGAATAGATTCAAGCTAAGTTCTAAAAGTGCATAAATAAGAGATTCAATCTTAGTTTTCTCTTTTCAAATCTCTTCTTTTTGTAATAAGAATACTACCTGGGAGTCAACCATGTTAGATAGATCGATTGACACTACCGATATTAGAGATGTTACATGCTATGTTTTGGAAAAGTTGTTTATTAGATTTTCCATAAACCCTCGACTTCCATGGGTTCTGGTACCAGATGAGTTCAGAGGTCCACTAGTGATTGTTATAAGACATGAAACTCCATTTTATGATCTCAGCAAAGAAGAAGATAAAGAAGAAAGAAAACCTCTTCCATTCAAATATGCAAATATTGAACCTGGTGCACTTTTGTTAACAGATAATCTTGACTTTGTTAGGGAGAAAGTATATGAAGTTTATTATGATGCACTCAATTCATTTTTGCTAGCAGACTTTGATAAGGAAGAAGAACATGAAGTTTATTATGATGCAACCACTTCACTTTTGTTAACATGTAATCCTGACTTTGATATAGAGGAAGAACATGAAGTTTATCATGATGCCCCCGAATCATTCGATGATGATTCATTCTATGAAGGAAAGCTTACACTAGAAGACACTGACCTTATCGAAGATGTATACAAAACCATACCAGATTTCTTTTATCTACATCTAGACAATATAAGTATAGCTTCCAAGTCATCCTATGTTTGTACTAATTTCAGATTTGAATTTTATCTTGGGAATCATCCAGATGATGAATATTTGATTAGAAAACATTGTAAATTTCTTCATGAATTCCAATTACAATATCGAAATTTTAATATTACTACTGTTATTTACGTTGGACTTCCTTATTCTAGTTCATTAATGAGAGAACTTGAAGTTATTCAGGAAAATGCACAATCAATATATGGTCCTGGTGACATCTCTAGACAATTTAAGATTGTTACTGTTATGCTTAACCCAAAATTAAAGAATAATCACTTTATTAGTCAATACCTTGAGGAAGAAATTACTGAATGGATTGAAAATCTTGAATGATTGTTATTTATTTAGAGAGGAGGCGCTACCAGTAATATATATATGACTTTACTTTTTACTATCTATAGTAAACGTGATCTACGTAGTTGTAGATCTAATTACACATTCTCTCAAACTAAATGAAATGATTAGTTATGATATGGTTTGAATACAGATACACTTACCGTATCATATCCAAATGGGATAGTAGCAAACGACGACCACAAAGTCAGTAACCCATAAAAGTGTCTATTTTTGCTTCCTTCCCCTCACCAGTCACATGATCAAATTTACACCAACAAAAAATCCAATTAACCAAAAAAAAAAGTCCGATACCGAGATAAACCACAAAGAGACTAAATTGAATAAATTGTCTGTCTGTCTGATTTTTTTTATTATTTCTCAATCGGAGTATTTGGCGGATAATTTTATATATAACTAATCGGATCGTATATCAAATTTGAAAAACGTCTTAATAAACTAAACAAGGTTATTCTAAATTCAATAGCCAAATTTAATTACCTCATAGTTCAAGGTCATCTGATAAGCAAGTATCCTATTTGGGAGGTTGGTTGGTTGAATGATTCAATCGCCACGATGAAATAGAATGATATGATGTTGTAATTATTATTATTTACAATTAATTATTATGATTGGGATCAGTTGATGAAAGTGAGAGCGAGAGAACGAAAAAAAAAAGAATTAGTGTCTGACAAAAAGAAAAAAATTGACAGCAACTGACACTGACACTGACCATACCAGACCAGGCAAGACAAGACAAGACAAACAGACAGTCTAGTTGTTGTATGACGATTACAATTATATTGATACCTAAAATGACAAGGAATTGTCTAATAACGGATCAATTGACCTTCTGTGTTTAACATAGGATTATCGGTGATTATATATGTAACTGATATCCTGCATAATGGTCACCCCTCTTTACCGTCTCACATTCCCATTATCCCTTCCCTTCTCTTCTCTTCTCTTGCCACGTCTATATATTGATGGAATTATGCTTTCCCAGTTATTGGTTGCAAATTTCTCGATTTATTATATATTATCTATTTCCCATTACCGTTACCCGAGACCAGTGAGTGAGTCAATCAGACAATTTTATAGAAACTATTAAGAAACCTGTACTAAACAAGGGGTGTAAGTAAGTAAAATAATAATAATAATTAGTTACGGCTCACTGATTACCGGATCTCGAAATTAAAAAATTAAAATTAAATAAAAAAAAAAACCAATTCAGACAGACAGCGGACGAACAGACATTTCTTCACCTGATGTGCGATGTTTGATTTAAATTTATGGTAATAACAGACAAAAATTTAAAAAAAAGTCATTGTAAGGGAATCAGCCATCCCACCTGGTTTGTTGAAATTTTTAAATTTTTGATAATTTTTAATTTATATATATATATCATTTGCCAATTCCCCTTTTCCCAATTGTCAATTGTTATTGTTATTCAATTCTCTTTCATATCAATTGCTTTCCATATTTGTCAAACTTAAAGTTAGATAAATAAATTCCCTATTGCTATTATCATTTGTCAATCATGTCTCACGCTTCTTTACATTGGTTAACTCAATTAAACACTTCTGAAACTCCTGATAAGGTTTTAAGAAGAACTTCCATCATTGGTACCATTGGTCCAAAAACCAACAATGCTGAAGTTATGGTTAAATTAAGAAAAGCTGGTTTAAACATTGTTCGTATGAATTTCTCTCATGGTTCTTATGAATATCATCAATCTGTCGTTGATAACGCTAGAAAATCAGAAGAATTATATAAAGGTAGACCATTAGCCATTGCTTTAGATACTAAAGGTCCAGAAATTAGAACTGGTACTACCACCAATGATGTTGATTATCCAATCTTACCAAATCATGAAATGATCTTTACTACTGATGAAAAATATGCTAAATCTTCTGATGATAAAATTATGTTTCTTGATTATAAAAATATTACCAAAGTTATTGATGTTGGTAAAATTATATATATTGATGATGGTGTTTTATCATTTGAAGTTCAAGAAATTGTTGATGATAACACTTTAAAAGTTAAATCCATTAATGCTGGTAAAATTTGTTCTCATAAAGGGGTTAATTTACCAGGTACTGATGTTGATTTACCTGCTTTATCCGAAAAAGATAAAGCTGATATTAGATTTGGGGTTAAAAATGGTGTTCATATGATTTTTGCTTCTTTTATTAGAACTGGTCAAGATATTAAAGATATTAGAGAAGTTTTAGGTGAAGATGGTAAAGATATTCAAATTATTGCTAAAATTGAAAATCAACAAGGGGTTAATAATTTTGATGAAATTTTAGAACAAACTGATGGTGTAATGGTTGCTAGAGGTGATTTAGGTATTGAAATCCCTGCTCCTCAAGTTTTTGTTGTTCAAAAACAATTGATTGCTAAATGTAATTTAGCTGCTAAACCAGTTATTTGTGCTACTCAAATGTTAGAATCAATGACTTATAATCCAAGACCAACTAGAGCTGAAGTTTCTGATGTTGGTAATGCTATCTTAGATGGTGCTGATTGTGTTATGTTATCAGGTGAAACCGCTAAAGGTAACTATCCATTTGAAGCTGTCTCCATGATGCATAATACTGCTATTATTGCTGAAAAAGCCATTGCTTATCAACCATTACATAATGAAATTAGAGCTTTAGCTAAAAGACCAACTCCAACCACTGAAACTTGTGCCGTTGCTGCTGTTTCTGCTGCTTATGAACAAAATGCTCAAGCCATTGTTGTTTTATCTACTACTGGTTTATCTGCCAGATTAGTTTCTAAATATAAACCAAATGTTCCAATTATGATGGTTACTAGAAATGAAAGATCAGCTAGATATTCTCATTTATCAAGAGGTGTATATCCATTCGTTTACACCAAAGATAGAGTTGAAAACTGGCAAGAAGATGTTGAAAACAGATTAAGATGGGCTGTTTCTGAAGCTGTTGAATTAGGTATCATTAAAAAGGGTGATTCCATTGTTACTGTTCAAGGTTGGACTAGAGGTTCAGGTCACTCTAACACTGTTAGAATTGTCCAAGCTTAAGCTTAAATACTTTTAATTCTTCTCCCTTCCTCCCCTCACTACTACCTAAAATCGTCTTAATACTATCAGCTTATATAGCCTTTTATATACATTAATTGAAAAAGATTCAAAAACTTTATATAAACTTTTAATTTTTGCAATTTTAAAAATAATTGTCGTAGAAAATCATTTGGTAGTGTGAAATTTCCAAAAATGGAAACGAGCAACAAAAAATTCATTAGCCAATATAAAGCTTAGTTGAAAAAAGTGGTATAACCAACAACTACTGTGTATTATATAGTCAGATATCATCTCTTATTCAACATGTCTCAGTTAGCAAGGTATCTGATAAGGTCCAGAAGTTTGGGACTTAAACCATTGACAAGTCAATTACGTTTCAATTCGAATTCTAGTGGAGAAAACACTACTCATTTTGGTTTCAAAACCGTCAATAAGGATGATAAAGAGAAATTAGTGGGAGGGGTATTTTCATCAGTTGCTTCTAATTATGATATTATGAATGATGCTATGTCAATGGGTGTTCATAGATTATGGAAATCCCATTTTATAAATCGTTTAGATGCCGGTATGAGACCAGGATCGAATCGTCCTTTACAATTTCTTGATGTTGCTGGTGGTACTGGTGATATTGCATTTGGATTATTAGATCATGCTGAAAGAAAATTTAATGATGTTAATTCAACTATGACGGTGGTTGATATTAATGCTGATATGTTAAGAGAAGGTGAAAAAAGATATCAAGCTTCGAAATGGAATGATGGATCTGATAGAGTTCAATTCTTAGTTCAAAATGGTGAACAATTAGATCAAATTGAAGATAATTCAAAGGATGTTTATACCATTGCGTTTGGTATTAGAAACTTCACCAATATCCAAGCTGGTTTAAATGCTGCTTATAGAGTTTTAAAACCAGGTGGTATATTCGCATGTTTAGAATTTTCTCAAGTTGATAATCCTGCCATTGATTATATTTATCAAGCTTATTCATTCTCAATTTTACCTTTAATGGGTCAATTAATCGCTGATGATAGAGATTCTTATCAATATTTAGTTGAAAGTATTAGAAAATTCCCCAAACAAGAAGAATTCAAATCAATGATTGAAAAAGCCGGATTTTACGTTCCTGAAAAAGGATATGAAAATTTAACCTTTGGTGTTGCTTCAATCCATATTGGTGTTAAACTTTGATTTTAATGAAAAAACTATAATTATTTGTACATAGCTTCTTACATACATACTTAATTACATCTATAAATAAACATATGTAAATGATTTAGTAACGTCTTCCGTTAAATTCAAACCTTTTATAAATCTAGTGGATTTATCATTATTATCAACTTCCATATTTTCATTCCCATCTTTCAATTCAATGATTTCACCATTTGAGATCTTGAATTTAACATAAACTTCACCTAATTTACTTATAACTTCAAACGATAGTATTAAATCGAAAAATGGGGATGTAAGATCAATATCTTCAAGGGTTAATGAGATATATTCTGCTTTTTCTTGATTAGAAATTTCCAATCCTGATTCACTATCACCTTCCTTTTTAGAATGATCTTTTAAGAACGCTTCTAAATTGGTTTCTTTATGACTTATTGGTTTGATAGTTGAATAAGTGGCATTTTCAGACATAGCATTCAAACTAAGTAATTCTTCATCAGTAACATCTTGAGGTAATTTCAATGATTCTTTTAATTTCTTCTTAGCTTCTTCAGTTAATTCCTTTTCAGGATTAAGTCCTGACATACTACCTACTTTTGAATTTCTTCTTGATCTAGCTATACTCGATCTATCATGACTAAATGATTCTTTATTACGAATTTCAATCGTATTCAATAAGTTAATAAATACAATGAAATTACGGAAAATAGGAATCAATATCGATATATCCAGTAATTTATTGACCGAAATTGATTTAAGTGGTATGAATTGATTTGAAATTAAATTATTTATAATTTTGAATGGCATTTGTGTATCTTTTAAACCTTTTAAATCGTATAAGACATCTTCATGATTATTAAACAGGATGATACTTGAATTCTTAATACTATCTCCTTGAGTATGATGCAATAAGCCTAAATACTCAAGTATAAATTGAGGGATATAGATTTCATGATTTAAAGTAAGACTTAATCGCCAATCCGATGAGTCTGTTGATGATGATGAACTGGATGACGATGAAGATGGTGGGGGTTGAGATGAATTATCCTGTTCGAATTGGAATTGGTATGATTGTGGTTGGGGTTGTTCTCCGGTAAACAATTGCCAGGATTCATGGGTTAAATTATCAAAATAATCTATTTGTTGACGATAAGCTTTTGAAACATTCATATGAATTAAGAAATTATATTTATTTCCCAAGAGTAACTCTTTAGAATTATGATTTACTTCATATTCATGATTGATATATCGATAATCTTTCCAAAAGTTTATGAAAATCCCCAATTGATTAGTTTCAAGATCATTAACTTTAACTTGTCCTACTCGACCTTTATATCCTTCTTGAACCAACCAATCTTGTAATTGACCCTCTGATTCAATTGAACTGACAACATATAAAAGAGACGATAATTTCTCCAATACATTAAATGCATCAAACGATGATGATGTGAGTCTATCAATATTACTTAAATAATTCAAATTGATGGGAAATTGATTCAATTTCTTGGATGATAAGTTATGGAGTAAGATCTTTTCTGACATTGATTTTTCATCTTTACTAGTTAATTTATTATATTCCGATAAATCCAAACTAGATTCAATAATCACTTGCGTTATACCATTATTATCGATTTTGTTTGATTTTATTCTGCCATGAAGATTATGTTCAAGACTCTTAATGGCTTCAGCTGCTTGATTAGCAAACGATATAGAAACATCCACCACTCGATTATCGTCAATGAAATCGATGTCAATAAGTATATATGACCCAGCAATCGTTAATCTTTGCGTCTTATCATCCTTAGCTATGCTGTTGTTGGTTTCAACCGTATACCTTAAATTATCAACAAAAGTTTCCAACTTTAATTGTTGAGCTAACTTTTGAATCAATTCAATTGATAATTTGAAATTGGACGAATAGTCAAAGAGTGATCCTAACGCTTTATTCAACACTCCATTTGATGATGGCATTTGATCTTAGGTTGGTGTAGTTGAACTATTGATGAAGTAAGTAAGGAAGCTGCTGCTACCAACTTCGAACTGAAAACTTTAAGAAACTCAAATATTTACAGTTTTCATTGGAGAACTTTACAGTTTAGAGCATTTTCACAGTTTAGCTTATTTTTACAGTTTACACCTTTTTTTGGTGTAATTTTTTTTCTTTTCAAACACACAGAACTATGAATCATCCCAGCCAACCATCCGAAGGTTTATCGTCAATTCAAAGGTCATAGATCATTCCCAATGTCATCAACTACTATCAGTCCTGAGATCTTGTCTCTTATAGATCCAGTGGTGTCTGGGTTGAAACGTCATCAGATTGTGGGAGATAAAGTGATTGCATTAGCCATATGTCATTTATTAATGAAAGTTATATCAGCTGCAAGATGGACTAACCCTTATGATTTAATTAATATCATTAGAAAAGTAGGGACCATCCTTCATACTGCATATCCTAGAAAAATCATAACTGGGAACATTGTCAGAAGAGTATTGGCTATAATTCGTGATGAAATCGAAACTGAAAATAGTAATAATGATAATACTCCAATGATGAGTTCAATGTTTAGTTTATTATCCACCAATAGTAATACCAGTCATAAAGTTCAACATAATCAACTGAAAAAACAATCTAGTGATTTTAGATCGGTGGTTATTGAAGGAATAAGAGATTTAATTGATGAGATCGCTAATGTTAATGAAGGTATTGAAACCATGTCTGTCGATTTAATTCATGATAATGAAATTTTATTAACTCCTACTCCAACTTCAGAAACAGTATTACAATTCTTAATAAAAGCTAGAGCCAAAAGAAAGTTTACAGTATTGGTTACTGAAAGTTTTCCCAATGATATAAATACTGCTCATAATTTTGTGAAGAAATTAGCTGATCATAAAATTGAAACTATTTTAATCCCTGATACCACTGTATTTGCTGTAATGTCTCGAGTTGGGAAAGTTATCATTGGATCAAGTGCAGTATTTGCCAATGGTGGTTGTATATCCAATTCTGGGGTAGCTCATGTGGTTGAATGTGCTAAAGAACATAAAACTCCCGTGTTTGCTTTAGCTGGATTATTCAAATTATCTCCCTTATACCCATTTAATGGAGATGATTTAATTGAAGTGGGTAATTCAGGTAAAGTTTTAAACTATGATGATTTCAAATTTGTCGAAAATGTCGAACTTGTCACTAATCCATTGGATAATTATATACCACCCGAACATATTGATATTTATATCACTAATGTTGGAGGTTTTGCTCCTTCGTTTATTTATAGAATTGTTTTGGATAATTATAAAACCGAAGACAATAAGCTCGAGTAAAAAGGGTTTGGCTTTTCTCGTTTTACATAATGTATATATAATTTAATACTACAGCATTTACATAATCTTAATTCAATTCACATTCATTCACAAAAATATATAATTACCTATATAAAACCAGTTACATAACAATTACCTATTTACTTGCTTTCATTTTCAACTTGATTTGCAATGGCTGGTTTTTCATCAATAACATGCTTGACATTATCACCATTATTATTGAATTGAATAGTAACCACATTTTCAGCATCAGATTCGACTTTTGGAACTGTGATCAAAACATTACCATCTTTAGTTTCTGCTGTAATAGCAGTTGGATTGACTGGTTTATCAAATTTAAGACTACTCAGATAATTGCTTGAACTTTCAGATTTAGCACCAGTTTGTTCATCTGTCTTGGAAATCTTTTGAGCGACACTGATTTTCAATTCATTTTCTTTCTTAAGGAAATCAACTTTGAAATCCTTATTAGTCAAATCATCAAACTTACAAGTAACAACATACTTATCCTGTTCTTCTTTTAAATCAACATTATTATCAAACCCAACAAACATCTTACCATCATTGAAATGCTTAAAGAAATCATCATCAAAAGCAGTTGGGAAAACCTCACCTGGATAACCATAAGGAATCAATGATCTAGCAGGAGGATAAGTATTACCAATCAATCTTCTAGGAGTGAAATAACCATTAGGGATAGAAGATTCATATCTTCTTGGTCTATTGAAGAAACCTCTGTTAAAGAAATCTTCAAAATCGGAATCAAAGAAATTATTGTAGAAACTCATATTGCTTGAAATTGTATTGTTATTAGTTGAGGAGTAACAAAAGTAAGTTGATTAATCGAGTTCAAGGGGTAAGATCCCCTTCCTTATATAGTTTTTGAGTGATTGCAAAATTTGGTGATAGTTCCCAAACGAGTGCGCACTTTAAAATGTTCCAGAATTATCCAGAAATTTCGAGTGGAGTGATTATGATCGTTGATGGAAATATAAAGATAAATTGTATATTGCTGTAATAATGATAATTATAATTAAGATATATGGTAATAGAAGTTTCTAGATTTACTTAGAAACACTTCTAGTTCCGTTATTTTCTTTATTCGCTTTGAATGACCATATGTCCTTTGTTCTTTCATTTTCACCCATTTAGCCTTAAATGGCAAATACTAAATTAAAACAAACTATTAAGGAGAGACGGTATCATTAAAAATTATCATTACATATGTATATAAAGAATACTAGGGGGGTCGTGCCATAACAACCTAACTACGAATATACGTGGCATCAATCTTAGCTAAACTTGGACCTAAATATAATTTTACTTTTCTTCTATAAGCAGTAGGATTTTGAAGTTGAATTGGATTACCTTCAAAATAAACAGTATCTAATTCAGGAAGTTTCCCTAATTCATTTCCAAGTTCTTCAAAATTAGAAATTCTATTATAAGAGCACCAAAAATCAGTTAAGTTCGTTAAATGTTTTAAATTCTCTAATTTTGTTATTCTATTAGATGTGATATCTAAGGTAGTTAATTTCGTATTATGATCTAAATTTTCAATCTTTTCAATTCCATTATGAGATAAATAAAGTTCTTCAAGATTAACTAACTTATCTAAACCTTCAATCTTTGTGATTCTATTGGATTGGATAGAAAGTACTCTTAAATTAACTAAATTCGTCATATTCTCAAATTTTTCAATTCTATTCTTTCCTAACCATAATTGTTCAAGATTTACTAACGTATTAAGATTCTCTGATATTATACTGATTTTATTTCCTCCTAATTCTAAATTCTTTATCTTGGTTAATGTTTCTAAATTCTTAATTTCTTTGATCTTATTCTGAACAAAATAAAGATTCTCTAATTCTGTTAAAGTTTCAAGATTCTTAATGTTTTTAATATTATTAAATGATAAATCAAGATTAGTAAGTTTAGTTAAATGTTTAATATTACTTGAAATATGATTGATTCTATTATCATATAAATCCAATTCTTCCATGGTTTCACCTGGTAAATCACCAACACCAACCATCGAAGTTAAAAGATTCTGTCTTAAACATAATGATTCCAATTTAGTAAACCTTGATAAATTCAATGCTTCTAAAGTACTAATCTTTAAATGAATTAAATCAATATAAGTAGTATCATCTTCATATTCAGCAGCTAAATCCTCATCAGCAGGGAATTGTTCAGGATGCTCATCGGGAATGATGATTCTTTCTTGTGTAGCAGTATCAGTAATTACATTCTGATGGCCTTGAGGTGGAAGACCTCCAAATATGCTTTGATCTTGATTATCTTCATCATCTTCATCATCTTCATCTTCATCCTCAGTATGGGATAAAATGGGAGCCTCATCTTCATGAACTTGACTATACTCAACTCCATTCTTGATAACTTCCGGTGAATCCTTTGTCATTGCAATTGAGTGTACTTCTGACAATTTGATCTATAATGAATTCCTCCCAGACTATTTACAGTCATTGGTTTTAAAATGGTTTACTTTTTTTTAGTTAGTGACAAATTGGTCACGTGAATTTGGTAATGGCAATTTCCATAGCCAAAATATCAGTTTAAGGTGGATCTACAGAAGGGTATGACTATGATGGAATAACGATAGTTATTGCATTATAAATAAGCTATAACAAAAAGAAAAGGTAAATCTAAAGGATTCGTAGAAGAATTATTATATACAAAAGTTAAGATGATGATGGGTGGATAGATGAAAGAATGGATAAATTGGATGAATGAATGAATGAATGAAGAATGAAAATATGATAGATATCAATCATTGAGATCAATACTAATCTTATTCATACTTATAATTTTTGTTCTTCTTCAAAAATATAATCAATAGCTTCACCAACAGTTTTAATTTCATCAGATATCTTATCAGGGATTTCTAAATCGAATTCTTCTTCTAAAGCAACTAAAGTTTCAATGACATCTAAAGAATCTAATCCTAAATCTTGTTTGAAAGTAGCTTCTAAGCTTAATTTGGATTCTTGAACAGCAGCAACAGTCTTTAAAGCTTCAAAGGCTCTTTGAGTAACTTCTTCTTTAGTTAATGGAGCAGCAGCATAGAATCTGATTGGTGTAACCATTGATTTGGAAGCTAAAGCTAATCTGGAAACTGGTGCAACAGTAGAACGTAAGGCTAATCTGAACATCTTGATTTATACTATAACTTATGAATTGGAATCTATAATAAATTAGAACTGTAAAAAGGGTGTTAACTATACAAACTCTGTCATAACAATTTCTCTTTCACCTCTTTTTTTTTTTTTTCGTTTTTTGGATTGACCAACCAAAAATTAATTGGTCCTGCAGGTAATAGGGTAAGCGGGAGCTACCATATATATAATAAAGTGTCTGTTTATTGACTTTTTAATTCTATATAACGTATTTAAGTTTAATTTCTTCTCCAATTCAAGGCATTACGTTTAGCATTAGAGTTTGCACGATTTGGATCTAATGGTCTATCATAGGAAAAGTCTGATGTACTAGAAGATGCTGATGATGCAGTTCTAGTAGTCACCTTAGACCCTGCAATTGATGGAGGTCCTCCACCACTGACTTTTCTGTTTTGAATATATGATAAAGTATCTTGACTACTTGGACTACTATGGCTTCCTGTGGTTGATACATTACGAGTAAGAGAACTAGTATTGGTCATGATTGGAACAAGACCATTACTAGTATTATGAGCACTTTCAACTTCCGGGATAATTTTCAACTCCGCAATTTCATCTTTGAAATTCTTCTTATATAAATCAATTAAAGCTTCATGACTTAATTTCATAGTAGCAGGGACTAATATTCCATGTAAGATCAAACAACGATTCAAAATTAAGACTAATTCATCAAATACATTCTTTAATAATCTAATTGATTCTTCTTCTTCTTCCTTAACATTAGTAAAGAAATTTCTATATTGTCCCACACCACCATTAACTGGAGAATCAACCGTACCAGCTAATTGTCTTGATAAATCATTGAAATAACTATCATATCCAACTTTATCATGAATGGCTTCATTAATTAAACTTTCAAGTTGAATAAGATCATTATTCTTATTTAAAATGGTTCTAATAGCATTGTCTAATGGAGATAATTTAACTACTTTAGTAGCTTTAATATCACTTCTATTCATTAATGTTGGGAATGAAAGATAGGTTTCATAAGTAGTTTCTTCTGTCCATAAATCAAATACAGATTTGGAACCAGGAAGTCTCTTCATAGTAGTAAAGAATCTTAAATCTTTATTTCTAGCATATTTTCTAACCCCAATCGAAGTATTAAATAATTTATCGGAAATTTCAGTACTTGGATCAACAGTTGTAACATGTAAATATCTACCAGTTTGAACTTTTTCTTCAAGAATTCGAGCTTCAGCATCATTAGTAACAATACGTCCACCAGGATATAACTTCAATAATCTTTCATGAATAGAAGTTATATGTTCAAATGGTAACCCTTCATAAATTTGTTCTTTACCTCTAATATTAACTGGGAACCCTGCACCTATAAATGATACTCTGAAGAATGATGGCATTAATTTATCAGATGATTCTAAATCAGAATATAATTTAGATAATTTCCCATGAACGTATGCAAGACTCTTTAAATCATAAGTATTTTCATGATAAGCGTCCAATAATTCATTATAAATATCAATGGCTCTTTCAAGACTATTTCCCTTGACAAAACTATTAGCAATCAATTTAGAAAGTTCTTCTTTTCTTTGAAACATTGATTGTTGAGGAAATTTAGGTCTAATTGATGGAGGTAATGTGATATGTAAATCCCATGAATAAGTTGAAGCTAATAATTCCAAACTTAAAGCAGCTTGAATATAATCATGTTTGACTAAATTCTCTTCATACATTGAATTAATAAATGAATTGAAAATTTCAGGTTTCTTTAAATAAGTATTAATATTCAATTTATGGAAAGTTCTTTCATCATCAAATTCAGGTCCAACTGGAACTATATTTAAATCATTCAAAACATCCAAGAACCCAGTTAAATTCCGAATATAATTATAAATAACTCCAAATGATACATCTTCACGATCAATTCTAATCGTAAGCTTTAATCTTTCAATAAAACTATTTTGTTCTTGTGGCAATGGTTTATATCCATTTCTGGTATATATATCATGTAATCCAATAAATGATTCACGTTCAATAGCATCAATCGAAGTATCATTAATTAAATATTCTGAAATTAAAAGCGACCATAATATCTTCACACTAACCACTTGACAAGCTTTGTTTCTTTGTAAAGCAAATAACATTAAATCTTGAATAATTCCAAATTCATTGGTAATGAATTCAACTTGATAACCTCCAAATCTCTTTAAATTGAATCTAACAATATCTTCACTAGTAGCATCCCAAGCTAATGAATCCCATGATTCATTAAGTAAAAAGGCAATTCTTTCCCGAACAGTACCAGTGATTTGTCCTGCTGCTTTCTTAGGAACGACAGATAAATGTTCAATAGATACAGCTGGTAATACTGCTAATTTTAATAAATTCTTAAAATAATTACCCCATAATGCTCTATCAAAACCATCAGATTTATCAATCGGTGGAATATATTGCGTAACAAGTAAAGGATGAATCAATTCAAGAGATGTCAAACTTCCTTCAATGAATACTGCAAATAATGAAAGCCATTTTTGATGATGGAAGAATCCACCTTGTCTAATTAATTTAACGGCATTCATCACAGTGATAAGACTTTCAGTATTGAACACTTCATCTTTAATTTCAATACGATTGGCTTTGGCAATTCTTGCGATAAACACAAATACAGATGCCATTTCAACTAAAATTTCAACCAAGACTTCGTCATTGACAATAGGATCCATGGATGATTCAATAAATGGATATTCAGTAGGGAAAAGTTTGGTGAATGTTCTTTTTGGTTTGAAAAATCCATGACCTCTAGTATATTTATTATATTTGATCATTGATCTTGCAATAGCAGGTAAAAGTAATGCTAATTGATAATATGACTCTTTATCATTTGATCTAGAATATAATTGAGTACAACATGCATTCAAAATACTTAATGCCAATCTAGCAGCATCAATATCAGTAGGACCAAGTAAGACTTCCATAGCCCATTCGATTGATTTAGACACTAAAATCTTTTCCGTAGTTGGTGATTTCACTAAGAAACTGCTGAAAAGACGATGAATTAATAATAATTTGTTAATGATGATTTTATGATCTTTAATCAGCGATTGTTGTTCTTCATTTAAACCCAATCCTCTAATACCAATGGAATCAATGAAACTAACGACAAAGTTTAAAATAGATTGTTCATCAATATCAGCTTTGAAAGTTAAGACATAATCAATAATTTCCATAATGAGAACTTGATCATTAACCATGGAACTATTTTGAATGGAAAGGAAAAGTGTACATGATTGGAAAAGATTATTTAATGATTTGACATATTCATCAGAATCATCAATTGAATATACCGATAATTTCATTAAGATTGATGAGATACGACATAAGGATCTAGACATTGCATTCCAATTTACAGTTGCATTGGAAAAAACTTCAGCAACTTTATTAATAAGGAAAACCCCAATCTTTGGAAGAGATTTATATCTGATAAGAAAATTATCAATCAAGTATAAATATTGATCTTGTTTTCCAAATATAGTATCTAATAAATGAATAATAGATTTGAAAGTATGGTCAACTAAAGCTTGTGAACTAGGAGTGAATCCTTCTTCTTTAAGTTTCTCAAGGATACCATAGAATGAACTTAATAATTCCGGGAAATACTTAACCACTTGAGGAATTTCTAATTTACAGAATTGAACTAAGGACATCGATAAATCTTCTTCTAATCCAGATTTCATAAATCTTTCATATTGGAAAATATTTTCAATGGAATAATCAGAATTATATACTTTTCCAACATATTCAGTACCAACTTCAACACTTGCCATTGGTAATTTATGATTCAAGGACATTATTTCCACTGAATGGTTTTTTCTTTTACTAAATTCAACCAATCTATTACTAGATTTATATAAAAGTTTACCTTCACCAACTAAGACACCATTGGCATATAATGATAATTGGATGAAATCTTCTTTTGGAGATTTCTTTTTGGCAGGGTTCTTTAAAGAAATACCATTGATTTTAACTATTTCACCAATGGATTCATTTTGAAATACAGATATAAATTGCCATGAACGTTTTTCTTGTTGATTAGATGCTTTAGCAAAAGTAATCAATTCATTTTGAGGGGTTGTAACTTCAAAAGTTAATAAATCATCCTTATTGATTCCATTTAAGGCTGTTACTTTTCCTAAGGTTAAATAAAGTCTTTCATAATTCTCTGCTAATGGATCGAAGAAAATTGGTCTAATTCTTGATATTGGGGTGGAAGTAAGAGTTGTACTTTGAAGGATTCCTGAAGCAAATTGATGTTTGAATTCTTTTAACGTAACGGTTAACTTTTCAGCTCTTGGATTAACGGCAATTCCTTGTTCAGAACCAGTAATGATTCTATCCACAAGTTCACCCCAACCAGCATTATCAGTACCACTCTTTTTTGAATTCATATAAGATCCAAATAATTTGATAGAGAAGTTATGAGATTCACCCGAAGCTAATGAATCTTTATTACTAGAAAAAATTCTGGTAATATCAGTTACACCTGCAGCCACACCCTTTTTAAGTCTTCTAAGATGAGTAGCCATTGATCTTAATTCAACTTCTTCAGTTAAAACAGCCACCAAATACACTCTACTATTTTCAATTTCACTATAAGGAATATTTCTAAAGAGAGCAGCACTAATCTTTTCAACTTGAACTAATTCATCAACTGAATTGGTATGAATAGCAAATGCCTCTGTTAATCTTTTTCGACTATTACGAATATACAAATAAGCTGTCATACCCAGGAAACCAGGCGGTTGATAAGCTGATGATCCTGATACTGATTTGAAATCGACTAAGATATGAGATGGAGGATCGGCAAGTAATTTTTTATTTGAAGGAGGTTCTAATGAATAATAACTTCGTTTTGCAGCAGCATGAATAGGGTAAGTTGATTCTAATGAACCTAACAATTGTTCTAAAGCCATATATGGGGCAGTCGAATTATCATTCGAAAGAAGTTCACCAGTGATAGGATCTCTAGCTAAGAGAGCCTTATAACCAGAAATATCAGTATCATCATTATCTAAATCATAAGATTGAGAATTTAATCTGGCTGATTTTGAACCTAATTTCTTTGGAATTTTATTTAATAAAAAGGTAGTTGTTTCCTTTGCACTTTGAGTTTCATTTGAAGTTAATAAATTATGTTTTAATTTGATTCTAGTATAATTTAAATTATGATAAATTTCAGCTAATTTATTATATAATCTGAATTCACCAATGGAATATAACGCGAATATATGATAAGTTAATAATTCCAAAGCGTGTTTGATTTCACTTTGTAAGTCTTCTCCAAGTTGGAATGTCTTTATAGGTAATATAGGAACTTTACTCTGGGTATCATTAGTGGTGGTTGTTCCACTCCCATTACTAGAAACAAGAGTATCCACATCACCATTAAGAGCCAGTTTATAATCCTGTTCAGCCTGTTGAATCGAAGGAACAGTCTCTGAATCAACGATATTATTAAACCCATTATGGACTGATATAGTTTCAAAGGGAACCTTAGCTGTAACTTGAACAAATTTCAAGGGGAAAATAACAATATGTTGATTTACCAGAGGTAAATCATCCAAATTAACTGAAGTGATAGTGAAATCATTAGGAAATGGTTTGGTTAAAGCATAACCTCTAGCCCATTTCTCCCTCTTAGTCTCAAAGATATAAACTTCATCACCAGGATATAAATTTCTAAAATTGGGATTCTTTAAATTAGGGTCCTTATCTAATGGTGTAAAGGGTTTAATGATCTTACCCACCAAAAACGCCGGTGTAGATTCCCATGACATGATCAATCAATGCAATTCAATGGCTTATAGTCACTATATACGTGATAGAACCTAAGACCAATGATCAATCGAATTCAACTGTCTGTTGCAAACACTTTCAATTATTTTTGGTACCTTGAAATTTTTGGTTGTCAAAATCAAAATGGTTTTATTTTTTTTGAGTGTTGTTCTTTTTTTTCTGTTTTGGTTAGACGATGCAAAAGTATTTAATTAGACCATTTTAGGAAATAGGTAGATCGCCTCACTCTAGTTGGTTGAATATGCTACTGCAATTAGGGCTAAAATGAATTAATTTATTAAAGGATGTGAAAGTTTATATAATACAACATATAGAAATGTTTATAAATGTATGAAATGAAACCGTAATAACTATAAAAAAACAACAAAAACAATAAAAATGAAATCCCAACCTGAACGAACGGTAATGTAAAAATGCTAAGATAAACGCAAACAAAATAACAAACAACAACAACGACAACGACAACAACCTCTACTCTATGCAAGGAATGAGATAAATTTCAGTAAGGTATCCTTAACACTCCTTGCATTATATTCTCTACCTCCATCCCAAATGAATCTATCCATTTCAGTTCTACCGGAATCAAAATCAATAGTATCCAACGTTGGAATTCTAGTACCTCTAACCACTTTATAACCAATATATAATACAGCAAATATTATCAATGTACCATAACTTGAAAAGAAAAACATCGTATTCCATTCTCCTCTGATAAATACCACAAATCCCATTCCAAAGATAATCACAGTTGTACCAATAAGTCCAATAATAGCACTATAAGGTTGGAATGGAGATCTATAAGGATAAGCTTTATCATCTCTATTAATAATATCAGGTCGTCTTTTAAGTCCATAATAAAACCGGATAAATGATAAACACATGGCAAACCAAACCATTATCCCTGATGATGCAATAATACTAGTTAAATTTTGAAATACAACGGTGGCCTTTTCTGAAACACATAAATATGATAATAATCCAAAACTGGCTGCAAATAATACTGCATTATAAGGAATACCTTGAGCATTACAATAAGTAAGGAATTTAGGAGCTTTTCTTTGTAATGCCATGGAATAAACCGTACGAGAACTAACATATAATTGAGCATTACCACAACTTATAGCGAAAAACACTAAAAATCCATTCACTACTGAACTGAAATTACATAATCCAGCACTTTGTAAAGCAACAATCCAAGGACTTTGGGCACCAGTCCCAAATCCAGCAAATACAAGTGATTCAGTATTACAATTAACTCCACCAGCATATTCAATGGCATAATTGGCAGCAAATTGATCTTGAGCAATACCTGTATTACCCAGATAATATCTTAATAATCTTGGATCGCCAGCATAAACGTTTAATGATACACAAAAGGCTGATAAACAATAAAATAATAAAATTCTCCAAAATACTCTTTTAGTAGCTGATGGTAAAGCTTTTCTTGGATTTTGAGCTTCACAAGCAGCAATACAAACAATTTCTGTACCACTATAAGCATATGATACAACTAATAATGCAACTAAAAAAGATAAAAATCTACCTTCACCTCCACCAATACCTTCATCAGGAGGATTAGTACCTGTATCATGTAAATTAAATCTAGGTCGAAATAATCCAAATATAATATTATGATCAAAATCTGATTTCAGATGATTCCAAAATCGGAATCCAATCGCTTCACCACTACCAAATCCACCACGATTTAATACAATCATGACAATAATCATGATTAATGCTGCTATTAATTTAATAAAACTTGAAATATATTCAATTTCACCAAATATTCGAACATCAATAAGATTACTTAACACCACAATGGTTAAAAATAACGTAACAAATCCAGCTGATGAACCTTTATCGGCCGGGATATTTAGATATGGATAATATGATAACATAATGACACTGGCGACAATTTCACCTGCTAACCCAAATGAAAAACTTACAAAATATAACCAACCCACAGCGAATCCAAATGCATCGTCGACAAATCTTGAACTTAAACCTGATACTCCATCCACAACAGATACGAATGTTACCATTTCACAGAATGAAACCATAGTGGCTAAAACGATTATCCCACAAACAACATATGCTAGTAATGTTCCAAATCCACCAGCGATAGTTAATGCTTTACCTGAATTAAGAAATAATCCTACTCCTAAAGTTCCACCTAATGAAATCATTTGTAAGTGTCGTACTTTTAATTTTCTTTGTAAATAGATTTTATTAGCTCTATCAGCTGTATCTGATGAACTTGGAGAATTCGAATAATTTAATTCACTTATACTTATTTTTGAAGTAACAGGACGATCACCTGTAGTATTTGAATATTTTCTACCATACCAAGTTTTTAATTTTATGGTTGAAGGTTTTAAAATATTTGTTTTAGTTTCATTTGTAAAATCATGATCAGCATAAAAGTTTTTAGATAACTCTTTTGATTGAACCACATTTAATAAATCATTTTCTTTAGGAGGGAGATTCTTGGCTACTTTGGCATAAATGATATCATTTAATTCAGTTTGTTTAATGTACTTATTGAAATCATCTAATTGAGATAATTCAAATACTGATGAATGAGATTCTAAAACTTGCAAAGGGATTTGTTGATGATCTTTCATATTTTGAACTGTTTGATCGATTTCAACTTGTTTAATTTTATCCTTCTTTAACTTTTCATAACCTCTTAAATATTTAAATCTTTCACCACTATTATCAATTTTATCTAGATGATCAGGATTATGAGTTATTTGATTTATAATCGATGAATCAATCGAATAATTATGGGATTCAAACGTCGCTACATCAGTTAAATCTTGTTCTGTATCATCATCTTCATAAGCTTGATTATATTGATTATCAGTTTGATGATGTCTAACAAAGATATGACGTAAATCACCAATAGAACTTGTAGAATCATTTCCTAATGAATCCAAATGATAAGAATTTCGAGATGATACTTCAGATGAAGCTACATCTTTATGCTTATCCTCCATAGTGGGAAACAATCTATGCTCCATGATAGAAGATTCCGAATCATCAGAATTTGTATCGGACCCAAGATGGGTCATGGCTATAAAATTTGACTATGTCTATTCAGAAGTGAAATTTGTCTAATGATAAACTATGATTAGAAATAGAAAACCCCAAAATAATACGGTTTATTATATACCAGGGCGGGTTTATAATCTATGATATGGACTGAATAATGATGTTACCAATCAACTTGATAAGTTATCTTTTGATATAAGGCGTCTGACTGGTATAACTATGATATATAAGTTATAGATTTTGACGAAAATATTTATGACATGTTTTTAAAATTTGACATGACAGAACTCCTTTATTTTTTTTCCTGTGAGGTCTAAGGGTACTTGGTTAATCCGGTGATTTAGACCTACTATCAAAAGGGGTATTTACAATGTATACAAGTACACTATAAGTCAGGTATCATCAAATGGATATCAACAAAGTACAACAACTAACTCTAATCACACACAAATTCTTTTAAATTATAATGATGAACTCATTATTATAACTTAAAAAAATGAAGGTATGATAATTTGCGTCAGAAGCCTAGGAAAGTGCAATGGCAACGACACTGTGTAGAAAGGTGTGAGCAAGCCCATCGATCCAATCTACTGATAATCCAAAAATAAAGGTAACATATTATAAAAGTCATCAATGATGACGTTTCAGTTGTTACACTGAAAAGAACAGATACTACACTTGATCTAAGCCAGAAGGCAAAGAGATTTGGTTGCAGACGAAGGGAGATTAGGGGAATCAGTTCTATTTATACTTTTTGGATGAGTGTCCGGGTAAATGAAAAGAAAAGTTTTTTTCGTTGTCACTATGAGGAGGTCACGAGATTTTGATCAGATGACTTTACGAGATGAATGGAAATGAACTCTCCTTTAGGTATCAACTATAGAGATAATTGAATGATACACAAAGTATATATAATACATTCTTCTACTAAGTAATATCACTAAGCTATTAAATAACACAATCACGGTATCTGATAGAATAAATAGAATCACGTAGAATATAATTAACTTTTGTTAGTCGTTAAATAATCTTAATTGTGCTGGCTCCCAATTAAGTAATAAATTAGAACGCCGCACCTCATCTCACCCACAAAACTTGCAACCTCATTTGAAAAATTTTTGAAATAAACGGTTTATATATAATTCTATCAATTTGCCATCAACTACGATTTGAAGTTATATATTGAACAATTACTAAATATAACAAGAATAATAATAAGCAATCATGACTTCATTTAAATCCAGAGGTAATAGATACAATAGAAAGAGTAATACCAGAGATGAAGGTAAATACTTTATTATTAATCATAGTGAAGATGATAGACGTCATGGTCATCATCACCATGGTCACCATCATCACCATCACCATCACCATCATGGTAAAAAGGATAAATACAGAAGATATTACCAACAACATCCAAAGAAATTAGCATTGGTTGAAGAACCTGAATCCGATGATGAAGATGATTATGAAGATGAAGAAGAGGATGTTGAACCACAATATTACGAATATGAAGATGATGATGAAGAAGAAGAGGAAGACGATGACGAAGAAGAAGAAGACGATGAAGACCATGAAGAAGAACAAATCTATGAATTTGCTCTTAATGGCAACGAAGATGAAGACGACGATGAAGAAGATGAAGATGAAGAAGAAGACGACTATGAAGAAGAACATTACATCATTGACTTAAATGATGAATTAGAAAACGAAGCCGTTGACAATTTTGACAGATATGGCAAAGTCCTTGACTTGAATGATGAAATTGTCAGATTCTACGATGAAGATGATGAAGAATTAGAACCTGCTGATATTTACGATGTCGTTGACTTAAATGATCAATTACAAGCTGCAGCCGTTGCTCAAATCTTAGCTGAAGAAGAAGAAGACGACGACGATGAAGATGACGAATCTGACTCTGAATCTGAAACTTTAGATTACTCATCTGATATTGAAGAATTAAACGATGAATTACAATTAGAAAACGTCAGACAATCATTTGAAGAAGGTTTAATTAGTGGAGATGAAATTTTATTCTCTGAAGATGAAGATTCTGAATTAGGTGATGAACCAGAATATTTTGAAATTGATTCTGAAGATTTTGAAGATGAAGACATTGAAGAATATAATTACGATGCTGGTAATCCAACTAATTATGAATTTTATGATTCAGATTCTTCCGATTCTGATGATGATGGTCAAGGTATAACTATTTATAGACATAGATTTGATTTACCTGAAGGTGAAAGTGAAAATGATTCTACTGATGATGAATTAGTTGAATATGCCTTTGAAGATGAAGATGATGACGAAGAAGAAAGTTTTGATCTTTATGATGAAGATGGATTCTTAGTCGCTAATGATAGTGAAGATGATGATGAAGAAGATGAAGGTGTTGAAATCATTGATTTATCTAAAGATTTAGAAAATTCTAAAGATTGTGAATTAGTTGAATTAGATGATAATACTTATAAACTAAATTTAAGATTTCCTTCTTTAGTTAAAGATGAATTAAAAATTGATTTCAAAAAGATTGAAAATGAATTAATCATCAGAGGTAAATTCAATTTTACTGTTGAAGAAACTGATAGTGAATTTGAAGCTGATATCGAAGAAGATGATGAAGAAGAAGAAGATGATGACGACGAAGAAGAACTCGAAGGTGAAGTTATCTTAGAAGAAGCTGACAGTGAAGATGATGATGAAGAAGAAGAAGACGAAGATGATGAAGATGATGAACTTATTGCTGACGTTATCTTAGAAGAAGTTGAAGATGATGATGATGAAGAAGAAGAAGAAGAAGACGATGAAGACTTTGAAGAAGATGATGAAGAAGAAGATTCTTTTGAATGGTCAGGATTTGAAGGTCAAGATCCAGAAAATGCTGAAAGTTTCATTGTCGATGAAGATGAAGAAGATGAAGAAGAAGAAGAAATTAAAGAAGATGCTCAATCATTAATAAAAGATTTCAAAAATCATGAAATTGGATTTGAAAAATATTTCCAATTCGATAAAGTGATTAAATTTGAAGAAATCAAAGCTAAATTCATTAACGATGATGAATTAGAATTAATCATTCCATGTGAATCCACTCCAATTGAAAAGGAATCCAATATCGTCTCCATTGCTATTGAACAAGCATCAGAAGATGATGATGAAGAAGATGAATCCATCACTGATGAAATTGAAGAAAAGGAAGAACCAGTTGAAGATCAATATGAAGATGCTTCCATGGAAAACTAATTCCCTACCTTATCATCAAAATTTGCATTTCTCTAGTTCATCAATCTCATTTCTTTACATCTAATTTATTTCCATATTCGGGTGATTCCATCACATTTGCTTTTTATCAGAGTTCCAAAAATAGTTATATAAAAACATATAGATTTGTATTTTAGTTTAATAATATTAAAAAAATAATAATTGTGGTATTTTAACCAAGTCATATTAATCATTATAGTTGATCTTAATTGTAGATAAATACATTTTGCATCGCTCAGATCCATTTTATTTTTTTTTGCAGCACGATCAAATTTTCTGATTCAGGAGAAATTTACCACATTCTTCAAAGGTGTTACCAGTCATCATCATATCACCATCAATCTTTAAAGCAATGACAGAAACAGGATCAATCAATCTGTCGATTCCTCAATTGAACCTTGATGATCAACCTCATGATGATCCCATTGATTATCAACCCATTGATGAGAATCAATTGTTTCATAGATTAGGCGGTTTCAATGATATCAAGGGGTTCAATGCAAAGAGTTTAGGGTTAACTACTGGGAATGATATGTTTAATGCTTTGGATAGTACTAAGTTTGATATTACTACTAGTGAGATTCTTCGTGTTCATTTATTAAGAATCTTATTAACTTTCATATTGTTCATTCATATGCATGTGGTCCACATTTATCAACTTGTTGAAGATGCTGTTGAATTGATTAATATCTTTTGGTTAGATTTATGGAGTGTTTCTCAATTAGATTCAGAAGTTATGACGTTTGGGATTTATTTTATTAATAATATATCTTGTGGAGCTATTTTCACTAAGAATTTAATTTATAATGTTCCATCAGTATTCTTAAGATTAATGAATAATATGTATTTAAGGAATAATCCATCATCAGGATTAATCAATTTTAAATTATCTATTCCACAACATTTCTTACCTAATTCAATCAGTGTCATCTTAGAAATCAATCAAGCTATCGTATCACCACCACCATCAATTCCTCAACCTTATCTTAATGCTGATAAAAAAATAACAGTTCCAAGTAAACGAGAAATTCAACAAGTATTAGCCATTAGAAATGAATATTTCACTCATCAGAGTGTTCATATTGCAGCTGAGAAAGTTAGAATTCAAAGTGAAATTGCTAGATTTGTAACTTGGTGTTCATTAATTCCATCCCTTAGTACTATCAATATCTATGAAAGATTTGGATTAGTATGGGATACCCCTGAAAAGATTGAACTGAGTTTAGAAATGTTAGGTAGCTCAATCCTTAATGAATTAAGTTCATTTGCTAATTCATGTTTCGTTTATGAATTGGAAGATTTAAGAGTATTAATTCCCAGAATTACGTTAGTGGAAGTTATGTCAGGAAAATCATATACCATTAATCAATTAAGTACTCTTCCACAACAACCACCAAATCCAGATCAAACTAGTAATGAGATTGAAAGTTTGATTAGTTCTTATTCTGATGATCGAGAATTGATAGTTAATCTTTGTGATTCAAGAATGAATGATGATTTGATTGGTACTTATTTAGGAAATGTTTTTGAAGCAGGTACAGAACTAGATGAAGATGATATGTTCCATACATTATCTGAATTGATTCCTTCAACCCCAGATATGATCATTATTCCAGGGAAGAATAACGTAAAACATATGAAATTAAGTGGATACAAGAGTATAATTAATGAAGAAGATGTGGCAAGTACGGTTACTTCACCAATTTTTTATTTTTCAAAGATTAGATTCGGATTCCCATTTTTCATTAGATCACTTTATTATTATGCTCTTAATAGTGATGTTTCCCAAACTGAATTAGTTGATTTTGTTAATGGTGCAACCGTTAGACAAACTTTGCAACAACAAGCATTACTGTCGGAAACAGCTATTGCTAATCATTATTTGGTTAATTTCTTTAAGAGATTAAGAGGATTAAAATTATTTGATCTTAATTCAAGTCCTGCTAATCCTAATGAATATGAAAATGAAGCTAATTTATTATTAAACTCATCAGAATTGTTAACTGCAAATGTTTGATCTCATTTGTTTCACGTTTATTTTTTGCATTCACTCTTGCTCACTTTTAGCTATTTATTTGCTACGTATAGAAGTATCCCCATAATATAAATTAATTATTAATATTGTATTGCTAGTCTCTAACTAACCTAATTATTATAAAATATAGAAATTATTCTCCTACTTAAAATTCATCCTCATCTATGTAAAAGATAGGCTCCTGATCTTCCAGTCCAGAGTCAGGGAATTCCACTGTCCCAACATATTCCCAATCAGACACATAGTTCTTTTCCTCTTCAATTAACTGTTCAACAGCAGTACGTAGATTATTATAAGAATTATCTTGAGATTCTTTTCGTCCAATACCATTATGCAGAATCACATTTATTGTTTCTTCAATCAATTCTGGATTAGGGGACATCAATAAGTAAAACCATGCGTCACATTGTCCATCTTGATCTAACTCATCAATCCTACTGGCTAATTTAATATAATAATCCTCAATTACACCAAACTCCATAGACGACCAATCTGTATCCTTATAAAGTTCATCATTACATTGTAAGCTCTCAGGTTTTTTATGGTTGGTAGGGTGAGAATACTATAATGATCTCCATTCATAAACTCAATTACTCTCTCTTCACCTACTAAATTATTAATCCCTGAGTGACAAGCTGCATTTGATTGATCACAAGTTGTAAGTGATAACAATTGTAACAAGAAGATTATTGCCAACCATGGCGATGTCATAAAGTTTTTCATATTTCGTTTGTCTGGTAATTGATATCAGTTCTTTTGGTTTAATTTGATTAATGTTCTTCCTATTTATATGAATTTGATGATCATTTTATTATGCTATACTTGTCTTTTCTTATTCTTAATTATTATTCTTACTTTATTTTGATAGGCGTAGTATCCTGTTTAAGTTTATAATTACTTCTATCTATTTGAGTGGTAACAGATACAGATGTAATTCCCAATAAGTCCTAAATACATCTCTTTTGCAGTCATTGGTTCAGGTATAGCTAACATTTACTATTTTTAAAAATCTTAGTGCGGAGGCCCATATCATTTACTTTTCAACAGAGATATCATTCATTCAAAGTCTAATAGGTAATTATACAGCTTAATCTTACTTCAATATACTTCAAGACTACCATAACCATTAGCTTAGAGTGGTAGATTGATCGTTCATATCATATCATATCATATCATACAATTCCAATATCATATTGCTTTCATATTAGATCCTCAATTACATTAACAATATACCATCGTTACATGGATTATATACTTATATCATAAATACTCATAACGGTGCATTATTATTCTTCTTGCATTCAATCTTTTGCAGCTCGTTTATTGCTATCATTTGCCACCTTTAAAAGTATGATGTAAAGATGTGTCCCCATAATATAAATTAATTATTCATATTGTATTACTAGCCACTAACTAAACTATGTCATTGTCTATTTGGATTAACTTCCTACTGAAGCATAATTAACTGGTATATCTCGTATTTAATGATCACTTGTTTAAACAAAACTAACATAACTAACATATCTAATCTAACTGAAGCTAAATTTTAAAACATCGAAATTATACAACATTATCTCCCCCCACTTACACTTCTCGGTCTTTCAGTATATTCGACCACCTGCACTTCTATCTCAGGATCTGGGTATTCCACTATCCCCATATATTCCCAATCAGGCACGTAGTTCTTTTTCTCTTCAAACAACTGTTCGACAGCATTACGTAAATTATTATAAGCACTATCTTGGGATTCCTTTCGTCCTATACCGCTATTAAGAATCACATTAATCGTTTGCTCAATCAACTTTATATCAGCTGTAGTCAACAAGTAGAACCATGCGTCACACTGTCCTTCTTGATCTAACACATCAATCCTATCTGCTAATTTGGTATACAAATCCTGTGTAACACCAAAACCCATAGATGACCAATCGGTATCCTTATAGATTTCATCATTACATTTTAAGCTTTTGGGCTTTTCTAATGTGGGCACGATAATCATCGTCTTAAGTCTAGCACCATCTTTGCCTCCATTGGTAATCACAATCTGTTTCTCATCACCTATTAAATTATTAGAACCTGAGTCACTATCACATGTTGTAAGTGATAACAAGTGCAACAACACTGTTACTACCATCCATGGCGAACTCATAAAGACTTTCATATTTGTTTCGTTTGCCTGTTAATTGATATCACTACAGGGTTTAATTACATTATTCTTCTTCCTATTTATATGGATTTGATTATCATTTCATTTTCGCCTTTTTCCTGTGTAAAACTTTATTCCTTTAATTTCATAGGCGTAGTATCTTGTTTATAGTTTATAAAGCAAATCTGGAGGTTAATACTGCTTTAACCCCCGCCCGTTTGAATCACTGGATATCGTACCTAACTTTTGCTTAAATAAATCTTACTGATTTATTAATATAACGGTCTTGTTTGACCTTCTATTCCATCTAATCTATAAATAGAGTTTTTACATTATGTTTCTCTATTCCACTCCATTTATATTTCTAAATTTATAGAATATTAAATAAATGTATATTTCGAAAAAAAAATAGTTACATCTATATATTTGAGTGGCAACAGATACAGATGTCATACCCATATGTTGCAGCATACCAATATGTTCACCATTCATCTGTTTTGCAGTCACTGTTAACCTTATCGCTAACATTTACTATTTTAAAAAATGTTAGTGCGGAGATGTATCCCCATATGATTTAATTAATTGGGTCAACAGACAATTAAAAATCTGAGATATCATTCATACAAAGTTTGATAGGTAATTAACAGCTTAATCTTACTTCAATATACATCAAAACTATCATAACCATTAGCTTAGATAGATCGTTCATATCATACCATATCATACAATTCCAATATCATATTGCTTTCATAGTACATCCTCAATTACATCATCAATATATCATCATTACACAGATTATATAAATACTCATAACTGATTCAATTCAAGATATAATGATCAAATATAGTACCAAGTTACTACTGATTCATCATCCTAGACATATACTAAGTTCAAAATATCTTCTGAGTAGAGTGATACGGCCAATACCGTATAATTATCGATCCTTCTCCATCACTAATATTAGATATAATACTTCTAAAACCATAGACAATAATAATAACAATGATGATAATAACAATAGTAATGAAGATAGTGGAATAACTACGTCAAATAGTGAGAGTAAGGATGATGATTCAGTTAAATATATTAACAATCCTTTATTAGGTATGTCTAATGAGTCAACCACAAATACAAAAGATGATAACGAGGTAACAAACATCGTATATACTGATCCTATTGATAGTACTACGAAGACTATCCCCTTAACAGAAGCAACTGATGCACCTCCATCAACTATAATATCGACCCCTACTAATGTTCAAATTGATGATGGGTTTGGTACTAGTGATTTTTTAACTACAATTTTTGATGATATGGAACCATATATGGATACTTATGAAGTATATCAAGAATTAATTTCAGCAGGATTCACATCGAATCAAGCGGATGAGATTATAAATTTAATCATTGTTCAATTGAATTCTAAATTATCGAAATTATCATCTAAATATAGTCAAGTTTATGAATTAGAAAATGAACGATATTTATTTGAAAGTGCTCAACAAGAATTAAGAGTTGATGTGACTCGATCTCGAGAACAACATATTAATGAATTAATTAGTTTAACTAATGTTTTAGAACGAGATTTTAATATCATAAGTGATGATTTAAATAATGAATTCCTTCAATTAAAGAATGATAATGCCGTCACTATAAATGATCAAAGATCAGAAAATACCTTACAATCAAAAAAAATCATTCTTAAAATCCAAGAAACTAATCATAAAATCACAACTGAATTGAATTCAGCCATGAGATCAGAAATTGAAAGTTTAAGATGGAATTTATCAAGATGGGGGTTAATTGCTATTTTAATTACGGTATTTTCAGGATGTGCTGCATTTTATGCTGAAAAGGCTAAACATACAAGGATTGAAAAGAGTAGATCTGATTTCATTCCATTGGTGATTTATGAACCAAGTGAGATTGATGAAGATGATTATCATACTGATTTAGATAAGAATGCTCTAGAGTAGGGGTTATAATGATGTTTATACGTATTTATTTATTTAATAATTTTATTTATTATGATGATGATTTAACTGGTTGTAAAAAAAAAGTACCCTGCTCTTGCTTCCCCCAAAAAAAAAGATTCATCGCAATCAAAATTAAACCTTTACAGCAATGAAGGAATGAAATTGATACACTTTCTTTCTTACATTATATCATTCATTCAATAACAAAGATAAAGAGGATATGTCAAATAGGAATTCAGATCCATGTAAACCACAAGCATGTGCCATTCAAGATTGTTTAAAATTGAATAAATATGATGAATCAAAATGTACAAAAGTAATTGATGATTTATACTTGTGTTGTAAAAACTTTTACATTGAAAATGGGAAAGACAGTTCAACTGTATGTTGTCCTAAATATAATCTATTACAATTAAAGTTAAAACAACGAGAGTTAGGTAAAATAGATGCCAAGTTGCTTAATTAGGGTATACTTGAGTACTTCGTAAGTACAAAACAAACGTTTCAAAATTCAGTTACAACAACTCCCAATAGAATAACTACAACATGTAAATAGCACACTATCAAATATACAATAGCATTCCACAACACTTACTTCATTAAAATGTAGGTTTAGAACCGCGTAATCAAACTATGCAATAAACATTGACACGACAGACCTAGGTTGGTAAAAACCCGTTAATCTAAGGTTTACCCGAGCACGAATATTAACCACAAGATGATTAAGAGATTATATGTAGAGGAAATATCATATAATCCGTGACTCTAATGGGCGCCTATTCTTAAAGACATTGTATAAAGAAGAAGAAGAAGAAGTAAAAATCGATTTCATAAAAATTTTGTTCAGAAAACTTTTCTATATAGTGTGTCTCTCTGATGATGGGACCTTTAATCCGGGTAACCTATTTGGTGAATATTTTCAATTTCTATATAGGTTACTATAATCAATTTACATACTAAAGAAAGTTAAGATTTTGAATCACCTTCATTCTTTCGTTTATCATAATCATGAGGATCAGGAAGGTATGACTTCAATGCTAGAATGAATCATGTTAGTATAAAATTATTGTGAATAGATGATGGATGGATGGATGGTAACTTTTTATAATACATACTTGAATTATCATCTAACCATAAGGATTGACCGGTAACGTTCTTAATGGAATTGTCTGCTTTAACATTCTTTTCGAATTCTTTAATGGCAACGTCGATATCAATGGGATCGATATCTAAATCATTCAATTGTTTTCGTAATAATGCAATATGTAAACTCATTTTAAAATCTCGTTTATCAGTATCTCTTCTTTCTTGTAAGATTTGTAAATCTCTCTTCTTCCTTACATTCAAGAAGTTGGTTTGTTGGATTTGTAATGTTTTAAGATTGATGGCTGTTGTTTCTGTGATTAATTTTTCTAATTTAATTCGATTGGTATAATTATCAATGGTGAGATAGGCTAAGATACACATCCCTACTAATGAGGTGATTTCCTTTAATGAATTGGTCTTATCATTGGAAGATTGAGATGAACTAGATGATGAGGAAGATTGTTGTGTTTGTTGTGTTTGTGATGATGGTGGCGATTGATTATGTCCATATGTTTGTGGAGGATCATATGGATTAGTAAAATGAGAGGGAGGATTGAAACTGGATCGTTTGATTGATGATGTTGTTAAGGACCTGATGGCTGACCTAGAGTGATAATGATATCTATACATTACCAGAGACATCCTTCTTATAATTGATATGAAGTATAACAAGTTTCAACTATATTATCAACACACTTTTTTTGGGATTATCTGATTTGTTCCTGGCTCTTATTTTTGCACCTTTACCAAAAGTCTAAACAGACTTTTTGACACAAATTGGTTATACAAACTTACAAATTACTACAACTTAATTACAACTTAATAGATATTTCCTATAATATATGTGATGTGTATTAAAAGATGATAATGATAAGATGATATACAAGTTAATTATGTTTATTATAAAAGCCCTTAGTTAAAACTGATTCAGCTTCTTTTTAAATAACAAAATATATTAAATTTAATGTCTTCTAGATTCAGCAATAACTTGAGTCATTTCTTCAACTTTTCTTAAAGCTCTCTTGTGAGTACCTAATCTCTTTTTAGCCAATTTCTTAGCTCTTTTTTCACCAGCATTTCTAATCAATTCGATTAATCTTCTTTCATATGGAGCTAAACCAGCAACTTCTTTAACAATGTTTCTAACAAAACTGGTTCTTTGAGATAAAGCACCTTTTCTGTAAGAAATCTTTGGAGCAACTTCTCTGGCAGCGGTCTTGTGACCTTTGTTTAAACCAACAGCAATACCTAGAATATAAAAAGTTAGTATATATAGTTTTATGGGTGATACGAGTATACGAGATTGTTTGAGATGGATGTAAGTTGGGTGATTAATTGTGGTAGGGATAAGATGAAGGGTGGATGGATGGATAGATGGAATGAAAATCTCTAATATGAAACTGATAGATGATGGATTGAATATTGGATAATGCGATGCATATGTAACTTGGATGATAATGGATTCTAATGAATGATTACATGACTTATGGTTGATATATTCTGATTTTGAAAACTTTTCTTTCATTTGATGGATGGCTTGAACATCATTTAATACTACAAGGGATTACACATGATTTATTGAATTGGATTGAATGGTCATAATCTATATTTGATATCTTTGACTCTGATTACTGAAATGATTTGATTCATGATACACTGTGACTATAGTGATTGCTCTATTTCTTTCGTCTATTCTCTTACTTTCATTAAATGATGATGGATGATGATTTTTCATTCTCGATTGATTAAACATTATAACAAACACTGGACATGATGATCTAACACATTTCAATATCTCTAATCTTTCTAGACTCTCTCGTTACATCAACTAAGTTATATAACACATACCTGACTTAGCCATCTTTGATTATATGTATATGATTATAAGTAGTAAATAGAAAATAAGAATTCAAAAAATGAAAATTTTAAACAACTTTTTTTTTTTTTCGTTCTTCCCCTTCTTCTCCTTAACAAAAATTTAATGTATGCGAATCTCTCTCTTTAATGTCTTTTTCTCATAGTTAACAATTAGTTTGTTTGTGTAAATGTGGTTAAGTATTGTGGTACGGATGTAATGCTCATTTTCCTGTATATAATGTGATCACGTTATCTATTGTGACTGTTTTCTCACGGTGTCGCGGGTATCGTGACTTGGGATCACGTGCGATATCTTATGATAAAAATTTAAAACACTACACGAATATCTGTCTATACTATATTTCTTGTAAATGCTATGTTATATTATGTTTTGATTGATTTAATCTATGTACAATTCTTATGAGAAGAAGATATTATCAACTTTAACCCCCCAGAAACAATCTAGTTTATTTTTATGCTACTGTAACTTTGGAAAAGTCAAAGGAATATTCTTCTAATTTATTTACAACTTCTTCAATGGTTAAATAATTATGATTTCTTTTAAATTCAACCGGTCCAATGGGATAATATGAATCTCTTTGAACTAAAGGATATAATTCATTTAATAATTTATATTTCCCCACTGTGAATTGTTTACCATCTTTATGAATATAAAACACTTGTTGATTATTTATAACTGGTAATTGATTGAATTCTTGTTTCTTCAACACTTCATATCTTAATTTCCATCCTAATAATCCAAGGGTTTTGGTTCTAGCTGGTTTATCCTTTAAAAGATATTTATCTAACCCACCTTCTTTAGTAATAGTCTTTAACACTTTTGTAGTAACTTTAACTTGAATTGCTTTATTTAAAGTCTCAGACCATAATTTTGATTTTTGAACATTAGGTAAATGAAATCTTAAAGTTTTATTCTTTGCTTCACTACAATTCTTTGATCTCTTTCTTTGTAAACCTCCGAATAATCCTCTATTTTGACGTTTGAAATACATCGTTTCATATTCATAATCAGGTACTAATTTCTTTTGACCAGGAACTTTAAATCCACGAGGAATCTCTTGTCCAGCCTGATAAACAGTACTATCAATTGGTTTGACATACTTTAAGATCTTATAATATTTATCATTACCTTTACGAACTTGATTAATTAATGATGATGAGAATGATTTGGTTTGTTGTATTATATGAGATGATGGTGATGCTTTGAATGGGGAATATAAGGGAGATATTATAAGCCTGCTGGTAGGTAACCTAGCTGCTATACCAAGAACATTCATTGTAATCTATATAATGATGTTTGGTACTATGATTCAATTACTATATTATTGGTTTAAATGTTAATTGTTCAAGTTTTGAAAATTTGTCAAAAATCGGTGAGGGTCGTGTAAATTGGTAAATAATCAATTCAAGGGTTGCAAAAATCATCAATTTACGGTTAATCAATCTTGTTTGTAATAGATCATATCTTGATGTATTTGCCTTAAGGTAGCTTAAAGATTGAGTTTCAATAGTTTCTAATGTATTAAAGTAAAGTAAGATCTATACTAAATGTAGTTCATGAAATTTCACGTCTAACATGATGAATCCAGTGTGATATACTATATATGTGACACTACATTTTTATATACCAATTGAAGTCAATCTTTCACAGAAAGTAATGAATGCATAACACTAATTGAAACTATTCATAATTGACTCTTCTGAATTAATTAGTAACTAAGATAACTGTTATACTCAATAAATGTTATGCTTGCCTTAACTCGCACCAAACCGAAATAATTTAAACCTTTTGTTTGCAGCATTACAATTTTCACACATCTCTCTCCTTTACACATTCAATCAACCAATCAATCAATCAAGCATGCTTCAAGCACTTGTTAATCTCGATTATTTACATGAAGTATATGGAAAATTGAAAGAGGGCCATATCATCAGTCTCTCGAATCAAACTAAAGCAATCCGAGATTATGAAGCTTCTAAAGAAACCTTAATAGAATACTTAAATAAGAAACAAAGGTACAAACATGCTAAAAATGATATTGAATTGATTAAGGAAACTTATGATTATAGAAATGTGATTCAGGATTCAACTAGATTGATTCTTTTGGTCCATAGGTTTACTCGAGTTGATTTATTTCAAGATTTGGAATATACTGGTGAAGAATTGAATGAAATTGCATTTAACTTTATGCATCATATAACTAAAACTTATATTGAAAAAGATAAAGATGAATTGAAAGTGATGTATCTGGCTTTTGCAACTGCTTTTCATCTTTCGATCACCTATGAGAATCTCATTAAACCAGGGATTAAACAAAAACTATATGAACGTAAGGAAACTTCATTTTTTGGAAGTGATAATTATCAATTTGATGGTGATTATAAACAAGAAATTACACTGCATAAATTATGGGAGACAATTGGTCACTTCCAACCTAAGTTTCATGGTCAAAGTATTCCATCAGCCGAAATCAACTTTAACAAAGAAACATATAGTTCAATGTTTATTTGGGAATTTAGATATTTAGTATTAAAAGCGGAAGCTATTTGTTCAACTTCAAGAAATTATCCCTTTTATAATAATATCTTTATGCCAATGAAGAGAATTGTTGAACCTTGTTATGGGTATAAGATTGAAACATCTAAAATAGTTGAACTTGAAGTAGGTTCGGAAAAATTTTCAATCACAATTGAAAAGTCATTTAATATCAATGAAGAATATTTAATTCCTCTTAAAGTTTATGATGATCTCACCAAATCATTCGAAAGTTATAATCCTTCATCTATCGGAGCTGACAATGATAATTTACCTTTCATAAAGATCTTTTTTGAATTATTTATTGAATGTGTGGTATGTAAGAGTCTGGTAGGATTCGTATCAGATGCTTCAACTACATTATATATTAAATTTCCTAGACACAAGAGTATAAATAATGCTGGAAAAGGGTCTATCTTTAAAAGTTTTCCATGTGAAGTTACTCGCTTATATCTGAATAAAGATTTTCTTCAATGTATGGTGGATGCAACTACTACTATTACTGCTAAAGATCATAGTTATCAAATTGAAAAGATATTCTCCATGTGTTGTTTAGCCAGCTCAGATATTCAAAATACTACTAATGGATATTTTAAACAGTTTCATAAATCAATGAAAGATTATTCAAAACCAAAACCCGGTCTTCAATCATTGATTACATTATCGTCAAATCGAATTCATTCTATGAACCCTGGAATTATTTCATTTCCATTGCTCGATAAATTCGAAATTCCTGAAATATATAAACAATTCTATCAACCTAATTTCAATCAACAAATGGTGTATCAATTGAAGAAATTATATGGATCTGATTTTGTATTTGGAAAAAAAGATACCGGTTTTGATGTCCATGAAGTAACTTCTTGGTTAGGTAGTGAAGGAATTTATACTCATTATGGAGTTGTGTTGAAGTTTTTATGTGAACAATGGAAGTATATTCTCAAAGTTTATTATCCTCTTGATTGTCAATCTTCAACAGGATCGAAATATAATTTAGAAGATTCCATTAATGCCTGTTTTATTTCATTCATGAAAGAATGTTATTCATATCATGTTTTAAGTAATGAATCATTCGTTCCTAAAGTTCACAAGGTTGGTATTTTCAATAAGGAACTTTTGAGATCTCATAAATATGACAGTTTAAGAGGATTCTTTTTAGTAATTGATAATGTTAATGGTAAGACCCTTTCATTTCCACATGAAAGTAGTAATCAATATAAAGATAAAATAATTGATACGACACATAAAATGCATAGTCTTGGAATTAGTCGTTCGACTGTCCCAGAGGGTAGTATTCAAGTTAAAAATGATCAGGTTTTCTTTACTGATTTTGGATCTAGTGTGATTAATATTAAAAATTGTTTGAATGGGTTTGAAAATTTAACTTTTGATAAGTCTGAGTTTGACGCTACTAAAGTGAAAGAATTAGAAATGATTGAACTGTTATTTCCTTCATCTTTAGAGCATATCGAAAAACATGACATTGAGGATGATTTACCTGATCCAAAGAGGATTAAGCTTAATTAATTGCTAATAAATTGTTAATTCAGGCTTTATGCGAAAACTAAATAAAAAGTAAAACAAAATACAGCTTAATAACTACTATGAGTGATGTCCTAAATCTTAGCTAATACAAGTCTTCTATAATATAACAAAGTATAGTAAAAATATATCAAATAAAAGAATATTGTTGCAAAATCATAATCGGATTGCCGAAACAAAAATAATGGGCAGAGGCCACGCCAGACAGGAAAGAAGAGGTCGTGTAGACGAGGAATAATAACCGTTGTTATCATTTCGTAATCAATCAACAACACAAAACCATCATAACCATTTTCGTGTTGAATTCGAATTCAATTTAATTGCTATTGTTAAATTTAAACGAAAGAAGAGAATGTTTAGTAGATATAGATTAATAATAAATATCTTGGTAGAATGTAATAATAATGGTATGAGATTTGTTCTGTGGGTTAAAAATTAGTGTATTTATTAGATTAACGTATGGAACATGGATTTAAGTAGTACAAAATAGAATTGCCTTGCCGAATGTAAACCACGTACGTATATGTAGGTCAAACTTTATGGGTTTGTAGAGTCCTTGGATAAGTTAATTGAAATGGTTATTACTTAGAAGTAAGTCAGAGATGACTATATTAGACAGATAGTCAATTATAATTTATAATTTAAGCAGACAAAAAATTGAAAATCCAGACAAAAATAAAATAAAATAAATCAAAAAAGAAATAAAAAAAAAAAAAAAACCGACCAATTTATTTTTGATTTTGAGTGCTGTAAATTTACAACCAGATACAACTTCTTTTGGTAAAAGTAGTTCAATCCATCCATCCATTCATTAATCAATTACACCATCAGACTGATCATAGAAATAGATCAGAATCAATTAAACTATCCCAACCATAATATCTAGTTTCATTCCAGAAATTTTGTATGTGTGTGTGTGACTGATATACGATATTATCCACACATCTTTTTACAGTCTCCTTAACAAAATTAGCTTTATAGTCAGTCACGGCAATTAATCGGTCATCAAATCGACTAATCAAGCTTTTCAATTGCTTCTGAACAACATTCCATCACTAGAACATACCTCTAGAACACAATTGATATCATTTGCCATCCTAATAGTGTCCTAGTTATCATAAGTGCTATCCATTTACAACCAATTCCTAATTTAGAAAAAGGAAGACAAAAACAGACAGAAAATAAAAAGTCTGTTTTTTTATTATTGCATCACAGTCAGTCAGATTATTTTTGTCGGATTCTTTTTCTGTTTTGTTCAGTTAATTTTGGACTCACTTTCCAAAATTAGCCTCACAAAAATAAGACAAAAAAAAAAATTCTTATCCTCCTTACTCACTCCCTGCTCCCTCTTCATCCTGTCCTACCCTATCCAATTCATTCATTCATCATCATAATAATAATAATAATTATATTAATTTTCTGCTGTCGTTTTAATTCCTTTATTATACGATTCTTCCTTTCATTATCACTTTCATTAATATCATCATATCCATCCATCCATCCATCATCCTCAATTCAACCTTCCATTTATAATTCATTTTACTTCATTTACCTAGTTCTCACTTTTAATCCTTATTTATTATTTATTATTTCTATTTTATTTAATCTTGTCGGTTTGTATCAATTATAATTTGAAGCCAGCCAAATTATATCCTCTGTTACAATTATAATTACCCATCTTGTGTGTGTCTTTTCTTTTTTATTACCTAAAGTCTTATCTTAGTTTTATTTCAGGTTAGTTTATAAAATTATTCCAATTCCTTTATTATTGCCTCCAATTCATCCCTCGAACCCTCACTCCCCCCCTAGTTGATGTCTTAACCTTATTGTATCAACATATCTAATTCATCATTGCATCTTTTTTCATATATTACTAATATTATATATCTACATATACTTATCTTCATAGATCCTATTCACCCCCTCGTTAATAATTAATTAATTTATCATTTCATCATCATGGCTGACTTTGCAAAATCCATCTTTGGTTTCAGTGGATTCCACAAGAAGGACAATAATAATCAATCTTCCCAATCACAATCATCGGATGGTACATCTCCACATCCAGAATACCAACAACATCAACAACAACAACAACATCAACAACCACAGCAGTTCAATAATCAAGTTGATCCTTCTAATACTAACAAATTCTTACCAAAAGGATTAGTAAATGTGACTCCAACCACAGCTATCGCTGATAACTCCTTAGCATATGGTACTACATCAACTATTAAATCATCAAATAACACTAATACAGGTTATTTAAATCAAAACTTTAAGCATGATTTCAATCCAAATAATCAATTTTTTGATCATCCTCATCAAACTCATCATAATGATCAACAACAACAACAATATCAACAAGATTATCAACAACAGGATCAATACATGCAACAAGATGATATAATACAAGATCATCATCACGATCAACACGTCCAACATCATAATCATGAACAACAACAAGCTTTCCATTATCAACCGGTTGAGCCATTTAGTGATGGTCAACCTGTAATCATCACTACTGATGAAAAAGGTCAAAATTTAACTCAAAATAAGAATAATTCTCAACCAAAAGGGAAATTAAAGATAACAATCATTGAAGGTAAAGAAATCATTGCATCTCAACCTTATGTCGTGTGTAGTTTTGAAAGTTCTGAATTCGTTACCAATGCTCCAGGATCATTTGGTAAATCTCCATCATCATTCAATAGTCATCTTAAACCTTTATCATCAACCAATGGTCATAATAATCATAATGCATCTGGAGCACCCCCAGCTTCAACTATCACTGCTGCTAATTCAAATAGAGCTGCATTACCTATGAGAAATTCATCATCATCTTCATCCAATAGACCAAGTTTATATTCAAGACAATCTTCAAGTCAACATTTAACTATTGATGCCAACAATTCTAATCCAATTTGGAATCATGATGCTTTATTCGATGTGGTGGGATCGAAATCAGAATTAGATATATCTGTTTATGATGCAGCTAGAGATGATGCATTTTTAGGTCATGTTCGTTTATTTCCTTCCACGGTTCAAAATAAAAAAGTTCCGGGTGAATGGTTACAATTAAAAGCTAGAATCATAGGTGAAAGAGTTTGTGGATCTATTAAAATTAAATATGAATATACTTCCTTAGATTCTAAAAAACTGTTTGGTCCTGAAGATTTTGAAGTTTTAAGATTATTAGGTAAAGGTACTTTTGGACAAGTTTTCCAAGTTAAAAAGAAAGATACTGATAGAATTTATGCTATGAAAGTTTTATCCAAAAAAGTGATTGTTAAAAAGAAGGAAATTGCTCATACTATTGGAGAAAGAAATATTCTTGTTAGAACTTCAGCAGCAGCATCACCATTTATTGTGGGATTAAAATTTTCATTTCAAACTCCAACTGATTTATATCTTGTGACTGATTATATGTCAGGTGGGGAATTATTTTGGCATTTACAAAAAGAAGGGAGATTTCCTGAAGATCGAGCTAAATTTTATATTGCTGAATTAATCTTAGCTTTAGAACATTTACATGATAATGATATTGTTTATCGTGATTTAAAACCAGAAAATATCTTATTAGATGCTAATGGTCATATTGCTCTTTGTGATTTTGGACTTTCTAAAGCAAATTTAAATAATGATGGTACAACCAATACTTTCTGTGGTACCACTGAATATTTAGCTCCTGAAGTTTTATTAGATGAATCAGGTTATACTAAGATGGTTGATTTTTGGTCATTAGGAGTACTTATATTTGAAATGTGTTGTGGTTGGTCACCATTTTATGCTGATAATACTCAACAAATGTATAAAAACATTGCCTTTGGTAAAGTTCGTTTCCCTAAGGAAGTTTTAAGTCCAGAAGGTAGATCATTTGTTAAAGGATTATTAAATAGAAATCCAAAACATAGAATGGGTGCTTTAAGTGATGCAAGAGAATTAAAAGCTCATGCATTCTTTAATGATATTGATTGGAATTTACTTAAAGCCAAATCTATCCCACCTCCATTTAAACCTCATTTAACATCAGAAACTGATACATCTAATTTTGATCCTGAATTTACTAATGAATCAACATCCATCTTAAAGAAACAAATGGAATTGGCTTCAACTCCATTATCACCAGGTGTACAAGCTAAGTTCAAAGGATTCACCTATGTTGATGATTCAACCATTGAAGAACATATTGGGAAATCTTATAGACATAATACATTTAAAAGTCCAGGCTCATTTATTCCAGGTAATCCAAACTTACCACCTGATGAAGATGTCATTGAAGATGAAGGTATCAATGAAGAAGATGAAATGGACATTGACGAAGAAAATCAAATGGATGATGAATTCGTCAATGGTCGTTTTGATTTATAATACCCTTTCATAATCTGTCTATAGTTTTCAACCTCTCATTTATTCATTCATTCACTAACACACTTTTTTTATTGTTAAACTTTACTTTATTTACATTTTGAATATGTTTCAGTTATACTATTCTTCTTATTATTCTTATTATATTATTCTTATTCCTATCATTATTATACAAAGACAATCTATGTTATTATTCTCTTGTACTATTAATTCCTATAGAATTATAATTAGTTTACATGCAAAATTAGAGAATTCGATGGTCGTGTACTTTTTACCAGAAATGGTGGTTTACCAAAAAAAAAGTTGAACCAGCCCGAGACAATAAAAACAACGTTTGACAATTTTATGGTAACCATCATCAAGGAACGATAAAGGATTAACTTAAACTTAAGTTAAATCAAAGTGTATATTACATCTAATTGGAAGGATATACCATTCACTGTATTATTATAATTAACATCATTGTTTCCATTACCCTTTTTCACTAGAGTTGAATTCGATCTGAGACTCGAATTGTCTTTTATCTAGAACAGTTTATCATTCTTTTAAAATTTCATCCCCCCCAGATTTGGTAATCATATCAATATTCAATCATAATGGCTCATCCCGGTAGACCAAGAGGTCGTATGAATAAGAAGACCCAAGCAGCTCAAGCAGCCCAGGCACAGGCTGCAGCTCAAGCCCAAGCGGCTGCTCAGGCACGAGCCCAAGCGGCTTCTCAAGCTCAAATGCAAGCTCAAAATAGACTTAAAGAAGAACCTGGAGTTCATGCTCATGATGATGCTGATTTAATCTCGTATAGAACAGATGCATTGGCTCGATTTATTAGCAATCATGAATATATCGAAAATATAACTATGAAAATGATCCATACTTCAAAGATTATTCCACCTACATTATTTCCATTAATACCAAAGAGAAATCCTCAGGAGTTTGATAAACTTTTACCAGAAGAGATATATTATGGAGATTTAGAATATATGAAATTGAAGAGTCATGCTTTAGAAAGTGAAATATCAAATTTGAATAATAATGTCAACTTTAATAAATATGTACCCCAAGATGAGAAATATAATTTTGAAAAGGAACAAATTGAAAAATTATCAGATTTACAATCAAGATTATATTCATCAGAATCAATAGAGGAGTTGGAGAAGGAGTTTGATGATATATTAAACACTTACAATTCAAAATTCAATCATAGTTTCCAATCCATGGAATTAGTTCAACAATATAAAGTATCAATTAAAGATCTCAAAGTTCAATCAGCTCCAGAAAATTATAATCCAAAACTGATAACGTCACTTATAAATGGAATACCTGGCAATACCAACAATAATATCAACAATAATAACAATATCAACACCAATGGTATCAATAACACCAATAATATGATCATCAATAATAACAATAACCAAGGTAATAATATAATCCCCAATAACGGCATAAATACTAATGGAAGTAATGATATCACCAATCGAGCTCCAAGTGCTCACAGCAACGGGAATGGGGTTGATATACGGGATAATGGATTAAGTTCTAATGGTGGTGATGCTTTCTTGACATCTACCGATAATCCTGAATCAATGGACAATTTCAATCCTAATAATGTATTCTTATCTCAATTTGATGATTCAGCCAATTCATCTGATTTCGGAGGTAATTCAAATGGTAAGAATTTCAGTATGTCATTATTAAATTCATCAAATGCATCAACTAATGGTGTAGCTACTGGTGGAACCGGTGGAAGTATGGATATTGAAAATGATATACCGGTAAGTGCCAATGATCAATCAAATAATGTTACCAATAGTTCCAATAATGTGGGCAACAATAATCCTGGTTTATCCAATAGTAATAATCAAAATCAACTTCGTTTACCAGACGATGTAGAAGGATTGGTTCGTGATAATGAAGACGTTGACGATGATGACGATGATGATGATGATAATGATCATATTATGGACGATGATGGTGTTGATGATGATGTGTTATTCCGTGAAACCAATCTTGATCCAAACCAACAAGTTGTTGATGACGACGATATCGTTGATTTAATCAATTTCGATGAAAATGATGATAATACAGGGTTTGCTCAAGATTTATTATTTAATTAGTCTTTTTTATATTGGTTAATTCATACACTATTTATTTACTCAGTAAAACGCGTCTTAAGACAACCAATTTGTAGTCTATTAGTCTATATCACTACGACCTACACTAAACACCTCAATATACTTTGAATACTCATAACTCTATAATCTATAGTATACATTTTGCAATAAGACCGCTAATTGCCAAATATAGATAAATTTATTTTGTACCTTGTGGGATGGAGGGCGGAAGGAGAAAAAAAAGACGCTAAAAATCAAAACATGTCAAATTTAACAAAATTGATTTACAACCGTCAACATCATCACCAATTTAACTAACCAACCCTAGCTTGCCTTCAGCCATCTGCTTGCTTATTACAAGCTGAAATCACCTTCTCCTTCTCAAAGTCATATTCAGATTGGCTTGCCATTCTCCAATTGTTGTTTTAGCTCCTATCAAGTGAGTGAGCAGTGACGCTAATCTACATACAAAAATGGAAGCAGATCAATTTGAAACATCTGCTATTACAAGACGAATAGCTAAACAACAACAGATGCAACAACAAGCCAGAACCAAAGTCAAGCAACAGAAGCTTAGACTCACATTCATGGGATACGTGATTGTGCTTATATTCTTAGCAATTGTTCAAATTATCGGAGTGGCATTTTTCAGTATGGGATTCCTTTTAACTAGAAACGTATTACCTGATATTGCTGATTGTAATATTAATGATAGTTGTATACCGCCTAAGTTTGACAAAGCAGTACTATTAGTCATAGATGCATTGAGATTCGACTTTGCTATACCAATTGAAGGCTCAAATGAATATTATCATAATAACTTCCCCATACTAAATCAATTAGCTCAAAAGGATAATGCTGTTCTTTTGAAATTTATGGCTGATCCTCCTACCACAACATTACAACGATTGAAAGGGTTAACCACAGGATCATTACCTACCTTTATCGATGCAGGTTCAAACTTTGATGGTGATCATATAGATGAAGATAATTGGGTATTGCAATTACATAAACAAAATAAATCAATTGCTTGTTTAGGAGATGATACTTGGCAGGCTTTATTTAGTAATTATATTAATCCAGATTTGAGTTTCCCATTTGATTCATTAAACGTTTGGGATCTTCATACAGTGGACAATGGTGTCATCAAACATATATTTCCATTATTAGATAAATCACAAAGAAATCAATGGGATGTATTAATTGGACATTTCTTAGGTGTTGATCATGCTGGTCATAGATATGGTCCAACTCACTATGCTATGAAGGAAAAATTAAATCAAATGAATGAATTATTAATTAAAATCATAGCCGAATTAGAGGATAATACTCTATTGATTGTTATGGGTGACCATGGAATGGATCATACCGGTAATCATGGTGGTGATTCATTAGATGAATTAGAAAGTACTTTATTCATGTATTCAAAGAATAAAAAGTTTAACAAAAAGGATAAATCACATTATGATATAAGTGATAAAGGTAAAAACTATAGATGGGTAAATCAAATTGATATAGTGCCGACAATTTCCTTGTTATTAGGACTTCCAATTCCATTCAATAATCTTGGTTATCCTATCGATGAAGTCTTTTCTAATGATTTGGAATTAGCTCAAGCAGCTCATAAATCTGTTCAACAATTACATAGTTTCAGAATTAAAACACCTGATTTATCATCTAAATTAAACGAGGATTATCTTAGTTTTATCCAGAATTACACTGACCATGGTAAAGATAAAACTCGTCATCAAGATTTAGTGGAACAAGCTAAAAGATATCAATTCACATCATTAGAAGAATGTAAGAGTCTATGGGCCACATTCGATATGAAATTAATCTACATCGGGTTAACTATATTGTTTTTATCTTTGACATTCCTTTTGACTTATGCTAGATCCATTCCATCAGTTAGGGTACTGACCATGTCATTTGAATTCATTGGATCTGTGATAGCTATGTGTTTACTTGGTCTTGTTATAAGTTTATCAATCTATATTGTGTTGAAACCAGTTGATTTCAGTTTGAACAAATGTTTAGCTACTGGAGCTGCTGCTGGTATAATCATTGGATTCTGGGCTCCAGTTATGGATAGATTCAGCCTTAATTGGCTTTGGCATCAAACTATTGACTTCTTCCTCTATAACTTTAACAGCTATTCCTTTGCAGGATTGCTTTTTGTGTTTAGTCATTGTGTGATATTTGCATCTAATTCATTTGTTGTTTGGGAAGATAAAATGATTCTGTTCTTTTTAATATCATTTGGATTTTGTTGTCTTTATGGAGTGTCAATCAAAACTGGTTTACCAAAAGAGCAAAAGATTTTAGGATTAATGCATGCATTAACCTTTATATTATTGACTAGATTAACTTCGATGATTGATCTTTGTCGTGAAGAACAACGTCCTTATTGCGTACCTACATTCATTTCAAGTTGGTGGTCCATTTTGTTATTACATGGTAGTACTTATATATTACCAGCCATGATTATGTCATTCTATAATTTATCCGGTTCTTACCATTCAGCAGCTCCATTGTGGATCGGTACTGGACTTAAATTCTTAATGTTTATGAATGCTGCACATTGGAGTATCGAATATATTCAAAATTCTGATTATTTCAATGCCAATAATATCTACATTAGTACTGCTTTATTGAAATCTTTAAATTTAGCAATTGCTAGAATTGTGCTTTTTGTGGGATTAATATTAGCTAATTATAGTTGGTCAAAGGGTCCATTATGTGTTAAACTAGAATTTCTGCAAAATGAGGCTGATATCAATACTGAAGAGAATGAAGAAGTTGATGTTCCTAAAACAGCTAATATCTTAGGGTATGGAAATGTGTATGGATCTTCCTATTTCTTATTGTTGCTTAACTTCGCAGTAGCAATTATGCTTGTTACAAAGCCATTAGGAGCTATTTCATTGAATATGTTAATCATTCAAATTTTATCCCTTTTAGAATTATATGACTTATTAAATATTAGAAAAAACCTTGTGGCTCCAATAATATTTGGACTCTTAGCATACCAACACTTTTTCAGTACTGGTCATCAAGCAACTCTTGCAGCTATTCAATGGGAAATAGGATTTATGACAACGGAAACTATTGTCTTTCCTTTTACACATTTGAATATCATTCTAAATACATTTGGATCTTTCTTCATTGTATGTTTAGCCATACCATTAATCACTTTATGGAAGATTGTTCCATCCAATAAGCCAATTACCGTGTTATCACAAATCATCACCAATATAACTACATTGTTAACTTATATAGCTATTACTGGGTTATCAAGTTTAATCTTTGCAGCTCATTTCAGAAGACATTTAATGGTATGGAAGATCTTTGCTCCTAGATTCATGTTAAGTGGATTATTAATAATCTTACTCAATATATTCATCATTATAGTTCCTTTAGCATTTGGTACTGGTAAAGTGGTTACTCAAGTTAATAGAATTTTTGGTAAATAAGCCAAATAATAGTACAATTACAGAAATACGCCGCCCTCTTACAGAATACCTACATACACACATATCTTTATCTTTATATTTATTAACAAAAACTACTTAATTTATAAACTTAGAATATTTATTAAAATAGTATTATTATATAATTGTAGATTCATACACTTCAAACTCTACTTTTTTGTTGCTTCCAGATCACAAGAAAAAAGTTGCTAGGCGATATCAAAATTTCACAGCAAATAGGACACCAAATCATTATAATCAATCTCTTCACCAGTACAACATAATCTAGATGCTTCATGGCAAGATAGGAAGCAACATATATCATCTAGTGTTGGTACTATCATTCAAAGTTATAGTTGTTTTATGCACAGATTTCAATTCATCATTTTCACCAGATCATATACAATATTTACAATTAGAGACCAAAAAGCTATTTGAACATGCTTGGGATTCATATATAGAATACGGGTTTCCAGCAGACGAAGTACGGCCTATTACATGCGAACCATATGGTCCTGATTATAATAATGTAGAAGATACAGTTCGAAATGATGCATTGGGGAATGTATCACTGACAGTGCTTGATAATCTTGATTCATTAGTCATATTCGAAGAATGGGATCAATTAGAGGCCATGTTGGAATATCTTAAACATAAACAAGATTTATTCGAGCAGGACACTATCGTTCAAATATTTGAATTATCTATTCGTTCATTGGGAGGATTGTTATCAGCTCATTTGTTATTAACAGATATCACTAATAAGAAATACGCTCCTGAAAAATTCACTAAATTAAAAGAGATTTCCGATAAATATGATGGATTTCTATTGGAACTTGCGTATGACCTTGGATTGCGGTTGATACCAGCATATAAGACTTCATCAAGAGTTCCGGTTCCTAGAATTAATCTTGCCAAAGGTGTTTTACATGTTCCAGCCCATCTTCAAAGAGACGCATGCACATCAGGAGCAACTACCCCAGTATTGGAATTTACCTTGTTATCGAGATTAACAGGTGATCCTCAATTTGAACATTTCTCCCAAATGACGTTTTGGAAATTATGGTCATCAAAGCTGAAGTTAAATTTCTTACCCATGACAATAGATCCTATCGAGAATCAATGGAAAGATGCTATAACAGGTATTGGAGCTTCCATCGATTCATTTTATGAATATGCTGCCAAAGCATCGATAATTTTCAATGACGATTATATGTGGTCAGTGTTCAAAACTTCATACAAAGCATTATTAACTCACCTGGCCCATGGAGGTGGTCCTAATGAAGGAAGTATGATCTTCAGGAATGTGGGTATTCACGATGGTGTGATATATGGAGATTGGATTGATCTGTTGGGAGCGTTTTGGACTGGTGTACAGGTGTTAACAGGGCAATTGAAAGATGCAGTCAAGACACATATGGTGTATCTTAAAATTTGGGATTATTTTGAACTGATACCAGAAAGATGGATATTTGCCCACTATACTAAGCAAGATAAACCGGCAGAAGATTTCAGCAATATTATTGCATTAGAGTGGTATCCTTTGAGACCAGAATTTATCGAATCAACTTATTACTTATACAGGGCAACTAAGGATCCTATGTATTTACAGATTGGTGAAAGAATTCTTAATGTTTTTAAAACCAGATTCAAAGCCAAATGTGGATTTAGTGGATTGCAAGATGTCAGAACTGGTCAACGTCAAAATAGAATGGAAACTTTCGTCATGGGAGAAACATTAAAGTATTTATATCTCTTGTTTGATGTCAATGATGATATATTTCTTCATAACAATTATTTAATGGGAAGTAAAAATTGGGTGTTTTCTACGGAAGCTCATCCTTTATGGTTGAGTAAACATATTCATCCTACTCATAAAGTTAAATTTTCAGATGATGACAGCAAGGAAGTTATCTCTTTAAGACAACCAATGTTTCAACAATTTCTATCAATCATTCATAGCTACGACTCTAGAAGAGAAAATCTTTTCCAATCAGAAGAAAAATTATACTATAGAAATATCACCTTACCAACAGTTCGTCATTTCAAAGTTCCAAATTTAAAATCCATGTATAAAAAGGATCCATTTAAAGATAGATTCAATACCTGTGAAATAAGTCCATTTAAATCAAACGGTAATCCATTCCTTAAATCAGGTTACTACGAATGGAATAGACTCTTCAATGCTGATTTTGCATTTCAAGATAGTCTTGTTAGACCAGATTATTTGTCTAAGAGTCATCTTGATGGTTCATATATTGAGTTGACTAAATCGTTTTATGATAAATACACTATGTTCTCCAAGGGAAATAATACATTTTTCTTGCAATGTCCTGTCATGTCGAATACTGAAAAGTATGAGTTATTTATGGGAGATATCAAAGGAATCAATGAAATTGAGGTTTCTAGATTATATTATAAGAAACAGCAGGCTGCAAATATAACCAACGAAATACTGCCTGTGATAGATGGAGACTTTTGGATTCCAGAAATAAATGCCTTGCGGGTGATTATAGAAAAATTAGCAGATGGCAAGATTGACTCCTATAACCAACTTATAACACATGAATACATAAGGTCAATCAGAATCGATGATTATGATAATGAGTCTACATGTGACAGCAAGGGTAACGAACAAGCGAATGTGGGTCATTCTGGTAGAGATATAAATATTGCTCTTAGATTAGTCAAGATCAATGGTGTTCATGTTCCAGCAGGATCTATAGTCTGGACGATGCCGTTCGAAAGACATATCCCAGAGCCGGGAAAGGATTCTCTAATCGATATCACCAGTGATAACAGAGTAATACTTCAAGGAAACGTTATAGAGAATCTTATGGTGTGGTATGGTTAAAGACAGATGTATATATGCAAACTTTCACTGTATTATAATAAATTTTGTATTTTTAGATATACTTATTAGATTACTGAGGGGTTATAGCTTCAAAGCTTAGTAATATTTAATAAACTATTCTGGTTGCCTGTAGAATTGATTTAGTAAGAAATAATTATTGTACGCGTATTTGGTGAGTGGAGACCAATCGAAAAAAGTTCCAGGTATCAAAAATTGAAAAAGCGACAGAATTGGTGATACTTTAAATAATTCACTTTAGTTCAATTACAATATTATCAAAGCAAGCATGAATTATGATCCAATCCATGATACGTATGTGTCCTCGCGACCAAACACAGGGAGTAGTGCCGATTCAAATGGGAGTAAGAAACTGATTGAATCGAATGAAACTACTAAATCCTCACAAGAACCAACGCAACCAACATCTAAACATAATACACTTTCTATATCGAACCTAGTCAGTTCACCAGCTCCTAAAACAACATCTATAGCCAATCTCATCAATAGTGACGAAAATGAGAACGAGAAGGAGAACAATGATGAAAACGAAAATGCCAATGAAACACATGATCATGACCATGAGCATGATGAAGAAGATGATGATGATGACGAATATGATACAGATGGCAATTCAGGGTCAAAGGGATCATCATCAAAGAAAAAGAAGAGAAAGTATACTAATAGCACCATACCTAAATGTCGTCATCTCAAGAAGAGTGATGGCGAACCATTCTGGCGTAAAGATATTCAATATGATTTCTTAAAGGCATTATTTGATGATCCTACTGAATGTTTCACTAACAGTTTCCCTCATTCTGATTTGGATAATGCCAACAATAATCCCAAAATCCCATTTGCTGATCTTTATATTAGAACATTGGCTGAATCAAGTAAATGTTCCAGAATATTGAAAGAAAGACTCGTTAGAGATAAAAGATGGAGTTCGTCTGTTGCTAAAGTATGTTTATTAGTGAATGCTGGTAGAATGAATACCACTATAAATTTTGTTCCTGAAATGAGATCAACCTTAAGAACATATCATTCTATTCCATCATTACAGGCTGATCCTTCAAGTAATGGAATTCAATTACAAGACACTCCAAGATTAAAATCCATATTAAAAGCTGTCTGTGAAGATGATAACAAGCCTCGTGAGTTGGATGAGATATTGAAAGAGCCATTTGCAGACAAGCCAAATACAAACGTTTTCCAATTAGTGTTTTTATTAAGTAATAGACCTAATGGTATTCCATATCATCATGAAGATTTAACCGCTAATCTTTTCATGGAATTCTTTTTAAATCCAAAGATTCATCCTGAAAATAGAGCCAAACGATTCCTTTGGTTACTTTATACGTATTTGGAGACCGACTTTACTAAAGAAGAGATGGAAAAGAATCCGTTTGGAGGTGCAACCATTCCTCCATTGGAATATATTGCAGAAACAGATTTAAATAGATTTGATATTGATACTGATTATGAAATTGAGTATTCAGAATCAATGTATACTGTCAGGACAAGATACCTCAAGGATGATAGTAATCCAAGAAGAAGACTTAAACGAGATGATAATGATGAATATGATTCAGAAAACATTTCTGAAAATGAGGTTGAAACGAAGAAGAAACCAGAAGAACAGCCTAAGAAAAAGAGAGTCAAGAGAATACCAACTACATCAATTCCATCTTCAACCAGCAGCAAGACTAGTTCAAGTGATAAGAATGGTCATAAGAAGGAAATTATTGATGAAGTTGCTGAAAATAATAACACGGCTGAGTTCATAAATAACAAGATAAAGTTTAGAGTTAACGCTATTGAATTTCCAATTGATAATCTTTCTAAATTGGTGAAGTCATATACTGGAAACAATCTTCCAACTTCAAAACCTGTGGAATCAAACGCTATTTCATTCCTTAAAGCAGTCTTAAATGAATCTAAACCAATTATCAGAGAAGTTAGAACTTCATCGAAGGCCAGTACTGCTTCATTTAATAAGAAAACTACTATCTTAGGAAGTTGGATATATAGATATTTCAATTATAAAAAGTCAATTGGGAATAAATTACTTGGTATGGAATGGGAAGAAATCAGATATGATCTTGCGAATGGATTAGAGAATTTCATATATCAACAATTTGGAAGATCTTTATTAGTGAATACATCGAATCACGATCACAGTGACGAAAACGACAAGGATTCTAAAGATGCCAATGATGCTGATGCCAATGGAGAAAAAACATCCCATTCTAGAGAATTCGATGATATATTGACGTATTTACCTCAATATGATTTCGCTCATGTTCAAGAGAAGAATACATTCATACTTCAATTAATGACATTTTGTGATGATTGGTTTATTAAACAATTAAAGAATAAGGAATCATTATATACCAGAGGTGAAATATCATTTGATTTAGAGAATAACTCTCTTGAAATTAAGGATTAGGATTTAGTCTTATCGATAATTATATCTATGGACTTCAATATACCATATTGTTGAATCAAATTTAGGAGCAATGAAGTTTTATTCTGGATATTATTATCATTAATGATGAATAATTCTAATTTGGATTCACATTCACCGGTTACAAAATCATTCAATTCAATTTCCCAATTTAGTTTTATGGTGGTATGATTGGATGATTTAAATTCCAATACATTTACCAGTTTAAGAATAGCAAACAATTTAATATTATCATTTAATTCTTGATGAGTTAATAATGGTTGTAAATTTGCTTGGGTTGACATTAACGTTGGATACTTTCTGATCAATTTATAGAAATTACTTATTCTTTTATGTAGTAATATAGACAATGAATTTAATCCAAATATAATTAAATTTATCTTTTTATGAGGGATGTAATTCTTCATCAATACTGTATTGAAGGATGGAGATAATAATGATAATGCAGTTGTGAATTTATTAATCGTTATGGATTTAATTGATTCTTCATGATTATTGATTTCTAATTTGATAGGGAATTTAAATAAAAGTGGTGATATGATTGTAAATTTGATTACTCGTATCAATAATGATTCTTCACTATAGTATTGTTCAGTAGATAAGTGATCCAACTCTAAATAAGGCATGAATTTCTTAATTAGTAGCAATCTTTCATCCCAATTGGTTGATGGTAGTACATGTAAGTTTTGTAAAATATAATTATTATCATTATTATCTTCAGTATCATCATTGAAATGGATTTTATTAGAATTGTCATGGTCAAACCCTTCATCATTCTCGTTTAAATAGTCATCAAGCTTCCTTTTGGTGAGTTTGCTTGCTTGTAAAGCTTTCAATTGTTTGAGTTTAATTCGTAAGTCCTCCACATTATCTTTCAATTGTGATCTTGATCGAAGTAATTCTTCTCGTTTATCTATGAGGTTCAACTTTTGCTGTTGTTTCTGAAGTAGTATCTCAACTTCCCGTACATCGCTGGTATCTTCCACAGTTGGTTCTTGTGATTGAATAGTTTGTTCCTCCTCCTCTTCTTCTTCATTGGTTGATTTCTTTACAACTTTCAGACTAGCTAAATCAAGTCCTATCTCACTTTCCAATTGTTGGAATTCATGGCCTCCATCGCTATCACTAGTTGGTGCATGCGAACTAGGTGTTCCTTGATGTGGAGAAGTTGTTATCAAGTCTGACAAAGACGTTATATCTGGTATATTACTCATATTATGACCAATGAATTGGATTGTTTACGTTTAAAATCATTTGGCTGTAAATCTTTAAATGATCGCGTTTACAAAATCGAAAAATTGAACTAGAAAAATTTAAACTATCATCATCAATCCATTACTATCTATCATCAACAATAATAATTCAATCACAATGGTATCAGCACCCGAGTTAAAGAGCTATATGGACAAGAAGTTGTCCATACAGTTGAATGGAACTAGAAAAGTGACGGGGACATTAAGAGGATACGATGTGTTCTTGAACATAACGTTGGTAGATGCGCTAGAAGAACTGGCTGATGGAGAGAAATTAAACATTGGTACCGTGGTGATTAGAGGTAACTCGATTGTATCATTAGAGGTATGTATAATTCAAAGAGACTGTTTTACTATGAATAACCAAAATACTAACATTAATTTACGTATAGGCTTTAGAAAAGATATGATGACATCAATCTATATGAATAAATATATCTATTAGATGATGGAAATTTTTAGTAATTTCCAAGTGTACTTTATCGCTAATACTGGCAGGCTATATAAATGAATGAATATATATGTATAGTTTGTATAATGTTATAATGAAAAGATGCAATTTTAAAGTTATAACCAAAACCTTGTATGTAAACAGTAACTAATCAAAACGAGTTGACATTTCTATACCACATTGTTTAAACCCACATTTTCCATAGAATCCAGCATTTTCAGGAGAACAATCCAATATAACTTTATAACAACCATACTCTTTGGCTATAGAAGTTAAAGATGTAATCATATAATATCCTAATTTTTTACCTTGTTCAGAAGTTGATACTGATATATCTTCAATATGACCTACTAAACCACATTCATGAATCAATTTATGTTCAACTAATAACATTCCAGTGGCAACCACTACACCAGCTGGACTACTGATGACATAGGGATGATATAAATCAGGTAATGATTCCCAATAATTCAATAATTTAGTGAAATTTTCAATAGTAATATTACCCACTGTAGTTAACACTTTTAAATTTTCAACATAGGATGAATAATCAGATAACTTTAATTTTCGAAACACATATCCATCTGGTAATGTCATTGTTTGTGAGTGTGTCTATATGATTATTAGTTGGTTGGTATTGTTTGACTTGAAACAAACTTTTATACCATTTATATATATATATATATCCAATGGCTATATTTGGTATCATCATTGATCCCAAATAAATCAAAAACATAAACAGGACACAAAACTGAAAACAAAAAAACATCCAAACCTCCTGGTAAATCCATGCCGCGACATTACCTTTCCCAATTAGGTAATTTTGATCTCCAACCACATTTAGGAAACGGAAGATGGAGTTGAATGATATTGAATGTTCCATTAAGAATTTGCATATGATCTCTCTTTAATTGAATTGGATGGCAAAATTCACTTTTGTAGATCAAAACTAAAACTATAATTATTTGTATATATAGAGACTAAGTTCTTGTTCCAGCCAACTGTTTGTTATTATTATTATTATTTTTATTGATTTACAGAATATTTGCGATGGGATTCACAACTGACACTTTAAAGTATAAGGCGTATACTTTTAAAACGAGATCAGAGCCAATTGTAATTCGTGATCAGGAAATCAAATTACAAAAACAAAGTGATGGAAGTTATAACGTTCCAACTTCAAAGATCCTTGTCAAAGTCTATGCGGCCGCCTTGAACCCTGTTGATCTTAAAATTCATAATTTAGCTTATTGGCCAGTTCAATTCATTTTGGGATATCAAGGTCTTGGAAAGGATTATAGTGGTAGGATTGTTGCCATTGGGAAAAAAGCTCAAATATCAACTCATTTAAATGTTGGTGATCTTGTTCAAGGGTTTTATCCTCATTTTAGTCCTACAGGTACATTAAGTGAATATATATTAGTGGATGGAACTAATAATGCTGATAAACAAATAACGAATATCCCTAGTAATATCACCTTAGCTCAAGCAGCATCTTGGCCATTGGTATATGGAACTACATACCAATTAACTCATGATTATAATTTCACTGATAAAAAAGTATTGATTTTGGGTGGTGCTACATCAGTTGGAAGATATCTTATTCAAGTCATTAAAAGTAAAGGAGCCAAAGAAATCATTGTAACTTGTTCTCCAAGATCAGTTGATTTAGTTAAGCAATTAGGTGCTACTAATACCATCGATTATACTCAAGGATCAATATTAAATCCAACTTTGGAATTTGTAAAAGATGGTACATTTGATCATATTTATGATTGTATTGGAAATGCAGAATTATTCCCTTCAATTTATGATATTTTACCTTCAGATGGATCAGGTAATTATCAAACTATTGTAGGGGATGGTAAATCATTAAATCTAAGTATAAAGACTATTACATCTTACTTTACAGTATTTAAAAGACGGTTTGCATCCATAATCCATACATTGGGATATAATTATCGACTTCATTTACTTAATAGTGATGGTGATTGGATTAAAGAAGGTCGACAATTAATTGAAGATGGGCATTTAAAGATATTTGTGGATACATATTTCAAATTTGAAGACCTTGATAAAGCCATTGAATTATTAGCTACAGAAAAGGCTAATGGTAAAGTGGTGGTTAAAATTGAAGAATAAGCCATATTCTATCCCTATTATATATCTACGTAATACTATAATACAGATTAATATTTAGATAGTCCATCCCACAAGTAATATTAGAGAGGCTTGAAAAATATGAGATGTGTAAAAAGAAGATCTCCGCATACACATCGTATATGATGTGGCGGTAACTAATCCTCCCCACGATAACAAAAAATTATCATATAAATAGAACCACGCCTTATCATCATCCATCAATTGTATAACCAATTTGAACTTAAATTAGCATCATTGACTATGACGTTCACATCTGATACCTTAACTTATAAGGCTTACGTCTTTACAGGCAATAAAAGTGCCATTGAACTTCAAGATATCACTCTTAAATTAGAGAAACAAATTGATGGTAGTTACAATGTTCCAGCTGATAAGATTTTAATTAAAGTCCATGCGGCTGCATTGAATTTGATAGATCTCAAAATATATAACTTGGCTTATTGGCCTTTCCACTATCTTATTGGCCAACAAGGTATGGGTAAGGAGTATAGTGGTAAAATTGTTGCAATTGGTGAAAAGGCTCAATTGAGTACTGCATTTAGAGTAGGGGATTCTGTTAATGGATTCTTTGCTCATAGTGTTCCAAATGGTGCTTTTAGTGAGTATTTATTAGTTGAACCTGGTAATAAAGCTGAGGGTGAGCTTACTCACACACCTAAGAATCTTTCGTTGACTGATGCAAGTTCTTGGCCTTCTGTATATGGAACTGTCCGTAGATTAACGGTTGGTGTGGATTTGAAAGATAAGAAAATATTGGTTCTTGGTGGTGGTAGTGCTGTTGGTAGATGCCTCATTCAATATATTAAATTAGAAGGCGCTAAAGAAATCTATGCTTCTGCTTCACCAAGATCGGAAGCAGTAGTTAAGGAATTAGGTGCCAAAAGTACAATCGATTACACAAAGGGGTCAATTCTTAATGGTGCTTTAGAATTAGTCCTGAATGGTGAACCATTTGATATCATCTACGATTGTGTAGGAAGTAATGATTTATTCCCCAAAATCGAGTATCTCTTACCTAAAACTGGTGGTCGATACGCTACAATTGTTGGCGATGCTGGATTTCTTAAATTGTCGGCATCTACTTTATTGCTCACTTTGACTAGTATCAAGAGAATGGTTTTATCAAATTATAATAGATTACCTTATACTTATAAGGTTCACTTTGGAAATTTCGATCCAGATTGGATTGAAGGTGGTAAACAATTGATTGAGGAAGGTAAATTGAAAACGTTTATTGATAGTTATTATAAATTTTCTGATTTGAACAAAGCTCTTGCCCATTTGGAAGCGGGTAAAGTCAGTGGAAAGGTAATTCTTAAAGTCGAAGAAGATTGATTTAATAAGTTACTTCTTTTTATACTTACATATGTATTGAATATATCAGAGTATCGTTATAGAATTAGAGATATATTTCATATCTCATGATAAAATGGTTATGATCCAACAGTACAATAATTCTGATTAAATTAGCTAATTATGCAAATGACGTATTACAAATCAAAATAATCACAGCCACGTCAAATCCACACTCATATTTGACATTTATTACGGATAATTTTACGGATAAAATTGAAGTATGAATAATTTTATTTATCGTATATGAAATCTAAATTGATTATTAACATCCAAAAATTGGCTGCAATTAAATTCCGCGCAAAGTCCGATGGGGATAACTAAACACCTTAAATTTTTTTGCGATTAACAAAATCAGGTAGCGTATAAATGACGTCTAGTAGAACCAATTGATCAATTGACTATTACCATTGTACAATAGTATCAAATCATTATCACAAGCAAGCAATCCAAGATGAACTTCAAATCTGATAAATTTACTTACAAAGCTTACACTTATACCAGTAGTACAAGTGGAGTTAAACTTGGTGATATTTCTATCAAATTAGAGAAACAAAGTGATGGTAGTTATAATGTTCCAGCTGATAAAGTTTTAATCAAAGTCCATGCTGCTGCTTTGAATTTGTTTGATGTCAAATTATATAACTTAGCTGTATGGCCGATCCATTATTTTACTGGTAAACGAGGTCTTGGTGAAGATTATAGTGGTAAGATTGTTGCAATTGGTTCAAAGGTGAAACTGGCTGGTAAGTTTAAAGTTGGTGATTTAGTTCAAGGATTCTTTGTTGGGTTTGTTCCAAATGGTACTTTTAGTGAGTACATATTAGTTGATACTAGCGTTAAAACTGAAGGTGAATTTACTCATGTTGTTAAGAATCTTTCATTAACTGATGCCTGTTCTTGGCCTGAAGTTTACGGTACAGTGAATAGAATTACAGCTGGGCTTGACTTGAAAGATAAGAAAATATTGGTTCTTGGTGGTGGTAGTTCTATTGGTAGATACCTTATTCAATATCTTAAATTAGAAGGGGCTAGAGAGATCTATGCAACCGCTTCATCAAGGTCTGCCGCACTCGCCAAAGAATTAGGTGCCAAAGGAACAATCGATTATACTAAAGGCTCCATCCTTAATCCTGTTTTAGAGTTAGTTCACAAAAGTGAACCATTTGATATCATTTTAGATTGTGTTGGAGGTAATGAATTATTTCCCAAGATTACTGATATCCTTCCCAAATCTGGTGGTCATTATAATACTGTTGTAGGTGATTCAACGGCTACTAAATTATCGATTTCGAAAATCAGGCTCCACTTGGGTAGTGTCAGAAGAGCAAAGTCATCTGATAATAATAAATTGCCTTATAGTTATAAATTTCTTTTGGGACATTTTGAGCCTGGTTGGATTGAACGTGGAAAACAATTGATTGAAGAAGGGAAATTGAAACCGTTTATTGACCGTTATTATAAGTTTTCTGAGTTGGAGAAAGGACTTGCTTATTTGGAAGCTGGTAAAGTCAGTGGTAAGATTATTCTTAAAGTCGAAGAAGATTAAATATAGATAATTTCTATATCTATGTAGTTTTTTTACTAAAGGTTTAGTTCTGTTAAATTATGATAGTTTATAGTATTTAAGTGAATATTTGTATACATGTTGAATATATCAGGATATAATGAGACAATGAATGAGAACTGATTGAAGTTGGTAATTTCAACTGATCTTAGTCGCTAAAAATTGCAAGAGCTAAAGCGGAGATTATAATTGAAGAGAATTTCTTTCTCCTTCTATCCTCTATATCTAATTTCACCTATAATAGTACAAAACAAAATTTCTTATTTCGTATTTAAACTCATGTTGACATAAAGGACGGATAATGCTCACGGCTAAAATTTATTCTGTTTACATTTTTTTCGTTTGTATACAAAATGCAGCAGCCAAAAAAATGGTTGCAATTAAATTCCGCTCAAAATCCGTATGGCCATAGTTAAATGATTTTAACAGTAGTAGAGTCAGTTAAAGTATAAATAGCCACTATTAGAACCAATTGATTAATTCAAAATTATGAATCTAATATAACATCGAAGAATCTTCATTAGCAATCAATCCAAGATGATCTTCACATCCAAAACATTTACTTATAAAGCCTACACTTATACTAGCAGTACAAGTGGTATTAACCTTGATGATATTACTATTAAGTTAGACAAACAAAGGGATGGTACCTACAATATTTCACCTAATAAGATCTTAGTCAAAATCCACGCAGCTGCTTTGAATCCACTTGATGTTAAATTGTATAACGTGTCTGTATGGCCCCTCAACTATTTTCTAGGTAAAAGAGGTCTTGGGGAAGATTACAGTGGTACAATTGTGGCTATTGGCGAAAAGGTAAAAAAGAATGGTAAGTTTAAGGTCGGTGATTTAGTACAAGGACTTGCTTTTGTTTTTATTCCAAATGGTACATTCAGTGAATATATATTAGTTGATACATCTAATAGTGCTGAAGGGGAACTTACACACGCTCCAAAAAATATTTCTTTAACGGATACCTGTGCTTGGCCTGAAGTGTATGCCAGTATTCACAAAATGACAGCTGGAGTAGATTTACAAGATAAGAAAGTTTTGGTTCTTGGAGGTGGTAGTTCTGTTGGTAGATACCTTATCCAATATTTAAAAGTGAAAGGCGCCAAAGAAATTTATGCTACTGCGTCTCCAAGATCTGAAACAGTGGTTAAAGAGTTAGGTGCAAAAGGTACAATTGATTATACAAAAGGTCCAATTCTTAATTCTGTTTTAGAATTGGTTCAAAAGACTGAACCATTTGATATCATTTTAGATTGTGTCGGAAGTGATGAGTTATTTCCAAAGATTAAATATCTCTTCCCCAAATTAGGAGGTCATTACGGTACTATTGTTGGTGATTCTGTGGTCTATAAATTATCACTTTCAAGTGTCTTAGCCGTTTCAAGAAGTATTAGAAGATCAATCTTGTCAAAATATAATAGATTACCTTATACGTATAGGTTACTGTTAGGTAAATATGATCCCGATTGGATTGAAAGTGGTAGAGACTTAATTGAAGAAGGTAAAGTGAAACCATTTATTGATAGTTATTATAAGTTTTCTGAATTGGACAAAGCTCTTGCACGGTTAGAATCAGGTAAAGTCAGTGGAAAGGTTATTCTTAAAGTTGAAGAAGATTAATTTATCTCTTTTCTATATAAGATACTTCAATATATTCATCTACTCCATATTATCTTCGTAGTATCATCATTAAACCGAATTAGGAAAAAGCTGCAATTAATATCCGCGCAAAATGAAGTTTGACGTTATATGGGGAGGGGGGGAAACCACACCTTAAAACTCAAAAGCTTACAATGAGTTTGCCATCGCCAATTGAATATTATTTGCCATTGAGAGTATCGAAGTATCATCATCGTCATCAATCAATCAATCATGACTTTCACATCTGATACATTTACTTACAAAGCTTATACATACACTAGCAGTACAAGTGGTGTTAGACTTGACGATATCACTATCAAATTAGAGAAACAAAGGGATGGTACCTACAACGTTCCAGCTGATAAGATACTAGTCAAAATTCATGCTGCTGCGTTGAATCCAGTTGATGTTAAATTATACAACTTATCTATTTGGCCTTTGAATTATCTTTTAGGTAAACGAGGTCTTGGAGAAGATTATAGTGGCAAAATTGTGGCTATTGGTGATAAGGCTCAATTAAGTACAGCATTCAAAGAAGGTGATTTAGTACTGGGATTCTCTACTTCATTTGTTCCAAATGGGACTTTTGCTGAGTATATATTAGTTGATCCTTCTAAGAACGCTGATGGGCAACTCACACATGCTCCTAAGAATCTTTCTTTAACTGACGCTAGTTCTTGGCCTGAAGTGTACGGAACAGTTCGTATAATGACAGTCGGCGTCGATTTGAAAGATAAAAAATTCTTGGTTCTTGGTGGCGGTAGTTCTATTGGTAGATCCCTTATCCAATACCTTAGATTAGAAGGGGCCAAAGAAATCTACGCCACAGCTTCACCAAGATCAGCTGCCGTAGTTAAAGAATTAGGTGCAAAAGGTACAATCGATTACACAAAGGGGTCAATTCTTAATCCGGCTCTAGAATTAGTCCTGAATGGTGAACCATTTGATATCATCTACGATTGTGTAGGAAGTAATGATTTATTCCCCAAGATTGAATATCTCTTTCCTAAAACAGGTGGTCGATATGCAACAATCGTGGGTGATGCCGGGTTTCTTAAATTATCAATATCGAGTTTATTACTGACTTTGACTAGTGTCAAGAGATCATTATTATCAAGTTATAATTATTTGCCTTATACTTATAAATTACATCTTGGTATAACTGGTCTAGATTGGATTGAAGGTGGTAGACAATTGATTGAAGAAGGTAAATTGAAACCATTCATTGATAGTTACTACAAATTTTCCGAGTTCGATAAAGCTTTTGACCATTTGAAAACTGGTAAAGTCAGCGGTAAGATCATTCTCAAAGTCGAAGAAGATTAATTCATCTCTTATCTATATACCACACTTTGATATACATTCATATACTTCATATTATCTTGATACTATTAACCCCATATAGCTCCGGATAATTTGTGATCTATTTTCATTATTAAGCAATGAACCGAATTAGGAAAAAGTTGCAATTAATATCCGCGCAAAGTCCGAGAAAAACTATGTATATGGGGGATAGGGATACTCTTAACTACACTTTAAAACTCGCTGTTAACAAAATATATAAATAGTCTTGATTGCCATCGTCAATTGAATATTATTAACCATTGAGAGTATCGAAGTATCATCGTCATCATCATCATCAACATCATCAATCCATCATGACTTTCACATCTGATACATTTACTTACAAAGCTTACACATACACTAGCAGTACAAGTGGTCTTAAACTTGACGATATCACTATCAAATTAGAGAAACAAATCGATGGAAGTTTCAATGTTCCAGCTGATAAGATTTTAGTAAAAATCCATGCTGCTGCTTTTAATCCTCTTGATGTTAAATTGTATAACTTATCGTTTTGGCCTTTAAACTATCTTTTAGGTAAAAGAGGTCTCGGTGAAGATTATAGTGGTAAAATTGTGGCTATTGGTGAAAAAGCACAATTAACTACAGCATTCAGAGTAGGTGACTTGGTTCTGGGATTCTATGCTGGTTTTGTTCCACATGGGACTTTCAGTGAATATGTATTGGTTGATACTACTAAAAAGGCTGAGGGTGAACTTACTCATGCTCCTAAGAATCTTTCTTTAACTGACGCTAGTTCTTGGCCTGAAGTGTATGGAACTATCCGTAGAATGACAGTCGGAGTTGATTTGAAAGATAAGAAAATATTGGTTCTTGGTGGTGGTAGTTCTGTTGGTAGATACCTTATTCAATATCTTAAATTAGAAGGGGCCAAAGAAATCTACGCCAGTGCTTCATCAAGATCAGAAGCAGTAGTTAAAGAATTAGGTGCCAAAGGAACAATTGATTATACCAAAGGGTCAATTCTTAATGGTGCTTTAGAATTGGTCAAAGACAGCGAACCATTTGATATCATCTACGATTGTGTAGGTAGTAATGACTTATTTCCCAAGATTGAATATCTCTTCCCTAAAACAGGTGGTCTTTACGCTACCGTTGTGGGTGATGATGGATTTGATCAATTAACTTTCCCAAATTTCTTACTCATTTTACAGACTGTTAAAAGATCGTTGTTGTCAAGTTATAATTATTTGCCTTATACTTATAAATTACATTTAGGAAGTTTCGCTCCAGATTGGATTGAAGGTGGTAGACAATTGATTGAAGAAGGTAAATTGAAACCATTCATTGATAGTTACTACAAATTTTCCGAGTTCGATAAAGCTTTTGCACACTTGGCGGCTGGTAAAGTTAGTGGTAAAATCATTCTTAAAGTTGAAGAAGATTAAATTTGGTAGTTTAGTATATATGTTTAGGTCTGTATAGATTGAATTAGGTTATATAGTGAAATAAAATTTATTAAAATTTCGTACATTTCATTAAAAATTAAATTTGAGGAGAGAGTATAATAATACATATGCCAAATTTAAATAAAAAAATAATATGTGAACGAATGAACTTTAGCTTATGCTGTACTCATTCTTTCAATTTCTCCACTATTACGACAAAATGATTCATAAATCATTTCCATATCCCATCTTTTTGTAATATCCTTTTCTAAACATCCTGTTATAATATTATATAACCATTCAAATTCCCTTGTATCCTTATATTCTAACCATGCCTTTTGTAAGACTTGTAATTCTTGTTGACGTTTAAGATCAATCAATGAAGGTGATTGAATCATTAAACTTGCTGGTAATACATCTTTATTATTATCCGATTTACTATCATCATCGGTTTTCTCTTTAAATATCCATTCTAATAAACATGCCTTTTTTAAATCATCTTTATTATATTTACCCGCCGTAATCATAGCTCGTAATCTTGGTTCATATTGATGTTGAAATGGTAATTTCCCCACACACATAGTATAAATTAATACTCCCAATGCCCAAACATCTGCCAGTGGTCCTAATGGAGGTGGTGAAGGTGATAATAATTCAGGGGAAGCATAAGGCAATGAACCTATATGTGAATGAGGTAATTCTGAATCAATCCCTTCATTACTGTTATTAATCGGTCTGACTTCTAATTTTGAATTAAATAATCCTGAATGAGTTGGAGTTAAATCAACTGATTGTAATGATGGACCAAGTGATTTAAATAATTGAGAAATACCAAGTCTAGAATCATCTTGAACTTTGAGATTCCTCGTACTAGCCGAATCGCCACCTTGATATGGTTTTCTAGTTTCAGTATTAGATGATCTACTTCTCATCATTAAAGTTTCTTCATCAACCAAAAGTGGAGATATTGGATTTGGTAAGTATCGAGCCGAAGATTTTCTACTTAATCTTGAAGTATAAACTCTTGACATTCCAAAATCACAAAGAATCATTTTATATTCCCCATCTTTTTCTTCAGATTCCACTAAAACATTCTCTAATTTCATATCTCCATGAACAATCCCCTTCATTTCATGCATGTATAATAAAGCTTTCACAATTTGAGCCGTACAACGAATAACTTTCATTAATCTATCCATTTGACCTTCGATGGAAAACTCTAATGGACCTGTCGTATTCATTATTCCACCGCTATATAAACCCCAACTGGAAACTAATTCAAAAAGAGTACCACCGTAAATTCTATTAGTAATACAAAATATGGCATGTTCAGTTTCAAGATATTTTAATAATGGTAGGATATTCTCATGATGTAATTGTTTCCAAATAGCTATTTCCTTCTTAAATACTTCCAAAACTTTGGCATTGGGTTTATTCTTCCTTAAGTCAGCTCTACTAGGAGATGAAGTTCTTGAAGGAGATGAATCCATATCACGAGTTGATTTCACAATCTTAATGGCTCTAACGGTACCAAAATTATCCACACATTCTCGAATTACTCCAAATGCACCGAAACCGATGATTTTACCTAATTCATGATTCATGACAATAGCACCTTTTTCATCCACATTAACTCTTGGTACTTTACTATCGAGTTGTTTTAAATCATTGGTAGAAGTTCTAGCTAATAATCTTTCAGCAACCGTGCTGACACTACCCATTCTTGATCTTCTAACAAAACTATTATTCCCCGAATTGATTCCTCCACCATTACCACCACTTCTATTTGTTTTACCTGAACTATTGGAACTACCAAATTTATCATTAAGATAATTCTTAGCAAATAATGAGAATTGAGAATAATCAATTGATTCTGAAAATGAACGAACTAATTTCTTCCGTTGTGAATAAGGTAAATCATTAAAATTCTGAGGTAAACTATTTAAAATCCATTCATAATTGATTTCATCAGGTAAGTCTGATTTTTGTCTCTTAGGCTTATGATCATCTTCACCATTATTATTATGATTGTGACCTGGTTTTTTGGGTTTGATTTCAATATTTGACGGTATAGTTAAAGCACCTTCGTTAATTATATTTAAACCTGTGGTTGAATTTGAATTTGAATGGGAATTATTAGATACGGTACCTCCAGCAGTAGTACCTCTTGATTTCATAAAATCATGTAATTTTGAATATGAGAATTTACCTGGATTAGATTGATTCGATCTAATTGGTTGAGGAGCAACCTTAGCATGTAATTGATTTAAATCTAAATATGAAGCTTCACGACTTTGAGGAGTTGAAGTATGACTAGTAGTATTTGAATGAATTAAATTTTCATTTTTAATATCATATTGATTTGAAGATGCATTTTCAATTAGATTTTGATCACTGACGTTTTTATTCCATCTATAGATCAAATCAGCAAAATCTAATCCTGGAATATATTCATCTTCTAATCCCACCACATAATCTGCATCACCAGTATCAATAAGTTCATCATGAGATCGGGAATATATTTTAGTAGGACTCTGGGCTCTACTAGTTCTATTACTTGTTTGATTACTATCTTCATTTACTTTATTTAATGAAGTGAATGTATTAAATCGATTAAAATCATGATTAGGATTTTCAGTTCTAGGAACTTGAGGTCTAATTTTCCCATCATCATATAATCTATGACCTGTAGTTTCATCGAAATTGTTCTTTTCAGTTTCAGAATATCTTCTTAATGCACGATAATTGGTGATTTCCTTAGTAGGAGGAGGTAACAGTTCTTGTCTTTGATTAGGGTCGATTTTTTGTCTTAATTTAAGGAGGTGTGATCCAAATGAACTAGTTTGATCTAACCTATTGCTAGAGCCTGGTTGATAGGATTCAATGCTATGATCAGTTTCGTAGGTTCCACTGCTATTATCGGTGGTATTGGAGATGCTTTGCTTTGGAGTAGTCCCTTTATCATCATCTAGTTGAAACTTTGAATCATCCAATATATTGATGGTGGAAACTTTGGGTTCCGCCTTTAATGGTATATTCATTAACTTTTTGATTATTATAAAATATATGCAGAATGGTAAATTACCAGAAATATGAACTAAGCTTGAACTCTATATGAATGATGATGATACTTGTTGTTTGTAAAAGCTTTCTAATGTGTTTGGCTAATAATACTGTGTGTATGAGGGTGTGGGACAGACACTGATTGAGATAAAATATTGACTAATTAAAATCCACTATACATGAATGGTGGCGTCAATGTTAAGATGTAATGATAGTAATACCTGATCAACTGGTGGTGTGATTGTACAATTGACTTGGTTGACTCAATTGTGGTTCAAATCAGTTAAACTATTTTGATGATAGTTAAAAACCCTGATTTCTTAATAGATGACTCCTGACTCAAACAGAAACTTTTTTTTTTGGAGTGATGAAGAAATAAAAAAAAAAGGTCGTGCAATGTGGAGAAGCAAACAAGGTGGAGTTGAATCATAATTACGATGTTTTTGAATGATTTTACAGTGTTTATATATATGACTGGTCATTTGAAGTCATTCAAGATGATATTTCAGATATATGACATGGGATCTTTACTCACTAAGTGAAATCTCATCTATGATATTCATAATATATCTTACAATTATCAAAATTTAACTATTGCCTAATTCGGACAAGGACCCGATTTTTTTGGCAATCAAATTTGAATGCTAAAATTAGGCAATTACAAATTGTATTATCAAATGATCGAATAGCATAACATGTTTTGAACCCTCAAGTCAACATAAGTCAATATATAATTGATAAAATAAATAGGGTTGTTTACTATCTTTACCACTTTTCTTTCCATCATCATCTATTGCACAATGAATTCTATCAGATACAATTATCAAACCCAACAACCTCTTCTTAATGATAGGTATTATATGATTCACGTTATGACAAAGCAAGGGGATAAACTCAGAGACATGAAAGGTTCTAGAATGAAAACTATTTTAAAAACTACAATGTTTTGGCCCAAGAATGCTTATATTATATTTTACATCATAATTAATATTCATAATAAAGAAGAAGAACAAGATATTTCCAATGCTATCAATTCTATAATTGATATCAAGCAACGATTTCCCGATAGACCTATTTTATTTTCATTTGGTATTAATAGATATTACGCTCCAGATGAGATACCAGATAATCTTTGCATTCCAGATAAGATTCATGAGATTAAGTTATATAAACTCAGAATTAGTAATTTTTACTCATCTGGTGGTGTAGTTAATGTTACAACCAATACTATGACTTATAATAAACCATATCCAACTTCAAGTATTCTTGGAGTTTATGCTTAAGATTTATAATTATTGATGAATTGACTGATATTGCTTAATAGTTAATAAGATGAATCTGAAGTTTTATGAGATGACCAAAACCCGTTGTAGTTACCCAAATCTTGCGATTTCCCAATTAAGAGTTATGATCAATTTTGGTACTTTTCTAGATACATTTAATACATTAACTCTCTTAAGGCAACTATACCATAAATGTTAACTGCAAAATGGACATAAAAGATGACTTATATTCTTCCCCCAGAATTCAATAAGTTTATACCACTTTTCTTCTTCATCAACACAATTAATGTCACACTTACATTACAATTACACCAAACAACAAGGTCTTCTTGATGAAAAATGCTACTGCTTAAACGTTATGCAAAAACCAAGATTTGGTCTGGCTCAAGATTGTGAACAATTTGTTGGTTATGATGGTCAAACTACAATGGAAGAGATTTTAAACTTAACGAAGTTTTGGCCTAAGAATGCTATGATTGTCTTCTATGTTCACTTGGAAATCTTTACCAAACATCAAGAAAGAAGTCACATTAAGCATGCTATTGAACAAGCTTTAGATATTCATAAGAAGTTCCCTGATAGAACCAATTATTTCTTTATTTTTTCTTTCAATAGATACTTTGAACCAGGTCAATGTCCAACAAGCATGAAAATATCTCCAAGTACACTTCATGGCATAAGATTAAGTCAGCTTAGGATCACTAATATCTACTCCTCATGTGGTAATTATAATGTTACTACTACTACTATCAATTATAAAGACGATTTATAAAATTGCAACTATTTATGACACAAAAGAATTTTTTAGTTGTCTTTAAATCTGGGGGGAGAGAGGAGCCATCCACTCACTAAAGATCAAAAGAGGCAGTTCGGTAAGGAGAGGCAAATTAAGGTCATATGAATAAAATGGCAAATTTCACACTACACTACACTATTTGCCATTGCTATTTTCAAATAACTATTTAAATGTTTCTTCTTCTGTAATGAATCCATTTTTATTTAATATATTAGTATTTGTTTCGTTATACTTATCATATCGATATCTACTTAATCCCAACTTAGTTACCATGGCTGAACAACAATCAAACCAAGATCAACAAAATCTTAATGCTGCTTTAAAGGATTTCACCCCTGAAGACTTGAAAAATTTAGATCCTGAAAATCTTATCGTCAATATGAATGGTAGACAAGTTCCTTTCAGTCAAATCAATAAACCTCATAACGTTGTTCTTAATCCAGGTCAACATAAACCAAAGATTGATGTGGCCTCATTCCCTGATCTTGAACCTGCTGCTAAAGAACGTGAAGCTGAATTGGCTGCTGCAAGAGAAGCAAAGAAAAAAGAATAAGTCATCTTTAGTGGTTCTTGCTTCCTGATTCTTTAATCAATCAATCAATTGACTTGATTGATCATTACCATTGTTATTGGTATATTCGTTTACAAAATATTTAATGAGGCAACTTGAAAAGCTCGTTAGGGGAGCTTTGATATATAACAAAATCTTAAACTAATGATAGTTTTTATTCGGTTTTTTTTAAAATAATATATATCATTTATAATTACACTTCATATTTGATCCATGTAGTTTATGTAGTAATTGTAATTGTTTATCTCTAAGTTCGATCTACTGGATCGATAACTTCCCAGAAGTTAGGTGCTGGTGGTTGCTGCTCACAAAACGAAAAAAGGGCGGGAATCAACACATTTTGTTAGGTGATAGAATGAATGAAGGAATGAATAAAATTCATCCAATCAAGCTGTTATAATCATCTACAGCCAGTCTTGTTCATCAAGTCAGTCATGTTGGGATTACCAAGAAGATGGCTAAGACAATTGTACTATCTATCGGGATTCTTAGTGGTTGCCATTATATTAATCGCTGTTGCTAATCAACAACATGTCATACATATTCAAGATTATATTCCTATAAGTTTAACTCCTTCATTTTTCCAACCTTCCGCTGATCTGTACATAGTTGATATTGCCATTAAGGATTGTTATACTTACAATAGTGGTAATAAGAATTGTGGAGTTCCTAAATTAAGTGAAGGTAAATTCGGTAAAATAACAACTGAAGATATCGGTCAATGGATCAAGATTGATAAGGATTTAGCTTTAGGATCAGGATGGTTTAAAAAGCAATTCTTTTCTTATAAGGCAATTCAATCACTGGCTTTAAGTGAAATCGATACTAGTAAAGAAGAAGATGGTAACAAATTAGTCGTGATTGATATTGCTATTTCTAATCCAAGTGAAGATTCTAAAATCAAAGGAAATGAAAAACTGAAAATCCCACAGTATATCTTAGATCATTTCCATTCCAGTAAGATATTTGGTGATTCAGATCATGAAGATTTAATCGAAAAGGCCAAAGCTTCTGAAAAGAATCCTACCAAGATTGATTTGGATAGAGATAAGGAAAATTCTACTTCCAAGAAACTTAATGATTTAGTGGAAAAGGAAAAGGCAGAAGCAGAGGCTGCTGAAGCTGCCAAAGAAAAAGAATTCGAAGAAGTCATAGCCCCTCAAGATCCAAATAATGATGTTGTGCCTGAAAATGAAGAAGATAACGATGATGAAAATGAAACCAATGATAATGACAAAGAACCAGAATCAAATGAAGAATCTCCAAAAGAAAAGAGAGCAGTTGAAATCAGTAGACATGATTTAAGCAGAACTATGTATATTCCATCTAAAGAAGAAATAGCCAAATCAGGTTGGAAGTATAAATCCAATGGTGTATGGTTGAAATATGGTCCTCCATCTGATAATGCTGTAACTGGTATTGATATTTTATTTGGTGAAGATTCGGTTGATCCAAGACCTAATTGGAGATTAATTAAAGATGGATCATTAACTGATGTAAATACTCAAAATGATAAACGGGCTTATTTAAGTATTAGAAAAGGAGATAAAGTCAATTATAAATTACCAAAATATCAATCACCATTAAAAGTGAATAAAAATGGGAAATTTAAAATCTTACAAGTGGCAGATTTACATTTTTCTACTGGAGTTGGTGAATGTCGTGATCCAGTACCAGGAAGTTCTAAGAAAGGATGTGAGGCAGATCCAAGAACAATTCAATTCCTTGAAAAAGTATTGGATATTGAAAAGCCAGATTTCGTGGTTTTAACCGGTGATCAAATATTTGGTGAAACTGCCCCTGATGCAGAAACTGCTGTGTTCAAAGCCCTTTATCCATTTATTAAAAGAAAGATTCCGTTTGCCGTGACTTTAGGTAACCATGACCTGGAAGGTTCATTAAAAAGAAGTGAAATCATGAGTCTCTCATCTAATTTACCATTTTCATTATCATCTTTAGGTCCTGAGTCTGTAGATGGATATGGAAATTATGTCTTAACTGTTGAAGCACCACTTTCTCGTAATCCGGCTATGTCATTATACTTTTTAGATAGTCATAGTTATTCCCAAAATCCAAAGGTTAATCCTGGTTATGATTGGATTAAAGAAAGTCAATTACAGTTTGTTGAAGCTGCTCATGCTGATTTGAAAAAGGCAATTGATGCTTATACTCATATTCATTTATCAATGGCATTTTTCCATATCCCGTTACCAGAATATAAAAATCTTAATCAACCATTCATTGGTGAACATAGAGAAGGTATAACTGCTCCAAGATATAATACAGGAGCAAGAGCAGTATTAGGAAAACTTGGAGTAAAAGTCATTAGTGTTGGACATGATCATTGTAATGATTATTGTTTACAAGATATTCAAGATAAAGATACAGATCAAGAAAATAAGATGTGGTTATGTTATGGAGGTGGTGTAGGAGAAGGTGGGTATGGAGGTTACGGGGGTTATGTTAGACGGTTAAGAGTATTTGAAATCAATACCAATAATGCTGAGATTAAATCTTGGAAACGTGCAGAGAATGAACCTGAAAGAGATTTCGATACTCAAATATTAGTCACTGATGGTAACGTTGTAAATTATTGAATAATTTTGTTTTGTTTTGTATATTTATATATATATTGTTTGCATTTTCTCCTAGTTGTCTCATACTGTGATCTAGTTGTATATTACGTACTATAGTTTTTAATTTATATTTAATATATAATTAATATTAATAAATCTGAATTGTAAGTCTAATCCATTGTCTTACTTTGGGTCTAGCCGTAAGTGGATTTGTGACATTGAACTGTGAAACGTATTGTCTCTTTTGACAGGGGCCAGCCAAAAAAAAAAATGTTAAAGACGCTAGATTGTGCGATACAGATCAAATCTCAATACCTGTTCAAACGAATCTTAACCACAGTATATGGATAGATACCATATACATATCAGGCTAGATGGTTGATTCAGGGGACACCTTAACGGAGAACAATAACAATGGTCAAAGAAACGATAATAAGGAATTGAAAATATGGCTTGCTAATTCAAATTGTCAACTGTATTATTCAAAGTTTGTGGATAATGGGATCACAGTAGATCTACTACCAGAATTGGATTCTGAATCTTTGAAAGAATTAGGAATCATAAAGCTTGGTGATAGACTTAAGTTAGAAATAGCTATCTCCAATTTAAAGTCAGAAAAGTTAATTAATAGTATATCAGTGGAAGATTTATATAAGATAGCCAGTTTACATTTGAATCAAAGACAAGACGTGTATACTACTAAAGCTGTACATGGTGTGATTGAAAATCCATTCGATATGAGTCCATCAGGTGATTCAACTTTATTAGCCAGCTCAAGTGGTTCGAGTATACTTCCTTCAGGTCCACAACTGCAACAACTGTTATTGCAACAACCATCAAATTCAAAAGACTCCAGTAAAAATATCACTTTCATTTTACAAGATGGTACTACTAAGAAAGTCAATATAACAGGATGTTTCAATGCTCAATCGATTAAAAGAAAGATGTTAAAGAAAATTGGTATCAAACTGCAAGAAACTGAATATGACACATATGTTCATTCTTCGACTAATTATAATAACAATCAAACAAACACAGCAAATGCTACTGGGAATCAATACGAACTTAATCTTTTATTTGACGTGGAATTGGTAACGATATGTTATTCACCTGATAGAATAGAGAAGAATAGAATTTTATTATGTCCCAGAAATGAATATCCTACTGAATTAGCTATAGAGGCAAGTAAAAAGATTATCATCAAAGGAGAAAAATATGCTCATTTAAGATCATTAACTTCAAATAATTTAAGTCAATATCATATTCCAGATAATAGAAGAAAACAACCTACCTTAAGAAGCTTTTTCGGTCAAAGACCACCAAGTGAATTGATCTCATCGAATTTGGCGGAATATTTCCCTGATACTGAACAAAAAGAACTTGAACAAACCATCCGAAATTCGGTTAGATATAGTGTACGTTTATCTCGTCGATTCAATTTACCACCTGGTATGATATCTACTGGGAGTAGTAATGTGTCTGTCAATAGAAGGGGTTCGATAATGAGTAATTATCAAGCAGCTCCAGGACCACCATATAGATCATCATCCATATCATCAGGAGATCAACTTGGTGGTGGTAGAAGAGCCAATCTGTATATTGGAAGAACTGTGGGAGATGTGATGGTTAATAATATTCGTGAGATTGATGAGGTAGTGAATCCTAATGATAATTCATCAATTTTTAGTAAACCTCCATCAGTAAATTCAGGTGGTGCCGTTCCTAATGCTAGTCCTAGCTCTAACAATTACAATAATGATGCAAAATCAATAATTTCAACCACATCATCCGTATTTAAAAATGCAAAGATCTCTGTTGCGACCAGTTTTGCTGATAATGGTAACAATAACAATAATAGATATTCGAGGATTGAATTATTAAGTGTTGATTCTGATTCCGATGACACTGATGATGTGATTGGTGAATATGGTGATGATGATGATGTATTAAGTCATGGTTTAGGATCTCTTTCAGGTGATGTTCCAAAACATTGGTTGAAAGGGGCCAGAATCGGAGCAGGGAGTTTTGGTACCGTTTATTTAGGTATGAATTCATTCACGGGTGAAGTCATGGCGGTTAAACAAGTTCCATTACCAAAACTGAATAATGGAGATTCAGAAGAACAACAGCGATTAATTCAAGAACAACAACGAGAAATGTCATTATTAAAAGAATTAAATCATGAAAATATTGTCAGATATTTCGGAGCATCTACCGATGAAGAAAATTTAAATATATTTTTAGAATATGTCCCTGGTGGTTCAGTTCAATCAATGTTACAATCATACGGACCATTTGAAGAACCGTTGATTCGGAATTTCATACGACAAATATTGATTGGATTAAGTTATTTACATGGAGAAGATATCATTCATCGTGATATCAAAGGAGCCAATATCTTAATTGATATTAAGGGGACCGTTAAAATTGGTGATTTTGGAATTTCTAAAAAAGTAGCTAATATAGAAGATGAACTAGAAGTTCAAAAGAAAACGGGCAAACGGGCCTCACTTCAAGGTTCAGTATATTGGATGGCACCAGAAGTAGTGAAACAAACAGCTTATACTAAGAAAGCAGATATTTGGTCCGTTGGATGTTTGATTATTGAAATGTTTACGGGGAAACATCCATTTCCGGAATTTTCTCAAATGCAAGCTATTTTTAAAATCGGTACTCATATAACTCCTTTAATTCCTGAATATTGTACTCAAGAAGCTAAAGATTTTCTTGGTCAAACGTTTGAATTAGATTATAAAAAGAGACCTGATGCAGTTGATTTATTAGGTGATTCATTTTTGAATCCTCTTATAATGTCAAAACAATAAGATGAATATTAATAAATAATGCGATTCGTTTATTAACTATAAATAATAAAATATACTCTTTTTATCATCATTCATTCATGGTTAAATAATCCCGTCGGGGGTTTGAACTTTCCCAATTATATCAGGAGATCCAGCTTGACCACTAGCTATACCACCTGTACTTGCATTCAACCCAACTTCCGGTATGAAAGTTGTATGTAAACTCATAGCGTAGATAGTAATAAACATTACCACACAATGTAATCCTAAACAATAAAAGAAAAATAACATTCTTGTTGTTCTTGTAGCTAAGATTGCTCTAGTTAAGGATATGAATAATCTTTCTAATGGAGATAATTTTGAATTAATTCTTTCTTGTTCTCGTATTCTAAATTGTTCAATTGGATGTAATTTAGATTCATAAGTTTGATGATATGGATTACTTTCAAGATCAACATTTGGTTTGGGTTGATATAATTTTTTACCTGAGAAAGTATTTCTTGATGCAATTGATTGTTGAGTTTGATTAAAAGATGCAAGATATCTTGTTCTTTCATATAATTCTTCATTATCTTTCTTTAAGATATTTAATTCTCGTCTAAGACTTGTAGATGTATTATATTGCTTTTTTAATTCTTCTTCTAATTCAGTATTACGATCTCTGAATCTATCCCTTTGTTTAGTTATGATAGGTAAAATCGATGATGGTTCTTCACCACCACCAAGACCACCTCCTAATATAGTATTACTTCCTGAATATCCTGATATTATACTTCCATTTCTACCTGGTCTTGTAACTCTACTTACCCCTGATATTAAACTTGAATTGTCATTAAATTTAACTGTATCTTGAACCTCGGCGATATCGTCTTCTAATTTATAATTTAATTCTTGGGATTTAATTAATTCTTGTTGTAAAATTGTATTTTGTGATTCTAATAGGGAAATTTGTTTTTGGATATCTTCATGTTGAGATCTATATTGAGCTAATTCTTGAGTTAAGATTTTATTTCTATTAATTAAGATATTATCAAGATTGTTGGTATCATCTGAATCTGTATTAGTTAAATCACCATTTCCATTTTCATCATTTTCATTATCATCATCTTGACCAAATTCAATTTGTCTTAAAAGATGTAATTCATGTTTAATTTCATCATAATCAAAAGTTTTATCCAATCGAGATTTAAGATTTTTAATTTCAATATTAAATTTTTCAGAATCTTTATGAAATGTTTCTTGAATGGTATTATTTTCTTTAATTGAATCATGTAATTTTTTTCTAATTTGATCTAAATTAGCGACTAATAATGCATTCTCTCCTTCTAATTCCAATGATTTTTTAGAAAATTCTTCTTTTAAACTTTGAATAGCACTATCATTTTTAGATTTTGATAATTCTCGTCTTAAATCTTCATTTCTCTTTTCTAATTGATATATCCTCTTTTTAGAAGATTCGGCATCTCTTGACACTATATCTAATTGAGCTAATAAGGAAGGAGTTGATGAAGAATCATGAAGAGATGAACGGTTTTTATTTTGAGAATCCAATTGTAATTCAGTTACTTCTTTTGAAGTTCTTAATTCTTCAATTTGATTTTGAGCTGTTTTTAATTGAGATTGGTATTGATTTTCCTTTTCTAACCAATTTGATTCCTTTTCATCGATTAATGATTTATATTCATCATCTTTAGCATTTAATTTGGAGGTTAATAATTCGGCTGCTTTTTGTTCATTTCTTAATAATCGTTGTTTCAATTGTTCATAATCTGCTTTTCGAGTTAATTCTTCTGTTAATCTATCAACTTCTCTTTTTAATCCATCAACTTCAGTTGATTGCATAACTGAATCCAATGATGCTTCTAATAAAGGTTTTGGATCAGGAGCTTCTGCTATTAATCGATATATGCCAAAGAAATAATTCTCAACTGTTTTCTTTCGATTGGTTAATGAATCAATTTCATTCTGATATAACTTTAATAATGATTTAAATTGATCTAATTTCTCATCATCCAGTAACTTTCTAAATTCTTTAGTTTTAGAAGCTAATTCTTTACGATTCAGTAAAGAATTCTTTTGATCATCTTTCAATTCCAATCCTTGTTCATCCAATTTCCGTTGTAAAGAAGGTAAATCAATCTCAGTCCATACTTGTAAGGCAGTTTCAAACAGACTTGATGATTTATTGGTTGTAGTTGTAGTTGCTCCACTTATTGGAGTTGGTAATGGAGTTGGACTTTGTTCAAGAAGTTGATCATCACCATTCACTTCAGGAGTTGGGGATGCAAATTCTGTATCCTCCACCATTCTATCGATTCCAAAGGTTAGTTGTAAACACTAATTGATATAATAACTAGTTCATCAATTATATATATTAACTGTTGGCTGGCCTCTTTACCAAAAAAACAATGCCAAAGTCAAAAATGTCACAAAATCTGGGTCACGTGCCGCTTACCATAATAAAATAAATTTTTACTTATTAAATACTTCAACTATCCATTTTGCAACTAACTCAATATAGTTTAACATATCAAACTGTATATCTTGATCAATGATATACCGTTGATTATATATATTATATACATTTTATCGTTATAGTTAGATATATAAATTATAATAAACTGTTGGGTCTTTCTTAACTATGACGGATAAAGGCGAGGTCCATGCATTGATCAGTACTCTCCATAAAGGAAGGGATATAAATTTTTATCACCCTATTTTAACCATCACAGATCTTAACTATATTTGATAATAATAATAACAATAGCATTATATCCATTAAACATGTGTCTAATTAATACCATTTGATAGTATTAGAATACTTATTGTGTCACCATAATAATAATAATGTAGTGCGGTATTGATGTTATCATTTGTTTTTGTTTAAATCAAAAAACAATGTAACCCACAAATGGCATATAATTAAGCTATGAAGATGATTTCAATTATGATTGATATTGATAATTGATTGAGATGTAGTTGTAATGACTTATGGTATTACTCTCAGTAGGATGAATCTTTATTAAAAAGTTGTCATTGATCAATATTGATTGATGTTTACCTTTGTAACCAAATTGGCTGCAATTCAGGAGAAGGCAACCAACAACAGAAGTATCATTAACTAGTAGTTGAATCATTGTAACCACCTTCGGAGTTCTTCTTTGCATCTTCAACCATCTTTGTCAATCTTTCTATTTCCTTACCCATTTTCAAACTTTCATTTCGAAGTACTTCACTTATAATTGATGCTCTTTCAGGATCTAACATTTCAGTTATACATTGTAAATCTCCTGGCGGTAATCTCCAAATATATTTTAAAACAAATTGTTTAACATATTCATCATCATCAAGATTCACGTTGTTGGTCATCTGACTGGTATAGATACTAATGAATCGATTAATTGATGTTGTATAATCACAATGAATGATGACATTAACAGTTGAAATCATAAAATTTACAGTTGTACACAAATTTTGATTTTTCCGTTTTAAGCTCTCTGTCTTTACATCTACAAATTAACTATGGTAAAAGATGAAAAATTATGTTTTTTTAAATATATATTTTTATTTATATGTATATGGGGGGAAGACACCAATAACCATATATAAAACGAAATGATTTAAATACTTCATTTGAGAAAAGTACTTAAATGAAAGTTTCATAAGGAACTGGAGCTAAAGTTTGAGGAACATTACCTTCAGTAGTGATAATTCTTGAACCTCTTGGTTTAGCAGGTTGTCTCTTTAAAGAAACTTGTTCACCATTTTCTTTAGCAGCTTTCTTTAAAGCAGCATTTTCTTTAACTCTGTTTAAGAATTCTTGACGACATTTAGAATGTTTAACATGTTCAACTCTTAAGTTAACTCTTTTTTCAATGTATCTGTTACCAACAACCTTGTTAACAATAACACCAACAGCAGATTTGGTAACGTTATAAACAATACCGGTTTTACCGTGGTAGTATTTGTGAGGCATACCCTTTTGGACAGCACCATTGGCTTTAATATCAACAATATCTCCAACTTTATAGATTTTTAAGAAGGTAGATAAGGCAATAGTACCATGTTTCTTGAAGTCACGTTGGAAAGCGTAACGAGTACCTGATCTATAACCACGACTAGAAAGAAATTAAGTTAGTATTTATGTTTGTAGGTGTTTATGTTTGATGATTGATGAATAGCTTAGAGGAATGAATATTTTTTATTTATTTGATATTATGAGAATTTTTGGACCCATATGATGGATGGAAAACTGGAAGCAGTTTGATGGATGAGTTACTTCTGTAGTCTTGGAATAAGGTGGTAGTTGTCGATTTGATGAACTGTACAAGTTATTTACTGAATGAACTGGATTGGACTATTGTTTGATAAAATTTGGTAAATATTGAAAATTTACTACTTGATTATTTGAACCCATTCTAAATGATTTCTTTCACATTTGACGATTTACAAACTCATCTGAAAGATGGAATACTTTCATCTCTTACTCTTTATTGATATGTAGTTGTTGTGGTTGTTTATACTGATTTGAAAAAAATTCTCTCTCTTCATAATGATTGAAAACTAAATGAACATATGTCTCCATATCACTTCACTCCCACGATCGATCTTAATCTAGTCTATTCATCCTCTTATGCTATTCATTCACCTCTTATAAGTCTATGATATCACATACGATTTACCCATTTTTAATTATATGTATTGCTGAACTAATCAAAAGGTTAAAAAAGGTATAATGGAAAATTTCAATAAATAAAAAAAATTATATCGTTTTTTTTCCTAGTGCTGTTTGGCTCTGTACGCTGTAAACTGTTCTCTCCTCATAGTTAATTTGTTCTCAGCTATTTTTAACTATGACAATCTGAAAAAGTGCGAACAATTATTAACTATGGTTCCTGCAGATAGAACGGCATCTAGGCGTGGAGCCCTAATGGGACTATTTGGCACGTGATGGGATATTATCGTCATTTTTTTGAATTGTCAGTCTCTCTCTAATATCAAATGATTGCAAAATTTATAATATGGAGAATTATGATATAACTACTTCAATCAAATTATTAAACACACAATGATGGTATATATTTTACTAATTTACATAAAGAAATAGATTAATTGGAATGGAAATAAACAAAAACCAATATATTAAGTTTTTTTAAATAGAAAAAGGGTTAAATGAAATATGCTATAAACAAGATAAATTAATTTAAATTGAGCTAAATAGCTTATTCTTCTTCTTCAGCACCTTCTTCAGAACCTTTACCTTGGTTCTTTCTCTTAACTCTACCGGCTCTACCTCCACCGTATGGAGAGTTATGAGCAAAATCAATATGTTTTTGAGAATCTAATCTAACAGTGAATGATGGAATGTTAACAACTTGTTTACCAACAGCAATATGTCTTTGAGAAATTAAAACTCTAGCATGATGAATAGATCTAGCTAAACCTAATTTGAAAACTTGAGTTTGTAATCTTCTTTCTAAGAAATCTTCAATTCTTAAAGCTAAAACATAATCTAATTTCATTTTATCTTCTGATAAAACACCAACTCTAACTAATCTTCTAATTAAAGCATTACCTTCAAATAATCTTTTTGGATCTTTTTCATCTCTAGTTAATAAATCACGAGCAGCTCTTCTAATTTTAGATAATTGGAAACCAATTCTATAAAGTTCTCTCTTGTTTTTTAAACCATATTCACCAGCTAATTTTAATTCAGCATCTAATCTAGCTGATTCATAAGGTCTCTTTGGGACAGAGTAAGTCTTGGAATAAGTTCTTGGAGCACCTATTTAGTTATGGTTAGCATATTAATTCAAGTAAAGTAAAGTAAATTAAATAGAGCTTAAAACAAATATACGGGTCTACATTCAATTAAATAAAACACAGATGGTTAAGAAAAAAGTTTTACAGATGATAAATTTTAAAACCTTATAAATCAAAGTAAACCAGATCTTTCACATATGAACAAACCAAAACAGTTGACACAAGCAAGAAAGCTTGTATCAGTCATATTAAACAAAAAGTTCAATATAACACCTAAGGTAAGATTCAATATGATTTCAAAAGTAAACTTTTTCATCACAAGGTTTGATACTGAAGTGTCGGGAATTCAGTACCAATAAATTAAAATATATCTCTGCAAAAACAGATTTCTATTTCACTGTATTCCATTCATCAAAAGTCATATCAAAGACTGACTGACTAATGAAACAATGAATGAGGACCCGAACCTCTAATGCTCAGTCAACTACCAAAATATAACTTTTGGAGTTCTGGAACATTATTAGTTATGTTTAATGCTGGAACGAAACACTATCCAATGGATACTGTTTCACATTAATGATGATAATGATACATACGAGGCATGTTGAGACTATTGAATGATTTAAAGAAAGGAAAAAGAAGAAGAAGAAGAGATGAATAAAGTCTAATTAAATTGAAAATTTTTTTATTCATCTTTCTCTCTCCCTCTCTCACTCTCTGTACTGAAAATTTTTTTTGTCGTGCGCTTCAGTGGGAAAATATGTTAAATGATTATATTTACTATGAGTGAGACCTTAACTATTGTAAATATGAGACTACTGGGTTTTTACATGTTAGATTTTGCAGATTAGAGGGTGCTAATATCGATTTTTCAATATTTATTATGTGATTTGAATACATCTTTGATAGATTAGAATCAACTTCAAGGATGAAATTCGTGGCATTGATCTCAGGTGGTAAAGATTCATTCTTTAATATCCATCATTGTTTATCTCAAGGTCATGAATTAATAGCTTTGGCAAATTTATATCCTCAAGATCCTAATAAAGATGAGATTGATTCATTCATGTTTCAAACTGTGGGTCATGACATCATTGATAATTATAGTCAACTTTTAAATGTACCTTTATATAGACAGGCTATCACCGGAGGTTCGTCCAATCAACATCTTGAATATTCCATCACTAAAGATGATGAAATTGAAGATTTATATCAATTATTATCCAAAGTTAAATCAAATCATCCTGATGTTGAAGGAGTCAGTTGTGGAGCTATCTTGTCTCATTATCAAAGAAGTAGAGTGGAGAATGTATGTGATAGATTGTCATTAACCTCCTTGGCTTATTTATGGCAAAGAGATCAATATGAATTGATGCAAGAAATGTGTCAGAATTTGTTGGATGCAAGATTAATTAAAGTAGCTGCTATTGGATTAAATGAAAATCATTTAGGTAAATCCATAAGTCAATTATTCGCTCAATTAGTGAAGTTAAATCAATTATATGAAGTCCATATATGTGGAGAAGGGGGTGAGTTTGAAACTTTGGTATTTGATTCTCCCATTTTTAAAGATAAGAAATTAGCAGTTATCGATAAACAAATCATAAATCATTCTAATGATGATGTATCATATCTTAAAGTGAAAGTTGAGGTCATAGATAAAGATTTCCCATCTGAATATTCCAATATCACCCCACCTGATTTATTAACTAAGGAATTTGATGAAATTCTTGATGAAGTAAAAGCTAGTCCTGATATTAAAAGTTTACTGATAAATGATACTCCAGAGAAATCAACCGTTGAGAACGTATATTCCAAAGAATCAATCTTCTCAACTAAGACTAAATTATACATATCGAATTTAATCTCACTTGAAACCGATATAAAAGATCAAGCAGTTGAGATTTTCCAAAAATTAACCGAAATATTAATCCATAATGACTTAACATTTAACGATATCCAACATATAACCCTCTTGTTATCAGACATGACTAATTTCACCGATATAAATTCAATCTATGGACAAAACTTTCAAGATTTATACCTTCCCCCCTCGCGAATCTGTGTTGAAACCAATTTAAAAACAGACATTCAATTATCATGTATCGTACTTAAACATCATGGAAACAACCTCAAATCAGGCCATCATATACGATCAAGATCATACTGGGCTCCTCAAAATATCGGACCTTATTCCCAAACTATAATCGAAACCAGAGAAAGTTATAAATTAGCATCGTTGTCAGGACAAATACCATTGATTCCAAGTACGATGGTGCTTTCTACGGAAAAGATTGAGTTTGATTCGGTGTTTTCTTTACAACATTTATATAGAGTTAAGACATTAGCTAATGTGAATAAGTTAGGTCTGATTATATGTTTCATTACTAGTGATAAATATTTATCGGTGGTGAGTAATACTTGGAAAGAGTATTATTCTGGTATAGAAGATGGGAAGACTGGACTTGGACAATTGGTTATCGTTCAAGTTTCGGCATTGCCTAAGAATGCTAGAGTTGAATGGGGTGGTATAAGTTATGAAAGTGTTTCTAGCATGTATGATGATGATGATGATGATGAAGAAGAAAAGAAAAATGAGGATAAGTTGAATAGTTTGATTGAAAAGTTTGAGGTTAACAGTCATGTTGATGTTAATAAGGATGGTTCAATGAAGATAGTTACCTTATTCACCAATGAAAGTCAGCTAGTCCAAGAAGCACTTGACTATAATGACGATAAAAACTACATTCAAGTGGTTGCTTCACATTCATTGATCACTAAATTAACTTCTGGGTCGGGATTTGAATTCCTTCCTGTTGAGAATGTTTGGGATTATAAAGGTAATCACTACAACTACTCTATAATTTGGAAATTAGAAAATTAAAGCTAATCAAAGTCTTTATATTAATACAACTGACACCGAAACATCTAAATAGCAGTCCTTATTTTGTATATGCTAAAGAAAGTAGAGTATATAAACTATAATAAATAATGAGTGAATGATCATTCACTCTTTTTCGTTAAAATCATTAAAAGCAAGCAAAAGGTTAAAAACCCATCAATCATTGGGCTATATCAGCTCCATCACTCTTTGGACCCGAGTAAATTAAATCAGGAGGAATGGGGATACCTTTCTTTTGAGCCAATTCAACTAATTTAGCATTTTCATCCTTCAATTGATCTATGAAATCAGCACTCTTGGTTAATATATTTAATTCAGATCTATTTTCCAGATCATTCAAAGTGGGAGTTAATGATACAATCTTATCAAACTCTGATCGAATATTCTCTCTTCTCTTTTGTTCAGAAGCTATATGATGCGCCTTCATAATTGGTTAGTATATATATCCTTCCTTCGTTAAAAAATGACAATAAGCCCAAAAGCTCAATTGTGGGGGATGATACTAACATACCTTCTTTTGTTCATCACTTAAAACAGAAGACTTTGTCGATTTCTTTCTCCCAGTAGGAGTTTTGTCATCTTCACTACCAGACATTGTATTGTTCGTATATTTGATGGCTTGTGGTAGAATACTATTGATGACCTTAGAAGCTAGAGCCCTTTAAAGAGCTTGTGATTCATTTTCACTTTTGCTGTCTCTCCCTTATTTAAAAATATCTCGAACCGAACATTTTTCGGATTGGGAACAATTAAATTTGAATGAGGGGAAATCGTCGTGTCCAAATTACACTTTTCCCAATTAGGAAAGACAGATTGTGGTCGCAAAAATTAAAATGCTGTAAAAAATATAATTAAACACATATTTACTACTAACTAAGCACCTAATCTTAATTTTTCAACTGCTTTTCTTTCACTTTCTCCCTTGGTTGGATCAGGGATACGTTTATTGGTAGTGAAAATACCTGCAATTAAGGTCATACCTGCAAATCCAATATTCAAATAATATACATTCTTAATGGCATTATTGTATAATCCTTTAACAAATACTTCTGTAACTGGTGACATTTCATTAAGTAAAGTACTGGAATGAAGTAAGTTGTATGGACTAATATTTAATAATTCCTGAATTATAATGGAGTTGGTTTCCTTTCTTAAGCGATCCTGGAATGTATTGATAAATGTTGAATTATAGACAACATTGGATAAATTTGCTCCTATAGATCCACCAAGACATCTAGCGAAAACTATATAAGTCAAGGTTAAAATAGTTCCACTAGGCACATTTGGGGCACTTAATTGTGATGATAAAATCAATGATTGAAATTGCATACGTATAGCTACTCCTAATAAAATCTGTAATCCAATTGACTTTCCCGTAGATGTGTTATCATCATATAAAGTGAGAAGTGTAACTGCAATAGGGCCCATGATTCCCCCAATGATCACAAACGGTTTAACTGATAATGTCTTCTTGATAAGTTTACCTGAAATTATAGAAGTAACCACAAGTGATATAATCATAGGAAATAAATTTAAACCGGTATCTAAGGCACTTTTACCTCTAACAAGTTGAAAGTAGATGGAAAGGTAAAGAGTAGTCGAAATGAAATATGCAAACATGAATAATGAAGCAATAGCGGATGCATTAACTTGAGGTACATTTAACACTTCTGGTAAAATCAATGGTTGTTTTGAAAATTTGTAATTCCAAATCATAAATGTGATCAAAAGTATTCCACCAACCACAAAGAAACTTATTACTATTGCTGAATTCCAGTTATATTCATAAGATGAACCAAATGTAAGAGCTAATAATATTAATAATAGCCCAGCAATCACAATTAAAGTTCCAATAAAATCGATCTTACCGATTTTCTCTTTGAAAGTTCCTTGTACTGGAGGAGGATTAAATGAAAAGAAAAATAACACTAATGCTAACCCTCCAATAGGTAAGTTTATATAGAAACTCCATCTCCAAGTAACATGGGTAGTAAATGCACCACCAATAATCGGACCTAAAACAGATGAAATAGCAGTGGTGATACCCACAAATGACATGATTTTTGGTCGTTTGTGAATAGGAACTACCTCAGTACCAATAATGAAAGTTAAGGCTTGGATTCCACCTCCTCCAATTCCAGCAACTACTCTACCAACAATTAACATATCCATACTAGTTGATAATCCACAAATCAAAGAACCAGTTTCAAATATTATTATAGAAATCATCATACTAAATTTCCTTCCAAAACTAATCGAGAACTTACCCCAGAATGGAGCAAATACACATACAGTGACTAAATACCCAGATGATAACCAACCGATCTTATCAATCGAATTAAATTTATTACCAACAGTAGTTAATAAAGTTATAACGATAGTTTGGTCTAATCCAATTAAGAATAAGCATGATAAGATTGAGACTATACAAGCAACCAATTTGAACCCTTCTAAGTAATGATCTTCCAGTTTAGTTCCATCACCAGCGTTATCTCCAGCAACTTTGACTACTTCCAGTTCTTTATCAGACATGATTATTAAACAATAAGTAAAGAGACTATTTATGATACTTCTATATTGTTAATTGTTTTATGAAAGGGGGAAACTTGACTTGTATTTATATTATTTTTATATATATTGCTCGCCCGATATAAATTGTACGGTAAATTTTTTTCACGGCCGAGATTTTTATTGCAAAATCTCGCTAGTACTAAATAAATTATTGTAAAATTCATTGTAAAACCCATTAAAGTATTCAAGATCAAATGAACTTTCCTGAACAAAGTCCAGGGGGGAAAGTGTGATTTCCGAGGTTGTAGATTTACCCACTTTATTTGATCTAGAGTTCCTTTTAATGATATACCAAAACCTATTCAAATCCAATCCGCTAATGTAGTTATTTGAGATTTCTGGAATTTCAGCCGAAATGACTGAATTAATATCAATGGTTTCAATTTCAGTTTCCTTCCCTAGACTATTATAAAATATCATTAGGATTTCTTTGACTTCTGATGTGGAGAAATTCAAAGCACAGTTGGGATCTTCCTTTAGGGGTTGATGGAAATTCTTTGAAAAGCAAATCTTTAATACTTCATTACATCCACGATTAATTCTCCATAAATAATAATATCGAGTTCCAAATATAGAAAATATTTCGAGTAATTCAATACATGAATTTCTTAATGCTATAGATAATAGAATAAGATTTCTTGATCTTTCTGATCCTTTTTCTTCCTTTTGTATCGAAATATTGGTTCTAATTAGCATAGTACTAAGTATCAAAAATGACTTAAGGTATAATGTTTTTAATATAGGCACTATAGTCATTATTGCCATATTATCAGTAGAATCTCTTAAATTGAGAAGATTGGGAATAATTGTAGATTTAATTAGCTTCATACACTCATACATGAATTTGAAACCTTTTGTGCTATCGTTATTATCTTCGTAATGAACGAATATTAAGGAGTTAATTGATAAAATAAGGTGTAGGCCTAATAATGATGATTTTTTCTCCAATGCATTTTCAAGGCTGGTGATATTCAGATTAGCTGTGATAAGCAACAATTCGCTAGTTAGCTTTTGCAATTCGGTAGATAATGAATCTATAGAAATGGGACTGTTAATGTTGATAGCTAAATCATATATTGCAATCAACAGTTCGTAAATGGAACTCACTTTGGTGTAGGTTGAAATAACTTCTCGTTCTAATTGAATATCGATTAAATTCGATGTAACCGCATCAAATTCGGGCTGTTTGACATCAAAGAATCGTAAATTAAAACATGTGGGAGTTCCATAACTTACTGATTCAAACGAGTCCAATTCTTTTAGATGAAAGATCAATTTTCTGAATAGATTATCTTGTTCAGAACTTTCCAGTTCAGAAGGTTCTCTGTTTAGTCCAAGATTATTTGCCATACTTACTAGTGTAGATGTAAATATTTGAGCATAAGCACCATCTGGTGTGTCTCCTTGTTCTGGAGCCAAATGTCGATAAGTTCTTAACAATAATGCTAATTGAAATACAATTATACTACTTCTTTCAAACATATCAAACCTTTCAAGACACTTTTGACTTAATGAAACAAACTCTAAACTTATTGGGTTTTCTAATATGAATTTACGATCTAATGATTTCAGATCTTTGGAAATAATTAAGGTGGGATCGTTCAACCCTAACTCGGTTGAAAGGTACGATATATAACTTATTCTTAAAATAACCAATAGTATACCAAAATTTGCTAAATCAATTTTATCTTTTATTTGAATCAGTGAGAATGGGATGTTTTCTAAACTTTCTTCATCAAGGATATTGGATATTTGACTTTTGAAATCACGTTCATCGATGATTGGCATATAAGGATAAACAATTTTAAAAAATCGTCTTATTAAAGCCCACACTACTTTTCGAGTTGGGAATATTGATAATATATAAGATTCCGATAACTCCTGTTGTGTCTCCAAAGATAGCAAGTTAGAACTGTTTTCACCAGCTCTATCAGTAGCACCTAGTATAGCTCCTGTCAAATATTGATGCTGTTTTGAATTGGGATATTGAATTGTGTTAGGATCCACTCCTTCCATAGCTTTGAATAGATTATTAACACCTAATAAATCAATATAATCCCAAACATGCTTTAAGGCAGAATCACTCTTCATAAACGAGACCCAACTGAATGGTCCAAAACAACTGCGAACAGTGCTGGATTTAACATAAACATGATAGAAATCTTTGTATATATTAATATGACCCATATTATCAATCTCATTACTTCTGCTTGATGAAATAACCAGTATGCTATTAGAAAGCCTTGGGATTTTAATTGAATCAGCATTATTATTGATGTCGACTTCCAAAGGTCGTTTAGTCAGGCGATAAGTGCATTGTTTCTTTGATCTTTTACAACCAGCGCATGGCATTAGTCTATCGCATTTTACCTTCCTGGTCCGGCAATTCTCGCATACTGTCACTTGTCTTAAACTCATATCTGACGACTTTCTAGTAGATGACAATTATAATAACAGAAGATGAGTTTTACATATTTTGTTTTTAGATTTTTGATATCTCGGCCGAGCATAAAATAATTAAAAATTTTAGGGAATTCCCTAGGGTCAGAAAATTAAAGCTTGCAATTTTGGAAATTTTATTGCGAAATCCAATACATACAAAAATAAAGAACTTAAAATTAAACTAAAAAACCTATAGAATAAAAATCTATACATCTTCCTTATTCAAACTAACTTCTTCTTCAGCATCAGGGATAGGTTTATTAGTTGTAAAAAAACAGGCGATCATCGAGATCCCTGAGAAGATTATGCACATATAATAAACATTTCTAATTGATTGATTGAATAAGGTTTTGATAAACAATTGAGACTCTAATGAGAGATCAGCAATAGAAGCAGTTGAATATAACATTTGATAAGGACTGACTTGGCCTAACTCTCGAATTATTAACTGGTTTACTTCTTTTGCAAGATGCTTTCTATAAAGATTTATGAAACTAGAATTGTAAACCACATCACTTAAATTAGCACCAATAGCACCCCCAAGACATCTTGCAAATACGATATAGGTAATAGTTAAAATTGTTCCACCTGGAACTTTTGGGGCACTAACTTGAGCAGAAATTATTGTTGAATTGAGCATGATTCCCATGGAGATACCAGAAATGATTTGTAACCCAATTGATTTTCCTGAAGTTGTATCGATATCATATAACGTAAAGAGACCAAGTCCTATTGGTCCCAATATTCCAGAAATAATATACATTGTTTTAACATTATTAGTCTTCTTAATTAAAACGCCTGAAAGTATCGAACTGACAACAATGGATATGATGATAGGGAATTCACTTATTCCACTTTGTAAAGCAGATTTATCCTTAACAATTTGAAAGTAAATAGAAAGATAAAGTGTCAAAGCAATAAAGTAAGCATACATAAAGAAAATTGAAATGGCACCCGCATTGACTTGAAGAATCTTAACCGCACTAGGTAAGATTAATGGGTACTTTGAGTATTTGAAATTCCAAACAATAAAACCAGCAATTAATATGGCTCCAACAATAAAGAAACTAATTACTATTCCTGATTTCCATTTATATTGATAAGATGCACCAAATGTAAGTGCTAATAAAATCAAAATCAAACCTCCAACTATCAAAATAGTGCCTAAAAAGTCGATTTTAGCAAGCTTTTGCTTAATTGAACCCTTAACTTTTGGTGGATTAAATGAAAAGAAAAAGATAGCTAAAGCCAACCCCCCAATAGGAAGATTAACATAAAAACTCCATCTCCAAGAAACCTTAGTAGTAAATGCACCTCCAATAATTGGCCCAAGCACTGAGGATATGGCGTATGTAACACCGACAAATGCCATTGTCAATGGTCTTTTATGAAGTGGCACAACTTCTGAAATAATTATAAAAGTCAATGACTGTATTCCCCCACCACCAACACCCGAAAGAGCTCTTCCAAAAATCAACATTTCCATATTAACAGAAAGTGCACAAATCAAGGAACCAACTTCAAAGAGAACTACCGAAATAATCATGGTAAGTTTCCTACCAAAACTTATTGAGAACATTCCCCAGAATGGTGCAAAAACACATACTGTTAACAAATATCCAGATGATAGCCAACCAATTTTATCAAGGGCATTGAATTTGTTACCAACAGTTGATAACAAAGTGATCACTATAGTTTGATCTAAACCAATTAAAAATAAACATACTAATACAGAAAAGACACAAGCAACCAATTTCATCCCTTCTAAGTATTGATCTTCTTCCTTAGTTCCATCTCCAGCACCACCTTGTTGTACTTGGTCTTCTTGTGATGTGTCTTGACTATTATTAGAATCCTGATTTAAAGATTTGTTCTTGTCTCTTGACATGTTACTGATCATTTGCTTATCAATTGATTGATTGTCTACAGTATCTGCTAAACTGTTAGACATGATTATTTGTTATTGTTATTTGATATGTAATTATAAAGTTAATTATTGATTTTTGATATATGGGAGATTGGAAGGATTATATATATACTAGATAAATTCTTTGGAAGCTATAACGCTTTGCAACTCATCTATTCTCATAATGTATATAGCGGCCGCAAATTATATAATGGGAATTTATTTTGTGCGGCCGCATATTGAAAAAACCTTAATACAAACAGTTCCCGCACAGACTGATGCTAAGCAACATGGCTACGGATTATAACAACGTCCGTATAAGGATCGGACAATCACACCTGTTGTATATATGATATTCTATTGGTAACATATATTTCATTTGAACTATAGTATCTTGAAACTAAACATCAGTAGTGAATAATTCACTATAAAATTCATTATAAATTTGGTTAATTTGATCAAGATTAAAAGGTTCTTCAAACGAGAAATTCATTGGAGATAAATCGATTGATGAGTTTGGAAACTTCTTCATGGTAGCATTAGTTCTTGCACTCTTCTTTATATAGAACCAAAACAGATTGAGATTTGTATCACTGATGTAATCATTTGAAATATCGGGAATTGCAGCACCTATCACTGAATTTACATCAATATTTTGTAGAGCAGAAATACTGCCATTCTGAGAATCAATATCCGCTTCATCGCTGTTTTGACTACTATAAAAAACATTCAAAAACTTCTGGACTTGATCAGTTGAATAGTTCAATTGACAATGAGAATCATTCTTTATCGGTTCATAAAACTCCTTCGTAAAGCAAATTTTTAATACCCCATTTGACCCACAGTTCGTTCTCCAAAAATAATAGTATCTAGTACTGACATTTGCAAACGCTTTTAATAACTCAATACAACAATTTCTTAAAGAAACGGATAAGAGAATTAAGTATTTTATCCGTTCTGAGCTTTTCTCCTCATTTTGGATTGAAATATTAGTTCTGATTAACACAGCACATAGCATTAACATAGATTTAAGATATAGAGTCTGAATAATTGGAATAACAATCATTAAATCTGAATTTTCAAACTTTGCATTCACTGTCTTTATGAATGGCAATACATGTAATACAATCAATTTCAATATATCATAAATATATGTAAAACTTAATGAAAAGAGTCCATATGATTCATAATGCATAAAAATGATATACTGAACTGACATAATGAACTGTAATCCTAATAAAGACAGTTTTGTCTGGCAAACATTGGCAACTTGTGATAAAGAATTTGAATGTTTTAAATCTGGCAATAAATTCTTGTTTAAGAAATTTAGTTTCTCAGTTATTAAATTTATGGAAGTTGATTTATTCAAGTCAATGATCAAATCGTATAAATCACTCAATAGTTTAAACTTTAAGCCAATGACATCATAAGCTTCAATCACTTCATATTCTAAATCTGTATCAATTAGATTTGAGGAGTTGGATTCGTGAAATGGACACTGTATATCAAAATATCTATTATTAATCGATCTTGGAGTTCCATAACATAAAAACTCACTTGAATCAAGATTTCTTAAATGGATTGCCAACTTTCTAAATAAATTTTTATCTCGTTTATCAAGTGACTTTGGTTCCCTATTAATACCAAGGTTTGTAGCCATATTGACTAAAGTTGAAGTTAACACCTGTGAATCTCCTCCATCAGGACCATCACCTTCTTCAGGTGCTAAATGCCTATATGTTCTCAACAATATGGCTAGCTGCAAAACTTTTACATTGGTCCTTTCAAATATGTTAAATTCATCAAGACATTTTTGAGCAATAATTATATTCTGTAAAGTGATAGGATTCTCTAAGACAAATTTAAGCTCTAAAGATTTCAGACTTTGATCATTTATGAATACTGGATTATTCAGATTTAAGTCGTTTGAAAAATAAGATAAGTAACTGAGTCTTAATATTATCAATAAAATACCGATGTAGGTAAAATCATATTTATTATCTAAAGTTATACTTGAAAAGGGAATATGCTCAAAACTTTCTTCGTCTAGGAGTTTTGAAATTCGAGTTCGGAAATCTCTTTCATCAATTATGGGTATAAATGGATAGACCTTTGAAAAAAACCTTCTTACCAATAGCCAGAGAGTCTTTCTACTAGGCAATAGCTTTAATAACCCTGTTTCACTTAGATTTATAGCATCCTCACCTCCTATTTGAGTTTCATTAAACAAAACTATTCCTGTTAAACGCTGATGACTCGTAGAATCAAAGCCAGATGTATTTGTGTTAGTTTGTGCAATTGGTGAGGTAGATGTTGGCGCAAGCATTTCGTAAGAAGGTATTTTTTGGGGTCTAATTACGTATTTCATTCCTACATTGTCAATATAATGCCAAACATGCTTCAAACAAGCATCACTCTGGAGTGCCACATAACTGAATGGTCCGAATGAATTTCTGTCTGTGTTTGGTTTGACATACTCTTGACAGTAATCTTTATATATGTTAATAAGGTGCACGGCCAGGTCCAGGTCGCCCTCATCCCTAAAATTATCAGTTTTTGTTCTTTTTGATCGATCATTATGATTTTCAGAAGTATCTGGTGAAACTTCAACACTGGAGTGATTATTATGGTAGGATTGATATTCAGCAGATTTTTCACTGTACGAGCATCTTCTTTTGTACCTCATACACGTATTGCATGGAGATTGTTTGTCACACTTCCTTTTACCTCTTTTGCAATTATCACAAGCTCTAACGTTAATAGTCATGATACTATTAAATGACAATAATAAGTCCCGATATCAAGTGGGTTGTGATGAATTGTAGATGTGTAATTTTGATATTAGATGCGGTCGCACGAAGTCCATCAAGATTGCGGGTGTGCGGGATCACACAAATGGAAAATGATTGCAAAATAAGATCATCTTTTTCTCCAGCATACTACATTCAACTTACACTATTCTGCAGGAGATAATAACGAACTTGTGGAATTAGGGAAATGTTAGAGATAAGTTATATTAAAATGATAGTACCTTACCTAAAGTTATTATAGAATTGTATTGATTTTATGTAAAGGCCAATTTGAGGATCTATTTGAAGATTGTAACTGGTGAACGAGTAAGCAGTTAAAGTGGTTCTTCTCGTTTTCTGAGTAGTATTGAAGTTACCAACTGAGAAAATACTGCTTCTATGTATTTGAAAATATAAATGTGAAATAGAGAAATAAATTATGAAAACTCTAAGACTTGAAATGAAAAAATGCAAAAATTAATCTGGCGGCCTATAAAAAAAATTTTGTTTGAGAAATTTTTAGTGGACTTGCACAGATACTGGAAATTGAGCGAAAATAAGAAAATATATAGAACGCCTGCGTAGCGTAATGGTTAACGCGTTTGACTTCTAATCAAAAGATTCCGGGTTCGACTCCCGGCGTGGGTTCTTTTTTTGCATCTATTTCCTTTGTTTTATCCAAAACTATAATTGGTTTAGCTGACGTTGATTCAATCTTTAGCTAACACCATCTACAGGGAGATTGATTTCTTTTTAAAATTTTCTTTATTTAGCCATATTAAAGATATTTAAACTAGCAAAATAGTAGGTAAACTATTTAGATATAGATCTTGAACAACAGATCTATGTTATTCCTATTAGCAAAATATTTTAGATGAAATCAGAAGATATTCTAAATTATGTATGTATAAGCAAAATTATAATTGATAGAATTATGTTAAGAAATACCAGACTATCAAATCTATTCTTCTAAGTCAAATAATTTCAAATTAACAACAAATGTATCATGATAACTATCCCAATTATCAAATTTGCATTGATGTAAAGTAATATATGTTAAACTTGTAAACATAGTAAAATCTAAGGATGATAATGAAGATTTATACCATTGTAAAGTAATGTCCTTCAAGGAATGTTTCAACATTTGAAGATCAAATTCATGAAGGGGGAAATTGCTGCGAGATAAACAAAACCTCTCTAATTTGCATTCAAATACTATCGGAATGATTCCTGGCACTACATTCCAGCTTTTAATTTCCAAATCTCTAAGACTGATTGGAGTCTTCAAAATATTCTCGCAGTAGCATTCACTATCCCCTTGCATATTAACAAATAAATGATTTACTTTGTCCTGCAAAAAGCGAAAGAAAGTGAGAGTAGATTTACCAATAAGCAGTACCTTTTTCAAGCGAGGTGGTAGCTTATAATCTACTTCGCTATTGATGTTAGAATAAATTACTCTAATTAATCTCAAAACTTTAAGGTTCTGGGGCCAGTCATCTTTTGAATTAATTTTGAGAAGAGTAATTTCACTATCAATTTCGCCGTCAATATCTAGTGATTCGATATTTCTAGGTAAATTTTTAACACTAAATTTATAATTATTTTCAAATTTCAAATTAAGATGCTTCAAATTATTAAGGGAACATGAGATTAATTCAAAGTACTTACATTTAACATATAAATCAGTTAACTGGTTACCGATAGTGTAAGGGAATTTTAATTTCCTGTCTGATGACCAGTCATAAACCTTTCTTATGTTAATAAAATTTGAAAGATCCAAGACTAAATTATGCTTTTTTACTTCTTCATCAGAATATCTATTCAGCATACGTATCATATTGACACTATTAGCATATTTAAAATTAGCAATATTATTACTCTGTTCGGGCGAGTAGAGACTTAAACCTAATTCTAACTCCAAATTTGAAGATTTGTTAAGTAAAGTCATCAATAAATTTAATTGGGAAGATAGAAGAATATGATAAGTCCAAAGAAATTGGAACGATATCACCACTACGTTGATTGTATTCATTGATGTTTTCAAATGTTTTACGAATGTCTCGTTCATTTTCATCAGCTTTCATGACACCATACTCCGTCAATTGTGAACTATAATCATGTTCCGGATATGTAACATGAAACCTTTTCAGAGTAATTTCTTTTTGTCTGAGACAATTAACACTTTCATCGATGTTGGCTGAAAGTAGAAGTAGAATCTTTTCAATAGGAAGTAACAGTAAGATATGTAATACTAAGTAATGATCTAATTTAGGAAATAAAGATGTAAAGAAACTGAATACATAATCATCATCATAGTTGGATATTTCTGAATCTGATTTATCAAGTTCTCTTATGGAAGATTCAAAGTCTATAGAAACATTTTCCATTATTAAATCATATATCTCTTGAAATATTCCTTCTATCTTCAATTGTTGTTTAAAGGATAAAGAAAGTTGTGTGTAAATTTTGTAAATATTTTTGGGGGATCTAGAGCTATTTATAGTTGCGAATATATAGAGAAAAAATCAATCCCTTACCCCTTAAATTCTATTGAACAAATAAGCCCAACATACTGATATGAATGTGATTGACTTTTACGTAAATGTGCTTTAGATAAAATCTAAAATAGTGTTCGAGAGATGCTAAAATCCAATGTTATCACGAATGTTTTGCCTACTTTATTCCTTCTAATTTCGTGGTTCCCCATGTATTTGCCAATTTTAGAACTAATGGAACTAAGCTCAGAGGATATGTTTCTTGGAACTATTAACTTTAAAAATCTTAACTTAGTTTGACATTTTTTATCGGGAAAGCAATGCAAACAAAGAGAGGGTGTGATTCCTAGTCTTAAATAGGTTAAGGATTTATGATTGAGAATTGATGGGCCGATATGAATACAATTTGTTAGACTCCCTGTTCTACCAACGATTGACAAATGTTCTAATTTCGATGGTAATTCTAAATTGGGTGAAATTAATATGATTGGACAAGAATTGATTTTGATCTCTGTTAAGAATGAATAATTTGATGAGTCTTTAAATATAGGACAACTTTCTTCAATTGATGAAATAGGACATTCATATATTTCCAATGTTTTTAAGGAACTAGGTGGTGAGAAATATTTTAGGTGATTGATTTTACAATCCTTTAAATAAATGACAGATAAATTTTGAAATTGATTAAAGTTTAAATTTTCAAGAGCAGTATCGCCATTATAATGAACTATTCTTAATTCTTTTAGAGAAAACCGCATAACATGAAAATCAACTTCAGGTATTGGAAATTTCATATGGCATAACTTCAATGATTCTAATTCACTAGTGAATTTAATGATACGTTTATCATTTTCCCAAAAGTCATTATGAATAACCAACCTTTTTAGATATGGAAGTGAAGCTTCAGAATAAAAATCTCTGTAACTCAGGGGGCTAGGTAATTCAACTTTCAAAACTTTCAACAAATCAGGTAATTGAGGTAAAATATTGAAAGGATAACTGACAGAAAAATCGAAAGTTCGTAGGCTGGGGGGAAGTTTATAAAACTGCAAGTTATGAAAAGTCATTTGAAAAAGATTTGTAGAACGTAATACCAAATTCTCTAGCTTTTGTGGCCAGTCATTGCTTGAACTTATGTAGATAAATCCACTTCCACTTGCTAATTCTAAAGAAATTAGACTCCTGGGTAACTGCTTTATTTCGAAGTCCATGTTATCAGTTAAATGTAAAGATAGCGATGTTAAATTTTCAAGCCTTGATATATGATTTCCCTCAACAAGATCGTTAATAATCAAAGAAGAAAGTTTATAAGGAATAGCTGAAGATAATATCACTGATAAATTACTTTCCGAATATTCCTTCAATTCTTGTATATTTACATATCTTGACAAATTCAAATTAGAATCTCTATCTTTGGGGGAATGGTAACGTATGCCTCTCAAGTTAAGTTCACTTACACTACTGGCATACCTAAATTTCTCTAGCTTTTTACATTCGGCAAAGGGTAGATTCACTAAAGTTAACTTCAAATGAAACTTTGCTTTCGACAATAATTTCTCAATATATTTGACAGGGAAAGCACCAGTGTCATTTATCTCAATTGATATGGGTATTATGTTTCCTACTGTCTTGTTATATAGCAGAGCATTTGACAACGAGTTAACAAATTCTTTTTGGCATTTTTGCATATACTCTTCTAATTCATCCTCAGCGATCTCTACGAAAAGGTGACTGAGCACCAACCTTTCGCTAGTGATATCTTTAATTTTAAGGCTTCTAATATATTCATCTTGAGATAATGACTGTAACAATAATATCTGTTCAATAGAAAGGAGTTTAAAGATTTGAATAATTAAGTCATAGCTAAAATTAGGAAATGAATTGGTGAAGAATTTAGATATATAATAATCATTATAGAATGATTCAATTTCACGAGACACGGTGTTTCCAATCATAGCCACTTATTAATGATATCTTAGTTGTTTGTGAAAGAAATATATAAAAGTAAAACAAAACATATCTTGAAGATGTTCTAAATGGCTGCAATTTCTACGTTATGCGCATCTAAATTTTTTGATTTCCCAATCGAGAGTTTTACGCTTAGAAAAGTTAAGATCTACCACTATTTGTCTATCACCTATATTTAACAATATTTCCCGACCAGCATAATGCTTGTCTTAGCCAGATGTTTACAGTCAAAGCCGTAGAAATATTTTTAAACAGTATATTCGTATTTAAATTTATACAAATTTAGCTAGTTTCAACATGCTCGTAAACAAGTTTTAATTCAATACAAGAATACATTCGATATTTACATTGAAGTTTACCGGATATCTTTCTGCCATAAATGAATTCCAAGGATTGGCAAAATTGATCAAGTTCCATCTTTGAGCAAGTAATGTATCTCATTAAAAGGGTTTCGAGCTTTGATTTGAAAGTGGTTTCCAATGGTATTAAATCATCTGGAATCATAGTTGATAGACTTACTATTCCAACACTCAAATACTCTAAAGTTGGGAGGTTGATTATAGTATTTGTTAATGAAAAATCTTTTAGTTTATATCGCACCGCAACTTATTTGTTTTGCAGTTTTCTAATTTACCAATGTAAAACCTATATTGTAACTTAAATATATACATATAAATCTATTGATGAACACATTCTAAATCAACGTAAGAATATAGATCCTCAACACATTGATATTCAAGACGAATCTTTGTTCTATATAATTGTTCCAAACTATGACATAATTGATCAAATTCTCTATCAGAACAATTGATATAATTAATTGAAAATGATTTAAATTTTGATTTGAAATCAGTTTTCAATGGTACCAAGTCAGTGGGAATAAATTTGGATAGACGTATTATTCCTACATCCAAATATTCTAAATTTGGGTGATTAATTATAGAATTTGTTAATGAAAAATCTTTAATGGTTCTGTCATAAATACGTAATTGCTGCAAATTGATTGGTAATTGAATGTTTGGACTTAAGTAGTTGATACCACATTCTTTAATTTTTATGTCAATTAATTTTGGAAATTCTAATGGAGAATTGAATAAGGGACATTCATCTGTGATTGATGATATAGCAAATATAAATAGATTCTATACTAGGTGCTGGCTTGAAATTTTCTAAACTTTCAAAAGTAGAAGATGATATACTTATCTTTTCCAAACTTGTAAATTGACTGAAATTCATATGATATAATGAAATTTTATGTTGAAATTCAGATATATCTAAATCTCTTAAGGAATGTTTTAATGTTTGGAAATTGAAATGAGGTAATGGGAAAGAAACATTTCTTAAGATTAATTTTTCCAAAGCACTTTCAAATTCAATTGTATCAGTATAACTTACCAGATACCAATCAGTAATGGTTAGATTTCTTAGATTAAGGGGAATTTTTAGAATGTTTTCAGTTCCTAAACAGCATGGACCTAATATAATTTCCATATCAGTTATAGAATCAGGTAATTGTGTAAACATATTAAGATCACTATAAACCTCAACATCTAAAAGTTGTAATTTTGGAGGTAGACTATAATGTTGTAAATTTTCAAAGGTAAAGCTATCAAACATTAGATCCCCAAAGTGTAATTCTTCTAACTGTTGAGGCCAATCAGTATCAGAGTTAATATTAATAATTACATTCATACACATTAAATTTAACTCTTTTAAATTTCGTGGTAAATATTTAATGTCAAATTCTGTACAATTTTCTACACCCATCTCAAGAGTTTTTAAATTATCAAGCTGAACAAGCAAATGTGGATTATATACATCTTTAATAGATAAAAAAGTCAAATTTTGAATGGATGATTGGGGTAAAATAATAGTTAAATTTTGTTCTGGCCATGCACGGAAGTGTTTTAAATTTATATACTTTGAAATATCCAAATTAAGCTGATTTTCCCAGTCTTCTTCTCTACATGAATTATAGTCGACTTTTTCAACTTTATCAGCAAATTTAAAATTTTCAAGAATTTTCAATACCTTAGATGAATCTCCTTTTATGTTCAATTGCAACTTAAAAAGGCGAGAGTAGTTTACCTCTAACGACCTTTCAAGAAATCGAGGTAATTTGATTTCATTTCCATATAAAAAATCGATTGAAATAGGAATTGAATGACCTAGGGGTTTATTATAACTAATACAATTTGTTACAGATTGACGTAATTCAGGTATTTCATCAGTGGTCAGACCACATAGAAATTCTAAAGGATTTGGATTTATATCTTTAAGTTGAAGTTGTTTGATATATTCATCATTGGTAGTGAATTGTAACAAGAGAAATGTTTCAATAGAAATACCTTGAAGTATTTCCAATACTGTATAATTATCAAAATTAGGAAATTCATAGGTGAAGAAGTTGTAAATATACTCATCATTGTAGAATGAGTCTTCAGTGTCATCTGATCCATCGATAAATCTATCTGATCCTTCAACCATTATGAACGATATTTACTAGGTGTCAAATAAAGAGATGAAATAAAAATGTTATAGAGTTTTTATGTATATATATCTTACAGGAATTTTTAATTGTTATGCTAAACGAATATTGATTTGCTTTTGCAGTTTCCTATAATTGATAAAAATAAATGTCACAATCAAACTATACTTATCACACTGATGTTCCAGAATAAAAATTTCTACACCTGGAGGTTTAGAACTATTCATAAACAGTGAATTTACGCATAAGACATACACATCTATTGATGAACAAAAACCAAATCAACTTTGGAATATAGCTTATAATCAAATTGATGTTTACGAAGAATCTTCCTTCTAAATACTTGTTCCAAAGCATGACAAAATTGATCAAGATTCATTTGTGAACAACTAATATACTCAATTGAAAATGTTTTGAGTTTTGATTTGAAATAAACATCCAACGGTTTTAAGTCATCTGGTATTAATTTTGATAATTTTATAACTCCCACAGTCAAATACTCTAAAGTTGGATGATAAATCATAGAATTCGTTAATGAAAAACCTTTAACAGTGTTATCATGAATTTTAAAACTCTTTAAATTGATTGGTAATTTGATGTTTGGACTTATGTAGCTGATATCACACTCGATAAATGATATCTCGGTTAATTTTGGAAAGTCCAATGGAGAATTAAATAAGAGACACTCATCTGTGATTGATCGTATGTGACATTTATGAATTTCAATATATGTAATACTTGGTGATGGTTTGAAATTTTCCAAACTTTCAAAAGTGGAAGATGATATAATTATAGTTTCCAAGCTTGTAAATTGACTGAAATTCATATGATATAATGAAATTTCATGTTGATATTTGCTTATGTCTAAATCTCTTAAGGAATGTTTTAATGTTTGGAAATTTAATTGAGGTAATGGGAAAGAAATATTTGTTAAGATCAATTTTTCCAAAGCACTTTCAAATTCAATTGTATCACTAGAACTTATCAGATACCAATTGGAAATTTGTAAGTCTTTAAGTCCAAGAGGAACTTTTAGAATATTTTCAGTGGCAAACGCTCTAGGACCTAAAGAAATTTCTAAGTTTGATAATAAATCAGGTAATTGAGTAAACATATCAAGATATACATGAACATCAGCCGATAACTTTTTCAAATTTGGAGGTAGTTTATAATGTTGAAATTTCTCGAAGGGGAATCCAAGAAAGTGTACATCCTGTAACTTTAATTGTTCTAAATTTTGAGGCCAATCATTTTCCGAATTAATATTAATAATCCCATTATTACATAATAAACTTAATTCTTTTAAATTTCGTGGTAAATATTTGATGTCAAATTCTACCTCTTCTTTTATCATCATTTGAAGAGTTTTTAAATTATCTAATTTAATAAGACAATTTGGATCATAAATATTAGCAAGGGTTAAAGAAGTTAAACTTTGAATGGAAGATGGTGGTAAGTTAATTGTTAAAGTTTGTTTCATCCAGGCATAAAACATATTTAGTTTTATATAGTTGGAAAAATCTATATCTAATTTTGTCACATCTGATTCTCTCTGTGTTTTATAGGGACAAAATACAATTTGAGTAACTCTATGACCAAATCTAAACGTTTCAAGAGATTTCAATAATGGAGTAAAATTAAAACCCCTAATTTGCAATTCCAATTCAAAATAATTATTATTGTCTAATAAATCTTCAAGAAATTCAGGTAAACAAATTTGTTGCTGACCATCCTGATGGATACTGAAATTAATAGGTATGTAATGACCTAGAGTTTTATTATAGTTCATGCAATTAATTATGGTGTTTTGACAATTATCAATTTCACGAATACAAGCTCCAGAAAAATCATTATGCCAAAAAGTTGAATATTCTAATGGCTTTGGATTTATATCTTTAAGTTTAAGTTGTTTAATGAATTTATCATTAGTAGTCAGTTGTAATAAAAGAAATGTTTCAATGGGCATATCTTTAAGAATTTCAAGTATGGTATAATTATCAAATTTAGGTAATTGATAAGTGAAGAAACTGTAAATGTACTCATCATTATAGAATTTGTCCCTTTTTTCGGCTTTCTCAGCTTCATTCATTTGACTTTCAATAAACTCTGATAAAAATAGATCATCTTCTTCATCTGAATCCATTATAGATACGTTGGTCGGTAAAGAAGGATATGAATAAAAAATTATTAGAAATGTATCATATATCTATGTATTTATAGTTTACATTTAATGGTTGCAACTTATTTGTTATGCTAATCAAATATTTGACAAATTGCGCACCAATTATTTTTGCAGTCTAACGATTTTACTATGAAAATTGAAGTAACAAAAGAGTTTATATCTAAAGATGGAGAAATATTACAAATATTGTATTCTCATTGCTATATATTCATACGAATTTATTAATCAGCAAATTTTAGAATAATTCCGCCATCATTAGTTGGATCCTTGCTAATAATCTTTCTTCCATAGATGTACTCCAAAGCACGATAAAATTGATCAAACTCTACTTGAGCACAACTAATATATTTAATTGTAAATGATTTGAACTTTGATTTGAAATAAATATTCAATGGTAATAAGTCATCAGGAACTACTTTGGAGAATGGTATCACACCTATTCTCAAAGACTCTAAAGCTGGATGATAAATTATAGAATTTGTTAATGAGAAATGTTTAATTATTTTATCATCAATATCCAAGTTCTTCAAATTGATGGGTAATTGTATATTTGGACTTATGAAGTTGATATGACACTGGGAAATTATTATGTCGTGTAATTCTGGAAAGTCAAAAGGAGAATTGAACAAAGGACATTGGTGAGTGATTGAAGTTATGTTACAGACAAGAATCTGAATAAATTTCAAAGTAGGAGGTGGTTTAAAATTGTCCAAACTTTCAAAATTGGAATTGACTATATTTATATATGTTAATTTTGTAAACTGATTAAAATTCAAATGATATAATGAAATTTGATGTTGATAACTAGATATGGTCAACCTTCGTAAGGAATGTTTCAAATTTTCGAAATTTAAATGCGGTATGACGAAAGGTATTCCATTTAATTCTAATCTTTCCAAGGCACTTTTGAATTCAATATTATCAGTTGAACTTGACAGATTCCATTCGCTAATATTTAAATTTCGTAACCAACGAGGAATAGTAAGGATATTTTCATTCCTAAAATTTGTAATGCCAATAAACAAATCAATCATGGAATCAGGCAATCGAGAAAACATTTTAAGATCACCATAGAGGTCTGCACTTAATGTTTTTAATTTCGGTGGTAATTTATAATGTTTAAGTTTTTCAAAAGGAACTCTATCAGACAGTCCACCTATCAACAGTAAATGCTTTAAATTTTGAGGCCAATCATATTCAGAATTAATATTAATGATGGTATTTTCACATGTTAAATCTAATATTGTTATATTTCGAGGTAAGTATTTAATATCAAATTCTGGATCATAATCTAATTCCATAGCAAGTGATTTTAAATTATCAAGTTTAACAAGATAAGATGGATCATGAATATTCTCAAGAGATAATTCAGTTAAATTTTGAATGGAAGATTGAGGTAATTTCATTAAAATTTGTTTTGAAAACCCATGTAATTCTTTCAAATTTATATATTTTGCAAAATCAACTTCCAATACATCTCCAATATTGGTTTTTTCATATGAGTGGAATTGAAGTTGACTGACTCTATTGGCATATTTAAAAGTTTCAAGGGATTTAATTTCTCTTAATCCATTACTAGAATTTCGATAAAGTCTTAATTCTAACTCAATACAATTAGATTTATCATTTTCCAATAAGTTTTCAATTAATTGAAGTATTTGAATTGGATCTTCATTTTCGATTTCCACTTCGATTGGAATTGAATGGCGTAATTGTTTATTATAATCCATGCAATCAGTTAAGGATTCATTAAATTTAATAATTTCATTAACATCATTCCAAGTTGTAGGATAAACTAATGGTTGAGGATTTATATCTTTAGATTTGATTTGTTTTATAAATTCATCATTTGTGGTCAATTGTAATATGAGAAATAGTTCAATGGACATACCTTTAAGTATTTTCAATTTGATATAATTATCAAAATTAGGTAATTCATAGGTGAAGAAATCATAAATATAATCATCGTCATAGAATGACAGATCAGTGTCAAACCAAAACCATCTTTCGAACATTGAGACGTTGTCTTTATGAATAATGTATGTTAGTCGTTCAAGAAAGATATCCAGTGGTTGCAATTTATATGATAAGTCAATCGAAATTTTATAGTAAACGCACTGATAGTTTTTGCAGTTTCCCAAAATTTGACCAAGTATTATACTTACTCTGAAATATTGTTGTATCAGTTCAGTAAGATTATTAGATCAATGTTGGTTTAATTTACGTCCTGTATCTGATTACAGTGGTGGCAATGTACGCTTCGATTAATCTCTACGTCCGTTATAACCAATTTCAATGAACGCACCCTTAAGTGATGCACTTTCATTATAGTTACCTTAATCGCTTCATACACATACATCATCACCAAATCATACATCAACTAACATCAAAAGTAAACGCCGTACCGTTCTGATCCCACAGGAACAAAAAATTAAAAAAAAAAATTGCGCATATTTTATTTTTCTTATCTATCTGAGGGGGGAAGTATGAAAAAGGTGGAGAATAGAATGTGTAATCATTCATCTAAATCATTTAGCAATTGGAATTAGAATTGTGATGGCAACTTACGAAATGTAATTATAGAAATAAGCAATTCAAAATTTATAATTAAACATTGAATGACTTAGGCTTTTGAAACTTTTAACAACAATCTAAAAACGTTTTAAATCTTAAATTTTTCTGCGCCTTCTTCTTATCATGATATGATTTCACTATTTCATTTAATCAAAATAAGAGCAGTATCGATCTATATTAGTTCAAATTTGAACTTTTACACTTATACTAGGGAATCTATTTTTAGAAATACCACTGGTTTAAGCTTTAAATATATATGACATTTTATAAAAAGTGGGAGTTAAACCACGCAATTAAAAAAATATTCGTGAGGCCAAAAAAAAAAAAAAAAAAAAAAAAACCATTGCAAAAATTAAAAATAATAACACCATAAATAATTCATCAGTCATAACGATAAACAATAAACAATAGGACATAAAAAATCGAATAAGATGATATATACATAGTAAACAATAGGGCATGGTATTGGCATATTATTATATGATGATATAATATGAGGCAAGTCTAAATCGATGTTGACTAGTGTGACTATATGCGTACACGATGATACATGCCGTCACAGCCATGTTCGGTTATCTTCGAGTGGTAGCAAGTAAGTAACTATAAAGAGTGAAGAGAGGATGGATGGATGTGGTTTATAAACATTGCAAAAGTTTAAAACCTGGAAAGTTTTGTGGTACAATTTCTTGGATTATTGTTCGGTTTTTCAATATAAACCTTGTTTGAATATTTTTCTTACATTTGATGGAGACAGAGATATGAAGAGATATGAGAGAGATGAGAACAATACGAAACATAGACGACCAGTATCATAGTAAAACTTTGGTTTATTAACGATAAAAAAGTTATTGGTAGATATTGTGGTAAATTCTATTTTAAGCCGTTTCATCGTCTTATTCCATCAGTCTATACTTACTTACTTTACCGTTCACTATAACATTTTCATATTCTCTCTTTGTGTGCTTTTTTGTGTGTAAAATTTTTTTCTTTTTCCCATTGAGTCCTTTTTTCCAGTTAGGAAATTATTAAAAAAGGGGATGGAACTTCAATTTAAGCATAGTATGATTAAGGGTCATATATCAAGTCATAACTACATTGTAGGTCAAACTACTAAACAATTGAAACAAACTAGGGTGTTAATTAACAAAATAAAGTATATATATATATTTATAAAATGAAATTAAAATTAAAAAGGCTAAGGAAATAAAAAAAACAAAAATTTGATATTACAATTAATATTCTTTTTATTATTAATTATACAAAGTTAAATAGGTGGAAATTGTTGTTGTTGTTGTTGATGTTAAACATGGTTAGTTAGTTAGTTTTTAAATTACTTCATCATTACAAATGATTAAAAGTAAAATTGTGTATGATAAACCGAGATGAAAAAAGGAGGTGATAAAATTTTTATAAAAATTTTTTGAATTTTTTGAAATTTTTTAACAGCATTATTATATGAAAGAATTGAAGGGATTTAAAGGTTCCATCAAACTTAGATTAATAAAGCAACACCGGCAGCAGCAACAGCGGCAACACCAACCAAGTTAACATTGTTAACAGAGACACCAGCAGCAGAAGAGGTGGTGTTGGAAGCGTTTGAGGCATTTGAAGCATTAGCAGCAGAAACGGCAGAAACAGCAGTTAAAGCGATGATAACAGATTTGAATTGCATTGTGAATATTATAAAGGATTGATTGATCGAAGTTTAAGAACTGTTTGATTGATAATGAATAAAAAGAAGAAGAAGAAAAGAAAAGAGAAAAAAGGAGAAACCAAAAGAAGAATTATAAACTTATTCAATTTAAAAAGGGCGAAATTAACTTGATATATATATACCAAAAAAAATTTTCTGTTCTGCTTATGGTTAAGGGATAATAGTTAACTTTAACTATGAGAGGAGGTGTGGTAACTTCTATAATTAACTTTTTGGTGATAGACGACTGTGTGCAGGACACGGTTTCTTATAGGGAAAATAATATTGCCTAATTGGGACATCATGTTACTCACATATAAACATAAAAAAAAAAAAAAAAAGGGGGGGGCTATGTAAGTCAAAAAAAAAGTGAAAAAAAAGAAAAAATAGCGTGTATTTCCAGTCACGTGCGAGATTCATTGTTATTTTTAGAAACTATTTTTAAGCTGTTTCGATGAAGTTAAACAGAATAGAATGAGTTAGTGAGTCAGGCTATACCTAGAGTATAGTATAGTAAAGAGAATGAATGAATGACTAAAGGCTGTTCATGAATCATAAGTGATACACGTCTACCTAACTAATTCAATCTACCTACTATCTATTCATTAATCCCTTATCATATATCACTACTATTTACTATGCCGTAGATGAATTTTTACTTGTTTCTACACGTCTAATTTAAATTAATAGCGTAAAAAATTTATGAGCTCTTCACCAAAATTAATTAAAAATATTTTTTTTTTTTTCGTGTAATTGGGTCCCGCCTTCGTTGGGAAAAGAAAAAAAAAGCCTTACCACAAAACCATTTTAGCTTAGCTTGTACTTTCCTAATAACGAGAATTTAAAATTTACCGCAAAAACGCGGTATGTCTCACTAAATTAGTGAGAAAAAGAATAAAATTAATCTTCTCCTTAGGGAATAAATAGAGAGAGAAAGAAAGAAAAAAGGGTTAGGAGTATTTAATTAACTTAGCGTAACTTACCGCGAATTGTTTTTAATCTAAATATGAGGTCCCTCCCCCTTAAACACGTAACGTAAAACCTTTTTCAGGTTCATTTATTACTGTTTTAGTATTTAATTAAGTAAAAAGTTTCAAAGTCAAAGTGAAACATGGTTCAATAACGTTACAGAAATCGAATATATTATAATCTGGTACGTTCTGAAATTATGGTTCCCCTAATTAATTAACCACAAATAGAAAATTTACCATTTGATTGTGTAGTGGAAATTTTTTATTCGTCTTATAATTAGGCGATTTTTTTTTTCACCTATATTTACTCGAGACCAAGACTCACTATTTACATTTCATGTTATTTTATTTGTTTATTTATTTACCTTCCTTTTCTTGTCGTCTTTACCCCTATCATCATCACCTTTCATACCCTCTCATCCACAGTTACATACAGACATACATCTATATAGCAACAGTCAACCTTCTATCAATTAATAACCTCAAATAAGGCAATTATACCGTAAAATAAAAATTAACCACCTCTCTCTTTCTCTCCCCCAATCTTTTCCCCACTTCGAATGTTTTTCCATATCGATCACAAAAATTAGTTTTACTTACTTTAACTAATCCAACTAATTTATCATTACTTAAAACAGTTATTGCTATATAATAGACCCCTCATTGTTAATTAGTTATATCGAATAAAATCTATAATAAGAAAGACAGAAATAATAGCAAACAATTAAAACCAACAAAACTTAATTAAGTTATATATCCGTAGCAACCATCTAAGATTTAATCAGTTTAGGCTGCTACCTCTCTTTAGTTTCCTATTTAAATGTTTTGGTTGCTCTTTTTTTTTTTTTTTTTTTTTTTTCAATTTCCACATTTGCCGAAGAGCAAGACAAAAAAAAAATAGAATAAAAAATCTCATCACGTGGTACATCATCACCTGAGTCGTCACATGATGATACTACGGTGCTACCATACAATATACAGAATTGATTCGTGTCTATATTATGTTTATTAAAATTATTATACAAGAAGAAAAATACGGCAATAAAGTGTACCCATATCAGGCAATGACCTGTCTATTATGGAGATTTAGCTACTGCAGCAGCAGCTTTCATCTCTTTTTCCTTCTGTTGTTGTTTCCATTTTGTTTCCTTTTCTTTAATTTGAGATTCTTGTCTCGCCTTCTCTTCCTTGGTAACTTTTTCCCTTTCAGATTTCAGTTCCTTTTGTAAATCCTCTTCAGAATCAACGATATATTGTTTGGTTAATTTCAATATCTCATCTATACGATTATTGAAATCAAAATACTTTTCATCATGATATACTTTATTCATAAATAAATCTGGTTTTAAAGCTCCTCCAATATGTAAATTAGGTAAGGTATCCTTATAATGATCGATTAATTTATCGACATTATATTCATGAACTCCCCCCTTTTCAATTTGATTCATTTCAACCTCATGGAATTTGGTGGTATCTTTTGTTTTCCAGAATTCTTTTAAAAATTGATTATTCCGTTGTAATAAATTTAAATTATCTTCCATAGTTAATTTATTAATTTGTAATTTTTCATATTCACCCACTAATCGTTTTTCCTTTTTTTGAGATTGTTGATATTTCTTATATTGTTTCGAAATCCATAATTCAGTAGGTCTCCCAATCTCTTTAAAATAATCCAAAATTAATTGAGTCTTAGTCCAAAGTCGTAAATTATTAAGATATATATAATCTTTATAATTCTTTTCCGCAATTGATTTAATATCATATTCATTATTTAAAGGAATTAAGAAATTCTTAGGAACATGACTGATTTGATTTTCAACTACCACTTTAATTAAAGGAGATAATTCATCAAGTGTATTAAAATGATGATTTCGATCATTGAATGCCTTCAATTGTTTATTCTTCACATAATGATCTACTTCACCTTTATCATTACGAGAATCATCAATGGTTTTCTTCATGATAGGATCTAAATCAATTAAAACATCATATCTACTTGGAGCTAGATCATCAGTTTCAGATAATCCTGTGATATCAATGTATAATCCAGTATCAATATCAATGAATCTTGCATCGATGTTATTATTTCCATTTCCAGCTTTTCTATAAGTGATAGAACTACCAACATCAACGAAATAACGACCCATTCCATCGAATTCATCTTTGGAATCTAAGGTATTCTCCACTATTAAGGTTTGATTATAACATTGAGCTAATTTATGTAAATGAACAATAGGCATTTGAACATCAATATCATTATCCCAGGGAAATCCCATTCCATTCCAATACCAACTTAATAAAGATCCATGAGCTACCCAAGTTACAATCCCATTTTTACGACAGAAATTAAGATAATTCTTTAATAATCGATGTAAACTTAATAATTGATCTTCATGTTCCACAATCAATCCATTAAAGAATCTCCAATCGTAATGTTCTCCATATCCTCGATTCCCTACTTCTATGATTAATTTCGCTTCACCGAAATATTTAGGGGGATCTTCTAAAGTCTTGGAATATTCTAAAGACCTATAGTAGCTCTTATCCATAGTGTTGAGAGAGGTATAGTCTTGGTTTAAGAAATCTTCAACGTCTTTAGTGGAGAAGTCAAAATCCTTTTCAACTAACGTTATATGAGTATCGTTTAATGCATCGATTTTAGCGGCTGGTTTCGATCTGGTTTGAATGAATGATCGGAAGGAATCAGCAAGATTAATGGTATGTTTGATTAATTTCTTAGATGTTAATAATCTAATAATACCATTATTTAATAATGACGATTCCACAGAATTAATTTCATGTTGTTTTACATTAATTTCAATTGAATCTAATTTATCATCATTAGTTAAGAAGATGATTTTGGTAGGAGATGGAGCAAAACTATAAAGAAAAGCTTTTCCTAATAATTCTCTATTTTCTAAATTTTGAGGTCCAGTGAATTGATTAATTTTAAATCCTAAAAGACTATCAGTATCAAATTGACAATAATCATATACTTGCCAAAGATTGGATTCTTCAGTTGAGGTGGAGATATTAAATAACGATGCACAAATATTTAAATCGGGTTGTTTGGGGTTTAAGATGAATTTATTTAATTTCGATAAATCCACCCAATCTGACCAATGAAACGGTACATCTTCTTTGTCTGTGAAACTGGAAAGATATTTGAAGTAAACACTTAAAGTAAATCTTGGATCAAATGGTTGTATTAGAGGTTTCATTAAAATATCCTTTTTATAATAATTGGGAATATCCAATGTTAAGGGTAATTTTGATTCTATATTATCTCTTAAATACCATAAATCATTATCTTTTTCAATTTCTTCATGTTTGGCTTCATGTAATTCTTGTAAGAATTTTTCATTTGATTCAAGGTTAAAATCAGTAGTCAAGAAATTATTCCTCCATACTGAGAATTTCAAATTAAGTTGTCGATTGATATTGTTTTTATATTGTGTTATGATAGGTTGTTTGTTTAAAAATGAGGTTAATGATATGATGACGGTATATGATATTAATGATAGTAGGAATAATTTTAGTATGAATAACTTTTTGGGTAATTTTACTGATTTAATCATGATGTATTATATTATTGGTTTGATGCTGATGAAGGTTTATTAAAGGTGAATTCATGTAAAAATATATATATATTAGACTAGTATTAAATTGAATGAATGGTGATAATCTAGGAGTTAAATGCAAAAATGAGTATATTAGGGGAATTAAGCGAATGTGAATGGTGAGAATGTTAAAGTATGCAAAATGAAAAGAAAGTGGTAGTAGTTTCCTTAAGGACTATGTAAAAATGAAATGAATAAGGTATAAAACTAAACAAACAGAGATCGTTTGATAATTTAGGTATTGAAAATCTAGGTATTGAAAATTATTACAGATTATGGGGGGTTGGAACGCTATATATATAAAAAAGAAAAAGAAAATATACAAATCCAAAATAAAGGGTTATTATTAATAAGAATCAAAAACGTAAGAGAAGAGACTTACATACATAAATGAAAGAAATCTTGACATGATCAACAAATGGCAAACTATCCCAATTTAATTAAAAATGAAATTATGCATTAAATGATAACTGTTAATAAAACTAACATACTGGGCCTGAATTGAATTATTTTTTTCTTTTTTTTTTTGAAATAACAAGTTAAAACAATTTTTTATTTAATTATCAGTTCAATCAAAGAATAGGATAATAATGGTTAAACAGAGTGTTTACAACGGGGGTGTTTTTACATTTGTGGTGTACGATCATCATAACAAACAACAGCCTTGGCTTGATTCCAAGATTGTAAGTACCCCTTCCAAGGCTTGTTTGTTTGTCCTACCCCCCACCACCTTGGCAATTAGCCTTGGGAATTGATGAATGGAAAACCTTATTAAAATTCCTTTAATTCTTAAATTTGTCATTGTGATATAAATCAAATAGGCTTTTTTTTTATTAACGACTTTTTGACAATGAATCTCTAAAGGGGGGTTTTACCGGGGGGTATGGACTGTACCAGACCAAATGATAAATACCAAATTTTGATGGTGGTTAGCTGATAATCTACCTATTCTATCCTCATCCCTTCATTCCCACTTAATTGTTATCGATAGTGACCCGATAGCTGATCATCACACTTTCATTTACACTTTGATGAACGGCAAAATAAAATAAAATTTTTTGAACATAATTATTTTTTTTTCCTGTCTGATTGTTATCTTTTTTTTAAAAATTTGATGTCTTGTGCATAGCTAACCCAATTAGGAAGGTGTGAATTGCTTTTTTCCTCATACTAAAGCAAGTTCTAAACCCACTTCTAGACATGGCCTTCTTAGTTTTAGACATTTGTAATTGTTTTCGACATAGATGGGGTTAGATTGGGTTGGCCATTTCATTTCTGTTCAATTCCATAGATAAATGTTTACATTTGTTATTGGTTCTACATGTACTCTACTTAGGCCATTTGTAATGTCTTGGCTGTAACTAAACATCCAAACCGTCCAAACCCCAAACATGTAGATCAAACTACACAATAATAAAACTCATGAAGATTGTGTAACTTTATCACCTGATTCATTTTAAAGAAGAAAAGAGGTAGTTATTCATTATTTGTGAAAAACAATGATAATAATAATGCTACTACTTATAACTACTCATAACAACTAAAGATTCACTATGTCTTAAAATTTGCTTGTCCGACTTCAAATTGTAAAATATCTTATGACAAAACCCGCAACCTCCCTAAAAATATGTATAAATTGATGTGTAGGCTTATTTCTATCTGTCTCCAGTATTCAAACCGCCTTAGTTTTTTTTCCAATTAATATCCCCCGCTAACCTTCGATACCGATACGCTTAATACTCATCGATGGCTGATATACTCATCATCCAAACATTCAAAATTAAAAAATATTTAAATGAAATGTAAAAATTTATTGTGTCCAATAAGATAAACAAAATTTGGCGTTTCACATTTCCGAATTGAGCCATGTATGTGTTGTCTAATTTTTGTTATGGGAATTTTATTTTATTTTATCATATTTTATTTTTGCCGCCCCTCTAGACCATTTTGAACTTAGTCTAGTCTTGTCTAGTTAAACTCAAATTTTATTCAAGACATGTCAAGTTAAGTTATTATAGTAAAATATTAATAGTGTCTAAACTTTAAAAAAATAATGTGCGGTATCCACAATTATATAAGTACCTTCTAACTGTGCTTCTTACCGTCAATGCGCACCCGTCAGAGTATTTGGAACCCACTAACCAAATGCGGTATAACATCTTTCTACCATAAAACAGGCAACTACTTCTCGTTAAACAACCCACTTTGAACTAATCGTATGGGGGTAATTGCCATAAATAAGGTTAGAGTTTTGACGTCAAGTATGCATCGAATAAAAGTTTACCCATTGGTTAGGATCCTTGTTTGACGCTTTAAGTATAACAACAATCGAAATGAAAAATGTAAAACATTCCCATTGAGTATAATATTGAAAGGTTATCACTTCCTATATGTATGTGCTTTGATATATCGATGGATTTACAACGCTTTAGTATGTACCCCACATAAAGCAAATTAACAATATAATATTATGCACCAAAATATTCAATTCACTATAAGCCTTTCTTTCGTCTCCCATTGATCATCAAATATAAACATACTTAGACGAAAAATTGTCCAAAATAATAATAACTATTCTATTAAAATCGTAAGCTACCCTATAATAAATACTACTCTACTCTAATTAATCTCCACTTCAATATCCTTTATTAAAACTTCTTCATTATTCTTCCCTAAACTTCCTAAAACTTTAACACTGGGATTCTTATCATCAATTTCCGCATTACTAATTAAACCATCATTGCCATTGAATTCAAATATAGATGTAGACCCACCATATAATACATCATCTTCTAATCCAACTCTATTACAACATATAACATTCACTTTTTCGAAATTCTTAGGTAATATACTATTCTTATGATTTAAAAATGGGAAGAATCTCAATATCCAATAATTGACAGTTGAAGTATCAGGTTCAGAATCATTTTCAATCTTGAGTCCACCTGTTTCTTTCGTAATTGATGGCAGTTGAGGTGATAACCATGCCATGGGACATATGATTAATTTCGATAATTGTTGATAACAACTAAGAGAGAATTCAAAGGCATTGAATGGTGCTTCGAATTTATAAGGATTTAAATCCATACAGATCCCGAAATTAACTCTCACTTTAGGATAAATCTTTGTTGTATCTCTTTGAAGATAATATTCTCGATCAAGGATAATATCAAGTGATTTAAATCCCCGCTCGGGATTTTCATTACATCCCCATACTTCATCTGTCTCATATAAGAATGATTTTCGATAATTATGTAAGATAGATCCCTGGGGTGAGATTAATAAACAACTATTATATATTTTTTGATTTTTAAGTTCAGGATATCCCATCACGATAAAACATTGATATAATTGAGATAATTCTTGACCGAATTTAATCGATTGACCAGAAAGCGCATCTAAATTATTCAAACTTGATTCAATTTCTTGTTTATTCTTGAAATTGTATCCAGTGATGGCTAATTCTGGTAATACTATCATATCGATTGATTTTTCATCGAGGTGATCTCGTTTAATTGCCTTTGATAATAATTGCTTAACTTTGACAATATTGGATTCGATCTGTCCAATCCTAGGATTATATTGAAGACATGCTACTTTTAATTTAATTGAATTCATTTATAATTGGTAGAATTATAAACCGTTTTGACCATATGTTATAAGTATCCTATCATTTGGTTTTTAAATATATTTGGTTACTGTAATTTTAAAAATATCAGTCATGTGAGCTATCATGTGATTAGATTTTCCAAAATTTATATAACGATAGTATGACTTAATTTTGTGATTAAAAGATTTTCATACAACTACTATGGTACATTGAAGAGGGTCTGAATCATGTTACATAACTTAAAGGTAACAGGATCGACCTAATTATTCGTATTTGTTTTTCAACAAACATTGCTAGGAAAGATTTCGGTTTTAGGATAATCGTCAAAATTAGCCGAATTAAAACATTTCTTGACTTCTTGTTTGTTCTATTTTATTAAGCAAAGGTTATTATAAATCCAAGCGTAAGGTAGAAGAAGAATACTAAGGTTACACTAAACATTAAGATTTGCCAGTGAATAATGGTATTACAAAATAGCAAAACATATCGCGAAGAGGGCGGGCGGGCTAAATTATTCACAAACCTACAAAAACAAAAAAAAGATCCTGAAATTCTGATGAGAAGCGCATATTAATCAAACAATGGAACCATTACTGTATAATTAAACTACAACCTATTTAAGCGAAATCTACATATTATTGATCGTGAAGCACATATATAGAAAAGATCAAATTGAAATTTAGAATATTATAAAGTATATCATTCGATTATCGTTATGAGTTAAAGTATACTAGTGTGAATTACTGCAGATGTAATGCACCGTATAAGTATGAAGGAATCATTTCTAGAATGATTTATTTTCTAAAACTTTAAGGCAAAAGTTATAAATCCAGGAAGAAAATCCATATGATATAATTAGAAATGGAAATAGAAGTAGCAACATGGAAGAAGAAGGAAATAATAGGGATGCATAACGCATCCTGCTAAATCCATATAATCCCGTCTATTCCCCCCGACGCATTTTGCAGATATTAGGGAGGTTGTTTACCTTCCCTCCTATACAACTAAATATAGAACATTTTGTAAATGGAAAAACACTTATAATCATGATGAATATACATATTATGAAATACCAAGAAAATAATAATAATAATAATAATACTAATTTTATTAATAATTCGTAAATTGAAGACTACAACAGCAGTTTGTTATGGGTAAATTTTTTAAGATTTCTAGATCTACTATATACAATTATTATACTGGTAGAAAGATAATACATACCATCTTATGATCTCTAAAAGCTTATAAGCTCTAAATGATAACGTAGTTGATCGATAAGGTTAGATGTAAGATGATATAATATTCAATTAAATTAAAAGGGATCCCAACCCTTAATTACGAATAATTGGATTAAAGCCTAGTAGGACACAATAAATAAAAGCGCTTATATAATACACAACCGAATTCGATAAGGGTTTGAAGCCTTATGCTATACCTTCCAATACCATTCTATACCTTTCCCTTGTTGGACTGTATTAACAACAAGGCGCAATTTAAATGATCTACGACTCTTTTTACCTCCGATTATGCATCCATTACATTAAACTCTATCAGCATTTAACCAAACCACAGATGGAATTTTTAACACGACATACAAAATAGAAATTAAAATTAAAATTGGCAAGAAAAATAAAAGCGCTGTGTGATTTTTAAAGCAAACAAATAAAAATAAAGAGGGCTAAAAATTAAAGATGGCTAAAAAATAAAAGGGTTTATACCAAATTGGTTAAGCGCCTTGACCCAATGGTTGATTGTTTGGGGGAAGAACAGATACATGGCCATATAAATGTTTAAGGTTTCGAATAATAATGTGAAATGGGCGGAAAATTACAGGCTTCCTTTGCTTTTATAATAAATTTATTATAAATAGAATTTAATAATATATTTTATGTGGGTGTTTATTGTTCGTAATGAATCTGAATTTTCTTGAATTTATATATATATAATCACCTTGATGTCCTTTGTAAAAAAAATAATGGCAATGTCTTTTTATTATTCATATATCAATTGATCATGAAAGTAAGACGATTTAAAGATTTGAAAAATATGGTAACGAGTAAACTTCGGAAACCGAAAGGAATGCCACTGGCTATAATTGCTACTTCATTGATCTTATTCTTATATCTTATTTGTCATCTAATATGGTCGAATAATCATTCCCTTTCATTAACCAATGTTAAATTCGAATATTTAAATCGAAAACAATATAGTATATTCAATACCAAACTTAAAGATGAAGAAGAATTTGTTCAATTTGTAACTCCTGTCATAGTGGAGAAATTAATTGAAATAGATACTTATCTTTATGATTTTAGTAATGTGGCAGATAAGATTCATTTAAAACTTGAAGATAAAAGTATTCAAAAATTAAAGGAGATTTACTTCTATGATCCTGTTATAACATATTCCACCTTACTTAACTTTATAAATGGGAAAATATCAGGTAATAGTCTTAATATTGAATTACCATATTTCGATTGGCAAGATCATGTTGATTTATCATTATTATCAAGATATAAAGGTAAAGGGATGGAAACCTGTAAAATATTTGAACAAGGTGGTGAAAAGGAATCAGATCATTTTTGTATTGAAGATAATCAATTAGATGCTAAGAATGATCAAGAGGCTAAACATAGTGAAGAATTTAAACAATTTATCAAAACTCATAAGTCATCATCTACAAATTTCCCTATTCATGTCTTTGGTCATCCCCTGAAACAACTGAGAAGACATTTAAATATATTATCATCCTTATATATGGCTGAATTCATGGATATTCCTCGATCATTAGTGATGTTATTACCTGAAGATAATATTGTAAATGTCAAGATCGATCAAGATACTACTAAATCAAAAAAGAAATTAGTTGATACTGAATTATTTGATAGAGGACAACTTAATATTAAAGATCAATTAGATATTCTATTAAAACAAAATCATAAAATAATTCAATCTTCGAAAATGCCTCATCAATATTATAGAGAATTTACTATTGAAGAATTTAAAAATAATCTTATTAACCCAAGTAAAAGAGATGTGGTGGATAATACTTTTAAAGATGAATATTATAAATATCCTCCTTTAATCAGTACTGATAAATTTGCCGATCATCTTCGTCTTTATGATTGGAGATTCTTTGTCGATATTAGAATGATTGAAATGGATGTATTAAAGGAAATTGCTATACATACTTTAATTAAAGCATGGTTGAATTTATGTAATAGACTGGGATTAAAGACATGGATTATAAATGAATCTTTATTAGGTTGGTATTGGAATGGATTACAATTTCCATGGAATCATCAACAACAATTTGGAATTTCTATAAAAGATTTCCAGACTTTAATGGCTCAATATCGTCAATCTTTAATTCTTGATTTCGGTGATTCAGTTGAACATATTAGATTTGGAAGATTCTATTTAGATATTCATCCTCATGCTAATGAAGCAAGATTAATTGATATTGATACGGGATTAAATATTCAAATCTTACCTTATGAAGCCAAAGATCCCGCCCAACCATTTCAATTAAGTAATAAATATGATCAAATCATATCGTTTAAAGATTTAAATCCATTAAGATTAACGTTATTTTCCGGAGAATTTGCTTTAGTACCATATAATTTCATCAAACATTTAAAAACAAACTTTGGAGAAGATTCGATTACAAGTCCTCATTATAAATCAGGATATAGCTATATGAAATATGCTAAACTTTGGTTTAATAATCAAGATTTAAAACGTATGGAAGCAGAATTTACCGCTAATCAAAATCAAAAGGAAGCTGAAAAAAAAATAGCAGATGCATCATTAGGATTACTTCAAAGATTTGCTAATTCACAATATACCCCAAAGAAATATAGAAAAGTTGATCATAGTATTGAAATGAATCCTTTACAATTAAGATATAATAAAGAAGCCTTAATTCGATATAAGACATCAGTTCAATTATCCAATTTACATAATAAACAAATGTTAAATTTAAATGATGAATCCAATTTTTTAACTGCTACTTCTGCTTTAAATGGGAAAGCTTCACCTTTGATACGATTAAAGAGTCATTTAACAAGATATATCAAACCAGATCATTATATTATAAAATCATATATTGAGATGCCCAATATCAATGATAGATTGAGTAATCTTTAGATCAAACCCCATATGTATTTTATTTCTTTTATTTATTTATTTATTTATTTATTTATTTATGAACTTTATTTATTATGATACACTTTAATGAAACAGTAATATACAAACATACTATTAATACTATGATCTCTCTATTGATAAGAGTTCAAAACTTTCAGAAACTATAATTTTTTTAAGATGGCTGATCATAAGATAAGGTAAAGAAAACATAAAAATACTGCTGAAGAACAAAGCCAAAAGTTTCTTGACATAGCTTGATAATGTAGGTTTTACAAATGAACAAGGTCGGCATTAGCTACATTCATATATAAATTTGAGTCGCCTGTCCAAATTTAAATTGAAAAAGTTAGCAGTTAATTAATAAAATGAAATTCGCGGTTTGATAAGGCAGTCTTGCGCGCCTTTACTCTTTTTTACTTAAGGTCACAATACTACTGTGATTTTTTGTTTGATGATTGATACTAAATTAATTACCAAGAAAATATGAAACCATGTTTAGATTGCATGACTTAAATGAGGGAGATCATAAAATGGTAAGTCAAAGTAAGGGTAGAGTATACAGCGGTAGATCATATAGGATTTTTAAAATTAAAATGAAAATCAGGAGCATAACGGTATGTAGGAAGAGAATGGCATACTCCAACCCCACTATTTTAACGAAACGTATTTAATTTTTTATAAATAAGGGCCATAATATGCATAAATTAAAGTATAATTGGAACAATGTGAAATTAGTGAACGTGTAAGAATGTCTTATTTATATAAATATATAATGATGTAACCAAAAAGACTTTTGATAACCAGTAATAGTCTTGTCAAATGTATATTTAATCAAATGATCAAATTAACCCAATTCAAACGATCAAGAATAGTGCTAGTGTTAGCCCTTATTATAATAAATGCTTCCTTAATCACATATCTACGATCTTACCGTAATGTGGAAGAAATCAATATCAATCCCACCCCATATCGAATAAGGAAATTACCTGGAGTACTTTCAAAAGAACAATTAAGTATATTTGATAAAAGTCAAAGTAAATTTAATAAATTTAATAAGAAAATAGAGAAGATATATCATAAGAAACAAACTGATGAAAAGAAGAAGAAGAAGAAATATGATGATAGACATTATGATGTGGTGATTAATGAAATTGATAAATTCAAAAAATATAATTATTTTGATCCCAAATTCACTTTCAGTGTGATACTACAATATATCAATGATAATATAACCAATCACCATACTCTTACGAAACAAGTTGATTTTCCTTATTTTAATTGGAATGATTATGTTGATTTATCAAGTTTGAATCAATATCGATATTCTCCAAATAAATTAGCTTGTCTTGAATTTGATCAAAGTTCAAATGATAAACTTAAAGATATTAATCTGTTCATTAAGAAAAATCATCGATATTGTGTGGAGGATAATGATATTGGTAAAGCGATTCTTGAATATGGTGTATCTGATGAATTGAAACAAAAATTAATACATGTCCAAGCTCAAGATCGATTATCTACTGGATTCCATATGTATAGACCTCCTGGTCGACAATCATTATTTGGTCGGAGTATTATTGGTAAGAGTTATGTTCAAGATTTTATGAATCCTCCTTCAAGTTTATCATTATTATTGCCGGGAGATGATTTTTTAAAAGTTACTATTAATACGAATGATAAATTCAAAAGGACAAGATTAGTAGAGAGTAAATTATTTGAAGATTTGATGAAGAGGAATAAGAAGAAAAAGAAGGGGAAATATGAACTGAAATTTAATTTAAAATTGGAATTAAATCGATTACTTAAAACATTATCTAAAGTGAAAAAATCCAAAAAGAAACTGAAACAACAACAGAAACAAAATCATCAACTTTCATTACCTTATCAAATTGAATTACCCGTAACTGATTTCATCAATAATCTCGATGATCTACCGTCATCTTTACAATTAACCAAAGAATTCCAAACCTCCTTAAATGTATCATTTAAAACCACCAAACAATGGCGACATTTTGAAGAAGCTTATATTTCAGAATCAGAACATAATCACGCTAAGGGAGGACATATGGATTGGAGATTTTTTAATCAGGAATTACTTGATGATACTGAAACTCGAAAAATTGTTAAATATAATCTTGTCAAAGCCTGGTTTAAATTCATTAATCGGAATGGATTTAAAAGTTGGTTAGCCCATGGGACTTTATTAAGTTGGCATTTCAATGGTCGAACGTTTCCATGGGATTTGGATATTGATGTGCAAATGTCCTTACAAGAATTCGTCCAATTAACCAATCAATTCAATCAAACCATTATTGTTGATTTCGGAAATAATGTCAAGGATTCACCAATTAGGTATGGAAGATATTTACTTGATTGTGGGACATTTATAACTCATCGACATAAGGAAAACGGAGCCAATAATATTGATGCTCGATTGATTGATCTTGATACGGGGTTATATATCGATATAACAGCTTTAAGTGCTACTGAACAAAGTGCAAGTGAAGTCCATTGTCGAAATGAACATCATTACAATCTTACCGATTTGAATCCCTTAAAATTAAGTTTATTCGAAGGTGAATTTACCTATATTCCTTATAACTATAGTAAGATCCTTATGGAAGAGTATAAATCTGATTGTTTGACGAAATTACAATTCCGAGGTCATAAATTGTTTCATAATTTATGGGTGGAAGAATATGATTATAATGATGAGAAATTGATTGATATTAATGTGGAAGAATATTATAAATCAATCAATTTAATTCAATATCATCTTTATGAAACTTTCTATCCTAATAGTGATAAATTCCATTATTTTGGTAACCTTGATAAATCCATCACGATGGAATATTTATATGATGATTATTATAATTATAAACCCGAGTTGGATATTAATGAGGAATTGATTCGAATTGAACAAGAGGTTGCATCAACCATATCGAAAGAAGTTAAACGGATTCAATTATTAATGAATATTAGAGAAGGTCGACGAAAACTGGAGAAAACTTGAAATAGAAATACCTAATATATATAAATTATTTGTAAAGTTGCAAAACTAAATTTGTAGTGTCAATATCAAATTTTGACATTTGCTCGTAAACAAAATAAAATAAAAAATATTCCAGTTCCTATAGGATATCAATAGTAGAATAAACAATCATGATACGAAGTTTAACCAGATTATACTCTACAGTCCCTAAGATTGAATGTATGTATACTTTCCGATTATAATCCAGTCATTTCCAAAATACTAACTATCATGAACTAGTTCCTCCAAGTTTATTACATTTAAAAGTTGGGAAAATCATTCAATGTGAGAGACATCAAAATGCTGAAAAGCTTTATGTGAGTCAAATTCAAATTAATAATGATGACGAGAATAATATTAATAATACGATTCAAGTATGTTCAGGATTAGTCAATTATATTCCCATTGACCAAATGTTACATAAACGAGTTATATTAGTGATGAATTTAAAACCGTCCAAAATGAGAGGGATCAAATCAGAAGCTATGGTGTTGGCTACTGAGAAAGTGGGATGTGATAATAATGAAGACACGTATAAAGTTGAATTAATAAATCCACCAATATCATCACTGATAGGTCAACGATTACAATTTGAGAAATTTGAATCTGAGTCGGAACCGTCGCGATTGAAGCCGAAAATTTGGGAACAGATTCAATTACATTTAATGACTAATGAAAAGGGGGAAGCGGTTTATATTGATGATGACAAGAATCAATATTTATTAAAACATGGTGATGATGTGGCCAAATCAGATACGTTGTGTAATAGTATTATTCGATAAATAGATGAATAGAGATGGTTAAGAACAAGCGATTAAAAATGAGCTCATAACAAGAATTTATTGAATAAATGTACGATAGGTAATGCAAAGTTTAGAGGCGTTTGTTGAATACGAATCAACGATAGAAAAAGTAGGAGTAAGCCATGGAAATATATGGCTATATGGTAGAATATTGAAAATGGTAAAATATAAAAGAAAAGATCTGGAATAGGCAATTTATAACATGAAGAATGTAGATCGCGTATTATTATTTGTTCTCCACAGTGATAAATATTATAAGGAGAGAGAGATGGACATTGTTTAATATATTTATATTATATATATGTACAACATTATGATGATAATGATGATGATACAAGGCTGAAAAGGATAAAGTAAACAAGGCTAAATCTAAAATGATGGGGAAATGAACTGTAATCGGTTTTGATAATTAAATTAACTATTTTGGTTTAGGGAACCCCAAAAAGAAATTTTTAATTTTTAGTGAGAAAGAGCGATCCAGCCAGCGTGGCAGTGAGAAAAATGGTTAAATCTGCAAGCCACTAAACTCGTGGGCCACAAAATGTTTTGAATTATTTCTGATTACTTACTGGTCAAAATATGAAATGAAATGAAATGAAATGATAAATATCAATTTTATTCTATTTATTCTATTTATTTATTCGATTGATTTCATTCACCGTAAATCGGGGGGATGGAATGGAAGCATTATGTATACGATGATAATAAAATATCGACTAATAAAAATAAACTGAAACATTGTTACATTTCATAACTATTATTAACTAATTAAATTAATTATTAATATTTTAAGCCTACCTATTCTAACCGTTGAAATATCATGTAGTCTAGAATCCAGAGACATATCTCCTATCATTAAGATAAATAAATATGATAATAATAAACTAAATAAAATAGAGTAAACCATAAACAATACCATTAGCCTTAATTAGTAATTTGTCATTAGACGTTAAATAAAATAAAATAAAAATAAAATAAAATAAAATAAAACCATAAATAGATTACAGCTCTAGGGAAAGAACAATCAATCAATTAATCAAAAACAATCTCAAATATCCGTTATTTTTCCCCCTAAAAAATTTTTAATCATTTTTTTTTTCTTGGTACTGTCAAATTTAGATTAACTGTGTCAGTAAATAATAATAATTATCAGGCAGGAACTTAAAAAGTCATTCACTAATTATAGTGACAATCTTACACCGAAGTACCACATTCACATTCACATTCACTGTCCTGCAAGGAGCGACAGACTTATTTATCTTACGTTAAATGGTGGTGGTGGTGTTGTTGGGTATAATTAGCGATCTCTTTCTCTTTCTATATAGTGCTTATATTTAGTGTTTATTTATTTACTGATCATCATTTTAAGTAATTTAAAACTAGGCTTTTCTAAAAAAACTCTGTTACTTCTTCCACTTCCACTTCCACCACAAATCTTTAAATCTTTTTTATATTTATTTGTTTCATTTCCCTCCTCCTCCTTCCTGTTGACAGTCAAGTTTAGTTTGATTTAACTATCACTTATCATCATCATCATCTAGCAATACATCATCTTTACTGCTATCTTTGTTATCTTTGCCACTATCATCACTATCACTGTCACTATCTATCACTACCTTGTAAATATATACTTTCATTTAATCTACTGCATCAATCTAACTAACTAACTAACTAACTAACTAACTAACTAACTAACTCACTCATTCACTCATATCACCCCCTTCATTTCCACACCATCTATCTGATTATGTTAACTATCATATAATACATCAACTCACATATCACATCTCATAATAATCTCATCATGGTACATATAAGACGATCCAGAGGTGTACTACTCGTTATCCTGGTTATACTCTTACATATCATCATTGCATCATTATTAAAATATAATAATCATCCCTATTTAGCTGAAACGACTTTAAATCTATTGGATATAAAAAAATCTTTATTAAAATACAATTCATTATCATCAACTTCAAAAGCAAATGAAGATTTTAATCAAAAAGTTTCCCAAATCAAATTAAATATAACGGAATCTTTAGTTACATCCTTACCTGATTCCTATTATGATATTGATTTACCCTTTAAATCAATCGATATCGATAATGATAATGATCAAGATCAGGATCAAAATCAAGATCAAACCGATCTTTCGTCTCAAGATAATGATGTGATTAAAATCGATGATAATGAACCTTATCTTATCAATCATTATGATCCTCGATTCACCTTTGGAGTTTTATTCAATTATTTATCAAATCAATTAATTAAAAATGAACCTATCAAAGAATTACCTCATTTCCATTGGGGTGATTATGTTGATTTATCTCAATTAAATCAATTTATTTTCAATCCTAAAAAATTACTTTGTCAAAAATTTGATACTTCAGCTAAATCAACTCATTATAATAATAAACATTTCTTAAAGAAACCTGAACATTATTGTTTTGATGATAATGATATGCTGAAATTTATTGATCAAAATCAAGATAATGTTCATGTATTAAATAGTTTGAAATTAATTCAATCATCAAAATTCACTACCGGATTCCATATTTTTAGATCTCCCGGTCGTCAAAAATTAATTAGTAGATCAATCTTAGCTAAATCTTATTTAAATGATTTTATGACTTTACCATTATCATTAACTTTATTATTACCCAATCAAGATTATTTACATTTAGATATTAATCAAAATATCTTAACCTCAAAGAAAAAATTAACCAATACCGATCATTATAAACAAGTTAATTTAAAATCATTAAATCTTAAACATGAATTAAATCAATTCATGGAAATCTCTTCCTCTAACATTGATAAAATTGAAAATCTTCATCATCCAGATCCATTACCAATCCATAAGAATTTAACTGATGATTTATTCATTGATAATTCATCGGCCATTCTTGATTCCATGAAATTAAATGCTCAATCAGTTTCAGAATCAGCCTCAGATAAATTATATCGTCAATCGTTAGAAATGTCATTAACCACCCAATCACCTATGAAATATTTCGATGAAGCCAATATCGTCCGTAATGAAAAAAATTATGGTATAGGAGGTCATTATGATTGGAGATTTTTTCATGAAATTGTTAATTATTCCGTTTTACAAGATCCTGTCTTACATGGTTTAAATCGTGCCTGGTTGAAATTCACTAATAGAGTAGGAACTAAAACTTGGATTGCTCATGGAACTTTATTAAGTTGGTATTGGGATGCCCTTAATTTCCCCTGGGATAATGATGTTGATATTCAAATGCCAGTTCAAGAATTACATAAATTATGTAAAGCATATAATCAAACTGTGGTGGTTGATTTTGGTAATGATATGAATAATTTAAGATTTGGTCGTTATTTCTTGGATTGTGGAACTTATATTAGTCATAGAGTAAGAGGTAATGGAGCTAATAATATCGATGCTAGATTCATTGATGTTGATACGGGGGCTTATGTTGATATAACTGCTTTAGCACTTTCTAATACTGAACCTCCCCGTCGTTATAATGATTATTTACCTACTGATATTTTCCCTTATAGAAGAAATGTTAGACAACCTATGACTGATGCCTTATCAAGAAATACTCATTTAAAAGCTTATAATTGTCGGAATAATCATTTTTCAAGATTAGTGGAATTAAGTCCTTTACGATTAACTATTTTTGAAGGAGAATTTTCTTATTTACCATCTAATTTCGAATTATCTTTAAAGAATGAATATGGTGAGAAATCTTTAATGTTACAAACTTTCAGAGGATATACTTTCTTACCAAGATTAAGAAATTGGGTTAAAGTTGAATCAATTATTGATTTTATTAAAGAATTTAATATTGAAAAAGTTCAAGAAAGTGCAAAGACATCTAAAAATGATAATTCGAGATTTGCTTTGATTAAAGATTTCTTAAATGCTGATTATTTTAAATTATTAAATTTCAATCATGGGATTTTAAAAGAATATTTACAAACGGCTAATCTTACTCATTTCCATGAAGTTGAAATGATGAATTTATTGAATTTAAACAAAGGTGATAATAAAAAGTCAACAACCGATGTTAAAAAAGATGATCAATCTCAAATTGAAAATATTGAGGCTAATCCATTAAAACAAAGTGTGGAGAAATATTTAAGACCTGATTATTATAGTTTTAAACATCAACAGGATAATTTAAAAACAAGTTTTGCTGAAAAGATTGAAAAATTAAAAATCGATAATAAGAATCATAAATTATCTGGGATTGAACAAATTAAAAATGATTTAAAAAATTTAGAATTCAAACTTTCATTAGATCAAGGATCAAGAGAAATTCAAGAAGTTAAGGATTTAAACGTAAAGCAAAAACAACCATTCTTAGCTGAAGAAACAGAAGCTGAGAAAAAGGTGAGAATAAACAGAATACCACAACCAAATCATGCCCTTAGACCTCCAGCTGTTGTACAAATGAATCAACCCAGATTAAATGGAATTCAACCCGGTCAATTGAATCAAAAGAAAAAACAAGAAGAAGCAGCAGCAGCAGCTGATGCAAAAGAACGTAATTCGAATCAAATACCTACGGTAAGGATAAGTACAATTTCACCAGTAAGATTAACTGCTGATGATATTAAAAAATTACAACTTGAACAACAAACAGATCAAGATTCAGAGGCTGCTCTTAAGGGTAGACTTAATAATCAACCAGTAGCATAACCCAACTAAAACAAAAAATTGTATATTATATTTTCTATATCTATTTATTTATTTATATATATATTTATTTATATTATTTATCATAATTTATTTAAAAAGAATAGTTTTCCCATTGAATAAGTCATTATCATGTAGATCTAGATGTCTGATCTTGGGTTTAGTATGAACATGGTAGCACTGTTATCACGCGACCTCATCCGCGTGACCCATCTCCCTCCAATAAAATCCCATCAAAAAAAAAGACCACACTAAAAAAAAAAATGGTGTGAGATTTTATTTACTTAGGGCGTGTATCTTTACTAAAAAAAACATCAAACAATCATCAAATGAAGTTATAATTCAAAAGTTATAATACTGTTTGATTCTTTCATTATCATCATCATAACTATCAATTCTCATTATCGATCGATATGTTTAAGAGTACTTTCCAATTAACCACCAAGAGATTCAATTCTCATTACGCTCCATCCAAATTCTTAAAGGATTTAGCTTATTCTGGATCCAAGGTTGATAAGAAAGCGGGAGAAGAATTTATTAAAAAGTATGAAGAAAAAGTTCATCATTCAGAAGGTATCACTAATCTTTGGAAGAAAATCACTTATTTCGTAGCATTACCTGCTTTATTATTGACTGTTATCCCAGTGGGTCAGGTTGAATTAAGTCATGCTAAACATCGTGAACATTTACGTCATTTAAGTGATGATGAATGGCCTGTTCAATATGATTATCAAAATTTAAGACAACATAAATATTTCTGGGGTGATGGTGATAAGACTTTATTCTGGAATTCTGATGTTAACAGACATGTTGAAAAGTAGAGAATTTCCCTTTCCTTTACCTTTTCCCTTTATGATGATTATTTTGTTCCATTCCTTATTTACTTTTCCCCTTTTTTATATTTTTGCATACTACTACATCCTAATTACATGAAGACTTAAGTAATTAGTCTTCAAATTTGTTTGTGTTTTTTATATCATACTAAAATCATTCAATTGATTTTCAAAATACTTTATATATTCGAAATATATGTGATTAAATTTACTTTTAGCTTTTAAAAGACTTAAATATTTGTAGATTAAAAAATGTAAACTATATAAAACATAAAAAGATGCCTGAAATAAAGATAGAATAAAACAAAAAAAATGGATGGATTGTAATAAAACTATAAGTAATAATAAAAGGAATAATAAAAAAACTAAATCATGGATAATAAAAATTGAATAATAAAAAAGTTACATATAACAATAATAATAATAATAATAATAAAAAAACAATAACAACAAACATTTCAAAGACATAATGACCGTTTCAATTAATTAATTAAATAAATCAATCAAGTATTGATTGATTTACAAAGTGGAGAAAATATATAAATTATTAGTAGCAGCAATTGCAACTGAATTTTCTTTTGGATGCCATGATAAATGTAATATACTCTTTTTAAAATCAATTTCATCAAAATCATTCAGATTACTTCCATTTGATGAATGACTATTATGACTTGATCCTCCACTTCCACTCATCATTCTTCTTCTCATTGGATTATGACCTCCTGATTTCTTTGATTTAAATGCAGATTTATCAGCTTGTAATATAATTTCTTCTTGATCATTATCTCCATCATTTTCTTCATCATCATCTTCTTCATCTTCATCATCATCATCTTCATTAATTTGAGATCCAGGAGAATGAATATCTCTATTAGGAGGGAATTCACGATTAACTCCTTCAACATCATCATCATCATCTTCATCTTCATCATCATCACTACTTCTTTTAATGGCTTTATTACCTCGTTTTTTATTCTTTATAGCTTTACGTTTAGATGAAAATTGAGGTTGAATTTCATTATTATTATCATCATCTTCTTCATCAGCTTCATCATCATCTTCATCATCATCTTCATAACTTTGATTAAAATGAATTTTTTTCAGCAGTGATTGAATTGATTTCTTCTTTTTCCCTTTCTTAGTATTACCTCCATATAATGCTTGTTTAAAAATTGGTTTATTTAAATTTTTTGAATAAGCTGATGAACTTATAGCATTTGGATAAATCATAAAATTATTATTATAAGAACCTGTCATAATTGATTTATTATCACCACTAAATTGAACTTCAAATTTATCAAATATAGCATCATTTTCATAAGTATCACATAATCTTTCTCTTAAATGTTCATGAACATTAATAGTTTTAATTGGTTTATTTTCCATGGCTAAATCCCAAATTTTAATTGTCATATAATCTCTTGAAACAATAAATCTTCCATCATTACTAAATTTAACATCAGAAATTGATGAAGTAATTTCGGTAAAAAAATTATGAGATGAAGGATCTAAATATTCTTCATAAATTTTTGCATGTTGATCACATAAAGAATTTAATCTCATATCAGCTAATTTAATGGTACCTTTTGATGATGAATACATAAATATATTACAATGATTAGGATGAAATTCTGAACTTGTTATAACTTCAGTTAATTCTTCCATATTAGTTGGTTTTATATCAACAATATTAAATGATTGATCAGCAATACCTAAATTCCATAAATTAATTCTTAAATCATCTGAAGATAAATAAGTTTCTTGATCACTGTTTATGGAAATTGAATTAATATGATAAGCATGAGCATTTGAATAAATCTTTTTAGGTTGAGCACTAATTAATTTATCATGAATTTGTAATTGAGGTAATTTTAAAGATTTTAAAGTTAAATTATGATTTGATGGTAAAGAATTTAAACCATTAAGATTATTTTCTGAAACTAATTTAATTTGTCTTTCATTAATTTTCCATAATTTAATCGTTTTATCATTGGTTGATAATAAATATAATGCATTATTAGAACTTTTTAACCATTTAATTTTATTAATCTTTTCTTCAATTTCTAAAGATTTTAAATAATCAAATTCAGCATCATGACTTTGAAATTCAGTAAAGAATTTATATTCACAACTTTGTTTCTTTTTAGATTGATTTCTTTCAAATAATACAACTCTACCACCTTTATCACCTGTGGCTAAAAAATCACCTGAATGATCGAATTCAACGGTTGATATGATATCAGCTTCAGTAATGTTTTCAATATCACCTTTATCTCCAAAGCATTGGGAGAATTTCCAAGTTTCATCAGCTGTCATATTGTTGTACTAGTAGATGATGATATGATTTGGTTATAATGATGAGGTGGTTGATTATGATGATATGATAAGAGATGAGTGAGGATCTGAGTGATCAAGATGGATTGAATCAATTCGTGGTTTCAAAGAAAGGATACTGATTGATTGATTTGGGTAATGATTATAATATAATATGAGATTTTGAATGATACCGCTGTATAAAAACCTGATGATCGATGAGGGAATGATTGATGCGGTAAATGATTATATGTTGGACGGAGGGAGGGAGGGAGGTAGGGAGAAAGGAGGGGTGGATGCTGTAATTGAAGGGAGGGATGCAAGTGTGTAAAGGATTAATTGAGTTACTTACAGCGTAAGGGTGAGTATGTCTCTGGTTCCGATTGAGGGATGGGATGATAATAGAAACAGTTGATGGGTTAAAATTAAACAAAGTTGATGGCGATTAGGAGTTTTTTTAAATCTGGTGGTTGATTTTAAATTTTTTTATTTTTAATCGCTTCAGTGTCAGTAAAAGTCAGACAGACAGACAGTTTTAATTTAAAGTCAGTAAAAATTGTTTTGATCAAAATTAGACAAGACAAAAAAAAAGAATAAGACAGACAAAACCACACAAATCAGACAGTCCAGACAAAAATTTACTGAGAGGGAGGGAGGGAGGGATTGTCGCAATCGTCACTTTATCAATCACTATAAATAGTCTATATAAACCTAACTAACTCTAACTTAAATAACAGAGTATAATATTATCAATGAGCTAATAATAGTAATAGATTGACATGCTATTACTCTAAAAATGTGGTAATCTTAAACCAAATTATTACTATATTTAGTGACTTTTTAACTTACACAGGGAGAGAGGAGAATTTTAAGGGAGATTGATCAATCAATTATTCAGGTAATTAATGGAGGGAAAGTGGAGGGTAGTGGAGTGGGATTTTTTGTTGGCAAGCGAACGAACAAATTTTTGTCTGTAATGATGTGTGTTGATCCTGTATATAATCGCATTGATTGATCCCTAATAGTTAAATAAGAGAGAGAGGGGCAATCAAAGTTAAACTGTAAATTAAATTAAATTAAATTAAAAGTTCATTTTCATTTCCCGAGTATCGTGATTTTAATCACATGACTTTCCCCGTGAGTGAATTTTTATAGATAGAAATTTTTCATCTTTTTTAAATCTTTCATATCCTACAATTCTCTTAATATATAATAAGTTATATATATATATATTATATTTATTTTATGGATTTTAAAAATGTGGTTTTTTGATTTCGATTTATCAAACTATGAACAAATTATATAAATGATGTTACAACTGATATGATTTATAGATGAAAAAACCTAATTGTTTTGTTGATACAAAGAAGATTTTACAAAACCTACTTAAGCAGTAGCAGTGGTAGTTTTCTTAGCAGCATCTTGAGGAGAAACCTTCTTTTCAGCAGTGAATCTCTTTCTTTGAGGTGGAGCTCTAACTCTTCTATCAGTTCTTGATCTAACTCTAACAATTCTGGCATGAATAGCACAAGAAACACAATAATGTAATTTATTATATAATTTTGGTAAAGCATATTCCTTGTAAACAGAAGCTTCAGACAAATCTCTAACAGCAGCAGCTTCAACCATGTTTCTGATGGTGACTCTCTTGATAGCTTTATCTTTTGGAACACATCTAGCACAGTTTAAACATCTAACTGGTTTGACGTGACCTCTACCTTTCTTGTTTCTACCGTTGGAAGATCTCTTTTTTGGCATATTGATCTATAAAATTTAAAGTTAGTATTATGTTTTAATTGGTTAAGGTTTAATAATGAGAATGAATGAATGAGTGAGTCAATGAATATCATTTTGTTTAAACTATCATCTCTATAATGAATGAAAAATTTCAGATTGTTAATTTGATGAACGAAAGGACATTGGTTTTATTTAGTCTTATAGATTGAAATTGTCATTTACTTTAATGTTGATAGTTGATATGATTCAATTTATGGTTTCAGGTGGTTGTTGTTTTCATCGATTGATTAATATTATAGTTTAATTTGATACTGTTATGAATTTTGACTTGATGATTTTAATGACAACTGATTGAAATTAAATGATTCTACAAAACTTCTTTAAACTCACATATACTTTATATTCACAACCTTGATGATTTGATTGATGTATTGATTGATTAATTAATAATAATGGGTATTGGATATCACATTTGATAAATTTCTTGTAGTGATTGATTGATTCATTTCATTTCATTCATTTCTCTTTGGTTTCTCTGTTTCAAGATTAGATGATGATAGTTTAACGTATTCTCTGATTGATTCACTGTTATTTTCATTCTCCTTTATATCATGATATTACATACTTATTAGTATACTGATGTATATGAAGAGTAAAACTAAAAGTGATTAAACTTGAAAAAAAATTAAAAAGTAAAATTTTTTTATTGTGAGAATTGGTTGTCTGTCTGAGAGAGCTAGATTTGATAGTACGTACTATTTTGTTAACTATGGTACTATACAGTTAGTGTTGAGTGACAGTATATTAACTATGGAAAAAATATGAGGAATCCATACCGCAATATATACCACTCTGTACTGCAGATAATTCTAATCTCAATTTGATTTCTCTAATTCTGCGCGTGACCAAATAGGGCTTCAACCCTCAAGATGGGATTTGAAATCAAACAATTTAAAACATCCATACATCTCATCAGGTGCTAAATATCAGGTGATGCCGATATCAGGTGATAATACATCATGTGACCATTCACCAATTAAATTTAAGATCTTTTTTTTTTTAATAAAACGACTTTTTAATGTATGGATGGATAAAAGTCTCAATGGTCCAGGTCTTCTACTTAAACAAATAATGTCTCTTTCAATCAAAACACACCAGAAAATTTTATTAGCTGATTTTTCTAATAGTTCGATTATTTATAATTTACAACTTTCCAATCCCAATCCATTTAAATCAAAACCTTTACACTTACACCTTTACCTTCCATAATCATATTATTGTAATCCATTCATACATTCTTTGTCCTTTTTAATCAGTCTATTCACAAGTTAAGAAAGTCAATTAATATCATTATCAATAATCAAAAGTCCAACAACAAAGCAAAACAAAACAATCTACAACCACCACACACACTCATCCTATTTCAAAGTCCAATTATAATTCTTCAATTACAATCGACTTTATTCTTTATTTCATTCTAATAAGTCTATCTATTCATCAATCGATTAATCTCTAATCCATTGTTTTCTTATTCATATTCATTATTTCATTTAAATTCTATACATATTCACATTTCATAATCAACAAGTATGTATATACTCCTTCCCCATTGAAGAATCGTATCATTATAATTGTTATTGTTCATTCAAAGTTGATTGATATAATCATTGTTTAATTGAATTGAAGTGGTTGAGCATGTCAATGATGTCAATCTCCCCATCATTTATCATTCATTATGAGGGTCAATTGATGGGCTTTGGTCCTATTCCTGTAATCCATCCATCAATTCTGAATAATGGTTTGATAAAACTTGACCTCTTTCAATGTCATCAATGTTTGAATAACAACAACAACTTTATCACTCCCCTAAATAACATTTTACTAACGACATTTATTTTATAGTGCTTTCTCGTACATTTAGAATTGCTAGACAACAAACTAGATTATTATCAAGTTCAAGAATTGCCTTTTCAGCTCCATCTAAAATCGATGCTAAGACCGCTTCTAATTTAGCTGAAGTTACTGGTCCAGATGGTTCATTAATTGGTCCTGGTGCTACTCCAGGTACTATTCCAACTGATTTAGATCAAGCTACTGGTTTAGAAAGATTAGAAATCTTAGGTAAAAGAGAAGGTGTTGATGTTTTCGACATAGAAAACCCAATCACTGAAGGTTCAGGAACCCCTCAAGATCCTTATTTAGTTCCAACTTATTTTGGTTACAGATATGTTGGTTGTAAAGGTAAAGATGGTAATGATCATAAACCATATTGGTTGAAAGTTGAAGATGGTAAATTAGCAAGATGTTGGCAATGTGGTACTACTTTAACTGGTAAATACTTAGGTGAACCAGGTATGGCTCATCATTAAACAATTTGATGAATCCTTCCTCATCTATCCAGTTAAAATAGTTGAAATATTTCCCGTAATTATATAATTATTATTACTTTACTACTACTCCACATTATCTTTTTTATTCAAATAACTATTCGATTTTATCAAAAACTCACCCCAATCTCATCATCAAATCTTTTACGTGGCAATGTTATCTCCTTTGCTTTTTATTATCTTTTTTAGTTTAGTTTAGTTTACTCAAGTCACCATTTTTTCCCTCTTTACTTCATATACATATATATGTATATATATAATATATCTATATATGTATAATACATCAGTCTTTATAACTTGAATTTAGTAGTAATTTGTTAATGTAGTGATTTGTTTAATTCTATGTAGTGCTTCTGATATCTTGCATTCAACCAATGAGGGTCCAGATCCCCAAACATAATTCCACATCCGTTATAAAGATGAATCAGGTATTCTTGCACGATATAACCAACTTCTCCGGCCGTGAACTTGGCTAAGCATAGGTTATGTATCATTCAATTATAAATCTTACCATCTAACCCTGTTACTTCCTTTTTATTCGTCTATTTCAAATTCGTAGGTTACGGATAATTCTCATAGTAATGGTAATTGACGGTTATGTTCGCTTTAAAGATAATAAATTTTGAGCCGCACGGCAATCGATGGAATAGACAAAAAAAGAAAAAAATTTGTGTATGAGTTCTAATTTTGCATCAAGAATTTTTCCTAAACTTGGAAATAACATAAACGCCCCTTTGATAAAGTAGATATAAACGAATATCCCTGTCAAAAATTATGTAACTATGGTTCATTATGGTTCATAATTTCTAAATTTATGTAATTAGGTTTCAAATCTATATAAACTATACGAAATCCTCCTGTAAATTTTTATTTCTCTCAGATCTGATTTCCATTTACAATATCAACAATTCACGTTCTTTTACGTATAACATTATTCTTTTCACATATACATTACGCGTATTTCATTATGACGATTAAACAAAAGGTCTTATTCATCGGGAAATTAAACACTGAATGTGTTGAATATCTTCAATTCGCTAAACGCTTCGAATGTATTCATTATCAAATCACATCAATGCAAGAATTGATCCATGATTTCCAACATAAATTAAGTGATGTTGAAGCCATATATGCCGGTTGGGGTGGGTTTGATATCGTAGGTGGATTCAATGGAGATGTATTAGATTTCTGTCCTCCTCATTTAAAAATGGTGGCTATTTGTTCTATTGGATTTGATGGTTATGATGTTCAAGGTATGGCTAAAAAAAATATTATATTAACAAATGTTCCTTCTATGATTGCATCTGAAGCCGTGGCTGATTTAGTATTATATAATACTATTCAAAGTTTTAGAAATTTTAAAATCTTTGAACAAAATTTACAAGGGAAATATTCCAATACTGGAACTTTAAGAACTTCTTTAGTTCATGGTAAATTTGATCAATTTACAGGTCAACCAATTTTAAAACCCGTCATTGGAAATTCATTTTCTCATTCAGTTTGTGGTAAAGAAATCTTATCCCCTCGTAAACATAATGCTGTCATAGTTGGGTTTGGAAGTATTGGTAAATTAATCGGTCATAGATTATCTGCTATTGGAATGAATATTCATTATATTAAAAGATCAAAATTATCTCCCTTTGAAGAATTAGAATTGAATTATAAAACAACTTATCATGCTAATTTGGATGAAGTTAAGGATATTGTTGATTTATTGATCATTGCTTGTCCAGGATCTGCTCAAACTAAACATATGGTAAATGGATCCTTAATCAACTCTATCTCCAAACCATTCAGAATTATTAATATCGGTAGAGGTTATATCATCGATGAACCAGCTTTAGTTGATGGATTAAGAAATGGAAAAATCTTATTTGCCGGTTTGGATGTCTTTGAAAATGAACCAACTGTCAATCCTGATTTAATCGGAAGACAAGATGTAGTCTTAACTCCTCATATTGGTTCTTCAACTACTGAAAATTATAATTATACCATGTGTACTGCCATGGAAAATATCGAACATGTCTTATTAAACACCGGTGGAAAAATCACCAATGTTAATTAGAAGACTTGTTTGATCTGTTTGGTTTGGTTTGGTTTTATTTATTTCTTATTGTATTTATGGGTTTATAGAGAATATTATATTGAAATAGAAGTAATTTGTCAATTGTAATTAAACTCAATTTTTGTCATTTTTTACTGCGAAAATGAATTATAATTTTTAGGTAGCAAAAATTATGACGGTCAAACCTACTTTTTGAATACAATTGTGGTTAAATTATCAATACATCATCAAAAGATGTCAACTAAGCTTTCAACCACGTCAGAGGCGAAGAAACCTATCAAAAGAAGATTACCTACCAATCCAAAAGTAACCGCTGAAGAATTAACCAAACGAATCTTATTCTTCCTTATTGAGAACTTAATTTCGATTAATAAAATTGATAATCAATGCTTTAGAAGTTGTATCACCAATAATGAAATATCATTCATCCCAGATCTGGAAACATTGTTCCATTTGACTAATGAAATCTTCAATGATTTCCAAATATATTTCCATCATTACTTTTCCAAACCAGAAACAAATTTTCAAATCTGTTTAACTTTACATAAATGGTTACCACCCAATGAAATCAATCCCTTCATGTTTGTTAACCTTCATTATATTAATCAAGGGTTTAAGTTATGTGAATTGCCATTGGGATTGTTTGAATTTGATGATAATAACTTTTCCATCTTTTTAATTAATAATGAAAAGATTTTGAATAGAAATCTTCATTTTGTTACTACTAATTTCAAATTATCAGAAGTTCAAAAGGATTTATTAAATTACTCGATGAATAAAGATAATAATAAGGATGAAATTGATAATCTGATCTTTTACTGTTTACCAAAGATTATATTAGAAATGTTAGGTCTGGTGTTTATTGAATTACATCATGGTTTGAAATTAGATCATATGTTAGAGATTTCAAATTGTTTAGATTATAATAATTATTGTTCAAATGATGGTTTATCCCATTTAGTTCAAATGTTCTTGGGAAATATCTATATTAAATTAATCAAACTTGATTTTGAATCATTTGTTCCACTGCCAGAAGATAAGAATAATATTTATTTTGATATTTTAAATAAAAACTGGTTAAAATCAAAGAAATCATTTACATTAACCTATCTTTCTGCCATATTATTTTATAGAAATTCTATAAATTCATCAACTTTAACTGAACAAGATTGGGAATTGATTACATTTATTTATGATCTTACTATAAGATTTCAAGAAATCATTTGCTGTTGTAATGCGAATGAAAATCCCAATGTTCATATGTTATCAAAATGGTTGAAGATTGCCATAATTCATGTATCTACATTTTTGAAATGTCACCCTTCAATATGTAATATTAAAATTGACTCAGTTTTGATTCTGTTATTAGATAATTTAAAACAAATTCATAATAATATTCAAGACAATTTCAATATGATTATTTCCAGTTATTTACATCCATCAACTAAAAGATATCTTAATGATCAACAAGTTGGTAAAATCAATAATTATGTTGGAAAATTAACGTCGCCGAATGTCAAGGGTGGTCAAGATAAAGATAATAATATTCTGTTAAGTATTGATAATATTGATGATATGATAATGCAGTTATTTGATTGTAGTGGGAAAGCAACTAAAGAATGTTATAATTATGAAACTTCTTCAACTAGCGAAATCAAATATTCTAAAAATTCAAGTTATATTGCAAAGGAAAATGGTCCATTTCTTTTACAATTTTGGGAAAAGAATCAATATAAGTATAACAATTTATCAAAACTTGCATCTAAATCATTATCAATCCAATTAAGTACCAATCTTGAATCTATTGAATCCTTCAAAAAATCATTTGCCAATTTACAAACGTATGATCATAATTATTCCATTCAATTTTTACAACAATATTACGTTTTACATGGTTTAAGTATGAATTATGATTTACAATCATTTGATGTAAAGAATTTTGATTCGGATATTGATAATTTCAGATTAGATAGACTGGAATATGTTGATATGGATATTGATTCTAGTTTTGAAATTGATATTAATGATTATCAAGGTAAAAGGTTTAAAAAGTGATGTTTTTTTTTTGCAACTATGGTATTCCCACCAACTTTCTCCTCCTCTTCATACCTGATCGTGCCCATACCGAAATTTGATTCTGTTGCCAACTCCTTTTTTTTCTGGTGGGTGTCTCCTTTTGGTGTGTGGGATGGGTGAATTCTAAATCGTTGATATTTGAGACAGATTGTAAATCCATTTTGGGGAAGTAGATCAAATCTAATATCAAAATACATCAATCCATTTGTATATTTTTCTATAGAGCTTAATAGATTCAATTGTATTCTGGTTGAGATAATGTCACTTTACATTGGTGTTTATAAGGCATTATACGAATATCCAGCTCAAGCTGAAGAAGAATTGACTCTTCAACCAGATGATATCTTATACTTGTTAGAAAAATCAGACATTGATGAATGGTGGAAAGTTAAAAAGAGAGTATTACCTGTTGGTGAGGAAGAAGTTGATGAACCTGTTGGATTGGTTCCTTCTAATTATATTGAACAAGCTCCAGTATTGAAAACTGCATCCGCGTTATTTGATTATGATAAGCAAACAGAAGAAGAATTATCATTCAAGGAAGGTGAAAAATTCAATGTTTATGATCTTAATGACCCTGATTGGTTATTAGTTTCAGACTCAGCTCAAACTTCATTTGGTTTCGTACCTTCAAATTATATCCAACTTGATTCTTCATCTGCGGCTGCGGCTCCTTCTACATTCCCACCGGTAAACCTTGCACCACCACAATCTCAAGTTCAACCACTTCCAATAAGTTCTTTTGCCCCTCCTCCACTTCATAGAGATAGATCTGAATCAGCCGCCCCAGAACCTGTCCAAGAAGAGCCTGTGGCTCAATCTAATAATTATAATAATAATAATACCAATTATCATGATGATCAATATTCTTACGAACCAAGTCCTCAAAAGCTTCAAACAAATAATCGTGACCAATACAATGATAATAGCTATGGTCATCATCAAGAAGAAGATGACGAAGCTCCTCCTCCTCCAATGCCTTCTAGACCTCGTGGTGAAAGTACTAATAGTGTAGTTGATCTTAATAAACCTCATCCTGAACTCCCAACCAACCTTGCTGGCCCAAGTCCTCCTACCACTGGTTCTGAAAATGTCGAAGATTTACATCAAGAGCATACGTTTGATGGAGAATTCTTTACCTGGTATATTGATGAAGTAGATGGTCGTAAAAAGAAACCAGTTATTTTTTCAATTGGTCAAGGTTTAGTTATTATAAGACCAAATAATAAAGATGCTAATGGATCAGCTAAAAAATTAAGATTAAGATCATCATCAGGTGTATCTACTATAGATAATCAATGGAGAATCAAAGATGTGATAGATTTCAATCAAGAAAAGAAACATATATTCTTGGACTTAAAGAGTCCAACTGCGTCAGTTGAATTACACTGTGGAACTAGAGATGTCGCTGAAGCTATCTCGTCTATTTTAGGTGATTTGAAAGGTGCTGAACATGCTACTGGATTGAAAGAAATTGCCAAAGCTTCCCAAGCTAAAACTAGTGATAAAAATAGAAAGATTGGTAGATTGATCTATGATTTTACTGCTCAAGGTCATGATGAATTATCTGGTAAAGAAGGCGATGAAGTATATGTGGTTGATGAAAGTAAATCTGCTGATTGGTGGTATTGTGAAATTATTGAAACTGGTAAGCAAGGGGTGATTCCTTCAAGTTATGTTGAAGTTATTGGTACTTCCAATTTAGATAAATTAACTGATGGAGTTCTTAGAAGAAAGTCAACTAAATCATCTAAAGGTAGAGTGGTAGATAACAATGGTAAATCTCCTGAACCTAGTGGTCGTCATAATCGTGGAAGAGGTGAAAGAGATAAGATTAGAGAAAAGGATAAAGCTCAAAGAGAGAAGAAACTTAGTTCACCATCTAAAAAGGATGATAAATCAGGTCCAAACATACACAGAGTCAGAACTTGGATTGATAGTTCTGGTTCCTTTAAAGTTGAAGCTGAATTTTTAGGTTGTGTGGAAGGTAAAATTCATTTACATAAAACTAATGGTGTCAAAATCGCTGTTGCTGCTGTCAAATTATCAGTAGAAGATTTAGAATATGTTGAAAAGGTTACTGGTACTTCATTGCAAGATTACAAAGATGAAGTCGAAAAACAAATGCAAAAGAGAGCTAAAGCTAGTGCCGCCAAGCAACAAAGTGGAGTTTCTTCATCTTCAGCATCTGGTGCTGTTAAAGTACAAAAGACTCATTCTGCAACTGCTGCAATTAATGATATTCCTCCTCCTCAACCAACAAGACCTAAAACAACAACTAAACTTACTACTTCGGAACCAGATTATGATTGGTTTGAATTTTTCCTTCAATGTGGTATCGATATTGGTAACTGTCAACGTTATTCACTTAATTTTAGTCGTGAACAAATGGATGATAATATTCTTGAAGATATTACACCATCTCTTTTGAGAACCTTAGGATTAAGAGAAGGTGACATTATAAGAGTAATGAAATTCTTAGATACTAAATTCGATAGAAAGAAAACTCCAGTTGATAATGCTGGTGCTTCAGGAAGTTTATTTGTTGATCCAAATGGAACTTTGAAAAACAATAACTCATCTATTGAGGTTCCAAAAGTCAGTGCAGATTCATTACCTTCTCCTCAAAAACAAGAAGTACCAAAAATTGAACAACCAACAGAACAATCAGGTAATAAATTCGAAGATGATGCTTGGGCTGTTAAACCTGCCGCTAGATCTAGTGAAGACCTTCTGAGACCAAGTTCTCAACCTCAAACTCCTCAATATACTGGTGCATTACAAGATTTGGTAGATATAAAACCAGTTGGATCTACTTCAAGTATTAACAATAAACCTCCGGTTTCAAACTTTCAACAAGGTCCATCTGCTCCAGCTTTAACACCTGTCAAGACTGGTAACCTTATCCAACCGGGCCAACAGTTTGCTGTACAAAAGACTGGTACTAATGTTCAGTCACAGGCTACTGGTGGTTTCGTTCCTATTCAAAAAACTGGTTTGATTCCAATTCCAACTGGTGGTTTATTTTCTCAACCTACCGGGTTTATGCCAATCACAGCCCAACCAACTGGATTTATGCCAATTCAACAAACTGGAGGTTTGCAACCACAATACACATTTGGAATAGTCCCACTTCAAACAGGAACTACAACATTTAATGGTCAAAAGACTGGTCCTCAAGTTGGACCTCCATTTACAACATTTGGTCAACCAACACTCGTTCCAGTTACTACAGGTCCTCTGGGTTTTCCAATTACTACATTTGGTCAATCATTACCTTTGCAAATTACTGGTGGTATTTTACCTCCTCAATTTACTGGTGGAATTCCAATAACTTCTTTTAATCTGGCTCCCATTGTTCCAGCTCAAAGGACTGGTGGTGGTTTACCTCCAACTTCATTTAATCAAGGTCCGATTATGCCTGCTCAAAGAACTGGGGGTGGCCAAATAACTGGTGGTTTTATTCCTCAATCTGCTTTCGGTCAACAGATCACCGGAGGTTTTAACCAAGCTCCTAATGCATTCCCTCCTACTACATTTGGTACTCAAGCTACTGGTGGTCAACCATTTGCTTCATTTGGACAACCAGCTCCAGCTACATTTGGTGGTCAAGCTACGGGACAACCAATAGGTACAAATCCATTTGGTTTTAATCAAGCTGCACCTCAACCACAAGCTACTTTTGGTGCAGGATATGGTCAACCACAACCACAACAAGCTTTCGGGTCCCAATTTGGTCAACCAACTTTCCAACCTGCACAAACAGGATTTGGTCAACCTCAACAACAACCTGCATTCAATCAATTCCAACAACCTCAACAACAACCAGATATGAACCAATTGACTAATATGTTCCAAAATACAGGTTTTAATCCACAACAACAACAAACTTTCAATCAACCTCCAGCTCAATTCCCAAATACATCATTCGGTCAGCCAGCAAACCCTCAATTCGAAGGTTTCGCCCCACAACCATTACAGAACCAACCAACTGGAGTTGGTTTTGGTAATGCTCCTTTACAAGCTCAACAGACTGGTGGTAGAAGAGCTAATTTACTGGCTGCTACTCCAGATAATCCATTTGGATTCTGATTGTACTATTGTATTAAAAAAAAATCCAAAAAAAGACACCATTATCTAGATAGATAGCATATGTAATAACCTCTTTGACTTACATTAAAACCTTCTTACTTATTTTCTTGCTTTATATATTATTATTATTATTAAAAATATGCTTTTGACGATCAGTTTAATTGAACTTGTAGAAATGTGTAAATTTTACCCCTGTTTGTGTGTAAGATGTATCCCCCAGAAAAATTTGACTGCAAGAATGTGATCTATAACTTATTTGAATCATATCCCTTATACAACTTCAAATAACCAGTCCAATCTATCCTACAAGATGCAATTTGATGAAGCAAATGTATTCTTGCCCTTTGCTGAGTTTCTTCTTAGAATTCATGAAGATTTATTAATACAACCACTTAGAGGTGATCTCTGCAAAACTATGGTGTTATTTAACAAATATTTAAATGATATCGACTCAGGAATCCAATACAAGTTAGAAGAGTTTTTTCAATATATTATTCTTTTCAATGAAGTTAGTGGAAATGCATTAAGATTAGATAGATCAATTGAATGTAATAAGGAAATTACAACCATTTTAGAAATGCCTAGACTTGTGTGGATAAATTTGGCAGCATTATCAATTTTAAAGGATCGATTATTAGGGAATCCATTTCAAGGGATTGCTTTTAAAGCTAAACGGGTTAGACATCATAAGAATGATCAAGATCACTTGTTGGACTTACTTGATAAACCAATTCTTACTAGAATTGAAGCAGAAGTGACTAGTTCGTTGTCAGGTAGTAATTTTCATTGTGATTACTTGACTTTAGACACATTATTAAGGAAACCTAATAGTAGATCCATATTAGCCAAAGAAAAGATTAGATTAAAAGTCTTAGAAAAACCATTTTATGAGGTTTGCAATGATTCTAATCATAATCAGATGCTTACTAGTTTTTGCTTTAATAAAAAGGAACATGGGAATCAAAGTTTAACTAAACAAAATTTTCCTGATGTTAGTATAATTCATCAAAAGTTAAATCAATACAAGAATTTAATGCCTCAGGATATCTTTGAATGTTCTCAAACTAAGACTCACTATTTACCTATCATTAATAGTCATACTGATTATTATTTAGGAGATTGCTCGTATTTGGATACTTGTCATAAGATGAAGACATGTAGATACTTGCATTACTATTCCCTTGCTCCTCTTTCAAACTTGGATATTGTTGATCAACAACAATTAGAAAAATGTAAAAATCATGAATACACATTAGGTGAATGCTTTACAGAATATCAAAGGCAGATTGTACCTCCACATTGGATTAATTGTGATGTTAGATATTTACCATTTCAAGTTTTAGGTAAATTTGCAGCAATTATTTCTGATCCTGCGTGGGATATTCATATGTCATTACCATATGGGACATGTAAAGATGATGAATTATTATCTTTACCCATGCATGAATTACAAGATGAAGGGATTATTTTACTTTGGGTTACTGGTAGATCAATTGAGATTGGTAGACGTGCTCTACTTAAATGGGGTTATCTGATTTCTGATGAAATGATTTGGGTGAAGCTTAATCAATTAAGAAGAACAATTGTGACTGGAAGAACTGGTCATTGGTTAAATCATTCAAAGGAACATCTTTTAGTTGGAATCAAGGGTGATCCAATCTGGTTAAATCGTAAAATGGATGCTGATGTGGTTGTTAGTAGCACTAGGGAAACTCTGAGAAAACCAGATGAAATTTATGATGTAGTTGAGAGAATGGTTGGTGTTCATTCCCGTAAATTAGAAATCTTTGGTAGAGATCATAACACGAGACCAGGATGGTTAACTATTGGAAATCAATTACAAGGTACAAACATCGAGGAAGATGAAGTTAAATCAAGATTTGAAACATATCTTAAAAATCATAAATAATCATAACTAATCATAAGTAAACATAATATATAATCTCATATTGGTCAGGCCATTTATGGCTCTTATTTACTCTTTTGAGCATCTTTTAATTTGAAATCTCTTGCAAGTACACCAGCCTTGTTATTCATAGTCTTTTGTAAATCTGTCTTAAAACCTGAAGCAAAGGCAATTTCATAAACCACAAAGAATGGTGCTAAAACTAAAGCTTGTAATAAATTATCAATTAAAGCTGGAGCTCTCTTTTCATGAACACCATGACCATAGAATTGGGCAAGCCAACTTCCAACATGAGCAACAATGGCATAATTGATGAATTGAGTTTGAGTTAAAATAGACGAATCATCTAAAGTCAAATAAAAACTCTTAACAAGATAAGCATAAGCTGATAAAAATAAGAAACTTGGAACTCCTAAAGTCCAATCGAGTAAAATATAGTAAAATCCATATCCAAATGCCATCAATGAACCAAAATTAACATAAGGATTATCTAAACCAATAACATCGTGGGGAAGTAAAATGGTAATAATTGAAAGCAATATGATTGGTATGCACACCAAATGTATAGCAACGTTGGTAGGATTGAAATGGTAAGATCTGTAGAACACCAAATGGCCTTCGATGTCGAATAAACCAGCCATATTTAACCTTTATGAATTAATTTTGTGGTATAGATCCAAAGTTATATTGAAATTAAAAGGGTGGGATTTTTGAATCCAATTTATATTCCCCAAATTGAGAGTTAAAGCTATTTCGCTTGTTTGGGTTAGGGGCTCACTGTTTATTTTTTTTCGGTGTGAGACAATTAACTATTGCGGAAATAAAAGTGGGGACTCCATTGTTAATGGTAAAACTTGTATGTTAACAGGCGGCTCAAAGGGAAGCAAGGAGGGAGAGGGGAGGTCAAATTGCTTTTTATGATTAATGATCCCGAGGGAGGACCTTGAGTTACATATTATAAAAGTTCTCGAAATAGTTGTTTATTTGCTGTTCTGGGTGAACAATTTTCTTGTTATATACTCTATAGATACATTATATAGACTTTTACCATTCTCTTAAGGCCAAAGCAGGTCTCTTTACAACTCTACTTCTCTTTAATGGTTTTGAGATTTGATTTTCGAATTTGGTAGCCTCGTATAAATCTCTACCAACATTATCTAAATCTTTAACTTTATAAATTCTTACCATAAAGTTTTCTGAAGTGAAAGCTTCTTCAAGAACATGTAATTCTGGTGCTTGATCAACTGGAATTTGTTGATTTCTAACTCTATCTGGAGCATCTCTTCCTCCAAATAATTCAGCAAATCTATAATATGATAATTTATACATAACAGAATCCTTCATGGTTTGTGATGCTTCTCTATCTAATTTATATTCACCCTTTTCGGTAAAGAAATCTCTTTCTCTGATTTCATCAGGCCATACACCTTCTGAAATTCTTACCATCCATAAGAATTTATTAAGATCATCTCCGGAGAAACCAATTAATCCTCCGAAAATAACAAGAACATAATCAACATCATGTTTCTTGAAGATCTCATAAGCCTTATCTTCTGGTGAGGACATGGCTTTACCAACAGTGGCAATATGGGTATTATTCCAAGTATTGTTATCGACTAATGTAGTTCTATCAGCCATACCACCAATTTGATAACCATAATCCCACCATGCTAAAACTTTGGAATCTTCTGGAGTGTTCATTCTTAACCAGTAATAAGCTTCTCTATAATCATCAATGATATTTTGAGATCCATCTGGATTTCTTGAAGCTAAAACCACAGATGGAGAAGAGTATGCATTATTAGTAACCCAAGTACAATGTAAGACAAAGTAAAATAAGTAGAATGCAAAAGTTAAAGTAACAATTAATTTAGTAATTAATGGTAATAAAATCTTCTTTTCTTCAGAACTCTTTTTAGCATTCTTTTTTGTGGATTTTTCAGTGACTTCTTCTTCTTTAGTAGTGAAGACATCAACAATATTTAAGTAAACATCAAACAAGTTAGATAATGAAATAGCACCAGTAACACAAATAATAGGAGTTAAAGTTAACATTAATCTAACCATTACACCAGCGAAATAAGAACATAACACGGAATAAATGATAATGAAGACATGTTCATCTCTCATTTCTTGGAAACAAATATAAACACCAGCTGGGAATAACCAAATTAACATACCGGTATCAAAGAAGAACGCAGGCCAAGCAGTAGGTTGATGTTCTGAAACAGAAGCAATGATTGGAATATGGATCTTAGCATAGTTTGTATCCCATAAAGAATAGAAACGACCACCCCATGGAGCAATCCAACCTAAAGCAGTTAAACCCACTAAACCAGCAACACCTAAAAGGATAACTGAAGTTAAGGAGATAGCTAAGAAAGTTTTGAATTGGGTGGTTGGAACTTTAGATTTAACATAATCACCAAAAGCAACTAATTGAAGTAATCCAAATACACCTAAAGCAGCCATATGATCATTTGATCTAAGCGGGATAAAACCCACAAATGGAATTTGCATAGAAGCCAACGTTCCTAAAGCATACCAAGTTGAATAAGCGGTATATAATCTATGAGTATAACGACCCATTAATAATAAAACAAACACATGTAATGGAATTAAATTAGTAATGAAAACGTAACCACCCCAAGCTGAAACCATATAGAAATAGAATAAAGCAGTTAAAGTACCATAGAAAACAGAACCAATTTTCATAGCTTTAATCCAGAAATAAAAGGTAGCCATTAATAAAGTGATAGCAATGGCTTCATTATCATAGGAACCAGCCACTGATCTTGAAATATAACCAGGAGCAATACCCATAAAGATAGCTGCTAATAAACCTGCATTTGAATCTTTCATTTCTTTAGTTAAGAAATAAGTGGAGATAGCAGTTAAACCAGAAAAGGCAGGGGCTAATAACACACAAATATTTCTGATATCAACTGGTAAACTAAACCATTCTCTTAAGATATGCCAGATAGCACCTGAAGTAACCATAAGACCAGGATATAAAGTACCACCAGTGACTCTACCTAATGGATACCAAGTTCTATCATCGAACCAATTTAAGAATTCATAAAAGGAATGGGAAACAAGGTATTTAGTAGCTCTGAAGTTAAACCAAGGATCAAATTCATGAATAATTGATTCAAACCTTATCACAGAAAACAATCTTGATGAAATAGCAGCACCGGCTATTGATATAAAGATGATAACTTTCAAAAGCAATCGAATGGTTTCAATGTTGACACCATACACCTTCAATGGGGAGGCCTTTGCTGTCGACATCTTTATGGTTCGATTTGATTGAAGTTGATGATGTGATGGATAGTCAATTGTATGAAATAAATGATATAAATCAACGTCAAACCTGTGTCTGTTGAAAAATTAAAAAATGAACCACCGTGTTTTTACTGTCCAGAGCAATAATAAATACATGGCATTATGCAGGAAAATTAACTATGTAAAAATTTATTATTATTATGCTTCACTCACAGTTATAGTTACGTATTTATTATATACAAACATATCTAAAATATTTAAAAGGAACTCCAACTCCAATTAGGAGGAACACTAGTTGCCAATTGCTCAGTACGAGACTTTTGTCGTTGACGTTGTTGTGGATCAGATGATTGATCTGGTTGTTGTTCTGATACTTGTGATGGAGGTGCTGGTTGTTGTTCTTGTTGAGGACTATATTGTGATCTACCCAATTGTAATTGAGCTCTCTTATAGGCACTATATTGCTCTAATTCCGATTTATGGATTGGTCTATATTCATCAAAATCATATTCATTATTTTCATTAGCATGACTTACATCCCTTTTATTCAATGGAACCCCGAATTCTTTCTTTATGAATTCATTATAATCATTAATACATAAATCACAAACTTTAGATAATGTACCTCTACCTCCTGTAGTGAAATTAGCATTCTTATTAATATATAAATAATGTGAGGTATGTTCTTTACAATAAATACCTCCACATTTACGACAATGATGTCTTCTTTCAAAGAAATTGAATTCTTTATTACAACTTGGAATACCACATTTGGTAGCTGCTTCATCTTTTAACCAATGATTTCTAGTAGGAGTAGTTGAATAAAGTTTATTTGCTGTACCCCCATTTAAGAAATTAATGATTGAACTGGGTATACTTGAAAAATTTGAATCCATAGAAGTAGTAGACTCATTTGATCTTACTGAACTTCTTGATGATGGTCGTTGAATTGATGGATTATTAAGTACTTCTTCATATGGTTGAGCATTAGTATTGAAATCTGATGGTGAATTTGATTTAGCAGATGTATTGGAATTCGTAGGTGATACCCCATTCATGGTTTTTCTTAACACAGCTGGAACATACATTGGACTTCTAAACCCTTTAATTTGTTGTAATTTACGCGTTGGTTTAGGATAAAGTAAATTAGTTGGTTGAGATGTGGCCGATACGGCATGATTCATCATGGTTGTTTGAGATTGTTGTGGTAATGATTGTTGTTGTTGGGGTATTCTTCTACTTTGTAATGATTGTGGAGCAGTTACAGCAACAGGTGGTACTCTTTGATGAAGTTGTGGTTGTGAATGAGGTTGACCATGACTATATTGAAGAGGAGGTTGCAGCTTCATTTGAGAAGATATTTGTGGTCGTACGGGTGATTGGGATGATTCTAAATCTGATGTAGATGCTATATGACCTGGAATATTCTTTAAATGCAATTGAGGTAAATCACGATGATATTGTTGTTGTTGTTCACTTGTACTTAATTCATTAACAGTTTCTCCTTCAGGGACACTTGGTAAAGTTGATAAAGATGGTTGCTTTTGAATATCTTGTACAGTTTCTATATGATCACTTTCAACACTATTACTTACTTCCACTTTTTCAGGAGTTACTTCTGCTGGAGAACCCACAATTACTTTAGGTTGTCTAGTAAGACTTGCAAATGTAGATAAATCAACCTCCGCAGGTTGATATGGTTCTTGTTGATGTTTTAATTTGGATGATGTATGACTGATATGAGAATCATCTTTACTGATTGTAGTTTTCCTTACCATTGGTTCATCAGGATTAATTGATATTGGTGATAAACTTAACTTTTTCAAAGCATTTAAAGTCAAATTCTGTTGTTGTAATAAAGTATCACGATCTTCTACTTCTAAATGGGTTTGTTGAGGAATTTGTTGCATTGGTTCATCTGAGGTATCTTCTTCTTGTGATTGTTGTTGTTGTTGTTGTTGTTCATTTGGTTCACTTTCTGATTGTTGTAGAGAAGTATTTAGGATATCATTAAAAGGAAGTTGTTGACCTATAGGAACTTCATTTTCTAAGTTCTTAAGATTGGTTATGCTTGATAAGACAGGAGCTTGAATAAATGATTGGAAATTTCTAGAATTGGCATTAACGGATGGATTAGCATTATTACTAATGATACTATTATTTCTACCATTTGGGAATGGGTTATTGTTGGTACTATTATTATTAGTACTATTATTATTATTTGAACTATAATTTAATGCTTGTTGTTTCAAAGATTTTAATGATGCCGTTGATAAAACAGATTGAAATGATTGAGTTCTTGATTTCCTTACATCTTTCTTTTTAAACGTTAAATCGGATGAGAATTCAGATTTAGAATCATCATTTTTATCGTCTAAAGTAAGATTATTATCATTATCATTATCATTACTACTAGTATTGCCATCATCTTGTCTTGTATTACTTTCTTCTTCATCACTATTTATATTGTTATTATTACTATCCCTTTCTGGGGATGCGAATGAAAAAGTTGCTGATGATTTTTTTGGCTGCTGTTGACTAGATGGTGTATTAGTAGATACTTGAGGTATATCAGTAGTAGTAGTAATAATAGCTGTACCAGCAGCTATTGCTTCCAACTCTTCAGTTGTTGTGTTCATGGTTTAAACAAAAGACAATCTTAAAAAAGGTGATTAGACGATGAATGAAATGATAAATTAATTATGGGGTATAACAACCAAGTAGCAGACGATACTTGAGAAGGAATAGACTTTGAACTGAATGCAAAAAAGGATAGTACTAAGATCTAAAGGAATAAATAAATAAATAAGGAAATGAATCTGGAAATGAAGATGACAAAGAATATGATAACAATAAATGCCAAAACCACCTACCTATACCAAATACAGATTAGGTTTTGATTGGAATTGATGTTGTAAAAGTTTTGTATGGTGCTTTTTTTTTTTTTTTTTTTACTTTTAGAAGAAGCCAGCCGTTAAAAAATGACAAAAACATCGATATGACGAAAACTGATGTCAGCAAATGACAAAATGATAGAGTTTTGTCATTTCTGTAAATTTTGCGACATTATTTATAAAAATCATTTTATTGGCTGGAAATCTGGGAGTGCCCCGGGATTATTTTTTTTTCTTCTACCCTTCAGCTCCTGGAAGGAATTTAAACTACAAAACAAGGATAATCAAACAGTTTCTTGATTGATTGCTACAATAGTATAGACAAGGACAGATTATCATATACAATGCTCGCACGTCAAGGACTCGGTTTGTTAAGACAACCAATTACTTCTTCTCTTTTATCCCATTCAATCAAATTATCATCCACTAGATTAGTGTTAAATAGATCAATTTCAACTATTAAAGCAAGTCATGAAAAGGAACAAGAATTATTAATTGCACAACGTAAAAACAGACCAGAATCTCCTCATTTAACTATATACCAACCTCAATTAACTTGGATATTATCCAGTTTCCATAGAATCACTGGGGTTGCCTTGGCTGGTATGTTTTATGCTTTAACTTGTACTTATGCTGCTACTTCAATCTTAGGTATATCATTCGATTCTGCTAGTATTGTCGGTGCTTTTGCTACTTTACCATTCATTATTAAATTAGGTGCTAAGGCTGCTGGTGCTTACCCATTTGCTTTCCATATCTTCAATGGTGTTAGACATCTTGTTTGGGATTTCGGTCTGCAATTAACTATCCCAGGTGTTTACACTACTGGTTACATTGTCTTAGCTGCTACTGGTTTATTAGGTACTTACTTAGCTTTCTTTTAAGTTAACTGGTTAATTTCTTTCCATATCCCATTTATCAGCATCTATCTTTAATTCAATTTGCCATAGCAAATCACCTACATTTTCATCAATCATCATTTTATTTATATTTATTTATATATTCTCTCATTTTAGTTTATGTTTATGATCGTTAATAAACAAATCTTCAAATCATAATTATGCTTACATTGATTGTAGTTTATATTTTACCTTTGGTTAAAAAAATATCTTATACATTTTTATATTTCAAATATAAAAAATTCTATATAAATCAGATCTTTTCATCTAAGATCAAAATCAGTATCAAAACATAAACATGGTGTATCATTAGTACAGAATCCACAATTCAATTTTAATTTCTTTTTAATTAAATTATCAAGACTAACTTTTGACTTAGTAATAGTTCTACTATTACTATTTTCATTATTAGTAGTTACATTATTATTATTATTATTGTTATTATTATCATTATTCATAGTTCGATCATTACCATTATTGGAATTTGAATGAATCTTCACATTACCTAATTTCTCTTGTTCTTTAAGTAATAAATCAGATACTCCAGCTGTAGTAGCTCCAGTAACTCCAGATGCAGATGCAGTACTGCTACTTAATGAACTAGTACCATTGGTACTGGTATTAGTACTGATATCATTCAACATTAATCGACTTAAAAAATCAGGTTCTTCCATGATTAAATCAATATCATCATCATTGGAAATAAGTTCATTATGCATAAGCACTGAATTCATTTTCAAAGCATCAATAAGCTTTGAATTGGAGGGTATTTGGTTAATTTCATTATCATTATCAGCGTTATTAAGGTTGGAGGCATTTAAATTGGTATTGTTATTGGTGGAGGTATTATTGGATTCATTTAACATATCAATAATCATATCAACATCATCATTCGTATCTGGATCAAATAAATTAATCGATTTAAGTGGTTTCAATAAATCAGGTGTGAAAACATTATTAGTTACATTTGTATTATTACCACTAGTGGCAGCAGCAGCGGCAGCAGCTGCTTTCTTTTTATTATTTTGACGTTTTAAACTATTCAATTTCTTTAATTCTTCATTCTTCATAGCTTTGAATTTATCTCTGATACTTAAATAATGATTAATTTGATCATTAATAGCAACTTCAGATGTATTATTATTTCCTTGTTTTTTTGTAGCACTATGAATGATATTACTTGATTTAGTTAAATAATTCAATGCCTTATTTAAATCATTTAAATTATTAATTGATTCAATATTATTTGTAGATACCACAGAATTAACACTTGACATCGAACTTGAATTATTAACATTCATTGAAGATGATGAGGTGGAATTTAATCGTTTTAATTTAAGACTATTGCTATTCATAGGATTAACATTATTCTTTAACGCATCAAATGTTATAACTCCATTTTGAACAAAGGATAATTCTTTAATTTGATTGGTTATAACTTCAATATAATTCCTTATCACTTCTTGTTCTTTCAATTTCGATAAATAACACATTTTAAGATCCATGATTTCAGTCTTTGGATCAATTGGAATATTTGCCTTTTGAACTGCTATTGGAGCTGGAGGGGGAGGAGGGGCAGCTTGAACAACAGGGATGTTTGTATCTTGTGATATTGGTTGTCTGTGTACTTGTTGTGGTGGTTTTTGTTGTTGTAGGATAGGTTGTGGAACAGGCTGAGGTTGAATATGTTGTTGCATTGGCTCCTGTTTGATTTTTGGTTGGTTCACTGACATTGATACAGGTGTATTTGATATTGATGATGCTTGAGTTGAAGTGTTTCTAGTAGGAGGAGTTTGAGGAAGAGGAGATGTTGAAGATGATGTTTTGGGAGTAGGAGTTGGAGTCTTATTTATGAAACTTTTTATATCTGGAGAATTTGATTTGGCAGATTGTTGACTGTTTATTCCATTTAATTTCTTAGGATATTGTTGTTGTAATTGATTTGCAATCTTGTTTCTTTCACCTTCAACATTGGATATTTCAGTTTTAGTTGTCTCAATCTTAATAATCTTTGGTGGTGATGAATTTTGGTTTGGTACATTTACTACCATGCTATTAGACAATGGTATAGATGGTTCGATTTCCTTTTTAATAACCTTACTTCTCTTCTTTGTAGTACTAAAAGAACCATTTACTCCGGTATTTGAACCTGTCTTGGTATTGGTATGGGTTGATAATTTATCATCATTTACTCCACTTGTAGTTGGTTTTCTTCCTGGTCTTGGTCTTGGAGGTAAAACCCAACGCTTTGAAGTATTCAATGTCGAATCCAACGAATTATTCAGATTTGGAATGGGAGAAAATGTACTTGGTTTAGGCAACACTGGTTTAGGCGCTATTGCTGGTTGAATTTTGGTATATTTTTGATGATGATGATGATGAGGTTGTTGTTGATGATGACCATTATTATGAGGATTATGATTATTGTTATTAGGAGCTAGTGATGGTTGAGGACCACCTGTCTGTATTGGTTTTGGTTTCAAGTTGGTTCTATTCAACGTGGTAGCAGCTTGGGCATTACTGTTAGCGAATATATTAGTTAATTTAGTAGCTGTTAAAGATTCTTTATTAAGAAGTGGAGTTGATGGAGATGCACTTGGTGGTTGAGATTGAACAGGGGTTGGTGTACTTGTTTGTGGTGATGCTGATCTCATAGGGGTTTGCTGTTGTTGTTGATTTGAAGCATTGTTTGAACTATTTGACTCAGTAGTACTATTATTATTATTATTGATGGGTGATTGAGGATTTTGATCCTTTTTCAACATGGCTATATCTTTTGAAATTTGAGGTAGTGCTGAAGAAGACATGATAATTATGTTTTAAAAGAAGTGATGATGATGGTGATGGTGATGAAATGGATTTAAGTGCGATGATGATTTGGACAATTGACCGCAAATTAGAAATAGATTTAAACTCACTCAAACTTAAAGTCCTTGAGATGAATTATATGATAGGATTACAATCCAAATTGACTATGGCAATGAGTTATAGTCAATGACAATGTATATAAATCAGAAAGCGTTAACTCAATTCCATACAATATAAAATGAGTTTAGCTGAAAATGGAACGATTTTTTTCGGATCTTTTTTCCCCTAAGAATGGAAAGGGCTTTAATATTAGATCGTTGATAAGGAATATATAGAATTTGGGTGGCAATAGATGAGATAGCCTAAGTAATAAATAAAAATGAAACCAGAATGTGGAGTTGAATGATATAAATGGAAAATATATATCAAAATTTTTTGAAGCTATTGATTGTGTTCCTTTCAACCCTTGATGATGATGTTTTTTTTTTTAATTAATTAGTTGCCGTTAATTATCGGATACTCACAAAAACTCCTGGGGTGAGCGGACTGCATACAGGATAAGGAAAAATGAGAGTCTCCGGAATCGAACGAACAGAAATAATGGGAAATGTAAACAAAACTATATTTAAAAGTGATGATTCAATAGTCATACCCCAGGTTCTATATAGTGATAACATAGGTTCAAGTTCATATAATAGAATAGGATATAACGGCATGAGTTCTAGTGTGAGTAATAGTAATCATATATCATCATCGATAAAACAACGACAGTTAAGTCATTTGAATTCTCAAATCGCTCAATTACATGCTAATTTAAATGACTTTAATGATTTAATACAAATTACATGCAATCAATATCAATCCATAGAGAAGTTGGGAAAGATCCATGCTGGATTATTCATGGCTAGTCATTCTGTCTTTGAGAACGATAACTTCAATACCAATGAAGAAGAACCAGAAACTCAACCCCAAGATGATGATTAAGCATAAATTTTGATGATTTCTAACTTTAAACAACGATAATCATACAACTAATGGCATATTAGGTATACTTACGCAGAAATGTTTGGAGTTTCCGAAACAATGATCATATCCTAGACTGGTAAGTGAAGTTCATTTATTAAAATAACATATACGTCAATTACGATGATAATTATGCAAAGTTCGTTACGATCGGTTAAGTTGGATGATTACTATCACAAGGCTTGCAATTTGTTGTTAACGATAGAAAGAAGAATTGCTTTTTCTTCATTCCTTCGTTGACTTTTTCAATGTTACACATGGCTATGATTATATTCAATTGTCTAACGATAAAAATATTATCCCACACTAATGGTCTACATAAGATGTTTAGATTCGGAATGTGGTAAACTTTTTGGCTTTTACAACCTAAGCTGGATCCTGAACTACTTAAATAGTGTTAAAAATATAATAATAAATTATTTTTGGTTTTAAAAAGAATCAGTAGACTTTAATTAGAATAATAAATTTTTTTTGAACTCACAACGACTGTTATCAACCAAAATAAAAATCAGACAAAAATAAGAATAATTTCGATACGACAAAAACAAATTCGCTCATACAAAATAAAACATAAAAGAAATAAAAGAAGAAAAATGACACTGAAAAGTGGTTTAGGGAGAGGGGGGGAGAAAGTCTAGGGAGAAAAGTAAAGTAGGGTAGTTACTAGACAACCACGATAAACTTAGCTGGGATCTATGGATTAGGCTAAACCAATTTACGAATGTAAAAGAATAAAAAAGAAACTCTAAATTGTTCCGGCTTCCAGTTTTTATTTTTTTTTGACTTTGAGCCAAGAGCCAACATGTGTAGATTAAAACCACTGTAAGCACATAATACATATACAATAGGATGCTATTGTTTCTTGGTTATTTTTTTGTTGTAAATTGTTAATATGAGTAGATTTTTTGTTACATCAAAACAAGGATCATAGAAAGAAATTTTGAGATTTTTTTTAAAATCTGCGTGTGTGAAAGAAGATAACCACTATTTGTAACACAACATGACGACAAGTTGAAATCACTGACAGAACCGACAATCAGGGATTCATTATTTACGGTAGGGGTAGTAGTTAAGAAATGAAAGAACTGTTTATGTCTCTGCGGTTGGAGGGGAAGGAGGAGATATAGTACATGAACAGATCATCGCAGTGATAAACAGTGAAACATAGTGGAGAAAGGTAAATGAATTAATTACATTACGTATTTAAGATGAAGTCATAGGCGAACGTTTAACGCTAACTTTTTTATTTTTTTTTTCTACCACTTTGCGGGATGGTATTCCGCATCCCATTATCTCAAAGTATTTTTCCCCTGGTCTTGCCAAATACGTTCTTTGTTTGATTATTCTGCCTGGCTGTCGGTAAATATTATTTATAAATCACAATGGTTAATACTAAATTACTTTAAAAGTTAAGATTTTAAGTAAACTCAAATGCAATTTACATTTAAACTTTGTTTAAAATTGAGCAGTTAAAATCCTATTCTGTCAAGTTGCAATAAAATTTTTTGTTAATCCAGGTGTTTGATTGATATTTACTTTCATGCTCCGTTTCAAAATCGATATTAGATTTCATCTCTTTTTCCTGTGATGCTAGTGTGATTTCATCTCGCTATAGTAGTTTATTTATTTTTTTAGTTGATTATTTATTTTCCATCATCTCTCTTTCACTTTCTCACAGTTTTCCCCCCTCCACTAATATCTCAAATTATTGCAGATTCAGGTATTATTTTTTAGTTGGATATTTTTACTGTTTTATTTTTGTCGTTTTCAGATCTTTTTATTTTTTTTTTATTTTTTTTTATTACAGTTTACATATTTGATTTTTATGTTTGTTTATTATGAGTAAGGGGGGTAATATGAAATTATATATACAAAAAATAAAATGTGAAACTGGAAAAATTCGAATTTTTATTTTTGGATATAACCTGCAAATAAAAAAATCAGACAGACAGAGACAGACAGACAATTCTATTTTTGCAGGTGTAAATCTTTCTCTCTTTTGTTTTCTGCTGCTAAACTCCCAATTTGACTTTTATTTTTTAACAGTATGTATCTCTACCGATTCAATAAAATTATCAAAAGCTAAAATTTTAGAATTATTTAATTTCAATCATTTTAATTGACTTTTGATGGAACATCAAATGGGATCGGATCAGCACAGATGAATCCTCATGTATCATACATACATTCTGACGTACATACCTACATATATAAACTTGATTGATGTGACATGTGGGTGAAAGGGAAAACAAGGGTTATAATGCATTTAGATAGATCGAAGTCAGAAATAGTGTACTAGTTATGTTCCTGTTTATTTTAAATTGATTATCATTTCTGGTAAATCATTAGTAAATAATTATTACGATATACAGTATTCTGACTATGTAAATCAATCAATTCTCCATAAAACATACTTGATTCGATACGATAATCTATCTGGCGAAATAATTCAATAAACCCTAAACTTTAAAAGTTTCATTTGGTGAGTAACAAAAACGAAAAGCGTAAAAAAATTGCAATTTCTCATGACCTCAAACGTTGATGATGAATACGGGTAACATCACAATCGTTAATACAACATACTTAAAATAATAATAATAATAAAAATATTCAAGTTCAAATTCAAATTGGGGAATTCCCTTACCAGTATTATCTCCTAATACAATCAGTTTCAAACTAATTGAAGGGGACTCTGTTTTCAGAATTCTACACTAAATATTTGGTTCCCCAAAAAGAAAAAGCTGCCTAATCTACTTTTGCTGCGAGCATCAGAAAAATAAAAAAATAATGAGGAAAGACTCTCTGTCCCCACCCAACTACCCATCCATCCATCGGCTGGGTTAGTAGTTTTAGGGAACAAGAAATTAATTAATTGATGGACAAAATTCCATCTTATGATCCATTGTTCGGTTGTGCTCGGTTCATATTGATGATACTTTTGATGTAGCTATATTCAGCTTCCCGTTGCCCTATTCTTTATCATATTCCTTTACCTGAAATTTAACTCAGTAAATGATGTCAACTCAAATTATCTCGCTGTTCTTTTATTTATGTCTGTATTGAATTACCTATTCTGGTAGGTACAGTCAGTAAATGTAAAAAGAAGTCAAAAAAAAAAAAAAGAAAAAGAAAAAGATTGCTTAAAATTTCCATGCATTGAAGAAATTGGCTACCAAAATAAAAGAAGGCTAAAATGCCATGGAATATAATATTATGCAAGCCTATAATCCCTATCGGATTTCTATTTCCCCTTTCATTTATAAGATTAGGCCATAAACACAACTATTCAATATAGAATGTGGATTTGGTTTAATTAAACTTCTAATTTATTAATCGAGGCCTCAATTAATTTCTAATCAAATTGCTAATTTTAAATTTTAAAAATAATATCATACTTACGATACTTGCATATGCCTACGTTATACCGGAAACCTTCTTTCTTTTTGTATTATTATTGACCCTATTTTGTTTAATGTTTTAAATCTTCTCTCTAGTTTAATAATTTATAAAATAGTTATTCTACTAGTTATAATGTGTCAAAATAATAATAACCAACTATTAAACATTTAGTTATGTGGCTAAGCCCAAACCTTTTGGAATCAGATTCAAAGAAGAAATTTTATGTGTTTTACCTACCTACCCCAGAATACTTTTACACTTTTGAACCCTTACAATTTCAATTATGTTTTTATAATTTGTTTACTTTGCAAAAGCTAATAGAACTATAATATTATACTACATTCTATGTATATATAAACAATATTAAACACCCATGAAAGAAAGAAAATACGATAGTACGAAAATTAAACGTGAATCCCTATGAAAACTACTAAAAATATATTATGAAAACAAATATCAATAACAACGCAACAAGAAATGAAATAATAAAACCAGAATAAAAAGAAGTAAATATTATCATCTTATTAAGTCATGGACGGAAACCTTATTCATAGAATAATTGGCAGGATGATTGGCTGGTAAATAATGACTTCCATTATTAGATGAGGTTGATGCTCCACCTGTTGACGATTCAACTTCATTTGAATCATTTGAACCCTTGGACATAATTGATCGATTGAATAAATGACCACTACTGCCATCACTACTTCTATCGTTATTACCATTGACTCTGGCATGCGAATATGAAATTGGAGGTGGAAGGGAAAGTGGTGGTAATGATGTTGGAGTAGAAATATTTAACCCATTGCTATTACCACCATTATTCAGTAATGAATCATTAGTTGATGTTTGTTGCAAATGATAATGATGATCGCCAGTATCATTCAAATTCAATTTCTCATTTGATTCTGATCTTTGAGGTGGTAATGGTTGTCTGAAATCAACCTCACCATCCTCTTCACTAATAGTATTTCCCACACTCTTCTTTCTCTTAAAACCATTACCCATATTTAAATTCGATAAATTTTCATATCCCAAACAAACCTTTTTAGACCTCTCACAATTAAAACATGATGGTTTACGTTCATCACATTTAATTCTTCTTTTACGACATGTTAAGCATCCTGTTCTTGTTCTTCGTTTTATAATTCTTCTTTTATTAACCAATGCTTGATTTTCATCGAAATGTATATGCGAAGGTATTGGAACATGTTGATGATGTTGAAGTGTATGATGTTGTTGATGATTCCTACGACCATCTTGTTGATGAGGAAGTGGCGGTTGTCCTTGCATATGTAATGGAACTTGTCCTTGCATTTGACCAGGATTGCCTTGAGTTGGACCTCCATGCATTACTTGGCCTGTATAATAAGTATGATATTGTTGAGGATGATGTGGATACATTCCAACTGGTGGACCAGGTTGACCGTTATGATTAATTGGTGGTGATGATTGTGAATTGCCATACATTGGAGCTCCAGGAGTCCCAATGCGGGGATAATTTCCTTCCATATAAACAGTTTGAGGTGGTGGACCCTGTTGATAATACACATGAGGAGGTGGTGGTGGATATGGATAATGATGTGGTGGAGCTGGATGATGATGAGGTGGAGGAGGAGGAGGTAATTGTTGTGGATGTTCGCCATAATGATAAGGAGGTGTTCTACTTAATGGATCTATGGAAGAAGAGATTGAACTTCTGGGATTTATTTGATGATAATTAAAATAATCTGAAGGGCCAGCTGATGAGGGAGAAGTTGTTATAGAAGTTGAATTATTATATTCATGATTTGAAGTAGAACTTATTGGTAAATTTGGTTCGGTTAATCTTCTTAATGGAGGATGAGGTAATGAATTATATGATATACTATTATTATGAGATGTAAATGATGTAGTTGATGAGATTCTAGGAACAATTGATTTTGGAGAATGAGGAGAATTCGATAATTTCTTGGGCAATGCTGAAGGAGAAGGAGTTGTCGTTCCTGTTGCTCCATAAGATGGTGACAGTTTGGTTAATGTGGGTATTGAAGTAGAACTTCCACCAGAAGGTGTGGTTGTTGTGGTTGTTATTAATTCTGATACAGATGGTAGTTGTTGAGGCATGATGATTACTATGGAATGAATTTACTTTGAAGATATATATGATTGGAATGAAATTGAATAAAATGAACTGTTGGAAGGGTTATTACTATATTGTAGTGCGTATGAAACCGATTACCTGAATGGGAGGGGATGCAAAAGAATGGAAAAGAATTAAATTAAATAGATATCAATCAAATGAACTGACTTCAAATGAAACGGATTGCAAAATAAATAAGATAAAAAAGGAAACCAAGAGAGTTAATAAAGAATAGAAATGAATATCAAAAAATTGCAAACGGATTTATTGTCAATCGCTATGAATTGACAAACTAACGGGGAATCAAAATAAGCCCGAAGATGTATATGAATACTCTGGCAATAATCAACAATATCAACTATGGACCTGTTGATAACTAAAGCAATAAAAATCCAGTTGGAAAAGAACAAATTGCTAACGAAATTAACAAATTTTAAATCAGTGGTTGGGTGGTTTTATAAATTGTAGATATATAGTCATGACTATATATATTTGGATGTGCTGTATATGTATCTATGACTATATACATGATTTTTCACAGTAGTTAGCGTAGTTTTTTTTTTTTATTTTTGTTTTTATTTTATTATATGATATTTTTTATTTTATGATTTTTTTTGTTATAATTCTGTTTTGGGTTTTAGTTCTTTTCTAATTTCTCTCTTAAATTTGTTTTATTTTATTTGTGGTAATTGTCTGAATGTATGCAACTGTAGAGGTATATGCAAGTGTTACAAAAAAATAATTTGCTTTTTTAGTACTTATTGTTTCCCTTTTTTTTGGTTTGACAGATTTAAAAATTCAAATCCAGACAAGATAAATTATTTTTTCAGACATTTTTCAGATATTTTTTACTGATTTATTTTTTGTCAGTTTTGATTTTTGGTTGTTGTATTGTGTGCGCAAGCTTAAAGCTTATTTTGTGGAGGCAACTTGCATAAGGAGAAAATCAATTCAACAAGCTTGTTGTCTTACTTTGTTAATTTACTGTGTATTTGGAATGCGCGCTTTTTGAATTCAATTGAATGATATTTCATTATAGTGTTGATTTGCACAAATTTTACTGAGAGTAAAGTTTAGGTATATCGATCTAAAGTGCAAATTTTAATTTATTATATTACATTAAATTATTTTTTAATTCTTTCTTTTCTTTTTTTTTGTTCCTTCAAATATATAAGTGAAACAGAAGCACAAGCGGCTATATATAACCTAAATACTGTTATAGTTTTCACGGCTTACGGGGCCATATTATTTTATTCAAATGTATGCAGAATCAGAAAGCGTAAAGTAAGGCGAATTTTTAACGTAAATGAAAAGTGGCTAGTGAATTATAGTTTAGCACCTGGAGTATAGTAAATACTTCAGATTGATTTCCGTCGCTTTAGAGCTTATCCGATGATATATTTTATCTCCTCATATTTTCGCTAGGTAAATTTCTCTGATTTTCTAGTAATGACATAAATAGGTCTCTTCGAATGATTTACAATCTATCACACAATAAATATGATCCTTTTTCTTATCTAATCTATTTTGTACTTATGCAAACATTTCTAACTACCATTGAAGTAAATTGCTTCTAGGGTTATATCTCTCTGCTGATTTCGTCTCAGCAAGATTACTGTTTCTTTTTCTTATTTTTCCCTTGAACTCTCTTATAAGCACAGCGCAGCCTCTAATCTCGCTTCTATGAAACATTCAGATTTTTTTCAGTAACTGCCTGATCTGTATAGTGGCTATCCTGGAAATTAATAAATTGATATCTTTATTGACAAATCCTAATTTATTCAGGTTGTATGGATATGTAAACCTATTTTGGTCATCATGTCATAATAGACCTATTGCAACCAATGTGTAGATAAAAATAAATCCAAAACAGAATCTATAACCGCTTGTTTTGCTTTTACGTAATGGTCATCGCTCATTTCTCCCTTCTGTAAGCAAAAGCTCTGTAGACTTGTTACTTACCTTAGTTTGGCGCTACCTGCGGCCTCACTAAATTTTCTATTCTTTTCCCCCGATTTTTGAAGAAAAAAATAAAATATTGCTGCTGCGCAGCAGAAAATCAACTTTTATGCTAGCCACAACGTTGTTGCCAGAACATCAGTAGTACTTATAGCATAAGTTCGGAGCATTATGTAACCCATTTCATAGTATGGGTAATAACGACAATTATACTCGGAATGCTATATAGTTTAATTAGTAAAAGCTTCGTACCAGATGTCTTTATTCAGGGCTGCGAGATAGGCACGGCTAATGTTGCCTAACATTTCATCATTCGCAATTTTATTCTTATAATTGTAAATCATTTATTTAAAAAGTTTTGTTCCCCTTTTCACTCCGAACCAAGAAATAGTATTAAAATAAGGTGGTTAAATGGAATGTGTTAGTGTTTCACATTATAGCGAGCGTTTGTAACAGAGAATTGAATGGTAAGGAGAAGCATTATTGAATCAAAATGGATTCATTGCGAAAAAAAGTTGAAAAATCCAAGCTAAAATTAAAACCAAATGAATAGCCTAAGTCCATTCTATTATCTAGGCACAAAATCCGAGCTTAGGTATATAATTCTCCTAACCATGGTCCTGGATAAGATTTAAGTAGACATACCAAGAGAAAGAACTAAATATAAATGCCAAATACAATGACAATTGCTTGAATCGGATAAACGAAAATTTCTCGGACCTATTGCGATCTAACTATTGGACCTAATGGATCACGTAAACCACAATGGACATGAGAAGAGTAAGACGATTCATTGATTTATGCTACGGGGGATCATAATAACAGGATGTCCTGAATGGTTTGAGGCTATAAAGAAAATAGTGCGGGAATTTACTGAATTAAACCACTCTGTTTACGAATTTTTCACTATTAATTATAGTCAGCATATATTCTCCGTTATCGCCTTGTAGTCTTATAAGGAAGTATGGAAACATGGAATCAAGTGTTAAGAAAGTGTCTGGTACGATGGTTACTTATTTACACTAAGAAATTTCAGGTGCATGATCTGCAATGTACGACAAATACCTGTGGCTATGTACTCCCACAAACATCCAAAGTAAGCAATTTTTTTTGTGCAGTTTGCTTGGGACATAGTCCGGTTACGTTAGCTCATAGTTATGAGATCTCATGGTAACACTTGCTATATAACTAGAAAATGACAATTAAAGTTGCCATACAAACAGTAACATTCTGACCTATATTGATGATATAAAGAGTGTTTGGGGAAGTAACTTTAAGCATCATTTCATTTGTTATAAATCTGATTATAATGTCTACTCAATTTCTCTTTACTGTATTGGGATAATTTCAACCGAATTTAGAAAAGAATTGCTATGGAGTTTGCAACGGCTTCCATCTAAAAATCAAACATATTGGAAAGTGTAAGAGAAACGATGGATTATGTAAAGCAGTTCTTAACTACGATAGTCATTAGTAAGTTATCTTTCTTTGTGCATAGTTTCATATTTCGTTTATCTTTATATCGATCTGCAGAAGTTAGCAAGCAGAAGCTGTGTGTTTAGTTAATAAATCTCATACAATTGACAAACTTGATACTTCTATTACATTCAGCGCCTTTATTGTTTCAAGGGTAGGAGAGGAGAGATTAGATCGTCGATCCTAAATTTAATTTTAGTTCCGCTTTAGTAAATATGCTTTAACTAGTTTGAGCTCTGGGCAACTCGTTACGGTTATGGTAGATTCGATACCTTGACCTCATTACATGAAATTTGGTTAAGATTACCACAAAAGTTTGTTTATTCTAATCAAAAAAAATATGTTGTCAAACCGTAATATTACAATAAATGTTGTAAAAAAATATTGAAAGCTCTGCTTAAGTGGTTTCGGACTCTGACCATCGATTATGCTGTTGTTCGTAACGAAATATGGGAGACAGCAATCCAATAAGTCCTTATTGTTTTAATTAGAAACATTTCTTATGAAAGGGACAGTTGTTCGGTCTTCATATTACAAATACTCATCGTTCAATTACATTCACAAAACCTTTTCAATTATAAATTTCATCTCATCTTGCTTGAAAAAGCGTTATCTACCCCAAATTTCATATGTACCTCTCGATCATTTACGTATTATAAGCAATCATCGTTTCTGATCGGTTTTTTTTAACAACAGAATCTGTAACGGTAGAAGAATCTGTATCAGCAGCAGAAGCATAGATGTAATAGAATTCGAACAATTTCAGGTGTAATCAGCCAGACAAGATCTTCAAACAAATTTTTGATTGTAGTTATACTGTCGCGTATTTTTGTGTATGCAATCGATGCAACTCACGCTTACAATCTCAATATATTTTTTCGAAGGATTATTTTATAATTTCAATTGATTCATGCTTTAACAATTATTTTGTTAATCGAACTACATCATTTAATATTATTTACATCACTTTTGGTTTTGTAGTACATTTTAATGTGAAAAGGTTGAAATTTAGGAGGATTAGGCGGCGGTACATTTCCGTTAATGACAGATTATAAGGGGTTTAGCAAGCAAAAAATAATTTAGCATCAGATACTCTTCTTTTATGATATCCTACCGTAGATGGCGGTGTTAAAGATATACTATTTTATATAACTACTTTATTATATACTTATTATTAAGCTTTTGTCTTCCTATTAAAATGGGTAGAAGTTACCTTCTGAAAGTGTTGGGCTCTGCTCTTCATCAGTTAGGTATTCTGGGTTGTACTAATCTAATTTTTATTTTTTTTTTCGTTGTAAAATATTTTTAGCTGCTTCATTTTGCATTATTTATTTTCTTATCATTTTGTGTTGAGCAAAGCAATCCCAATTCTATGAGCCACAACAACATCCAACCTCATCTCAATAGTGGTGGCCAATTCACATGTAGCGGACCTTTTTGGGAATGGTTTTAATTAAAATGAGACCAATACGAATAATTGTTCTATGTGGACTAAACTATAAGCATGATATCGCAGTTACTAAGTTGTGCCTAACCGTCATTAGTAGTT